AGATTAACGTGAAGCTGAGATCCAGGTACAGTTTGCAGACTCTCGAACGGCCTACGACGACCTGTCTGATGATCAGAAACGTCGACTTGAGGGCCTTGTTGCTGCCCACTCGCTATTTCACTCTCGGAAAAAAGCTGTTCCAGAATATTTCAAGGATACAGATCCTGAGAAATTGCCGTTGAGCCACCACTTGCTTGTGCAGAAACATGAGTCGGCTGACCGAATGGTATGCAATAGTGTTGCGTCGTTTTATCGCACGCCTCATCACTGACGATCGTCTAGAACCTCTATATCGCATCATATGTTCATCACATCAAGGGAATGAGCAGAGACGAAAGCGCCAGACTCATAGAGGACTTACTGGAACATGTTTCACAAGCAAAATATCGGTATACTGCGGAATGGATACAGAGTGGTGATATGATAATTTGGGATAATACTGCCGTCCTGCATCGTGCAACTGGTGGCTCTTATGAAGGACGATATCCGCGAGATATGAGACGCACAACCGTTAAAGACATGAGTAGCACCAGATTTGGCTTGAATGGGGAAGGGGCAGACTGGCGTGTCGGTTTGCCGTAGATACGGCCCGGTCGCACAGTCGAAGATATTTTCAATCTTTTCCCTCATATCCAAGGGACTCCATATTCACTTGAAGGCTGTTGAAAATAACTATCCCAGCTGTCCAAGCTTGCAAAAGCATCGTAGTTGAAAGGGGCAATCTCCCCTCCAGCAGTCGCCTGAGATCCAAAGTTCTCTGTGAATTGGTCTTGATGCGCAAGATCAGGATTAGCGTAGGGAAAGACATCATCAAAAGCTGATGGAGTGAAGTTTGCGGCGTCGTTCTGTGGTGACGTCCGGGGTCGAAGAAGGATCGATCTCACAGAGGTCAGCACACTTTCCAGGTCGTCGAAAATCCGTCGTGCGGCACGTAAGACTTGGGCCAACTCCTTTAACATTCCCACAGCGGCATGAAAGCTCTCCGCGTATTCAGTATGCTGTGATTTCAGGCCGATCTCAGATATATCCCGACAGAGAAGCGTGGCGAGGATGAGGATGGCTCCTCCAAGTGTTGTTGCAAGATGGAAGCGGAAGGAGCTCGGCTCACTTATTTCGTGGCTGTGTGCCTTTATCTGCTCGACGATATCTGTCGCCAGGGTTCCACAGAGAAGACCTGTACTGGCGCTATACTTGAGTGATACCATTTCTCGACGACGGAGTAGAAGTCGCAAATGACTGATGCGCTACGGAAAGAGCGTGAGTCAATTGATGAAGAGGCCTGGATTGCTCAAGCTTACTGTGTTGACCAAAAGTTGCTGTCGGAGATGGCGTCGCGTTGGTGAAGTATGTCGCGGTAGGAGCGGTATAGTTGGGAGAGTGGTTTCTTTCCAGTGTTTGATCTTTGCGTCGAGTATAGCAATGGCCTCGGAACTAGGTCCATCCACACTGGCCGAAAACATTGTGTCCCAAACCTCACCAGCCAGCTTTCCAAAGGAAATCATACAGACCAGGTACATAATTGCCGATGTTTCGGAATCGGGTGATGGAGGGGGACTGTTTGTACTAAGCATCTGGGCGGACTTTCAGTGTCGTGTATTGTGTGAGCATGAAACCCAACGACCAACCTTGTCATAGATCCATTCAGGTTTGTCCACGCGGATATCGGAGTCTCTGATCCCATATGGCCGTCCACAGCTTAGAGAGATGCGACGGTCGACAAAATAGACAGTCCAGAAGACGCGCTGACGCATGTGCACTGCATAAGGGCTGTGATCTTTGCCCCAGCGCGGCTCGTTATGGAGCCCCAGCTGAAAACAGAGCCTGCAAGCAATGCCAATTGCACTGTAGGCGGCACTCGATCTGTCAGCGTGCACCAAATAAAAGGCCTTTGACAGAAGTTAGCACAAACGTCTCCGATTCGAGTTGCTCAGGCAGACCTCGTAGATCAAGAACTGAATGAGACATAGATCTGCTTTTCCGCTGAGCTTCCGTTTGCGGAGCAGTGCGTCGGATGCTAGAAACCACTTCCAACCAGGACAGGGCGCCGATGTCGATTCCTGCACAGGGTCAACATTGCGAAGTATATCCGCACAGGCAAAAATTATGTAGTTCAAGGCCAGGAAGCAGATGTCGTCGCTGCGTGCAAACGCGCCACGCGCAAGATTTCGGTTCTTATGCTTAAAGTCCGACTCATTAACACAGGAGTGGCAAGGGTTGATATCTTCAAAGAAGAAATCGACATAGTTCTGGTAGTCCGCCGGGCTGGGGAAGGGTAGAAATTGTGATCCCACCCGTACCCCTCTTATGGATTCACCTGTTGTCTGAGAATCTGTGAGATCTCGCCGAGTCGAACTTGCGGGCGTCCGGTCGGGTGCCCAATCTTGCAAGCCAAGCTGCGCCTTCATAGACTCCAGATTTGCATTCAGTGCCGATAATGGAGCCTCGAATGTCGTGTCACCTGTTCCGGGATAACATTAGATGCTGGTTCCAAGATGCCCACAATACCTACCCTGGCAATCCTCGACAACGTCAAACGGGCTCTCGGCGGCTTCATCTGATCTGACGCTTCCTTCCCTTTGAGGATAGAGAAGCGCATTTACCTTTCCCTCCAGCCTGATTAATCTCTGTTCCATGGTTGTGGAAGTTGGCGCGGACTGCTGATTCCATTGGGATAGAGAAGGACCGGCAGATATAGACTGGCTGTTATCATTGCTCGGCCCGAGGTTCACATATTCTACCTCTTGTGAAAATTGACAGGATAGTCCTCGTTGAATGCAGCGCTGACATGGACATTGACCAGAACACTAGACAGCGTCAGAATGTGCAACGAGGACAAAGCAAGCTGGTCGAGTCTCTACTTTTAGTTTGCTCTGACGGCACTGGATGCTTGTAAGATGTTAATAGTAGTCCCACAGTATCTTGTAGATGGACGTCAATGACATACCAGGCCTGGGAAGCATACTTCCCCCGAGGGCGTTTAACCGGGGCACAGTCGGATGTCTCCACGGACATAATCGTAGTAGTCACGGCCGCCACCTAGAGCTTATAGTAGCTATTCAAGGATGGAACGTACACGAATGCAGATGTGGTCATCTCGTGAAGAGGTGGAGACGTTTCTGAGGTTGTCTGCATCTCAAGGCTCGAGGAAGGTCAGCCGCGGCGGTTGTCTGCCGATGGCTTGTGCCTACAGAGACACCTACCCTAGGGATCAACATTGAAACCACCCAGTATCTATGATTGAGGAGCTAAGGTGTCATGTTATTTCGACCGTGGCTGGAGTGGAATGTCCTCAGTCTACGCTCACGGAATAAAAGCTCAGTTACTGTTTGCCCTGTATAGATGCTGCTCCAGCAACGGCTCGACAGATTCAAGCCTGCGGCTCATTACAATGCATTCTCCTTCTCAAACACTTCCAAGAGTCCCTCGGATATGTTCTGCACCACAAAATCCGTAGGGCGTGGCAGCGGTCGACGGAAATCTCCTCCGAGTCTCATCTCCCCGTACTGAGGACTTACGTGAATGTCCATGGCCGATTTGATTCCAAGAAATCCCTGTATTGCGTCAGTTTCCTCGTCTAAGGAGGCCGGGCCAGTTCACGTACAACTCGATTAATGTATGAGTCTGCCTTTGTCACCAAGTCCTGCAGTTCCTGGGCTTCTTTAAACCTGCTCAGTCGTTAGCACTGCAGCTGGCGGGACTGGTTATGCCTGACATTTCGGGGCTTCCCACTTCCAGAGCCTTTGTACCCAGTTGAAACAATCTCAAGCAGACCTTAGGATACAGATTGACTCTGCTGCAGTCAGCGACAGACGCCACGAAAAGCAAATGACATACGGTCCCCCAATACAGCCATGGTGCCGAGCGACTATCGCGGGCAGCAGGTAATCCGTGGAACCAGCGAGAACCAGAAAAGGCAGTTTATGTCTTTCCCGATATTCTGGTGAGCCAATGTGCAGGGCTACTCGGTGGCCTTTGGAGACATTGAAACAGGTGAGCTTCACACCGCTATTCCGAATCAATCAGAAAAAGAAAAGCCACGACTTTTGCTAGAGCACAAACATGATATTTGGATGTTCTCTGATGGCGGCTCTGGATCAGTTACGGAGTCGCTCCTAACTGGCTTCATTGAACTCACGATATGTCGATGAGGAAGTCGGCGTCGAGGTCAATCCCTCCGGTAGCGAACGGAATCTATGTTGGGAGAGTCAGGATGTGCCATCCGACATCACCGAAATAAGACGTACATTGTATAGCATCACTGGCACTGGACTAGCATCGGCGACAGAGACGAAGAACTCCTTCAAAGTTGCCTTGTCTCTTCCAAAGACAAATGCATAATATGCCGGAGCGACGACAATGCTGGTTCGGATTATCAGTGGTCGCTTCTTTCATGACTAAATTCGACTCACACAGCATCAGCACCTTCATCGGCAGCATCTTTAACAATTTCAATGGTCTCTCTAAGGCTCGCAGCCCCTGCCCCGGCAATTATGGGTACGGATCGATAAAGACCGCTCTCTTCTAACACCTCTCTTGCATTTTTGACCAAAACTTTCCGTTCGCATCTCGAAAGGAGGTTTCCTTCTCCCAATGTGCCGCTCAGGACTAACCCGACGCCCAGCTTTGCTAGTCTTAGGACTCCAGCTCGAAATGCTGGCAAGTCAACTTCTTGTTGTATTTCACCTATAAAGGGTGTTAATACCGGAGCATACACGCCAGGCCGGAGCGCTGAAGTCAATTTAGACATGTCTCACACGATCACTTTCGCTCTCGCAGACCTTCCGTCTGGTTGATGTTACCAGATATTCGGAGGGGGCAAGGAAAGCTTCTCCGCATGGATAGGCAGGCTTTGGTAACCCCAAGACCTTCGTTAGACGTTCCGACCAGCTTTCCGATAATTCCGACAACAGCTAGGGATTAGGTCGGTACTGAATGAACATGGTCAGCTTTCGCCTGGAATTACTCCCTTCGTACATCAATTATACGAACCTGGGATGAACATGGCCACAGAAGACCCAACGATCGTATCCTTCACAGTCAGGGACCTGAGATGGCCGACCTCTCTCAAGAACATTGGCTCAGATCCAATGAATCTAGCAGGCGAAAATGCTCTCGCTTACCTTCAGTATCACACGGACACTGAGCTCTCAGGGACTGGTTGGTCTTTCAGCAACGGACAAGGCAACGAGTAAGTGATTATCGAGTCCATCTAGGTGCAAGTTGGTAACTTTGCAGCGTGCTGTGCACAGCAATAAGGAGCCTGGCGCCACGTCTGGTTGGTCGAAAGCTTTCCAGCTTAACGTCGAACATGGGGGAGACCCAACGGCAAATGGTTTCTGGTCAGATCCGTTTCATGTCACCCGAGCGCGGAGTCCTCCAACTTGCGACATGTGCTGTTTTGAATGCAATCTGGGATCTCTGGGCGAAAAAGGAGAGAAAGCCTCTATGGAGATTGGTCTGTGACTTTTCGCCCGAAGAATTTGTCCGTTGCATCGACTTCAGATATCTTACCGACGTGGTGACCCCCGACGAGGGCATCGAGATGTTGAAGCGCCTAGAAGGATCCAAGTCTGAACGGCTGAGAGCAGCTTTAGAAAACCAAGCAGTCCCCGCATATAACACCTCTGCAGGTTGGTTGGGCCACTCAGACGATGAAGTTCGGAAACTGTGCCCTTGCGCGTTCGTCGCCACTGACTTCGTACCAGATTCGAGAGCTTCTTCAGTCGGCAATGTTACAAGGTTTCAAGCATTTCAAGCTCAAGGCAGGACTTGGTTTGCAGTCGGATCGTAAGCGACTTAGCTTTGTACGTGAGGTTGCCGGGGACAGTGCAGTCCTGATGGTCGACGTCAATCAACTGTGGGACGTTGACGAAGCCATTGATTATATGAAGAACCTAGCAGACCTCAATATTTGGTAAGGCATTTGTCTGGAACCCGTGCTGGACATGTGTCTCATTTTCTCAGGTTCGTCGAGGAACCAACGTCCCCAGACGACATTTTAGGCCATTCGCGAATACGGAAAGCCCTTAAGCCTTATGGAATTGGCGTCGCTACTGGAGAGCATGTCAATAATCGCGTCATGTTCAAACAACTGCTGCAGGCAGAAGCATTAGACGCTGTTCAACTGGATGCTGTCCGGCTCTGCAGCGTCAACGAGATTCTCAGCGTTCTTCTGCTGAGTGCCAAATTCGGAATTCCTGTGGTGCCTCACTCAGGGTAAGTGGGCGTCCTCTTTCGCGACCTTGTCGGGCTTCTGCTGATTTGCGGTCATCCTTGAAGCGGTGCTGGAATGGTGGAGCTGTGTTCGCACATCAGCACGATTGATTTTGTTGCCGTCTCTGGCAAAAAGAGTATTCTTGAGTACACGGATCATCTCCACGAGGCGTTTGCAGCACCCGCACAAATCACCCAAGACGGATATCATGTCACTCCCACTGTTCCCGGATATTCCTGTGATGTAAATGAGCAGGAGTTTGAGGTATATGAATGTCCAGCGGGCAGCTTCTGGCAATCTGAGCAAGGGAGGACAATGCTTGCGGATCCATGGCGTGGGGTACCCAATCAACAAAGATCATGATGGCGGTCGTGTCTTGATAAACATACCGTGCCCACAATTAACACATCTATCAGCGCCTTGCCAGCATTCTCGCTGAGATGTGCAGTACACAATATCAACATTAGCGTCGGCGTCTGTATTGCAAGTCCAAGTTGATGCCCGTCTCGCCAAGCCTCACCCCTTCTTCCGCTTTTCCAAATTAGGAAATTTAGGCGAAATAATAATTTGAGCCGAAACTTTTAACGTAGCGAGGAAATCGAGCCGACTGCGCAGTTCAGGACGAACACCCAGCCGTGGCCTGATCTCTTCCTGTCTAGCTTTGGAGAACGCTGGGGAAGACTCCAATATGTGTCATGGCTCTCTCAGACACGCGCAATTATGTACTTGCTGTCGAGAATAACAAGCAGGAAGCGGCGGAAATCGCTAAGTCGGTGGCACAGAGTAAGTCCGCAGATGAAGTCTGCAGATGCCTCGATCGCACTGGTTCTTGAGACTAACAGCTAAGAAATCGAGAGTCGCCAGACGACCTTGATTGAAGTAGTCCAGTCACTAGGCGAGTATATCAATGACGACGACGAGAAGATCCGCGCCAGGGCCGTTTCCTACCTGGTTGCTGTCATCTCGGCACTTCCTCCGAAATACCTGTCTAGACAACAAATCCAGGTGCTTTGCCAGTTCTTCTGTGATCGCATCGAAGATGGAGGAGCAATTGAGGGCTTGTCCAGGCTGCAGGGCCTCGAAAGATTTACAAATGAGATGGCTCAAACGGTTGTGAGAGCGTGAGTGCGGACCACCACGCTACAGCTATCCACGGACTTGCCCCGAAAGTGGTCCAAGGTTGTCTGGCAGCGAAACTGTGCAGTTGGGCTTGACTGACAAGCATACAAGGATATTTGAGCACTTCACGGACTTGCAGACACGCAACCAGGCTAGCAGGTACCGGATCCTCCAGCTCCTGAATGAATTCCTGGATCACCACCGCAAAGGTAGGATTGAATGAGCTCTTTGTCCCGGAGGTCCTGCTGACCTATTCCAGCGGTAAGGGACATGAAGGATGAGTCCCTTGTGGGTATCACGGATCTGGTGGCAGGCGAAAAAGATCCCCGAAATTTAATGTTGATCTTCTCTATGCTGAGGGTTCTCATGGTTGAATGGGACATCAAGGACCATGTACAAACCATGTTCGATTCGGTATATGCTTATTTCCCCATCACATTTCGTCCGCCTCCCAATGATCCTTATGGTATTACAGCCCAGGATCTGAAAGACAGACTACGTGAATGTCTGGCTTCTACTGGAGCGCTAGCGCCATACACTTTTCCCAATATGCTGGATCGTCTCGATTCTACCTCCACCACTGTCAAGAAGGATTGTCTACAGACTCTGACTGCCTGTACTACCAACTATGACCCTGAGACGCTGAGCCAGTTCTCAATACCTCTCTGGGATGCCGTCAAGTTTGAGGTACTACAAGCGCAAGAACAAGAGCTAGCCGAAGAAGCACTTCATGTTCTTAAAGGCATCGCTACCTGCTTGTCTACCACTGTTCACGCCTCTCAAAGCACCACATCGTCGCCACTCCACCAATACTTGACACCTATCAACAAAGAATGCCTTGAACATCTGCAAGAGCCGGCGACAAGGCAGGCAAAGGCTTCCGGGGACATCCTCAAAGCAGTGTCATCAGCCTCGATCCCAGCCTTTGAAATTGTGGTGCAAACCGTTGGACCAGCACTGTTAGCTATCTATCAATCTTCGGCGGGCTTGGTGCAACAGCGAGCGATCCTGGAGATTGCCAACCAGTTGTTCGAAGCTTCCATCGAAGTCTATGGGTCATGGGCAGCTCCAAGCCCTAAGAATCCTGAAGGGCGACAGAATCTTATCGGACAATTCAAGGACAAATTTGTGGCCGTATATAGTCAAGCCTTGATGGGGACGGTCAAGGAAGAGGTTTCATTCCGGTTGACGGCGGCTAATGGGCTGCTGCTGTGCTCCAAAATGAATTCGGTGCTTGCGGACGATGAGATCGGTCTTTTCGTCCAGTACTTCGATGATATTGTCCTCAAAGAAGAGTCCTACGGTCGAGACGAACTGAAAAGGAAAGCCATGACGGCCTTGGCTGAAATATCTCAATTCAAGCCTAATTTGATCTCCAACATCACATTCCCGGCCTTTATGGCACGCTTGCCTGACTCCGAAGAAGGGGCACGTTCTAGTGACTCAAGTGCTGTGCTCGAAGGGTTGGCGGAGATCAGCCTCGAGAAGGAACTGCTAGGGACGCTGATGAGACGTCTCCTGAATAAATTGGACTTTCTTTTCAGCTCCAGTCAAGGTCCACCATTTCCCTACACTTGCCAAATCTTGGGAACAATTCTGTACGTCTTGAACCGCAGCGTTTCGGAACAGAAGGCGACATTGGATGCATATTTCGAACGGGTGGTCGTGGCACTATCCCGAAGAATATCAGACGTCAGTCATGGTCCGCTGGCGAACGAGAACGTGCTGGATCTGCTTGGTCGAATCATGAACCTGATCGTCCGATACTCTGCGGAAGGAGCAATTCAACGCACTGCAGAAAGCTTTTATTCTTTATTCACTCAGTCATCAACCAGCGATGAGTCTCACATCCTCATCACCTTGATCAATCAGCCTACACGAACCATTCTATCGACATGGCTTTTGGCAGCTGTTCCCAGAGGCACGAACTCTTCCCTGCTCGCAAGGGACCAACTGATCCCGAGCATCCAAGACTTGGTGTCTTTTGCATCAAAGGCCCAAAGTCCAGCAGTCACTCAGAGTTGTCTTTCTCAAATTGCTCTCTACGTCAACAAGCACGTTGCTATCGCCGATCTTGGGTTCGTTGACCATTTAATCTCACAAAAATTGTCGGCGCTCAAAGACGAACCCATGGACGAGACTACAACACCCGACTTTGACATTCGCCTCCTCTTTGCTCTCTTCAAAGCTCTAATACTCCGACTTTCTCCTAGGACGAACGAGTACCTGGCCAACCTTGTCGAGCTCCTTGATTCGAGGCAGTATCCCCACCAAGTCTCTCAGCGAGCAGCCCGCGGTTTTATTACTATCCTAGCAGCCGACGACATTTTGTCAAAGCAGAATGGAGCGCAGATTAGGTTGCTTGCTCCTCAGCGTGTCTTCCAGACGCTCACGCCAATGATTTCCGACAAATTCAAAACATCGCAGTCAACACCCGAAAAGGAGAATCTTCTGGTAGCAATGAGTGGTATAATGGCGTCTGTTCCTTCGGAGATTGTGATGCCGGAGCTCCCCACCCTGTTGCCACTTCTCTTGCAGTCTTTGGACATTGCGGACCAGACTGTCAAGATTGCTACCTTGGAAACTTTTGCAGTCGTTATATCGAACAATCCCTCTGCACTCGAAGAAAGTGGACACATACCTGCACTGGTGAAGCGACTTATCGCGGTAGCGACAGTGTCGAAATCTAAAGCAGCCGGTCCTGTGAAAACTACCTCGTCCGACAAGGGGAATGCGCCAACTGGCCCAGCGAATCTGCCGCAAACCCGTCGCTTTGCAACGCGTTGTCTTGCTTTGATGCCAAAATACATCTCGGCCAGTGCATCACGAGCCAACCCGCTGATCGCACTCAAGCGCGAAGTCCTGCATGGTCTGACTAATATTTTGGATGACACGAAGCGCGATGTGAGGAAGGAGGCCGTTGACGCGAGAGCAGCATGGTTAAGAGAAGTTGATGATGTAAATGATGACGATGCATAGACATGACCGTGGGACGTAACAGGTACATAAATGGGCCTATAGAACCAACTGCAGATCAGAAATAGAGAGGCATGGGGAATAATCATTTCAAACATGAAGAGTGCGATGACTTCTCCGGATCAAAGGCGTGTGTAGTTAGTTATACGGACCTACGGATAGTCTATAAGGCTCATTTCAAGTGTATCATTCTGGCACTAAACTGTCTCTCCAGGCGAATGCGATCGCCAGACGTAGAGAGGGATAAGCGACATTCCTGGCTCGGGGGTCGCAGCCTTATGTGGCAGTGGTGGCAGCCTTGTGAGGATTACATAAGTAAAGTTCTGCGGAGAAACTTTTTTGCCCTTTCAAGCCCGCAGGCAAAATCCTCATTGCCAATTCCAACATTCCACGCGGTGCTCTAAAGACCATGATCCGATAATAGTGCCAGGTTGCCATTCAAGCAGTGTGTCGACTGCACAAACCGTCAACTCAACAGCCGATGAAGCGCCTGAATCAAGCGCGGATCTCATTTCCAGGTGAATTCCACTCCCATAAGAATTCATACCATCTTCTCCGACATGTCTGAACAGCGGTCCAGCGAACCCCGCATCAGGTCTCACAAGAGGAATACGACGCACCGCAGACGTCGCGACGATGACGACTTTGACGAGCGATGGGGCGATGAGGAGGTTGTGGAGGACGATGAACATGGCGCAGATGGCGATTTCGTGGAATCCTCGTCCAAGCGGGTAAAACTTTCAGATGGTTCGGCATCGCACCGATCGAGGAACCATACACCTCCGGAAACGGATGGAGACAGGGCACAGAAGGAAAGAGAAAGAGACGCGAGGGAACGAGATGAATTTGCGAAGCGGCTGGCGAAACGGGATGAAGAGCGGGCAAAGAAAATTGTGGAAGACAGGTCCGCCGCCAAAGACAGTGCAACGGCTCAGCGACGGGCGTTGGCCGATGACGCAGCGGCAAGAGAGGCCGCCATGCCAGACCTCAGACTGCGTTCGCGACAGGACTATTTGAAGAAGAGAGAGGCAGAGCGGCTGGCTCTCTTACGAAAGCAAGTCGCCGAGGAACAAGCGGAACTGAGGGACAACCCAGATCTGTCAAGGCGAGAGAAAGAGGAATTTGCACGCAACAAGGAGATTTTACGCCTTGCTGAAGAGAGACTGGCAATTGATGATCACCTCGACGGATATGCTCTTCCTGAGGACTACATTACGGAAAAGGGCAAGATTGACAAACGCAAAAAAGAACAGGCTTTATACCAGCGTTATGTCGATCGAGATGAGGCTGGGAGAGAACGATATGTTACCGAGCACGAGGAATGGGAGAAAGAGCAGACCAAGAGAGCCGAAGCCCAAATTAAAAGGTCAGAGTATATCGATGAGGGCGAGTACAACTATGTATTCGATGAGAGCCAACAAATGAAGTTCATATTGTCAGACACTCTGGAAGGAGATAAAGGCATGAGCAGGGAGCAGAGGGAGATGCAGCAAAGGCTAAGCGCTGCAGAAGCAAAGGCCAAAAGCATTGAAGAAACGAGAATGAGTCTACCCATCTATCAATTCCGGGATCAGATCATTCAGGCGGTCAAAGAGCATCAAGTTCTGATCATTGTGGGTGAAACGGGAAGCGGAAAGACAACACAGCTCCCGCAGTACCTCCATGAGGCTGGCTTCACGAAAGGTGGCATGAAGATTGGGTGCACACAACCCCGGAGAGTGGCTGCTATGTCAGTCGCCGCAAGAGTCGCAGAGGAAATGGGTAAGCGATTGGGAAACGAAGTCGGCTACGCCATACGATTCGAGGACAACACCAGCGAGAAAACCGTGCTGAAATATATGACGGACGGTATGCTGCTAAGAGAACTCCTGACCGACCCTGAACTGTCTCAGTATTCGGCCCTTATGATTGACGAGGCGCACGAACGGACAGTGAGTACTGATATTGCATGTGGCCTGCTGAAGGACATTGCACGAGCGAGACCCGATTTGAAGCTTCTGATCTCCTCGGCCACAATGGACGCAAGGAAGTTTCAGAAATACTTCGACGATGCACCGATCTTCAATATTCCTGGAAGGAGATATGCAGTGGACATACATTATACCGCCCAACCAGAAGCGAACTATCTAGCTGCCGCCATCACAACAGTCTTCCAAATCCACATCACGCAGGGAGCAGGTGATATTCTCGTTTTCCTAACTGGGCAGGAGGAGATTGAAGCAATGGAGGCTAGTCTACAAGAGACAGCTCGGAAGCTAGGAAGCAAGGTCAAGGAGATGATCATCTGTCCCATTTATGCCAACTTGCCAACAGACTTGCAAGCCAAGATTTTCGAGCCCACACCTGCTGGGGCGAGGAAGGTGGTCCTAGCTACCAACATCGCGGAAACATCATTGACTATCGATGGTATTGTCTACGTCATTGATCCAGGCTTCGTCAAAGAGAATCAGTACAACCCTCGGACCGGCATGGAGTCCTTGGTCGTTGTCCCCTGCAGTCGGGCCTCAGCTGGTCAACGAGCCGGCCGTGCTGGACGAGTTGGACCCGGCAAATGCTTTCGACTTTACACTGCTCAAGCATATAAGAATGAACTCGAGGAAAACACCACTCCAGAAATACAGAGAACAAACCTGTCTGGCGTCATCCTCCTGTTGAAGAGTCTTGGAATCAACGATCTTCTCGACTTCGACTTCATGGATCCACCTTCTACTGACACCATCGTCCGTGCCGTCGAGCAACTATACGCGCTGGGCGCGCTGAACAATGCTGGGGAGCTCACCAAGATCGGTCGCCAAATGGCCGAGTTCCCAACAGATCCCATGCTCGCGCGCGCAATCCTTGCAGCAGACAAGTATGGATGCGTGGAGGAGGTTCTCTCTATCATCGCAATGCTGGGAGAAGCATCAGCACTGTTCTTTCGACCCAAAGACAAGAAAATCCACGCCGACAGTGCCCGGGCCAGATTCACGAACAAGGACGGTGGCGATCACCTCTCACTGCTAAACATCTTCAACGAATGGGTTGATTCCGACTACAGTTATGTCTGGGCCAAGGAAAACTTTCTACAACAGCGAAGTTTGACTCGAGCGCGTGACGTCCGAGACCAACTGGCAAGGCTATGCGACCGGGTTGAGGTGGATGCCAGCAAGACTTGTGGCGGCGCATCAAACATAGAACCGATCCAAAAAGCCATCACTGCAGGTTTCTTTCCTCATTCAGCTCGACTTCAGCGAGATGGCCAGAGTTACCGCACGGTCAAGAACGGGCAAGTCGTCTACATCCATCCCTCAGGCGTTCTGATGGAGAGTCGGCCGAAGTGGATTATCTACCACGAACTGGTATTGACGAGTAAGGAGTACATGCGCAGTTGCATGCCCTTGAAACCGGAGTGGCTGATTGAAGTGGCGCCACATTATTACAAGAAGCAAGATTTGGAGAGCCTGGGTGTGGAAAGGAAAGTACCCAGAGGAGAAGGCAAGGCTCAAAGTAAGATATGACAGAGTGGGAGGTGATGCCAAATGAGACCCAAGATAGAAAAATGTACTTGCCAACGGATGAAAACTGCTTCCTTCCCAAAGACTACCAAGCGACGAAATATCTTCGGCCTCGTCCCCACGCTCTGTGTGACGCTGGGTGGCTGGACAAGGCTTCAGCCTGACAATGGCAGCCTCGTCCCTGCCAAGCCCCACACGTGCCGTCCCGCAAAGCTTCGCGTAGTTTCAGAGCAAACTTTTATTTTGTCCTATTTTTTTTCCCTCCTCCGCCTGAGCCGAGAATAATCGCCATGTAAGTAATCTATCTTCGATCCCGAAAGACATCTTCTGTCCAGCCATGTCGCAAGGCTCAGGACCAGCCCCCCATCCGAGCTGCAAAGTCATCCTCGCAGGCACCATCGCGAAGGGGCTTCTTGCGGAAGTCCAGGCCGGTCTGAAGGAACTCGATCGTAAGCCACATCTGCTCGGGATATTGGCGAACAATGATCCCGCCGCGAGAGTCTATGCAGACTGGACAGAGAAGACGTGCCGTGAGAAGTAAGTTTTTCTTTTGGTCTTCATCCCGGCGCACAAGTCTTGTGCAGCATGGGGGTAGGATATCCAGAGAGGAAACAGTGAAAGAGGCGAGCGCTGGAGGATTGAAACTGGGCTCTTTCCCTTTGTTGTTCTCCGAATGCGTCCTGACATGATTCTTGACAAAGTGGCTTCTCGTACACCCTCCAAGAAGCGGCCAAAGACTCAGTCGAAGAGGTAGTGCTGGCGGCCAACGCTAATCCGGCCTACGACGGCATCATAATATACTACCCCATCTTCAACAATCGCGGCCAAGACCAGTACATCCAGAATATCGTGGCCCTTTCCAAAGACGTGGAGGGGCTCAGTCACCAATACATATTCAACATGTATCAGAACATCCGGTTCTTGGACGAGGCCCAGATGATGAAAAGCATCTTGCCGTGCACTCCGCTGGCGGTGATCAAAATCCTGGAGTACCTGCACATTTACAACACGATCTTGCCCTACGGCAACAGACTGTTCGGCCGCACAATCTGCGTGGTCAATCGCAGCGAAGTCGTCGGCCGTCCGCTCGCCGCTTTGCTCGCCAACGACGGCGCGTGTGTGTATTCCGTCGACGTCACGGGCGTGCAGCAGTTCACCCGTGGCGAAGGCATCCGCAAGCGGAAACACGAGGTGGTGGAGAAGGAAGGGTGGACCATCGAGAATTGTGCTCCCTTGTGCGACGTCGTCGTCACAGGAGTGCCCGGCGACGCCTACAAATTCCCGTGCCACTTGTTGAAGGAAGGGGCTGTGTGTATCAATTTCGCGAGCGACAAGGTAAGCCATTTGCTGGGTTTTTGACCCCCTCCACCCCCCGCTTTGTAACGCTCGAATGTCGTCCTCACGGATCCTGACGCCTTGCAGAACTTCCCTCCCGAGGTCAAAGAAAAGGCGTCCATCTACGTCCCCGCGATCGGCAAAGTCACCATCGTCGTCCTCCTGCGCAACCTGCTGCGTATCGTGCAGAATCGCCAGGCGCACTTGAAGACCGAGCACCAATCCCAGCTTCGGGCCTCGGCCCACGGAAACTCGACGGGAGCAGAGGCCAACACCACCGCCGGAGACGGACAGAAACCGGAAGCGGCACCGAACTGTGTTGCGAGGTAACTAACTCGGTGCGCTAGAGCTTGAACCGTCGTGGTGCGTTCCGCCGATGGCCATCTGCCATCTCAGTGTGGCGATGCGCTGTATCGGGGAAACGACTCGATGTCTCGATGTGCGTTCTCGGAAGCGCACCGCTGTTTTCCAGCTCCAATAATCGGAGAGCAACGTCGATTTCCAAATATTTCCCTCTGCTCTGCATTTCATGGCAGGAGACGATATACCGGGATTTCCAAGTTCATGCATTGAGAAACAGGAGACACACTCGCATCTGTCCGGTTGCTCAAGCGCAAAAGGAACATTGTCTACGAAGGAACGTATACCGCATCTAAGAGTTACAGGCCTCTCCTTCACGAAGGGTGGGAATATCCAAGAATAAAGTGGTGCGCAAGGGAAACTGGTCTTGCCAATCGTCCTTTCAGAATAAGGACCCAAATACTCAGCGTCACATCGATTGCCTTCAGTGATTCTGCCCTTGGATGCGACTGGCTATGCATCATTCGGACCGCCCTAGGTCCTCTTCAAACGATGATATGGCCAATGCGACGACCAGTCGTCAATAGAAGAGTCTACGCGATGAACAATAAACAGAATTACCTTCTAAACATAGCGGTACACACGTTTTCCACTTGGTCCCGTGGATGTTACCAATGTCTAACAGCATCGAAGGGTCATGGACATCGTCATTCGTAAGCAGCTGCTGCATCGCCACGCGCCGTCGACTGGCGCAAGAAAACACGATTAGGGTGACCATGATTCTCCCGTCCGCGAGAAACAGCTTGCAGTCCATCCACCCCTTGGAATTGTTTGCATACCATGCAACTGAAGTATATGATCCAGAATGGACTGGCATTGCGGCATGGACCTGATCCCTGCTTTTGTCACCAGATCGGAAAAGCGGCCTGTAAACCAGCTCTCGCTCTCATCCACCAAGAACCCGGGGCTCGAAGCTGAATGTTCTACCGTCGCGCCAGTCCAAAGAACCCACAGCATGAGTGTGAGCCGTCCAGAGTCAGCTTGTGGTCCCGCTGTGTCCAAAATGGCCGCTCCGTAAACCGTAAGTATTTGTTGAAGTTGGCTCAGCATAATAGGATTCCATGTGAATAGCCTCATGGCCTCCGTCATCCGGATGTTCTCGATACCACCCAGTTCGCGAAGCCAATATATCGCACAAAGGGTCGCAGCAGCGACTTCAAGTTTCTGCAATATGGGAGTCCACATTGTCAAGTGGTTCTCTTGGCACAGTATGCCGGGGACATCGAGATGTGCATAAAGGTTCGTCAATCTCCCAACCGTCAGTATGATTTTTGATACGGCGTACATCCATGTCTGAGAAGTATTCAGCGATATTTGCCTGCGAATTTTCACAATGATGTCGAGCGCTTCTTGAGCATCGAGGAATAGAGCACGGATTTCACCTTGCAGATAGGAATCTAGGTTTTGGTCTGCCTCGGACCTCATTGTCAAAAAGTGCGGCGAGACTTCTTCCCACAACGGGAGAAATTGTTTTTCGGCCCACGCATTCTCACTGAGGTCAACAGAAGTCATTGACAGATTCATGACAGCCACTTGGACTTCGAGGTATATCACACTGATGTAGTGGTGGAAGTTGAAGGATGGATCTGCAAAGACTTCATCCTGGTGCGTCGCGAAGATGTCCTTCAGGACCGTAACATGTTGATAGAAGGCCTGCCTGTCTCCCAAAGAGCTATCGGCGAAGAGGAGGATCAAGAGGGCGCGGTAGAGTCGAGGGATGCTGATGTGAGGAGTAGTGGTCATGTACTCTTTGAGGGCAGCTACCCCCTGGTACCGCAACTTGTGTGCTGTGTCGAGATGCTCTGGGTTCGCCGTGATCATGTACCTGGTGGCGGCGATTCGAGACAGATAGCTATGGTTCGCTATGCTGTCGTACAGATAGGCTTTGCACTCGGCGACCCACGTCTCGGTGAAGGGAGCCTGGCTGGGAACATTCTCTTTCGCCGTCATGCGCAGCTCAAGTTCTCTGAGGGCGGGAACGACACAGTCCCTCTCAAAGTCGAGAAGTGAGTTGGTCGTGGCTGTACGCTGCTCAGGGAGTATATTGGGAGGGTCTGGGCTGTTGTTTAGCAGGACGACGTCGAGCAAAGGCGGTAGGCTGCGAATGGATCTTGACGAGGAAGACGGTTGGGCCGTTTCGGGGGGTCTCTCCTCGCGGATGGCGCGGCTAGGAACCGACTTAAGAGGCTTTAATTGAGGATCAATGGCTTCATGGAACCTGGATGATTCCAGAAGACGACGAGCGTCTTGTCCCTTTTTCCAGCGACGGTAGCCGTGGACATGGCGCGTCACTCTCTGGCGGTGTGGAAGGGTACTCAGGCTCGACGCATCGACATTGACAAAAGAAAAATCTCCTTGGAACATCGGATCAGGGGGCATTATGGCCACAACGCCGAAGACGAGTGAAATAAGGCGCGCAAAAAAGGCGCTCGTTTCCGTGGGACGGTAGAAATAAGTAGGAAGAAGGCAGAGAGAGAGACTGATCTGCAGTCAGAATGCTGCTGTTGGTCCCGAGGCGACTTACCGGAAACAACGGACGCTGTGACCAGCGATTGAAGCGGCGACAGCTTGACCGAAGCTTCACTTCCAGGGAAATGGACTTAGGCACTGACCACGCCTCTTGGGGGGTTCCAGGTAAGTTTTTGCACGTGTGGCAATTTACTTCTCGCAGGTTTCCTGCCACCCCCCCAGATTGGGCATCGCGAGCGCCATGGCTGGCTAATGCCACGCCCGTCCTTGCCACTCCTTTATTTTCTCACAACAGCTGGATGGATTGGAAAGAGAAGGGCGTGGTGGTGGTCCAATCATCAAGACTCCTTCGAAAGAGAAGCCACCAAGCTGATTTGCATATTTTGTGGAGTCCACGGGGACCATCAGGGCAACAGCTTAGTCACCTCTCGCCTACTGGTACTTATAGTCCAGGGACCGCCAGGGGATCTCATGTTCGCGAGCATCTCAGATCTATTTCTTTCTGGAAGCATGGGGACGCCCTTTCGTTGCGTTTCCAGGAATCCCTCCGACTCCTAAAGGTAGGACGTACGATGTGGAAGATGAGGGATTCAACCAAAGTCTGGGTGTTTCGATTGATATTGATTTTGAGGCACCATCAGCAGGCTAGAGTATGGTAAATTGACGTTCAATCACTACTACATGCGAGGCTCCGATAACACCGAAAACCGACATCAACTACTGCCACCAAGAACCAAGTTCCGAAGATTTTCAGGCTAGACCCTCGACCCTGACGCCTATCGTGTGAGGACAGAGATGCAAAGACTACTATCCAAAATCCAAACTCAAGGTAGGTTCAGCAGGTCTTCAAACTCTGGGAGATCAATGGACTCCAATGTAGGCAATCTGTCGAGTTGCGTGCTATCCGACATTCGGCTCTGGCGAAAGACGCTGTGGCGGCCGGCAGAGACAGGCAGTGTGGTGAGAGAAAAAGCATCGAACTGGTCGAACTCCGTGCTAGGGGGCTTTGGAACCCGGAAAATTGGGGGCATGTCTTGTTCAGAGTAAGTCGAGAAGGCTGCAATTTGTGCGTGGAGGTATGCGATGCGTCCTTCCAGCTTCGTCACTATCTGCGCCTGCTGCGAGTATGAGTCGAGCAGCCGCTGATGCTTTTCGCCGAGATTTTCCAAAGTCGACTTCAGACTTTTGAGGTGCTTCTCTTTGCGTTCGCGAAAAGCACGCTGAGAGGCGCGGTTTTGCGCTCGGCGCCGCTGCGAGTCGTGCTCTGTCAGACTTGTGCTTCAACCGTTTCAAACATGGTGCAATCTTCTGTGAGACGCCTCGAACATTCCCAAGTTTGATCTGCTTGGAAAGCATTGCGAGCTGACTTACCATCTTCGTGCTGGACACTGCCGATTGCTCCGAATCTGTGGATGTGGACGTTTTTGGTTGCTCGATGGGCGAGGCTTCGACATCATCGATCAAATTCAATCCATTACTGTCAACAGAGCCATCGATGCCACCAGGGAACATGTTTGGGACATCCATACTGCCGAACTGGTGGAATTCGTCCAGCAACTAAGTCTGACTGTCAACACTGGTTCTCTTCCCCAGCGTGCCCCTGTCAAGCTGCGCGGACTTACATCGAGATTGCCAAACTCCCCCGGATCTACAAGAAAGAGTTCCGACGGTACGAAAGTCGAAAGGGGATCAAGATGTGAGGCGTTCATGACGGCCATTGTTTGGGTTATGAGATCGACTGTCGAACGGCGATGGATCCGCGATCGATGACTTGGCCTGAGAAGATGTGTTTGAAGATCGGAAAGTGATCGAGGATCGAGACACGAGCCTGGCCAGGTCCTGGTCGAGAGTTATGTCTTTACATAAGGTACAGATGCGGATCTGAAGAGGGTCTTTTGTTGGTATGCGGTACTTTGCACGATGCCTCCACCTTGGAATCCCTGAAGAACCTCGTCAAGGGCCCCGTTTGAGACGACGCTAGCTAAGGCTTTGCCCCACCAGCAACTAGTGCTGGCCAATGGCACAGAGGCTTTGCTCTTCCCGATGCGGACTAGCGATATTACATCGCAGTTATAGCGGCATGCCCAGACAAAGTGTTCTGCAGGGCACCAGGCGGGAAAATCAGTGGCTTGCAGGGAGTTATTCCAAATGGCTTTCCCAGTGACGCGAGCATGTCCTGAGCCCTTGCTGCATGGGACTAAAGAGCCCGCTGTGACTCAAAAGCGTAGTAGTCAGCTTCCAGAACATCCTGTGGCTTGCAAGTGCAGCCCAATAAGACCCCCTTGGCCCTCTGATTAATCCTTTGGCCCCAAAGCAAATGATATTCAGGCCCCGAGAAAAGCTGCGGTGTCCCGGATGAGGCACTGCCAAGATGTCGTCCAACCCCGAGCCGGGTCAAGGACACGGTTAATGCCAGAGACATATCAACACGTTGAAACATATTAGCAGACCTGTCCACTTCGAGTAAGGTTTAAGAGAGACTTATCCGCGATAGGAAAGCACAACGTCATGAAAAAGCCACCCCCCCGGGGGCCGGGGGTGCGAGATATACTCCTGCGCAAATATCATGGACAGACGTTATGGTAGTACTCGATCAGCAAAATTGCTACACTGCAATTACGCAAGCCGGACAATGAGCAAGCATCTCGTCGCTTAATAAAGCTGAAACCGCTCTAACTGGGAGGGCCAAATCGGCGGGAAGCCGTCGCTTTCGAGCCATCAAACATGCGAGATATCATCAAATGTGGTTCGATATTAAAATGAGTTCACACAACTTTTTTGGGGGAAGGTCTTGGAAGGCAGCCATGACATTAAGCCGGCCTCGTTCCGCATCGATGATGCTAAAAGCTCGATTTCAGTGTGGATGCGTGCTTAGGAGATGTCCTCGGCATTTCGAAGCATTCGCAAAGCGTCTTCTGGAAACTGGGCCTGCCGCAGACCTAGGCTTTGCTGCTATGTAACTCTTCAAGACATGGAGTCAGCGGCGACACTATTACTTCATGGCGGCACGGAGCACAGTATCATAGGCTACTGGCGCCCTTTTATTGAGGCGGGACGTTGTGGTCTCTCTCTGTCCCAAGACTTAGTAATCTGCTCGTGGAGTGCAGATAGGGTCGGGCCAAGGACAAGATGTAGTTCAGCCTTGTGGGCATTCCCGTCCCTGTGGCAGCGGCAGCGGCAGGAGCAGCAGCAGCAGCAGCATCGACGTCTCTCTTGCAAAAGAATGGACATGTAATTTTTCTCCCGTCAGCAGACCCTGCCCACTTGCAATATCTCCTCGCTCGAACCCCGGACCGTGCCACACACCACCATCAAACCACTCCAGGAGTAAACGAACCGTGTACTGTGGTGGAGTCTCCCTAAGGGTCCGAACAGGCTTGGCAGTAGATACTAGCAGCGTTGGCCAGCGCGGCCAAAACGGACACTTCCATCCACCTACTTGTAGAACACACAGCCACCACCTTCAGACACCGCAAGGGGAACCGCAATTTTCCATCTTGGGAAAATGGGGACGTCCTTGGGGTGGCAGTCAACTTGATACTTTGGATGGTTTTGCCTATGAGACGTCCTAGCTCCCAAGAGCCATTCTCAAAACAGTGCGCCAGAACAGATGTTCGATTGGACGGTGAAGGGGAGGCCGAAATAGGTTTATCGGCACGACCGACCTGGGGTTTGCCAAATGGACGGGTATTATGATATTGAACCCCTTGATCTAGCTTTTTGAACTTGCAGCAGTGAGAGGAAGTGGGTGGCGGAAGACCGCCAGGGCAACGAGTTTGCAATCCGACGGCCAAGTTGCAAGACGTCTACGAGGACCCGTTTAGGCTTCCTGGGAGCCGCTTGCCCGACGGTGAATGTCAGGTTGGGACCATATTCTCTTCTGGGTAATTCTCAGAGAACCCCTCTTTTGTCGTATATTTTCGATCCATCCGAGATAAGCCGTGATTGGGCAGCCTCGTCTCGGGCCCATCGTGTCGCCCACCCGCCAGGGTCTTTACTCAGCGGTGTGTAGTTGGAGGCACCCATTGCTGTTTGTGTCCAAGGACCTTCAGGCACGACAAGCCGATTTCTCAAAAGAATTGGTCGGTCAAGACGGCAACCGAGTAAGCAATTGATAGTATGCCACATGCGGAGCAACGAGAGCTTGAGATGGCCAGGCTGTTGTGCTGCGGCTTTGACAGCACCAAGCGACCAGTCTAGAGCAGCTTTCTATCCGGTAATCACAGGATCCCAGAGCCGAGGTTGGATATAGCGCCATATCTATCGGATTTTCTACTAGATGCAAGGTAAGTCATCTATAAGACGATATCCACGCCTCAAAATGCAAGGTCTGAACCGTCACCGTCGCAGCTCTAAGGACCACTCTGATCCTGTTCCTCTACAAGTCACTGGGGCCTTGGCTCTTATCTCATTCACCCCATTGATGATCGAACATGCGAGTCTTCAACATGGGGTTGATTCCAACTCGAGAAACTGCAACCCCCCAACAGAGCCTTTCTTGTCTTCGGTGTTGTTCTCCCCGGAACTTCAATTCTAACGCGACAATGGTCCCTCACAGCTTGGCCTTCTCGCCGATCGAACCGATCTTCAATTTGGGACCATACTTCTTAAGGACAGATTCATTGTGATACTAGGTGTGCGTCAGCTTCGACTTCTTGTCAATTGTCCTTGAGCCCTGACTTGGCGCATGGGTATCACCACTCGCTCGGAGGGGCGTGTGCTCACCTTCCAGAATTGCTTTGTAGCATCCTTGCCGCCAACTCGTTTCAAAATCTTTGCTCCACCAGGGTGCTCGTCCACAAAGTTGGTCACGTCGTACACAGACCCATCAATGATGATGTACATGCCATCGCTGGCGGTGGCGGTGTGTTTAGCCACATCGGCGGTCGTGAATGTTTTGGACATCTTGAAAATATTATGGAGGAAGTATTTTAGCCAGAGGTATCGGTGGGTTTAGGCGGATGTATGCAATGGCGGTCGAGCTTGTCGCTGACTGGGGAAGTGAGGCGGCGCGTTCGCGGAGCTTGCTTCGACTAGCCTTAAAAGCAACAGCTTCTGATGACTAGGATAAGGCTGCCACTTTGTCCGAGAACGATTTCCGAGGATACCGTTAAAAAAGACAGGTCGTGTGCCGAGTGCGCTCGAGATGCAGGAGGCGGGAGGACGAGGGTATGAGCGGACTCCAGCGGCGAGACAGGCTGCAAATCAATCGACGTTATATACAATCGGGCGGAGGGTGATGCAAGCGTCGTAGATTACTCTATAACAGAGGTCGAAGAAACAAACGTCAAAGATTGATCACCGGCGGGAATATTAATCGATCAGCAGAGACGCAAGCGATGGGAAAAGGTGGGAAAGATGCCGAGGTCCAGTTCCTGGCCGATTCCGACTTTCTCGGCCCGGTCAGCCAAGTTGCCAGCCGTGTCATTGGGCCTGCGCCTTCACCTCCACTACACTACAGCTGAGCACTTCATCATCCACACCATGGAGAGATACATATTACATTCCTGCGATTCGAAAGCTTGAACCTGACACTTTCGCCGTCTGCGAGCCTGCGATCTTCGAGGAGATAATGGAGTGCTGTACGCCAAAGGCAGAAGGTCGCAATTGAGTGCCGGCCGAGGTCACCATCGACCGTTCTTAGCATTGCAAGATATCCTCGCAGGCCTTTCCCTCGAACTTCTGATAAAATCGGCCTGTCTGCCCGTGGGAAGCTGCTCTGGTTGTATGAATAATAGGCTTTCATATCATCGCTCGGAACCTTCGTCGACCACAAGTTATGGTAGAATGCATCAAAAGCAAGGACCATGCGATCTTCTTGCCCATCCTCCGGTAGCTGTTTTTCCAGTCTAGAGGTCCATTGTCTTTTAGGAAGGGTCAGTGAGCGTGGCTGGTAGCGACGTCCGAGGTGAGTCAAGGCTAACGTCGCTCTGATTCCATTGCTTTGCTTCCATTTCGTTTCTGGCTTGATCAGATTCGACCTCATCAATGACGAAACGCTGAGCAATCTCCACCTTGTGTTCAGAAAACAGCCCCTACTTTCTGGATCAATCGCCTTGAGACTAAGATCAACGGGAAGCTCTTCTGGCAACAGATCCTGGACATGGTAGGGAACTGATATATTTCAACGCTACGGACAACAATACTGCATATACTGGTCAGGATAGGCTCACTGCCATGATGTACCATCGCTCAACGCCCTGGCACTGATACAGATCGAGATTCATTGCAGGTTTGACACGTCAGTTCCCCGAATGTCTGCCTTGGTCAAAACTTCGCAATAACTCCTTACCTGGACTGATGCATTGCGCTCGCTCTTAGCCCAGGAGGTCCGCACTTGGGGTCCGGTCATTTCCTAAAGGTTGTGGACTGATTGCTGGCCAGACTGCGCCTTGAAAAGCCTTACGAAAATTGTCCGAGGAAGAACAATGGGGAGATTTCTCCACCATTCCCAACAATGGTGCAAGAGGCAGCAGCAATCTGAACACCGATACGTCAATCGGCGATCTACTCAAGTACTATGGACAGCCGCCCGATATGCCTGCTCACAGAGCGCTGGCGGCAAGTGGGAGATCAACGAGAGGCCTAGCGCTGCTCAGGGAAGCAAAAGCCAAGGTGCAGAGGAATGCTGGGCGGGTGGGAACAATTGAGGGGGCATTATGGCGAGTGGGCGGATTGAGTATAGTACAATACTATCAGCCTTACGGGATACCCTTGATCTGGCACGAACCATAGGTATGCGCACTATAGGTGGTTGTGGTTAGTTGCATGTGAGAAAGTCTAGTTTTTGGCCCTGCAGTTGTTCGAACCGGTAGATGTGGCCCGCGGGAGAAACGATGAGCAAAGACATATGAGCAACAATCGTACGCTTTGTCAGACAGACAGCCCGCTGGAAGAATCTGCTCTTCGCCCGCAAAATAAACGACGGCCATGGGGGCTGCGGGTTCAATGAGGGCGAAGCCGCTAATAAATAATATCATCTCGGAGGTCTCGTTTTTAAATTCGACAAGGCCCAAACAGCCTTGCTTAGGTGGACGCCGACGAGAGCAAAAGAACCAATCATGCAGCATGGACAGCAGCCTTGCAGCTCGAGATTTTCCACTAGTCCCGTGTAGGCATTCGCACCATCTCCATTAGGAAAAGGCCGTGAGATGGGGTCCAAGTGGGCGAATATTCCGTTTTGAAGTATAAACAGCGACAGAGGATAGAGCTCTCTCTGCTGGAAACATCCGCACATCTTTTCCAGACAAAGAGAACCTCTTCTTGTGTTGAGGTGATCCTTTTCGAGTTGAAAGACTTAAAAACCAGCGATAAGACGATGGCGTTTGGTGGTGAATGGTTAGCAGAAACGGCGGCATGCTCATCCCTGGTACGTGAAGTGTCGAGCTCCCGATGTTGCTGTTATAGCGCTTCGCTGACGCCTCTACTCATAGACTATGGAAGAGGAAACCCTGAATTACGGATACATGGATCTCAGTCTCTACCACCTGGGACCAACCACGACGTCAATTCCATATGTCACAGAAGCGGGCGCCGCAACCATCTATGAGACGGGGAGTAGTGGATCGTGCGCGACCAGTCCTGCGGAAGGCGACATGAAGATGTCGAAGCCGCGGAGACGAAAAGCCCGCATGACCGAGGTCGACGCAGAAACGCAATCGGTAAGCAAGCCTCGTCCTCCAATGCGCACGCCGCAGACCCGTTTAGAGAAGCCCCCCCATCTGATCGCCGTCTCAAGCGTCGTCGAGCACAGAACAGAGAGTCCCAGCAAGCCTACCGACATCGCAGGGAGGACTATATCCACAGCCTCCGGAGCCAGATCGTCGATCTGCACCTGCGCCATCGGGACCTCTGGCAGTCGTACTACTCGCAGGACAGGAGACTGAGCCTCCTCAGGGAAGTGGCCGCCGATCTCACCATGGAGGTCACTGTCCTACGAAGAGGCCAGTCACAGAGTCAGCTGCGCCACCACCAGCAATCAACTCCAGATCAACCAGTCTGCCTGGGCGACAAGGGCGATGGCACCCCGATCTCGCCTGACTTGATCTATCCGGGGTCTGGCTCAACTTATGTCGAGAGTAGCGGCACGGTCTTCTCGCCACGGAGTGAGGGTTGGGAAGAATGGCTGCCACGGTCAGAGCCGACGTACTCGGTTAGTCACAGGTTCGAGGACATAGACCTGCCGTAAAAGCCACAGCATCAAGTCAAGGGTGCCGCGCAATATGTATGTAGGCGGCGCCACAGCTTATGCTTGACCCGACGACCGCCGCTGATCCCAATGATGTGTTATCCTGCGGCTCGCTGAAGTGGCCGTCCGCAGGCATGCCAGTGCAGAATGCAGCCGGTGTAGATGAGATTCAAAGTGGCGGAGGCAGCATGTCACTCATTTGCGGCCTGGGTCAGAGCGAAGGATTCTTCGTCTTTAGACAGTCGCATCAAGTCCCATTCTGTTCGACCTACCACCTAGCCTCTAAGCAGCACACTCAGACGAGAGTATCGCGTCAAGAAAGCAGACGTACAGTATACAAATGCAGGAGAAAATAGTTCGTGGCACATTGACGTGCGAGTCCCCCCAGTCGGCCCTTGCTTGCTAATCAAAAGCCGTCTGTGATCGTATCTCAAAAGTCTCTTAGCTTCATCAGCGTCGTATACAGCGTCATAAGACACGGTTCGAAGGAGAGTCGAGGTCTAAAGCCTTCGGGAACGCAGCTCCGTGGTATCGCTCTTATGGTATGTGCGCTGGCCAATAGGAAAGCAACGATTGAGTATGAGGCCCACAATGAAACAGTGTATGTACTCCAATCAATCCCAATATTACCTCTTACGAAGAGCAAGTAAATTGCGCGGCAGGACTCCCAAAATTGCTATTTGAAGTCCTGCAGGAATGGTGTCATGGTATCTTTGCCGCGGCGGTGTCACCATAGACGAATCCCTCCCCAAGATAAATGGTTGCACCTCCGCCATACCACAACGTGCCATTCCGGAAGTCGAGACCTTTCTCCTCGCCCACCACCCATTCGCCTCCAGGCCTGATCAAGTGCCCTTCTTGGGGCCAATATTCTGCTTCAAGCCACTTGTTGATCATTTCGAGCTCATTGATCCAGTGTCTCCGCTTCTTGATGTCAAGGGTCGCGGTCTCGTCCAGCGGATCCCCGCCAAACACATTGGGAGAGTTAAACCTGGCGATAGTAAGATGGGCCGAAGGCACAACATATCTAGAGCCAACTTGAATTCCTGATTCTGTAATGGTAGCATAAGTATCGCGCCGCAAATGGTGATATGTGTATCGGTCATCATCAGCCGTCCGACCATTTGAAGGCGACTCTCCGGCAGCGGGCAGAAAGCTCAGCGCAAGAGCCGCCGAGTCGTAGCTTAGAAGAGGTTTGATGAGCCTAGCTCTATACGAGGACGTGTGATCAGCGATGGTTTTGCAGTGATCTTTGAGCGTATTCATTAGGCCAGTAATCTCATCTTCGGTCTTGGAGTGTGCGACTTCCATCACCGTCATATGTAGATTGTCAAGCGGCATAAGCCAGAGGTCTGTATAGTGAGCCGCAGGGAATCCTCCAAGGGGCGGAGCCATACCTGGGGCAGCGTCCTTTAGCTTGGACTGTATGACATCTACCAATGTCTTGACTCTCTGAGGTGGTCGTCCCCAAAAGACGAGACAATGCCGAGGGTCTATGTATGATATGTCCTTCCGGGGTCCATCAAGCTTGACAAGGTGCTCGTCGAGGATCCAGCCTTTGAAGTCATCGCTGAGAATCTTCTCTCGTTGTTGCGCATTCCGCGTTGTTCGATGTGTAGAGTACCGTTCTTGAATGAGCTTCTGAGGCCATGCATTAGATAAAATCACAGCACAGAGTAGCGGGTTCGGCTGACAGGGTCACCATGGCTCGCATTGATCAGGCCGTCGAAAGGGTTTGCAGTGACAGGAGTGGATGTTCCAGACAGATCTTCAAAGTCAACTTTGGCCATGGCTGCCTCCTACCACCGCTTCTACGGTCGGCCTGACCTAGATGGAGGGTTGAAGACGAGGTTGAAGTGCAACCCAGTTGTGACGCGTCGTGGGGAGATGGTGTTTCGGAAAAACGTAAATCCCCCATATGCCTGACTAAGCAGATATTCTTCGGGAAACCTGCCCTAAGTTTCGGCTACCGCACATTTTCGCAATGTGCGTCTTGGCATCTAGCGGCGGGTTGCGCTCAATCCTCGACATCCCCGTCGACAAATTCAGTCTGCAATAACCACCGAACCTTGCTCAAAGATTTGCGGCCAGTCACTCAGTCAAGATGGTGAGTAGCCCTTCTATCCTACCTTCGCGATGTGCTCCGCCATACTTCCCTGGGACGATGCACGCCTCCCGGCAGGCGACCGATGAGACAAACGATAAAGAGATGGGCCACAATGCGAGCAGAGATGGAACAGCGAGCCGGATCGCCTACTACATAGACTCGAATTGGGCATCTGGAAGATCTATCGTCCAGGTCTCGGCCGGCCTGTTGGGATGGTACAATTTGAGGGGTTTTGGATACGGCTTTTTTGATCAAACTTCGAATCCTCAAGCGTTCTGGAAATGCTAACTGGTGTCTCTTCTCCCATCAGGTCAACGTTCCCAAGACCCGCCGCACCTACTGCAAGGGCAAGACCTGCAAGAAGCACACTCAACACAAAGTCACACAATACAAGGCCGGCAAAGTACGATTCCCCCCCCCTCAGAACCAATTTGTGCATAACGGCATTTGGTGAAGTGGACACTGACAAGCCGCTGGATTAGGCCTCGCTATTCGCGCAAGGAAAGCGTCGATATGACCGCAAGCAGTCCGGTTACGGTGGTCAAACGAAGCCCGTGTTCCACAAGAAGGCCAAGACAACCAAGAAGGTGGTGCTGAGATTGGAGTGCACAGTATGCAAGACCAAGGCACAATTATCGTTGAAGCGATGCAAGCACTTCGAGTTGGGGTATACTACAATCTTTGTCTCGAAAATGAGAGGGCCGAGGCTGACAATTTTTCTGCAGTGGTGACAAGAAGACGAAGGGTGCGGCTCTTGTGTTCTAGACATGGTGGAGATTTTGCGGTGCTCCAGTGGGATGGCGAAATACGAGGCACAAGTGCGATCCAATCTCAAAGATTCATCTCGGGAAGTCAGAGATCACAATGGAACTCGGTTGATGGGAATGAGATGGTGAAACAACCACCCGGTCCGGCAACATGTGAAATACTCGCATGCATTTCAATCTGTCACCTGGGGGTCACGAGAGACTGGCGCTCTGAGCGAGCAGCCTGCATTCTGATGACCAGCGTCCGCAATTGAATGTTACTGTCCGTCCTGCTTTTGCACATATTCGAGTTCAGTTGCTACATCTGTTTCCAGCCCACAGATTTGACCTCGTCCCTTTCAGCCCTCCAATCCTGTCCTCCCAGAGAGTGCGATTACAGGTGTCTATATTCCTTCCAAGGATAATCATGTCGGTGTTGCCATGATGTTGGAGCGGTATCATGCCCCTCCCAGAGAAGGAAATCAACGGGAGAAAGGTGTCTCGTTCTTTCGTAGGCGACCACTAAACCTAGACTCTTCAAGGCAGGGCGTCGGGTGACCAAAGAAGGGAGACTTGGGTCCTCCTTTGTCGTCACTCGAACCCCCAACCACAACTAGGAGGCCCGGCCCTTCGAACGGAAAAGTCGGCACAGTGGAATACGTCCCTCCCAAATACGAAGCCAGATGCGACGAGCGTGATTTTGGTGGTCGCCTGTAAACTTTCCCCCAAGTTGCAAACAAACATATTGGCTGACCCCGCGAAAACAGGCTCCCTAGGCTCCGCTTATAGGTACAGTAGTCACTTGTGGTTGATAATAGGAGGACCCGAGGCCACCAAATAATGGGCGGGTTGCAACAAAGGACAGATGGCGCACCCCACGGCGAACCACCCTGCCTCGCTTTGGGTATGCGCCAACGTCTCCCCGCTCCTGGTGCCCTCACTGCTGCTTGCTGATCAGAAGGACGATTCTATTAATATCAATTCACTCACAGGTACCTGATCAGCATCAGCGGTCGTTCTGGAATTCAACGAACGAAAACAGACCAGCTCTAGTTACACACGCCAGGCAGGAACACAGGGAGCGACGCGGTCGTCCACGTTAATAAGTTTCATCCTACTCACCACCCGCTCACCTTCACACATCCTTCCCTCAGACATCTCCCAAAAAAATACAGGAAGATTGGAAAGTCGGGTCACACCACTGCAGGTTCTATCGATTCAACGAGCAAAATCCCTTAGACTCACTGCTCGAGCCTCACCCACCGTCCAGACCAGCAACATTCCCTCTAGCCTACCAAGACAACCATCGAGGTATCCCCCAGCCTGAATCCTCGCCTACCGGGGTCGAAGCTCTTGGTTGGTCCCGGACGAGAACAGAGTCGTTGTTTGTATCATCCCAACTCTCACACCCAAACCTCAAAAAAATCTCTCACCCCTTCCTGCCAACCCATCCGACACCCATATTCTCCCCCCCCCCCCCCCCCAAAAACGAGGAAAAATGCCAACTATATTCACCAACGAGTATTCGCGCGGGCCGCTGTACCAGTACTGGAAGGAGCGGAACCAGGAGGAGAAGGCGCTGCGCGAGCAGCGCATCGAGGAGGCCAAGCTCCGCTCCAAGGGCTTCCGCCCCATGGAGCCGGCGTTTGGGCCGAGCAGCACGGACTCGTACGCCCACCGAGCCGCGAGCGGGCCCCCTGCTTACCATCCCGACACCGGCGCCGGCGCGGAGGGAGTCGAGGGCTCGTCGTTGCGACAACAACAACCACAACGAGAATCCGCTGGCGGCGGCGACGAGTTGCCCTCGTACGGCGCATCGACGGGAGGGGCCGCGGCAGAGAGGGGGGCCGACGAACCTCCATCGCTCCTCTCCGCCGAGGAGGAAAAGGCCCGCCTGCGCCAGCTCGAGGAACAGCGGCGCCAGATCCAGTCGGACTCGGCCCTCGCCCAGACCCTCTCTGCCGAGGAGGAGGACCCCGACGAAGCCGCCCAGGCGGGCAAGGGCAAGCAGCCAGAACGGCGCAAGAGCACGGCGGGCAAGATCGGGCGCTGGCTGGCCGACGCCGCGAGCGGGTATACCAAGAAGCAGGAACGGTGGTGAACCAACACGAAGCCGCTTGAGCGAGCCAACCTCCTTTTCCTTTTCAGATCTCGGAGCGAGTCTCGCAGTGCTTTTCAACTTGCGGATTTCGGCTCTCTTCTGTTTTTTTTTAATTCTTGGGTGTTGGAGCAGGGGGGCCCGCATGGACGGGGGAGCCGAGCACGGGGCGAAGTGTTGTTACGTTAGTTCCTGCCCTAATTCAGTTCCATGCATGAAAAACAAAATGACCACAATGAGACACACGCATCCAAGGTACAATGCATATCGTCCCGGAAATGAGACGCTCCACCTAGGTAGCAACGAACCACCTGTAACCCAAATCACGCCTGGGTCTGAACGGTCGGTCATCGTCTGTTTGAAGAAAGGGGGAAGAAATCTCGATTGCGAAATGACTTGAGCAAGAAGATATCTAAAACCAAAACCCAGACCCGAGGACAATCATAAGTCGTGAGAGACTGGCTGGCATGAGCATAAAGTCCAAGTCCTGTCTGCCCAAATCCCTTTGATATTCATCACCGTAGCTGCAAGTGTCGTTTTCATCGGATTATATTTCATCATAGACATTCGTAATCATGATTGAGAAATTTCCACGCTTCAGTGGTCGTCATCAGTCCATGATCCAGTCAAGACAGCCAAAACTCCCAAAGCCTCCTCTTCATAAAACCAACGAGATTCGTTATGTGTCTGTTTACCATGTTTCTTTCTAAATGCTCAACGAGGGCTCTGCCATAAGAGGTCTTGGTAGTTCATCTGCTTCGCTTCCTCCTGCCGTCCGGCCCGAACAACCCATCCAAGAAATTGCCAAACACCTTGCCAGCTGCTCCTTTTCCTGCAAGGATTTCATTGAGGCGGTCCGCAAGAGGGTCGTCGCCAGGCTCCGGCTTCTTCCGTCCCTTGTCGTCGAAGCGGGGCGGTAGCTCGATCGTGGCATCGGAGTCAGTGGGACTTGTCACGCGTTCGAGTCCCGGGCCTCGGGAACCTGAACTGGGTTCTCCACGAGATGAGCTTGGCTCATGGGAGCGACGACGTCGGTGATGCTGCCGCGCCTCTCCAGTATCGCCCGAGTCTGGATAAAGCGATCGAGATGAGTGGTCTCGGCTTCTTCGGCGTTGGTCATCTGGGGTAGAATCCGTGTCATCTTCCGCTTCGTAGCCGCGAGAGTGTGAATGCTTGTGTCTGTGACGGTGGCGTTCGGGACTTGATGCTTCGGACTCTATCGGTGCGGCATCAGAAACCTCCGGGGTCTCGACGAATTGAACGCTTTTTCGGCTAGACGGAGGCGGCTGAGATTGAGAACGTGGAGGAGAAACACCTCGTCCGGTGGGGGGAGGATATGTTTCCTGGCGCGGAGGATTGGCAGCTGGAGGCGGGGGAATAGGTGGATCGTAGGAAGGGGCTTGTGTACCATAGGACGGCGGAGGCGGAGCCGGCGCAGAACGATTTAAACCTGATTTCCCAAATTGTTAGTCAGGAGAAACAGCTTTGTCTAAACGTGGAACGAGATCAAAAGGTACATAGCTATGACATACCATCTGGGACATGGTTCTGGTCATTACTGGGAACAGTAGGTGCAAAAGGATTGCCAAATGTAGGATTCGGCTCAGCACTCACATTTTCAGGACCACGTGGTGCGTAAGGGTTCGCACCAGAAGCATACGCTTCGTATGGTTGAGCAGGAGCCGGCGGAGCACCGGGAGGCGGCGGCGGGGGAGGGTAGTTCTGCGGAGGATACGGGGCAGCACCAGTTGGGGCAGTAGCAGGGCCAGCTTGAGGAGGGTATTGTTGAGGTACAGCTCCCGGTGGAGGCGGGAATTGACTGGTTTGAGGGTAGAACCCTTGTTGAGTTGCGTACGGGTCGTTGACGGGAGCAGGCGGTGGCGGTGTCGGGGCAAATTGTCCTCCAGGGTGGTAGTTGTCCTCGTAAGGATCGCGACCATATCCTTCCTCTTCTCGTCCTGAGCCGTGTCAGCACCTCACATACCTCGGGGTTAAATCACTTACGTTTTCGCGCGCGGCGTTCACGTCTCTCTTGCTTCCTTTTCTCATATTCGGTGGCGCCAATTGCTCCTGCGGCGGCAGCTGCTGTCATCTTTGCGGCATCTCGCGAATGCCTGCGTCTGCTCCGGTCTGGAGAGGAACTAGAACTGCGGGACGATCTTCGACCACCTCGTTCGCGACTCAAACTCCGGCTTCTGCTTCTGGTCCCGCGTTGGGCGCCGTAACCTGCTGCTGGACCTGTGGCAGCCGGCACGACAGCGTTCGAGTAGTAACCATCCGGCGGCGGCGGTCTCCCGTAGTAATCTGCGCCGTAATTGTTGCCATACATTGGCGCGTTTCCGTATTCGATTAGCCCAGGATCATTGACTGCACCCTGGCCTGGCCCGTCGTAGTATGCATGCTCAGACCTGGCCCTGCTTCTGGACCTGGAGCGAGCACGACGCCGGTCGTCCGCGATCTCTTCAGCTTCCTTCTTGGCTTTGTGTTTCTCATATAACCCGGCGACCGCAGCACTGCCCAACCCAGCAGCAACAACGGGGAGTGCCTGTCTAATACGGCTGCGAGAGCGCTCCTTGCCATCCCTAGCCCTGGACTTGCTTCTAGCATGTTCAATCAAGGCTGCAACGATAGCGCCACCGGCACCGGCCTTTGCAATCGTGTTCCTTCGATGCTTGGGATTGCGCGCATCGTCGGACGGCGCATCTGGATCATCTTCAAGGCTTGAAACAGACTCCTTCCGGCGTCGAGAGCGAGAGCGACTGCGAGAACGGCCACGATCGCCCTCGTCTTTGGACTTGTTCATGCGCTTGGACGCAATAGTTGCGGCAGCTGCAAGTGCGGCAGCGCCAAGACCAACCGCTCCAAGAGTCTTCAGTTTCGATGGAGACGAGGAACGAGACCTGCTGCGGTGTCGGGAACCGGATCGGGAGCGGTGTCGGCTTCGGCTACGGTGCATTGACCTTGCACGGTGGATGCCTTCGGCGGCAAGAGCGCCTAGAGCGCCAGCCCCAATATCACGCCCGACACGGCCGACACCGTGGGACACGTCGCGACCTTCCTTTTTGCTGTGGTTTCGGAGAAGCTCTGCGGCACCGACGCCAGCGAGGACGCCGGCGGCAAGGCCCCGTTTACGCTCAGGGCCAGGGCTTTCCTCGCGGACCTCTTTGCGAACATAGACCATGCTGTCATCACTGCTGTAATCGCGGCCTCTTTGGGACACCGAATCATGAGGACTCACGGAGCGCCGTCGACTCCGGCGCTCATAGTAGTCATCGTCATCGCGGCGGTCGTCAATGCGCTCTCTAACTTTCTTCTCGTAGAAAAAGTCCTCTTCTCCGCGAGGCGAACGAGGCGGCGGGTCTCTTCGGACAATGCTGCGTTCTTCGTCGATGTCCGATTTGCGGACAATTTGATAGTCATCGTCTCGGACCCTCTCTCGAATAATGATGGGTTCTTGACGAATGATGATGGTTTGTGGAGGTGGTGGAGGAGCGAAGTAGTCGGTGGTGCGGGTGTATCGTTGAACATCACGATCGTCATAGCCGCGCGGTGAAAGCATCTCGTAGTCGTCTCGGAAGCGGGTGTCGACGACTTTGCGGTCGTCGTAGCGGGTCACCTCGAAATCATCTCGACGAGGGTCCTCACGCTCAGTTGTGCGTCTGATAACGAGTTCCCTCTCTGCGACTGGTTCTTCCCGTCTGGTCTCGTAGGCATAATCTCTCCGAGGCTCATCATCTCTCTCGCGCTTGATGACCAATTCACGCTCAGTGTAGCGGGGTTCTTCACGGCGCACGGGCTCGTCGATCTCACGACGAACGATCCGGGTCTCCTCAACCCTTTCACCTGCGCGTTCGGGGACAAACCGCCGGTCCCGGCTCACAGAGGAGCGGCTGTCATCTTCTTTCACCACATAGCGCTTCACCGTCGTGTATCCGCCATCACGACGAGCTGACGAGACCGATGTTCGGGAGTCGTCGAACCTCTCGCGATACACGGAGCCCATTTTTGGGCTTGGAGTGAAAGCAGCGAGGGTCGCAGCAGTCGAAATGAATCAGGTGCAGTCAGGAGGGGTTCTCACATGCACGGTTTGTCAGATCCGCGCGGGGAAGAACGAGGACGGTTTTGCGTGAGGGAATTCACCCGTATTCTCGAAGTCGAAAATGGTGTCTAGAGGTGAAGAGGAAGAGGTGAGACAGATGCGAGAGGCAGAGATGGAAGACAAGAAGAGGATGAGCGGTCGAGTTGAGCTGGCAGCAGGTGACAATTCACAACGGCGCTGGAAGGATCAGATGGTGCATGCAACCGGGGCGGCGGACGGTCGAAACGGGAGATGGACGAGCCGAACCTCCCAAGGTTGTGCGCGTGTCCAGATTTATCTTGTCCCCCTTTTTCGGCGGGCGCTGATCTGGGCTCTGTGGGAAAGTGAGGCCGACTGCGCCAGAAAGCCGGAGAGTTTTGAACAATATGGGCTGAACGGGTGTGCAAAAGCAGGCTTGGGCAGCCGTAACGGTCATGCACCAGGTGGACTGGGGGGGTTGAGCGGCGAATAGCGAGAGGGGTGGCGGGAGTGATGGAGGGAGAGAGGGGTGGGTGAAGGGGACGAAAGAGAGGGACGAGGAGGAGTGGAAGGTCGAAGAAGCACGAAACAGGCCTGGAGGCACTCAACCAGAATGAAGCAGCAGCCAACCAGCCTCTGCAGCACGAGGCCCGTTGAGAGAAATATGAGACCAAGGGGACCAACTCACCAAGTCAGAGGCTGCGTGACGTACATTGCATGTTGGCCCCCATTGCGCCCTCGGTGCCCCGCCGTGCCCGCCTAGCAGCCGCCCTGTTGTTTGTCATGGTTGTCCGGTGTGACGCTCGCCTGCTGCACTTTGCCCAGAGGTAACCGACTGTCTGACACAATCTGACGTTCTCGGACACAACTCCTGGTACGGCACTGGGCACCGGGCACCTGCCACGCCTACGCTGTTTTGGGGCAACTCGTACCTTGTAATGACAAATGCCAGACCACGACATTTAGATGGTGAGGGTCATCAGCCTCCTCCCCTGCGTTCACACAAGGCGCAGGGCTTTGAAGCTCAGTTCCGAGCCATGTATTGCAGCCTGACTTCTCTGAAGACGAAAACAACACGGCTGCGGCCCAACCAGCAATGCGAAACCGGTCAAACCGAGGAAAAAAGTACCAGACATATTCTATTGGAACTTTTGATTTGGGCTTGTGGATGCCCCCATCCGCTGAGGTTTGACGGCACTAAATGCCATATATAAAAAAGAAAAGAGGCCGTCACCAAGGAAAGCTACATGCAACTGACGGTTGCGCTGACACAAGGCTGACTGCCTTATTCCACCCGGTTTTCCATTTCCCTTCACGCACATGCGATGGTGCGCTTGCTTTCTTCGCCTGTTTCTTCGCCGACCATTGTATAGCCAAGTATAAGCTTGCAATCCCAATGCTTTTCTCTTTTCCGGACACGGTCCTTTGGGTATCTCGGTCGTTAAGTGGCCCCCTGATAGGCGGGTCTTGTTCATGCACAAATGAAATTCGTCCCAATCATAACTCCCAAGATTGTTCTCAAAACAGCTTAACCCTTGGGTTCACTCGGAGATCCTTCGGGGGCGTCTCCAGATTTATCGTCGTTGGGTAACACCTTGACCCGGCTACCAATCTTGGCAGACCTCGTTTTCGAGCTCAACGGGAGCTGATACTTGATCACGCCTCTAACAATAAGATCAAACGGGTGTTGCAGCACTCTCTCCCAACGCGCACTGCCCCCGACTTCCGTCTTGTTGCCGGGTCTCGCAAGCCGGATCTCACCAACAGAAGAAGTGTGACTGTGTCGGAGTGGCGACGCATCAAACACTAACGGCGAATCGAAGACAAGAACTCTTCCAAGCAACATTTTCTGGGTTCCTGGCTCAGGGTCGTCGATCGGGTCGGTGCCCTCATCGACCCCATCGTCAGAATGCCACGGCGGCCAGTCGAATCCTAGGGCGTTGGGACCCTCGCGCTTGACCCACCGAAGCGCTCTCCTTTGGCCGGGCCCGTCCCAATTGGATGTGGAGCCCACATAAGGGCTCTCGGCAAACAGGTTGACATCCAGGTCATTCACTGTGATCGGGAAAAGATTCGTGTTGAGTGCCAGCACGTCCAGGTCGAGCATAAGCTCCTGCTCCGATGCAAGCACGTTTTGAATATGCTTGATCGAAACATCCATCAGCGGCCGGTTCAGGGCCATCACAAACGTCGTAATGCCAACACAGATCAGAAGAATAACGAGTCCAAGGAGAATGCAACCACTGTATCTGCCACACCAACTGCGGTCCTGGACGTCGTTGTATTCGAGGTGCCGAAGGCTCATGCTATGAGGGCGACGGCTGTGTCTTGTGCGATTAACCCGGACCGATCCAAGTAACGGCGCCCTCTCATCGTCGGCGACAGCATCCTCATAGGAATCAAAGGGCTCTCCTTTTCGCGGGGTGCCCTGGAGCCGTCCGTTAGAGGTCCGCGGGCTGTTAGGCCGAGAAAACCGTGAGGGATTATTCGTTGTCGAACGAGAGGAGTTTGTCTTGCTTGCTTGAGTGAAAGGTGACTCCGTATCCAGGATCGAGGTGTGGTGAGGTCGTCCATGCCGACTGATGTGATGATGACGAGGTGTCGAACTCGAGTTGCGTTGGCTTCCTCGTCCTTCTGGCCCAGACTCGCCATCCAAGTGGTTGTTGTAGGTGCTGCTCGAAAACTTCATACTCTTCTTTCCAGTTATTGCCTGACTGCCGGCGCGGAGGCCATGTTTGTTGCGATTCCCGAACTGTTCTTGGCTGGCGAGGGACGTGGCACTGGGCGTTCGAGAGTGATGTCGTGCGGGTCTGCTGTCTGGTGGATTCGACTCGTAGACGAAAGTCTCATCCGAATCGGAGGAATCAGCTTCGTCCACCGCGCTGGCGACCTTGGCCTCGAACAGGTCGGCTTTGGAGGTGACTGTGCCAGCATGGAGCGAGGGAGTCTTGCGGGATTTTCTTTTCTCCTTTTTCGGCCGAATAGTTTCATTGCTCGGTTTGGTCCTTACACTACCGTTACCATCCCTGCCCGAAGCACCTCGGTCAGGACCCAGCAATTGAGGCATCGAGGTAACGGTCTCCGTCTCCACGGTCATGGTTCGTGGAGGATCGCCAGTAGGTTTGGGTTTGCTCGCCGTAAGACTGGTGAAAGAGCGTTTTGCCAAATCTGAAGCCGGTCGGGAATTACTTGGGGCTCTTGACCTCCGACCACTTTCTGTTTTGGCGGCGGTGGCTTTTGGAGGGCCATCTCCCCCACTACCTTCCCCTTCTTTGGCGGGCGGTGGTTCAGGCCGCGACTCCAGCCGCTGGTCAAGAGATGCTACATCCATCTTCTGCTCCAACGGCGAAGTCGAAATCGGACCGATTGCAGGAGTCGTGGGGGCGCTGTTTTCTGCCACCGTTTCGAGGGTAGTACTTGGGCCTCGGCCTGATACTCTCGAGTTAGAATGGGGACCGGGTTGTTCATGAGTGTCAGGTATCTGCATGGCGGCGGCTTGGTCAGGGTTAGATGCAGGTGCCAGTCTTTTCAGCGAAGTGTTTGACGGCGTCTGGTCTGAATCGCTCCGCTTTGCCGACGGTGTCCTTGCGCCAGTCTTCGAAGGAGGAGGAGACTTCAGCCGCGGCGACGTGGGCCACGATGGCGGATTTGGACCTGTTTTCATTTGTCGTTCTGAGGGCCGGCCGGCCTCAATCACTGAATCAACACTGGGAGGTTGTAAAATAGGCCTTTGGGCAGACAAGGCTCGTTGAACGGCAGCCGCTGAAGGCACGGTTGATAGGGATCCCGCTATACCACTATTACGTGTCGGACTGAATTCCTGGCTGCCCTTGCGCGACCGCGAGAGCTGAGGGATGCTAGACACACTGCGAGAATTGCGCGCCGGAGACGTCTCACGAGATGTTTTCGATTGGTCAGGTTGACCAGGTCCCAACGCCGGAATGTTATCTGACGACGGCTCTGACATGATTCGACGAATGTATCTGTTTTTCTATGCCGTTGCTCCTCCCCAAACTGCGACGTTCCGGAAGGGTCTACTCGACGAGTCGAGTCTGTGAGACCATCGCGGCAAAGGCGCCCAGAATCGGAAAAGGGTGAATCGATGGGGAAGGCCCGTTGGTAAAGGGTGACGGCTTTCGCAGAGGCGTAAGAATGCGTGGAGGAATCAACGAGGGAAAGGATGTCAAAGTGAGTGGATCGTATGATGGTCGTTCAACGGCTATACTGGGCGATTCATTGGGGAAGAACTGGAAGAGAAGAAACCCGAGCAGACGGTCCTGGGGTGGTTGAGCAGGACTGCTGACGGAGAACAACAGCGAATCGAGTCGGGATTCGGAGGCAACGGCGAAATGGCGAGGCGGGTTTGATGGGGAAATAGATTGCGTGAGGTTCTAAGAGTTGAGAGGATGTAAATGGTGGTTAGAAACAGGGGAAAGAAAGAATAATGGGGATCGCAGGTGGACGGGATGGACCAACAGCAACGTAATGGTAAATGGGCAAATGGCGGATGGGAAAGGGAACGGGGAAGCGGTTACGAGTGGACTCGCATCTGCACAGCGTCATCTTTGGGCTTTGCTCCTTGGATGCAGCCCGCGCCCGCCGTTGTTCAGATGTGGCTGCAATTGGTGGCTGGACCCCCATCCGCACAGCTTTAGGCTTGTTCTAGGCTGCCTCCGGCTGCTGCACGGCTCTTCTTCAACGTGGCATTTTCTGCTGGCGAGCCTGGCTGAGTGCCTCCCGCTGCAGCCTGAGCCCTAGCGAAGGCTTGGGATTTCCCACTCTCGCACTCACCATCATCCTCACTGCTACCGTTGTTCCCCAGCACCACACCATCAGCCTCTCTGGCAGTCTTTGGTCCAACCACATCCCCCGATCCTCAGCTGGCACCCACCGCCTCCACGGACCTGGCCTCCGGTACCTGTTGTCCCTGGCCTGCTGATTCCCACGGTCGCTTAAACACGTTTCGCTGACAGAAAAATTCCGACAGGCAACACACCGTCGATCTAACCTGCCACTATGGCTTCCCAAAGTCACCTGTCCTACAGCCAGCGTGCTCAGAAGCACCCACATCCTCTCGTCAGGCGACTCTTTGAAATAGCCGAACGGAAAAAAACCAACGTGGTGCTGTCCGCAGACCTGACTACGACCAGAGACCTTTTAGCCATCGCCGACAGTAAGTGAGGATTGAGGGATACTCCGGACAGTGTATCCCACGCACCGAGGTTGTCTTGTGGGAGATTTTGACAATTGCTGAAACTATTCAAACAAATTCTAACACTTGCTGTTCGTCTCGTAGGTCTGGGTCCGCATATTGCTGTTCTCAAGACACACATCGACATTGTCTCCGACTTTGGCCCTGCCACCGTTGAGGGACTGGCCCAACTCGCCCAACGTCACGACTTCCTTCTGTTTGAGGACAGAAAGTTTGTTGACATTGGCAACACCGTCCAGAAGCAATATAGGGGGGGAGCGCTACGGATCCACGAATGGGCCCATATCGTCAATGCCACCATTCTTCCCGGTGAAGGGATCATTCAGGCGCTGGACCAGTCCATTCGTGATGGCGGGATATCTGAGCGAGGCATTCTAATCCTGGCTGAAATGACCTCAAAGGGATCGCTGGCAGTGGGCGAGTACACTCGAATATCGGTCGAGATTGCAAGAAAATACCCCCAAAGTGTCCTGGGCTTCGTGTCAACGACGGAGCTATCCAGCCATTCTCCGAGCGCCACGCGGGATGAAGATTTCGTAGTGTTCACAACGGGTGTCAACATGTCCAGTAAAGGAGACGCGCTGGGTCAGCAATATCAGACGCCTACAACCGCCATGGCAGGCGGGTCTGATTTTCTCATTGCCGGAAGAGGGATATATGCTGCGGCTGATCCGGTGAGTGCAGTCCAGGAGTATCAAAAGGCGGGCTGGGAGGCATATGAGCGTCGTGTAGGCTCGGCCAGTGGATAAAGGCTCGAGTAAGCAGGTTGGGCATCAAGATGCCATCGCGACAATGTACGACTCGACAGCTGCAACGTGGGCCTCTCAAATCAAAGTGGGCAGCTCGTCAGGGAGCCGAATCTGGTCCTGAAATAGGTAAGGATGCTACAGGGGTCTGGGAACATCACTTTTGGTACTCGGACGTGGCTGAGGGGCAAAAGATGAATCCATCACGAGGAATGCAGGGCTACCTACCATAGCATAGCGATTATTATTGACTCTACTCCGTATCTGGGGCATGTAGTCGGTATCGGGCCGTTGGCAGATCCCTCGGACCCCGCCGTAGCTCTATTCGTGACATTGTTTACTTCTCCCTAGACTCCGGAGCATAAGCTGAAGCTCGTGGGAAGGAGTTGGCATCTGTGCTGGACATGAAGGGCCACTGCCTTGTCAAGAACCCCAGGGGTTATCTTGTCTAATGTTGCACAAGGGTAGAAATTGCACAGCTGTACGGAGTCAAAATGATTTCGCGTAGAGGCCAGAAACAAATTGCTCAGGGACCAAAGCAGAAGAAGATGGGGGTGGAGGTCTCGGAGGGCAGTCAGCTGCCTGGGTGCTTGTGGGTGCCCGTGGGTGCCGTGCTGCCGTGGTGTCCTGCTGCCCTGCTGCCCTGCTGCCCAGGTGGTCCGTCCCCGTGCTGGCACCGACTGCTGGGTGCGCACTGCTCCCAGATCCCAGATTGTCGCCCGCCGAAAAATGAAGATCCACGGACCATGGCGGCGTCAGTGGAGCCCAGGCGCTAGTCTGTTTCGGGACTTTGTTTATGCTTGGCGCCCGCCGCCCACCGCCTGGCACCTGCGACGCGTCTTGCGCCTTGCACCCACGAAAAAAAGCGTGTCGTGCATGGCCTTTGAATCTTCTGTCCAGAGGAATGAACCGAAACTCGACCACCGACACATCTTGCGATTCGTCCACTTACAACGCGCTCTCAGCGCCTTTCGTTGCAACTCTCTTACTTGCCTCCCGTCAACCCTGCATTGGCACGACTTCCTTCCCCAGCCCTGTTCGCCACAAACAATCATTCGTCATCAGCGCCTGCTTTCCCTTGCGCTGCGCACGCGATCGCCGCCAGAACTTGAACCCTGAGAGGACAGATACACCACCGTTTGCGACCCGACCTCCCCGGCGACCAGACGATCAGCGAGCACCCTTCTCTGCTGCTGCCTACGTCAAATAGTCAGCATTCAACTGTTGCCCGCTCCCTCTCTCGCCTGGCTTCACTCCACCTCCTCATCCTCTGACACTTTGTCCTCCCTCCATATCGCGTTGACAGACAGCTGCAGCCTCTCAATTCCTCCTCCGATCTTGTCCTACCACCTGTACTTTGCAGCTTAACATCGCCATTTCAGCCAAAATCCGCTAGATATTGCTCTCGGGACAGGCCATCATCGACCATTATCGTGGCTTCGCCTGGATTCCCTCGGTTTTCTCTGGCCTCCGCTGGCACCGGATACCTCCTCTAGACTCATGCCACTCCTCGCGCGTTGACAATGCGAGATCTCCGGTAGATCCCTTCAGATCTGTCAACGATCCCCGCAGCAACTATCCTACATCAAAAGGCTTGGGCAAAAAAAGAGAGGCTCGTCTCATTGCAACCTTCAAGTTCATGGCAGACTACTCGGCAGAGGATCGGTTTAGTGTGCTGCGTTGATATAGAGTGACTTTGGACCAGCCATGATGGCCACATACTCTCCTCACCGTGAGGAGCACTCACCCAAGAGTGCCTTCTCACGCTTCGACCCCCATTCCGCAATACGCGAGATACGCCGTTCACTATCTCGCTCACCCTCCAAAGGCTCAGAGTTTCGTCAACAGTCACTACGGTCGCCAGGACCTGGTAATTTACCCTTTTCGCCTTCTCCACTGTCACCATCCAGAAACGCGACCTCTGAGAATTTCCTCCACCTGGGTGGCATGTCTTCACATCCCAACCGAGGCAGTTCAGCCTCGCGTTTTCCGCGGCCCCCCCTTCGACGGACAAATCAATCCCATGGGGTGTCTCGCCTTCGAACCTCCCCCAGGAGCCCTACCAAGCGAGTTCTGACGGATTCGAGCGACAGTGGGAATTCATCTCCCATGCCACTTCGCAAGAGGAGTTCAGCAGAAGCAGAGCGTGAATTGGCGTTAAAAAGCCTCACCGCTGGGGATGAAAAGGAGAATGACAAGTCTACCAGTGAACCACTCAGCTGGAAGAGTGTCCATACGCGACAAGAGAAAAGACGAAGTGGGGGAATGTTAATCTCAGCGGTTGCCCCTCTGAGTCCCATGAAAAGATCGGATGGTCCTAGATCCGACGAAACACCAGGTTGTGAGAGTCCTTCGGCCAAGAGGAGAAGTCTTCACGGGCCAGGCCTCGATTTCAGCATATTTGAGTCTGATACCCTGGACAGTGGGATGTTCGGTGACAAACGAGCGCAAGATGACAATGACTGGTTTGTGAGCAACTCATTCTTGTCATCTTCACGATTTTCAACAATTCCGAAGCGATCATCTTCTTTAAGGAAGTCGACTATTCAGCAAAGACAGATCGATCGATCCACCAATTTGAAATTCTACAATGTGACGGAGGCAGACAAGTCCTGGTTAGACTTCACTCCAGCAGCAAACCCCAAAAAAGAAATGCGGATGTCTCTGGATAACAACATGAACGCCTTCCCACGCGATAGCCCGTTTCCAACTCAAGGAAACCTCTTGAGCGCCTCAATTCATCCTATGACTGTCAGCCAGAACGGCTCATCCTATCAGCCTCGACATCCGCTTTCTCGAACAATGACTCAGTCATCTTCTCAGCCTGACGAGCAAGATGATTCGCCTACCCATGAACCGATGCACCGCCCCAGCAGACCTCGTTCTCATGATTTCTCGAAATCTCTGCCGGTGGGCTCGTCTAGGCCAGTGCCATCTTCTGACGAGAACGAATTCTCCTCTCAGGCTTCTTTCGCCACTCCGGGCAACTACAAGGCTGCCAAACCCTTACCGGCTGCTTTCATGTCGACTGGTCTCATCTCGAAGAAGAACCGTAATGTGGAAGATCCAAACGCTGGCCTACCGAAAGCCCATATGCCAGATACTCCTTGCAAGAAACAGCCCGCCATCTTCCAGAATGAGCAGAAATTTGCACCGGCGAAGGGCGCTGTCAACAGGATCTCGCGACAGTCTTTCGGCGTACCCCCGAGTCCGCTCGAGGTGAGCCATGGTCCTTCCAAGGTCTCAGCTTTTCCGTTCTCTAAGAGTGTCGGCATCTTCGGACCTCGACCAAGTCGACACAATTTGCTTCGGGAGGGAAGTTTTGCTTCCATCGACCCTGAGGACAAAGGAACAGGTCGTGCCCCGTTGAGTCGCGCGAATAGCCAGTCAACAGACTCTGACTATCCCCCTACACCAACCAAACATTTGACAGACCCTCATGATCGGAGTTCAGTTTCTCCATCGCCTCACCAATCAGCCTTGTCCACCAACCGAGCTGTTGCTCCTTCCGCCCACGTCACTCGTTTGTCAAGCAGTAAGTTATCTCCTATTGTGGCATCGCCAGGATGCGTCGACCTGGACAGTGACAGCGCGATGGAAGATTCTCCATCCGCCAACCTGAGGCCAAAGTCGACGCTGAATGTCGTCACCTTGCCGGCCCCCTCTTTTATCCAAGGTCGTCCTTCCAAAGGTTTCAGATATCCTTTCTCGACGAGAAGGACACTCTCGATTCCGACCCTGCATGCCCCTGCTTTGGAACGTGCTAAAAGAATATCCGTGCCACCAGTAAGCCCAAGAATTGAAAAGACGGATCGCGGATCTCCTCACACCCCCCTCGACAGCTTCTTTCCTCCTGATCCAAGCGGTCTGACCATTTCAGGACGAGCTGAACGTCCGCCAACGAGGCAAAATAATATGGCACCCATCATTCCTGCAACACCAACTGGGCCACGAGAGTATTTTACGAATTTCTCCAACCGCCCAAGCCTAAACCTGGCCTCACTAGACGCGACGAATATCGACAGCAGCTTGACATCAAGATTTGACAAAGTTGATCTCATTGGCTCTGGAGAATTCTCGCAAGTCTATCGAGTGTCGCAACCACCCGAGACATCTCCATTCCATAAGATTTATTCTGTGTCCACCAGCCGTCCGTCCTCAAGAAGTTCTGTACCCGAGAAAATTTGGGCCGTCAAGAGATCCCGATATCCTTATGCTGGTGCTCGAGACCGCCAGAGAAAGATCCATGAGGTTGACGTGCTGAAAGCCTTGGGTCATTCAGATCACATTGTCACTTTCGTCGACAGTTGGGAGGAAAATGGTCATCTTTACATTCAAACAGAGTTCTGCGAAGAGGGTACGCTTGACGTCTTCCTTGCGCAAGTTGGCCTGAAAGCGAGGCTAGATGATTTCCGCATATGGAAGATCCTTCTTGAGCTGGGAATGGTAAGTCCAACCCCTCTAACGCTCCTCGTCCAAACTGACGGCCGCTAGGGTCTGAAGCACATCCACGACTCAGGATTTATCCATCTCGATCTCAAGCCGGCGAACGTCCTAATCACATTCGAAGGCGTCCTCAAGATTGCAGACTTTGGTATGGCAACCCGATGGCCAGCAAAGGCGGGCATTGAGGGCGAAGGGGATCGCGAATATATCGGACCCGAGATTCTAATGGGTCGATACGATAAACCTGCTGATATTTTTGCACTCGGTCTGATCATGCTGGAGACGGCTGGAAATGTTGAACTCCCGGACAATGGCGTATCATGGCAGAAGCTTCGAAATGGGGATATGAGCGATGTCCCGAGCTTAACGTGGAGCTCTGGAACTAGCGGGATTTTAAGGGACTCGTCAGGTAACCCGGTGTCGAGAGAAAATTCGTTTGAATTTCGCCAGGACAGCGATCACCACGACGTGGAAGTGATGGACGGCGATGATTTCGAGGCGACTGTGGCTCGCCCTCACCAGAAAACCCCGCCATTCGAACGAAGTGGTGAACTTGTCAATCCGCCTCAGTTTATGGTGGATCCCTCTCACGAACAAGCTCTCGACAGAGTTGTGCGCTGGATGATCTCTCCAGATCCAAACGACCGTCCTCTTGCCGGCGAGGTGCTCAACACTGAAGGCGTACGGTGGGCAGAAACGAGGCGGCGCGCGGGAGCGACTGTCTTCGAGGGCAACTGGGGACCTGCCGATGAGGTCCTTGCTGAGGATGCGGAAATGATCGATGTCTGAAATCGTCTATCTAGCTCGGTGATTCTAACTCCCTGGATACCAAACACATATCGTTTTGGACACGCGAGGGGCAACAGGGAAGGCTATTGACGACAAGGAAGCATTGTTTCTGGTGGATTTCCGTCTCTTTTTTTAAATGATCGAAACGACATTCCAGCAATTACCACAGCATGTTGTTATGGGCTAGAGACCAATTTTCAATCGTTTTGTACACCAGAGCAGGCAAGCAGGATTTGGTTGGTATCGGTCAGCTATGGGTTGGTGGTCATCTGACACAGGTTTAATTTCGACATCGACATTGACACTGACATGGACGACATGTCGACCACGATCACTCGACAGGGAAACACGAATTAGCGCATGGCGCAGGGAACAGAGAGGATGGACAACTCTTAAATACTTTTGGTTTTGGAAAGATATGATATGTAACTCGGGAGGGAGGCCCGGAAGATTGCCGAAACACAGACAGAATGGCAGGTCGAGAACATGAGATGGACAGACAGCCAGATGCTGTGCTTGCTCGGCCCATCCCTTGAGAAGTAGACTCAGTGGGAATGGATTTTGAACGAGAGGCGACAATTAGGGTAGCAGAGCTGCACGCAGTCAGTCCTCCGAAGATATACTGCTGCCCAAGCATCTCCGCAATGAAAAGATGAATGATGACATGACCTAGGGAAAAGTAGATAGCAGATCCACAATTCATAATGCAGACCGTCTACCTTTGTGTGCCAAAAGAAGGTCCCCTTTTCTTCCTCTCTTTTCTTCGCTCCACTGGCGGCCTGTATATACACACATGGCTACCGAGCATGTAGCTCATTTCAACGCCGTATCAGCAGGGGAAGTGTGATCATTTTCTCTCCAACCCCCTAGGTCAACAACGGCGAGTTCCAGGGTTTGACCTCGTACTGCCCACAGGTATCGCCCAATGCCACTCACCAGTGCTCGGTACACGACCTCCCACTTGGGGGTGAAAGCCAGAGCGAGTGTTATCGGCAGACCGAGGACAAGGAGCAGGCGAGCGAGTTGAAAAAGAAACACGCACGCGCACGCTCAGAGATTCTTGGTGTGATTTGATATACAATTACATTCCAACGCGCGAATTGTGGACAAAAGCAAAGCAAAGCAAAGGCAACCTATAGACTAGGATACAAGCGCGCTTCATTACAGTGCAAAAACACCGCCCGTCCCCCAGCCTAACTCCAAATTGCGCCATGTGCCATAAACAAAAGAGAGAGCATTGTGCAAGTGAGTGAGCGGATTCTCCATCCCTGTGGCCGCGAGCCTCGCAACTCCGGATCCAATGTCTGCTGAACCTCCTACGAGTGTCTCCGCGTGAGATGTCGTAAGCTTGGCTCAGCCCTTCTTCTCGTCGGTGCTGTGGCTCAAGATCTTTCGCCGCTCCTCGGGCTTGAGATGTCCGTTGACGTCTTTGGGCATCTGCACCATCCAATTCGGCGGCGTCATGCCGGTTTGTTCCTGGATCGTACTGAGCAACGGAGGCAGTGACTGCATGATGTTCTTGATCGGGGCGATGCCTTCTCCCATGGCGCCGCTGGCATCGCCGCTGCCGGTGTTCCACACGGTAATCTTGGGCTGAAGGCCTTGAATGGCCTTTGCGTTGGCCATGGCGAGCTTCTCGTAGGTATTCTCCTTGAGCATCATGAACTGAAGCAGACCCTGTGGTCCGCCAAATGCATCGGCCAGCTCCCTGTACGCTTCCGCCTGTGCTTTGGTTGCTTCAGCCTCACGCATCTTGGCATGATACATTGCATCGGCTTCTTTCATCTGGCGTTCGACGCTGGCTTGAATTTGACGTTGCTGCTCGAACAGCTGAGCATCGGCATCCTGCTTTTTGGCGTAGGCTCTGGCATCCGCTTGCTTGGATGCGCGGTAGAGGTCGGCATCAGCCTCTTGCTGTGTTGTTTCCTTTGAGATCTGGGCACGGACGAGGTCTTTGGCCCGAAGACGTTCAAGCTCGGTAGCTGCCTTCTTCGTCTCGACCTCTTTCTGCAATTCAGCGTCGCGGGTCTCGGCGGCTCTCCGAGCTTGGATCTGATTGATCTGAATGGTCATGTCCAACTCTGTCTGCCGATTTGTGAGCTCGGCATCTGCTTGTGCTTTGTCGGCTGTGATTGTTGTGTTAGTGCTTGCCACACTGATACAAAGCAGTTGTCTCACCTCTCCGCTTGGTCTCGAGGACAGCGGTCTCTGCTTCAATCTTGGAGATTTCCTGCTTCGTATGACCACGTTTCCCAGCTTCGCCGATTTCACCTCGCATGCGAGCCTCGGCCACATCGATACGGGCTTGGTTGGACGCTCCTTCGTGGGCTTTGCGGGAGAGGAAGGCAAAGTATTCGGAGCCCGGGGTGTCTTGAAGTTCCTTGACGTTGGCATTGTAGATTCGCAGGCCAAACTGGTCCAATTCATTTTGGACATTCTCAATGACCTGCAAGTCCAGTTAGTGCCGCGTCTCGTGCTCGTGAATTGGGTCCGATTGAAGGGATACCTTCTGCTTAAAGACCTGTCGCTCCTTGAAAATTTCCTCCATGGTCATGCTTGAGACGATGACCCGGGTCTCACCTTCAATGATGCCTTTGACGATGTCTTGAACATGGCCTCTCTGGGTCGGCACAATGGCCTGGCCCGGTTTCTTGCCCGCGGAAGGGGTGCCATCCGGGTTCCCGCTGAGGAGCAACGCATACTTCTTGAGGGCTTCAGGCTTGTTATCTGGGCCAATGGTGAAGACGGCAGGCAGGGCGAATTGGAGCTTCTCAATGGTCATGGCCTGCAGGTTGAGGGAGAAGTCAAAGGGCGATACGGAGATGCGAGCGACGCGCTGCCATGGATAGACGAAGGCTTTCTTGACGATCCGTACATCGTCGACGCCAGCGCCAGTGACCACGAGGTACTCATTGGCGTTGGAGATGTGATACCACATGCCGGGCATAAGGGCTGGAGTGGTAACAGGCGAACTAGTGTATCAGTAGATTATGTCGACTAACAAGATGAGCTGGTATTATATCAGGTTGGGTGGGCGATGTTGATGCAAGGGGAAGAAGATGGTGTCACACAGAGGCCTCCAAGTGATACAAGGACTTTGTCAACGAGGGATTTGTTTGGTCGGGATGTGAAGAGAAAGAGCAGACTGAGGGAAGGTGGGAATTGGAATAAATACCGGGACTCCTCGTGGTTGGCACAAAGGCGTGTTTGCCCATTGCATGTTACTCACAGGTATACCTAGTCCACAGCGAGGATCCGCCGTGTCTGCCATGTACCACCGCCCTGGTTGCTGGTGTCGGGATAGGAGAAAGTTCAATGCATGTGGAGTTCCAAGGCAGAGAGGGGACTGTCACGAGGACGGAATGTCGTTGCACGGCTAGTTAGATGCGAATACGGGAGAGCAGTGGTGGAGGAGGCATTTGAATTGGATGGATCAAGGCAGACCTGGTGGTGTCTGATCTGAGATGGCATGATGGAGGTGGTGGCACCGTGATCGGGCGCAGGCAGCGCAGTCGCAGTCAATGGACGCAGGCTGGTGCTTGGGAGTGGCACTAATTTGCACTTGGCCCGCCGAGGCTTTCTTCTCCCACCGTCCCACGCTTCAAGGCCCTGCGCTGTTTGCCTCAGATCATTAGCTCCACGCCAACTCTGGCCCCAAAAGCATGCCCTTGAGTCCCTGGTCCTTGGAAGCCGTTCCTAGCCTTCTAGAAGCAAACGGTTGCTTCCTCGCTAATGCCACCGGGCGTCGTTTGACTTTCCACCTGAGATAATATTCGCGAACCAGCACTCACCGGTTAAGGTCGGCAGATGGGCATGGCACTGCTTCTTGAGCGAACCACTGCCTCTTGACAGTGACGATCAGGCTGATCGGTGATGGGAGTAGGTCCTCATGTCATCCACTTCCTTGTCCTCATCATACCGCTCACAAAACCATCCTACGACAGATTGGGGGGCCATACCCATATCCATCCGACCTCAGCTCAGTGACGCATCCCTCCTATAGACATGTCCAAAACGCCCTTCGACATAGATCCCCACGATCGCATCCCCAGCTATGAAGAGGCGGTCGCTATCTCACCCAAAGCATCAGCCCAGGACTCAAGAACGAGAACAGCGTCGAGCACCTCCTTGATCCGTCAACAACGTACTCGACGTATCTACGAGCTGGTCGTAGAGTCTCTCATACCCTGTTTTGCGACACATGTGTCCAACCTGTGCAATCATGTTACCGTTGTTGTCGTTCCAGCGGACATTCTGACGTCGACAAGAACTCTGACCGAGCAGAACATTGTTTCTCCCTCAATACCCAGCCACCAGACCACCGGGGTCGTCATTACCCTTTCCGGGACCGAGAATCACTCCTCCTTCTGGACACAGCAAGCAGTGGTTGAAGAACTGGATCTCTTGCTCAGGGGAGAGCTCTCGAATCCATCCGCAGCAGAGGAGACACGATCTGACAGACGGGATGAAAAGTCTCAACCTCAATCACAACTCCAACCACAGTTCCAAGTCCAACCCGCACCAGAAACTCAGTTACCACCCCGTCCCACCAAGACGTCGTGGTTCAAACGGGCCTTTTCTCTCCCCGGGCCAGACCACGATCCGACAGGTGAGACAGGCAAATGGAATCTGGGGTGGCGCAGTCCCGAGTTCTCTGAATCGAGCACCGGAGACAGTAGTTCAATGCCGAAAAGACGCGAAGGGAGCAGAGCACTCCAGACAGACGAGGTGGCAGTGCAGACAAGATTACATGATGTGAGTTTTCGAACAGAGAACGAAATGGGGCTTTTGGAGACGACCACGATCAAGTGCATATGGATAGAAATCGAGGTTGGCCTATAGCACCGTCCACAGCAAACCCGTCAATAGACCAAACATCCCACCGCGTGTCTGGCGGTTGGCAATAGCAGATTCGTAACCCGACCTTCTCGCTCTTTTTGCATCCTGTTTTAAATGTTCGCCCTCAAAGCCGATGGCTCTAAAGGACCCGAGCCGTTGTCGGCCAGTCACGGCACAAACACAGTCCGCTCCTTCTTCGCCGCCCACGCCGCATCTGCTTCCTCCAGTTTCCTCACCTTCAAGTCCATATCAGGCAGCTGGGCCACAGCTGCAAGCAAGTCTGGCACCTCCTTGGCATACTGTGGCATGGTCCACGCACCTGGGCCCGCTCCTCGTAGAGTGATGTTCTTGCTCCGCAAGATTGCGCCTGGCAATGCCATATCATTCCCAGCAACCGTGCCAATCTGTACGAACTGCGTAGGGACGGTGGATTTGAGTTGGGCGAAAAGGGCAGCAACGGCGGGACCATAGAGATAGTCTAGAATCAAGTCGACATCCGTCAAGGATGAGAAGTCCGTCTGACTGGGATCGTTGGCGAGGACGATACGTTCGTCCAGGTCGGGGATCGAAGCCATCTCCTTTCCATTCCTTGCCACACCAATGATTTTGGCCGCACCTTTAACCCGCGCAAAGTGTACCGCAACTTTGGCACTAATCGCCGTAACCCCCATGATCACGACCGTAAACCCCTTCGGTAATGGTGGGTCAACCCGAGCTGCAAACGCCATCCAGCTCGACATGCCCGGATTCATCAGTCCAGCAATCGCAACTGGATCCGCCCCTTCGGGAAGCGGCGATACACTGGATTTCGGCACGGTGATGTATTCGGCAAACCCGCCGCCCATTGCAATGCTGTTGAAATACACGCGTTGGCCATCGGGGGTCTCGCCGACGCCGTCGGCACCTGGGATATAGGGGATAATTGCGTTTTTCGTGCTGTAGTGGGTACCTGTGGCTTGCGAACGAACAAGTTGATGGAGACCACTTGCAAGGACCTTGAGAGTGACAGTGTCGGCGGATGAAGGTGGAGGCTCAGGGTGGGACGAGGTGAATTGAGGGGGAGAACCCCAGGAAGCAACTGTGATGGCACGCATGTTCTATTCGGGGTGCTCGACGATTGATTTAGATGGAGGTCTTGCAGGTGGCGTGTGTGTGTGTACCGTCGTTCAGGGCTGCGCAAGGACAGGCGGGGATGAGCGCTGAGTATGTGGGAAAAGAAACAAGCAGCGAGACGGGATATGTTGATACTTATACCATTGACTCTGTCCAGTCCTACTAGGTATACGCCAAGCGATTCCCGGTCTGCGTAAATCTTTGATCATCAGACTAGAAAGCCGTGGTATACCGTTTCCGCGATTGAAAAGGTTTCGTGGCATGCAAGTCATGGCGACGAGGACACGCGCCCTCTTAGGTAAGTCGGAACCATCTTATCAAGCGCAGAACCATGATAGGCCAGCCCGGTGCCAGCCGCTGTAAACGGAATCTCGCTTCCACGTGCAGACTGGCGGGCTGCTGAATATTCCGCCGTCGACTTTGTCATCAACGGGAAACGCCGAGGGAGTTCTGGCCGGCCGCACACCAGCCCATAGGTGACATGGGCGGTGGTGTACGGATGCTCAGGATCTTGGATGAGCGAGGGTCAGGGAGGTACAGGGTCGTGGTAGGTCAGGGATTGGCGATGTAATGGTGGTGAGAGTAACGAAGAGTGAGTTGTTAGAGGAGATGTTGACCCGGTCCCTGCCAAGTCGGTGCCAAGGAGCGCCTCTACCAGCCAGTGCCAGCCTGCGCCTCTAGGCCTCCTACGTCATTCTGCCTTGTGCCTTGTGCCGCTCCTCGTGCCTCAGACCTTTCTCGGCCGTGTTCGCCTTCCCCACATGTTCTTCGTCTGCTGCCTACACCACTCGTGTTGATCGGGTAAACAAAAGCAAGTGTACCTCTCAGATTCACAGAATCCACCTCAAAGACAGAACGGAAAAGATGCCGCCCTCCCAGATCCAGATCGCCACCTCTTCGCTACAGCGGTTACTGAAGGAAGAAGCATCCTACTACAAGGAGCAAGAGGAGCAGGAGGCTCGGATTTACAAGTTGGAGAACGAAGCCAACGGGAGCGATGAGAACCATGACTATAAACTAAGACAAGAGGTGTGTCCCAATTAGCCGTGTATTTCATCCACCACCGGAAATGATTTTGGAGCAATGGCCCTGTCTGGTGTGACTGAGGCTAACATACCCTGAACGATCTACTACAGCGTCGAGCCCTTGAAGAGACCAAGGTAGTCATCCCGACGCTGCGTGATCGCATCACAAACGCGAGGGAGAAGCTTGAGAACCTCCTGGTGAGTGTTCAACACTTGTTGGCGCTCTCCACGCCATGGTGGGTGGCTAACAGCAGCCTATCTTTTGTGTGGTATAGGACACAGCCACAAACGAAGACGAACGAAACACTGCGGTTGAAGTGCTCAAGGCGGCGAAAGAAGCGCAGAAGGACGATCCGATCGCCGGAGAAGAGAGGACTATGTCATGAATGAAGGCTCCACTCCTTCTAACGAAGACTTGAGGACGACCTACGACGACAGGGACGGAAATGCCAAGGAGAAGCGATGTGAAAAAGCGGCTTTGAGTTATAGCCGGAATCAATGATGGAACGATTGAAATGAACATTGGAGCATCACATTCTCCCATACCTTGAAACTGGGGAAATTTGTTCGGGGTTCTGAACGTCAGCTAGGCTTGGTCCTTCTCCTTTGCTTCTAACCTCGCCAGTGTGTCGTTCATTGAGCAGACAGAGCACATGAGAGTCTTGAACGTCCCAGAGAAGTTGATCGACTGACACGAAGTCGGTAAGCCCAAATGGGCCAGATATCGATGGGCTCCTTGATTCTTCCCATCATTTCTCATAACCGTGTCCGCAGATCCTAGTTAGGTTGATCGCTATTCCCCCCTTGATCATACAGGAGCACGAGGATCTCCGTTGTTGTCCCCAGGCCCAGAAATGGATTCAGTGCGCGAACAGCGGCCGGCTTCAGTCATGAGATTGCCAGCCAATAAGTAATTCTGGGACGTCTCCGAGGTCTCCTCGTCTTCGGGGGCAAAGGCGAAGTTGTCAACGTTGTCCACAAATCGGCCAGGCGGACGCGGGACCCTCCATGTCTGCACCTGCAGACCCATTTTGTAATGGTCTCGCAAATCGCTCAGGTCGTGTCCATGTCGTCTGCTGCGTTCTCAAGAGCAGCACCTACGGCTTCTTTGATAGCATCTTCTCCCGCAGAAGACACTCCATTGTTTCCATGCATATCAATATCCTCGTCTGCTCGCCGCGGCGTAGTCCCTTCTGCACTGGCAGGTTCTTCTGGCAGATTCGACCTAGGCGTCAACATGCCGCTTCCTCTGAGTCCAGCTGGGAAGGGCGTCGGCGCGTCGTCCATAGGCCTGGGTGTCCCAGCAGTAGACAGCCCGTCTCTCTCCCTCTCCCCCTCCCCATCGTCGCCCTCTCTTTCCCTCTCTTGGTCAGCGTCGTCCTTCTCGCCCTCTGGCTCTGGCTCCTTCTCATCTCTAATTACCCTCCTCAGCCTCGTTCCCTCCTGCATAACTCGTTCAAACTGTTCCCTCCGCTCGCCCCAAGCGACCTTCAACTCGGCGCTCTCACGCTCCAACTCCTCGATTTCAGCCTTGAGTTTTTCGAGATTGACATGTTGCTCGGCTCTCGTGACTTTTAACTTCTCATCCCGAGTGATCTTCTCCGCTAGCACATCATAGGTTTTTCGAACTGCGAGCGTCTTCTGCGCCTCATCAAGCTGCACTCTCAGATGTGACAGATTCTCCCGCACGTCGTTGGCAGTTTGTTCAATCTTGAGCTTTTCTGCAGCGTAGCGCTCGCGCTCTCGTGTGTTTGCAGCACGGAGGAACTCTGTGCGCGCAATGGAGGATTCAAAGGCTGCGAAGTCGAGGATGACGTCCTCGCGAAACCGCGTCAGGGATTCGAGGAAATGCTCATGTTGGTCTGCAGACGATTCTGCTGTAGCGTCGTCGTCATCAGACGGGCTCGGTCGCGCAAGGAAAGAGTTGATAGGAGTGATGGATGCAAGAAGGCGTTTTGAGACTCGTTTGAAAGGCCGCTCTTCAATACCTAGAAGCCGAGTCGCGTGGAGTTTGTCTGTAAAGGAGTCAGAGCTTTCAGGTGTATTCAATCCGCAGCAAACATCCATTACCTTCTTCAGCTTGATCCAAAACTGTGAAAGTCGCCATCTCCTCTGCTCTTTAAGAAGTGTGCGGTATCGTGATTATAGAGAAAGAAAATTGTCTTTGTTGGAGTTTCTCGCGCATCCAAATGCCAGTCGTCGCAGCGGGTGCAGTATGGCCGTGTGCGGAGGGAGATCATGAGGCTGAACTACGCTGCGTTCGGAAGCTGCAAGGCTGTGACTCCAGCGGAAGCTACGCACCTAGCCACTTTGTCCCGACCCCACGATTCACTTCGTTCCTTTGTTACGGGGCTAGGATCTATGCACAAGGGCGACATCGGCGACATACTCGGTTAAACGCTCTTGCCTTGACCCTTCTGTCTACCCTTCCGCATGTTCTTCTCCTTCGGCATCGTTGAGAACTCGCCTGCTCCCGCCAGCTGACCACGGGTCAGCCATCCCCATGCCTGCCGACAGCCTTCTCGACATGGCCCGACGGGCCTGCGCCCGCAATGTCCACCGGATAACAGACATTGGTGATCTCGACTATGACCTGATCCGACCGATACTTTTGAAGATCGAGAGTCCTGAGAAACTTGTAGGTGCCGTCCTGTACATCGTCCGATACCTCTCTCTCCATGTACTTCGTACTTCTTTAGCCCTGTCATCATACTGATCAATTACTTGTAGCACCAACTCGAGCTATCGTCTCCGCAAATCATCGGTCATGACGCTGAACTCTGGCTCAATTTCATCAAGCGAGACATTCCCGACTGGGACCTAAAGCGGCACGAACCTTCCAACCCGAAGAATTGGTACAAGGTGTACAGAAAGCTCAAAGCAGAGGCAACCAAGGATTCTTCGAATGATGAGGCCGCGTTGAAAGCTGCGTTGGCGGTTATTCAGAAAGGAAAGGAGCAGAACACGGCGGAGATAGCGAGCACTTCACGCAGTGTGGGCTTGTATTCGAGCAGCAATGCTCCTGGGCCTTCGCGAAAGGCCAGGATCCAGTGGAACTATATTTCTGGCAAAACCGGCGCGAAGGGCGCCAGTAAGATGACCCTCATGCAGAAGATTCGCAAGGAAGCAAAGGATGCGAAAGCTGGCAAAATGAACCGGCCGATGCACGAGCTACAAAAGAGGCAGACAGGTGTGGTCAAGGCGCCGGCGCATTTTGTCGAGGAGGTGAAGAAGATGAAGGTCCTGCAGGCCGCAGAGGCGAAGAAGGCTCTGAGTCCGCCGCCCAAGAGACCCTCGGTGATCGGTGCAACCGGGAACGTCTCATCATCAAGGCCACCGTTGTATGCTCCTCCTACGCTAGCACCGAAAACAAAACCTCAGCCTGCCGTTGCAAGTGGCGGAAAGCCATATGATCTTACGAGTGATAGAGAGTCAAGGCTACGGGCCTTGAAGTCGGGGAGATCGGTGAGCAAGGTGGATTCGAAAGGATGTGAGGATGCAAATGGCAGCTTGACCCTTGATTTCCTGGAAGACTCGGATGAGGGTGACTACGATCAGGACCAGCCAAAGCGAATACGGGAACGAGCAGACGACGACGCAGAAACGCCACGGAGGATGCTGAAGCCCGACAATGTCCACACCAACGATCTCCTGCCTCGATCGAGGAGTCCCATGAAGCTCTCCCCAGCACCAGGATCCCGGTCACAGGGGTTGCAACCGCTGAAGAGGAAGCACGAAGCGCCAAATCTCTTCTACACAAGTCCCAATAAACGACCCAAGCCTGTCTGACGAGGTTTTCAAGAGAAACTAGAACGATACCGACGAACAGTAGAGAGTTGAACCTTGCAGATGCAAAGAACCAAGAATTCAGAGGAACGGGTGATGCTTTTCTGATGCGGAACCACTTGAAATGGATATTCTGATATGCGAAAGTTGCGCGGAAGCATCAAATATTGGGAGTTTTTCTGGGCGCAAACGGAAGGCTGGAAGCATAAAATTTGATGGCGATGCCAGATGAGGTCGGGAGATTTTGAGGTTTGGACATCTGAACGGCTCAATGGATGGGAAATCACCGAGTTCCTGGGCACAATAGACGAGATTTTGGCAAGAACATCTCTCCGGGCATGAGACCACCATCTGGAATAACATCTGAGTGGAGACGGCTCTTTGTTGGAGGCCCCAAATCACCAATATATTTGTCTAAGGTGTAGATGGGTTTCCCCGGGGTTTCCCTTTCATCTGCTCTGGTCCTGCCTGGTCCGTCGTCGTTTGATTGTCTGTCGCCATCCAAAGTACCTAATAGGTATTGCCCGCTCCGTGATATCGTCCCCCGATCGCTAGCTACTTAGTGGTGGCCTCCGGGCTTGGTCATGGTCATGGTCATGGTCATGGGCGCATCAAGTGGGACGGAGGAGGTGAAGATGATGATGAAGAAGATGATGATGGGAATTCCGGGTTTCGTGATTTTTTTCTTTTCGGGGTTGTTTGCTTTCTTTGCTTCTTGTTTTTGCCCAAATGGCCCTCGCGATCATGGTCGGTCGCTTGATTCGAGTCCCCTCGCTGTGAAAAAAAAATAAGGTGTCATGTCATGTCATGTCAAGGCAAGGCAAGGCAAGGCAGAGCCGCAGTCATGGCTCGTGCCTCCCTCGCGCCATCTGATATCTTCGCATCGCATCTGGCCTTCGCTCCCCGTCTCCGTCCGTCCGCCGTGCAGCACTCACCCCGACTCAGGAACAAGCTCCTCCTACCCACTACACACACGCACGCAGGGCCCTCTCGCACCCCCCCCTCGACGGACCCCGTTCCCCTCCCCCCTTCCCCACGGGCCTGAGTTCGGTCACCTCCCGCCTCTCAGCGCCAGCACCAAGTGTAACGTGTTGCCGCCTTCGAGGCCGTAATCTTCCGCGGTTTTCTCGTCGGCCCTATTCCACATGCCGGGTTAGCTGAGCACCCTGGGGAAGAGAAGGGGGAGGAGAGTGGCGGGGTCAAACGTACATCTGTTTCCCGCCGTAGATCAACCGCTGCTGGACGGGCGGGATGCCTTCTTTTTCCTCAACGCGCTCCTTGATCCGGTAGACCTGTTCGTTTGCCGCAGCACATCACCTTGGTCAGAATTCATAACTGGTTTCATTTCCCGCATCGAAAGATATTCCACGCGATGGCATTTTGCGGTCCACCTGTTTCTTTTTGGGTTCTTCCCCCCCCCCCCCCTTCTGCTTTGATCCGGCTGTGTCTCTGAAGGATGCGGAGGTGATGGGAAGGTAGATATTTGGGGCGCGGGACATGGCACACCTTGTAGTCTGGCTCGATATCCAACTCGATCTCCTTGCCCGTCAACGTCCGCACTCTGTATTACAGATGATTGAGTGTCAGCCTCAGATTCATACACTGTGGAAGTTTTCACCGTTGCCCAGTGACACTCGGAGCAATAGCTGTTCCAAGCAAGCGTAGGAAGGAGGGGAAGACGGTTTGTGACGGTGGCATTACTTGATTAGCATGTTTGCGTCGTGTTCGAGCCGCTGTGAAAGTGAAATTTCAGGAAACCGATGTCGGGAGAGGATAGCAGGCAGTGGTCGGAGAGCAGTCAAGATTCTCACGTCGAAGGAAAATATGATCGGCGGTGTTAGCACAGAAAGAGGCCGGTAAGAACAAGGACCGCAGCGGGTGTTTGGAGGGCAGAAAGACTTGAGTTGATGGTCGTTCTTCAAAGCCGAGTTCAACCAATGGAGGGGTGGATGAGGCCACAGCCTGGCGGATGAAATCGCGGGGCTGCCGTTTACATAATCAACTCAACCCATATCTGGTGGTCCTTCAGCCTTGCAACGATAAGGTACCATTTAGGTGACAAAGAGGGTGTAAAATAAAAGAGGCAATTGCCGCAGATTTGCATTGTAACATTGTCGAGCACACAGTGGCTCCATACAGCAAAGATACTCGCTTGAACGCCGGAGAGTACAACAACCAACACGTACAAAATGGGGGTATGTGACAGATATACAGATACATATCCAGCAAAAGCTTCCTCCCATACCGAGGCTTGGGCCAATTCATCCCATTCTTTTGCCAACAAATTCCTTTTGGCCGATCCGGTCCCACAGACCAAGTCAAAGAAAACGCCATCTCCCATTTGCCAGAAAAGGGAGTGAGACTGTTTCGGAGCAGCAAAAACGATATTCCAAGCTGGGTGCCGGATTTCGTCCTGTCATCCACTGCTTGCGCAGAAATCTGATTCTTTTTTCCATCATTGTCACTTGTACACATTATGACTAAAAATCGTCTTTCAATGGGTCAATGTTTGGGATCGCGTTTTCGGGTGAGGGAGGATTCAGAACCCGCGCCATGGATCTCTCGACTCGTAGCTTCCTCGCGTGGAGGAGCTTGCTGCCATCATCTCGCTGTGGAGCAACGAGTCCACGGGGCTGATGCTCTCTCTTCCTTGTTCTGCGCCCCAGTAGCCCATGTCCTTTCTCTTTCCTTGCCCTGATCGCATGAAATTGAAAGAAGGCCGGCCTGAGGATGTGCCTTGCTCATGTTCGATGAAGGCATCCATCCTCATGGTCGTCGTATGGTTGTTATCCATGAAGGTTGGAAGAGGAGGCCTTCCGGAAGCACTTGCTTCACTGCCTCTTCGACTGCTGATAACGCTTTGCATTCCCAGGCTGGGCGTATATAAGCCGCGGTCGGAGGAATACACAGCTGTGGAATGCACACTCTGCGAATAACTCGATCCCGGTCCTGGTAGACTCGGGGTCACTCCGTTCGTAGAGAAGCTCCTGAAAGAGCTCGGTGGCGCTCGAGGTGCCGTGTTGCTCCGCTTCCGAGAGTGGCGGGGTATTGTTGGTGGTAGAGCAGGGTCCGTCAACGGATCGTAATAGTCACGCGTTGGGGGTCGCGAGTCTTGCACTGGCAACGATCCGTCGGTCGTGAAAGATCTCGTTCCAGGATTTGACTTAGCAGCCCCTTTTGTCAATCGGATCGAGTCTCTAATTGGTCGTCTGCGGAGCGATCCAGCAAGTGATGGTGCTGGAGCAGGCGACACTTCGTGTTCAGGAAGCGGTGGCGGCGGAGGGATGGCGGTAAGGTCGTTGACGCTGAGGGGAGAGTGTGATAAGAATGACAACGCCGTCAACCATATATAATGTCGTTCTTGAGATGTTGCTGTGAACTTCAGTGCACGCTGCGGAGTCAAGATAAGAATAGACCTGTTGAAGTTCGGCCCAGTAACTGCTCCTTTGGGCATCGGATTGTCGTCTTTGACATCGAGCACGGACTTGATCGTCACTGTTTGGTAATTAGCTTTCAGGTAGGCCACTCTTGCTCATGTAGAACTTACATTTTCGACCACTCTTGCCCATCAAGGCCGTCCCAGACGTTGGCTGCTTGCTGCTCCACATGACCGCACGCTCGTATGGCGCGAGCCAAACCCATCGTTTGTGACGGACACCATTGTTGGTCACACTTTGAGAAATCTCCTCAACGCTCTTGTTGGCATCCCAATCCGCTTTCTCGGTCACTCCGAAAGACTTTCGCCTCCTTACATATTTGTACATCCATTCCCCGACCATCGTCTGAGCAATAGAGTCTACAACCGATGTCTGTTGCATTGAGAGTACGTCAGAATTCTGTTTCGTGTGACTGCGCTGTCGACTAGGCCCGGTTGCGATCGACGGTCGCGGCGCACTCGCCTCCCGCGGGTTGCCGTAGGGCTCAATAACGGGGGCCGGTGCTGTTGTAGGCATCTGGAAGCTAGGCATCTCTGGGACAATGGATACCCGTGGTTCTAGTGGTGGTGACCGACTTCGTGATTTTCGGGCTTGTGAGTGAGGCGAAATCGCTGGTCCTGATCTCGCCTTTCGCAACATCGGTTTGGCGAACTTGCTGTTCCTCGGTCGTTTGGTGGGCGACGCGTTGCTGCTGCCGGGTGAACTTCTTCCACCTTCACTAATGGACTTGCCGACCTTCGCCGAGCTGTATCGCAAAGGAACGGGGAAGGGAGGCGGATTGTTGCTTTCCAAAGAACCGGTGGTGGATTGGGAGTGCGAAGACTGATGGGCAGCGGCTCCGCTTGATATTAAGGCTGCTCTTCTCATGTTGTTTGATTTGGCCGATGGGATCCTCTTCAATTTCAGACCCATGTTCTGACGTTGGGAACCTCTGCGTGGGCTCGTCCTGGTTTGGAAGAGGATTGCCTTCATCTCTGGCGGTAAGCTGTCTTCAGATAGCCGGAGGTTCTCCAGAGCAGCTGCCTCACCTGCAGATACTGCTGTACTCTCACTGACATCCTCCAGCCGAAGGTCTTGGGAGACCATTTTTCCAGATTTGAGAACAAATTTCGCGGTTGGGCGACAAAAAATATCGTCTTCTGCGAAGGTGTCTTCTTCGATATAGTCATCACGATTGTCGGCGTCGTCATCGAATCCGGCGAAAAGACTACTTGATCTGACGGGTCGGGGCATATTTGAGGCAAAATCTCTCGTGAGAGGTCCATTGTCGTTCACAGGAGGTATCTTGGACGGCCCAGCCATAGCCGAACGCCTCGACGCAAACATGGAGGTACCGGGAGATACTCTGCTTCGAGGGATTGGAGGTGGTAAGGCCCTGGATGAAATTGGTGGCCTGTAATGACTTGACAATGGAGCAGGTGGCATTTCGGAGGGTGGGACAATGGCTCTTATATCGACTCGAATTTCTTCGGTCTGCATAGAAGACGACTTGTATCCTCCCAGTAAGTGGTTAGCGACCTGGGTACTTGCGTTCTTGGTTCGGGGTGGTAGCACAACATTAGTTTCAGGTGTGGCAGGTCTTGACGCGGGAGGGATAATGGCAATCAGGGGAACCTTCAAATCAAGAGTCTCCTCGCTTGCTGTGTGCTTGTGGCTGAATTGGTCGAAGACTGGTTGTGCGGGATCGGTCTGGGTTCCAATGGTGGCGGTCTCAACTCTTTCCAGAGCACTCTCTGGAATTGTAGCCAGCCCTGCGTCGCGCTTGTCAGGTGTAAGGGGTGGACTCGGGAGAGCTTCGACAGTCTGACAGCCTGAAGATACCATGATAGGTCGCTGCTTTTCCCAGGCGATATCAATACTGTCTTGCGGGCTGACCGGGCTTGGGGTAACATTAATTTGTCTGGCATTTCCAATTGAAATCTCTGAGGGTCGGTGGCCGTTGGCCTTGGGTCGTGGATCTGTGACCGGCCACGGGGACGATGGTGGGGAGAACTGAATGGCAGTATCTACATATTTGATGCTTGGTCGACGTCGATTCCCCTCCGCAGAAATGGCACCCGAACGATCATGCTCAGGGCTGTCATTACGTTCCATATCCTCAAAGTCGACAGGTAGACCCAACACCTTCCTCGCTTTGATGGATAAGCTAGAGGCGGGTCGAACGTGTTCCTCTGGGAGTGCGTCAGGGGACACCCGGCCATCGTCATTGTCAAGTGCATTTAGCATGTCTTCTTCCATCTCATCAAAGGCCAATTCGTCGGCCAAGTTGATGGAGATGCCATTGTGGAAACTCAACACCGACACCCGACCTCCATGAGTGTCGCTGTTGACCGACGTCGCACTGTGCCTCCGGCCTCTCCGAGCAATGATGGAGCCTTTGCTTGGGCTGTCCATTATACTGTTGCGGCTGTGCGCACGCTCGGTGGGGGAGGCAGGGGCTGGATGCTGCTGAGCATTGGCGAGTTCGCTCAGCACGACCTTCAGCCGACCTTCGGCAATGTGGACTTTGGTTTCGAGGCCACGCTTTTCTGCGAGCCAAGTCTCCTTGTCCTTATCCCACAAGGCTTGGGTCTTCTCCGCCGTGTCCTCCTGGCTTTTGGCCTTCTTCTGGGTTTGTTCGAGACGCTTGCGCAGATCCGTGACATCGCTCAAGGCGTCATCTCGTTCTTTGGCCAGGTCGTTGAGAGCGGACAAGGTACCTCCTTCGAGCATTTGCATCTGCCGCTTGACTGATCTCGTCTCCTTGTTGGCCTGCAAGAGGTTGTTATTGAGGACCTCATTTTGAGTCTGGGAGGCGTGGAGGCTGATTTCCAACTTTTCAATGTCATTGGTGCGACTCTCGAGGTCTCGCCGTAACGACAGGATTTCCGAGACCAGCGAGGCATGGAGCGTGGGTGTAAATCGTCGTGGATCAAGTGGAGAGATGTTCTCGTCCAAAGCAGGGTTGGAGTGAATGGAATCATTACTTCGTCTTTTGCTGGCTCGTTCCTCGGGCATTGGGGGAGGTGTAGATGAGGGCGACATGTCTTCGTACCGCCGGGAACGGAGGGATTGAGAACTGGACGGTGTTCGATATGGAGTGTCTGTGGGCGAAGGTAGCGAGTAGCTGACCTCGGGGTCCATTATTCGTCAACGGTCGTTGTGCCCTCGATGAGGCCCCAGTTCAAATGCAGCCCGCGTCGGGCATACACATATTCTGGTCGCTTGAATAGCTCGTCTTTGTGCTTCTGATCCCTGTAGCGAATAGTGACATAAATCACTACTCAGCGAACCTTGCAGCACATGACGGGAAAACGACTCGAACGCAACAACAATTATTGAGCCAACGGGGGCTTGGAGGGTTCGCACCGCGGGCTCGTGAGAGGTCTCGAAGAAAGCAGCGGATTGAGACGGTGAGATGGTCATGCAAGATTGACAAGAGAATAGACAGAACAGCACCTGAGGCTCATGCAAGCGCGGACAAAGCAACGAACGTCTGCGATAGGATTGACAGATGGACAGGAGAAAGCTTGCTGCACTGATTCCAGCCTAGTCTGTGAAATGGAGAGACCGGACGAGGGCAAGGGTAACGATTGACGAGGGATTGCTGCTTTGAAGCGAAAAGAGTCGAAAAAGGGCCGGCGAGGTCAGGCCTGATCCTCTGGCTTGGGTCGAGCGAAGCCCGTTCGCCTCAAAGTGATGCTCAGGATTTTGTTCATAGGCAGGGAAAGAGAGTCGCCCGCAGTCGCGTCTGGGAGCGGAGCCATGGGCTTGCTGGGCCACCTGGGCGAGCTGGAACTGATCGGCCGGCATAGGCGCAAAATTGGGCCAGGAATTGATTGGGCATGAGGGCATTGAATCGCGGGAAAATCATTGCTCAGGGGCATCACTGGGCGCAGGCGAGGACGTCTATCTGACCAGGGATTGCAGGGTGGAGTTGGGCAAAATGAAAAGAGACCAACCCTAAGGGAATGAGGCTCGAGCTCGGGCGGTGGGTGGTGGGCGGTGGGCGCGGGGCTAGCAACCGACCAGGGCTGCTGCCATGGGACGGGGGCATCCGCCTTAGCCCGAGAGGGACGACGCAGCTTAGTCTGTCTGGTGGCAGTTCTTGGGCGTTGAAGAGCTGGGGGGGTCCCGTGGCGGACGTTGGGTTGGTGGTCGTGGTGGTGGTCGTGGCGGCCACGTTGGAACGGTGATGGTCCAACGGTGACTTTGTGCTGTTATCTGTACGCGCACGAGTTCTACAATTCCTGCAGCAGTCTCGAAATACGCGATACCCATACTCCGTACCTCCTCGTCAAGACGTGTGCGGAAATGCTGGGTGAGACTTTTGAGACCACAAGATCGGGGTTCCAGGCTTCAGGCCACTGCAGGTCCGATTGAGCTAATAGGCCCCAGAAGCCCAGGGTGAGTGGTAGTAGCCTAGTAGGGGCCACCAGGGCGGTTTTAGGGTCTTCAGCAGCAACGGGCCGGTCTGGAGTCAAGTTCCTGGTGGCATGTCTAGTGTGTTTCATGTTCCCCACCAGGTGCCCACCGCTGCCACCACTGCCACCAGGCTGTCACCACCGCCGGAAGATTCTCACCAGTAGCTGGCCACTAGCCTTTCCGTCTGGGGGGCTTTGCCATTTGATCGAGGTACCAAATTGACAATTTCCTGGGGGACCGACAGGTTTTTTTTTTCCTCCGTGGTCGTGGGCAGTTGTACCGAGTACCTCGTGGATGATGGACACTGATGATAGAAAAGAGGTGGAAGGGGAGGGAAATGATAATAAGGAGGGACTGGCCACAGACAGACCACAGACTGGCTGTGACTGCGGCACTGTACGTACATGTGCATGCAATAAACACACTGGGTGCAGGTCGCAGCTGGGCCACTCCTCCGTCCGTACTACTACTACTTGTCCCTCTCGTCTGGCTCTGGCAACCCCTTCTTCGTTCGTCCTCCCTTCTGTTCTCCTCCGTCTAGGCTTCCTGCATCGCCTTCCCGTCCCCCCATCCTGGTAAATGATGCATGGGGGGAACAAAACCACCGTCACCGGCATGCAGCATGAACTGTTACCCACCTTTCTCGTAGTCCTACTTCTAGTCCGGCTCAGGTCGGTGCGCTTCTCTCACTCTCGCTTACTGCGACCGTTGTGTTGGTCATGGCCTATTTCGGCGGCCACCCAGTCGTATCGAGTCAGGTTGTGCTGGATCCTTTTCCTCCTTCACATTGCCCTTTGCCGCAACTCCGTGCGGGCTCGTACCTTGGACGAGGCCATATTTAGGCTTCTGTGCTTGTGCAAATCTTCTGTTTCGCAGTAAATTCTCCGATCGCAAGGTTTGGGTCTTTACCTGTTTCCTTGTTCCGGCATGTTGATCATGCTCCGTGCACCGACAACAACGTCGCACAGGATCAATGCTTGCTGTACCCGAACCCTCATGGTGGCGGCCACTCTTCCCATCACACTTTTAACGTGGGTGTGTCACGCCCATCAACAATATTCCCTAGTGGTCTGCACGCTGTGACCCTGTCCATCACATCCTGAAATCAAACCTTGACTGGCTGCCACAATGCTAGCAAACAACAACAACAACATCACTGCTACTACGAATGATTGACCATCATCTTCCCCTCCTTTGGGTGGCTTTTTCGGTTCCTTCCTCCGGCTTGTTCGCCTCGCCTCGTGTTTGAGACCCCGTCAACGTTCTTCCCCCTTCGCTTCCTGTCCAAGTTCCAAAGAACCAGGAACTGCTGTCATGTCGTGTGTGTGATGTTGTTTCACCTTTCCCTGCCATCTTCCAGGTTGATCCACGACTCGTTGGGCATCGTGCCCGATGTTTGATTGCCCACAGGTTCTTTTCCCCTTGTTGTCGATCAAACTGGACTTGATCACCCCGAGGATGTTCTGTATCGAGTACGAGTAGTAGTTACCCTTCGAAGCTCCCTGGCTTCCCTCGGTGGAGAGGAGGAATGGGGCTAGCCTCCGCAAAGTTCCCTCTCTTTTCTTGGTAGCCGGTTCCTCTACCAGGTGCTATCTCACACTCGCCTCGCGCTTGGACATTACCTTCACAGTGACACAGGATCATGACACGGAGATACGGAGTACTCTCGCACTCCTCGGAGAATGTCCGAAGTCATCAATAATAATTGAACACACACAAAGACACCTACAACATGCACTGGTCCCTTGTTCCCATGCCATCCCATGCCATGCCGAGGTTGGAGATCCCCAATCGTCTCTGCCAGCTGCTTGAACCGTTCCTGTATCTCCAAACATTGAGTTGAACTCCACGGCTTGAACGACAGTTCATGCGATCTGCCCCGGAAAAAGACGCTATCTTTCGTCATCACTGTGAACCATTCCTTTCCCCAAACCTCTGCCTGTACCTGTGTTTGGATGACTCACACAGACACAGACAGTTAGAGTACGGCAACATTCCACGAGCAATGCATTGAGACAATCCAGCTAAGTCGATCTTCTTTCATTACTGAATCACTACCTTTGATTCCTCCCACCCCCCGCACAAGAAGAAAAGACCATGTCCACAACCAACCCCCCCAAAGCCCTCCTCACCGATGTCTTTGGCACCGTGGTCGACTGGCGCTCGAGCGTGACCAAGTACCTCACGCTCTCGGCGTCGGAAGCCCTCAATTCCCCCACGGCCTCGATCCCCAGCGGCGCGCGCACCGCGGCGGCGCAGATCTCGTGGGCGGCCGTCGCCCAGCTGTGGCGCACCTCGTACTACCACTTCACGCGGACGTACGACCCCGCGGCGGCGCAGAAGGACCCCTCCAAGTTCAAGACGGTGGACCAGCACCACGTCGAGGCCCTGCACCAGATCCTGGTCGACCACGGCCTCGAGGGCCTGTGGACGGACGAGGAGGTCCAGAAGATCAGCATGATCTGGCACTTTCTGGACCCCTGGCCCGACTCGTCGCCGGGCCTGGGCAGGCTGAACGCCCGCTTCGAGACCGCCACCCTGAGCAACGGCAACACCGCCCTGCTGCGCGACCTCGCCACGCACGGCCACCTGCCCTACAAGCACATCCTCTCCGGCGAGGACTTTGGCGCCTACAAGCCCCATCCCAGCGTCTACCTCGGCGCCGCCCAGAAGCTGGGCCTGGAGCCCGCCGAGTGCGCCCTCGTCGCCGCCCACCTCGGCGACCTCAAGGCCGCCCGCGGCTGCGGCTACCAGACCATCTACATCGAGAGGCCGCAGGAGGAAGGCTGGTCCAAGGAGGACACCGAGCAGGCCAAGCAGCAGGGCTGGGTGGACATGTGGATCGGCCTCGACGAGGGCGAGGGAGGCTTTCTGGAGATTGCCAGGAGGTTTGGCGTCCAGTAACCAACGGGCCCGTGTGTGGTTTATCCTTGGGATGCTGGACATGGCTGGTATCTCCGTGGGGCGAGCCTTGCCTGCCATACCCTAAAACAAACAATACATATAGCACAAAACAATGTAGATCTCGTATATATCATCCGTCAAAAGATGTAGATACGACTGCCACGCAAAGAAGCTGGGAAGAAGTACTTTTTGTTCCGAACGTAGTCATGATTACTTCGTACATTATTCCAACCTCTTGTTAGAAAAACGCTTTTTTCTCCAGATCTGGCAGTCTACATCGGCCCAAACTCCACGAGCACTCCATCCATAGCCCTCAACTACGCTTCCCGGACTCCACGTCTGTCTCTGCACTGCCGACATAGCCTTGTTTAACTAACCCCTTCTTATGGGTTCTCATTTCCTCTTTCTTGCGGCTCTCTCTCTCTCTCTCTCTCTCTCTCTCCCCTGAATCTTCCAGCTCCATGCCCCCATGCTCTTCACAGCGCCAAGTGCATGCTCGGAGCTCCCATCTTCTTCTCGGCCTTCTTGGCCGCCTTGTACCACTTGGCGTTGGCGTCGCTGTACGTGGTCCGCCGCTTGATCACCCTGCGCGGGTGGAATTCGCCGTTCTCGTCAAAGCCGCCGTCCGCACCGTCGTCCTCGTCCGCGCCGTTGTGGGTGCTGGCGGGGCTTCCCACGCTGGCTGTGGCGGCCGCGGTGGTGGGCGTGGCGACGTCGTCGTCGTCGTCACCGACGTTGGGGGAGTCCACGTCCGCGCCGAAGATGGCGCCCATGCCGGCCTTGTCGCCGTGCGCGCTGAACGGATTGGCCGAGGCGGCGCCGCCCAGGTTGCCTCCGGTGGGCAGGGTGCCGAGCGTCAAGCCGTTCACTTTACGCGTGGTGCCCTCGATGAGTTCCTTCTCCTCTTCATCCGTCAGGGGCTCGATGTCCGGGATCGGCCCGCGCGGGATGATGACGGGCCATCCATGGTCACTCCCTCCGTGCATCTGGCGGCCCTTCGCCCGGAGGTAGCCGTACTTGTACACTTCGAAGAAGGTGGTGTTTTTGAACACCCCGCCGTTGGTCCGGTCGGACGTGTCCCAATAGAGGTTGCGCAACCATTTCGAGAGGCGAGGGTAGTCGTGCCGGATCATCTTCAGGTTGCAGTTGAAGATGTTGTAGTATGCCACGTCGAAGCGCGCGAGGGTCGTGTAGAGCCTGATGTCCGCTTCGGTGATGGATTCGCCAAACAGGTACGGTTGGTGGGACGGATCCTTCAGGTGTTCCTCGAGACGGTCCAGTGACCTGAAGAGAGGGTAGACGTTGGCGTCGTAGGCCTCCTGCGTGGTTGCGAACCCTGTTTTATACACGCCATTGTTGATGGTGTGATACACCCACTCATTCATAGCGTCGATCTCTGCCCTCAGGTGTGCAGGATAGAATCCACCACCGGGTTTGTTGACTTCCCTCTGGTCGGGTTCTAGAAAGTCGTCGAATTGATCGTACAGCATGCGGATGATCTCGGACGACTCGTTGTTCACGATGGTCTCGGTCTTCTTGTCCCATAGCACGGGCACGGTGTAGCGGCCGGTATAGCTTGGATCGGCCTTCAGGTAGAGCTGCTTCATGCCTGTGAAGCCGTATAAAGGATCGGCGCCCAAGCTGCCGTTTCGCCCGCTGAAGGTCCAGCCGTTCTCGGTCAGGTCGAAGTCGGTGGTAATGAGCTGGATGACGGGTTCGAGCGACTTCAGCCCACGGACGAGGATGGTTCGATGCGCCTTGAACGAAGTGTCAGCCATGAGTCTATACCCGCCGCGCCAGGGGATGTGTAGGAGCTGGCTTACCCAAGGGCAACCATAGTTACCATAGAGGGCGTATCTACCCTTGTCGGGGTGGAACTTGGAACCTGGCTCTTTGGAGATCCAGTCACGGAACTGGCTATCTTTTCGGCGGAAATGGCCATCAGCGTCGGCATGTTGATGTGTTGGTCGCTGGCATGAAGTCAGTCGGCGTGGGAGAGGACAGGTGTGGCCAAGCTCACCGAGTCCCCCATAATATCGTCCTGGAATTAGGTGGTTGAGGATCTCAGAGCAGGTGAAGGCGAGATTTCAGGATCCAGGACCCCAGGTGCACCGATCAAAATGGGCCAGAGAGATTCTACAGCTCGACGGGAAGGAAGACGACGAGGTCCTTGGGTTGCGGACTCAGGCAAGACAAAGTGATGTGCAGCGAATCTGGTCAGTGGTCACACCGTCCAACACACGACAGGGCCAATATATGCAGTTGGTGAGACCAAGAGAACGAGAGGGCAAAGGAAAGGATTTCCAACCCAACTTGAGGCTTTCCGCAGGTCAATTGTTCAGCTGCATCTCGAACGTCTCAGCTGCGGATATGGTGCTTACTCGAGACTTTTCAGGCTCTCCGCGCCCAATTCCGCCCCGCAAAACGCAGGCAGATTGGCAACGCAGGCAACACGTGCAGGAGGTTGGGATGCCCTTCGGAGTCCGTATTTCTCGTTCGAGTCCTTTGCCTTGACACATGAGGCGAGTAGAGCTTCAACCGACCCGTCTGGGGGCCGGGTGAGCTTCTCTTGTCTTGTCGATCCATGGTTGGTTGTTGTTGAAGCTTCACCCGTGCTCAGCAATGGCCAGCCCGCCTGAAATGAGGGCATTGGGAAAAACCAACGACGTCATGGCCAGGGCCGAATGTCGAGCCCATGCATGCGCCGAGGAATCGAGGCTCTCGTGGATGATTGTGGCACCTCTTCGGGCTTACAGAAGTGACTGTCTCTAGGTACTCCCGTTCTGTGGTACAGCAACCTCGTCCATCAGACGACAACAACAACAACAATCAATCCGAATCTGCTCTCTCACGGCGCGGTGAGAGTGCGGGGGTGAAGGACCTCTTACCTAACACTGCCAAACTTCGCCATCCCGTCAGTCATCGGTGGCCAGGCACGACTGAGAGGATGAATAATGGGCGCCGGAAATTCCGCTGCTGTCTGCCTTCGCGACAATATGCACTGAGGCGATTGACATGAATATGAAAGAAGTCGGAGATGCCATCTATTGTAGACGACAACATGTGACACCGCCTCAGTCACCCTGACGTTAAAGGCAAACACGGAAACAATCATGATATGGATTTGGCTCGAGCATGGCATGCACTGGACTCACTTTCGGGAACAGCCAAACTACGAGTATCCTCTGCTGCCTCGAGCTTTTGTATGCCCGCTCACGCTCAGATTTACAAGCGTCTGTTCAGGCTTCACGGGTGAAGACTCCATTCTGGACAAGCCACGGCAACTACCCTACCAGAGGTATGTCCCGCGGTGTCCCTGCGACTCAAGGAAACTATTGCTCCACATCAAGTTCCTTCGCTCTCTTCGACGCATTTCTGCCTTCACATGCCGAATGATGCGTTGAGTCCACAGGCAGTCTGATCCGATGTGCAGCTGGACGCACGATGGCGGTGAAGTTGAGCCACCACTCAGCTCAAGAACTGCCTCGACTCTGTCAAAGTGGTTCACGTGACTAGTATTTCCTAACCTCTTGTATTTACAAACGAATATAGTCTTGCCCTTGAGCCTGAAGGGCTCCAGGGACACAATCGACCTTTCACACTCTGACAGTCTCCCATACTGTAGCTCTGCTTTGTTGTCACTCCTGCCTTCGCTAAAGATCGGAATCGGGGGCGTTTCGCGATTGCGCGGACTTATTGAGAGTCTCATAGCGCAAAGTCCCAAGCCTGAAACGGAAGACCAAGGGCCAATGAAAGGGGGAGGTGCAAAGTCATTGCACATGAATCGTCTCGCCATGGATGGCCAAGTTAATGGTGATCGGCAACGCCTCGCATTGATGACTCTGCATGGAACATCGGCTGTGATAACCTGTGGAAGGGGGGATAGAGATGTGACCCCACGTCGAAGAAACAATCCACATCTGTCTAGCCGCAGGATTAAACATATCAAAGTCTCGCAGCACCCGAAACCTTTGTTGACCCGGTTTGGATTTGTCAAGGAAACCACGTTATCGACCCTCCCAGCCATCTCGATAGAGAACTATCTTATCCGATAAGAACGGCGGCCCGTCCTGCAAGACGGCGAGACGTCGAGCTTAAATCAGCATCAAGGATTTCGGATTGTTTGGGGGATACTGGGATGAACGGGTGGCTGTTCACCATCAAGCCCGATGAAGTTGCTTCTGCGCGGGTGGAGTTGAAGGGCGGACGAGAGCGGGGACCTGTTTTCGCCGAAGAGGAAAGGCATTATTAGCCGTTGAACATGTCCGTGGAATGATGGATGGTGTCAACCTTGAATCCTCACAGTACTTGGTTGTATGGATTGCATTGTGATTTGGCTGCGAAGGAGGAATATGCCAGTGTTTAGCAGTCGCACGCATCGTTTATTCGCTGCTCTTTGCTCTTTGCTTGCTTTGAGCTTTACCTTGTTCGTATTCTGTCCACCCCTCATCATGTGGCGCCTGCATCATGCAGGAAAAGCTTTCCTCTCGACACCCATTGCCAGCTGACAAGTTGTGTTTTTGGTGCTGGAGGATTGGCATTGGCATTGGCGGGTCCCGACACGCAAGCCGAATGTTCGTGTTCTTGCATCAAGCGATGCATGGCGAAGAGCTGTCATAGCTTCACCGTACTCGTCAATCACGCAAACAAGCCATGATCTGCAAAACATGGTCTTGATACATGAGCGCCCCTTCCGCTTGTGCAAGTCACCGAGCAGAGGCGGCCGTGCGTGGCCTGAGTCTGACTGCCCAATACGGGCATTCGCCTGTCCTCACCGAGCATTCATTGACCCTCTCAACCTGTAAATCGGATCCGTCCTCGATCATCGTTTCTCCGGCTGTCGGATCCCCTGTTTGGTTTTTGTCCTGCAAGTTCTGACACGGACCCTTCTCGCACAATTGCTGGAGTTCCGAGATTCGGGTAATGGGGACCTTCGTCCAAGAGAATGATGCAACAATGGCAGGGATCTGGGGCAACTGGGGATCGAGAGCGGTGGGACATATTACTCCATAGGGAGCGCCCCCATGCGGAATGGATCCAATAATAGTGGTCCATGAAGATTGGAATAAGGTCGGGGGTGTACGGATGTATCCCGGTGGACAGGTTAGACAGTGTATAGCCATGTTTCGTGTCCTGGTTAGACCCACGGAGAGAGAATGTTCGGTGCCCAAGTGCTTAACTTAGGTGCTGGCGGTGGTGATTTTGACTCCTCCCAATCTGCTGTCTAGGATCAGTAGCCGGGGGCCGGACCCGAAGACTGATACGAGTTACAAGCAGAGCAGCGAGAGAAGACCGAGGGGGTTTTAGGGGGAGGAGATGGAGAGCCAGAGGAAGAGGTGAGAAACGAGAAGCCAAGGGGCGAGTACTTGGTCGAGGTACCTCGTACATACCTAGGTCAGTGCCTAGCTGACTGCGGCCCGTGACTACCTGTACCTAATGGCTAGGTACGCGGTACTTGGGACTGTGACTATAACCCATCTAGTCGACTGGTTACAATGGTGCAAGAGTTGCAACTCGGCTCGAATGGCTACTACGCAGCCAGAGAGTCGCTTTGGGAGGTAGCAGTTATATCATCTCTGGCCATAACTCCATGGCGTCTGCTGTTGGCGGAGGTGGGCGCAGGCACAGGCACAAGCGCAGCTGCAGGTGCATGCCACCGGCAACAAAGTCGAGTAGGCTTTAACTAGTAATGCAGGTCTGCAGGCGAAGAGGAGACCCTTGTACCTGTGTGCCTTGGGGCCTTGGGGCCTTGGGGCTTTGGGGGGGGTGGAGGGGGCTTGGGACCCTACTCTACTCGTACGAGTCGGCCCTTGACGACTGGGTACTAGGTACACCCAGTGGTCACTTACTGGCACCGCTGCTGTCTAGCCCAACTTCTCCATCCCCGTCCATCATCTTCTACCACCAAAAGGTGGACCTCCAAGTAAAGCGTTGCCGAAAAGGATACCCACGGTGCCTGCGGCGCTCATGGCCTGCAGCTGTCATATTGCAACACCCGCACCATCCCCAAGCCGTAAATCTGCAAAAAAAAATTGTCCCTTGTGTGGTCCAGTGCCTGCTTTCTTTTCTTGCTTTTCCCACCATTTCCGAGCAATCATCTGTCTGAAGTAAACCACACCCTCAATCCCAGGGACGCCCTTCAACGCCTCGCATACATATGTCAGATCCCCCATATCGACATCTTACTTAGGTCTCTCTGCACTGCCAGCGCCCTTGCCCCCCCATTGGCCCGCAAACCCCCGTCGATCCCACCGCATTCGCCCCCAAAGAAGCAACCATCGCAGGGCAATCCTCGAAAAAGCCATCGCTCAGCCTCGAGACATCTTCGAGACACATCCCGACCTCTCAGAGTCCAGAATATCCCGACTGTCCTCGAAAAAGGACCTCGAGTTCCTGCCGCTGTCCCAAAACCACTCGCAGTTCTCCCGACAGATCGGTAAAAGCAACGTCGGCTCAAGTCACAGAACCCTCCTTCCACAAGGTTTGCTTGCTCCCAAAATCACCCCTCAAATACCCCGAACTGCAGGACTGATCAGCGACTTCTTGCTCCGACGGCAGGTCTCTCACCAGCAAAACCTCCCCTGCGTCTCGTTTTCCGTTGATCGACTGCCGACCTTCAAAGATCACCCTGCCTGCTTCCGATCCCTGTGCAACTTGCAGTGCCTTGCATTGCTGTTCAAATTGCTGCTGCCGGCCGATACCCTACAGCCAAAGCCGTTGCGACAGACGACTTTCTGTTCTGCCTAGAGGTCGTACTGGACACTATTCAACTCAGTTTCCGAGTTAGAGAAGAATATACAGGAAAGATCTCCGCCGTGTGACCAGCCGACCACATTGACTTGCCCTCTCTCGACTGGTCCAGTGACAATCGGTTCTGCCGAGGTCTAGGCCAGACCCTTATACAACACCCTTACCGCAGCTGGTGATTTTTTTTTAATTAGACGTCCTCATTGTCCAACCCAACGCAGTCGCGCCTTTTCGCACGGGCGGATGTGTCAGTCTTGCTTGTCAAGTCTGTCAAAGCCTTTGTGAGTCGATTCCAAGTACGAGCTTTCGGGTTTACCATAAGCCCACCCCACGTCGGCATCGAGGACTGGCATCTATCATGACGGGGAAGATGACCCTATATAAACTGGTGGTGCTGGGAGATGGCGGTGTTGGGAAAACGGCTTTGATAATTCAGGTTCGTCTGCACAGGCCCCCTTGCGTCGACTGGTTGCTGAGCCCCCCTTGCAGTTATGTCTGAACCATTTTGTCGAAACCTACGACCCTACCATTGAAGACTCTTATCGGAAACAAGTCATGATAGATCAGCAGGCGTGCATGCTTGAAGTTCTCGATACTGCCGGACAAGAGGAGTATACTGCGCTGCGCGATCAATGGATCCGCGACGGTGAAGGATTTATCCTCGTCTACAGCATCACCTCGAGAAATTCTTTCAGCAGAATCCAAAAGTGGTATTCCCAAGTACAGCGAGTCAAGGAGTCAGGCCATCCGAATTCGCCTACCGGCGCGAATTATCTCCAATCTCAAATGCCCGGACAGTCCACGTACAACGGTCCTCCCATCATTATGTTGGTTGGCAATAAGAGCGATCAGCACCATGAACGAGAGGTTCCTTTCCAAGAAGGCCAAGCACTGGCCAAAGATCTGGGCTGCGAATTCGTCGAGGCGTCGGCCAAAAACTGTATCAATGTCGAAAAGGCCTTCTACGATGTCGTGAGACAGTTGAGGAGACAGCGACAATCACCCATGAAGCCAATTGACCGGAAAGGCACAAACTACATGTCACAACCGACTCCGCGGAACAACTTTGACTCGGATCACCAACGGATATACCGCGACCACAACAAAAAGCGTGGTACCAAATGTGTTATTCTATGAATGAGACTAAGCTTAACCAACGTCCCAAGGATTGGTGCTTGATATGAAGCTATGAGCCACTCATGTCCAGAGCTGACGACAGTTTTAATGTCGGGATCTGCGGTGCAACCAAAATTTCTGTTATCCCCCCGGAGTTCCACATTGATCATCTCGAAAGACGCACACCACCGCCTCTATGCATGTGGACAGAAAGAAATCCAATCTGTCGGGACATGGACATCCTCGGCATTTTTTTATCCACACGGCGCCATTTTCGCTTGTTCCCTCCATCCCGCTACCTCGACGACAACTCATGTGTCCCGCTGGCCTTGGTTTGAGAGGACTCCATCGGCACGAAGAAAGCTTAGAACAGCGACCAGACCTATTGCAAGTGAAGAACACCGTATGAGCTACAGTACAGCAGCACCATTTATCAAACTCCAGTGTACAATATATTCACGCCTAAGATATTAGAAAGGGATATGTCTCCAAATGTCAGAAGCTTTCCATGCCCTGCTTAGCTCCGAGCCAACCTGCATGTGTGGCAAGCCCGATTCGACAGCTGCTCGTGGAGCAGGGACGGACAAGAATCTTGATGGATGTGCAACGTGGTTGGGCATGGTTCGGGCTTTCAATATGGGACTCCACGACACCGGCATAACAGCCCCATCTGGCATGGCTACCTGGACTGGCGCCGGGGCGACGACAGATGTGGCGCGGCTTCATGTATTGAAGTTCCAAACTGAGGCCGAGGTCGTATTTGACCGACCGTCAACCTGGCACTGGGTTGGATGGGCACCAAGAGGAGGGCCGTGATATCTACCGAGTACTCGGTACATTGATGGGAGGGGCACTCCGGACCTCGTGTGGTTATGCTCGGAAGTCGAAACGGCGGAGATCAATCAGGTCTCCAAGAATTGGTTTGGGCTTTTTGCGGGACCAGGGAAGAACCAGGCACCCAACTTGCAGGCTACTGTACTTGCGGCTAGTTAGAGCGAACAAAGTCGTATAGACAAGACAAACCAGGCACAGTCTCGCGTGGCTGTCAAAAAGTTAAACCGAACGGAGTTTCCCAGCTTGTCCCTTTGTGCCCAACGCCCAGCGCCATCCAGCCCCTGGGCATGCCCGTGGCCGAATCAGACACGGCCGGGGGCCAACAGTGGTTGACGACGGCGACCAGCAGCTCGTATATCTGCCTCGAAGAGCGGGAGCGTCGGCGTCGAAGCTTTGGAGCCGGCGACGAACCAAGCAACAAGACGAATAAGCCCGGAACGTCGGGTCACTGGCGTTGGCACTGGCACTGTTACTCCAGGTAGGTAGCCAGGTACTCGTACAGCGGGTAGGAAGGTAGGTAACTAGCTAGGCTAGGAGGAGGCGCCTTAGGGTCGGCGAAATCGTCGTAGCTTCTCCCCCCTCCCCTCCCCTCCCCCCTTTGCGAAAAGATGTCGTCGCATAATAGTGGTAGGTAGGAGTTGAGATGAGGAAGGAAATCCAATTCCACCCCATCCACCCCGGCCATCCATACAAGACCATGCAATGCCGCAATCGTGGGAGGAAACCCGGCGTGGAAAGCAGCGGGAAACAAGCAACAATAATAATGCGGAGAATCGAGAAAAGTATGTTGTCTCCCCTCTCCTACATACCCACCTACGTACCTACCCAAGGTATCTGTGTAAGTAGATACTACGGAGTAGAGGCGCAGGCTTCGGGAGTCCTGGGCTGGGGGGTCAAAAGTTGGACAACGCCAGGACGAGCACGGCGCCCTCTGGTCATCGCTTGCTTCGAGGACGAGTCCGCCTCCTCATGCGTGCGAGGTCCCCAATAGCAGGGAGGAAGTCAGTCAGTCAGGCACATCACCCTACAAATACATACACATATAACGGGTCTATCTGTCAGTGAATGGGCACAACAACAAATACAATGAATGCAATTACTTCGAGGCATTCCTGGGTGCAAGCCAAGGCCTGGTCTGCCACCGTTGCTGCTTGTCCCCGCTCTTTTCACGCTCTCTTTCGTGCCTTGAAAGACGCCATGAGAAGGGGGGGGAGGCATTTGGGCTTTCCATGTGCAAATTCGTCGCCAACGACAAGCAATCAATCAATCAATCAATCAATCAATCAACTGGATATATTCTCCGCCGCGCGCCCCCACCAACACCAACGCCCCATTCTTTCTCGTGTTCGTTGGGAACTTCCTCAATTATTATCGTGCAGGTCAATCAATCCTTTTCCCCTTTTCGGGTGCCCGCTATCGCTATCGCGTCCGTCCGTCCGTTCGTTCGTTCGTTCGTGGATGTCGGGCGGGCCTTGGGGTTCTTTTCGCCCAGGTGACGGAACGGGATAAGATCCGCATATCGTGATGGTGTGTGAACCATGTGCTCACTGCCAGACACGTTGCAGATCCATGTGGCCCTGGTCCCCGGGGGACCTGCATACGGGGTTTGTCCGCTGGATCGGCAATGGGGCAATGGGCAATGGGGCAATGGGCAATGGGCAATGGGGCAATGGGCAATGGGCAATGGGCAATGGGCAATGGACAAATAATGGGTCATCGTCTCCCAGGGAAGTTCCGGTCTGCTTTTCGCTGTCGCGTGCCTGGGCAGTTGCCCCCGGAAAAGACAGTATACCTGAGTGTGAGGGGATTGGCTCAACCGTGTTGCTCACGGTTAGAACCCGCCGAGTGGTGAAGTGTGTCTGAAGCGGGCAAGGCTGCGTACAAGGTTGAGATGTCCAAGGGCAAGGCTGGGGGAAACACATCCCAGGCGCACACGTGAGGCGTCGTCTTCACCACATGCACTCTGGAAAACTGTGGAACAACGAAGCCAGCGAGCTAGACGCCGATTCTACTCGAGACTGAGGCTCTGTCATGATCTGTCCCTTTGACGGCACAGATGAATCAATTAGTCTGCTCGCTTCGCTCAAGCTGCCGCTTTCAATCGGGCAGATGTGCGCAATCATTGATGTGATTGTACGCATTCACCCAGCGTGCCAGATGCGAGCTTTCGGCTAGACCAAATGGTGCAAGGCATCCAAAGGGAAACGGGCTCCCCGAGGGCGCGGCAGCTGTCCTGCTTCGCTTTCCTTCCTGTGGCCTTGAGACCCCCGTAGTGTCCTTCAGGTCAGATTCTCAATTCGGCCGACAAGGAAACAACGAGCATGTGCAAGCAGAGGGCTGTGGACACTTCAGAAGATCACCATCATACATCGTCAACCGGTTCCAGTGAGCCTTAGCGGCGCGGCACTGCCTCATATATCGACACGTAAGGCTGCTACTATTGAATGCGAAAGTGAGTAGTACAGAGGCTGGTGTCACACTTGCCCACTTAGGCGAAAGCAGGCAGTTTGGAGACCAAGTTCGCAATACTGCATGCATGAGTGGTGCGCTCCAGCCCTTCAAGGCGGCGGAACGAGAATGAGCGACTACGTCCCAGGAAAGGGAATACAGGCCGAAGGCGATACGTTGCTGAAACATCTATCAAGGCAAAATGCCCTTGGCCGCCTCTCCAACACTGGGTCCCAAGGATTATGCAGAGGAGAGATGCCACTTCTCAATCCGGAAGCCGAATCCTCAGCGGGCGGTGATCGCTTGGATGCATCTTTGACTTAAGCGAAATGGCGGCGTCTACAATGTCAACTGCCGTGCCGTCTCGCGTGGTAGAAAGCAAGGGCTAGGGTAGTGGCCGACTGATTATTGAGCTCGATCAAAAGTCCCATACTGAACTGTCTCGATGGGCATCTCCAAGAAACAGTGCCTTCCAGGAATTTCATTGTTCGAAAGAGACGCCAGATCGGAAGGACAGACTCTGCAACATTCGCGTCGTAAAGCTGTGGCCGACGAAGGATGGCGGAGCCGTATGCGTGTGCAGCGCTTCTGTTGTGGTTTGTCGGCGAACGAGCGCGCCCAAAATTTCCATCTTATATAGCAGACCCTGACTATTCGCAGGGTTGTGCCGAAGGTCCGTCTTCCGAGTCTTCGAATCCGTGATTGAGATTACCGTCTTCCAGATTGGTGGGAGGCGTAATCAACAACTTCTCAGTATCACTGAGTAACTTTCATCACCCTTGCTCGGATCGAGATGGCGACTGCGGCGAATGACGCTCTACGCGTTCCTGAGGGAGTGAACCTAGTACTGCTTCGAGGATAGTATTGACATGTGTGTGAAGGGTCTCGGTAGTAAAGGACCCAAGTGTTCGTCCAGCCCAGAATCAGAAAAGGGTTGGATGCCGTCTTTCGTCATCGTCCAATCAATAGCCCCATCACACGGAACCTGACATAGTTTTCTATGTTCCACAGGGCGGTAAGACCGTTGTGCGGCCCGAAGCCTGACATGCATGTTGTGTGGTGTGACCTTGTCGCCGTTGAACGGCATGAGAGAACCTGACGCTAGACCTCAAGAGAGATGTCCGCTCGTTGGGGTACGAGTATATTGCTTTTGCTTCGTCAAATGCTCAGGCTTCTGCTTGTTGTCTGCGAGGTGCACTCCTCCCTTTACCCTTCTTCGGAGAGGCAGCGATGTCATGTTTCAGGTGTGATATGACTCTCTTGTTTGTTTCCTTTTCCGCTTCAAGTGCTGAGATTCGAGCCTGCAGCTCTGCGATCCTCTTATCCTTGGCCTGAACAGCCAAACGAGTGATGTCTCGGCCCTTGATGATGCCTTGAGTGCGCAGGTCGTGCCTGTTAAGGAGATCCACTAATTCCCTCTCGACCTCCGGACTGATCGATGTGCCTCTCAATATATCGAGCGCTTCAGAAGCAAGCGTGGAGGGATCTGCTTCGCGCGAAATATGCAGGCTAGCTCTATTAGCTGGGGTACTGAACGGTGACAGCAGACCACTACCCATAGATTTATGGGTTGTGCTTGGAGTAGTGAAGACATCGTCGCTGAGAGGCCATGTTTCGTCAGCAGTGACGGACTGCGCAGCGGTCTGAACAAACTTCCTCTTGCCAGGCGATGTCAGCCTCTCTGTGCGAGGAGCTTTCGTGGGAGTTTGGAAGGGCGTCTTCCCCAATATGTCTTGCTCAGCCTTCAGCAATTCTTCATCATTACTGGACGACCAATCAAAGCTCTCTTCATGTTTGACGTTCGCAGGCTCTTTCGTGCCCTGTCTGTCAACGATGTCGTTTTTCGTTTGCGGTGTAGGAGGTAGAGCGTTTAGGTCTCTCTTCTGAGGTGTGAGGGGAGCGGGCGCATTGGGCTCTGTTCGAGAATTGCTGAGGACTGCAGCTTCTTCGCGGACTTTGGCATCATCGTTCCATAGGAAGAACTTGCACCGTTTGTGCTGCGGCTTTTGGCAAGTGTAGACTATCGCCATTCATCAATACCAGAACCCGAACATCCAGAAATCTTGACGTACACCATCTTCCATGGTTTTTGCCGCCATTTTTCACCTGAAACTTGTCTGCTGGCAGCCGAGGCTCACAATCGCAATGCCAGATACCGTCGAGGAAGGCTCCTCGTTTGGCGGTGCGGCCGTTCCTTGTGGTGTATGAGTTTGCCATTCCGGTCTCCGTCACACGATGGTCCGCATTGGTAGCGACTGTGCTGTCATATGATGGGGCAGCATGACTGTCATATTGATGTAGATGATCATCTTCGATACTACACGTTGGGTGGCGGGTAGCAGGCAGCAGGTCACTAAAATACTGGCCAACTGACAATGAACTCGCAACTTGGTTTGTTGATGCAATGACGCATGGTAATTGGGAGATGACCAAGGGTGGAGTGCCCGGGACGACCGCCGGCCTGTCAGGCTGGCCCGTTTAGCCACCAGCAACCAAATGCCAGGCACCAAGCCCCTACAAGCAAGGCCGGGCCTGTGCTTTACTAGCCACAACTTCAAGCCTTGTGTCGGCGTTGCTTCCCCAATAGGAGATCCCTTGATTAAATCTCCAACTGCATACCATTTCCGCATCAGAAATCCCCAACGCGACACGCTCCTCTTCCAACACCTTTCGACACTACGCCCTGCATATCAAATCGATTCACGAGGCCGAACGCTGAAATCGACGACCATATCCTCGCGACCTAACTTGCCTCACAGAAGGTGCGCACACCACCAGATCCGACTCGAGCCGATCACCTCCTCGCCTAACCGAATGATGGTCATGCAAGCCCACATTACCCGAGACTTATAACATAGGTACAACCATGGCGCCCACGGGCGGTGGAGGAGGAGGAGCAGGAGGCGGCGGCGGCGGCGGCGGCCTCGGTGGAGGGGGGAATATCAAGGTCGTGGTCAGAGTGCGACCGTTCAACAGCCGCGAGATCGATCGCAATGCGAAATGTATTGTTCAGATGCAGAATGCCCAGACCGTCCTGCAACCACCTCCAGAGGCTGAAGACCGTCTTCGAAAAGGTGGAAAGGATGGTGCAAGCGCCCAACGGACCTTTAAATTCGACAAGTCCTACTGGTCTTTCAATAAGGCAGACCCAAACTACGCCGGGCAAGACAATCTGTTCAGCGACCTGGGCGTTCCGTTACTCGACAACGCCTTTCAGGGTTATAACAACTGCATCTTCGCGTATGGGCAGACAGGCTCGGGGAAGTCCTACAGCATGATGGGGTACGGTGAGGAGGCTGGTGTTATTCCTCGAATTTGTCGAGAAATGTTCGAGCGGATCAGTGGGTTGCAGTCTGATCCACACCTGACTTGCACTGTCGAAGTCTCCTATCTGGAAATCTACAACGAACGAGTAAGAGATCTTTTGAATCCGGCTACCAAGGGCAATCTCAGGGTCAGAGAGCATCCTTCTACAGGTCCTTATGTGGAGGATCTGGCCAAGCTGGCCGTCCGGTCCTTCAGTGAGATCGAGAATCTTATGGATGAAGGTAACAAAGCCCGGACAGTGGCGGCCACAAATATGAACGAAACTTCCAGTCGCTCCCATGCCGTTTTCACCCTGACCCTCACGCAAAAGCGCCACGACGCCGAAACCAATATGGACACCGAGAAAGTCGCAAAAATCAGCTTGGTCGATTTAGCTGGCTCCGAACGTGCAACCTCCACTGGCGCTACCGGTGCCCGCCTCAAGGAAGGAGCAGAGATCAATAGGTCACTCTCCACCCTTGGTCGAGTTATTGCGGCGCTGGCAGACCTTTCTTCCGGCAAAAAGAGCTTGAAAGTACCATATCGAGATTCGGTCCTGACCTGGCTTCTTAAGGATTCACTTGGCGGCAACAGCATGACTGCGATGATTGCCGCAATCTCACCAGCCGATATCAACTTTGAGGAGACACTAAGCACGCTACGATACGCCGATTCGGCCAAGAGGATCAAGAACCATGCTGTCATTAATGAGGATCCAAACGCACGTATGATCCGCGAGCTCAAGGAAGAACTTGCCAAACTCAGAAGCCAGCTTGGAGGGACGACTGCTGCTGGTGCCGAGGAGACCTACCCCGAAGGGACACCACTTGATAAACAAATGGTCTCGATTGTGCAGACGGACGGCTCAGTCAAGCGTGTCAGCAAAGCCGAAATTATGGATCAGCTGAGCCAAAGTGAGAAGTTGTACCAGGACCTCAATCAGACTTGGGAAGAGAAGCTCCAAAAGACGGAACAGATTCATAAAGAGAGGGAAGCTGCGCTAGAAGAGCTGGGCATCAGCATCGAGAAGGGGAACGTAGGCATGAGCACCCCCAAGAAGATGCCTCATTTGGTCAACCTGAGCGACGATCCTCTGCTAGCTGAATGTCTCGTCTACAACCTGAAGCCGGGGGTCACTACCGTCGGGAACGTGGACTCGTCCGAAGCTTCGGAAATCAGATTGAATGGGTCCAAGATCCTTGACCACCACTGCAAACTCGAGCACGTCGACAACGTGGTGACAATCATCCCACATGAGGGCGCTGCTGTAATGGTCAATGGCGTGCGTGTCGACAAGCCCAAAAGGCTGAAAAGTGGAAATCGTATTATTTTGGGGGACTTCCACATCTTCAGGTTTAACAACCCATTGGAGGCAAAAGCCGAGCGCGCCGAAAGAAGTCTGCTCCGACAATCTGTCACTGCCAGCCAGTTGAGTTCCCCAACGCCATTCCGCCCAGGACACGAAAGGAGCAGGAGCGCTGCAGGATCAGAGTTCGATGGCGAATCAAGCCGAGCCCAGTCTCCAGGATTCAGCAGCAACAAAGACTCGGACTGGTTCTTTGCTCGTCGAGAGGCCGCCGGCGCGCTTCTTGGGTCAGATCCAAAGATTATGCAACTGACAGACGAGGAGCTAGACAGTCTCTTTGAGAATATCCAGAGAGCACGAGAAGAACGACGCGGACGTTCCGACAACAAACATTTCGAACATGATGAAGACTCAGACGACCTCAGCTCTTTTCTGGTGCGCGACAAGTACATGTCGAATGGCACCATCGATAACTTTTCTCTCGACACGGCCCTGACTCTCCCAGGCACACCTTCTGTACATGGCAGTTCGCAAGAAGATGGCGAACCGACCTTGACCCCGAGTCAATTTGGACACCAAGCTCAGCACCAGATGCACAAAGCTGGGGAAGAGGAGAAGCAAGCAACCGCCGAGAACACATCCAAAGAAGCAGAGCGGGAGGCCCAGGCGGTTCAGATGCAGCAAGAGTTAGAACGGGCAAGACAGGAGTTTGAAGAAGAACTTCGAAAACAGAAAGAGGAGTATGAGGCACAGATCAAAAAGATGGACCAAGATGTGCGGATACGAGAAGCTGCTCGAACAGCAGCTGGATTCCTGCCGCTGGAAGCTTCCGAGATAGCCATTGCACGGAACGTCGTGGAAAAATGGCAACAAAGAAACTACATCTTGATAGCGGAGGCAATATTGCAAAATGCTGGTCTCCTCAAGGAAGCACAGGTCATGAGCAAACTACTGGATCACGATACCAACTTTCAATTTGTGATTCTGGACAATGGACAAGAACGTGGCTCGTCGTATGACCTCATCCTCCAAGATATATCTGGGGACGACGATGATGCTCTAGCGGATGCGCGCAAGCCATGTCTCGCCGTGAGGGTTATTGACAACCAGCTCAGCTGTATCCATCTTTGGTCTCTGGAAAAACTCCGACTACGAGTGGCCAAAATGCGGCAGATGCGCCAGTACAAGAACCAGCCAGAATATCTGCAGCATTTCCGGATGGACAACCCCTTCCGCGACTCCGACCAGCCCTTGTTTTCGCTGATTGGCGATGGGAGCATTCCTCTTACCGCTGTGTTTGAAACTCGGGTGCAAGATTTTGTGGTAGAGATATCCTCGCCGTCTACGAGACAAATTGTGGGCAAGGTTCGGATGTCCTTGGAACCATCACTGGCAGAGTCTCCGCCTTCCACAATCAAATTCAACATTGTGATGCGTGATTTTGTGGGCTTTGCTGAACACGAGGGGACACAAGTGCACGCGCAGATGACTGTGCTAGGAACCGAGGATGAGAGCGTGGCGACCACCCAGCCCATCCACGGGTTTGGCGATGGCCCGGTACGCTTTGAGAGCATCCACAACCTGAGTATCCGTCGATCTGGGGAGAAATCTGCAACTTTGAAGATCGCCATTTTTGCTCAAGTCAGCTCAACGCATCTCGACAAGCTGATCAGCTGGGATGAGCTTCGTGAAATGAACGAACAACCTCCCGATCAGCAACCTGCTCATCGCTTGCCAGAATCTGAGTACACTGTTGAGGAACGGCATGACGTTTTTGCAAAGGTCCAGATCCTAGAGCTAGCGGAAAATGGCCAGTACATGCCTGTGGAAGTCATTCAAAACAACCCGAACGATTGCGGAGCGTTCCAGCTGCACCAGGGGCTTCAGCGTCGAATTTCTGTCCATCTAACGCACGTCCTGACCGAAGGCCTGCCATGGGACGACCTGAAGTCTTTGCGGGTTGGGGAGGTTCACCAACTAGATTCGTCTGGGCGCGTCACCGATATTGCGTCCATCACACCGGACATTCCCCTTAAGCAAATCCAAGAGCCCATGATCAAAGACAATGCCGATGGCACCTCAAACATCACGATCGTGGGACAATGGGACAGCTCTTTACACAAAACTCTCCTCCTCGACCGCGCCACGAACGAGAACTGCAGAGTTCAGATATCGTTGCGCTGGGACGTTTTGTCCAGCCGTCTCGGGCACGATCAGCCGATGACATTCTCCATCGACCAACAGCTACAGATTTTGCCGCGATCCTACGTTCGTCCGCAGTCTATGTTCAAATCCTTTTGGAACCAAACGCGGGTAACTCACTCCACAGACGGGCTGTTCTCGATTGTCGTGCGACCAGTCAGCGCGAAACGAGCAGCAGATCTATGGCGTCTAGATACTTCCAAGAATTACATCAACGGGGAAGAACTTCTCGGCAATTGGCAACCACGAGGTATTTCGTTGGTGAAAGATTATCTGATTGCCCGAAGGAAAAGGCGTCAATTGGAGGACATCGAATCCGCAAAAGCCGCACTGGGACTTCGCAAACTGAGTGTCACCGCACACAAAGCTCGGTCTCGCGCAGCATCGCCTTCTAAGATGGATTCTAGGGAAGAGGAACTTCTACGCAAATATCTAGCGATCTGGATGAAGCCGAGTGCGGAGATGAAGAACCCCATATTTGATGATGGCGACGAGGGCACGCGTCCCCGACCGTCGCCTACACCAGCGACCGAGACATCGCGATCATCGTCGACCCGTTACAGAGCCACCGTCACCCACGTCCCCAAGAACACAGTATCTCTCAAATCAGGCTATCTTCTCATGCCTTCGGAAACCTACGAACCATCCCCGTCCGGTAACCATGCGAGCACCATGCAATGGAAACGACGCTTCGTCGATCTGCGCCCTCCTTATCTTCACATTCAGTCCGTCCCTGATGGGGAGGGGATCAACGCGGTAAACCTCACGCATGCACGAATCGATCATGATCCGGACTTTAAACGTTTGCTTGGCGGTGGATCATCTATTTCACATGACGGCGCCGATTTTGCGTCGGGAGAGCAGCGGGGTCATCGAAGGACCGGGAGCAACGCGGAACTCCATGGTCTAGCCCACGTATTCGCGGTGTATGGCGAGCAGAACACCTTCTTGTTTGCAGCGAGAAGTGAGAGTCAGAAGGTTGAGTGGATCTTGAAGATCGATCAGAGTTACTTTGCCGATGATGGGGAACAAGATCAGGTCGAGGTCTAAAAGGTGAAAGATTCACCCACTCTGGGATGGAGTGGAAAGATTGGAGGTCGTCGACTAGATGTGATTTGGAATCTGAACAGGTGGTCGGGGAGGTTATCTCAATGTGAATGTGATTGCATGTCGATTGAGCACGAAAAAAACATGACTTGGACGTGGACTGAGCAGAGCGATTGTAGATCTGACTTGAAGATACCCCTCAGCTGTTATCAATATCACTTTTGAAATCTCTCGCCCGTATAGCTTCTCGTCGCTTGTGACGGAGGCGACCTGACTCACAGCAATCTTGTCAACACATCTCTATCAGAGGATTACATCGGCGACGGCCACTTGCAGGTGCCAGCATAATATCCATCCGTCAGGATATGTATACCTGCCGAAGGCGTAGAGATCGGAGGGACATCATTCGGCTTATCCCTACATCCACCTGCGCGACGTTTTGACACAAATATACCTCGAAGCCCAGTGCTGATGCATTCCCCACGCCATGGATTACGCGACATGCCGACCTAGACCAGATCCTTTGGCCCCACGAAGAATATTCGTTCCTTATATAGATTCGGTGTGAATCGCGCGCGGCAGGAAACCATCCAAGCGCTCAAGATATTTTATTGGTTTGGTCCCAGGATCCGTTCATGCCATGTCCTCGCATATGGCGCAGGAGCCCCGTCCCATTATGGAGAGAAAGTCAGGTATAAATATAGCAACACAAGATGAGAAGAAAGTAGATGCCAATTCTACCTTGGCAGCATAACCATAGGAGGGCCAGGGACTCGATATGACATATCCAATCCAGACCACGACAAACGCCGCTTTGAGGCTGTAGTTCCAAGCCTGTGAAAGCAGAGCTGGAACAGATCTGTTTCTTTTCGACCCTTCTCTTTGATAGAGCCTGCATGGGGCGGAGAGACATCTGCTTTTGGCTGGGAACATCACCAGTAACACAATAGGCACTTCAGCCAATGTCACAATAGATGGGCGTGGAATGGCCAAACACCAATTATGCTCCATCGTTCTCCTATGGAGGGGTGACCTGGTGAACAGGGGAGGCCGACTCAGGTCTTCTGAGAGTGTTTGATGGCATGTCGTGGACCAGTTGCCGAATACTTGCTGCACAAAAGTCAGATACTAAGAGGGCCCGTGGACATGCGGGAACAAACTCACTTTCTGGTTGAAACAATCTTCGCGAAAATCCTTCTGTGCCGTCCATGCTCCACGGGAGTTCTCAACATATACCATAGCAAGGCCCGCTGCAGTTAATGCGAGCATGATCATATTATATATCCACGCTCCCAGAGACTTCCTGGTCTCTATCGATATACATCCGCACGGCTGCTTGCGAGCTATGGTCTTCCAAATAGTCCGTGTGGCTTGCTGTGGCTGGGTAGGGGTCGTTTGCGAAGCGCAGGCAGTGGCAGGAGCAGGAGCAGCATTGGTGCTTGCTGTCGGTAGAAGAGTTGGTGAGACGACCGAAGTCGGCCTCGATGCATGGACTGAGCCCTGCAGCGTGCCTGCTGGCAGTGATATCAGGCTGATAGGAGCGGTAGGAGGGGTCGGAGGAGTAGCGGATCGAGCTGGCGACAAGGTAGCAGTACTTGACACGGGTGCCATTTGGCTGAGACGCTCTTTGGGTGCCACTGAAAGAAGATCCAACTCAATCTGGGAATCGTTGTGAAGCCTGGTTCCGTCTAAAGAGGGCCTTCATCGACGTCGGGGTCGTAACCTCAGGCGGTGTGGGCATCTTCCAAATGTGGGCAAGTCCTGTTCGCCTTGCATGGGTGCAGCGTCAGCGCGAGGCAGACTGAGCCCAATGGCTACAAGTCGGCCTAACGAGCCTGATGTTAGCTATTGGGAATGACCGCCCAGCCTGATACACCGTCGAGCCTTGTCGTGGACACGAGGCTGCGATTTGGGTGCCAGATGATATAACTCATTGGCCATCGCACATGCTGGTTCTTGGCATTGGTCTTGGCGCTACTTTGCTCCTTTCGTCTTCTCTCGTCTTCCCTCTCTTCTCTTGCTTTGAGGAGTATCTTACATTTCAGTGTGCCGACCTGCGATTGCTCTCACTCCCCTCGCCGACAGGAAGAGTTTCTCCTTGTATGCGACACAAACGGTTGATATCGCTTGAGCTGGGGTCGGGCACAGTCAACAATGTTTTGATGTCATTCTGGCCGCTTGGCGCCATGTCAGCGGCGCCCAAGCAACCCACAGCGACAAACCGGGGTCCCACAGGACGGATCGCAGCTCCAGTGGCAGCCGGTGACAACATCACAATCCATACAATTTGGCCTTATCCATGAACGACTGCCTTTCGCAGCGCCCGGCCTGGAGCGCCACGAGGGCTGGCAAGCGTCGTGTCTGGGCCTTCCGTCCCCTCGGAACCAATTCCAATGACCATTTGACTCGCGACCAGCCCTTGGCGGGATGTCGCTCTGCATGCGATCGACCAGGAGCTTTGACAGCGAAGTCGATATGTAAAGGGGAATCGAGATACTTGTCCGTCCTTGCGCCTAGGTAGGCCATCAGGCCGAGCATGTTTCCACTTCCACGGCTAGCTGGTATAGCAAACTTTGTACCATCATTCTCCCCCGTATAGAGAGGTCACTCGTTGACATCATCCCCCTTCCTGCTCCCCAATGCCCCCTACAAATCCAGACTCTTCCCATTCTATTGCAAAGAATTCACGGCATATTCTGATCCAACACCATTTCCTGAAAACCCCCCCTTCTCTTCCAGTATGCCACGTCACTTCCCGCCTTTCTCAGCTCGACGTCACAACATGTCCGGCTCTACCGCGACCACAGCCTCGGCTTCCACCAGCCAAAACCACCATCACCACCATCTCCCTCGCAACAATGACCCCGACCGAGACTTCCTCTCACGCCGAGCCCGCGCAAAAAACCATGTCATCGCCATGGTGGGTGAATTCGTGGGCACCACGCTTTTCCTGTGGTTCGCCTTTGCTGGCGCCCAATCCACTGCCATTACGGGCGGAGGTGTGGCAAACACCCCGACCCAGGTCACCTTGACGAGTCTGTCCTTTGGCTTTTCGCTTCTCGTCACGGTGTGGGCATTCTATAGAATTTCCGGGGGGTTGTTCAATCCAGCTGTATGTCGTCTGCACCATTCCGCGACGAATTTCGGTGGCGTATCTCCAAAAAAGAAGAGAAAAAAAAGGCTGACCAAGGAACCACAAACGAAATAATCAGGTAACTCTCGGCCTCGTCATAACAAAGAATCTCCCGTGGGTTCGCGGCCTCCTTCTCTTCCCCGCCCAAATCCTCGGCGGCATAGTCGCCGCCGCGCTCGTCAGATGCATGTTCCCCGGGCCCCTGGTCGTGGGCACCGTGCTGAGCAACAACACCACGCCCGCCCAAGGGGTCTTCATCGAAATGTTCCTCACCTCGCTCCTGGTGTTCACCATCCTGATGCTCGCCGCCGAGAAGCACTACGCCACGTTCATGGCCCCCGTGGGCATCGGCCTCGCGCTGTTCGTCGGCATGATCGCCGGCCTGCCCTACACGGGTTCCTCGATGAACCCGGCGCGAAGTTTCGGCCCCGCGGTCGCGGCGCCCGATTTCCCCGGGTACCACTACATTTACTGGTTCGGCCCCGTCATGGGCGCCCTCCTGGCGTCCGCGTACTACGGCCTGGTCAAATACTTCCGCTACGAGGAGGCCAACCCGGGCCAGGACGCCGTCAGTCCCGAGGAGAAGAGCAGGGATGAGGAGATGGGGCCTTAGCATATTGCGCGGGGCTCACGGGAATAGCGATAACGAAGACTGCCACAAACTATCCAAAAAGATGGGACAGGGATTGGGGGGAGCCACGCACCCAAAAAGGGCCAAGGGAAGGTCAGAAAGGAACTGACGGAACTGTCTTCTGCGATGAAGTTGCAAAGGATATGATTTAATCAGTCTTACGGCGTGACTCCCGGCAACGAAAGGGAGGGACACCACTGGTATGTGTATTATATGTGTATAATGATGAGCGACGAACCAAAATCCAACGGAGCAAGTAACAAGCAACAAGCGCCGCCAGAAGATTCAAGAAGAGCAGGCTTCACGGGGACTTCCCACGGATAGTGTGGTCGGGTGGCGACGAATCCCCTTCGCCGGAGCCGTGAAATGAAATCGTATACAGGTTCTTCCATCGACGCTTGTCTAACCAGACATCACAAGATAGCAGTCTGACTTTTGGACATGTGTGACACGGGAACAATTTCTTCTTGCACCAGTTTGGCTCCAGTATTTCTAAGGACATACATATATAGGCTCTGCAAAAGCCTTGGCGGCAGTTGCATCGAAACTCTTTTGTCTTCCTATCACGTCGCAAGAAGCACGAGAAAAAGCAGAAATGCCGCCACTCTTCTGTCCCGCTTGAGGAAGTCCAAGCTTTTTGACCCACCGAGAGCATACGCATCCCAGTACCAAAGCAATCCGCCATCTCTGGCCATCAAGTCCTTCAAAACAAAGACCTCCCACCGTTATACCTGGTGGCTTGTCGACGTATCGAGAGCCATTCTTTCGCCTGATTTTCATCTTCCTTCTCGATCTAGCATCGCCAGGACCCGGGAGATGCCACTCTGATATCGATCCCATGGTTGCTCCCAGCTCTTCACGCTGAAATGGTCCCTTCGACAGGTATCCCGCAATGTGCGCAGTCCTTGCAGGACGACGGCTGACTTTTCGCTTCCCACACCGACATGTTAGAGTGTTACGCCTCCAACCTCGGCCATGAAATGAAACTCCTCCAGGTGCCTCACTATAGAGCAATGTAGGTCTTTGACAACGATGTCCTCCTCATTCCTGCCCGAACTCCGTAACCAGTCACTTGTAACATCATAACTCTTTTGTCGTAAATCATAATCTCATAGTGCCAACAGTGCGCCTGCATCTTCAAGAGACTTGTTCAAAGCTCCCCAGCCTCCCTTTCTATCTTCATACCGAATTCTCTGTACACCAATATTTGACTTGTTGGTCGTAACTTTTCACAGGACCGTCGCTTCATGCAACGGTAATCTTTCCCGTCATTAACGCCGTAACCAATCGAACTTTTTTCTAGGATCCATCCCGGTCTGTTGTGGTTCCACCTGTACACTTCGGTCGTATAGCTCGCTGCGTGGGTCTGCAGAGTCCTATTGTCCTTGATTAGCATGGGGCGCGACGCATTGAACGAGCAAAACCTCTCACCTCTGACTCCTCAACGATCCTGGTTTCCAATATCAACTTGGTTATCTCATCAGTCCGAACGGACCTTGCCGGGAAGCTGTAGGGATTTTCCAGACTTCGTTGGATGCCAACAATGACATCTCCCATGATCTCAAATTTCTTCCAATTGATGTTTGTGCCGATAAATGTCTGGTTGGCTGAAGCTGCCATAGTAAGATCTTGTCGGACAAGTGGGAGAAACGGGATTCGTTCCCCCGGAGAATTGTCCCAAGCCATGCGATATGCGGCGTGAGATCTTGATATACCCATCAGAATAGTCAGTCTCAGAAATTGCTTCTGGACCTCTGGCGGTATCAGATCTCGGGTCGCACCCAATCGAGCAATCTCATGGCCAGTGATGCCCGCCACGATAGCACCGAGGGAGTTATAATTATTCAATTGCCTCACTTTCCATGCAAGTGCCATAAATTTCTCCAAAGCTCTTGCTCGGTGTTTTGGCTTGTCTCGGAGGAGAATCATGCCCGAAACAAATAATGCCAAATGGTTGAAGTTTTTCACCATGGCACCGATGTTGTCGCCTGAGCTGGATTTCCTTTTCTGTGATGTGGAGATAGAGACGTGCCGAACAAAGTCCCGGGGTCTGATTGCCGAGTACACTGTCCAATCCATCCGTGTAATTTCCCTAGCAAGATCATCGAGGGTGCTTTCCATGAATAGATGCCATTGAAATTTACTGAGGCGAAAACGAGGCACTGGCCTGAATCTTTCCGCTTCCAGTTTTGCATTTTCCAACTGTAGAAAGTTTGCGTATGATTGACTGGAGGGATTGCTTGATCTGATCATGCTGGAAGATGTTGAAGGGACATTGGAACCGCGTGCAGATGAATTTGTCCCGTCAGGATCGTCATCACTGTCGCCTTCTTCTCGTCGTCCCCTACGACTTGATCTCGTCATATTCTCTGTGCTCGGCGACGGAACCAGGGTCGATGATGACGACGATGTGCCTGCTTTGTGGTGGGTGCTGGAGCCACCTTTTTTGCCTGACGGAAAGGGAGAGTCATCAAAGGCCCAATCCAAATCTTCATCAGGAATGATAGTATCCAGGTTGTTGCTAATCTCTCTGGCAGCAGGGGCGAACACCTTGCTCTTTTCGATGCTTTGCACAAATGGGATAGCGATATCACGAGCAGGGCCAGGAGAAAAATCTCCGGGGTACGTGGCAGTCCATTGAGCCAACACCTGCAGGTAGCGAAGCATCTCTGCGACCTTGGTGAAGTGAACCATCTTACTCTGTTCCACCTTCATGAACTGGTCAATAATGGCGGTAAGCAGCTTTTGGGGGGTTGCAAAGGCACGGTACAGACACAAAAACGACGGAACAAATTTGGAATCCGTCTTGTTCGTCGGCAACAAGAGGAGCTTGTCGACCAACTCCTGAAAAGGGACCCCGCGCTCTGTGTTTGAGCCTTCGTCAACTTTGAGGCTGCCCAAAGTCGAGGCCAAAGCTTCAACTTCAGTCCGAGGGGAGAGGTCATGCGAGTCTTCGTCCATGTTGAGGAAGGTTTGATACGCTCGGCTGTCAACGGTGGATGTCGACTCAGGGCGAAGCATTGATTTTACATAATAGGAATCGGGCGTTTCGGGTACTGCTGTTGTTGAGGTTTCAAGAGACGTCAATTTGCCAGTATAGTCACCGGAAGATATTGGTGTGTGGGGTTCCGCTGGACGGCGCTGGGATTGAGGAACAGCGGTTGTATCCAGCCTGAGTTTGGCCTTGCGACCGGCCGGAGCTACATCCTCCGTTTCTGATGATTGACTATATTCGTTCTCGGACTCGACTAGTGCTTGTCGCACTGAAAGATTCAGCAGCAGCTCCTTGGACTTGGATACTTGCAATCGACTATTGGATCGGCTTCTACTTCGAGCGGTCTTTGGCGACGGGTCTCTTGAGACGACGCGCTGGCTGCCTGCAGACTCGGTGGAGGTATATGACGACTTGCTTGCTCGAATAGATGCTGCATTCATCGTCAGTTATTAAGGTCACTGTTCGTATAGAAGGCCCCATTGGGTTTGAGGGTCGGTCCACGAGAACGTGATTGCGGAGCAGCCATATTTGGGAAGTCTTCTTCTCATGGCGGATTATGGATAGGTGAAGCGAGAGCGATGAGATAGGAGTGAGGAATTAGAGAAACCCCAATGTTGGGAGCGAAGACAGTGCGAATCTCAAACACTCATCAAGACGTACCTCGCGGAGAAGCAATGACTCGGTGAATCATTGCAAGAAAACACTGCTTGGTGTTCTCAGGTGATCTGAGGGAGATTTCGGCAATGGCAACCTTGGCAAGATTGCGACGGAGAGTCTCATGGAAACGCGGACTGATCTGACGAGATTCGTCCTTAACGTCGCATTTGGCAGCAACAAGCATACAAGGCACGCCAGTATTGGTCATGGAGGCTTTAGCGACATCGTTAGCAAGAGACCAAACTGAACTAGGAGGGATATGTCTGCTTAGGACTGGCGGTAGGAAGGGATCGGTGCGCTCTCGTGGGTGGCACTTACTCAATGCAGCCGGGACGTCGGCGACGCTTTCCTTGTCAGAGACGTCGTATAGACAGAACACACCGTCAATTTCGGGCAGAGGAGCCCCATTTAGGTACGGTGGCCATTCGATTCTTCGCTCGCTACTGAAGTCGACATCCTCAAAGAGCAGCTCGAAGAGTTGGATCTGATAGCACCTGTCTCTGATGCGGACTTCAATCGAGGTACGAGACCGCTCTTTTCCAATAGCGTTTCGAATAAATGTGGTTTTGCCTGAGTTGCGAGAGCCCAGTACCAACAAGTTGATGGACGAGGTCGACTCCGAGTCACTTGCCTGGAGACAACCCGAGGTCAATATAGCTGCCGAGGACTGGAACTATCCGGGCAGGCGACACAAATAGGCAAGACGTACCTTGTTCGGTATCTTCGCCTCGAGGGAATAGCCAGAGAGTTGATGGCGATCTGAGCGTCGGGTGTTTGTGCTACGGTCTGGAGAAGTCAAAGAGTCAACCCGAGCATGGGGTTTTGAGCTTCGGTGGCTGGCATCAGAGGGTTTGACAACGGCGGATGGACGCCTCTGGTGGTGCTGGTCTTTACGTCGATCAACAGTGGGGGCCGAGTTGTGCCGTTCCCTGGCTTTGGGAGGCGGCTCAACAACCTTTGCGTCGAGTGACCGATACCTTGTGGAACGGGAATCCATTGAGTAGGGCTGGAGGGGGGGACAGGTTCAAATCACTGCATAGCTACTGGTACCGGGTGGTTGGCAGGCTCAGGTTGGAGCTTTGGGAAACCACTCGTTGCAGATGGATGACGACCAGAGAGCTGGAAACTGGTGGAGGTCATGGATTTCTGGGACATCAAGACACCAAGTCAATGGGTCTTTGTGATGGACTAGCGGAAGTCGGGAGGAGATGAATGTGGTTAGCAGTGCCAGCAGAGCTCCGTGTCGAGGAGAGATATGGGAAAGGGGGCTAGACGAATCGAGCAGGTGGGATTCGGGATTCGGGTGGTGATTGCCTGTCGGTTTCAGGTGATGGTAGTGAGCGTAGTCCCTACACCAGGTTCGGCGAGGTGAACGAGCGTGAAGAAAGTAAAGGGTATATGAGAGCAGAAGCGAGTGTCGATCGAGGCAGGATTGAGAAGAAAAAGGTGAGGTCTAGCACCGCAGGCTCCGTAGGGAATCGGCGGAGGGTGGATATCTGGGAGGCCCGAGGCTGGATCAACAGTGGAGAGGGCAATCTAGCCCGTCGACTTGGATTCGGGTTGGTTCTGGGCCCAACGACAGGAGGAGACACAGGTGGGTAGACAGGTGAGACCTTGGAAGGATGGGAAAGCTGGAGATTCGAGGGCTGGCGTTGGCGTTGAGGTTGAGGTTGAGGCTGGGGGAAGAGAGGGACAGAAGAGTCTCAGAAGGAGAAGGAGAAGAAGGATTTAGAAGTAACGACGGAGTTTCGAGTGTTTCGGTTGCAAAGGGGAGCATGAAACTGCTGCTCAGAGGAAAAGTGTCGTGCCGGACGCAGAGAGAGCGGGAGAGTTGGTGAGAAGAAGTTCGGCCCCATGTGAAAAGGACTGGATGGCTCCGAGCACACGTCCAGTAGTCGATTTTTTGGTCAGGTACTGCAACCAAGTGCACCCAAGTCTGTGCCAGTCAGTGGTGGTTGATGCAGGAACTACGCAGTAGCAGGCGAGCCGGAGGCAGCAATGAAGTGCATGGAGGCTGCACCCAAAGCTGCCGGGCTGCTGCAGGCTGCTGTAGGCTGGTGGTTCCGCGGGCAGGACCATGCAACAGGCCATTGGCGGGGGAGTCAGTCGGTGCTGGTTAAGACGCCCGGGGCCGCCTTGGGGGCTCTCTAAGGGCGCGTTAGGGTGTTTAGACCGGCGATAGGCAAGCAAAACCCCGGCTGCGGCTCTAGTGAGAGCCACTTGTGCTGCTCCCACCCGCCGCCACCATGCACGATCAAAATATTGGCAGAGTGCATCCTGCACCCTTACACCACCCTTGCAACCTTGTAACCTAGCACTCGGAAAAAGCGACCAGAGGTTTGAAATTGCTCGAGCAGGAAATTTCAACGAGATAGGAAGGGACTCGACTTCCGAGGCGAGCCTATTCTATGCCTGCATTGCATATGTGAAGTGCCGTGAATGACATATTAAAGGCTGTGCTCCGCGATCTGCGAGGTACGTCTACTCGGGAACAGAGCTCGTCGTCTTTCTGTCCTGGAGAAGTACTCACTCCGTAGCACAGTCACAGCGTCATCATCACCAGAAGAAGGGATGCCACAGCGTAAGTCTGATGCGGTCACCCCTCATACCTGGTGAGCTGGGCAGTCATGTCACGTTCCAACTCACCTTTACTTCACTTTTATCTCACCTTCACCTCACCACCACCACCACCACCCCCCGGTATATGCGTATCTCGATAATATCCATGCATACATCACCCTCCTCCCTCGAGCATGTCGCAGCTTCACGATTATTCACCACCTGCACTGCTACTTGGTTGCCTACCCTGCAGCAGCAGCTAGTGACTTCCCGGCAGCCAAGTTCCATCCTGGTCAGGGGCCATTCCACTGACAAGCCCTTCAACCATCGTCCCCACTTCATTCTGCCTCTGCGCCTCCTGAAAAGCTTTGGGGCTTGGGCTTTGGCTTTGGCTGCTGCAGCCTCTCAATCTTGGTGTGGCCGGCGTGCAGCAGCAGCTTCTGCCTCTTCTTCCAACCCACGCTTTTTCCCTTTATGCTGCAATCTCCCCACGAAGCTGATCGCGAGGGCATCCGTACTCACCCAGAAACCATGACTCTTGAAGATCACGGTGTTCAAGCCTTGTTCCAATCTCATGACCGCGTCTGTTGCGATGTATCTGCGCTTGGCTGGCTGGTTCCGGCCATCTCCCTTCAACCACTAACCCATTGATCGGAAGTTATCGAAGAGGCTTTCTCGATCAGCTCTAGGTGATTTCCTTTTACTACTAGACAAGGGGATACTCCGAATGGTACAGCGTGCCGAAGAGCGTGTGCCCCTCATTGCCATGGTCGATGTCACTCTGAATACTCCAATGCCACATAGCAGCTAGTATGGGTAAGTTGTTCTCTGCCACCAGTTCTCTCCTCGTGCTCGATTCAGTGTGATTCATGCCTGTGCGCCACCCCGCAACGCCAACAAATCTATCACCAATTTTCAAGCCACCCGTTCACCGTTTCAGAAGGGACCTTCAGCTCCTCTTCCTCTATGGCGCGCACTATCCCGCATTCGGAGTTATACTCTTACTATGTAGGAACTCTCTCCTTTCCAGCCGTTGGTGGCTTCAAGTGATCGAGCTGGAACGAGATTTGTCCTTCGCATTTGGTCGAGCCTCGCTTCATTCAAATGTCGGTCCCCCCCCTTTCGCTTACCTTCGTTCGAGCTCAAAAAAGTGGGCGACAAAAAAACGTGGCAGTTGAGCGCGCCAACCTCCTTTCGACGCGTCAAGCATATTCAACATAAACTGATGGCGGACATTTCTGCAATCTGGTATCATCACCCATCGTGAGCGCGTGAACTCGGCTTCTCACCAGATTTGAACGCATCCTCAAGCTTGGAAATGTCGTCCATATACTCGGGTGACCACGGCGAAGGACGCAGCCCCAGGGCAAGCAGAAAATCCATCGGTCAGGCTATGCAGCGGACGTGGGAATGGATGGCGGCTCATCAGACAAGATCCGGCGACTTGACCTCATCGAACTCCTCACATTCGCCTTTTAGCAACCCAAACGATGATCTAGATCTTGATTCACTTTTCAAGCGTCTGGACAAGTATACGACCGAGATGCAGGAAGTGGAGGATCGTCTCAGACGAGCGAAGTTCGTTTCCGAGAATCCCGGAGGGATCAATATCAAGAGATTCTCCTTTGAGGGTATTTCTTCTCTGGAAGCGACCAAACCTTTGCAGACATTTGAGTTTCCGGCGAAGTCAACTCCTTCCACCGAATGGAAACTGGGACAAGTCTCAAGCATCACCACTTCCTCGGAACAGACCTCGCCAACTCCCCTCGCCCACGCAGAGCTCCAGAACTACTTGAGTACAAAATATCCGTTGCCTGATCTGGGCGAATTACCAGAGGACTCGGCGGCACCATTATTACTTGGGAATTGGAAACAACGGGCAGAGCAGCAATTCTTGCCCACAAAACTAGCCCTAAAGCGTAGCAGCAGCAGATACTCGGACAGAGGAGAATCATATCCGGACTACTCACGCCAGAGATTCGTGTGGAAGCGGCAATCTCCATCGCCATCGCCCCCTGTGGAAGGAAGTCATCACACAACGAGTTCCGAAAAGAATCAGGTCTTGGCCCAGATGCCCGAATATTTAATAGAGGGCGATAATGACTACCATCAATACGACTTCTCTGAGGAGGACGAACCCGGTCCAGCAATTCCAAGATCTTGGACGTTGCCGCCCAGAACGTCAAGCATGAAACAACCGAACAAAGAGACGTGGCAGGGAGACGCAACCACTCTGCTCAGACCATTGCCCCGCAGGAGGATGACAACCAGCGACGCACGGCCTTCGATAAGAAACGGTGGATACTGGTCCAGTCAGGGAGCCGAGCTCTTTGTCAAAGGCGATGAACCACCTGTTCCTGGGTTATCTCAATCTACCTCGATCGCGACATTGAATTCGAATCCTCCTATGACGCCTTTGACACTGAGCGATCCTAGAGAAGACCAATTACGCCGAGAGATGGAAAGTTTTGCGATTCAGGACGGCCCAGAGACACTCGAGCATCGATACAAGAAGCGCAGGCCTCCATTGCTAAATTTGTTCGATTCGGACGAGGAGGAAGAAGAAGATCAGCGGTCGGTATCCACCACACTGGAACCAGACAGTTCTAGCTTGCTGAGCTTGAATGACGACCGGAGCGTCAGACCTCGACGGCGGCGCAGGAGCATTTTCAGCATTTTTCAGAGGAGGTCGCCTGTTGAAAAGCTGATTGACATGTATTTCACCGACGAGCCGGAGGAGAAAGCCGGGCCCCAGAAAGGGTCTGCTCGATCCAGAAAAGGATCTCTTGTTCGAGAAAAGTTGCCAAAAAGCCCCGGAACGCCACCGCTACCTCAAGCCCTGCACGGGAAGCAGACGTCGTTTTAGACAGGAGCATTGGCATGGTTCGAATCTGTCTCCGACCTTCTTGACCCCAACTCTGCCACCAGCTCTGCAAATGCCATTATCCCCGACGTCTCGGCAGTATCTGAATCTAACTGGCGTTCCAGAAGTCGCATGGCACGGGCAATGCGTTTCTGTGGAGTATCTTGGGACTTATGTCCGCGCGGACTTTGGGATGTGAATTGGCTTGCTTCGCGGTCGTCGGCAATAGTGGTTTCAAAGATGAACTTGAGTTTGGCACGCAGGGTTGGATATTGTTGAAACAGATTTTGCAGCCTATGATCCCCGATCAGAAGGTCGACAAGGGGCGTATCCTCAATTGAAGCTGCCTCTGACTTCCCAGGTGCAACTTCAGGGTTTGGAATGTCACTCTTGGGTGTAGGCTGTTCACATTGGCTCTTGTGCGTCTTGAAACAGGGCAAGGAACAGCTGGTTCACAACAAGGTTAATGACAAGAAACTAATGTAACTTGATGAAGTATATCGCACCTTGGAGCCCTACAAAAGGGACAATGGTATTTGGAGGTTGGATTTTGACATACGCTGCAAGGCTCTAATGCCATGGGGCAAGCAAGGCACTTCTGGTAGCTGGAATGTTGATGTTATCGACGCGGCAGTCGACCAAGCGAAGACCACTCAATGCCGCCTTTGAATTGAAGTACGAGTATTCTAGGGGGGAGAGAGACACCTACGTAGATCGGTGCTCAATACAACAATTTTGCTCTCTGCAAAGGGTGATTGGGTGCGTGCTGATTGATTGGCTTTTGGAGGGTGAAACGAAAAATGCTGGGGCGGTGCCACGTGACGAGTGCCCTCCAGGTTGCGTCATTCAAAGTTTTTCGCCTTCGGAAAGTTGGTTTCTAATGCAGAATGTCGAAAGCTAGACACTGACGGCCCTCACAACATCCCAAAAACAATCCCATATCTGCACACTTCCCGGCTTCTTTGTATAACTACCGAAACCTTTGTACATAATACCCTTTTACCATCCGATACGATGCGTGGTCTCATACCGTCTCGGTCACTGCGCGCCCTGGCCGGCGTGAGTTCAAAGCCGCCATTGAACCCCGTCTGTCGGGCGGCCTGCATCCGTCACGTCCATCAGTCGTCCGTCCGCATTGCCCCCCTCACCTCGTCGCAGTCCCGTCGGCGGCCGGTTCTACGGCCAGCGCAGCAGCAGCCCGCGACCTCGATCACGCGCGCAACCCGGTCAATCTACATCCAGACGCAGCCGACGCCCAACGCCTCGGCGCTGAAGTTCCTCCCCAACCACCCCGTCCTGCCGGAAGGCTTCCCGTCCACGTTTCTCGAGTACAACTCGCCGCGGTCGACGGTGGCGGCGCCGCACCCCTCGCCCCTCGCGGCGCGACTGCTCGACGTCGACGGGGTGTCCTCGGTCTTCTACGGGCCCGACTTCATCACCGTGACGAAAGCCGAGGACGTCAACTGGGCGCACATCAAGCCCGAGATCTTCGCGTTGATCACCGAGGCGATCACATCGGGCGAGGCACTGGTGAATACCGTGGAGAAGTCTACGTCGGCGGAAGATGGCCAGGGGGGTCTGGGCGAGGACTCGCTCGCCCCCAACGACGAGGACGATGAGGTGGTCGCTATGATCAAAGAACTACTGGAGACGCGCATCCGGCCTGCGATCCAAGAAGACGGCGGGGACATTGAGTACCGCGGGTTTGAGAACGGCATGGTCAACCTGAAGCTGCGGGGTGCGTGCCGGACGTGCGACTCCAGCACGGTTACGTTGAAGAATGGCATCGAGTCGATGCTGATGCACTACATTGAGGAGGTCAAGGGGGTCAACCAGGTGCTGGACGAAGAGGAAGAGATTGCCATGCAGGAGTTTGCCAGGTTTGAGGAGAAGCTACGGCAACAAAAAGGCCCCGACGCGGCTCCTTCGACCGTGGGCAAGGGCACTCTCGATTTCGTGGAATGAGATTTTGGTGGCTCTGAGGATCGGCACCCGTTTTGTTAGTTGTCGTGTCCACGAATGAATCCAGTGGCATCTTCTCGGGAACGATTGACCGGATAAGTCCTGGCCTGCCTCTGGCGACATATGCCTCTCCCCGTTTCCCAGACAGAACGGGAATTTCGTAGAGGGGATCGGGTGGCCAATGAGAGGGGAGAACCCGGCGATCTTTCTCCAAGCATCGAGCTGCGGAGGTCGTCTTGGCGGGCAACGGAGCGTTGAAGAAAGATTCCCGAGGTGATGTCGAGGGGATCGAGATAGAGTATCTGGGCAAGTGTCGCCGCGGGGGAACAGGCACGTCAGGTGGACACGGCTGGCGCAGGTGTTTTGAGGGATATATACGTCGCCTAAGTACAGAGAGGATCTCATTCGTCGTCGGGGAGGTGGCGCCATGGGTGAGACGAGCAGGAGTGACGAAGGGGGGTCCAACCGGGGGACATGACTTTGTCTGTGGTCATGAGCACCAGAGCACGAAGTACAGTACATTGGTGTGGTCGGTACACCAAGTAGTATAGATCAGGGCGCACATGCTTCTGAGCGGTTTGAAGCAGGCCGTTGTTGGTTGGCTTCAGGTTTGCGCCAAGGGGCAACATTTCGGATGGGCGTAACAGAGTGATTGGCTTCCCCGCAAAATGTTGAATTGGATTCCGGTGGCTTGATGCATGTCGGTGTCAGGGTCAATCATGGGGTGGAGGAGGTGAGAAGAAGCATCTCGATCGAGGGCAGTTCAAGGGCAGCCCGTTCTGGCCAGTGTTGAGCAGCAGCACCCACTACCGTGTTCATCATGGCGCCAGTTTTACAGTTACGGAGGACCAGGAGCAAGGGTGCCAGGTTGTAAGAAGAGGAGGGATGGAGGAGTCGGTCACTCAATACTGCCTAGCAGGACAACAGAGGGAGGGGAGTGTGGGTGTAGATCGATCACTGAATGTTGATGATGTGCATGACGTTCCGTCAATCACAACTACTGGATATCTGCTTGTTGTCGCAGTCATTTGTCGATGCACCTTGCCGACAATGGGTTGTTGTTGTATTTGTTGGTTACACAGCCTCTCTCTCTCTCTCTCTCTCTTTCTGTCCTGGGCCAAGACCCGCGAGGACATGACCGCTAATTATTACAAGGAAGGTACCTTCCCCCCAGCCAGCCAGTTGAGCAGAGGGAGCCACTCAGTGCCAGGTGCTGGTGCCAAGTGCCAGGTGCCAGGTGCCAAACAATAACAATAACGCCCAGTGGGGTTGGACTGTGGATTGTAGACTGTGTGATGATGATGGTGGTGATGATGGTCATGAACTTACAGCTGTCTTTGTTGCCTCCCTGTCTGTCTGTCTGTCTGTCTGTCACTCTCTCCCTGTGACGCCCTCCATCTTTTTGGCTCATCTCGCCGTCTTGCCGTCTTGCCCTCTGCTCATCTCATCTCTTTCCCCTCCTCTTTTGCCATTTGCCTTTGTGTTAAACCTCCTCCTCGCTCTTCTCCTCTCCGTCTCCGGCTACTCAACTGGCTAGACTCGGCAGCCGCACTGGCCCACCCCCGCTCTTTGTCAACAAAACCCAAAGCTTCTTCATCCTGTCCTCGTCGATGATTGCACCTAGAAAAGGGCCCAACCTTGTGGAACTTCACCTGCCTGTTCCGTGGGCTTGACCACCCCCCCGGCTGGGGTAAAAAGCTACTTGCACCTCCCACACATACAAATCTGCATCCATCTCATGGCGTGACTGTCCCTCTTTGTCCATCAGGCGTCCTCGGTCACATCTGATCCCAAAGCTTCAGGCTTCAGAGCTTCGGCGCCTCCAGGGTCAACCGCGTGGTTGAATGGGCCCATGCCCAATAATAATTGGCATCCACTGCCACTCAACATTCTCCCCCCTCCGCCCCCCAGCTAGACCTTGGACTAACAGAACCGCCCCAGCACAGGGCCACACAGGCCTAAACTTCTTTTTCCCCGAAGCTTGGACACTCTGTACAGTCTCTTTCTTGGGCTTCTTCGTTCGTCCTGGCCAGCAGTTGTTTGACTTGTTTGATCGTTGACGGGGAGGGTCTGTGGTCCTTGGTATAATCCGCGTTGGCTCAATTGCGCCCTCGCCTCGCCCTGTTCTTCTTCGTATCACCTGAGCAGTGTTTTTCGTTGCGGTGCGCTCGTTGCTATAATACTTAGCGCTGGAGCCGAACACGTGCGTGCTGCGACGCTGCTCCCATCGCCCCAAAGTCTCTGGACGCCATCCCATTCGATCCATTATTGATCATCGTGGTTTGCCCCCCTCGTGGACCAGTCAGAGCGACGCCAAACCTCTTTTCCCCCGCTTAGACCATCAGCAGTTCCCGCCTCTTCGGCCTCCAGACCTGGCTCTTTTTCCCATTCCTGTTCCCCTTTCCCAAGAAACCTCCCGCTGGGAACTCTCAGACTCCTCGGCCCTCGCAAACCCCCCTCGAACAGCCTCCCAAAACGAAGTGGTCGCGTGAGAAACTAAGCGAAAAAGCCTGTTCATCATAATCCGGGGAAGGCGGCACTGTGAGCACTGAGCAGCGAACAGCCCCCTCCCCCGTTTCGTGTCCGTCCATCTGTCCATCTCTGTCTCTCCCTCATCTCTCGGATCCCTCCGCCTTGTTGTTCGTAGTAAGTTCAAAGGGCCCATTCACTACCCTCCCTCACGCCTTCTCCGCCTCGACGCACACACACACTCTCTCAACAACCATCCATCCATCCATCACCCTTCACCACTACTGCTGCCACCATCAACCCACTTCATCTCTTTCCACCTCCCCCAGGCACACGATTTTTTCCTCCCTTCCATCCTTTCCATCCCCATCAATCGCTTCCACTGTCTGGTGACAACGACCTTGCCTGTCTCTGTCCTTCTGTCCTTGACACCTCCCCCACAAGCCTCAGACAATCACCTGACTCTTCTAGCCACTTGCTCTGGGCGCGGGCCGATCGTTTGTCGTCAGGCCAGATCCCGAACTATTCGCCGACGACGACCAGCTTTGTCGGCCACGCCACCAGATCCCTCCCCAAGTCATTCACCAGCGTTCGCAAAACACTCGAACCCCTCTCTGCAACGTCCTGCTCTCTTCCGGCTTGTCCCAGTAGGTCCCACAGCCCCCCCCCAGACGGAGAGTTGGTCCCGAGGCGCGGCCGCGCCCCTACTCAGCCATCTCCATACCCCGACATGTTAAGTCAGACTGTCCGCCTCCCCATGCCTCTTCTCTAGCCACAAGGTGAGTTGGAGCTTTCAGTCTTCATCGCCCATCATCAAAATTCGCTCTGAAAATGGTCATGTCGGTTCGTTGGCAGGAGTGGCCTGGAGTGCCATCGGCATCTTTGTGGGTGAGAAATCTCAACACCTGAGAGTGACTCTTCCACCTCGCCCATCTCACTTCCACCCAGCACGAATCAGAACGTTGTCATATCCCAATTTCTCTCTCATCTTGATTCCAAATCGGCTTTTGCAATCAATACCTCCTTCGACATTGATGGCTCTTTTGCTGACTCGAAACGAGAACCAGTGTCAACCCGCGTCGAACCTGGCGTTGCCACCCTCACCCATCATGAGTAACACACCCAACAAATCGGGTTTGACGACTCGCGCGCCTATGCCGGCGTTCGGGACCTTTGGCGCACATCAAGCATCCGCGTCGCTGCTCCTTCAAAAATCCAACCCAGGCCTGGGCAGGTCGACTCCCGATTCCGAGGCTCTGGCTTCTTCAGACGACGAGCCTGACCACGCAAAGTCCGGCGCTGGCAGCAACGTCAAGCACAACCGAAACGTGCGAAGAACCTCATGGCTCAACGACGTCTCGTTGGCCAATGCAAATCGCAAACCTTCCATCACCGGTCCCTACAGCCCTTCCACCTCCCACCCAGGAACCCCTGGAGCAGAGCCCACGCCCTGGGGAAATCCCAACGCTGCTGGTCCGGGAGCATGGCCCAACCCCACGACGTCGTATCCGTGGCCCACCATTTGGAGCCAGGATGGTCGTAAAGATCCGCCGGCCCGACTGCAGGAGGTGTTGCCCACAAACGGTGAAGGCGGCATCCCGTTCTCGATTCCTCTACAGCCGACTCCCAAAACCTATCGCTCACAGTCATATTCTGTGGGCCAACTCGACACGACCACTGCGCCACCGGCTAATCCTATATCCACCTCAATTGAAGCGACGCGCAGCAGGCTCGGAAGTCAATATCCTTTGCAAAGACGGACGTCGCGGACCAGTGGGCTGGGCGTGCTTGATCCCGGTGGTCTAGGCCGTCTGCGAGAGGTAGACGACGATGAGGAAGACCAGCGCGATAATGCCACGCCCGAAGCCATTAGTGTTGAACAGGCGCGGATGATCGAGAGGCTGGAAAAGGAGAATGCTCAACTTCGTCACGCTGCTCAAAATCGTGACCGTGGTTTCCCACCAAATGCCACAGCGGCCCCAGTTCAACCTCCTGGGTTTCGAAACACGCGGCTCCGAAGCGCTGTGCCAGAGGAGGCCGAGACTGCAATTGATGATAGAGAAGACCTCGCCGGATTCCCTGGTCGTGAGAATAATGCCCGTCGGATGAGTGAACAACCACTCGGATACACCGAAAGACAGTCGCTCTCCCCCAGCGAGAATCGTACTTTTGACGGAATCAAGAAGGCACATTGGCAGACTTCCCTTGGATTCGGTCCCATCCCCGAAGCTCCCCAGAGCCGCCGACACTCGTTCGCTGACGTGCCAACTCGCCATGGATCCTTCAGCTCGAATGGTGAGCACATACTGCAAATGTTGCTTTTACATTTTCCCGGGACTAATTGGTTAGGTCGCGACGACGATGCGACGGCGTATGAAAGCGGATCCCAAGCGTTATCCCAAGGAGATGATCGTAAGTTGGCCCTGGCTTTAACCCTAGCCCTGATGCACCCGAACGAGGATCAAATGAATAATACGTACTTACGTGACCGCCACTTTGCAGCTGCGTATTTCAACACCACCGAGTCCACCCGACGTGCTGCGGACGCCCGAGTCCATCAGCATCACCGCGATCCGCAACTTTACGGACAACATCTCGGTGTTGGACCGTACCTCGAACCGGCGGCGCAACCGCTCTTCATCGTCAACTTCAAATGTTGTCGCTCGGATGTCTTCTACATCCAAGAGGGGACCGGCCTCCACGTCAACGTCGGTGACCTAGTCATTGTTGAGGCAGATCGTGGCACCGATCTGGGCACGGTTCAACATACAAATGTGACGTGGGAAGACGCTCGTCGTTACAAAGAATATTACGCCGAGGAACATTATAAGTGGTTGATGATGTTCTCCTTGCAGAGTCGAAACGGCGGGCCCAACGTCGTCAACCCCAATGGTATTCCCGGTAGACATGGCAGCGCGGTTGGAGGCATGGGCCCTCAAGGCCATCACGGTCCTCACGACTCCTCTGGCCCTGATCTCAAGCCAAAGATGATCAAGCGACTAGCGCAAAATCACGAGATCCAAGCCCTGAAGGACAAAGAAGGTAATGAGGCCAAAGCCAAACGGGTCTGTCAACAAAAGGTTCTGGAGCACCGACTGAACATGGAAATTCTTGACGCAGAGTTCCAGATGTATGTTCTCCATGCCGGACCCTCCTGCGACTGTACTAACACCACTTAGGGACAGCAAGAAGCTCACGTTCTACTACTTTGCCGACAATTACATCAACTTCAATCATCTGGTCACCGACCTCTTCAAGATCTACAAGACCCGGATCTGGATGTCGGCCATCAACCCTGCGTCTTTCCAGACTCCGACCGCGTCCCTTGGTATCCAGCCTGTCTATAGCACAGCGCCCGGCGATGAGCGCCATCGTCGACGGCAGCAGCAAGCACAGCAGCCGTCCGCTCTCAGTCACCAGGCCGTCACCACGCCATTCGGAGATACCTTCGACGCGGATCGGAACTTCAACAACCACCAGAGTCAGGGTATGCGGAACGCTTTCTATAATCAGTTCCAGGACGTTGGGCCAGGAGCTCAACAACTGCAACCGGGAGTATCGCCGTACGCTCAAAACATGCAAGGTCAAATGGACCCCTTCATGTCCTTCTACGGTCAACCGTTCCCTGCCCTCAATCCTAACGCGCCTAATTTCGCCAGCAGCCGGCCCGACTTTAGAGGAAGAGCACCAAATCCACCAGGTGATGTCAACTGGATGGGACGATTCCAAGGGCTCTCACTCGGTTCCTGAGTCCGGAAATGTTACCTAATGCATGGGCATCGCACGACGACACTTGTCTCGCGACTTATTTCGGACGAATTCTTGCATATGATGACCGGATGACCAAAACGTAGAAAGTGGTGTTCAGCAAGACGAGGTTCAAGGAATTTCATGGAAGGCAACTAGACCTGCGCTTTGGGAAGCAGGAGGAAATGGTTGAAAGATAAGACCGGCTGATGAACGGACTTTGTGCTGGACGAGCATTATACACGATTTTGTTGGATCGTGATTCAAGATTTTTCTTTGACATCAAAAATCGTTGGTTAGGCTGGATTGGACAAAAGACCTTTCAAAATCAGATTGTTTATGGTTTGCTGGATACAGAAAGATGAGATAATATCGAGCTGAGGAGAGTACAAAAGCTTACATGGGGCTGGTTGCTTGTGAGGTTGAATGTCGCGATTGAGCTGAATGCAAAGTGAGCTGGATGTTGAACATTGGAGGGTACATGTCCACATTGCTGGCTGGCTTGTGTATACCAACACCAGAGTGCTTTGGAGATGAATGACAATATGATGGAGCTTATCATCATTGCTCAATGAATGCATGGAAGAGCCAAATGATGAGTGGCTGCTGCTTTACTGCGGCAGTTGACTTCTGATTCCTTGGGGTTCCAGATTTCCTTCCCGCATCTGCACAGATGCTGACTTTGCTACCACCGCCCAGTCACCCAGTGTCATGACATGAACATACCCAGTATTTTCTCGAAATCGGATGCCAACGCTCATCCATACAGGTACTGGATCACACGGATATGACGGATATGGCGGGCAGTACAGCAATGCCAGGTAAAGCCCAGTCCCGGACTTCAAGGCCAAGCACATGGCTGCTAACGCTGACCAGTTCGGCCCACCTTACATTCAAGTTCACGCAGAGGCAGCTCCAAGTCCCATCATAAGTCAGTCAAATTTCAAGATGAGGTAGTGCTCTCATCAGAGGCGTCATCGCCAGTAGAGGAGGACAGAAAACGCAGCGATAAAAGCGCAGAAGACCTACCGTGAGTGACTGGTGGTTTCGGTCGATTTGCCCAGTGTCAATGACCAGGGCTACGTAGGTTCAACCAAGAGAAGATGGACAAAATATGGGAGAAGCTCAATACAGCAGACCCATGGCCACGCCAATTTGGGAATGTGGTCAAAGACAAGCAATCCTTCCTCGTCACAAAGCTGAAGAAAATCAAGGAGAAGAAGTCGGCTTCACATCCCGGCTTTGCAAAGCGTCATCAGCTAACAGTCTCAGCGCCCTGGATAAGCAATCCTTCGATGCAGAGATTACACCACTTCTCAAGTCGGCTCTTGGGAGTTTCGCGAGCGGTGTCCCTACGGATCCCACGTCTTTTGCTGCGCCAATCCAAGTTCAATTTTTAGGGGCGGAAGGGCAGATGTACTGCGACGCAATGGTTGATCTCATGAAGCAATCAGGGGCCCTCATATTTGCTTACGATGAGCTTGCACGCCGCTCATCCCATCAATCCCGTTTGCAGGAGATCAGAGCATCCTTTGAGAAGGACAAGGAGGTCAGCGTGAGCACCATCGAAGCCGGCAAAAAGGTCACAAGCATGGACATCGAGAAACTTCTGGCCGACAGGCTTCACGAAGTCAGGGACCCGCATGGCGTCACAGCTGAAGAGGAGCAAAAGGGTAGAATGCTCTTGTCACATGGAACGGATCATCAAGAGGCTGCTTCAAAGGAGACGCTAGGATGGGGAAATGTGGCTCGGGATGCAGAAATGGCGATGGAGAGACTCTGTTTTGCCGGACAAGTACAGACGAGCGAGCGCTGATCCTGCATCTTGCGACTACCATGAGATGAGAGGTTTTGGCCGTCAGCTATGTCTGCATCGGGGAGCACAGTGGCTTGTCTCATGTACCAAGTACGAAGTACGGAGTAGGAGTAGCTGGACCAATACTAGGAGTCGACTTCTGATTGGCGGACGCTGGCGCCAAGATTACAACTTTGCCAAGCCTGCGCACGAAACTTGGCCGTCGAAAATGAGAGCCGATCTAGTCCTCAATCCTCAATCTTCAGACGCTCTATTTTCCACCATAACCGTCTTTTGTGAGGCGCGACAGTCGAGGTAAAAGGATGTCCCAGATGATCAGCTATATCACCAGCTAACAATTCTTGCCAGATGGGTGCCCTCAAATACGTCGAAGAACTTCAAAAGAAGAAGCAGTCCGATGTCCTTCGATTCCTTCTCCGAGTCCGCTGCTGGGAGGTAAGAGACTCCCCGAGATGACAATGGAGCAGACAAGAGGAGGTTTCAGAAATCATACACAGACGCAGCCTCTTTGCTCTGTTTCCATTTGTGGCACATTCTCGTTTGGGACATGTGTCTTGCTATACACTCGTTGAACACGTTTGCTGAGAGTGCATAATATAGCTCCGACAATTGAACGTCATCCACCGCGCCTCTCGTCCTTCTCGACCTGACAAGGCCCGTCGCTTGGGCTACAAGGCCAAGCAAGGCTATGTCATCTACCGCATCCGTGTGCGCCGCGGTGGTCGCAAGCGACCGGTGCCCAAGGGTGCTACCTATGGTGAGAAACAAGCCCGTCCCGGCTGCCAGGCTCAACGTTCGTGAATCAAAAATCCTGACGATATAATGTGCAGGCAAACCCACCAACCAGGGTGTGAACCAACTCAAGTACCAGCGTTCTCTTCGCTCCACTGCCGAAGAACGAGTCGGCCGCCGCTGCGCCAACCTCCGCGTCCTCAACTCTTACTGGATCAACCAGGACTCGACCTACAAGTACTACGAGATCATCCTTGTGGACCCCAACCACAAGGCCATTCGTCGTGATCCCCGCATCAACTGGATTGTGAACTCTGTCCACAAGGTAAGGAACTCAACTCACCCTGCAAAAGGGATTGAGATATCTCCAAAAAAAAAAAAGGGGAATTGCATGGCTGACTTGTGCACTAGCACCGCGAATCCCGAGGTCTCACCGCCACAGGCAAGAAGTCCCGTGGTTTGGGCAAGGGACACGGCTACACCAAGACCACTTCCGGACGGAGAAAGACTTGGAAGAGACACAACACCCTCTCGCTCTGGAGATACCGCTGAAGGGGGACTGCTTGAGGTTGCTGAGATGGTGGTTCGCGTGTGGATGGGGTTCGTACGCCGCATTGACGATGGTTGCAAGATCCTGCGAAAAATGCATATGCTGCAGGAGAGATGATACGCGGATCCTGACGCTCGGGTGGCGAGTCTGATCGTGATAATGGGATTCGTCAAAAAAGCCATGAAGCGACAGCGTCCTATGGATGCGAGATCGATCTTGCAGAGAGAGTGAATCCACGAAATACTCCGTTTTGTGCGAGGGCATGGTAGGGAGAAAGGTCTCGGGGATGCTTGCATGCACACGTGGATGTGAACGAGTCTTTCCAGTAAGCGAGTGAATGGGACAGAAAAATAAATGGTTCTTGCGACGAACAAACCCTGCACCCGCACACAATACAGCGGCCCAACAACTTTTGCAAAATTCCCCCCGCAATTTCTTTCCCCGCAGACTTTTCTGTATGACATTTTCGGTTTGATTTCTATGACTGTAGCCGTCTCGCGGTCTAGGCAATACCAGATCCCTCCCTTCGCCGTCTCGTGACCAAACTCTCCAGCAGCGGCTCCTACATCATTCTTCTTTCCTCGTCCATTACCAGCTCTTGTGCAGAGCACCATACTCCAGTCCCGGCTCGCCAGCACCCCCTTTGAAGAAAACCCGAGTCCCACAAACACCACGCACCGGACACCACTTACACACCTCTTGATCCCATACTCCGTTTCTTTTCCCACCCAAAGCGGTCCGGGATTCTATCCGCCACTATGCCTTCGACCACGACGACGGCTGCCGCCGCCTCGACGACCCTCAACCTCACCGGCTCGGGCTCCGCGGCAACCACCGCCGAGGACCTCGACATCTACGACGAGATCGAGATCGAGGACATGACCTACGACCCCGCCCTGCAGATCTACCACTACCCATGCCCCTGCGGCGACAGGTTCGAGATCTCGCTGGGCAGTTTGAGGGAGGGCGAGGACGTCGCCGTCTGTCCCAGCTGTAGTTTGATGGTCAGGGTGATTTTTGACCTGGAGGATTTGGCGGGCGGGGAGGGTGACGAGGATGACGAGGAGGAGGAGAGGGAAGAGAAAGACGAAGAGAAAAAGGAAGCGGAAGAGGAAGAGGCCGCCAAGTGATCAACTCCGGTTTTTGAAGGAAAAAGAGAGAACGGGTATGGCTGGAAAAATAAAGCTCGACACGGCAAATTTAGATGTGTGGGTGGATGGGTGATACGTGGCGACGACACACGGTTGAGGCCTGCCATTGCAGCAGGATCATGCCGTCGAGGGTCAGTTACCGTGTGCTCGACCACGACGGCGCGCCATATGGGGGTCGATCCTCTCGTGTTACCCGTCGAGATATCCCGCCAGCAACGCCCCTGCAGGTTTGACGCCTGCAAGTACGGAGAGAGACGGCTGTGCGGTCCTCCCCGACCTCACACCGCACGAGGTCGAAGACTCCTGTGTCGCAAAACATGTCCTCTCGCCGGCTATTTCGCGGCGATTTTTTGTTGGTGGGCACGGACGCACATGCTCCCCTCCGAGTTTGGAGGAACAGCTCGAGACGGTCGTCACCCTCGAGCCTTGCTCTTCGCGGCTCAAGAGCGTCGCCGGTGAATAGCCGTCGCGGATCCTTCCTGTCTCTGCCTCCGTCTCCGTCTTATGGGGATTGGGGGTGTGGTCCATACCTCCTTCCAACCTGCTAGAAAGCGCGTTCTGGGACGTCCGATTGGAAGAATGAAGGGGGGACAGATTGCTTGTTGGAGGTATCAGCAGAGTATCGAACCCGGCTCTGCCGACCGCGTATCACCGCCACTTACTCGGTACGCTGGTTAGAGACGTCCCAAGTCCTCAGAGGATAGGGAACGCCGAATCAAATCCCCAGGCCTGGCCACCAATACGACCATCGCGGACTTGGTCGACGGCAAGTCGAGCTAGCAGCATAGCCCTCCGTTGCGCTGCTTCTCGTCACCCTTCCACGTCGTTACCGGGCCAGACTCTGGCGAAAGTCACAACGAGGGGAGCCTTGAGAGCCGCAGAACACGGGACAAGACTTGTCGAGATGCACGACACGTTCGGATATACATTCTGTGCGGTAGCTGTAGGGCCCTGGTTCCAGAGGGGAGAATGATGCGACATACGTATCACTGATTACTGGTCACCGGTCACTGGTCATGCTTAAATATCATCGCACCTCTCCACAAGATGGTTCCTAGCTGCGGATTCTCGTTGTCGTTATTGTACATGTCCAGATATCCCGTCCCACCCTTGCCTTCTCCCCCCAGAGGCCCGAGTCCTCAGGGCATAAACATTTTCTCCGCGACGGGGCGATACTCGAGCCCCCAGCCCGGGGTGGCCGAGGGCTCGGCGCCCATCTTGCAGATGCGGACGCTACGGATCGTGATGTCCCTGGCCCATATAAAAGGGGCTTGCGGGTTCTGTTCGGTTTCGGTTTCCAGCACATCGCTCCCATGAGGATTGTTTTCGGCAGTGCTCGTAGGCTTCGGAGTTGCTGCTGCTGCTGGTGGTGGTTCATTCTCCTTCCTCCCGTTACGGGTCGATTCGTGAGTATCAGTATGAGCATTTGATGGTGACGAGGATGATGCTCCGGCTTGGCTCGTGCCCGCGTCTGGGCCATGGTTAAACCGCCTCAGAATCTCCCTTGCGTCCACATTCCCGTCGTCGCCACCTTTGGCCTTTCCTTTCCATTTCCCTCCCCTCCCTCGGCCTTTCCCTCCGCTGCTCTTCACGTAGATCATATTCGCGACTGTGGCGTGCAGAACCAAGGGTCTCGTCTCCGTGATGAGCCCGGCTTCCCGGAAGACATCGCGCACCAGGTTGCCGAATCTGTGCAGGCGAGAGCTCGGGTCGTGGGGATGCGCGAAAAAGACGCGGGCCGAGCGGGCGGAGGGAAACGTGCCCAGGGCGGAGAGGGATATGGTTAGCGGTTGTGGGAGTTCGGGATCTCCAGAGTCGTCTTCAGGCAACGTCGACGGTGCAGGGACCCGCGGTGGCGAGACTTCTCGGGTCAGGGATTGGAGTGTTTGTAGGGGGGAAGACAGCATCGCTCCAACGTCTTTCGCTGTCTCTCGCGGCTTTCCCTTTTCTTCTGCGTGGTGGTTCGGGGGATCTGGCATTGGCTGTGGGCTTGTGGGCTGCCGTAGGTCCTGGGAACCAGCCTGATCTTCGTCAACGGGCGGCAGACTTCTGGCATCATGTTGGGCCACATTGCTTTGGGACGGTTGGACTTCTCCAGCTGGGAGACCTCCGACCTCCTCTTGCCCTTTAGATCGCGTCTCCTTATCCGGGGTTTGTTCGTCGACGTCTCCGCTTGCTGCACCTCTCGGCCCTCCCTTATTCCTTCTCCCTCGCACAGCCTTCTGCGCATCGTCCCCTTCCCCGGACTCCGCTCGCCTAAGCAATTCCAGGTAGTCAATCTTCTGCAGCAACGCCGCCGCGTTTTCCAAGTCTTTCGCGGTGGCAAGGTGCATGACCCCGAGTGTCAGGTGGAACGTCCCAGGCGGACGATGCGCCGGATCTGGGATGATTCTCACTGCTTGATCCGCATCCTGCCCCCGTTTTTGGCTACGAGATTGCTCGACGTCTCTCTCGGGAGTCGCATCCCGATCTGCAGAAGGCAACGGCGTGGTGACTGATCTGAAGTACGCCAGGGACTGAGAGAGCTGTGATACTGACTCGTCGCTCACTAGCGGGAAGCAGACAAAGTGCGTGGGACGCTTGTTGCTTTGAGATTTTGCCGGTTTGTCATTCGAGGGCATCCTCCCCGATGCTGCTTGGACTGGTTGATGCCCTGAATGCGTTTGCTTGGATGGGGTTGTTGGCTGGGTGGCAATGGAAGCCATGGTGATAGCAAAGCTTGATGGTCTTGTCGAAGTTGGAGATCTTAGTCTGGTGGGCTCTGCTATGGCTCGATGGTATAGTCTCCGAATAAGACAGTCGGTGCGCATGGAGATTATAGACCATCAGACGACGATTCTGTCATTCAAGAGGGGACTTCTCCCTCCTTGCACCCTACAGCCTTGATCGGATTCTCGACGTCTGGATTTCTTGAGTATATACGGAAGAGCGGTAATTCGCTCACCCAAATCATTAAATGCTGGCACCTGGGATCAGAGATAATTCCATGTCGGCTGAGCAGTGAGCAATAATTCAGGCAGACAGAGGGATATTGTGCTGGTGAGAAAGGGCCAATTGGGTTCAACTTCGTGCTTGAAGAAACATCATTGGCCAAGAGATGGCAGCCTCGTCAGCCTCACCAGCCTTGCCAGTGGCCCATTATGGCTTCACGTCTGTTCTTGAGCAGTTGGAATATAGCGGTGCATTATGTCAACATGATCATTGTGCCATCCTCCCTTAGCTGCTTTGACTTTTGTGCATCGCTCGTTATCTTATTCACCCTTCCCCCTTTTTTGGCCCCCTTTCCATCCCAGCCTTATACTTCAACCCATGAGGGGAGGGGCCCAGATGCGCACTCCCCTATGAGGATCCTCCCTCCGACATTCTATCTCTGGTGCAAAATGATCAAATTTGCAATGCCAGCAAAGGTCAATTGCCCAACAGCCACGGAAAGATTCCAATCTCCACCCAGACCACCCCATAGGGCGACGCAAAGCCAGACAGCTGCAAACACTGGCCAACAGCAAGCCGCAAGCGGTGCTAATTCATGTCGAAGACGATCGGTGTGCCATTCTATCGTATACATGAGACCGCGAAACTCCTCAGTCTGTTGATACAGATGGCGTTCAAAAGAATTCTTGATGCCCTCATCTCCGCTGCAAAAATTAGCTGGTACTAAGTAGGGGCTGGCACCACAACTCACTAGAGTTCGTAAATCAAGTTCCACCCAGCCATTCCTTCAAGGAACTCCAGTCCATTTGCCTCCTTTGGGCTTTGTCCGCACTTTGTCAGGAGATCTCGCATGAGAAAGGATTGTCATTCTTGACCACCCCAGCAACGTGGAACTGCAGACAGTGAGGAATACCTTCTTGTCTTTGATCAGCAACTCACTTTCACTTCTTCAACCTTGGTCACCCCGTAGTATGGAAGCCACTTCTTCCAAGTTTCCTGGTGCTTGAAGCATGTCTGCTGTAGTCTTTCGAAGATCGCAGCATCGCACTCGGCTGGCCTCTCCTCCGGCATCAACAAAGATCTCTCTCCACCTCTGGTTTGCCCGATCTTCAATCCTTACTGGCGTGGGCGAATCTAGGGAGTTTTTGGTCGGCTTGCGGCAAGGGACGGCGATGGCACATAGATTGTTTCCGTTCCTCAAGCACAAAAAACTGTCGCCCTTGTTTGTCGATCGAAGCGACCATCGCCTCAAAGTTGTTTTCGGAGGAGTTCTTGTTCCTGTGGTACTTCTCCAGTATTCGATTAAAAACACTCTTCAACGTTCTGCCAGTCGCAATCTGAGACCTGTGCCTCTTGTCTTTCTATATCGGGCTGGTGAGAACTCGCTTGGTTTCTGCCATTGCCAACCGCCTGTTCGTTAGACTGAGACGTCATTTGGATGGCTTGGGAAATGAAAGCTGTACATGCCGTGGGAGCTAGCAGGTGTAGTACTCATATGAGTGTGAGCCAGCACTTCCAGACGATAGCAGGAGAAGTTTATATCTGAGCGCGCCATTACTGAATGCGCAAGGCTCAACGCTGCTAGGAACGAGGTGCAAAAACACCGCCACGCCTGGTAAAGTTCACGCGCATCATCCTCGAATGAGGGTTCGTAGTGCACCATGAGCAAGTGAAAGAGTAACAGCGGATGAGAGGTGCAAGACTTTCCCTGGAACAAGAAACCTACGACGAACCGACTCACAGTGAACACCCTTTGACACTACAGTATTTCCACCATCTCATATTCTTTTGGAACATCTATTCGGGGTATCTATCTGTTGAAGAAGCTGATGAAGCTTCTGCGATTGTCCGTTGAAGGACGTGTCTCTCCATGTGATCTCTGATCGGAGATCTTCTCGCACCAGCACTCTCGAAACAAAGGACTCAAAGCACCCCATTATTTCAAGGGTCTTGACTTCGTCCCAAACTTTTCCTGCCTCATCAATTCTCGTCCCAAGGTCGTTGAGTTTCGTGCATAATTCCATTTGGACAAGGAGGTCAATAGGACCATGCCGCTGGACTCTCCACTTTCTATGCGTTGAGCATTAGAACACCTTCTCTCCCGAAATATGACCCCGGACGCCAATAAAGATGCAATCATTCACAAGACAATGAGGCAGCCCTCGACAAACATCAAACCGTCTAGTAGCGGTAGATATCAGACTTGAAAGGACCTTCGACAGTCAATCCCAAGTACTCTGCCTGGACAGGGGTCAACTTGGTCAACTTGGCGTTGACATGCTCCAAGTGGAGCAGTGCGACCTGTTCGTCCAAGATCTTGGGAAGAACGTAGACGCCAATCTCCTTCTTGCCGCTCTTTCCAAACTCGACGTATTTCTTGCCAAACGCTTCGTCTTCGGCCTTGTACAGCATGATCTGAGCCAGAACTTGGTTGGAGAAGGAGCAGGACATGACAAAGGAAGAGTGGCCGGTGGCACAGCCCAGGTTCACGAGACGACCCTCTGCGAGCAGGATGATGTGGCGTCCACTGGCCATCGTGTAGCGATCAACCTGAGGCTTGATGTTTTGGACGGACTTGGCATTCTTCTTGAGCCACGCAACATCGATTTCAATATCAAAGTGTCCAATGTTGCAGACGATGGCGTCGTTGCGCATCGCCTCAAAGTGCTTTCCAACAATGATATCACGGCAGCCGGTGGTGGTGACGAAGATCTGGCCCTGCGAAGCGGCATCGTCCATGGTGACAACCTGATAACCGGAGACGGCGGCCTGGAGGGCGTTGATAGGATCCACCTCGGTGACGAGGACACGGGCACCCATGCTGTGCAGAGCCTGAGCGCAGCCTTTCCCAACATCACCGAAGCCGGCCACGACGGCAATCTTGCCGGCAATCATGACATCGGTGGCACGCTTGATGCCGTCAACGAGGGATTCCCTGCACCCATAAAGGTTGTCGAACTTGGATTTTGTGACGCTGTCGTTGACGTTGATGGCGGGGACCAGGAGTTTCTTGCCCTTCAGCATGCGGTAGAGGTGATGGACTCCAGTTGTCGTCTCTTCTGACACGCCATAGCAGTCTTTCAGCATCTCGGGGTATTTGTTGTGGACCAGGGCGGTCAAATCACCACCATCGTCGAGAATGAGATTCAGCGTTTTCCCTGAAGGGAAGGCCTTTAGCTGTTGTTCCAGACACCATTCGTATTCTTCTTCAGTCTCGCCCTTCCATGCGAAGACAGGAGTGCCTCCAGCTGCAATAGCTGCCGCGGCGTGATCTTGAGTAGAGAAGATGTTGCAGGAGGACCAAGTGACCTCAGCACCGAGAGCTTTGAGGGTTTCGATGAGGACGGCGGTCTGGATGGTCATGTGGAGGCAGCCTGCAATTCGGGCCCCGGCAAGAGGTTGGTCTGCAGCATATTTCTTTCTGATTGCCATCAGACCTGGCATCTCAATTTCTGCGAGGTCGATCTCACGTCGACCAAAGGCCGCCAACGAGATGTCGGCGACCTTGAACTTCTGGGCTGGAGCACCACTCATGATGTCGGTGTCGATGGGAGTCGGAGGGATAAGGAGAGCGAGAGTCAATGAGGTTACTGGGTGGTGGTGGTGGCCAGAGAAAGATGAAGTGGGTAAGGGACAGGGTGAGGGTGAATTGTCGGTGACATTTTTTCCCCCTCGCCCTGCAAAAATCTAAACTGCGGAAAAGGCGCCTCCGACACAGCGCACTTCCATCCCACCTCCCACCAACACCCACCAATCACCCGTCAACCTCTGCATCGTGGGGTAGAGGACAGTCCGGCAAGATTTCAACTGCCGCAGCTTGCTCAGAGATAGGATTTCTGCTCCCCGTCTGGGTGGGATGCTTAGCGACCATTGGTGGTGCCAGCCAGCAGCAGCCAACAGCCAGCCAAAGATGGGCACGATCACGGCATCAGTCCATCTGCATGAGATCCCTCGCCATATATAATGGATTGACTCCCTCCTGATGTCGATGGACGCTATCACTCTCCTCTTTATCTGTCTTACGGGCGACCATCATGTGCCTAATGGTGGGCTATCTGGTCCTCTTGCCGCTATCGGTGAGTTTGCTGATAACTCGAGGCCCCCGTGATTTTTTGCCTCGATTAGGAAACGAAATGGCATTGTCCTCTGGCGCTCTGGTCGTGTCTGCAGCTGGCACCATGTTCCGCTCTTCCAGGCGTGCCGTTTGTCAGGGCTTGTTTCGCCTGAGCTGTGGGCGAGAAGAAGCTGCCCAAGGGGCACGAGTCTTGCGGCAGGGAACGGCAATGCGCTGTGCTGAACACGTGGAAGTCAGCCAGGACTGCTGCTGGAGTCTTGCGCGGCAACATGCATCCCACTGCAGACGGGCTCTAGTAAGTGAATGGGCCTCCGCCTGATTCTTCTGACCGCCATATACTCCTCAGTTCAGAATCTGATGTTTGTGTTCTTCCTGCTCTGGATCCTTGGAATCTACACTCAGTTCACGGCGGTGGTTCCTTCCTTTGCCATAAGCCTCAATTGCGTGATCAGTTCCGCATTTCACACAATACCACCCCCAGGACAGGTTCCAACCTGCAGTTATTTTTTCAACCTCCCTACGTTGGCTCATCCTATCCTGCTACGTCTACCACGATATCGTTGTTCTTTCGTTCAAAAGCATCCGCAGTTCAGTGAAGAAAGTTCTGAGTCAGTTCCAAATGGCAGCCACCCGGCCTGGACAACAGCCGCAGACGAATGGGAACAGCAATATGAGCGTGCATGGTTCCCGTGCCCCGGGCAAGATTCACGGGGTCCCTGCTGAAATTGCTGTCGAGCATCATTCGAGTCAAACAGACGTCGAAATCGACCCGGAATCCGCTCGGTGGCTAACAGTTTCACCATATCTTGAGCCAGAGCATCTCTTGGATCTGAACAGTGTCGACACTCCACATCGTCTTCTCGCTCTTGCATCGACACAGCTAGAACCGGCTTCAGGAAAGTATGCCATAGTCCCATACGAAGACGCATTCGACTGGAGCAGTCTCATGGCAACATTGAAGTCATTAGCAGCCAAAGAGGGATATAGATGGACACGGCAAGAGTTCTACGTCGTCGAGTTCAGATCGAAACTCAAGAAGAACATTGCCGTTGATCTCTTGTTCAAATTGGACAAACAATCCCACGTTGAAGCTACCCAGAGTGGAGGGCTTCTGAAATACTGGTACGGGGTGCCTGACACGGATAGGAGAAACCTGGCAACCTGTGAGTAAGCCCGACGAGCTTTCAAGACAGAAAGGTTAATCATCCCCTAGGCTTCTGGCGGAATAAGGAAGACGCAGTCAACGGTGGCCGAGGGCCATGGCACAAACAAGCACGGGCGGCTATTTCCAGCATGTATGAGGAGATTGATGTGAAAGGGCTGCGCTTCACGATCGAAGACGACGTGGCAAGCTGGGGATTTTCACCGTATGCTTGATGCTGGAAGTTTCCAGTGATCTGTCTGCGGTAATCTCGAAAAAGGAGAGCTGGGCAGATTCAAAATTGAGATTGACTCTTCAGGAAGCGGTGGTTGTTGGTTTCAGAGCGTCGGCGTAGCAGCGTTCAGGTCGTTCAGGGTCAAGGCTCCGGTCATCACCTGTGGGACATAGATTGCTTGAATGACAATTCCTCATGACCGTGCGTGGTCACATTATGACAAGCCATCCCTAGGAACAGAAGACATTGAAGGAAAAGAGAACATGTAGTTGAGGAAGCGGTAAGATCCTAACACGAAAGCTGTCTATTGCCCAGTCTCCCTTTTCCTCTTTGGGACTAGTTCTGCCCTGCGATTGACGAGCTTGCTTTTCAAACCTCGTCGTTCAATCCAAAGCTCCAGCAAGTCCCGAGCTCGTCTTGACTCTCCGCTCTCAGACTTCAGTCTTTTCCTCTGCCGATCCAACTTTCGCATCGTCCCTCCCGCCGGCAAGATGATGTCCTCCAAGCTGATGCGGCCAGCTTTCGCCGCTGCCCGTCGCACAGTCCCTAGAACAGCTGTCCGAACATACGCTGCTCCCGCCGCCGTAGACACGAAGCCTCCAGTACCTTTGTTTGGACTCGACGGGACTTACGCAAATGCTCTGGTATGATCAGTCAGTTGTTTTTCCGCAAGAATGGGAGTTTGAACCTGGGCGCAGTTGTGGAGAATCACGACTTCAATGAATGGCAGATGATCAGGGATTGCATGGACGTCTCGTCGAGGGAATCTCAAGCTGACACTTGCATGCTCAATAGTATACGGCGGCTGCCAAACAAGGCTCCTTGGAGCCGACGGCCAAAGCTCTCAGCAGTCTAGAACAGATCTTCAAGACAGATGCCAAACTCCCCCAAATTCTCGCCGCTCCCACCCTCTCCGAAACCGATAAGTCACAGATCATTGCGGAACTGGAAAAGCACACCGGAGCATCGGATAAATCCAACACCGTCAAGAATTTTCTGCAAACGCTGGCGGAGAACAACCGGTTGGGTCTGCTCGAGGGAGTGTGCGAAAAGTTCGGCACCCTGATGAGCGCCGCAAGAGGAGAGGTAGAATTGGTTGTGACAAGCGCCTCGGTATGTGCACGTAACGCATCTTGCACATGATCCCGCAGTCTGGGCCCAGACCTGAACCTGGAAGCACCGTTGCACTCATAGAAACTAACTTTGCTGAACAACAGAAACTTGACGATAAACTCCTTCGCCGCCTCGAAGCTGCCATTGCCAAATCCGAATATAGCCAAGGCAAGAAGCTAAAGGTCGTCACGAAAGTCAACCCGGATATTCTCGGCGGGCTGGTGGTGGAGATTGGCGAGCGAACGATTGACCTCAGCGTTTCAAGCAAGATTGCCAAGTTGAACAAGATGCTCACCGAGACTGTGTAAAATTATCCTGCATCATTGAGACTTCCGGAAGCATGGACTTGACTGGTGAGGAGGTCACGCTTTGGGGTGAGCACGGTAGCACCTTTTTGAAGGTGAGAACCAGAGACACTAGACAGGCTGTAGGGTGGTCATGTATATAACCAATCCAGTTCTTTCGTCCTGACCACATCGACCAGCTTTCAGCTTCTGATCTATTCAAGGATTTGCCAAGGCCTCTCTTTATTCGTGCGACACCAACGACTTGGCCTCGGTGCTTGAACTCGTCGATTCCTCCAGGCATCCTGCATCTCCTTTGAGTCTCAAGGCCGGTGGCATTATCGAGCCAGCACAGACAAACAGGGGAGAGAACACTGTACAGCGTCACTGGAACTGGCTCTGCAGGGAGCATCCAACACGGGTCTTCAGCGGGCGTATGAGCATTTCCTCCATTGGAAAATGAGGTGCTGGGACGACTACAACCAGACCTGATCACAACCCTCAATTAGCCCAGGAACCGATCTCAGCCCTTCAGCGCAAAGGATGCCGTGTCTGTCAGTGGCAAGCAAGGTGCACCACTAGACTGGACATGCTCACAGCAACCTACAATTCCAAATCTTCGCGAAGCAGGCCCAGAAAAATGGGAGACGGCTGACTATGAATACCCTTGATAAGCCCTATTGGTAACAACGAGCTCCCAGCTCTGGAGCTCAGCCTCTATCCGCATACTTGAGACACCGGTTCTGAAGGCTGCCATAACGTCTCCCGGTTCCGAGCCTCAAGAGTGCGCTAGACAGACAGGAGAGACACCCCTCCAGAGGACGCGGAGCACAGTTATGCTTCCACAGGTCCTATATAAGCGGGTGCATCCCGAGTCCAATTCCATATCGCCTCCGACGAGCTCGACGAAAGGTTGCACCGCACCAGGGACGCCTTAGTCGGCGGCCAAGCAGATTTGGCCCCCTCGAGATCGGGCTGCCTGATCGCCAATTAGCCAGGGGTTGGTGTGATACAGCTGCGTCCCACCCTAGCCGTTTGATTAGGTACACTCCCCCGTGTGGGTGTAACAGATCGTCCGTGCCTGGAGACAGAGACCAAGCAGAGCTGGAGGTACGTGAAACAATTCCAGGCCCTAACGAGGCCGAACTCTTCATGGATTTGTCGACACGGCCTTCGCCCAGCGGCTCGCCATGGCATGCGCCCAGTTGCAGATTCAGCCTAACGATCGAATGGCCACCATCCAGGCAGGCCCCTACATCTGGCGTCCCTGCTCTACATAAGAACCTCGATCTATTCATCTCTTGATGCTCTAGAGCAAGCCAGCGGTCGAGTCTGCTTTTCATTCTATGATGAGCAAGGCCTGAGCTTGGGGCGAGAGAACGGCAGCCTCATTGTGGGAAGAACATCGCTCCACTATGGCTTCTCAAGCCTCTGCGCCGCTGCTACGGCAAAGCGACGACGGCGACACCTTGACGACGGAAATTCAAGAACGGGAGAATCGGTCCAAGGAAGGCGCTGGAGAATCGCGAGAGAGTCAAATTCCACAGACCCAGACCACGGAAGCACAACCACTCGACGGACCTTCTCAAAGACTCGAAGGAGCAATTGCCGACATAGTTTGGGCTCTTACGTGCCTCAGCCTCCCTATGCTTGTGTTGACAGCCATCTTCGTCGGCCTCGTCTACGTTTATGAGGTTTCCAGGACTCCCGAGGCTTCTGAGAACTTGGTAGGAATTTCGTCCGTGCGAGACAACTCGGCATACTACGTCGACTTTAATGCGACGCGACTAATCACGGTTTCGTCTTGGACAAGCACTGCCACGTCGCTCACGGCTGCGTTTTTCATGGTTCTGATCTCCTATCCCCTTGCGAAGGACTATATCAGGAGATCGAACTCGGAAGGGGTCGACGCCCTCCCCACGGTGTATCAATTCAAGTTGATCATCGGTCTACTTGGAGGGGGGGTTGGGCCGCTCTGGTCATGGCTACAATACTGTTTCTGGAAAGGGCGAAACAGGCAGACCAGGCTTTTATGGGCGACGGTCGTGACTCTGTTGACGGCAACTGGTTTGAGGTAGAGACCATAACAGTGTGTCCGTCGAGTAAAGACACATGCGCTAACCAGGGCCGATAGCATCGCCATCCTCGCCGTCGATTCATGGCTCCATATCACCACTTCTACAGTGAGCTTGGACACGCTCTCACCACCCGCTTCCACGCCCGTCGCAAGCTACGGTCGTGGCCTCGTCCCGCTCTGTTATAACCAAACCTGGACAGCCGGGGATATCAACCAGTGCATAGGCGGCTTGCAGCTGCCCGGGTCCATTCACTTTGACAGTGCTTCAGAGGCGACACGGACCTCGATGAACCTCTCCACGATCAACGCCGTGTTGAGCAGTACGATCGACGACAAGTATTTCGCCTTCCTCACTTCGGCACAACGCGATGCCAATCTCGATTTTCGGACCAAGACGTACGCCATGAGCACCACATGTTCTCCCGCCAGCACAGCTTGCCACCTTCAACAGATCCAATGGTGCAGTCATGAAAGCGGCTGTCCCCTCGGAGAAGTCCAGTGGACGCTGGGGATGACCTACAATTGCAGCGCCAGTCTATACGGGGACCTCAACAACAACACCGGCTTCGCGTTCACGTTGAACGGCAGCTCGTACGCGACCACCAGCAACATCGGCTTCTTCCTCCAGATGTTCCGTCAGCAAGGATATGCGGACCCGATCGGGACGGCGGATCAGCAGGTGGCGACCCCGAATCCGTTCTTCTTCGCGGCTGGTGCTCGGGTGGCCACTTCAGACGCACTGGCTCGGGATCCTGAGGCCGTCGAGGACGACGACCAGTACAACTACGCCTTCATCTTTCAGTGTACCGCGACGATCTACGAGCTAGAGTATGCATCCATCGACGGCAACGTCGTGGGCGGCAACTACACCGTGGCGAATGACACCCTGTCCAACAACATGGGCTGGGCGCTCCTCGAGGCCCGCGCCCTGGCCCAGAACTCGCTCGAGGCCGCCTTCTTCAGCGGCGCCCAACAGTCCAACACGTCCCAGGCGTTCGCGGACTACTTCGCGCAGCAGTTCAGCAGGTCCGCGCTGAGCATGATCGCGGGCATCACGGCGGGGAGGCTGAACGCGGCGGAGCAGACGCGACAGAGCCGCCTCGTCGCCCGTCTCCCGAAAGCCCCCTTCTTCGCCCTGATCACCGTGAATCTGCTGTACGCGCTGATGGGCATGGTGCTCGCCGGCGTCGCATTGGCAAGTCAGCCCCGGAAGACGCGCGAGATGCAGGCCCGGCTCAGCGTCGCCGGGCTGGTGGCTGCCCTGCTGGAGCCGGATCCGGGTCGTCGCAGCAGCGGCAGCACAAGCTGTGCGTCTTGCTCCAAACGCGGCGGCCGCGGCGGGATCGAGACCGTCTTTGCCGAGTACTACAACGACGGCGGGCCGCGCGACGAAGACAGTCGAGTCATGCTCGTGGCCTCCGGGCCCGGAAATCGCGTCTTTGAGAAGATCTCGGTGCAGAGCGCCCCTGGTTGACCGCGACAAGTACACACCCCGGGCGTCTCGTGGCGGTGGAGGCCAGTCGCTGGGCCACGCTGCTGCTGATGCGAGCTGGTCGCCGGGAGGAAGGTCCCAAGAAGGGCTGCAGCAGGCGGCGACGGTGCACGGTGTTGTCCCCTCGGCTGTGCCAGGGGGAGAAGATAACGAGGCCTCTGCGCGGACTCAAAACGCATCATCACGCATTACGGAGAGTGCGGACATTGGATGAGATGAGGCCGGTGTCTCTCAGACCCTCACAAGGCTGTTCCCACCAGCTTCTATCTAAACAATTAATGGCGCATGGACCTTGTCATTGCGGGCAAGACATCTAGGAAGGAAGATACCAGCCCTGACACCGGACAAGGCTGAGCGTGTTTGCATGTCTCGGTACCTATAAAAACGGTACGAGCTTGGGAAGAAAGAAGGGCTGAGTCTTCTCGTATTAATCCGTAATTACCTGCTCAAGTGATATTCTATCCATGCTCGCTGTGTATGTATACTCCATCGACAAAAGCTCAAACTCTGCGGATCTAGTCTAGAGCGCTATGCCACGCCGTCTGAGTCTCTATTATGATTATCGTAGTCTTGCGCACCGTCAATGGCTCTCATCGGAAACTCGCCTAGTCCAACTGCGCCTCAAACTCGTCCTCGTACACCGCAGTGCTCTCATCCGTCTTGATCTTGGTCAACTGCTCGCTGACATATTTGTCATAATGACTGTCCGCAATGCTCTTTCTGCGTTCTTTCTCGAGTTTGTCCTCCTCTCCCCACGCGTCTGAATCCGTTGCCGTGGTTTCCGCCCCTTCGAAATAGGAGTTGGGAGCATCCACGTCGTGGATCACAGCCGGGGTCGCATTGCCTCTACTGGAGTGGTCGCCGTTGGCGACGGAGACAAATGAGCCCCGGTTGCCAATCGAACGCGAAGTCGACGATCGCCGCATCGGGTTGGGGGTGTCAACGAAGGTGCCTTTCCTGCTGAGTCCTCTTGAAAGAGTGTCATCAAAGTAGTGCGCCGCCGCCGTGGAGGGTGTGCGCGGAGTCTGCGGTAGACGACAGTTGATCCCTGTATCGTGGATCATTTTGGCCATCAGCCCGGTCCACCCGCACTGGTGGCTCGCACCGAGACCACGTCCAGTGTCACCATCGAAGAACTCAAAGAACCAGAGGTAGTCTTTCCAATGTGGGTCGAAATCGAGGGTATCATTACCTGCGTTGATGGCACGACGCCCTTCGCTGTCTCGCACCATGAGATGCTGAAGTCGGTGCTGGATCTCTTCGGCAACGTGGCCGAGATGCATATATTCGCCTGAGCCAGTGGGACACTCGATCTGGAGGGAGGTGCCATAGAACATGTAGAACCTCAGGAGTGACTCGACTAGCAGGAAATTCACAGCAATCCAGATTGGACCACGCCAGTTCGAGTTGCCACCGAAGAGGCCAGAGTCAGAGTCACCTGGCACGTAGCTAACCTTGAACTGTTGGCCGTTGACATCCATGCTGACGGGATTCTTCTCGTGGTACTTGGACAAGCTGCGGATTCCGTGCTCAGAGAGGAATTCTGTTTCGTCGAGCATCCTCTGCAAGATCTTCTCTAGTCGCTCCTTGCTGACTAGAGACAGAAGGAGACGCTCGTCTTTGCCTCTCTTGCGCATGGAGGCAATATTTCGCTCTGCAACGTCGTGGCGGTTCTCAATGAACCAATCCATTCGCCGCTTGAAATTGGGAAACTTGTTGATCAGCTCCGGCTCCAAGGTCAGAACCGCATATAGTGGGATGAGGCCAACGAGAGACCGTACGCGCATTTGCTGGGTCCATGGTCCGCCCCAAGAGATGGCATCGTAGTAGAATCCGTCCTCTTCGTTCCACAAACTCTTCTCTTTGCCTCCAGCACGGAAGGTCATGGCGTCCGCAATCAGAAGAAAGTGCTCGAAGAACTTGGAGGCAATGTCCTCGTATGTTCGTCTATGCTTGGCAAGTTCCAGCGCGATGTTCAACATGCATAGGCAGTAGAATGCCATCCAACCTGTGCTGTCGGCTTGCTCGAGAACCCCTCCAGTAGGTAAAGGCTCGGAACGGTTGAATAGACCAATGTTGTCAAGGCCCAGAAACCCGCCTTCGAACACGTTTTTGCCCTCATAGTCCTTGCGATTGACCCACCAGGTAAAGTTAAGGAGTAGTTTCTGGAAAACGCGTTCGAGGAAGTCTAGATCTTGTCTTCCGTACATTTTTCGTTCAATCTTGAATGTCCGGAAGACGGACCATGCGTGCACAGGAGGGTTGACGTCGCCAAAGTTCCATTCATAGGCGGGGAGCTGCCCATTCGGGTGCATGTACCATTCGCGGGTGAACAAATCGAGCTGCTTCTTTGCGAATTCTGGATCGACCATTGCAAGTGGGATACAGTGGAAAGCTGAATCCCAAGCTGCGAAAAACGGATACTCCCAGGAATCCGGCATTGAAAGGATGTCGTCGAGGTACATGTGCTTCCAATGCTGATTGCGGATATTCTTGCGGTTCTCCGGAGGAGGTGGCATATTAGGGTCGCCGTTCGCCCACTGATCCCATATGAAGTAGTAGTGCTGTTTGCACCAGAGCATGCCGGCAAGGGCCTGGCGCTGGATATTCCTCAAATCTTCAGCCATAGGAAGAGGGCTGATTCTGTAGTAGAATTCGTCGGCTTCTTGCCGTCGTTGTTCCATGATGTCGTCCAGAAGCTCTTCGTTAAGGTAGCCGTCGTATTTGCGCGACAATCGGAATCTGACAACAGCACACTCCCCAGGAGGGACCCCGTCACCTTGACCAAAGTCATACCAAGCCGCGCATTTAGTGCCCGAGCAGCGAGGATTGATGGCTCCTTTCTCTTCATCGACAATCCACCGGTGGAAAGCGTCCTTGACGTACGGTTGCTTGTTCTTGACCCCATAGAGCTTTTGGAGGTTGGTATCATTTTCCGTGAACATGAGTTGTGGATGGACATCATCGGCGGTTGGACCACAGCCAGGTGATGGAGACAACTGGAAGAAGCGGTGACCGAGCTTGTAGTGTTTGGACTGCGCGGTCATGGGTCCCACCATGCGAATGTTGGGTTTGAGCTTTTCAGGCTCGCGACCCCAAGACCAAGTGTTCCTGAACCACATGTGAGGGATGATATGCAAAGGTGCCGGTTCCGGGCCACGGTTGTAGGCCGTCACTCGAAACAGCAACTCTTCAGGGTCGTCGGTCTCTTTTGCGGTCTCGATGAAGATGTCAAAGTAGCGATTGTCCTTGAAAGCGTCCGAGTCGATTATGTTGAACTCCCGCTCAAGCTTACCACGTTTCGCATTTTCCTGGATCAATTGTTCATACGGAAACCGCCTTTGAGGGAGCTTGTAGAGGTATTTCATGTACGCTGAGAAGAAGTCAGCTTATTGCTGCTCGAGTTTGCGGCAGTCCGACTCACAATGTGTAGGAACATTATCCAAATGGAAGTGTGCCTCCTTGAGACTTTCACCGTGATTGCCCTGGGGGTTGCTTAGGCCGAAGAGCCTCTCCTTCAAAAAGTCGTCCTTTTCATTCCAGAACGCGAAGGCGACGTTCTGGAGCCCATGAGTATCGGACACACCAGCAATGCCGTCTTCACCCCAGCGGTAGGCTCTAGATCTGGCTTGGTCGTGAGAGAAATGACTCCAGGCGTCACCATTGTCCGAGTAGTCCTCACGCACAGTTGCCCACTGCCGTTCAGCCACGTAAGGCCCCCATTTCTTCCAGTATTTCGTGCGTTCGCGATCCTCTTTCAGCCGTTTCTCTTCCTCACAGAGGTACTCATGGTGGTCAACAACAACCATCTTGGGGATCGAAGGGTTGCTGTTCCTGTTTTGGTATGCTTGGGACTGGTCAATGCAGATCAGCACATGCGGTGGAAAGGCAATGTGGAGAGAAGGGAGTGCCGCAGCTGGTAGCAATGACAGCAGGGAAGCACAGATATGAACGAAGAACGCGAGACCAGGACAACGATGGACAGAGGACCTCTAACTGCTTGAATGTCCCAGATTGATGGCAAGAGGAGCGATAGAGCTTCTGCCCTTTGAATGGAACAAAAGGACAGAAAATTTCCCAAGTCGCATGGGCGCGGTCTGTTTGGCAGCGATGACGATCGGCGAAATGGAATTCTGGATGGGAATTGGCGGTCGGTGGCATCGGTGGCCGTTGTTGGCATCCCACTCGCCCTGCTTGCCCACTGCCTGATCGTGGTTAGGTGGCTAGAATCTGGGCACAGTGGCCAGGAACCTGGACATGTCACATCGTCAGCGGCGTCCATAGCCCATCGGATTGCGGCTCTAGGGGGGCGATGATAGGCCGAGGCCCTGATCTCGCTGGGGCGCCTGCCACTCGGATGGCGGGAGGCCCAACAGAATTCCCCCTTCCAAGCACCCAGAACCTCGCCTACCACCCCACGACTCGTCGCTATCGGCGCATCTACCGATGCGTTTCGGGGCTCCTACTTGTAGTTCAGTTAACTACTGCACCCACTGTGGCTCCAGCGCTAACTGCCGGGGCCCTAGCCCCCCTGCCAGGCACTCAGACTCGTAGGACTCCCACGTGCTCTCGAGTATAACTACAGTATGCAAGAGGAAAAAGGCTCCTACTGATCAGATATCAATAACCATCATTGAATTCATGCTTTCTCTGCTGCAAATGCTACCTGGGTAACGTTTCTTCCATGCTCTGTATTTGCTCACCTGGTTCTTGAGAGCAGCTTCTTCCCCTTCGTAACAGACCCTAGCCATGTGAGTTTCGAGTCTATGCCAATGCGAATGCGAATGCGAATGGGAATGGATGTCTGAGCCTCGTGGTATTCCCAAAGCTTCCCCTTCTCCACGAATGGCAACCCCATAGTTCTGATTGTGTTACACTGTTTGTATGCAACTGCGTGGTATTTCCAACTCATCCCAAGATGCAGAGCTGCAACAACCGTCATCATTTGAACAGCGCCAGAATCTCCTTCATATGCTGTTCTCGCACCTCCTGCTTGCTCAGCTGTTTGTAATTTTGATTCACCGAAACGTCGGCCAACTGCTGCTTGCGTTTCTGCAATTCCACAATCTTGCCCTCAATGCTGTTGTCGATTTGGTACCGTTTGACGAGAACAGGGCGCTTCTGTCCAATGCGATAAATTCGATCCACAGCCTGCGCCTCAGCTGCTGGGTTCCACATCGGCTCCATGATGAAGGCTCGGGATGCAGCCGTCAAATTCAGTCCTTGTCCGGCGGCCTTGATCGATGCCAACAGGATTCTGATGTTGTTGTCCGATGCGAGCGCATCCATCGACTTCTTGCGGCTGTTGAGAGACATGGTGCCATCGATGCGTACAAAAGAGTGGCCGTGATCGGTCAATGCTCTCTCGATGAGATCCAGGTGCGACGTAAATTCGGAAAAGACCACGCATTTCAAAGGAGCTTCTCCGGCGGCTTCCAATGCTTGACTATCCTGATTCATTTGCTCAATGTCTGCCAAAAGCGCTTTCGTCTTGGTATGAGGGCCGGAATATGTCTGCACGATGTCCTCTTCTTCAGGTTCGGCAATGGTGTCATCTGGCGCCACGAGTATCTCTTGAGCCGTGGATCCACTAAATCCGACGTACTGAGCAGCAATCTGGGCGGAACAGAATGGACAGGTAACGGCTTCCTTGTCCGGTACGCTGTCGAAAGACGCCTTTGCCGGATTGAAACAGTCGGCGCAGACGAGGTCGAAGCATGGGAGGATGAAGCATCGCAGCGCCTGCTCCTCGTCATCCGCTTCGGTCTTGACGACATCCTTGGTTATGCTTCGTTCACAGTTTCGGCACACATCCAGCTCAGCCTCGGTCCTCAAATTCAACGCCTCGTAGGCAGCCTTTCTCGATATGGTCGGTGGTCCGGCATCTTCGTCGACGTCAATGGCATCAGTAGCGCTAATCCCTTTCAGCAGCTTTAGATCTTTTTCTTTCAGCAACTCCCGACCATGGGCGCAAATTAGCCGTAACGTCATGATGCCACGAAGTACGTGATGCTGAACACCACTGTTCTTCTCCTTCGTACGGCTGAGTTGCTCGATTTGGACTTGAGCAATGCCTTTGAAGAAGTCGTGTAGAATTCGCTCTTCGTTTGAAAACGTCAGTTTGGCGACATAGTCTTTTCTCTCTGGGAGGTCAATCCGGTCTCGAAGCCGACGGAGCGTAAATGAGTCCACAAACACACGCAACGCTTTCAGGAAGGCCGGATCGCCCGCCTGAGCTGGCCCTCGGATGTACTGATTAAATCGACCTGCTGTATCGTATGGGTACATGCGGAGAAACCTCGTCAACGACCCCAGGTCATCTAGCCGATTCTGAATGGGTGTCCCGGTCAAGCACCAGCGGCGTTGGGCTTCTAGACTGTAGCAGGCTTGAGACTGCAGAGCCTTTTGTTCTCGGATCGTATGTGCTTCGTCGAGCACTATCCTGAACCATTTCAACTGTCTCAACGGGCTCAGTGTTACAGCAGCCTTGGAGAATTCAGATGCGACTACACCGTAAGTGGTGATGATCATCTCGTACCTTAGCAACTTGTACGGATTCTTCTCGCGGTTCGGGCCGTGATAGACGTGGTAATCCATGGTTCCAGGCTTGATGTGCTGCGCGATCTGATCCTCCCAATTTTTCACTGTGCTGGTCGGGCAGACTATCAACGTCGCCTTGGTGTTTGATAATATGATGTGTTGCATGTCCTGATTGTCGCGCACTACTTTCTCGTTTGCAAAAGATTCGGCTTCTTCCAACGTACTTGCGATGAGTGAGAGGGCCTCCAGTGTCTTTCCGAGACCCATAACATCTGCAAGGAGACCTCCAAGTACTTGTTCCGGCTCATCCTTAACGGAGAGACCAGTGACAACTTCGTGATAAGCAAAATCCCCATTTCTGCGCTGTTTCCGCCGCCAGAGTGAGGAATTCTCTGCTTCATCACTGCCAAAGGTACGTGGCTGCTCTTGTCGCAAGAGAAATGTGAGAGCTTGCTTCTGATGACTGAGTAGAGGTGTTGTAACGACAGATGGTGGCGCACTAGTCTCAACCAGCGGCCTACTGGAATTAGCGAAAGAATCAAAGAGCTTCGAGACTGCTTCTGTAGCTTCCTCGAGAGTGCGTGTGTCGGGTAAAGTCCTCGCTTGGCCTGTGAGACGCAAAGTTGGGAAGAGTGACTTATTGTGTGCATGTGGATTAACGATTGGTATCCCAGGCTCCGAAGCCATTGGGGCGCGCAGCCAGAAGTTGTTGTTGCCGAAAAGCCGCCCGACTCTATCGACGTCTCCACGTCGACCATAGACATTAACTACCATCTTGAGCTGTTCGGAGCAAGCTTTGTGCGGCCATTCGTCTGGTTTCTTGCGCCGGTTGATCAATTTCGCCTGTGTCCGAAACCCCTTCATGGTATCCATAGCTTGCGCAAGTACTGCAGCAAAGTCGGGGTGAACTCTAGCAAATGCCGTGTCCGATGGATCTTGAACGTCAATTATCATGTCCTTGGACGGTTTGCGGACGAGGGTACACTTCATAACGGGCCATTCTCGTTCGGAGTGGAAGATATTGCCAGCGACCTTCGGCTTGGGAAGGAGGTAAGCTTGTGCGACCGTCGCAATGTGGCCATAGCATACTTCTTGATCATCGAGTGACCAAGAGGAAACGATTTGGACATCGTCGTCATCGCCATCATCATCTTCATCGTTTGTGAGATCAACTAGGCTTTTCTTTGTTACTTCGGGTGCCTGGTCGGGATCTGGTCGCATATATTCACCGACGATTCCGTTACCGCGGCGATGAGAGGAAATACCCAATTTTGGTGTTTGCTCGCGTTGGTCCTCAGCAGTCAGTTTCACCTTTTTGCGGGGGTTGCTGATCCGATCTTCGACGCCATAGATACTTTCGAGCATGGATTTTTGGGCACTGTCCTTGTCTCCAGTTTCTCCTTTGAGGAACGTAGTAGATTTAAGAGGCTGACGAGATCTCCCGGGGTCGAGAAGGGATCTATGATCATATGCGTTGGGCAGCTTTGGGACGTTGTTAAACGAGTTTGAAGGAGACATTGAGTGCGATGTTGTAGAGCCTGTTTTCTGAGGAGACTGTGGCCCTTCAGAGGAAGACTGATCGCCGAGAGGGGTACGGCGGCCTGGACCTCCTGAGTGCGAAGAAGAGTCAGTTTGTCACTGGCGCAAGGAAATTTTGGGCTGGGATTTTATTTGAGTTCGTGCGCTTCAAACTTGACAGCATATTTCTTCAGCCCCGATATGCCCCCAACTCTTTGTTTCCCTAAACCAAGAGCGCAGGAAGCATTGGTCAAAGGGTTATGAGCATCTCTTGTGTGCAAACTCAGGCAGCCAACTTTGCTTTGGTCAAGGCCTGCTGCAGGTTTGGACCGACGATAGGAAAACAAGGGCGGGGTTTCATTCTCACCTGACATCTTAGACATTTTCTTCATCGACTTTGGGTCCAACAAAAGATGAGCGTTGCTCGCCATGTTGTGCTTGTTCGCCTTCACGCTTGAGAGGCGCGTCACCCCTACATGAGACTTGTGACTGTAGATCGGTTGAGGTGAAGACGGTGGCAAACCATGTTGCGGCCACAATCACAAATTATGCTCGCATGAGTGAGCGCCAAAAGAAAATGGGACGCCGGCTGAATGGACGGACTGCACAAGTCTAAAGCAGCACAAGACGCTGGCTTGAAAGAAGCATGGCAAAGGGATGGAGTGATGGAGGGAGTTTTATCAGGTTCTGTGATCCAAGACGCGCTCGGACCAACACGGCTGCAGCCTTGCGCTAAAATAACAATGCAGTCGGCGAGGCTGAGGCCTAAATCTGGGGTCATGTCTGTAGCCAATCTGTCCAGCAGCCACTAAGGACGTGCTGAAAAACAAAGAAACGCTATGAACAATGCGATAAGCCTTGATGATGCCGTGTTATTTCCTCCCAAAACGTTGAATATGCGTCTGCGACTTCCTAGCCCCGAGCACCGATTTATTGAACGCCTCTGAGCTGACTGTCATAGTATCGTCTCTCCTCTTGAGATTTCATTTGAGTCGTCATCTGGGGCGCGCGGGCCCACCATCCAATCTTCGAGGGCTAACCACTCACTCCAGGTTCTCTCGGCAGCGTCGATCTCGGCGTCGGTAGGGTCAAACAACGGCCGCATGAAGGGGACCGTCTCCAAGGGTAGCATGTCATAGTCTCTTTTGACCGATGCCCATCCGCCACTTTTGGCGGCAAAGAGGTAGTTCCGCCTTTCTTGCTCTCGTTGTGGCCCGATGCCCGCCCGCCAGTCGTCACCAAAAAAGCCGTGCAAGACTTGGGGCACATCCATACCAGTGACCACCAGACGTCGCAGATACGGAATGAGGGACACGGCGGAGGCGGCGGCTGCTGCTTCGGACGAAGAAGGTCTCACCGGATCCCTATCCAGCCTGGCCTTCCCACTCCGAGATCCGGACGTGCTGTAGACTGGGTGCGGCTGGCGCTGAAACGGGAGCAGAATGTTGATGAAGGATGCAAATGCCTGGACGAGCGGCTCGTGCTGAGCGTGATCTATAAAATAGCGCTGACAGCTTTGGTATTTGGGGAACCATGAGATGATGTCGAACTGAAACCCCCCTCCTCCACGTCTGCCTTGGCTTCCGGCTTCCGAGGGGCTGCTGATGCCTGTAAACGCTGCATCCCGAACAGATCTCGGTGCGCTGAAGTTACTTTCGGACGAAGACGACGAGAAGGCCATGTTGGCTAGCAACCCCCAAGAATGGTGCCAAATGCGCCGTCAAAATCGAGGGCGTTCGGGAAAGGTGAAGAGAGGCACGCAAGTCTCCCGCCCACGATCAGTCGTTGATGAAGTGGCATCAGGCTTAATCTCATGCGTATCCAATGAGCGCATCATGAGATACGCAGTGTTAAAACATCAGACAACGACAAGGTTGACACGTTCGACGGAACTATGCCTCCATGCTACGTGCCGAGACCTCAGGGTGTTGACATGCGGAAACGGGGGAGCGGTGAAGACGCCCAAGAACCAGCTGAAATGGGACGGGAACTGTGCTCCGGGTCGGTTGAACGGCGGAGTTTCTCTTCTCACCAGGTTGGGTTCCGAGAGACAGTGGAATCAAGCAGAGCGGCAGCCACCAAAAGGCTTTTGTTCTCCAGGGCGAGTTGAAGCTGTGCTCTTAGCAGACGAAAATTTGGCGCGTTGGGAATATGGGCATGGAGGGCGTTTGGCGTGTGTTTGGACGGGGAGGGTCGGGATCGGCATCAATACGAGAGCCTCGTGGGCCACTGCACCAACCGTTAAAGAGGCTTCTCCCACTGCCCACGGCGCACGACACCAGGACCAACTCCCGGCCGTCCGTGCGAGACGAATCACATCCCCACCAGATCCCACCGACCCTGCTTGAGCATCTTAAGTAATCTCCTTGTCGGCAATTGATTCCGCCACCAGTTGGTGACAAGCCGCCGCCTTCTGCCTCGCCCTGGTCAGACTCACAGTTCCATTCTATCTACAAAGAAAGAGAGGGGATACATACACAGCACCGTCGATGGCGCCCAACAGCTTCTCATTGTCCACCCGCCTCCCTCTACCCAATGGCCTCTCGATTCCCCAGATACACTTGGGCGTGTACTTGATGTCAAACCGAGAAGCTTCGCAGGCGGTCAAATGGGCCCTGGAAGCGGGCTATCGCGGAGTCGACAGTGCTCAGATGTACCGAAATGAACGAGCCTGCGGTCAGGCCATCTTATCCTTCCTCAATGACAAGTCCAGCAACACCGCGGGCCTGACCCGGGAGGACATCTTCTTCACCTCTAAGTTGGCGACAAACACTAACTATGACGCTGCTCGCCGCTCCATTAGACAATCAGTGGAAGCAAGTGGCCTAGGTTATATTGACTTGTTCCTTCTTCACAGCCCCTACGGCGGGAAAACCGCTCGCCTCTCTAGTTGGAGAGCTGTTGAAGATGCCATCCAGGACGGCGAAATCAAGCTTGGAGGCGTCAGTAATTTCGGGACCAAGCATTTGGACGAGCTTGTCGCCGCGAAGCCGCGCATCATGCCCTGTGTCAATCAGATCGAAGTCCACCGTGAGTCGACCCTGTCCCAGATATCCAGTGACCAATGATCCAGATAAGAGGTGGATGTTGCCGGGATACCTGACTGGACACAATGATGAGTGACCACGCTAACGGGTCTCGTGAATTCAGCATTCAATACGCGAACAGACATTGTCGAAACGTGTCGCAAGTATGGAATTCTGGTCGAGGCCTACGCTCCTCTTGCAAGAGCCCTTCGCATGAAGCACCCGACTATTGTATCGCTGTCTAAGAAATACCAATGCACGCCTGCGCAACTGATGGTCAGGTGGAGTCTCCAACACGGCTATATTCCACTGCCTAAAAGCGTATCTCGAGACCGAATCAAGGCAAATGGTGATGTTGGCCATTTTGAGATATCCAGCGACGACATGCAGAGCATGGACGGGTTAGACGAATACTTGGTGACTGACTGGGATCCGGTCGACGCAGACTAAAGTCTAGCTTGCAGTTGTACGGATGACCAAGCGCCATTTCAACTGGAGGGGCACCTAAGCGGGCGCGGGTTCTTACCATTCCAAGCAAAGTCCCGGGTGGCATCCATTTGAACACTGCATATCTATCCAGGTGGTTCCTGTCAGGTGACACCACAATAGCCAACAGAACCACGAACGATATCCTTCCCAGCAGCCCGGCCGACGCAGAAGCAGCAGGTAAAGCTGACCCCGCAGCTACCAGATGATGTCAACGGCGTTGTGTTGCACTGGGCTGCAGGCCCCAGGCTTCTGAGGCTCGAGCAGAGAAAAGTCACTCTTTTCCTGTGTCTTGCCACTTTGGATACCGCGGTATGATGGAAGACGGGAGGGTGTTGAAAGCAAGTTGGAGCAGCAACGGGGTCCAAAAGCTCTAGGTATCCCATGCAACGGGTGATAAAACTCGTCCAAAGTCATGTCTCAAGAGACAATCAAAAGTTCAGGGAAAGCCCCCTACCCCCCCGCATCATTGTTACAGCGAAATTTGTACTCCCTATCTCGGGCCCGAGTTTTCGCTTCGTCTGTCGAGCGAGATGACAAGTGCTGATCGATTGGAAACAGAAGCAAGACGCGCACTTGATGAACGGATGATCTTCCAGCTAAAGCACGGTATCCCTTGTCATCAGACAGCGATCCAGGGCTTATCCAAGCCCAACAGCCTAAGCATTCTGGTTTGTTCAGGGCGAAAATGTCCAGCTGGCAGAAATAAGGTTGGTCCTCCAGGCAATACGCCTTGCAAAATTGCGGCCACTTTGGAAAGCCTAGCGGGGGTAGAGAGACCAACAAAGGTGATATTATTCGGAGAACTGGGGATCTTCGGCCATGCTCGGAGCTCGAAATACCTTTCGTGTTCGATTTGTCCGTGCTTTGTCACTGGCGCATCTGAAGGTGCGCAGAGGTTTTGCAAAGGACTCGGAAAAGCTGGCCATGGAGAGATTATCCCGCGATGACTTGCCGTCCTTTTGCCACAGAGAACAGGAAAAAGCAAAACAGAAGAAGAGAAATAAAAAAAACAACGACAGTCAACAAAATAGTAGCCACCAGTGGCTGGCATGGACCTCTCGCACCGAGTCTTCTGTCACGGTCTGTCAGAAGAAAGCTTACTTCAGCGACTGGCTGTCCCGCTTTCCACGTTTCTTTCGCCCCCAGCTTTTGTCCCTCACCCGCCTCGCTTGCAAGGGCCAAGTAATACGGTGATTCTCGACCGCTCGCTCATTGTCGCCCGTGCTTAAGGATGAAGTGGCCCCTGGAAGTATTCCTTTGTCTCGGCCTCAATAAGCCCGGGAAGAGGATCGGAGAAAAGAGAGTGCTTACGGTCAAATTTCAACTGCCGTTGGCTGGAAGGATCCTGAGGGCTCCGGTATATCAGTCAGTTCTGTCCCGAGTGCCTTGTACCTAGCAAGGACGCTCAAAGGGGGAGTGGGACTTGGATCACGATCTGCGCCCGTTGCAAGTCAAGTCGACGAGTTCCTTGCCTGTGCCGCAAGCTAGGATCGCCACCGAGACGCTCCCGTCGTCGAGCACCGTTCATATCGCGAAGAGCCAGGGCTGGAGTCGCGACAAGAGTCTGAGCATCCGTATAAGTACCAAGGACGAGGTATTCCGTACGCAGCCACTGTTGGGCCTCTTCGACCCGGATACCTGCGTCTCGCTGCGAGGAAGGTGGTCACTGTGGGTGGCTGGCAATTTTCTACGCCTCAATCAGAGCGCAGGCACGCCGTCTGTCGGCCTCTGGGCTTTTGCTGAGTCAGGCTGCAAACCCCCCTGGTCTCTTCATTCGATTATCTTTGGTTGGGCGGCAGCCGTTACATTAGGTGCAGGGGTGGCGTTTGGTGGAAGGGGGGTTGCTTGTCGTGGGACACCGCAAAGGCCAAGTTACCACTGGATGCCCATCGACAATTTGATCTTCGCCGGGGATTAGTTTCCTCCTCGTGAACTTGGGATTTTCTCACTGGTTGCTCTGGACCCCGTGAGGCGTGGCTAATTGCTGCCTTAGTCATGAAAGTACGAGTGTAGTGTACCATGAGGGTGCCATGTACCGGCCCATCTCGCCCAGTTGGCGTCTGGTTTCTCCAAACCGTGTCGAGTCCTGTAGGCCTTGGAAATTCAGTGTACCCGATACCGTGTACCGAGTATCTCCCCGATCACTTCGGCCTCTGCCAGCGCGGACAGCCTCCACCTCCAATCCCACGCCCGATTGAATTCTGTCGAGTCCCCGGACCTCCTTACAAGGTGCCCTGGTTCATGGGTCGGAAAACAGCTGGACGGTTGGGTACGCAGAAATAGTGACTGGAGGTTGGAGGTACCAGCTGCCACTGGTGGCCGCCCGCAGATGGCACCCATTGGCCCAGGGGCCTGGCCATGGGGTGTCGGCCCAAACCATCCCCCCCCTCTACCAGCACGGCAGACCGAGTACCCAAAACGGGCTCGCGCCCTAGACAGGGGCCTTTAACTAAATCAACTAGGCGTGCTAGGCCACTAGGCTGGCCTGGTGCCCCTCCACGCCCGGCCACGGGCATCTCCCATTGTGCAACAGCGCCAATTCGGGATGCCCCAACTGCCCTCCCAGAGTCAAGACTTGCCCTGCAGATTCCCTTGCGCGATCGCCCTCAAATCCTTCCACCTCGTCGTCAGTTTCACCACGGTCCCCTTCTCCCCAATTCCCAATCCCTTGGGAACTTATTCCTCTCCATATTGTCTCCTGAAAGTCTATTCACACCTACTCTCGTACCCTGTAGAGAGCAAAGAAGAGCTACAAAAAGCTCCCTTCAGCTGTTGCCCACCCCGCCAACCTGAAAGATTGACCGTTTCTGCTTCCCATCCACCCACGATTCTCCGAACTCGCAACGATGCATCTTCCACCGACGGTTCGTTGAATACTCCCAACTGCGCCTCTGTGGTCCTCCCCGTGAAACGCCTGCGTACCATTGCCACTCTGCTGTCTCCTCCACCCTCTCTGCGGTCATCTCCACTGCGACTCTACGCATGTGCATTCGGTCGGCCATTGTCCTGATCTAGTCCCCTTTCCCAGAGGATATCTGAATCTCGTCGCCACGGCTGGCAACGGGGAGTTCTAGCTCCGCTGCCTGTAAGATACAAGAGGAGGAACGCATTTGCGGGGACGTTGCAGGACACAACTTCGAGATATTCCACCATCAACTCTATATTCACAGTCCTGAACCAGTTGTATCATGGACTTCTCGTATTTCACCTCAGCCCCGCAGCCATATCAGTTCTTTGGCTTGCCTCACACACCCTCCACCACTCAAACAAGTCATCTGGACGAGTTCAGGACCGCTCCCTCGACTGTGAGCTGCTCCTGGTACACGAGATTTCTACAGAAGGTGGCTAATCGTGCTGTAGGATCAATATGACGCTGCTTTCGCGGCGTTTCAGCAAAGCTTCCATTATGACCCTGCCACTTTCCTCGCCCAGCCGCACCAATCATCCACCCAATCTCCACCCATCCAAGGCCGTCATGACTCGATGGTATCTATGCCAGAAGTCGACATGACCAGTCTTAACGCACCCGCAACAGACTTGACCCCCGACGAGCCGACAGTAGCAAGAAGTAGCAGCGAAGAGAAGGATACGTTGACGCCTCAGCAAAGTCGCAGGAAGGCACAAAACAGAGCCGCGTAAGACCACTGAAATCTAGAACTTTGAAGGAGTAATATTATTCTAACCCTGACTCTCAGCCAACGAGCGTTTCGAGAGCGGAAGGAGAAGCACGTGAAAGACCTCGAGGCCAAGCTGACGAGCCTGCAACACCAGTCCGTCACCCTGAACGGCGAAAACGAGCGGCTGCGGCGCGAGCTCGCGAAAATTGCAACCGAGAATGAGATTCTGCGTGCTACATCTGGTGCGGCATCGAATGGTCCGACACCCTTTATGGAAGAGCGAGATGAGCTGGTCGGCCCGCTGGGGTACGTCCCCACTGATCGACATTCGAAAGACCGCTCGCCAGCCAGCAGCAGTGGTTCATCCTTCGACATCGGTTCCAAATACGCCCACTTTGGCACGTTAAGGACCATCACGGTGGACAACGACACCGGAGAACCTCTGCTTGGGGCTGGCGCCACCTGGGACTACATCCAAGCCCACGAGCTCTTTCGCAAGGGGCTTGTGGATGTCGGCGACGTCTGCGAGCGTTTAAAAAAGATGGCGAGATGTGACGGCCAAGGGCCAATATTCCTCGAGAGTGACGTCCGGCAGGCCATTGCGGAGAGCGCCGTCGCCGGAGGGCGCGACGAGCTGATATGAGGCTATCTCGTCGCCCGCTGCACCACAATTGGTGCCTCACCTCTCCCCAATTTCCCCACCACCTTTTGTTTGAACCTTCTATGACCAAGCGTTGGCGCCCAGGAGTATTGGTTATTATGATCTCAAGCGAAATGGAAGCATTTGGAGGAATTCTGTCAGCGTGATATGTGCGATCTGTTCAACTGTCCAGATATGTACGAGACGGCATGCTTACTACCTGAAGGCGCACCTGTCGAACTTTCCTGGGTGGCGAGGACCCTTTATCACGAGTAATGCTGCAATCCCCGCAGCTCTCTCGGCATGCAGCTCTGCCAGGGTCGGGAATGTGCATGCATCTCTCCTCAGCCCTTTTACTCCGCTGGATCGAACTGTTTCTGACAAATGGGCCTTGGCTACGTTATGTCAGCTGAACCTTTCCACGTGTGCCACGCCTTTGCGCGCTGACGCAAATACATATAAGTTTAGGACCCTGCCGCGGGCCTGCGATACTCCTTCTTTCTGGAGGTACATGAAGATCCTCGACAGATACATACGTGTTCTGCTGGATCTGAATACCTTAGATGTGGGAGCCTCCAAAACTTCAAAAACATCAGAACGTTGCCTTGTGTGGTCAAGACGCCCTTGTCTGGGTACATGCAGGATACAAACTATCAATCATTGGCTGGTCAGGCAACGATTGCGCCTTTCTGAGTTCCTCCGCATCTGGGATCCATGGTTAGGGCTGCATATCTTCCCTGAGTTGACACTGGTCATCCACAGCAGCGACACCGGCGTCCGGCACATTGGGTGACATCGTTTGGCATGACCGGACCTGGCCCTTGATGACCGAGACCGCTATAAGAGGTTTCCAGCCTCATGGGCGTAGCGGTGCTGAATGCTGCAAGTTGTGCAGAGCCAGCCGTCTTCTGGGAGTTGTTGGGCAACCCATAGTGGTATTGTCAAACAGATGGCCCTTTGCAACGAAGCACATTCGTGAATTGCCACAGAGATGCCCACATAGCCATCCCGCCTTAGCCCATGGCCATGGTTTATACTCAACAGCATCGCTGGAGATGAAGGCTGCAAATCAATCAATCCCCAAAAAAATTCACTCTATTAATCCCAATCATCATCGTCCTCGTTTTCTTGACCGTTTTTGTTCTCGTCTTCGTCGTCATCCTTTCGTCTAAGTCGCATGTCGTTCTCCGTGACCGCGCCGACCTCAACCAGAAGTCGCTCCAGGTCTCTCAGGCCCGTTCTCACGCCGTTGAGCTGCGCCAGGGTCACGATCTGGCGCTTGATATCGCCGTCCTTGTAGACCAAAATGGTCGGCGTGTTCTTCTCGGGGTAGCCCTCGATGCACAGGTCCGCGCGCATCTCGCAGAACTTGACGTCCCCGTACTTGCGGGCCGCCTGCCTCCAGAGCTCGGACAACACCCGCGACTCGACGTTGGTGCCGAGCGACGACGTCAGATTGACCAACACAAACGCCCGGGCCGACTCCTCGGTCACGTCGCGCGCGTAGTCCGGCTTCTGGAGCGGGAACACCTGCCCGTACAGCGCGCGTTGCTGCAGGCGCGCCATCTCCGCGAGCCGCTTCTGGCGGTACGTCGCCAGGAAGGCCTCGTCCTCCTCGTCCTCGAGCGCGGCCAGCTCGTCCAGGTCCTTGTCCTCCAGCCGGTTCTCGTGCGCCCTCTTCACGGCCTCGAGCAGCGCTTCTTGGATGATGGGTTCCGGGTCCGGTTCTTTTTCCGGGATGATGCCGTGTTTGCGAAGAATGTCGTTCCTGTATGTTTGCATCGCACAGAAGAGCATGTTAGGACAACCACCAAAAAAAAAAAAAAAACACAAAACCACAATAGGGCAAATACATCTACGGAGAGTTGACGACGAGGGGAGAAACGAACCATTCTGTATCCGCGTTGGGATCATCGACGGGGACGTTCACGGGCATATCCATTGTGAAAATCAAGGGGGGTCAAGAATAAGACCAGAAAGGGCGGAAGAGTGGAAGGGAAATGTCTCTGGAGGAAGGCAATCGCCAGAAGTAATGCCTGGTAATAGTAATGGCGAAGTTTCGATTCTCATCAGCGGCCTTCCAAGTGGCGTGAAGGCTGAATGCCCCACCAGCCACAGTGTGGCGCCTAATTGTGGCTGTCGCTCACTCACGTGCAACTCACCCCCCTCCCCCCCCCGGGAGACTTGCCGCTTTTACGACCACCACATAGGTAGCTAACCTCGAGCCTGACAGGACTCTCTCTTCTGGATACGAGGTTATACTTGATGAAAACAGGACAAGAGGAGTTCCCTCGGTGGGCAGTAACCAGCGAGTCAAGAAACACCAAGTGCAGTGGCCCAGTCGGTCGTGGTGGTAACCAAAGGGTGGCTACTGGGCTCTGGACCCGACTTAGAAGCCCATATGTGCGCGGGGGGGGAGAGATGTTTGAGCGCCTACTGCGAAATAGAGCTGACAGGAACAACATAATGTTATTGGCTTGCCTTCTGGCTGGGGTGTGGGATCCAGATGTCTCTTCACTCGGTCGTATCAATGCCAAACCAACGGCGTTTCTCTTCAGCTATAGTCGCATGGCCTTCACGCCCATTGTCCTCATCAGCGGTGACAGTATCACCCTGCCTAGGACCGCCACTGCTATCGTGCCATCCCAGCTTCAAGTTTGTGCACCTTAACTCGGCCTCACTTGACCACTCTGCACCATCTCTCAGAACATCCCCACCCCACAAGTGGTCACTTCCTGCGAAAAGGCTCGCCACACCGGCAATCGAGTTCGGACTATGCGGCAGGACGTTCGAGTCAGGGGCGCACATCCATGCTGCAACTGCGCACGCCGCCATCGTTCCGAGTAGCACCTGCAGCGCAATCTTGGATGGGTTGTCTTGCTTGAGACGGTCATGGCCCGCTTGGTGAGTTAGATTGGCGTGTAATGGTGCTACAAGCGTTGTCGGGAAAGCGATGTTGTTTGTGCTGATTCCTGCAGACGCTGAATTGGTGCCTGTGAGAGGTAAACCGGTGCGCATGTTGCCCGAGATGGCTTGCGCCATGTAAATGCCGTAACCGTGCTCGATGGCAGCAAGGAGAGCGTCAACATTGGAATCATCAAAAAGAACGCGGAGCTCGGATTCCGCGCCGGACGCTGTTGCAGAAATTACAGTGCTGTAGAAGCTGTTAATGTCATAAATAGTGCTTGCATTGGACTCAAGGCGATGATTGTTCTGGAATTGGCTCAGCCAATTTGCAAGCTGATAGCCACGGCCAACAAACCCAGCGGTACCGTTATTCAATCTGTTGACGCTGCTGTCGTCCACCCTCGGTGGGCTAGACTTGTCGATAGTGAAGGCCGGATATGCGAATGATGCATTCACCTGGACTTCTTCGAGAATCTGACGACAGGAGAACGCCGTAAGCCCCGATGTAACTACGCCTGAAGTTGCGTCCGCCGAGATCTTTGCCGTATAGAATAGAAGAGATGGGCATCCAGCTGGATTGTCGGGCGGAGAGTATGAGCCAACAAATTGAGATTGGGTGTTCCATGTGCCATCGAGAACGTGAAGGTCTACAACGGCCGCTGTGTACTGCTCAACCTGTGCGCTTTCCTTGGCAACTGCTGAACTCTCATCAGAAAAGGTGGGAATTGGAATGAAAATGCTGAGTGTTTTGATGGTGCCACCATTTCCGTTGCAGGTGTCCAAAATTTTGATCGTTGCGTTGACATCCAAATTGTCTGTTATGTCATACAGAACCTCGTCAGATCTAGTCATGTAACAATCGAGCTTGCCTCGAAGGGCAGGCAAGATTGTGGTAAGATTGGCAGTCTGGGTTTCTAGCTTCAACCCCAGTTCGTCCTCACTGCTGGATAGGGCGGGAAAAGCCAGATCCTGATAAGTCCATTGTGGATAGTCAGCGCCATTGTTGAGTATCTGGTTTGCGCTTGCGCTCGCCTCGTCGCCTGATGAGAGGCTTGTCGTCCACGATGCGTTGAAAGTGTTCAGTAGAGAGATGTTAACTCGGTCGGTTCTGTCCACGGGGGCGATAACGTAAAGACCTGAAGTTACGATTGTCAGGAATGGGGCGATGAAAGCCGTGGCTATGGTGAAGCATGAGGCCAAATACCTCGCTCGACAAGCGACGAAGAAGCCAACAATAGGAATACGGCCATGGACATGGGCTGGGAAACCTGCTGAAACGCCCTTCGATGACAACGACCAGTTTATCCTTCGCTCTTTCAGATACAGGCCTTGCGCAAGTGCGATATATGGTGACAGAATGTTGGTGCTGTCATTCAGAGAGCCGTAGATAAGAGCTATAATGACCATGGCGAGTGATGGCACGATCGATTTGGCATGTTCAGCGGCTGATCGTGAGCCCTGGATATCGACAAAGCCATTTCCAGCGTTGGAAAGCCTCTGGAGCACCTCAAGAGTCACGATAGTGATTACGACCAGCGTGACAACGGCTATTCGGCCAAGCGGCCGAAGCACCCAGGGTATCCACGATTGCCACGGTCCTGAACTTGGTGGTATTGTCCTATCCTCTTGGGAGGGGCACTCTTCCTGCGATACGACGAAAACAGGCCGAGTACCGGCTTCTCTTGTCAAGGTTGCCGAGCCAAAACGCCGGTTGCACAAGCTGTCTGTGAGCTGGCCATCCGTCGAGTTGCCCTGAAATCGCAGGATGGCTTTGAGCTCCAAGCTCGAATTGAGGCTGCAGAGGGTCTCAAAAGGTCCTTCAACGCGCCGGGGAACTGCATCTCTAGGCCGGATATAGATCAAAAGTACTGCAAAGATTGATAAGAGTCCAAAGCATGCGCTCATCGAAATTGCTGGAAGTAGTTGGACAGTCAGACGGTTTTCCTCGATACTGACAAGGGAAGTAACTGTGTGGATAGCGGGTTGCAGAAGTTCGGCCCCAGCGAGCTGCACGGAAACACCCTGCAGAACCTCCTGAGCCCGTGTGATCATCGCTTCTACAGTGAGAAACGGTCGCAGGGTCGACTTGCCAGCTACTCTTCCTTCGAGCAGCGACATGAGTGTGAACACACCCGAGGTAGCTGATTGAGCCTCGGAAATGTTGTCAGTGTTTGTCAGAGTGAGGAACTGCGAGGAAGCCTCCTCGAGCACAGCGAAGGTGAACTGTGGCGGAAAATATCGAGGCAGAGTTAAGTTCAATGCGCTTGATCTCCAGTCGATCCGTGTGCTCGAGTTAGTGCTTGCCATCTCACTGTCGTAGATCAAGATTTGTTTCGAAACATAGTAAGCTGGTTGACAGATTGCAGCGGTCAGCACGGTCGGCTTGAGGTTCTCGTCAGCCAAGGACAAGAACAACAGGATGCGCGACCTTGTTTCATCATATGTCACATAGCTAGTATCATAATTTCGACCATCGCAAGCAATGGGAATTGCATTGGGGACGAAATTCTCCGCCGGGTATCCTTTACCGTAAAGTTGATATTCGGACCACTTCGTTGGGTCAAACAGATTTGTTTCGAAGTTCACTTTGCAATCACTAGTGCGGATATTGACCTTGATGATATTACTGCTAGCTTGGAGCTCCGAGACGGTGACGGCACCGGGCTCGCAGTCAAAATGAGGAGTGAACACATCAACGGATGCTTGAAGCTTGTAGTCTCGAGTCCGAAAGCGGGTATCGTTGAGCTGGATGGGCTGAAAAGCGTACGTGGGAGCTGTACCGGCAGGATATTGGACGTTATCCGCATGAATCCCGTAATATATTCGTCCAGCTTCCCCAGTCGTACTCGTGCCATTGAACTTGTCAATTACAAAATCTGCCACTGTGTTTGACCTAGCATCCCGTGTTGTCACAATGACAGGAATTGACACCAGTAATGCGGTCGATAGAATGATCTATTTTCCTTAGTGAGTGCTAATGTCTGCCTGAAGCAGACTTACCGCGATCCTCCAGATCAGCGTCCCCAACTCGCTTGCAACTACAGCAATGTCTCGAGCTCGCCCCGCCCGCCACAGTAACAACGGTTGTAGAGGCGATACGTAGTCCAAAAGCAGATTCCGGCCGGCGGGTTTCGGGCCTGAGGCCAGATTCTGCCACGGAGTTATGATTTTGCACCATCGACTGCTCTGATTCCAGAAAACAAGTGCTAGGGTGAGTACTACAGGAAGCGGGTCAGTGTATTATTCCACGGTTCTTCGTACGAAAGCTTACCTGCGGTCGGTCCATATTTCCACGTGTAGTGATTCGAATCCAGTCCTATCGCAAAGCCGTCATGCTGTTTCGAGTAGGTATAGAGCACAATAGTTGCTACAATAAAGAGTAATGTTAGAGCCGCGTAGCTGGAGAGTACCCCAAATCGGAGCCAAGTTGGATTCCAGAATGCCACATGCTCATGCTTGTCGGTTCCGGAATCTCGCGACCCTATGAAGGACTGTTCTGTAGGGTTTGGAAGACGAAGAGGTTCGTTATCGAAAGTGGCATTACGCCCAAGATCAGGCGCTGAGTCTCCTGGCAAGTGGTGGAATGATTGAGGCTCTGGACTTCCGAGCTGTGTTGGCGCCCTTGTTGGCTGATCAGTCATCTTCAACCTTGTGCACTAGATCCAGTCACTGGACGAGATTATATCGATTCCAAAGAAGAAACCGTACTTTGCCAGGGTTGGCGAGATCGTGGAGTCCTCGTTCGATCATGGAAAGCAGACTGCTTTTAGCTGAGGACCATGTCAGGCTCTGAGACAGCATCAGTATCTACCTATCTGGGTGGGGGCCAGAGTGGCGCTCACAGGTCAACAGCGGCCGGTCTGCAACAAGTATGCAGCTTGCAACTTGGTGGCTTAGTGCTAAGTATTTCTAGACTGGCCACGTCCCAATCACATGGCTCTGTGGCCAACGCCGCAGAGGCAGTGCCCGTCCGTAGGTGCATGTCGGTATGAGTTGTGCACTTTGCTTTGCAACCTTTCTGCTCCGTGTCCGCGCTGCTCCTAACGCTCCCTACATTGTGGCTGGGCCCAGATGTGCAGCTTGCAGGTTTCCAGGCAATGCTGGGGCCAGTGGAGGAAGGCAGAGCACAGCCGGAACGGTTGAGATGAGCGGTTGAAAGCTGGTTGAGCCCTTAAGTCGGGGACCCCAAACAAATCGATAGAGATGTCTTCAGGTTCCTTGTGCTGAAGCTGTCCGGCATGGTGGAGTTGACAGAGGTAAATCAGTCCAAGCAGCTGGTGGGCATAGAGTGACAGAGCGGCATCAGCCTTGGCCGGATTGGGCGTCAGGCGCAGGCACTTTCTACTCACCTTGGCAATAATGGAGGAGGACACGGTCGACAACTACTCCGTACTACTCCAGCACACGTCGGACGCCATACAAGACGCCACGACAGCATTGGCTACACGCCAACGTCCTTCTCCCGTTCACGAGACATCTCCTCGCCTCTTTTCATAACCTTCCTTCTTTTGACTTTGATCCTGCGAAATGATTCTCCGGTAGTGGCATCCAGAAACTCGTCCCAGCTGCTCGCGTTCGTGCCCCTACGGCATCCCTGTCGTCCTGAATCTCTACCAACCATCAATTGAAAGCGTGCCTGGTGCTACTGAGTTCAAAATGAGTTACGCCAAAAAGGACGAGGATGCCGAACACTCCGGCTTCAAGCTGGACCGGACTTCTGTTTTTCAAGATGGTAATTCCTCCTGGCTTTCGTTGGTGCCAAACATCCCAAATGCAAACATTGACGCAAATCCTCAGCTCGACTATTCAACTCCTCTCCTATATCACCTCGAAAATGCCGAACCCTACTCACCAAGATCGCCGTCCTCCTGTTCACGGGGGAAAAATTCCCCACAAACGAAGCAACGACTCTCTTTTTCGGTATATCAAAGTTATTTCAGAACAAGGACCCCTCGCTGCGTCAAATGGTCTACTTGATCCTGAAAGAGTTGGCCCACACCGCGGAAGATGTCATCATGTCGACGAGTATCATCATGAAGGATATGACTGTGGGCAGTGAGATTATCTACAAGGCCAATGCCATCCGCGCTCTCTGCAGGATTATAGACGCCACCACCGTACAGGGTATTGAACGGTTAATCAAAACCGCCATTGTCGACAAGTCCCCTGCTGTCTCTTCGGCAGCGCTGGTGTCCTCGTATCATCTGCTTCCAATCGCCAGAGATGTGGTCAGGAGGTGGCAGAGCGAGACTCAAGAGGCCGCTTCCGCCTACAAACCTAGTGGCGGTTTTCTGAGTTTTGGAGGCAGTTCCCAACATTCGCTGGCCGCCGCAAACACGAATTACATGAACCAATATCACGCGATTGGTTTGCTATATCAGATGCGGTCGCACGACCGTATGGCCCTTGTCAAGATGGTGCAACAATACGGCGCTGCGGGAGCGGTCAAGAGTCCAGCCGGAGTCATGATGCTGGTTAGGCTAGCCGCTCGCCTCGCCGAAGAGGATCCCAGTCTAAGAAAACCCATGATGCAGATGTTGGACACCTGGCTACGGCATAAAAGCGAGATGGTTATTTTCGAGGCAGCCAAAGCCATCTGTAATATGCCAGATGTCACCGACGCCGAGGCCGCTCAGGCTATCCACGCTCTGCAATCGTACTTGACTTCGCCGAGGGCGGTCACGAAATTTGCGGCTATCCGCATTCTCCATTCTTTTGCGTCCTTCAAACCTCAAGCGGTCCATTCCGCGAATCCAGATATTGAGGCTCTGATCTCCAATAGCAACCGGTCGATCGCTACTTTTGCAATCACAACATTACTAAAGACTGGCAATGAGGCGAGCGTCGACCGGCTCATGAAGCAAATATCCGGTTTTATGACTGAAATTACAGATGAGTTCAAGATTACGATTGTCGAGGCTATCCGGACACTTTGCATGAAATTCCCTAGCAAACAAGCCGGTATGCTTACGTTTTTGAGCGGTATTCTACGAGATGAAGGCGGTTACGAATTCAAACGTGCCGTGGTGGAGAGCATGTTCGATCTGATCAAGTTTGTTCCTGGAAGTAAGGAAGAGACACTCTCTCACTTGTGCGAGTTCATTGAGGACTGCGAGTTCACCAAACTAGCGGTGCGGATTCTCCATCTTATCGGCGTCGAGGGACCAAAGACGCCGCAACCCACGAAATACATCCGGTATATCTACAACAGAGTTGTGCTGGAGAATGCGTTGGTCCGCGCAGCAGCTGTGACTGCCCTTGCAAAATTCGGCGTGGGCCAGAAGGACCCTGAGGTCAAAAAGAGTGTCGAGGTCCTATTAACGAGATGCTTAGACGACACTGATGATGAGGTGCGTGATAGGGCGGCGCTCAATCTGCGGCTGATGCAGGAAGAAGACGACATTGCAGACCGCTTCATCAAGAATGACTCGATGTTCTCGCTGTCAACCTTTGAACACAGACTTGTTATGTACGTCACATCCGACGATAAGGCAGTGTTTGCTAAGGCATTTGATATCAAATCCGTGCCAGTGGTATCACACGAACAAGCGCTGGCAGAAGAACGCACTAAGAAACTCAACACCGCTACGCCTACACTGAAGGCGCCGACCACTGGACCTGCAAAACCCAAGGTGAACGGAGCTGCAGAAGGACCCAATGCCGGCGTAGCAGCCGCACAGAAATATACACAGATCTTCTCCAGGATACCCGAACTTGCTGCCTATGGTCCGGTGCTGAAGTCGAGTTCTTTGGTTGACCTTACGGAAAGCGAGACTGAGTACGTCGTGTCCGCCGTGAAACATGTCTTCAAAGAGCATATCGTCGTGCAATACGACATCAAGAACACCCTCGATCAGACCGTCCTTGAGAACGTTACTATACTAGCCTCGCCCGCCGACGACGAAGAACCCACCCTCGAAGAGGAATTCATCATACCAGCTACGGCTCTGAAAACCAACGAACCTGGCGTCGTCTACGTTGCATTCCGCCAACTAGGCGCCTTTCCTATCACCACCTTCACAAACGTCCTTAAGTTCACAAGCAAGGAAATTGATCCCACAACAGGCGAGGCCGAAGAAGGAGGCTATGAAGATGAATATGAGGTAGAGAATCTAGAGTTGACAGGCGCGGATTACGTCACTCCCGCATTCGCAGGCAACTTCGATCACATCTGGGAGGGCACAGGAGCCAATGGAGAGGAAGTCAGCGAGACGTTGGTGTTGGGGAATGTCAAGACATTGGCTGGTGAGTAACTGACCATATCCAACTTCGTATGTGTTGTCTCGGCGGTGCTGACATTCTTTTTGAAGACGCCACAGAACAACTCTCGCAAGCCCTGTCTCTGCAGCCTCTCGACGGCACCGACGTGGTGTTATCCAACACAACTCACACTCTGAAAATGTACGGCAAGTCTGTCACTGGTGGACGTGTGGCAGCACTCGTGAAAATGGTGCATTCGGCCAAGGCCGGTGTTACTGTGAAGGTTAGTGTAAGGACTGATGAGACAGGAGGTGGTCTTGCGCAGGGCATCATTGGGGCGCTCTCCTAAGCACCCAAAACTTGAATTAAATGGCATCCGGATGGCGAAAGAAAATCGTTTCGCGTTTCGGTCACCTTCGGGATGGCAAAGGCAGAGGCAAGGGGCATGGAGTCTGGCCCACGCTTGGAGAAAACCAGGGCGGTACGCCATAGAACAAGGAATGATTCGGATATTCGAATTCCGTCGATTGAAGTGGCGTGGCAAGCAGTGAGAAGCAAATGATTTGTTCGGTCCACGGGATTTTATCCCCTTCATGTTTGGTACCTAAGCAATCTCCCAGACCCGGTTGGGAGGGAAAATGGAATTACGTTCAAGAGACGAAAAGCCGCAAGGAGAAAAGAACCTCCTCTTCCTGCCACCGAGCAAGTTCAAGCAGGGCGTAACGAACTATTCGCGCTTCTACAATACGACTCATGTAGGTTCACTCAACCATTTCTTTCCTTCATCGCATGCTGATCGAGTGTGTGTCGTGTGTGCAAGGCTCAGACGGTCAGTGTAGGTCGAACCGCAGAATGTTGATTGAAAGAAGGGGTTCAGGGGTAGATGTATTCTATCTGTCCCGGGGTTGTCGTCATCGTCGTAGAATTGGGACGACTTCGAGACCAGAAGACACTTTTGGCCACCTTATGTTAGTCGTGGTGAGGAAGAGGCCTGCGAGGTTTTCTATCTACGTATCTGTCTATAACGAGATCCAAATTCGTAAGAGTCTGTTCTCTTCAGGATTTCTAGACTGGTCCGGACACCATCGATTTCAGCCTGGCCGACGGTGCAGGATTGGCACCTTATAGCGCACACTTCGGCTCTTGCAGCTACGTTCGCGCCAGCTCCATCCAGCTGTGATACCTCGTTCTTTGGGCTTCGCGGCATGCTATTAGATGTTGGAGGCGATGCGGGACGATGCCGAGTGGATTGGTTGAAGACATACCCTCGGTAGAGTGGTAGGCGACAATTCAGGTGAGGAGGTCGGCGCGACATGTCGACTTTGGTGCAATGTCGCGGGATGGCTCTGACCGAGAGTGGTGAAATGGCAGCTGAGTCGACGGTTGCGGGACGAAAAGGCTGATCGAGTTGCATTGTGCGCTCAGGCCATGGTGGACAGTCGACGTCTCCGCCCTCGAAGACCACCGTGTAAGGGGTGTGAGTTGAGATACCGAAGTATTGTCATGGTCCACACATTCAACCTTGAGGCCCGTTTCCACCAACGTCTTCGTCAGCGTGGCAGAAGAGCATAAGTCCATCGGCACGGCAGGACGAATGCAGTGTCTTATGATTGCAACTATTCTTTGAACCCAATTCAAGCCTTTTTCTTCGACCGGCCCTTCTTCGTACTGACTGGTACTGGACTTGTTTCCGCACCAGACGAAAGCGTCGTTTCACGTTCAGCTCCGTGGTCGGCATGCAGAGCGGGCATCATGACGGGGATTCTGTCGGTCTTGTCCTTCCTGGCCATCTCCTCCTGTGCGTTCCTCAACACGTCGATATTCATGTTTAGCCATGCCTGAAATTCCTTGTGTTCCAAATAGCCATGTATATTAAACCACTGCGTGAAGGTTCCGGTGAACTCCTTGTCTTCCCATTTCTTGCCAGTCGAGGGTGCAGCGTAGGTGACTTTGAGTTTGTAGACAGGGGAGTGTTTCTTCCCAAATGAACGGATCGTGATCTGGCAAAGCCTGCGTCAGTCTGCGCGCCCTTTCAATGGTGGGAGAAGAAACGCAACGGGACCACGAGTGACAAACCTTCTGCCCTCCGTCCCTGACACCCACGAACACCGTCCCCGCCTCCACAGCCCAGATCCAGTACGTCAACGCACTATTCAGCACAAAATACGCGACGCATGCAGGAGCTGTATACGCCTTCGTTGCGTCCCACCCGAGTTTCCAATCTGCATAGAACAGCACCCCAGCTATCAGGACGGCGGTATAGCCCAGAGCAAGCTTTACATTTGTCGTGGTGTGTTCTTGTCGGAAGGCATAGGGTTTGGGGAGGGTCGTGAGGTATGGTGCAATGGCATCGTCGGTTGCATTTTTGAGATCTGCAATTCCGTTTTAGTCAGAACAGCGGGCGCATTGGAAGCCAACATACCATTGACAGAGTAGAGCGCGACTTTCTGCGGAGATGTAGACATCTTGGATGTCTAGGACTCAAGTCCGAGCGGTGTAGATCCCAAAATCAAAGGGCTACAACCTCGATGTATACTTGGTCTGCGTCTGCCTCTAGGGACCGAATGGACACATTGTCCCTTGACCATTGACGCTGTCTTGGGGAAAAGCTGGGGAACCGCTTGGCAGCCAATGTATCTGGAAATCATGCCGCGCTGCTTTTGTGACAGCGCGTTGATCGTACCTCGTTCTGCCCTGGGTTTTAAAGCGGCTCCATTTGTGCCTGAAATGTGCTAGTGTCTTGCTATCACGAGGCTGAAGATAAGGAGTGGCTTGCATGGCTTGGCAGACGATAAGGCTACGAGGACTCCTCTCTACAGGTGAAGGAAAGTTTGTTCCCTTCTCTTTGACGAACGATGCGATTGGGAGTGGTGGGTTGTTGATCCCGAGGCGGCAAAATGCGCAGACCAACCTTGATGTTACGCCACAGATGCCATCTCTGAGAATACATGTTACGGAAAAGCGCTGCAATCAGGCGAATCAGCTCGCGGAAATCTACAGTCCACTATGAGTGAACACGAAATTGGCGCAATGCCGCCGGACGCATCCTCCGAGCCATGTTTCCAGAGGCCGAACAAGCGTCCTCGAGTTGTGGTCGCGTGCCTAAGGTGTAAAACAAGACGTCAAAAGGTACGCTCCCTCCCCATGACGTATCGGAAGGTGAAAGCGACACCCATATTAAGGACATCTTAGTGTGACAACAAACTACCGGCCTGTTCCAATTGCGCCAGGGCAAAGCTCAACTGTGTCTTCCCGGAGAACGAGTATCCGCCATCCTATGTCAAGGCACTACAAACCCGGGTTGCATGGCTTGAAGCACAGCTGGACCCCTCGCGGCCGACTCAACCAGGGGAGCATCTGCCCGTCAGCGATAGCAATGATGCAGCAGCAAACTCAGAGGAACGAACAGCTTCTCAGCCTAGTACTCCAAACTTGGCCAGTAGTGTTGGCTTATTGTCTCTACAGGCAGCGGCCGAACCTCAATACTTTGGAGTGTCATCTGGGGTGTCTTTGGCCTTGATGATCGAGTCAGCCGTCTACGAGAAAGCACGACCTCTTTCCGGCTTGAGTTTACCTGCGGAGACGGTTGAGAGTCCGTTCGCGAGCAACAGTCGAAGTGCTCCTCCAACCGCTACAGCGCCTTTGCTACCTGTGGAGAAAGCGACTTCTTTCATGACCGCCTACCTATCCTATATTCACCCTAATTTCCCGTTTCTTTCCAAGAGACAGTCATGGAAACTTCACCACAATCGGCATGAATTAGAAACTTCTAATTCTAATGAAGCACGCCGTGATCATGCGGTATTGTTGTTGGTGTATGCGATAGGTTCTCGCTGTTTGAAACTGGTGGGATCAGAAGGCGTCGCCGAATTGGAGCCGGAAAGCCTTTATCATTCAGCCATGGCGAAAATACAAGATCAACTCAACGTTCCAAGCGTTCAGAATATCCAGGTTATCCTCTTGGTTGCCATCTATGCTTTGCGTTCGCCATCAGGTTCGTCTCCAATCCAGCCCGTTTGGCTCATTCGTTCGTTTTCGTTTCCTTTTCTTCACTCTTCTGCGCAGTCAGATCGGACAGGGAACTCCTGCTCCAGGCTACGCTCCGTCAATCCGTCTTCTAACAATCTCGATAGGCTCCAGCATATGGCATTTGTGCGGTTTGATGATTAGGCAATGTATCGAACTGGGACTTCACCGGCAACTACGAAAAGATGATAACACGGGCCATTCGGATGAATTTAAGAGGAGGCTATTTTGGAGCATCTACCATCTGGAACGGAGAATTGTTCTAGTTTTGGGAAGGCCGTTGGCCATAGCCGATGATGAAATCGACAACCCACTACCCACCGAGATTGAGGACGACCATTTCCAGAACACCCCAGAGCTTGGAGAGGCCGACCGTGAGCACCCGGCGTGGAATCAAAATAGCCAGCCACGGGGACCTCCCACAGGAGTGAGTACTGACATCTTATTTCACGTTCACAATGTTCGGCTTGATCGGATCAACGCGAAGAGCCGTCTTGCTCTCTCCCGTCTCGCGAAGGCGGAGCGGGGTGCCAAGGTCGAGCAAAAGATTGCGAAACGATTCCAAGAGCTTGAGGACTGGAAAACCGCTATCTTTGGTCACACCACCGGAGGTGACACCCCGACGGACCTGATGTCGTCTACTTTCAGAACTCCTATTCAAACGCCTGTGTCGAGGCCTGCCCTGCCGGAAGCACAGCGTCTTGCGTTGCTGCTCAACTATCATCGAGCTCGCCGTATGGTCCTCCAGACGATTCTCACCGAGATCCAGTTGTTCAATCAACCATTCCCATTTGCTTCCTTTGCCAAGTCATCCGGGGAAGTCTGCCAGCTCAACCGGCGACTTCACCGTATACGGTCTGTGCCCTTCACCCTGCTGGATCTGCACTCGGTTTTTGTCGCTGGGTTCTCTATGATTTACTGCGCGTGGTCCGATCCTGGTCTCTACGATGCTGAGATGGCGGCTGACTTGGGTGCTTGCTCGACGGTGCTGTATTTGATTGCCGAACAATGGGGCGAGGGGGCGAAGAAATACCGTGACGCTTTCGAGCTGATTGCGGGGAAGACGGCAGAATATGTCCTCAGCCCAAGGCGTTCACATACGAGCGGCCAACAGACGCCTGTATCTGTTGCCCTCCACGCACCGCCTCGCACATCGGTTGCCCCAAGCGAGACAGTCCTGGGCGGTGTGATGCCACATCCGACCACTTCTGGCGATGAGAATCGAGCCAGCAGTGATGGTTGGACAAAAGATAGCTTCGACGTCTGGCAGATGATGAATGAGTTTGTCCAAACGCAGGACAGTGATTTCGAGTGCGATCCAGTCAACTTTAGAGAGATCGAGGCTTTTTTGACAGAAGAGGGCTTGGGATGGTTCAACGGGGGCACGGGTACGGGCTTCTGATTCCCAAGTTAGTTAGTCCGTCGTCCTCAAATGCAATGGCTATAGCTGGATTGAGTCATTTAGAAGAGTTCCCCGTCACCGTCCAGCTGATAGATAAGGGGGTGGTCTACGTTGTGCCACAGCCCGAGGATCCTTGCCACCGATCCTCCCCGGAGGGGCTTGAGGAGGTTGCTATAACGCTGTGTTATATTGTCGGATCGGGCCCGATCCGGCGGCCAGGCCTGGCGATACGGAAGAGCTCGAGATCCACAAACCCATCGGACTTGGACGAGTCTCTATCGCACCCAGGCTCGAGGTATGTTGAGCAACACAATAGATGACTCGTTGAGAAGTCCTGGAACCCGTCCTCCTTCTGCCGGATGTGCACTCTCTGCGAATGAGAAGTTGAGGCCGAGAACCATCCCCTTGACATACTGGGTTTGATTGACTTCGTCTAAGGCAGAGAGCCCTTTTCAATTACGTTACAAATTGCATGGACTGTTCAACCCCAAGGGCTCTCAGCTTGAATAAATTCCAGCTCAAAAAAGGCTCCGCCGCCAGGACATCAGTCGAGGTTGTTATCGCCTCCAGCTCGTGTGCGTGTACCTCCAGGCACCCCTTTGGAGTCCCAGCACCGCTATCGTCCTTTACCAAGTGGCCATGATCAAACAAAGCCCCAAACGCATCTGCTTCGGCATCCTTGTCCCTTCTTCTAATACCGTGCTGGAACCTCTTACACAACAAATCGTCTCTCAGCTGGACAACGTCTCCGTCCATTTCTCGCGCTTCCGAGTGCTGAAAATCGCCCTGGATCCAGCTGCTCTAGCACAATTCGACAACAGCGCCATCATCGAGGCTGCACGCCTGCTTGCCGATGCCAAAGTTGACGTGATCGGCTGGAGCGGGACGTCGTCAGGGTGGCTCGGCTTCGACGCAGACGTCAAGCTATGCGAGGAAATCACGGCCGCGACCGGCATCCCGGCGACAACATCGGTCCTTGGCCTCAATCGACTCATCAAGCGCCTCGGGATTACGGAGATGGGACTACTGACGCCCTATACCGACGACGTGCAGTCAGCCATCATAGAGAATTACCGCAAGTTGGGGGTGGACTGCTCGGTGGAACATCATCTGTGCCAGTCCGACAACAGAGGCTTTGCCAACATCTCGGAGAAGACGCTCGATGACGGGTTCTGGCAGTTGGCTCAGCGAGGAGCAGGCGTCATCAGCGTGTTCTGCACGGGGCTCAAGGCAGCGCATCTGGTGGACAGGTGGGAGGCCAAGGCTGGTGTCACCGTGTTGGACACCGTTGCGACGGTGGTCTGGGACATGTGTCGGATTGCAGCAGTGGACACGAGATCGATTCAGGGCTGGGGGATACTATTTCAACAATGTTGATGCTGCTGATTGCCAGATGTGAAGTTCAAGACGACCTTTGAGCACACATTTTCAGCCAGAGATGTATAGAGGTTTTGGTGTGTCGTTTCTGTGCACATAAACTGGCGGTTATCTTTCTATCTCTATGTGCCCGGGGATTGCATTTACGGACCAAGATAGTCCCATTCATCTTCTCGCACACTCAATACAGGCATAGCTTCAAGCCCCTTTCGCATTATCGGAGTTGCTCCGACAGCCCGACTCCCGCTTTGTATCTATTCCAAGGGGGGGATGGGCTCACTAGACTAGCATCCCGCCCTTTCGGTTAGGAAAACCGCGATTGGATCACCTCTTCGTATTGACTGATTTGCTGGGGGCTTCTTATCTCTTGCACTTGGCCTTTCAAGCGCTGTTAGACTTTACAAAGTCATCTCATCCTCCCTGTTGGACAAAAACATCTCTTATCAATCCAGCAGCTACCTACGGACCAATGTCAATTTGCAACCATGGCGACTATGGCGTTCAGACAACGTGCTCCAGCCCTACACTCTCCACGCTCCCTATCTGTGCATTATCGGAGATGTTCCGACAGAACTGTGTCTTCCACACCGGCGAGGCTATTGTATACTTCCTCTCGCGACCGTTCCAGGGATATAAAAGCACGGCCATGCGACCGGTCTGGGACTGATCCACATTGACATTGATATCTATCGAAAATAAATCCTCTGGTCAACTGCCACCGCCTCTTCTCTCCTCTCCAACACAATGGACTTCCGGCACTTCTGGCAGGAGCATGTGGTGCTTAAGCCCAAGCCTGGTTCCTTTGGGGCCGACGATGCCGACGCCATTGTCTATACCAACGAAGATATGGATCCCATCAAGCGCAAGGACCGCACATACCAGTGGTACCAGATGGGTCTCTTCTGGATCGCTGAAGGATTCAATGCTGCTCAGCTCCAGGTGTCCAGTTCCGCCTTTTCCCTTGGCCTCAACCCTGGGTTGTGCGTCGTCGCCTGTCTCCTAGGCAACATCATCGTGTCTATCCCCTGCGCAGCTTCGGGCTACCTTGGGAGTAAACTGGGGACGAACTTCCCCGGCGTCGTTCGAGCGTCGTTCGGGCTATGGGGCTCCAAGTGGGCGATGATTGTTCGGGCGGTTCCTTGTCTGATCTACTATGGGATTCAAACGAGTCTCGCCGGTCAAGCGGTCCAGGCGTGTATTACGGCCATCTGGCCCTCCTTTCACCATTGGAGAGTTGACGCCTTCCCACCATCTGCCAACATCACCGCCCAGCAGCTCCTCTGTTTTGTCATCTTTTGGCTTATCTCGCTGCCATTCCTCTACCTGCCGATCAGAACGTTGCGCTTCTTGTTCGTGGTCAAGAGCATCATGGTGCCACTCTACTGGACCGCTCTATTTACCTGGTCGATCACTGCCGCCGGAGGATGGCCCAAGGTCTGGACGAAACCGAGCATCCCTACCGATGGTATGTCTGTTGGGTATCTCTTTGGGATCTGTGTGAATGCCGCCATCTCGGGGAATGCCACTTTTGCCGTCAATATCATGGATATTTCTCGACATTCGAAGAGCGACAAGGCCGCCTACTTGACCCAACTCTTTGCGCTCCCGGTCTTCGTCACGTTGACGGAGCTGCTGGGCTGTACGATGGCCGTAGCCTCGTCGGTGGTCTACGGTGAGGTCCAGTGGAATCCGCTCGTGACCATCAACAACTTTGAAGCGCGAGGAGGCAAATTCTTTGCTGGCATCTTGTTCGTCTTCTTCAATATCATGACGAACGTGACTGGAAACTCGATCCCCTTTGCTAATGATCTCACCGGTCTATTCCCTAAATACATCAACATCCGTCGAGGGCAGTTTATTTGTGCCGTGATCGGGTTCGCGATCTGTCCCTGGCAGATTCAGGCCAAAGCCACGACCTTCCTTGCCTTTATGGGTGCTTATACCCTCTTCTTGGGCGCGACGACAGGCGTTATGATGACCGACTACTTCTGGGTTCGCCGTGGCTATGGCATCAACATCTCCCATCTCTTCAAGCCCCACGGGATATACTGGTACGACTACGGATTCAACTGGCGTGCTTTTGTGGCCTGGTTCGTGGCCCTGGCGCCATTGCTCCCGGGTATGCTCCAGACCATGGGGGTCAACATCACCAACAAAGGCATCCTGAACCTGTATTCCTGGAACTACGTTCTCGTGGTCACCTTTTCGGCTTTGTTGTATCTGGCCCTGACAACCGTCTCGCCGGTTCCTGTCAAGACCAACGACGAGGATCTGGGAAAGCTGTACTTGATTGATGGCCTCGATCCCGAGCTCACTACAGGTATGCTGCCAAGGGGCGGCGGGGGCGACGACGTCCAAAGTGAGAAAGATGGCCAGAACGCCGGGAGTGAGAAGAAAGGATTTGAGGGTCAGGTCGATGCTCACTTCGTGGGCAACATGGCCTAGAAGGAGGGGCCAGAGACATGTTAGAAATATATGTGTGTGCAACCGTGCGTGAAAGATGGAGGAGGCGCCCTCATTTTGACTACTTGATAACCGACACGCTGTACACTGAAAGAGTTCGCAGGGAGGTTGGGCTCTACGTCCGAATTTGTATTTTGAGCAGGCAGATACATACCGATGTCAGAGTCGCAAGCTAGATCAGAATCGAAGATGAAGCCACCGTTCTTGCAGGCCATTCCGTATCCAAATGCCCTCTATGAACAGTCCTGATAAGGAAGTAATGTTACCTGGTCTGGCAGGGATAACTGTCACCGGGTAGTACAATGCTGGACACAATCAACTCATGTAAAAACTATTCTCTGTATCCACAAGATGGTTGTTGTCGAGATTTCAGAAATTAGAATTGAGGCCCCGATTCTGCCTTCTTTCTCACTCCGAACAGTCACAATTGCGAATACCCCTCTGAAGATAACACCGCCCTTTTGCGATACTAACTATTCTCCGGCCGTCATCCTCATGAGCTCCTTCCCAAAGGCCATGAGCTCCTTGTCCATCCCGGCCTGGCCGACCACCGTGACTCCGAAGGGCAGTTTCCTCCCATTGGGGTTCCGCCACCAGCCCACGGGGACGCTGACGGCGGCCAGGTCCAGCAGGTTGACGAAGTTGGTGAAGCGGCCCATGGCCTTGTTCCGCGCCATGGGCTCCGCGGCCAGCTGCGCCACCGTGAAGTGGTCCACCGTGCTCGGCACAATCAGCACGTCGACGTGCTCCCGGAACTGGATCTCCGCCTGCCGCTTGTGTCCCGCCAGCGTGAAGATATCCTCGTACGCGCGCACCGCGGTGAACTGGTTGTCCATCGCTTGCTGGAACGTCGTCTGGATCGCCGGGTCCAGCGAGCCCAGGCCGTGCGAGGCTATGTACGGCTCGAACGCGAGCAGGCGTTGCGTCACGATCGACGAGTCGTATAGCATCTGGTTCGCGGCGGCGAAGGGCGCATAGTCGAATCCTGTTGCTTCAACGCACCAATCTTTGCGGTCCCTGAGAGCCGCGACCAAGGCTTGGAAAAGGCTAGCATACACAGGCGATATGTCGCGCAAGAGATCTTCTGGTGGGATGGCAAACCGCACTGGGTTCTTCCAGGGATTCCACGTGGGCAGCTCCTGGCGGGCGTACACGTCACGCTCGTCAAACGCCTTCATCACCGTCCAGACCACCTCGACATCATCCATCGTTCTGGCCATCGCACAGACACAGTCGATGTTCTTGCACGCGGGAAACAAGCCCTCGGTGCTGATGGTCCCCAGCGTGGGTTTGAGGCCGACGACGCCGTTGAGCGCCGCCGGGACCCTTGTGCTGCCTCCCGTGTCGGTGCAGACGGTGAAGGAGACCAAGGATGCGCCAACGCTCACCACCGAGCCCGACGAGCTTCCGCCCGAGATGTAATCGGCGTCGAAGACGCAGCGAGGGGCCCCGTAAGGGGACCGCACACCGGCCAGCCCTGTCGCAAACTGGTCGAGATTGGTTTTGCCAACAAGGATCCCGCCCGCAGCAAGGATTCTCGAAATGACTGGTGCGGTTTCTGCAGCTGTATATGCGAACGTCGGACAGGCTAGCGTTGTCGGCAGGCCACTAATGTCAACTGAATCTTTGACAGAGAAGGGGATCCCGAACAGCGGCGGGAGAGGGAGGTCGGAGCCATAATACTTGTCCACCAGCTCCTCTGCGCGTCTCAGTGCTTCCGACTCGGGGACCAGGTAGATCCAGACGGCCGGATCATGCTTCTGGTAGGAGGATATCTTTTGATAGACGTGTCGCACAACATCGACTGGCGAGAGTCTCCGGACGGCATAGTGTGCGCGCAAGTCGACGAGGTCGAGGCTCGATATTGTCGGAGAAGACGACGAGCTCATCACTGGCGAGTTGTGGCCGTTGGCTCAATGCACGTGCAGAAGCACTGGTGGTGTGTCTGAGAACAGTGAGAGCATCCCTTTGCGGGTCTCACGACCATGCCAGCTTTGCAAGATATGCTGCCATATTATCGTCCTGTTATCAATGCGTGCGTGGTGTCAGAGCCGTGACTGTTTGTCGAATGCCGTCGGAAATCCTCCGACACCTGAACCCAGCAGTGGAGGTCGTTCGGCTGTCGCCCGATAGTACCAACCTCGCCGAGTAGTGCAGCCTTGGCGCGGAAGGGCGTTATGCGAGCGGGTCTCCATCACGTGCTTTATGGGCCGCCACATGACGCTAGTACCAAGAAGGTATATCGCCAAGCCTGGACAGTTTTCCCCTGTCCTGACAAAGTGCCTGAGGCTCGGTGCAACTTTTGCTGGTTACATATACCTACTCACTACGACATACCTACCCCATGACACTTTCTATCCCGTGATGCAGAAGCGGCCAGGTAATCGTGAGCTACCACAGACCCCACAGGCATGCGAGAGATAACCAGAGAGGCACCGGTGATGAGCAGTTCTTTAGGGACGTTACCACTCTTCTCCTCTCGTCTATGGGCTGCAAATCAGTCAAGTCTCGGCAGAATTGAGGGTAAGACCGCTGACAGTTCAATGGCTCATCCACGAACGCTAAAGAGGACGTCGCTCAACGCCGAGCTCTTCAAGTCCTGCGCGTCCTTCAGCACCGGCCGCCTCTCGCCATCGTAGCCTACTTTCCTCATCCACGCCTCCAGCCCTTTGATCCGATCTGGGTTGATCTCGTCGAGAAGGGCCATGTCTCTGGTCGCCCCGAACCCTTCGCTCCAGTAGTGCCACCAGGCCTTGAAGTTGTCCTTCCAGCTCATCAGCGCGTCGTCGGTGGCGACGTTGGGTCCCACGCCCCAGTTGGCCGGGGCGCCGGGATAGGGCTCGGCTTGGGGCAGATACTCGTCCATCGGCATGCGCACGAACCTAGCGTCTCTCCCGGTCACTCGTGCGGCCGTGTCGGCGATGTCCTGCATGCTGACCTGGTCCGTTGCAACTTCGAGATCCATGCCCGCCGACCGGTCGACGTTGTCAAACATCCACAGGACGAACGGACCGACGTCGTCCAGCGCGATAAGTGGAATTTTCCCATCCGCTGGCGATCAGTCAGAAGGCCGTACTTTCTGGAGAAAATCACCCCGGGCTGGGCATAGGTGCTTACATGCGGGGTTTGCCCAGACCAGCGATCCATCGGGCTTTTGGTCTGGCACAAACATGCCTTCGAAGAGCATGTCCATGTAAGGACAGGTTGTGAAGAGCGAGGTTTTCATCCCCGCTTGGCCTTGCGCGAGGATGAAGTCTGCATGGTCCGGTCAGTCACTCCGGCGACTCTTGGGCAGTGCGTCTTAGGCACTGATAAGAAGGGAGAACGACAACATTACCTCCAATGCGCCCTTTGGCGTCGTTGTGGCAACAGTGGTACTTTTCGTCCCACCCGGCCTTTTTCAGGGAATAGTCGATGCTGGCCCAGACGAAGTGGCGGACCTTTTCGTGTCGCGCGATCTCGTACGCCCGCAGGCCGTAGAAGAGCTCGTCCTTCTCCCCCAGCGTGAAGCCGTCGATGTTGACCCACGCGCCGTACACGCCCTCGAAGGCCCCGTGCAGGTCGCCCAGACTGTCCTGCCTGCCCTGGACGAGGGTGACGTTGGGGAGGGTGCCGAGCGCCTTGGCCCGCTCGGAACGCGGGTTGCGCGTGAGCACTCGGGCCCGGTAGCGACCACTGGACGAGAGCGCTACCCAGGGGGGTTAGTACGTGGGAGCCGTAAGCTTGGGGTTCATTGAGAAAGGACGGTATATACACAGCACTACACGAGAAGAAAACTCACCCTTGACAACCGGTGCTCCTTGGGCCCCTGTTCCTCCCAGAACCAGAATTTCTTTCAGGTCTGCCATTTTTTCCTTTGTTGTCGAGTGTTCGTCTCCCATGGAGTGTGGACTGAGGGCGTGCTTGTGAGAACCCCTTTTATATCTCCAGTTCCTTCGAGACCTCGACAAAACCTAGTCAAGCACCGGCATTCTCTGCCCTAAATTTGACACCGCTGCTAGCGAAACCTCCTGGACCATTTTCAGCGCCATCTTTCAACCCCATACGATTGGCTGTATCATGTGTGTGTATGTGCGTGTGTGCTTTCGGGCAGGATTCTTCTCTCTTGTTGATTATTCTGAATTGGAAATGCTGGCTGGGAACCTCGGGTCACACTGGCCCCCTGTGATTATATTTCCCCCCAAAGAGCGCGAGCTGTGAAACCCGGCAGATCTTGTAGAGGTTTAGTCCAAACTCCTTCTTCCTCCGTGGTCAAGAAGGACACAACAAGCCTCTTTCGTACAAATCGGGCTATTACCAGGACCAGCTCAACAGCCGTGATTACGTGCATGCATCGTCGAACAATTGGGAGTAATGGGTCGAGGGAGTCGAGTCGGTCCCCGCGGTTTTGTGAGACGTTGGAGCATCCAATTGCGTGGTGGTCGTGGACTGGTTCCAACGATCCTCCGGCGGTTGGGCCTGAGTTGACCCTCGGTCCTGTCCTGCGACGGCGGGTGGTGTTTTGTATATCTGACTACAAAGTCGATGGGTTTGCGGGGTGGACGGAAGTACCTTGGACCGGCAAATCAAAGGTGGCCCTGTGTTGCCTCTTCGAGCTAGGCTCGTACCTAGATATCCCCACCGCTACGTACTAGTATACGCTCCATAGCTCATGAACTGTCCGTGATGTGGCTACTTCATTATAGCTCTGTCCCAATCACTCAGAGCCATTATTGCATCTTATGACAAAAGCACGAGGAGAGAACAGCTGCCCATGGCGAGATAGCCAAACGGAATATCGACGAGGGTTTCACTGATGGTATAGCGGATCGAATAGGGGATGAAGTCTTTGAGAACCTCTTAAAGGGAACAACACATCCTCCAAAACAACGAGGCATTTGACATAAAAGGAGTCTATTAGAGGCTAATCTCACTATTCTAGATTCCGAGCCGCAAAAAGACGACGACAGGCGCTACGCCGCCGAAATGTACACCCTTGCCTCGAACGGCTGCAAGCGATTCTCCTTGAGATCGTCGACATTTGCAACGGCGAGGCTGAAGTCTCGACCCGCCTCCAGCACGGCCGCAGGAGCCCAGTCCTTCTCCTTTGTGGACATGTTGGCCACGGTCACGGATTTCGCCCCGTCGGGCGCCTCCTTGACGAAGACGATCGTGTCTTGTCCGTCTGGGTTGTTGTTGTCGTCGCCTTCAACCTCACGGAACTTGCCGTACACAAAGACATCCTTGTGCGCCTTCCGCAGCCGCACCATCTGCTTCCAGAACTCCAGCACGCTGCCCTTACGACCCGCCTGGTCCGCCACGTTGATCGCCTCATGGGACTCCAGCACGCTCATCCACGGCGTGACCCCGTCGGGGCAGAAGCCGGCATTGGTGGCTTCTCGCCCTTCCCACTGCATGGGCACGCGGGCGTGGTCGCGCGCCATCTTTTGCAGGATGTCCAGCGCCTCGGAGAGCGCGTGGGGGTCACTCTTTGACTTCTCTCGGACTTCGCTCAGGTGCGACACGGACTTGATGCACTTGTACTCGTCGGCCGACCACGAGCGTGGCGCGTTGATCATCCCGATCTCCTGCCCCTGGTAGATGAACAGCGTGCCCGTCAGCGTGGCCAGGATGACGGCCAGCATCTGTGCGGCGCGCACGCGGTGCTCGGGCAGATCCGAGGCAAAGCGCGACACGGAGCGGCCCTGGTCGTGGTTCTCCAGGAACACGGTCGTCCAGGCGTCGGTGTTTTCGATCACCGACTGCCACTTGAAGAGCTCGCGCTTGAAGTCGCGCGTGGTGAAGGGCCGCGGGATGAAGCGCGCCCCCGGGGTCTGGCCCAGGTCGACCACGTCGAAGTTGAAGACCATGTTCAGCTGCTTGTTGCGCGCCGAGATGTACGCCATCACGTCGGCTTCGCGGGGCGTGTACGGCAGCTCGCCCACTGTCATGGTGTCGTAGTCGCCGAGGATGTCGTTGATTTCGCTCAGATACTCTTGCATGCGCGGTCCGTTGGCGTAGTACATCATCGCCGGCTGCGACTCGCTGTCCGGATAGACCACCGGGGCGTCGGGCAGGCCGGGGTGTTTCGAGTACAGATTGACCGTGTCGATGCGGAACCCGTCGATACCCTTGTCCAGCCAGAACCTGATGGCGCTCCGGTAGATGGCCTGCCGGCACTCCTTGTTCTCCCAGTTCAGGTCTGGTTGCTCGGGCGCGTACAGGTGGAGATAGTATTCTTGGCTGGTCTCGTCCCAGGTCCAGGCGGGTTTGGAGAAGTTGCTCCGCCAGTTGTTCGGACGGCACCGCTTGCCGTTTGCATCATACTTGGCTGGGCGCCAGATATACCAGTCCCTCTTGGGGTTGTTTCTTGACGACCGCGATTCCTGGAACCAGGAGTGAAGACTCGACGTGTGGTTGATGACCAGGTCGAAGATGATGCGCATGCCCCGGTCGTGCACGGCCTTGATGAGCTCCACGGTCTGCTCGAGCGTGCCGTACTGGTCGTGGATATCTTCGTAGTCCTGGATGTCGTAGCCCATGTCGACCTGCGGGCTCTTGTAGTGCGGGCAGACCCAGACCACGTCGACGCCCAGGTCGCGAATATAGTCCAGCTTGGACATGATGCCGGGGATGTCTCCGACCCCATCGCCGTTGCTGTCCTTGAAGCTCGCCGGGTAGATCTGGTACACCACTGCTTCTTTCCACCACTTTTGTTCATGCTGCTGAGGGAGAACTTCGATCATGGCTGCTGATAAAATCCGAGGTCTGCTGTACAGGAGTATCGAATATCCAAGTCTCCAACAAAAGGGATGTTTGATAGAACCACCAGCAATGCCTGAGGAAGAAGCCACTCATGTAGCCAGGCTTCTGGGATAGTATCAGACATTCGCCCCCTCGCTGGGCTCATCAGAAGGCGGACCAGAAGTTGTTTCCGCCCTCTGACACCGGCTCTTGTCCCACCATGCCGAGAAGCACTCCACCGCCAGTGGGCACCATCAGATTGTTTCGTTCGAGGAAAAAACCCCTTCTCGTCAGATGGCCTGATAGAGAGCGCCATGTCGTCGGCAAGCCCACCACTAAGCGACGGGCAAGCGAGAGCCGATCGGCAAAGGATCCACAGGAGCATTTGGGTTGTTCTTTTTGCCTCTTTCGGCCTGTATCGTTGCATAGCACGGTCATCCTCCGCCCGTAGCGTAAGCGACGGAGCCGACGCAGGAAGTTTTAGTCTTTTCCTTCCTTCTTCGCAATATCGCCCAGACCTCGGGCAGGACGAACGCCTAGAGCGAATAGAGTCGAATGTCCACTTTCAGGAAATGGGGGATGCTGGACAGTACCCGGCTGTACCCCAGACATTCCACGTCCATGTCCATGTGCCTGTATACGCTCCACCTTTGACCCGTGGGGACGAGATCGGCTCGCCACTGCTAGCTCCTCTGGTATATAACGGCACTTTTCGTCCTTTCGGCCAGGGTTGCATGGGTCCTTTCCTTCTCTCACACGCACACTCCCTCTATCAGTTGGCTTGCGTCTGCGCAGTAGAGCCCGTCAAGACCCAGCGTGAACGGTCGCTCTCCCTCCACTCCCTTCGACGCAATGGCCCACGTTGAGGACGTCAAAGCTCATGTGGATGCTCACGCCGAGCCGCTCAGTGCCCAAAAGGCCGTCATCCAAGAGGCTCAGGCGGCAGCAGATGTCGAGCAGGAACTGGGGCTGCTGAAGTCCATCAAGCTGTACCCCAAGGCGATATGTTGGTCTGTTCTTCTGTCGACCGCCATCATTATGGAAGGCTATGACCTGCTGTTGATGTGAGTGTCCGTGCCGAAGGACCTTCTTTTCTCCGTTGCCATCATTGACCAAGCACTGACGCCGCGCATCAGGGGTTCGTTCTATGCCTTGCCTCCGTTCCAGCAGAAATATGGCAAACCATTGCCGGACGGGTCAAATCAGATCCCAGCGCCCTGGCAGTCGGGCCTTTCCAACGGAGCCACCGTGGGCTCGATCTTCGGTCTGATGCTGAATGGATACGTCTCGGAGCGCTTTGGGTTCAAGAAGACAATGCTCGGTGCGCTTGCTCTGATCTGCGGGCTCATCTTCATCCCCTTCTTCGCCCCGAGCCTCGAGGTCCTGCTCGTCGGCCAGATCCTGATGGGAATACCCTGTAAGTCGTGCCCCTCCCATCTGCCGCTGGATTCATGCTGAACAGGTACAAAAGGGGGTATCTTCCAAACTCTTCCGACCGCCTATGCCGCAGAGGTCACGCCGACTCATCTGCGAGCCTACCTCACAACATATGTCAATCTTTGCTGGGTACGTGAGCGCCGAGTAAGGGATCCGAGGACCACGGCTGATACTGTGACTTCAGGTGTTTGGTCAGCTTCTTGCCTCCGGCGTGCTGCGTGCTCTGCTCACACGAGACGATCAATGGGCGTATCGGATGTGAGTATATAAATCTCCCCCTTCGATGCCACGGATCGCCGGCTAATCAACTCCCCGCCCAACAGCCCCTTCGCCCTCCAGTGGGTTTGGCCGATTCCGCTCATCATCGGCATCTCCATGGCCCCCGAGTCCCCATGGTGGCTGGTCAGGCAGAACCGGCTCGCGGACGCCAAAGCCGCCCTTGCTCGGCTCACGTCCAAGGACGGGGCGGTCGACCTGGACAAAGCCGTCACCCTGATGGTGTACACGACCGAGCACGAGAAGGAGTTGGGCACGGGGACAACGTACCTCGACTGCTTCAGGGGCATCGATCTGCGCAGAACCGTCATTGCGTGTGGCTGCTGGCTGATCCAGACGCTGTCGGGTGCCAGTTTCCGGTATGTTCATCCAGCCTTGTTATGCTCTCTCGTTGATATGACCATCCTTTTTACTATATGACCATCGTGGACGCTGACCATCGTCCAGCACGTACTCGACGTACTTTTACAAGCAGGCCGGGCTGGCCACCGACGAGGCCTTCAACATGGCGATCGGCCAGTACGCCCTGGGGATTGTCGGCGTCTTCACCGCCTGGTTCCTCCTCCCTCGCATGGGCCGCAGGACCATCTACCTGATCGGCCTGGCCTGCATGACCACGCTCCTCGTCATCATCGGCATCCTGGGCGCCGTGTCGAACCCTCCCACGACCGGCATCGCCTGGAGCGTCGGCTCGTTGCTCTTGGTCTACACCTTCTTCTACGACGTCTCCGTCGGCCCCGTCTGCTACAGCCTCGTCTCCGAGATCCCGTCCGTCCGCCTGCGGAGTAAGTCCATCGTCCTGGCCCGCGCGTCGTATAACTGCCTGAACATCGTCACCGGCGTCATCACCCCATACATGCTCAACCCGGGCGCATGGAACGTGAGTCCACTTCCTGAATATAAAAATGTGCTTTTCCTGATGCTGACGATTTCGAAAGTGGGGTGCGAAGACTGGCTTTTTCTACGGAGGCACTTGTGTCTTGAGTGTCCTGTTCACGTTCTTCTGCATCCCAGAGCCCAAGGGGCGCACATTCGCCGAGCTCGATATCCTCTTCCACAAAAAGACCCCGGCCAGGATGTTCGCGAAGACTCACGTGAGCCTGTACGAAGCCACAGCTCTGGACGAGACGTACGAGAAGGAATGAAGTCGCCAGAAGATCCGGCAATAAGTAGCATTGTACATTCGTGAAAACCGAAGATTAAACGTGGTCCAAGGCGGCAGTTGTCGTTCGGGGTGGTAGTTGTTCTGTAAATAAAAAGGTGCTGGAGGCTGCACACCCAGTGTTTCTGCCACACCTATTTCGAATAATTCTCAACAGCCTCTTTTTCTCCCTTAAAAGGACTTTGCATCTTGTTCGCCTCATCCTGCTGGCCGAAGGCTTTCCGTGACTCCCACTCGCGGCTGCATATCAGATGAAGGGTGGCGCCACGCCGAATCTCTGCGTACACAGATAGCGGCAATCAACCCGGTCAGATCTTTGGCACTGCAGCTCCACGACGGCGGCCAGGAAGCGCGACATGAAGTCACTCTGGTAGATGGGCTTGTGGACGCATTGAAGCATCTGCACGGCCCAGTTGCCTCCCTCCTGGTCGGCCTCGAGGGCATAGAAGAAAATGGGCCACATGAATCCCGGGTTCACGGCGCCGTTGTTCCGTGTGACGTTCTCGTCGACGATCCGGCGCACTTGCCGCAGCGCTTCCTGGGCCTCCGGCGTGGGAGTCAGCCACTGGCCGTGTGCCCGGCCTAGATCGACAATCTCAATCTGGTATGCAGCGTTGCACAGATCTATGAGCGTCGACAACTGCTCCAGTAACGACTCGGGCACCAGGGACTGGAGCTGGACGGGGCTTAGCCGTAGAAGACTCGGTGCCTGCTGTCGCAGCAAGGAAAGTTGCTGCCGAATCTTCAACGCCATCTGATCCACCTCACTCTCATCCGCCAAAGTGCCTCTCGAGCGATGGTGTCGGTTCAGACCACAGATTGCGGCCCCTATCTGCTGCGTCTGGATGTAGAATTCGAACAGAGGAGACGCTAGACCATCATAGAGGATCGACGCTGGAGGAGGGTCACGGTCCAGGAAGATGAGACTGGGTGTCGGAGCCGCCTTGTGGGCAAAAAGAAGGCAGACCTTGGTTGACATGAAGCCTCTTCCACCAAGATGCAAAGCCTTGACGTGCAACAGCTTCAGCCACGTCTCAATGCGGCATACGACTGGCGGCCACGGCCGCTGCTGGATCCAGCGCTCGAGCTTAATCACAAAATCGCCCTCCGACTTCATCGTCGTAGGCACGGTGTCTTGCTGAGAGACCACCTCGAAGCATGCCAGCAACGCCATGACGATGAATGTGACTTCGAGATCGGGCGTCTGGAACCGCAGCAATCTCGCGTGCTCTGATTTGGCTGTGTAGTAGAGTGCAACGGCATTGGACGTCTCATTCCCGAGTTCTTCTGCTTCGTAGAGTGCCTCGACTGCAGAGATGGCAGAAGCTACGACGGAACTCCGAGCGCTCAGCATGACCATGTAGCGCTTGATGCGAGTCCAATTCTCGCCATCAAATGTGGAGATGAAAGGAAAGTCTACTTTCTCGACAAAGTAAGGATGTCCGGTGGGACCTGGCACAGCCGGCGAGCTAGACTCTGCCATAGGATTCGGTTGAATATCCCTGTATGTACCATTTGGCGCCGACACGAGCGACTGAATGGAAAGCCTGGGTGCTGCGAGTAAGGGATCCAGGTTTGGGTCGGAAGCAGGAAAGTCCACGCCCTCGTCCAGTCGTAACCCCGAAGCCAGGTCGAATGTAGATTGTGACCAAGCTTCGTACGTGACGAACGGAGAGAGCGGGAAGTCGTCAAGTGCAGGGAGACCGTCTTGGGTTGTGGCCGTGGCATTGACAGGCAGACCCTCTTGATCCATACTCGTACGAATCCTCTTCGGAGGAGGCTCTTGGAAGGGATCAGCGTCCGGGTAGACGCAAACCCGACTGAGTCTCCCACACTGGAGAAGAGGTCAGTCCATCTCTCAGCAACAAAAAAGCAGCGCAGAGGTACTCGTACACGATGACATTCTGGCCTTTCTTCGCTGCATTTCACCTTTGCTCCGCGACAAGTCAGACATCCTGTGGGGTTTTGCGTCAGCAACTGTATGATGTGCCTTAACCAAGATTGAAAACGATAACACACCGCTCTTCGTTCTCGATTTAGGTGGCTCCGCAGGCTGTCCACTCCTGCTATAAGAGAAGGTCGCGATTGTGGCGGGCATTTGACTCGCCTCGGTATACAGACCTGGAGAGCACGATTGTCTGTCTCTGGTCTCACGCGAAGGGCACGAGGATTGACACTCTGAAAGGCTGTGAGGGAGGTAGAGGATGAAGAGTTAGGTTGGCGCGCTGGGGAGCTGGTGACCTGGAGCATGGCTCGATGGCATCTGGGGCGCAATCCAGCCCCCGATTGCCAAGACCGTGCAGGGCGGGGTAGATGCATAGGGCAGCGTTGTGCTATTCCAGATTTGCCTTGTGGCTTACCCCTTTTAGTCGTCAAGCTGGGCAATACAAGGCTGGAATACTCAGTATCTATCTATATACGTCGTATGTCTGGAGTGACTGATCCTAACGACAGGGTTCACTCAATGCAAACGCTAACTAGAGCAAACACAAAGGAAATTCAACATTAACAAGGAGACTAGCATTAGGGTTGACGATCCGATAATCACGACAGACCTTGCGCTAGACCAAAGCCTATCCAACCGATACTCTGCACCATGGCACCGGGAACAAAAGATCACACAAAGAACTAGGTAGACTGGGGGTGAGGTACCGTGTAATGCTGCTCTGCATAGAGTACGGTGCTCCTCGTGTGTGTCCCATGCAAGAAGCGTTACATTTCGCTGTCGGCCGATGCTTAGTCAATCATAATCACAATAGCGGACTTCACCTTGTCGCTCGGTAACCAGCCGTCCAATGGGACACGCAGTGGGACGCCGTTGACTCACCATCTCTCTCGAGTTCGCTCTATTTACCACCAGCTCATTTCCTTGTCGGCTCGATTCCCAGTTGCCTGTATCTCCTGTCATTAGCTGAGAGAGCTATGGCCACCCAGCGGACGACCGAGGACAGCGAAGGGTTCGAGCTTCAGCACCCAACGACCACCACAGGTGCAGGTCAGAATCCCGACACGCCTTCGCAGCAGCAGCGGGATCATGACTATCCCACCGGGCTACGGTTTGTCCTTCTGACCATTGGACTGGTGTTTACTATTTTCCTGTCTGCCCTAGACACGTCCATCATCTCGACCGCCATCCCCAGGATCACGGATCAATTCGGCACCGTCAAGGACGTGGGCTGGTACGGATCGGCCTACACCATCACAAACGCTGCTTTTCAGTCGACATGGGGCAAGGCTGTAAGTAGGCAGTCCTCGAGTTACTCTCCAGACTGGGAGGCGACTTTGATAGCTAACCGTCACTGAAACCAACAGTACAAATATTTCCCGTTTAAATGGACCTTCTTGCTCACCGTCTCCATCTTCGAGCTGGGCAATGTGATATGTGCGGTAGCTCCCAGCAGCTCAGTCCTGATCTTGGGGAGGGTCATTGCTGGAATGGGTGGCGGTGGAGCCATGACAGGAGCATTCATCATAATTGCATTCAGCGCGAAACCACAGTACAGATCCGCGTACATGGGAGTCCTGGGCTTCACATTTGGTTGTGCGAGTGTGGTTGGGCCCCTCTTGGGAGGCGTCCTCACTGACGGGCCTGGCTGGAGATGGTGTTTCTGGTGGGCGCCGTCTCCTACAATTTTTTCTAAGCCGCGAAGACTGATGCTATTCTCAGGATAAGTTTACCCGTTGGGGCTATGGCGGCGACTACCACGGCTCTCACGGTCAAGATGCCTTCGCTGCCTGAATCCGTACAGGTCTCTTTGAGGGAGAAACTGTTCTCGCTGGATCTCGCCGGCAGCCTACTTGTGTTGGGTAGGCACCTTCTTTTGCTAGAACCCAAGTTGCTGCGATAATTCGACTAACACGCGGATTGGGTACAGGTTCGATGGTTTGCCTGGTGCTCGCACTGGAGAAAGGAGGAGTCTCATCCCCGTGGAGCAATTGGCACGTCATCACCAGCCTGGCAGGCTTTGTGGCTCTCCTCATCATCTTCAGCGTCAACGAGTGGCAGATGGGCAGTCGAGCCATGATCCAGGCACATCTCTTGAAGAAACGGTCGATTGTTGTCAGCCTGGTGTTTCAGTTTTTCATTGCCGGCCTGTTCTTCCCGCTCTCGTTTGCGCTGCCTATTCAATTCCAATCCGTCGGCAATGCATCCGCGTCAGAAAGTGGGCTTCGACTGATACCGTTAATCCTGGCCGTGTCTGCATGCACCTTCGTCGCCAACGGGCTGCTGACCTTTTGGCGGCACTACACGCCTTTCTTTGTAGTTGGCGCACTCGCAGGAACGCTGGGGGTAGTCATGGTTCACACTCTGGACGCCAACGCTGGTCTCGGGTCGTGGATCGGCTTCGAGATCCTCACAGGCATGGGTGTTGGTCTTGCTCTCCAGGTGCCCATGATCGCAAACCAGGCAGCAGTGGGAATCGAGGATATGGCCGCGGTGACCTCGTTGACGCTATTCTGCGAGAACGTGGGAGCCTCCATCTTCATCGCTGCGACCGAAGCCGCCTTCACCAACGGGCTAGTCTCGGCCCTGGGCCACAACGCGCCCCAAGTGAACCCTGAGACGGTGGTCAATACGGGAGCCACCGAAATCCGGCGGCTGTTTGGCAAGAAGCACCTCCAGGGGATCCTGATGTCGTACCTACAAGGCTGCAAGGACAGTCACCTGGTGCCGATGGCGTGTGGATCAGCTGCCACGCTGGTGTCGATGGTCGTCGCGGTGCCGTCTGTGAGCCGGTCATGGGAGAAGTGGAAGCACAAAGCACATTCTCGGTGAAGAGCCTGGGCGTCCCTAATAGTAGCTAGCCGCTGTAGGTAATAGTGTGTAGGAGAAGGGTGTAATTGGAGCGAGGGGGAGGTGGCACAAGGCGGTGTGCGATTAAGACTGCGACACCTGCAACCACCTGCAACACCATGACCAATCCGTCGCCAATCTGCGCCAATCTGCGAGAGCCTGCGCCAGTCTCTGTCAATCTATTGCCCGTCTCTGCCATGCCGCCAGTTCCATCTATGATCCATCTGCAAGAGGAGGACCAAACTTTGAGGAGTCTAGCACATCCTGCTGCCAACCACACCGCCGACCTCGTCGCCCACCTCCGCTTTTCCTCTCCGTCTATCACATGGCCTGCAATTTGATCCCTAGGCTTCTTTTGTCTGGTGTTTCACCGCCAATGGCGACATACCGACATACCTACCTATGTCGGAGATCTAATGCCCGACCTCTGCGATTCCCGCTTTGCCTCTCCGTGTCCATGCATCACCAACCGCCCACAAGCGCCCACTGGGGTTCCCAGAGGGAACAAGAGCCCACGGCCTCTCGTCCACTGCCATCCAGGGCCACCGCGAAATCGGAAGCACCACCTCGAGGTGGCGGCAAAACTCCCCCCTCTCGCCTTCGAGGCTTAGACTCGCACAAGCGTCCCACCAAAGATCAATGGACCGCCCTGCTACATTCCTCCCTTGGGCGGGCAAATCTGCTCTTCCCAAAGAGGTGACTCCGACCCAAGGGCCAGTGCCACTTCGCTGCAGGTTTGGCCTGGTGACAGATGACCTACTGGATTAGCAACCCTCCTCAGAAAAAGCTGGGACTTTTATCGAAATTAAATTTATTTGATGGCTTTTCGGTCTCCCAATACCCTGCATTCGCTCCTCTCCTCTTTTGTGTTTCAAGATGTCTGAACGCCCACAGAGGGCCATCGTGGGTGCTGCACGGGGTATGGATATAAAGCACTCTGCATGAGGACGCCGAGCTGGTCCTCGCTGTCAATGCCTGCTTCACGAACCCGAACTGACTCGCCCTGGTGACGGAAAGAGAGACTTTGCGCACGCTGCTTTTCCTTTGTTCTATAGGGCTCAAACGACCAGAAGGCTCTCGTCCAGTCACGTATTGCCACATCTTGGGGACGCCAGACCCTCAGAGGAATCGCTACTCCAGCTATACCACCCTGCATTTTTACACTTAACATCGATGAATGACATGACGACGATACGAATTATGAGCGTACGGTACGATATGACGACCCCTTGTGACGATCCTGTTGAGGTATCCGATACCGAGTCCTTCCACTCCGCCATTTCCAACGTCACCAAACAGAGCTCCAAGGGCTGGACCTCCTCGTCCCAAAAGGCCACCAAAACAGCAGATTGTTTGGTCCATCATCAACCCGTGAGTAAGAGGCACCGATCCAGGACGGTTTGCTCCCAGTCTTCCATGGCTTCCAAGACATCCCATCCTCGACCCAGCCCCAGACACTCGCGGCACAACTCCGTTTCCATTCCCTCCCGGCAGAGCAGTCTTGCAAGGAAACGGCATCGATCACGTACGGATTCCATAACGCTGCATCGCCAGAGCTGCCAGCTTTTCTCCTCGCTGGACGGAGTTTTGGCCTTGAGTCGGGACATCACGCCTCTGCCGAGCGTTTCGACGTCGCGGACAACAACCCGGCATGCATCCATGATCCCCGAAGACGCCCCGGACCAGGACAGTATCCGGCGCATTTGTGAAAAGATCGACGCAAAGCTGACCGCCGTCGAATACCAAAACCGGGAACGGTCAACACAATATCCATATACTTACGGATACTCGTACGCTCTTCCAGCGAGCGGAAGTGATCGCTCTCCAATTCTGCGCTCGGATACCACACCACAGATGTCCAAAATCCAAACCCGTCGGTCCGAGTCAATTTCTGCTCCACCCACCGCGATCCCAGAAAGACCGACCCTGGATACCGTGATATCCTGGACCTCCAATGCTACGCGACGCGTCGAATACCAGAAAATCGACCGCGCGCACAGCGGGTTCCGGGGTTTCCTGCGCCGAGTCCTACCCCGATGTCTCCGTACCAAGGATGGTAGGAGAGGGTTCTTCACAGGTGAATGCGACGGAGACAGTGTGAGGAGGTTTCGGTTGGACGTCAGCGATGACGATAGCGACGACGCAGGGCACCAAGAAGAGGGGGACGACAACGGCAAGGTCCCCGAAGTTAGCGACTTTGAAATCGAGAAGGGCGACCCCAGGATGAAAGTGGAAGTGGAAGTGGGAGCGGAAGAGGGAGACGCCCACTGTCGGAAAACCAGAACCAGAAATTCCAAAGAAGGGGAAGAGGACAAGGTCAAAGCTCGGAAATGGTCGTGCTTCGATTTATAACAACAACTGGCATCGGCCTTGGGCTTCTGATCCCCATCGGAGGCGGGGGCCCTGATCGAATCCAGCTCCATGATATGTTCTTCTGCAACATCCTCATATTGCATTGTTCGTGGGCACGGCGGTTGCTCTGGCAGTCTTTTCTTTTTGTTGCTATGTGCCGGGCACGGTCAACATATCCGAGAATATGACAACATGTAATGCCCCAAATTATTTCTAGGAGAACCTGAAGATACCCAAGTAATCAGCCAGACAGAGAGATCTGAGACTTGGAAGTCGTATGTAATTGCCCATAGGAAGTCATGGGAGATAATCTGGCGTAGCGCCGCAAGAAAAGGGCCACACGGCTCTCGTGGTTGCTGGAACCAATCTCTCCCGCACGAAGCTCACTTCGGGCTTCGGTCACTGCGCGTTTCTTTTCTCGCATAGGCTTTCAATAACGCATTTGTCAGTCCTTGTCACTGGGCGGCGACTTCGAGGACAGGTGCAGCGTAGTCCGGCTGCTTCGCCACTGCAAGGGTTACTGAGTTGTGCAGCTGACTGTTTTCCGCGTGGTCGAGGAACCTTCACACTGCCTCCATAACTGATGTTCACGACCAGTTCCGACCTGCTGACGTTCAATAAAACAGGGTTGACAGTTTGGCCATGGCGTAGATATCGAGCCTCCGCCTGGAGTGAAGGTGGCCAGTCGTGCTGAGACACCTGCGCATCGTATGCCGTAACACTTGCATGGCCCTGTTCGATCCCCATTTTCTCCCCAGCTTAGACAGCAGAAGCTCCTAAAGCCGTGCCCTAATTTGGTGTGTTTCCGGCTTCGATCGCATGGTGTTCGCATACCTTCAACAAGTCTGGAGTTCCATTTCTTCATCACCTCACAGCAAGTCAAAGTCGTCCAATTTTTCCCTGTATTCCAAAACCTGCCTCTTCACTTTGCTTCCATCCACCCAGGTGACAAAGTCCTCCATGCCCCTCGACACGAGGAAGGCCGGGTCAGTAACCACTTCAGTGCCCACTCGTACATGCCCTTGCTCAACAAATTTGTGTGCCGTGGCGACATGTTCCACCATACCGATGCGAACCATCACAATGCCCAAGCGGCGACGACAGAAGGCACTGACTGTCACGTCCTTTTCCACAGAAGACAGCCCGGCGCCCTGGCTGCGGTTCTGCCTCAAGATCCCGATCTGGTGGAGTTTCTCTAACATGACAGTCTCCATCTCCACACGATATGGGTCCGTGGGCTCGAGATTCGACAGCAAGTGCGCGAGTTGTCTCAGTCGACCGCACAGAGCATTGTATTTGGAATAGTCGAGCGGGTGGGTTAAGTGGTAGCGCCGCCGAACCGCAGCTTCGCGGTGGGAAGGACCGTCGGATTTGTAGGTGAGGAGGTCGACTTTGCGGAGGAGCCGCTGCTCGTGGTGCTTGAGTTTACGAACCATAGTTCGAAATAGAGTGATACCCAAGGGAGCTGTGGTGATGAGCGTCTAAAGTGGTAATCAGTATGTAGGCAGGATTGTCGCCCTTGTGGAAAAATTATTTTGGTCGGGGAAAGTTGCGGGGACGGGCTGGCCGCTTTAAGGCATTTGCAGCCTTGTGGCATGAAGCGAGGCTGTGATCCAAGGAGGCATCTGCTGTGCCACCAACTTCGAGCTGCAGAGTACCGCTCTGGTATTGGTTTGTTTGACCGTAACAGAGCTGGTTGACAAAGTATATCCCTGGTGCTGACATTTAACGTTCAATTGTGTACATCTTTACCTTTTGATCATGGCTCTGTTGCAGCGAATCCAACTACTCGCGAGCCAAGGCTGTAATGAGGTTGCTACCTCTGTTTCGATTTCTGCCGTCAGCGTCCCCTTTTGGACGAGAAGAGTCGACGAAAACTCCCAAAAACAGGCTGTGAGCTGTGCAGGCATCAAGGGTCCTCTGCACCATCTAGGTGCCCGCCCGAAAATACCTATTTTAGACACCGCGAATCGACGAACACCGAAGATAACGTGCTTCAAATTTGCGGGAAGAATGACACTAGTTGGCACAATTTGATGACTGCCGTGCAGGTTCCCGTCCTGGGTTTTGTGACCCGACGAAGCTTGGTATAAAAACCACAATTTAGCCTTGTGCGACAACACCCATTCTTTCAAAAGATCAGGGAGGACGCCCTGAAAATCCCCGTCTGAGGTTTCGTGAGTCGACGAAAGCTGGAAAAAGCAAACACACTTCGCTTTTGCAGCAATATGGCGGTGTCTCACACCATCTGGCTGACTGTCATGAAACTCCCTATCCCAGGGTCTTGTGAACCGACGAATGCTGAAACGAAAAAAGGCCTTCACTGTTGTTGGGCGACAGGCGTCCTCCCCGTGTTGCAGGCTACCACCTTTCCAAAGTCGTGAGCACCAATGCATGCATTATGAGCATTCACGGCAGTCTCATTGATCTTGTGGGTATCTAGATGGATTGAATAGGGGTGGCTATGGCGTGACGATACAGTCTGTCAAGGGGGACTAACTCACTCACTGGCATAGCAACTTACAGTCTTTGATAACTAAAAATTTGATCTAGCAGGAAAGCCAGAAGTCAACTGCAGGTAAGTGCCTTTCTGGCTATCTCAAATTGTCGGCTCAGCAGAGTCGAAATCAGAAACTCCCTTAGCCCAACCATGCTGGTTCCTTTCTTGAATCATACTACCTATTCATCACCCCGGTTCAAGCCGAGGTCGTAAGATAACCAAGGGAACATCTGAACTGCACGGAGGGACAATCTTGCCGTGTCTTGCCTTAAGGCATACTAACCCCACAGCTTTACCGCATCCAATTCAAACTCTCCCCCAGTCAAGCGCCCTGGAGAAAAGCGTAAAGTCTGATGAGTGACATTCAGATCCCGCATCGAACCAACATGGAGGGGGGGTGCGGAGTACCGAGTATTCGTCCGAGATTCGGCCAGCGTATTCAAGAATGACGACTAGCTGGAATGGACGCGATGGAATATGTTCGCTGACCAATTCTCTAAGAGCAGGTCTCGGCACTTACTCCTCCTTTCTGCTTAAGAAGACGAGGCATTCATCACAGCATCCCCAGACGTGACTCCAAGCCCAGCGCCTTGTTTCTTACATCTCCCATCACAGTGAAATACGTTCAAGACCACCGCAATGAAGGCCATTGTGATGAGTGGGGAGCCTGGAAAGGCGTCTCTCGTCACTGACCGGCCTTACCCCCAGCACAGACCAGGATATGTTCTCGTCGACACCAAGGCAGTTGCCTTGAACCCCACCGACTGGAAACATATTGAGTGGATGAACCATAAAGGTCTCCTGGTCGGCTGCGATTACTCAGGGGTAGTTGCAGAAACAGGAACCGGTTATTCAAAACCATGGAAAGTGGGTGATCGAATCTGCGGCTTCGCACATGGCAGCAATGAGTTGCAACCTGAGGATGGGGCGTTCGCTGAGCGCATCGCGGTCAAGGCTGATGTGCAGATGCGCATTCCAGACCACATGTCGTTTGAAGATGCCGCAACAATAGGCGTCGCTGTGGTTACCTGTGGGCAAGGACTCTTCCAGCAGATGGGCCTGAATCTACCCTCACAGCCTTCTACGAAAGGAGAATTTGTATTCATCTACGGAGGCAGCTCAGCGACCGGTACCGTTGGGATCCAATTTGCAAAGCTGTGAGTGTTACACGCCGTACGAGGACTGTTGATGCTGACTTCGTAGCGCTGGATATACTCCCATCACCACATGCTCTCCACGCAATTTTGATTTGGTCAAATCATTGGGAGCAGTGGCTGCATTCGACTACAATGATCCTGAGTGCGCGACGAAGATCAAGGAATATACAAAGAATGATCTCAAGTATGTCTGGGATACGATCTCACTGCCTAAAACGGCCCAGCTGTGTTCAGAGGTGATCTCGCCCGGGGGGACCTATGGTTCAATTTTGAATGTCGAATTCCCACGTACGGACGTCAGGACCACGTATAATTTGGGATACACTGCAGTCGGGGATCCCGTAAAGAAGAGGTTTTTCGAGAGTCGCGATAATACCAAAGACTTTGAATTTATGAAGAAATGGATTCAAGAAGTCGAGCCCATTCTTGAGCATGGACGGTTGAAGGCTCATCCGCCCAAGGTAGGCAAGGGACTCGAGAACGTGTTGGAGGGATGTGATTTGATGAAGCACGACAAAGTGAGCGGTCAAAAGTTGGTGTATGTTCTGTGAAGGCAGGGAGGGAAATCATTGAGCTCTTAGGCGCAGGACCAGGCTGACCGATTTGCTGGGTTGTCGTCATTTGCAGCCTCGTGCGACAAAGGAGTCCGATTTCTACTCCGTTCACAGTAGTGATCTAGAAACGATGGAGTCAGCCTAGTATCAAGGGACACCAAAGTTGCAAACTTGGAGTCATGCTGAGGGCGAATGCTTGCGGCTGGACTGAGTCGGTGATCACTGTCGATTCGCAGGCTCCCTCTGCCTCGCAACTGGACGCGCATGGGATGATGTGCAGTTGTGATGCCTGCGGAGGAGGTTGGAAAGTTGCCCCTGTCATTTGACGGTTATTCCGACGAACGTGAACAGTGTGAAAACACCTGTGAAATCAGCTAGTCGGGGTCATTTGAATCGGCACTCCTCTTCGTGTCAACTTTGACACCTCCGCGCAGCCCCTCGAGACAACCCCGGGAGATCCCCTCTCCCCCTAGGCGGCGCCTACCAAAGGCCCTCGCAAGCCTGGCTGGTCTGTTATTGGGCACTCTAGCCTCGCCCTGCCAAGTTTGGGCTGCGGGCATCTTCCTTCCGCCCCATGACGCAGTCATCCTGCACCTGCTTCACGCCCATGATGCCCGCCGCCTGCGACCATGTTTGAAACTTGCTGCTCAGCCATGACAGCAACCGTGGCTGTGACACTGGATTCGCGATCTAGTGATCCTATTCTTCTGGTAGTCTTTCATCAATCTAAACCATTATCGTCTGGGCACGAGGAGATCATCGCTTGACCGCGAGCTACTCGTAGCCATCACATGGCTGCGCACTTGTCACTTTATCCCAGGGCCACGTAACGATTCCCTCTTGGAAAATTCTTAAGCTTTCTATGTGCTCAAAGGTTTCCCTTACCGTTGCCTGGAGATGAGTGCTTGATCTCTCTTCCTCTCTCCCCTCTGTGCTTCGCCCCATCCCTTCAAGATGTCTGCTCAAGACGCCGTCACAAATGTCCAACAGAAACCCGCGGACAAACCTGCGAACGGCTCCGGGGCCAATGGCGATGTCAAAGTCCCCAAGATCAGTGTCGATGCTCCCACCTCACCTAGCGGCTCGGTACCGCCAGCCGGACAACTCTTGACGGGCAAACAAGAGCATTATCTCAAGCGAGAACTCATCTCCCGCCAGGTCTCGGACGAGATCACCGAATTGAGCAGTCCAACTGCCCTTCAACGTTTTGGCGCTCCTTTCCGCTCGCAATATGGCGAAGTCTCGCCCATGGATTCGGAGTTGCCCATCCTGCGATACATCTTTGTCAACCATGTTCGCAATTTTCCTTTCCTCGACCAGGCGAAAGAGAAGGAATTCTGGCAAGACAAATTACAGACGTTCCTCGAATCCTTTGCTAGCAAATACATTTCCTCCTCGGAAGACAGGCTAGAAGAGACCAAGAGGAAGAAATTGGCAAGAAAATCAGAAAAGTTGGTAGAGCTGATGATGGTGTCTGGCGTGCCCACGGCTTCTGGGTATGAAGAGAGAATACGTTTCGCCGAGATGGAAGTGGTGGAACGGGGTGCGAACGAACAAGGCCTGGTTGTGAATATCCCTGAAGGAAACTACATTAACGACTGGGATATCAATGTGGCCGGTGTGAGAATCACCTCGGTCAAAAGGACCGTTCGCTACCATCAGCACGCCGAGTTCCTGATACGAGTCAAAAGACCCGACCAGCCAGAAGTGTATATCGGAAGACGATATGGTGAATTTGTAAAGCTGCACAAAAGGCTACGGACTGAGATGCCGGGGAAAATTCTCCCCCCTCTCCCGCGGAAGAACAAATCCTCCACTTTCACATCTGTCCTACCGTCAGGAGAAGACGACACCTCATCGCTCTCTTCCGTATCTACTGGAGCCAGTGTAGAAGAATCTGGGAGGAACTTTTTGCCCGTCCATCGACGGTTGAAGTCATCCAACTCTCTGAGTCCCAACGCGGGTTCAGGCTCACCCAAGTCCTCAGCATCCCCGAAAAGGAGTTTGTCGAGAGACAGAAGTGCCAGCCCTAGCCCGGGAACCATCCGACTACATCGAGAAGACCAAAGAGTGTCACTAAGAGCTTTCTTGCGGACTCTTTTGCAAAACCCAAATATCGCGCAGTCGAAATCCATGTCTGATTTCCTGACTCTTCAACCTATCGGGCTCAATGAAGAAGAATCGGAAGATATTGAACGACGAAAAGAGATGGACGCGAGGCGGTTGGAAGAGCAGAGGAAGTTCTACGACATCGCCCGAAAACGAGCGGCCGAGCTAGACACCTACATGGAGAAATTCCGAAGGAATATCGTCGAGGCGAATGGCTTGACCAAGCTATTTGCTGAGATCCGAAGCAAAGAGAAACTCGAAGACTTGAGTCCCGAGTATCAGAAATTTGCAGAATGGCTTAGGATCGAAGTGGCAGCCACCATTTACCACCTGTTCCTGGCGGAAGACAACTCCCCTGAGCTGTTTGCCCAGGCAAGACGGATACATTCTCTAGTGCCATACACGGTATTGAAGAATGTGATCCGAATAGCCAATCCAGCAGCAGTTATGTCTGGTGTGTTGGATCTCTTTCTGGCACAACCCTTTGGCGCAAGGTCTTTGCTACAACGGATATTCGCCCAGACTCTGGCAGATGGAATCCGGCAATTCCAGAGATCAATCGATGGCGTTGCCGGACAAGTGCAAGACCCAATCTTGGTCAACAAAATCAAAGCTTTCGTTGACAGCCCTGAGGAAACCAAAAACATTGTCCGGACAGAGGCGAGCACGGAACAAATTGACCTTGTCGTGGCAATCCTCAGATCAGAACAATTTGAACCTGAACTCACGCCGCCGCAAATTCAACGGGTCTTCAACGCATGGGTGGCGTGGAACAGCGCAGTGGAGAACGAAGACGAAGAGCTCAAACAGGGTGCCGAAATGTTTTCGCACCTCAAGCAACTGCTCAAGTTAATGACTCGGCAACGTGACAAGGCCATGATGGCAGCCATGATCGAGGAGCCCAATACTCTACAGTTATTCCGCGATTTATTCACCATCTTCTACGAGCCGCTAATTCGAGTATACAAATCCGCAAATGTTTACAGTTCCATCACGGACTTCGCCCGCTTCGCTGACGACGCAATCAAAACGGTCGAGATCGCACAACGGCAAGACGTGTCCGCGGATCCGAATCAGACTGTGCAGTCATTCATCGACCTCTGTGCTAGACACGAACATAACTTGTATAAATTCATTCATGAAGTCCATACCCATGACAACGGCCTCTTCACCGCCTTGATGGGTTGGATCGAGGGCATTCTCGAATTCCTCCGGAAAGGCCCCAGGAGCGGCGGGAGATTGGATATGAATGCGATTTTGCGTGGGGCATTAGACATGGGGGCGGTGGACAGGGAGATCGTCATCACAGAGGTCGATGCGTTGATCAAGTGGCAGGAGGCGCGAAAGCAGTGGCATAGTGATAAGACGAGGCAGAAAATGGCGGCTGAGGGAACAGGGTCCGGCAATTCTTCAGAGGCGGCGACGGGGATGCCGGGGGCGAACTTCCGGAGCAGCGATTTCGGATTGCATGAGGTGAGTTTCTTCCCCTGTCCTTTCTTCGTCGCATTAGCCTTTAATGTTGAGTCTTTGCTGACGATTCGGTGTCGTTGCAGGGCGATCTGATGGACCTCCGCATTTCCGACGATGAAGATGAGCTTGACTCGGACGAAGAAGATGCAGAAGACGATCTCGACCCTCTCTCGGCTGAACGGCGTCGCCGTAGAAAGGCACAAGACAGGTTGAGGAGAAGCGCTGGCGAGCCTGTGAAGCCGGAAGTCATCGAGGTGCTGAAACTGCGCGAGTCGTTTGTGTCAATGCTGCGAGCTGTTTTGAGTGATTGAAGGGACAGTAATGGAACGAATATATAGTCGAACGTGGCCCGCATGAATTCCTATGGGCTGCACAGAGGACTGGACAGGTCTGAACGGCAAGCATAGAATACCCTTGGAGAGCTACTGCTGGGAAAAGACGTATACGTTACAGGTTCTGGTAAACATCGCATATACCTGCATTTTGTCTTTACCATCCTGCCACCTACAAAATGTCACCGGCCACCTCTGTGTAGGCCTCAGGGCTCCTAAGGGGTACCGGTGAGGTGTCGTCTGCCCCCGGTAAATAGACAACGAGTTGTTGTAGGATCAGGGGTTAAGTCTACGGGGGGAACGCTCACTGCCGACAGGCATCATTTGGCAATGCGGAGCAGTGATCCTATATCAGGAAAGCAGCACGGGGACCCGATGTGGTCGATACTTGGAAGAGCCCACGGTCAATCCGAAAGTCATTGACGCCCTTCAGCTCGACTGAATAGGACCGGTTGCCCAAGAAACAAGAAGGCAGACTTGGTCTCTCCAATGGGACACCGTTTCACATCTGTCAGCTTGTGGACTACACTCGCAAGTGCAAGGAGAAGCGGTTGGCTGTTCGATATATTGCTGGCAGACGATTCCAGAATACGAAGTGCCTTGAGCCACGGTATCACTCTGGGCTCAGGCCTCGTCCAAAGACATTACCCCTTATTGACTTCCACAAACAGACAGGGAGAGAAATGAGGCCTGTCTCGGGATGGAAGCACTGATACGGCGAAAATCGTGCTCCAAAAGCTTCCCTCGACGGCTCTACACGGATCGTTAAGTCTTGGAACGAGGCTCTTGCATGTGCTCTTCTCCGCGATTCTGTCTAGGGACAACGGTTCAAGGCCCAACTCCACACTTACTAGGGCTGGTCTCAGAAATATCATTGATGGTGTGAAGCCAGGCAGACATGTGTCGGGCGAAGCTCGATGAACATGTGAAATATCTGGTTGATTTTCCACAGAGCAGACGAATCAAAAAATTCCAAAGGGAAAATGAGGCTGTTGACGAGCTTGATTGGCCCACTGCTGGGAAATAGCAGCGCCTCGAGTTGAGACCAATGAGTGCTATGGCGTTTCATTGGGCGACACGCTGCAATTTGCTTTCTCGGAATTTCCGGGAGATGATTGGGGACAAAAGCAGCTCAGAGACTTGTAGCATTTTTGCAAACCAAACAGGGACCCAGTGGCGTGATTCGCGTCTGCGACGATCGGAGGCGGTCGAGGTTGACTTGACGAGAAAGGTAGCAGGAAAAGCAGGAGGGAGGAAGATTGGGGCAGGCAGCGCATCACGCAACAGCGCATCCGGGACGCGATAGCCTGATTGGGCACGTTGTGGTGATGGAATCTTTAAGCGAGGGACTGTGGTGGAAACGCATGCAACGTTGCTGCTGACACATGAATACGGGCGAGAGTGGAGGACGAGGAGGCGACAGAGGGTCCCTGGGTTTCCGGGTTAGCAAGCTGGCGCAGCAAAAGCGAAGGACCACGAGGGAGAAGAAGGAAAACAAGGTGGCAGGGCAGCGGGAAGACAGGGAAGCCCAGGGACGTGCAGGATGCGGTCACCGCTGCCGAGCAGGAGTGGAAGCCGATCACATGATGTGGACACGTTTTTTCCTTGCGTCAGCGGTGCGGCCTGCAGGCTGCGGGCATTGCAGCTGGGAAGCTTTTGTGTGGGTTGAGGAGATGTCTGGAGGTGTGCGAGGTAGACGTAGGCATCTGGTCATTGCAGCTGATTGTTGTGAGCACCCTGATCACATTTCCAGAGTCGAGTCCATTCAGGCTTCGACACATAGCCACTCGGTCCTGGTGCAGCTTCAGGTGTTGAGGAGAAAAGTGATGGGCATGCGCGGAGCTAGCACCAGAAAAGGAATAGCGGCAGTATGGGTCACCCGGGTCACGAGGCAGCTTGGTGGTTGGCTCTTGCCTCAACCAAGCAAATTCAAGCGAGCAGAAAAACCTTGAACCAGGCAATCATCGTAGTGACTTTCGTAGCCTGGCCCGTAGTACAACCTTCGCACAGTAGTTAAGTGGGCAGTGGGCAGCGGGCTGCGGGCAGAAGTTGTTTTTGCTTGGGGGCCCTGGCTCCCTGCAGCTGGTCGCCGAACAGAACAAGAGACGAGCAAAAAACCTTGGAAGCGAGTCAACTGAGCCAAAAGCCGCCCCCCCTCCCCGTCGCCCACTCATCCTCTGCGTTTTTCCTCCTCCCTTTTGTATCGCCCAATCGCCCCTCGCCTGCTGGTTTCAACTTCACCTCCTTCACCCAATCACCCAATCACCCTCCAGCTGGCCCGACTATTCTGTCGAACTTGCCAGCCCCTTCACCACTCACACAGTGTCTTTGCTCGCTACCGCAAAGCAGCACGCAACGCACGACATCATCTTTCTCTTCCCTCCGGCCCTTCACGTGGGTCCCGCCCAGTCTCACGAAGTTGCGCGAGTCGAACGAAAGAGGTGACCAGGAAGAAAAAGCCCCGAACCAACCCGAGGCCAGGCGGCTCTCCAGCCTACAACCAACAAGCCCAAGCACAAGACCAAACCCAAGCCCCCAAAGCTGTGGCCGAATCATCTCCCTCAAACACCCTCGACCTGGTCGACTGCACCATCCAATTTGATTCGACTGCTCTCTCCACGATCCACGTTGCTGGTAAACAATCACCACCTATCACCATTCACCCTCAACTCGCTCCTATAGAGCCTTGCGCGCATCGACCATATCAAAAGGTCAAACATACCACAAACCCTCAACAACGACGTGGACAAGAGAATTGCTGCAGATTCGTTGTGTGTGCGCGCGCGCGCAGGCCGGCCGGTGATCTCATCAGCCCCCCCCGAGGACAAGCGCAACAAGCCATCCATCAGCCCGACAAGCCATCAACACAAACCCCCTCCCACCCACCCCCCAGTCACCCAGCCAGCTCTGCAATCTGCAAGCCCACCCGCTACTGCCATTACTCACCGCGGTAGACCACCCGCCCTCACCGCTGGCAATCTGTCTATCACAACACACGCAAATTGACTGCCACACATCACCGATTTGACGGACCGACCGCCAGTTCCGTGTCCCAAAAAGCCATCCTCCACCGCTGTACTTCCGCTACCGCCCATTGACAGCGCTTCCCACCCAACCGCACATTATTTGGCAAAACTTCACGTCACTGTCGCCCTGTAAAATCGCGACTGGATCAACTTCCGATCTTGCTTGTTGCCTGTCGCCTCTTGGATCAAGAACGCGTTGGTGACCAGCTTCATCGTTGTCGCGGGCGCAGAAAAAGTGCCATTGCGACCTCAGCGCCAACTAGATTTGTAAACCCGACCAGCTTCATTTTGTGGGCAGCAATTGCGTCGGCTGTCGCATCACTTGGGCACGACCCGTGGTTGTTCCGAGACGAGAACCAAATCCCACAAAATTCTTCCCCCCTCTCCAAAAAGACCAGAAATTTCATCATCTACAAGAATAGATACTGGCTGCCCGTCTCCGGGTTTGCGTGTTGACTGTGGGACGGAACTAAAAGGTGAGTTGCATGGAGTTGCCAACACATCACTGCATGCGCGCCTCCAATCGATTGCTACATAACCATTCCCACCCGACCCCATCCTCCAATAATCGCCTCTGCGCTCTACCAGAGCCAATACTGATTCACACTGTCCTCAGTGCGTAGTCTGGCAATCGAATCGCAGCTTACCTTCCTTCCGCGCCCTCGAATCATTCCTCTCAGACGCCCGCAATCCAAACAAATCCATTCCAGCCTGCGGCGCGTCGCATCAGAGCTTCGGGAAAGCTGGAGCAGCGCCAGCAAGCGGCGACGACAAGTAACGACAGCAACGTCGGCCGGTGGAGAAGGCAGGGAAAAGAGCTGGAAAACAGAGCCCGCTGCGTGACGTCGAAGTCAGGCATCCTCATCCCGCGCCACACTCTGCTCCCCTCGAGAGCAGAAGTGACAACTCATCAAAGCGCTAGACCCCAGCTTCTCCTGCAAAGAAGCCCAATCTGAGGCGAACTCAGCCCGGGTGTCGACGGTTGCAGCAACATCCCGGACCCTATCTCGCCTCATTTGTTGACTTGTCTTTGTCAATATAGTGAGTGGACCGCTGGGTTTGACTCCTTCGACACTTTCAGACCAAGTCTGCTCCTCATCTGCTCTGCCACCGACCAAGGTCAGTATTGGTGCTCTGCCGGCGATCCAGTGACCGCCGTGAGCTGCGCTAGCAACTAACGCAAGGGACCAGGCTCCAACCTGCCGCTGTTAGACCCTCCTATCAGAGTGTCGAGGCGCCGTGGTTGCAACATTTCAAGGCACAACAGCCCCCCGAGAGCGCGTCTCAGCTATTCGACCATCACCTTTTGCGGCCTTGCTCGACCTCTTAACTGCCCAGCTTAGCCTCCGGAGACCTGCGTCTTTCCGTACGCGCGACAGCTGAGGCGAACCAGCAAGTCCATCTCTGCGGGCCGAGAACCTTCTCTTTTCTCTGCAGCCCCGAATCCATTATCAGCACTGAGCCAGACGTTCGACCTTTGTAGTGGAAGGCGTCCTTCGTGATGGAATACCCTCCTCAGTACCAGCAACACGCCCAACACCCCCATATGCAGGGAGGTTACCAGACATCGCCTCAGAGTGCCGGTCCCGGTGCCCTCCAGTCGCCATCCGGCCCTCAATCGCATATGCAACAACCCCATCCCAATCAAGCCTCTCCCATTCTCCCGTCCCAGACCCAGAATCACTATCAACCTCAGTCGGCCGGCGGTGTCCATCAGTCCATCGCTTATCCGCAATATGGTGTTGGTACGGGGATGACACAAGGCTATGGCATATCGCCGACTCAGGCTGCGGCCATGGCTACTGCGGCGGCATCAGGTTAGTCTACACCCCTTGTTCTGGAGCATCTTGATGAGATTCATCTGTTAACACCACATCATAGGACAAATGCCGCCCCTACCATCCACTGTGAGCATGCCCCAAGCAGGACAGATGAATCAACAGAGACGCATGAGCCAGCACATCACGAGTCCTCACGGCCAAGTCTCCCAGCCTGTCCTGAACCATAACATGCCTCGACAGTCTGTGCCCCCGACAATGCCTCCTCCTCAGCAACCTGTACAACCACCACAGGAAGAGATTGTAGCGGGAAGCGCCGAGGAATCTCCATTGTATGTCAATGCGAAGCAATTCCATCGCATTCTGAAACGCCGTGTTGCTCGACAGAAGCTCGAAGAGCAGCTGAGGCTCACCTCCAAGGGACGAAAGCCGTATCTTCATGAGTCGAGGCACAATCACGCGATGCGCCGACCTCGTGGTCCAGGAGGTCGGTTCTTGACTGCCGACGAGGTTGCGGCGTTGGAGAAGAATCAAGGTGAGGGCACCGAGAACGGTACGCCCGCGACCAAGAAAGCCGACAACGTGTCCTCGGGCACTAAGAGAAAGGCCGGCCCTGCCGACAACGAAACCCCTGTCAAGAGATCCAAACTCGCCAGCGAAAGTGCAGAAGAAGAGGATGACGATGATGGTGAGGAAGACACGGGCTGAGCCTGTTGTCTTTCGACAGCCACATTGGACATTCTTTTCCATCTCTTTCCTTTGTTGTGCATATCAAGGGGGGGCCTGCCACTTTAGCAAGCGTTGTTTCGTCTGAGGATGGGAGAGAAGCATCGTTCTCGGTGGGAGGTCTTTTGAATTTCAATGACTTGCTGGTCTCGCAGGGATAATCCGTTGATCACCCTTACTTTTCCTTTGTCCACCAATATCAAACATTACAGAGAGTACGGGCTCACGCCAGGACACGCCAAACTTATCGTCACAAGCTGACGAACTTGCATTTCCAATCTGCCTCCAACGCGATGGGTTGGCGGCAACACTACCGTCTTCTTGTCCACACCAACAACAACCAAAACCCGACTGCCGCGACGACCAGCCGTCTACTGCAAGATACCCGCATCATCTTCGACCTAACGCCTGTCGCTTCCGAATGCAATTTGCTTTCCACTTTCGGTTTACCATCCGAAACTTTCCTTTTGCTATACATCCATGGACAGACTCGGGCGTCGGAAGTAATGTACCTGGAATCGACTTTGGAATGACGACGAGAAGAGGTGGCGGCAGTCTTTGTGTTCCTTGCAGGACGACTCGAGTGCTTGCACCGACCACAGCTATGCAAGGGACACAGACAGTCCTACCGGAACTCAAAGCTGGGGATTCTAGAAACAAGGACTCACCTCACCGTGAAAAGGGACAAGGCAGATAAGCGACACAATATGGGAAATCGGAGGGTATTTGAGCCTTTTTTGCACTGCGAAAACCGGATGGGAGGATACATTGGGCAAAGGAGAACGACCGAAGTGCACGCGCACGACCAATGGACGGCATCATTTTCTTTCTCTCCTTCGACCACAGGTTCGTGTTCATCGACTGAGCAGAACCTCTTTTTCAGTATCGACAATCCTTTTATTACTTCTCTCACCCATCACCATTGACGATCGTTGAACGAAACCGCCTGACGAATCTCCTTGTGCGAATCTGTGTTTGCGTGTTTCCGAAATGTATTTTGAACAGATTGCCTCTGCATGCTTGGTTGGTGGAACTCACAGGGACGGGACTTGGGGACAAAGGAAGGTGGGATGAGGAGCATTACAACAGGGCTGGAACACCTGGGCTATGAGGTGTGACGAATGACTAGGCTGGGCTTGGTTGAGGTAGCAAAGAATGCTGCCTGGTGCAGTGAAGGGCGTGCTGTTGGGGTACGAGGATCGTTCTACTCCTTGTCTTCACCTTCTGCGCCATGATACAATCTCTAGAGGAGGTTTGCCATGGTATGGAAGGAAAGAGAGAGGGCAGAAGATGGCCTGCGTTTGAGGATCGTGGTTGTCGATGGCATTGACTGTACAGATTCAGATTGGGCTGGATGCTCGCGACAGTGTCTCTTTCCTTTCTAGCTGAGCTATTGAGAAATTGTCAATCATATATGCTTTTTAATAACCATCCCCCGTCCGAGACATTGATCTTTGACAAGAGAGTTCCTGGTTCCTTGACGCACAATAAGTACTTTGGACGTATCGTGTGTGCTCTCACTCGTTTGCCATGGTCATACATGACAGCTTACTGTCTGCCACTGCCTTACATGTACATGCTATAAGGCTTTGGGAAGATTTTTCAAAATGTCACTTTTGTGCAGTTTTGATGCGGATGCCTGTCTACTTTTGTTTGTTTGCAGCCTTTCTTCTAACGGTCTAGATCTGTGTGACTGCGTTGTAGTCTGTCTGTCTGTCTGTCTGTCTGTCTGGTGGTAAACGATGCCGCGCCATGCTGATGAATGAACTCAGTCGTTGCGAGTAGCAGGAAAGAAGGAAGGTTGAATTCGCAAGCTCTCACTCCCCCGTTCCTGTTCTCCCAGGATGATGCAAACCAGATGCGAAAGCATCCCAAAAGTTCGCCGGTAGCGTAAAAGACAGCCATCCTCCCCCAGCTATGTACTGTGTGCAGTTCAAAAAACCCATTCACCCCAGCCCTCACAACGCCACTTGCTGAGTGAATCGCCCTCTCGGAAACCTGCTCTTATCATGATGCGTTGCGTCTCATGCGATAGCTCTGCGAGGCGACAGTCAAGTGGATGGAATTCGTAGCAATGCGTATGTGTCTCATATGATACTCTTGGGATTTGGCATTTGTAGTTGTTAACAAGGCTGGGCGCCGGTAGCTTATAGTAGGTCACCGCGATGGAAATTCGAACGTTTTGTCATGACTGAGGCCGCTCCAACTGTTGCCAAAGCCCGCGCGGCCCAGTCAAATAGGCGAGACCTAGAAGACCCAGTCCTCTTCGACAGACCTGATAGCCCATTCGAACTTCTCACGCAGGGTCTTTGAGAAGAACTTCTCGATGGGCACGCTGAATTTCTTGCTGAAGACCACAGTCAACCGCGGGTCGATGTAGTTCTGCGAGAAAGAGGTGGTTAGCAAGCCTGATGCTATTATGACGGCAAGGGAGGGGGTGTGGCGCAGGACTTACGATCTTCGAAGTTCCCAATGCCACCTCTTTATTATTCTCTTTGTCTTCGGCCTGTACGGACATGGTAGCAATCCTCGCGTCAAACTTCTTGACGTGCTCTTCCAGCTTCTCGACTGTCGGAGACTTTCCCTCAGCCTCAACCTTCTTGGTCTTGTTCTCCTTCTGGAATCTTTTCTCTAGCTCCTTGACCGCCTTCAGACGTTCCTCGAGCTCCTTCGGCTTCATCTCTTTCTCACCTTCCGCTTTGAGCTTCTCGTTGTCCTTTTCGAATTTCTTGGTGATCTTGATCTTCTGCTCTTCGACCAAGAAAGCTTGATGTTCCTGGATCCACGCCTCATCCAGGTCGTCTGGCAGCTCAAAGTACTCTGCACCCTTCTTCTTCTTGATCTTTGGATCAACGTCGAGCATCATCTGTTTGACGCGCCATTGCTGGTACTTGAGACCTTTGATTCGATCGCCCAATTTCTCCATCTGACCGGCATGTCCGGCTGCGACGGTTCGCTTATGGTTGCAGAGAATTGCAACTTTTCGATTCGCGTCGTTGTAATCCTTGATCTTCTCGGCTATTGTACCTTCAGATCTCATCTCGGAAAGTAGCTTGGCCATTGTAAAAGACGCGTTGTAGGTACGGAAGACTTTGGCAGTCAAGCCAGGCATGTAGTTCTTCAGGTGGTTGTTGAGTTGAGTCGTGGTCAGTCTGTCAAATATGTCGTCTCCCTCACTCTTCGGTGGTTTCTTGAAAATCTTGAGATTCTTGAATACTTGCGCGTCCACCTCGAACTCTTCATGGAAGCGGATGCTGTCTTTCCCCAGGAAGTCGAAGATGACCGTATTAGGAGCTCGCAAAGTGATGTGCTCATATTTCAAAGAACAACAGCCGACCGTTTCAGCCTCGTCGTCTCCTTTCTCATTACCAGCACGAAGGGCGAATTGATCGATGAGGTACATGGCGGTTGCCTTTTGTCGATCTGCCATCAGTTCTGACTTAAGCTCCTTTCGGTAGTCTTTGCGAATCCGATCAATGTGCTTCTTGAGTTCACGAGCCTTCTCGAACTTCTTGTAGTCGCTCTGGCCTTTCACGTCAGAGTTTGCAGCCAGCATGACATACTTGTAATTGCCGTTGATATTCTCCTGCCACATGGCCAGCCATGTCCCTTGCTTGTCGTGTTTGATTTCTTTCCAGCTATGACCCTCTGGCGGAGTAGGAACGGTTGCCTCCTTGCCGATGTTAATCGTGATCTGCTCAGGCATGACTCTCGTCTTGACTTTGCCGGTTTTGGGATGATCACCGCGGCCACGGAAAAGACCAGGAGGTTCAACTCGGAAGTTGCCAACCTTTTGTTTCTTGCCGTCCCAGACGCAGTACATGTAGGGAGCCTCGGCTTCGTCTTTTGCTGCTTTGATAGCTTTCTTCTCCTCTTTCGACAGAGCCTTTTTCGCTGCCCTTTCAGCTTCGTAGTGATCGAAGATGGGTCTGAAGTCGCACTTGGCAAATTCTTTGATCTCCACCTTCTCCCCATTTCTGTTCTTCGCGCCGCCAGTCTTCTTCAGAATATCCTTGAAGTCGCCGAAAAAGTTTTTCTGGAATGTTGGATTCTCCACGTTGTGCGTCGAGTTGAGCATACTGCCGAAGAAACCGGCCACTTCCTCTGCATCGGGGTGGAGGGTCATGGGTTCGCCGTCGTATTTCATCTTAACATGTTTGGGAAGTGGCTGGTAAGGAGGTGGGAAGACAACGCCATTGTGCTGCAAAGTTTCCCACTTGTTTGTTCCATCACCCTTGGTTGGATCCTCCCACCATTTAACTTCGTCCTCTTCGTCCTCTTCATCTTCAGGATCGGCGCTCTCTTCCTTTTTGACTGCCTTGGACTTCTTCGCGGGCGAGGGGGCTTCGGCCTTGACTTTTTTCGCGGGTTTGGACGGCTCGACTTTGTTTTTCTTAGTAGTAGCTGCGGGTGCCCGCTTCGATAGAGGCTTGTCGTCGTCACTGGATTCCTCCTTTTTTACTCTCTTTGCCGGGACGGCCTTTTTGGGAGCCTTTCCAGCCTCCTTCTCGTCTCTTCGGATCTGCTTTGCTTCCTTCTCCGCTGCTTTCTCAATTTTCTGCTTTTGCTTGGCAAGCTTCTGGCCGAGAGGCACGTCTGAGTCTGATTCTTCACCAATTTGATGAGCTGAGACTCGGGGTGGCTTCTGCATAACCTTGCCGTTTGCCTGGGCTCTGGAGACGAGAGGGGCATCGTCAGAATCGGATTCGACGGCAGCTAAAGTCTTTCTCTTTTTGCTCTGCATCCACATCAGCCATGATGGATTCTCAAGAGGCAGATTCGGAAACTGAGGGGGTCGCATACCAGTGGTAGGTCGTCGTCGCTGCTTTCTGGCTCGGCATAAGATGGTCGCGTGAGGCTCTCCCGGGCCTTACGCTTTGCAGCAGCGACACCGTTCGTGAGGCTGTCCTTGTGGCCAGGTGGTGATAACTCTTCAATCTTCACCTCACCATTTGCCATCGAAATGCCGGGCACCACTTCGCCATTGGTAGGGATCTGTCGATCCATTGCAGCGTCGAGTGAGGATGGGATTTTGGAGGAAGACAGAGGTGCAACTGCGTGCAACGTCAGTTAGGACAAGAAAGTTGAGATGCAGATAGAATAGCGTTGGAGCACGTAACGCAAATGCGGATGACTGGAGTCGTCGATTGTGGTAGGGAGAGCGTACCTCCGTTTGTGCCATTTGTCCTTCTTGAGCCCGCGAGGGGCATATCATCGTCGGAAGAGTCCATGATGCGCGTGAAAGAGACAGAGCGCAGAGGCCTAGCGAAAACGGGTGGTCGAGTCTGAACGGCTAATAATGGAGGTGGGCGTGGACAGAAATGAGAGGCGACAGATTGAAGTGACCTCCAAAACGCGCCTCGGAAATTCGGAATGGTGGGCGAACCTCGATAGCAACAATGGGGACCGTGCGTGTGTGGTTGGTATGAGAGAGAGGCGATTGAGAGAGGCGTCGACAAGGGATTGAAGGACGGGTGGCTTGGTGTAAGAGAGAGACAATGAGAGAAGAAGAAAGAAGAAGTGAAGGAATGGGCGAGGCCGAGAAGGAAAATCGAAGGAGGGAAAGTCAGAGTGCAGTCCAAGTCCACCCGACCAGGCGATTCGTGAGGCCGTTCTGGAGACTGGAGGAAGGGGATCCAAAATGCCCACTCCGATTCCCGTTCTATCGACGATTTTCTGATCGAAACGCACTAGTCCCAAGATGGCTAGCGCGTCTTCCCACCGGCGAGCTCTGCTCGGAACCTCAGTTTGTTCATTGACCAGCTGCCCTCGCACCAACCGAATCTCCTCTCCCTCTCATCCAGTCCATCTCCCATCACTGCTCCCTCACGGCCTCGTGGTCAGCCAATTCTCGCCATGATGCTGTCCAGAGCTGTGAGACCGGCCCTTGTGGCTGGCAATGCGGCCCTTGCAAAGTGAGTTGGCTGCAAAATCTCAGGAGCTTGGAACCAACGTAACTGACCATCATCAGGACGGCTGTCCCTCAAGTCGCCGGCTATGCTACGCTACGAGAAATCGAGAGTATGCGATTGGTGGCAGGAAGCCCTGGTTGCAGTTGCTGACTCTTCACAGGTCGTCTCAAGTCCATCCGCAACATTGAAAAGATCACCAAAACCATGAAAATTGTGGCCTCCACCAAGCTCACCCGTGCGCAAAAGGCTATGACCGAATCCAGATCCTATGGGCAAACATCAAACAAGGTCTTTGAAGAGGCGGAAACGAAACCATTGGAGGAGAAGAAGACACTGTTGGTGGTTGCCAGCTCCGACAAGGGACTTTGCGGTGGTATCCATTCCGGACTGTCGCGCACCACCCGTCGAATGCTCGAACAGGATCCAAACCTCGACATTGTCATCATCGGTGAAAAATGCAAGGCGCAGATCGGCCGTTCCAACCCCAGGAATGTTTTGTTGAGCTTTGCTGGTCTCGGAAGAGACGTCCCTTCCTTTGCCGACGCCCAGGCCATTGCCGACCAACTCGTCCTGCTTCCGGAGGAATATGCAAGCATTAAGATCCTCTACAACAAGTTCATCAACGCCCAAAGCTATGAACCTGTCACGGTGGAGGCATATTCCGAGGAGGCCATCACACAATCTCCCAACTTCGCCGCCTTTGAGATTGACGACGAAGTTCTCGCCAACCTTCGAGAATATGCCTTGGCCAACTCTCTCTACTGGGCTCTTGCCGAAGGCCATGCTTGTGAGCAATCCGCCAGGAGAAACGCCATGGATGTAAGTTGTGATCTGATACCCTGGCTTGAAATCTGCGCTGACGAGATGCCCCTAGAACGCGTCCAAGAACGCTGGAGAAATGATCGGCAAATTTACCATCTTGTACAACAGAACCCGACAAGCTGTCATTACCGGAGAATTGGTCGAAATCATCACTGGTGCCACTGCCTCAGAAGACATGTAGGCTTCGTTTCAAAAAGAGAAAGTTGTACATAACTGCCAAACCCCAATTTTTACCGCTGTCAAAGAAGAATCCAGCGGATTTCATGCCCAGTTTGTGTTGTCGAGCAGCTTCTTGTCATTCGCGTGTTTTCTGCAAAGGTCTTCACTCTGCTCACCTTGTGGCAGTGTGGTGTGCCAACTCTGACGCCATTTGAACGCATTCCCGCCTCGTCGTGACTTCACGAACATCCTTTGTCTACCGCTGCCTCAACGTGATCCCCAACTCGGCAATACTGCCTAAGTGGGCTTGCAACTAACTATGATTTGATTTAAATTCGAGGAATCTGCCATCGCAGAAGATGACAGACCATCCCACAGTTCTCGAGAGCGCCCATTAAATTGTGAAATCTTGTGCACACCCTGTCGACATGAGCAGCGTTCAATGCGAAGATGGGTTTTCGGACCGTGACGAGTCGTCGTACCGACCACGATCATGCGGTTTAATGCGGTCACAACTCTACGGAAGGATGAAGGTCGAGTCTTGGGATCGGGACCTTTTCAGTCCACTCTCAGTCCCTGACGCAGACGGCGAAGTCGAGTACGAGTACTGGATTGACGAGTTTTTGAACGTGCATGCGACTCGGAAATTCAGTCTCGACGTGGATCCCTCCATCGATAATCTCCCTGATGCAACCGTGAGCTCGGATGACACTGCAAGTGTTGGCGAAGTCGACGCAGACGACACTGGTGCGCCTCACGATGAAGAACTCAGAATCCAGAGCCTGCACGGCACTACCATGTCTCACAGCAACGTCGAGCCCCTTGTCGACCATGCCCAAAAGCAAGAGCCTGTCAACTCTCTCTTGATCATCACTTGTGTCGCAACATGCACGCTCTTCGCCCTCGATCCGCGTCAATTCCTCGACACTGTCCTCCTGTTGCTCCTGTTCGCACCATTCCCACGCCTCGCCCGCCACTTGAGATATTGCCTTCTTATTCCCATCATGAGTGCGGATTTGGAAACAAAGTTGGAGGGTGCGGTCGCTTTCGGCTGCTTGGTCTTTATGGGAAAGGATTGACCGAATGTATGATCGGGGGTGAACGACGACAAAGAACCCATGAGATGAGGCGCCGAATCAATGATGCTGGGAAAGTGTCATGGACAATGGAAGACGAAGGACAGGCTGTGGGCTGACCGGGGAAAGGAATGGCAGAGGTGCTCTCATCAAACAAACTGCGCAGTGGAAAGAGATTCGCAAAGGATTCGGGCAATGCATATGAAAACTGTTAAGTGTTGGCCCATGATATCCATGGCCTTCCTTCTTCTAACTCTCTATGATGGTAAGCATATCAGAACTGGCGCCTCTCAATGTGTTGTCCACCACTGACCAATTCCAGAATCCTGCCAACTTCACCATCTCTCCGTTGTTCTTTGTTGATTCACAGGGACAACTGCGCTGACAAAATGGTAGGCAAAGCTCACTGCCTTGTCATCCCTAGGCAGAAGCGAACTGCCTAGATAGTGGTAGCCTCGAACAAACTGCCTGGTAACGTTCAATACTGCCTCGCAAACCCGTCTTCTGCTGCCCCGGGTTCCATCCCATATATACCTCCTCTTCTATCCAATGAGCGGGTTCTGGACAGCCATATCAACCAGCCCACAACAGAAACACAACTATACTTCGAATCTCCAAATCTGTCTTACGCTCCGCCTGCGCTTCCTCAGCCCGTCATGCCATTCCCAATCCCAGCCAACTATGCCATCCCAAGCAAGCGAAAGCCCGAACTCCCGTATTTCGAGCTGACAGGAGAAAACCACACAGGTCCTCGCAGGGTCGAATGTAGCAGATCGCTTATTGACGTCGATGCGGATTTCTTCCTGAACCTCGTGACACCGCGCCGCCCCGAGACCCCGGAACCAACTGACATGACTGACTACTACTACGCCGCGTATTTCCAGCAGGAGATGGACGGCTTCGAGGCCTTTGATCCCGTTGATCGAGCCGTCTTCTTCGTCCTCGCCCTCGACGCCACAGCCAGTGAGATCGAGGCACATCGCAATGCGGGCGGCCACGCTCCCACGCAGCTGCAGATCGGGGAGCTCCTCATGCAGGTGGACGAGGTCTACGAGGAAATCATGACTGATCCAGAGTGTGAGGTCCTCCGGGACTACAACTGGCAGAAGGCCCTGGGCGTCGCCTTCCCCAAATACCGCCAGGAAATTCAGCAGCTGATCCTGTCGCGCCCTGAGCAAAGCATCCCAAAGACCTCCCTGTGGAACATGGTCACCACCACTGAGCTTGTTGTCGTCGGTGCTATTCTCTCCTTGGCTCTCGTCCCGCTTATGTGTATGGCAGTTACATCTGAGGCTGGATTCCACACTCTTCTGTCATCGTTCCGGTCCGTGAGTCGTGTTTGGGCTTTCCTGTGAGGCGGTCACCGTTGAATTTCTTCTCGACATGGTACGTCTTCAGACGATCGCGTCCTAGGCAACCCCGGAAGTGGTGTCGGGTGGTTGAACACGACCGCAGAGGGCCATCAGGGCGGGGCAAGCAGACTGCCGCTCGGTAAGTTGGGTATCTATGTGTTTTTATGAGTGAGATGAGAGTTCGGTTCCGGATCTGCTACCAGGACACCTGTACCCAGAGCTTGGATGAACAAAGGTCAGACCATGGCACAGATCTGACTCGGTAGCAGAGGCGTGGGGATATGGGTGGTTTCTTCAGGTATTGTGCCCTTACTTGTACGAGCAGACAGGTGTGCGCTATCGGTTAGAACAAGGCAAGTGAATGCACGGAATGGCGCCGGACTATTCACCACCTTGTTGGACTTGGGAAAAGGTCTGGGGGGCTGCCTATGCTGTGCACAATCTGCAAAGGCGCCTGGACCGTCTTGTGTAGTTGTGTAGGAGGGCTCTAGACGGTCAAATCCAAAATATTATCAGAATAGCATGGACTTCCTTGTATGCGAGTACGGGTGTCTTCTGGCTTGTTGGTCAGATCAGAATAGTGACGAAGCTGATCGCAGGTCTCGTGATTCTTGACCTCCTGTGATGGCTCAGCCTTGCAGCCTTGTAGCCTTGCGGCCCACGTCCTCTAGCGCTTCGGCACCGTGAACGACTCCATCCGTCAGAGACGAGATATTAACCGCCACACTTGTCACGATCATGGCAGATGATCTCTTTGAACACGGAGAGAAAGGTGCTTTTGAGGTCACTTATGAAGTCCCGTGAGGAGAAAAACTCAAGCCAGCCTATGGTCCGCGCCGCGGGCCGACATGGAGACTCCTGTGAGGCGAAGAAGCATCCGCGCCCAAGCTCTCTTCCACTTCCTGCACGCTCTCATTCCATCATTTGTTGACCTCGCGCGCCCCTTTGGGATGTTTTCTAAAGGCTCAACATAGTCGCGCTCACTGATTAGACACCCGCATCCAGCGCGGGTTTGTCATGTTTGACAATCCGTGCAAGCAAACGTTGTCTCTCCAGCTTTTCATACGCCTCTTAGAATGTTCTTGCCCGCACACACCTTTCTTTTCATTGATTTCTCCCCTTCATTCCCACCAGTACTGGCTTTTTGACTCCGTGGTCTTCTCCCCCAGCCTCCCGCTTCGAGCCATCTTCGATCCTTCGTGCTGCCAGTCATGGAGGACTCAAGTCCCTACACGCCCTCCAAGTACATCGTGCCACAGCTGAGACAGCGTTCCGCCAGCAGGAATATCATTCCCACAGACCTTCCGCCCCGATTCAACGTGCTAGGCTTCACCAACGGCACTTCTCGCAACCTCGGACCCGGGACAGCCCTGACCAGTATTCTCGAGTCGCCATTATCCACTTCAGCCGATCCGGAGACGACACATCTCGCCGAAAACGCCGCACTGATCAGTTCTCCAGCGCAAGGTTCAGTGACGATGAACCCGTCCCCCTCCATGCCTGCAGCTCCGCACCATCCTGTCACTGCATTCAAGAAGTTCCTGCCCAAGAATCTCAGAGAAGGCGACCCTGACCTGTACCTCATTGCCTTCCAGGAGCAGCTCGTGTTCCAGATCAAGGAGATGACACTCGCTTCCAAGCGGACCAACCTGCCTCAACACCTCGTCTCACCGCTGGCCTACCTCCGAGCCTTGGCTCACACGGTTGATCAAATCAAGCAGCCGCGACAGCACACCACCACGAGAGTGACGCGGGCGAAGAAAGGTGAACAGATCCAGAAGCTTCTGGACTCACTCGGAAACGAAGGTGAGGGCGGCTTGAAGGATGACTTGGACCGTCAGAACAAAACTCCCGATCAAGACGACGGGCTTCATGATCTTATCGCCTCCTACGACTGTGATCTCCGCAAACAACTCTGGGCATTGAAGCCGAGGGTCGTTGGACAATGGGTCGTCCTCCGAATCATCGTGATCGCGGTCGGTGTCCTGATCTTGTTGATCTACTCCAGGTCGTTGCATTTCTGAGGCAATCCGGGTGATTGGCGCGTCAGTCCGCGTGCAGTCATCCTGATGCTCTGCCAACATCAAGGAGACAGACAGCTGTATGATGTGCTCTATACTGAAGACATCGTCCGACACAGGACTGACGAGATTTGAGCTGCAACAAAGGAGTTTTGGCCGATGCACAAGCGCGCGGTTGAAGCTGAAGGGCGTGTGAAACAAAGATCGACGAGTTGTTTGTCCCCCTATGGGCAATGCAGTGTGGGATCATCAGTTTCATCGGACGCTAGAGAGCCAGTCTGGAGTTGACATCTAGGATAGTGTGAGGACGTGCTGTGAGCGAGACAGGACTTTTGACAGACCCCTGTGTGCAATCGCGAAGGAAAACGGTAGTTGAAAAAGAATTGCCGGTTTGCGGGTTTCACCATCGAAATAGTGGGCGACATCGCCAATCTACTTTGCAGTCAGGACCACATTCCTCCAAAAACTGTCAATGATAATCATTGGGAAAGGACTCACGTGATTTTCCCTCGATCGATTCTGGGAATGGCTCGTCCTGGTGTGGTGCTACCTGCTGCTGACCGTGCTTCCCTTCTCCCGTTGCTTCCTCCAAACCTCCAGCCAAAAGTCTCCCTTGCCTTTGCTCTTCCTCTGTGCCACTTCGAGCAGCCGAGCTTGAACCCATTTCGGCTCGTCCTCCATGCTCATCAGAGGGCTCTCCTGTCCGAGCCAACTCCACTTCTGATCGTCCGTCTCCCTCATTGGAGCAGCAGCATTAACGTCGTGCTCCCATGGGTGCCTATGGCCCGGTGCCGCGGATTCGTCTTCGGAGATGAGCTTCAAGAACCACGTCCACTCTTCGTAGGTATATTTCCTCGGGGGTTGCGCGTCGAGATGTTGCACGACGTTCTGCATTTCGCTCAACAGGATGTGTAGCCTGTATGCGGACAACAATGCCTGCGTTTCCTTCTCGTCTTTTGGCCTTGCGTTTGTTCCAGGAGCGTTGTTCTGTTCCCGCCCGCCAAGTGCCTGGATCGCCTTCGGAATGTTCTGGTCCTCAAAGTCCTCCTCGACAGCAGACTCGTCGTCCATAAACCCCGCAGGCTTTGCCTCCTGAAAAGCACCTTCCCGGTTACGCTTCTTCTCCATTGCTGCTTTTGCGTCCCTCAAGATACTCAGACTTTCAGGTGCGTGCTTGCTAAGCCATAAAGTGGTAGAAGCCACGAGATCCGAGATGGTGTCTCCAATCGCACCGATCAAGACGGTCAATGTAGGGAGGGCGATCAAGGACCAAAAGACAAAGGCGAGCTTGCCGGAATTTGATTGGGGATAAAATTCGGCATACCCAATTGTTAAAAGAGCCACATAGGTGAAGTACAAGGCCTCAAAGTACGACCAGTTTTCTCCGCCAGTGGCAGACTCCGCTTGCCAGAAAACCACTGCCCCGATGAACCATAAACCGAAAAAGGATGAGCCAGAAATTGATAGTGCGATCAGTCGGTTTGCACGACCAGCCCGTCTTTGGACGTCACGCATTGTTTTGAACTCCAGCTTGCGGCGATCGAGCTCCGACGTGGCAGGATCTGCATTCAACTTTGGACTTTCAGAATCTCGAGGCGCCAGCTCGCGGATCTTTTCGATGCCTGAGTTAAGCACTTTACGACGTGCTTTCTCGACCGTCCGGGTGGAAATTTTGCGAGAGCCAGACTCAAGGACCAGCGTGCGGATGGAGGCGATTATCAAACCGACGAAAAGAATACCACCAATCGCCATAGGGAAGAGCAGCGATCTCCCCAAGTGCGTGACAGGATGGTAGTCTCCGAGTCCAATTGTGAACAGAGTCACGTTGACAAAGTAGACGGCATCGAGGAAGTCCCAGTTCTCGATCCGAGAGTAGACGGCACCTGCGGCAAGCAGGTAGCTTAAGAATAGGATAGTCTGTAGCATGAGCGAGCGCTGAGACATGGTCAATTTGAACGATCGGCTGAATGGTGGTGCTCTGTAGCGCAGATTGACGTGGGTGATGAGGAGCATGGAAGCGAGGAGGAAGTAAATTATGCAAGCAAAGATGGCATAGTAGAAGGCTTGAGAATATGTTGCCAAAGTGTTGGTCGGCAAAGGTAATTGTTCCGGAGTTGCCGCAAGCAGACCCAGTAGGAGCAAAGAGCTGGTATACCAGCCAGCAATGGTGACAGGGGAGGCTCGTTGGTGTGAAATTCGGCCCGTCATCTGAACCAGGAGAGCGAGATTCGCAAGGATGGCAATGGCGAGGCTGATCGCATCGACAGCTAGAAGCCATCCTGGATCCGAGATGTGTGAGCCCTCTGATTCTGTCGAACTTGAGCTGACAGTTGTCCGCCAGTCAATGGCAAGGGCGCAAATGTTGAAGGTTGAGGCCAAGGGTCCGAATGTGCCAGCTATGAGCGGAAACAGAGTTGATATAATCCACCAACTTATAGGAGCCTGCGAGGATTAATGAGTGTCATCGGTAGGCGTGATTAGAGCGTAAACAGGCCCAAGGGTGATCGTGAAAAAGGAGCAAAAGAACTCACATTGAAATCTATTACAGTATCCTCCTCGTCTTCATGAATGTATTGTTTTGGTTGTTCGGGCCTCGGTATATTGATTACGCCATTTGGTAGCGGCATATGGGAATGGCGAGCATTGTGGTCAGCGCGCCCGCTGGCAGCCCGAGATTCATCCATCTTTTGGGTAGGCGAGGTCTCAGACAATAGAGACTGTGTAGACCTGAACAGACCACGGAGAAGGAATATCAAGGTCGGCGACGCGTAAAGCTGGCACTGCCAATGTCGTCATTGTTCGAAACTGAAGAGCCTTGCGGACGATCATCGCTGCAGAGGAGACAGTCTCGTGGCAAGCCGCCCTATGTGTCTTCATCTCGACACAATGCGCCATCCAAGAGCCATGGGTAATACAACATAGTGAACTTCAACAAACCGCTGGATATATTTATTGCAGGTTTCCGCTAAGCTTTGAGCATGAATATCTGTGGTGATGTGGGTGTTGGACCTTTGACTGTCGAGGCTGGAACGGACAAATGATGCAAACTGTCACGTGACTGCAGACAAGGGGTGGCTGCGTCATGATAGGTGGGAATTCACGTCATAGATGCACTTTTCCTATTTGGTATATCAACCCATCTTCTCCTTTCTCCCGAGCTTCATTTCCCTCCTCCTTCTCCCCTTTCATCAGCTCCTCTTTGTCTTCAACCCGTGCGAAGCTCTTCTCTGTGGCCATTCAGCCGATTGCCGAAGGCTACAGTATCATGTATGACAATTTCAAAGAAAATGCAGAGAGCCACACCATTGCTGTTCGCATTCCCTGCGGTTCCTTTCACACAGCCTTCTGCTGGCATCTCTTCTCACAATCAACAACAACGACGCTTCTTTATCTAAATGACGACTACAAGATTAATAATTAACCCAGTTTAACACTTAGTATTCCCCTTCTGGCTTCTTTGCTGTGTTCACACCCGTATGCTTCACAGTTTGTTCTTCGTCGCGTCTTTTTGGATCACGCAGCCGGCCATCCTCTTCACTACAAGACTCTGCCATTCTGCACTCTTCAGTTTAACCACGTGTCGACACATCACTTTAAACCGCGTCGCTGCTTGCAGGCCAAACGCCAAGCTGTAAGCACAAGACGCGATGTAAGGCACCGCTGGTCGGCGCGTTCGCGTTCGCGTATCTATTTAACCCCCTCTCCCTTTGATCTTTAATGTTTATTCTTAGATCGTTCCCCATCATACAACGACAGGATTAACATTCCAGCCTTTCAACATTTCAACCTTTCAATCCTCCCAGCTTTACATTAGATATTGGCCCATCAGCCTCTATCCAAGCTTTCACAGATCAACATGTCTTCATCTGAAGTCGTCCAGCTCGTCGCTGTCGTGCGCGAACAGACCTGCCGTTTCATTGCTACTCTCCCTAATCAACCTCAAACACTTCCAGAAATGCCACCTATGATCACTGTAAGTTTAACGCCTTCATTGTTATCGACTGCTTGACATCTTGGTCACCTGTTACGATTCAACCCTCGAGCTCTGGTTTTCCTCGTCTGTGTTGTGAATGAAGACACTGACTTCCTGAAACTGGGTAGGATGGCGAAGGACTTTATGAGACAAATCTGCGTCTCGTCCTCCGTTACTTGAAGCATGTCAACAAGCTGTGCAAGCGTCAAGGTGCCCTCGACTCTTCTAACGGACTCTTGCATCAACGTGCTATAGTCAAACAAATTCATGACATGGACCATGGGCTTGCAAAGCTGTCTCTACCTTTTGAGATACCTGCAGGCGTCAAGGCAGTTGCGGAGAAAGTCGAAACATCGGAAGCATTGAGACAATCACTGAATGCATCTTGGCCAACCAATTACACCTCTACCACCTCCACAACCCAAAGCACCACCACCTCTTCGCACCTCCTTGACGCTAGTGAGTGCAAGAATGAGACGTCAATGAATACAGTCCCGTTGATGCCAGATGGTGGACGCGAGGGAACGACCGCCGCTAGTTATACCGTTGCGGTAGAAGGTCATGTTCCTAATCCGCCTGTTACGGACAAGTTTGTCGAAAACACACAAGACGCCACCTCCAAAGTCGATAACATCGCTCCAATTGAGGCTTGCCTGAAAGAGAATGCAAGCATTGATGGTGAAATTGCTTTCAGATTTGAAGGAGAGAGCGCCGAGATTCCGTTGAGTCGGTCACCACCAAGTGAACTGCAGAAATTTCGGTTCAGACACGCGTCGGACTCGTACCCCCAGAAGCCTCGTGATATCGACAGTTACACACCTCAGGATAGAGCTGTCTCCCTTCCAACTCGATGCGAACATCCGATGCCGCCTTGCTTCTTACGGTGGAGTGGTGAGACGCTGGGGGAATTTATTTGCGATGTGGAAGTCGACGATGTCAAGCTTTACAATAAGGTGAGATGGCTGGCTCTTCTCCAAGAACCTGAAGCAGCTGCGTTCCTCGGCAGGTGGCCTTCTCCAGCAACATTGAAAGACTTTATGCAAAAGCATCATCTTGAGTGGGTTGTCCGAGTACGCGGCAAGTGGGACTGGGAGTCCAAGATGGCTAACAGAGTGCCTGCTAATTGCAACGCCATCAGCACCAACCAGCCCTCTGTTACAAGTTATACTGACAACAGCGTTGATCAAGATGGTCTTGATAGTGTTAGCGTGGAGGACTCCGTTGGGAAAGAAAGTAAGCACAAAGACCTCACTCCTGGTGGCCTTGAGAACGTGAGCGTGGAAGACTCCGTTGAAAAAGATGGTAAGCACAAGGACCTCACTCCTGCCGGACTAGAGAACGTCAGCATGGAAGACTCTATTGAGGAAGGCGGTGAGAACAGTTACTTCACTCCCCCTGCTCTTGAGAGTGTTAGCATGGAAGACTCTGTTGAGGAAGATAGTGAGAACAGAGTCCTCAGTCCTGCCGCTCTTGTCCAGGAGTCTCCCCAGGGCGAGACTACCAACGACGAGACTACCAACGACGAGACTACCAACGACGAGACTACCAACGACGAGACTACCAACGACGAGACTACCAACGACGAGACTATCACTAATGAATCCACCAACGAAGCGTCCACAAACGACGAGATCACGAACAACAAGATCACTAATGACGAGACTACTAACGACGAGACCACCAACGATGAATCCACTAACGACGAGATCACGAACAACAAGATCACCAACGACGAGTCTACCAACGATGAGTCCCCAACACAAGAATTCGGTGCGACAGAACCCTCTGTCGCAGCCTCTGATGCCCCCACCTGGTCTGTTACAGCGATCCTTGCCGGCGCTGCTACCTCAACAGTAATCATTTCCGCCCTTTGCCCAGCCCTCACAGCGGTGCTCCTTTATGTTGGCATTTCACATTTCAAGTCCAGGCTGAGACTATAAATGACCATTGCCAGCATCCTTTGCAACCCCCACTTCCTCTTTTTTTCCTACGTTGAGCTTGAGAAACTGTTGATTTACCCAGGCATGGATTTTAGGAATTCCTGGTTGGCGGCACGACTTTGCTAAGAGCGTGTTGAATGATGTGTCCAGCTACTGCGCTGAAGGTAGGGCCGGGTCTAAAAGGTATGAGACCTTATTGTTTGATGAATCGTCAGGAAGGCCACTCCAGTGGGAAGAATCAGATGGATGACATCGGCATGGACAGGTCTAGGAATGGTTGCTGCATTGGGATTTGAGAGCCCTGTTCAGGATATCGTTCTACTGAGATGGAAGAACTCAGGTATCAAAGTCGGCAAACGAGGAGCCGCTTTGACAATGTATGTATCAAAAGAGCACCAGGCTCAAGCTCCACCACCAATATCACTGCATAGATGTATCAGTGCTCCAACCTTCGATGCCTCTGCCTTTCTGCCAAAGCATCTGGCTCTATCTCCACAAGTTATCCATGAGGTTTCGCCGCCGTTGTCTGTCCGTCATCCTGTCCACCACCCCATCAATTCCTCCCTCCAAGCCTTGTTCGCGTTCTCTCGCCCCTCTCCAGGCGACCTCGTAATCCTGGCCGTCTCCGAAAGACCCTCGAGCTGTATTCCCTCCCGGTTCGCCTCCATGACCAAAGCCCCTGTGTCTGCCCCTCCACTCCCAGCCCGATCCCGGTTGACGTCCTCCTGGGCCATCAAGAAGTTGACCGCATGAATTGCAGTGACAGTCCCGACAGCCTCCACCCCGAGATGCAGGTTCAGGTCGACCATGTCTGTCTTCGCCATCTCCATTCTCCAAGTCCCATCCTGGATAAGGAACCCATTCTCCTTCCAAGGTCTGTGGTTCTCGTCCATGTCTGTCCTCGCGATCTTCTCTCCCGAGGTCCCATCCTGGGTACGGGACCCATTCATCTTCTAAGCTGTCTGTATCTCGTCCACGTCCCCTACTGCCGTTACGGTGTCGTCGGCGGCGGCGCTGGCGATGGGGTGGATCTCCAAGGTTAGAAAGGGTTTCGTTCTCGATCGGATCGTCTTCAAGTTCGGGATTCTCGGCATCGATTTCATGGTCACAGGGAAGTCTGATGACGGTGGCACCGCCATATCGGTCCCGATGAATGGCATAGATAGGCATCGTGGGACGTTGTAGTTAGAGGGATGTCGAGGGTCGATTCAAGTTGTTTCAGGGAAGATTTCTCGGAGTTCCGACAGTATGCAAAGGTTGAGGCAAAAATAGGAAGAATTCAAAGCACAGAATTTGTATTAGTAGTGCTCTATATCTGTCACAGCTAGTAAGCATTGGCCGTTTGCTAGGCTCGTCACTTTCGGTGTTGATGCATACAACACCTTGTCATAGCACCCGGCTCCAGCTCCGGCTCGGCTTCGTGTCGAACTCGCCATGTAACTCTCAATCAAGATCGCGGCTCTGTCCTCGACCCAGACCGCTCAAGGGTGTCGTGGTTTAGACACCTCACGGGAGAACCTGCAACGGTGCAGAGACCTACCATCCCCGGTGAATGCGAAGAGTCCCGCCGTTCCTGAGCCGCATTACACGATCCCCGGTTCTCCCAGCAAAACTGCCTCCCGCAATTTCATCGTCATAACCACTGTCATAGTCTGAGTAGTCGTCATCTGGCCCTAGATCAAGGCCACTCCGTCCTCCACCTCCACGAGGTGGACCCCCAAATTCGTTGTCGACCACGATAGCTCCCCCGTGTCGCGTAACTCTGACACCACTTCGGCCGCTTCGTCCGGGTCCTCCCCCTCGTCTCCCTGGCGATCTAACCCCAAAAGGACCCATCATTCCATGGTCATCAAAGTCGTCGTCGTCGCCGCCGAACTCGTCAAAAAGCCATGGCGGAATACCGTCGAGCCCCATGCTTGGAGGGAACCGCCCTGGTCCTCGACGAGGTCCTCTACCGAAGGGGTCACCTGCAGGACCCAAGGGCGGCCCTCTTCCAAATGGACCGCCTCCAAACTCGTCAAGGTCATCCGAATAGTAGCCTTCATCATCGAAGTCGAAGGCGAAATCGCCGCGACCCTGAGGGCCTGCGCCGCGACCCAAGCGATCTCCTCCGCTCGCGACCAACTGGCCGTTATTCCACACTTCAAAGCCACTATCGTTGCCTGACCCCCATGCATTGGCGACGACGTCTTGGTTGGTGTTTCCTTGGGGGCCTATTCCGCGGTTTCCTCTCCTGCCCCATCGAGGACCATTTGGGCGACCGGTGACAGGATCAGGGTAAAACTCTGGTCCGTCCATCTCGCCCAAATTACCGTGTCCGAAGTATCCAGGGAGTTGGCCCGCTCCGTCTCCCTGGTGGTTTTCGCCGCACGTACTGCAGCTGCGATCGCGAGGTGGGCGTGGTCGTCTGCCCGGTGGGCGGCCGCGGCGTGGCATGTTGGATGATTAACGTTGGTGTTTTCGAGTCGTTGCGTACAGATGGGTTATGGATGACTGATAGTCGTTTCGTATCCCGACTTCAAGGTAGACAGCGGACAACGTTGCGAGAATGGATGAGGATGAATTATAGACATATTTAAAGGCGGAGTTTTGACTTGTCACTGATGCTGAGTCACGGTATTTGTGTCGGGCTTGTGACAAAATTCTGTGAATCGTTGGTGGTATATCACTTAGCCAGCTTCAACAAACGACCTCGAACTCGAACAAGGGACATATGCCCCCTAGCCAGCTGCAACAAACGACCTTGAGACTCAAACAAGTGATAAAGACCGAGACCCGTGAAGTATAGAATCCTAAATGACCCAGCCGCAGTGTCGAGTCGTTTGTGCGAAGTTTTGTGCAACACATTAGTACCATATGCTCTGAATTAGCTCCGAGGACGAGGACAGATAAACCCCCTTTCCGATTCAGCCTTGGCCCTAGCCTGATCGGTCGGCATTGAGGGAAGGGCACATCAGGAAGATGAGAGAACGGCCACGCCACATCAAATCAAAATAGCAAACAAAGAGTCTATGAAATGATTGCAAGCTCTCAATAACGGTCTTGTGGTTGTTCATGATTGACTCTGTATCTTCAGGGCATCGCTTGGTCTGTAACTAACTTCTGCTCTGGCAGATTGAGAGAGACCATCTTGAGTCTAGCTCTCAATAAGCTGCCTATTGTTGGAACATAAGCCCTGCGATCCTCCACTGGTCGAGAACCGATGCCGTGGGTCATGAAGGCGTTGCAATCAAAGAGGGCCGTGAAAAGAACAAAGAGCCTTTGAGCTGTGGACGAACATGGCACAAAGCAGCTCCAGTGAGATTCTTGGAGGAGTGACTAGCGCCAATCGACAAATTGAGGCCTTGACAGCTAGTAAAGATCGATATACTCGGTACATGCGTCCAAACCAAACATGGGACGAAGCGACAGAGACAGTCGGTCGAGGTAGTTAGATGCCAAGCCCGCCAAGACGCTAACCACTTCAGAACAAACAATCAATAAAGGATTTTGCTTTAACGCGACTTCATTCCAGTTCAATCCAGAAACCAGGCGGTCACGGCGCTCTCATTGTGCCTCCTTGGATACTGCGCTGGTTTTGAAAGCAATCAGCATGCTCCCGCCATGGTCAGCAAGTTACGCGGAAGAGGTCAGTCGGAAGACCATCAGAGACAACTCCAAGCGATGCCTCCAAGTAAATGTTGGGGGAGGTACATGAAGAAATCGAAAGACATTCCGACCAATAGGGGTCTTCGACGAGCAGTCATCGTTACAGACATAGTGTATTGTCCTTTTAGCAAACTTACAGCGGTTTTGGTCCGAGCGCCATGCCTTCAGCCCATCAAAACCAAGTCGCCATTTGTGTTACAAAAGACAGACAATGGCTGGAGTTGCCCCGTTCCTTGAGACAGCTCTTTTGGAGAAAATCGGACAGACGTTGAATCAGAAAATACGCCATGTTACCCGATCGACATGAAATACCAGAAATTGTGATCAATAGCCTGCTATCGCCATATGCCTTTCGCAAACATCGGCGGATAAGGAGTACTTCAGGCTTCCTCCCCCTCATGCCTATCTGAAGGCTCCTTCAAGCCCGCCCAGTGCAAGTGCACTGCAATTATTATCGTATGTCTCTTGTGGCTTCAATCGTACCATTGATGTCATTCGCTGCCTCATTGGTTGCGTCCTAGCGACTAACAGATACCCTAACCAGTTATATATATATCTATACACCTTTCTGAAATGCCGACGGCGTGACTGATGATGCTCTCGGGTGACCAGAAACTATAGATGGCTGAAATCACCGTGCTGAGGCGACAGGATGGCTTCACATTCCGCGGCATCGATTCTATCAATGGCCAGGATGTCCAAGTCTGTGAGACGCCATCGGCCAGGACATCGACGACGAAATAGTGGTGAACCGCGGATGCATCAATGGTCATCTACACTAGGGTCGGCGATGAATCGGCTCCAAAAGTTCGTTTGTCCCGCCGAATTCAACACGCCGATCAATCATGGTCGGTTAAGGGCGAGAATGAGCAATCCCCCCAACGGCTAGTACTATCGCACCCATGCTAGCTGTTGATTTTTTGGCTCCGAGAACAAAGAGACAACTTTGGACTTGCTCCTAATTGATGGACAATGGTCAATTGATCTCGTTGTGACTTTCTATTTGTTGGAGTTTGTTCCACTGGTGTGTCTGGACAAAGACCACAGAAAGCCGGATTGTCGAGAACGATGCGCCACTCCATTCTCCGTAAATACACCGCGGTGGTGCTTTGTCAAGCCGGCTTGCCTCGAAACTACTTAATGCCGATTCGATTTCCGGCCGGCTTCGAAGCCTGCCGATTCGCAGCTTGACAAGCTTGAAACCTCGAAAAGATTATAAAGATGTCTGAAATTGACTGGACATGGATTGTGCAGGTTGCGCCTGAGTGGTGGGTACCAATCTTTCAGCGTGTGATGGCTTTCGGAACGTCGCTGGACCTCGACCAAAATGAACAAGATCTGTACGATGCTGTTCGGAATTTCGCCATAACAATTCCCGCTAATCTAACACGAAAAGAACAGGACGATTTCTGCAGTGTCTTCTACGAATCTTTGACCGCAGACCACGACCGCCGTTACCGACTCATGCTCCTCTTCAGGAGCTGCATCCCACCTACCACAGATCCCCTCAGCAATCACGCCGCCAATGACCTCGTCAGGGATTTCGCAAGAAATACGATTGCAAATCTGAACAACCTGGATCGCATTCAGACCGAGATCGAACAATTCTGCGCAACGATAGCGGTGACTCGAGAACTGAGGGATGTATTGATTGTCCAATTCAAATGGAGTATTGACAATCTGCGGCCAGATTTTCCACTGATCATGGCCCTATTCCAAGGTTACATGCAGGACTTACCCTCGGATGTTCATCCTCACCCAAGAGACCGATTCTCGCATTTCACGCATCTCTTGACCCCCGAAATGTGGCAGCGGATCTATCTGGTACGACCGCACCTGGCTCCACCGCCAGAATTGGAAATGCTACCGCCAGCACTCAATTTCACTTGGAGTGACGCGCTACCCACGTGGTTTGAGCCAGCTTTGCCCCCTGAACCAACATGGCCGGAGAGAGAACCTCTGCATAACCTGGCAAGCGAAGACTCCCGCATGCTCCTGGAGGCTTGCGACTATGTATATGATATGTCCAGTCTCCAGAATGCTCTCAACTACGTCACCGAGAGAATGCTCGACATTGTCTTCGAAATGCAGCTTCAAGATCCAAACGAGGTGGCGGGGCAAAACGCGCTCCGAATCCTCCAAAACAACATGGATGATCTGCGGGGCCTGTTTTTCTTGGAAGAAGACGATACTCCCGACTTCTCCATAGAGGATGTCCCCACCTTTCATGAACGGCTTGTGAATGAACAAGAGATCCTCGATCAAGTCAGAGCCCGCAATGTCCACGCAGAGCGTTATCTGCAGGAGACGGAAGTGGCTTTGCTCGCAACCGACGAAAAGTTCTTGAGGGCCGGCTTGCGATATGAACGGAGCAAATATCGCCACTATTTCAAGTCGGCCGTTGACACTTTGAGGTCTCAAAGACTAAGGCAGGTCGACTGGACGGAGGATGTCCTCCACTCGTCGGAAGTTGATCAGGAAACACCAGTTCTTCCGCCTTTCCGCCACGATGACACGCTCTGCCCCATCTGCCGTGAAGATCTCGTTGGAGAAGACGGTGAAGTTGCAGCCGACACAGTGGTGGCTCTGTGCTGTCACAGACCGTTCCACGCTCAATGCATGCTTTCGTGGCTGTTCCAACAAATGAAGAATGAAAATGACATGAGCTGCCCGCTGTGCAGAGGTGCGATGGACACCGACTTCATGGCAGACATCCTGGAAATGGAGGTCAGGCGGATGGCTGTCTTGTGATCTTCGACAAAGGTAAGAGTATCCTGCTGGGATTTGTGCGAGTTTTGTAGTTATTCCGACTCGATGAGGCTGGTCCTCCAAGCTGATAGAAATAACGGAGCACCGTGGTCTGGCACGCGGTTTTGATTCTGTATTCTCTCCTCAACGCTCAAGTTTACAGATCTTCTATGAAGGAAATGGTTTGAAATCGTCAAAAGGTATGGTCTGCTTGATGACATTGGCCAGACGGGCAAATAATGTCAAACCACTAATATACACATCTCGACTATCTTTTCTTAATATATGTTCCTATATCAACTTCGTTCGGAAACCTCCGCTAGGGCTGATCTTCCACTTTCTCATCTTCTGCTCTTGGCAGTGTTGAAGACGACAACCCTGCTGAAACGGGCATTTCCAACTGCCCACCATCCAGGTCGTTCTTGTGGGTCACTGCAAAATGACTCTTCCTTCGAATGATGTGCCCGTACCTGTAGAAGACATAGGGGATGGGGGTCAGCAAGAGGCTCACGCAGCCCAGAATCGTCAGGGTCCAGTGATGTCCGACGTTCCGGTAGAAGGGGGTCGCGGCGACAACCATCCCGCCGCTACAAAAGTAGCGGGACAGCGTGGCGAAGACGAGCGCGCTGGCAGCGTATGTCTCATAGGTGTCGATGAGATACATGTAGGTGGTGATGAAGGCCATGACCCCCGCGTACCCGAACAGGGCCGAGGCCGCGATCGAAGACCAGATTGAGATACTCGGGTAAGAGGTCCATGCCATCCAGAACAGCGAGATGGGCATCGCCGGCGCGCCCAGGATCGCGTACCAGAGTCGGATCTCAGGATCGAATTGCGTCTCGCCGGCCGCCTCCGCCTTCCGTTGGGCCTTGACGGTCCTTTGATAGATCCATGGAACACATCCGAAGGCCGCACAGACTCCAACAAATATTCCCACGAAGATCGTATTCGTCAAGCCCTGTGAGATGCCGTACGTCTGGCGAAAAATGAAGTCGTACCCGTTGAGGAACGTGAAGAGGATGATATAGACCAGGCACAGGTAGAACGAGACAAGGAGAATAATCGGCTCGTGCAGCGCGAGGATGAACGGCCGTTGAAGAGCCGTACTTAGACGCGTCAGCAAAGATGTACGCTCGATTTCGTGCTCGGCGTAATATCGATCGTCGCCGGTGATCTTCCGCAGTTGCCTCGCCTTCCAGCTTAACAAGACAGGCGGGTACGTCTCCGGTTGAAACAGGAATGTCGTGAAAAGGACGACTCCGGCGAACATGAGAGTGACCCATTCTGCCCAGCGCCAGGAATGGAGGACAGGCGATTCCGGGATATAAGCAGCCATCACGGGCCCGAGTGCCGCTCCGCCAAACCCGAATATACTGAAGAATGGAAACATAAAGGTCTTCTCCAGCGCCGTGAACATGTCGGCCATGGATCCCCCAGCGCACACGGAGGGCGCGGCACCGACGACGCTAGCCAAGAACCGGAAGACGATCTGGCTGCCGATATCAGGCGCAAGCGCCGAAGCCATGATGAAGACACACAACAGGGCCAGTGAGGGCAGATAGACCTGGTTCCTGCCAAGCACTTCCGAAAAGGGACCAGAAATCAATGCGCCTGGCCCGAAGCCTATCAGAAAGCTGCTGATGGCGCCGAAACTCTCCGTGACCTCGCTGACTCCCAGATCTTTTGCGGCTTGCGGGATGACCGCGCCGTCCAGGGATGCGGCAGCGCCGACAAGACACCCTATGCTGCATACCACCACTGTTGCTCGGAAGCGTTCGGAAAACGGCCAGTTGCGTGGGTGCAGAGGATCGTCGGGCCCATCCCATTCAACGACAAGCACTGTTCGCCCGTTGACGATGCGAGTCTCCTGGCGAGAAAGACAAGGCAGACTCCGAACAGCGTCGACGTCAGACTCGAGTTGTTTCTTCAAGGCTTGTCCTATCCGGCGGTATTGTAGGTATGTTTCCATCTCGATATCCAATCAAGGAATTCCTTGGACGGGGGCAGTAAGCGTGAGACTGTGACGGGGTCACCACAGATATAAACAACAAAGGGTCGGTAGAAAGACCTCTCCTCCCTTACCAACATGACGTGTTTTCGTTCCTTCAGGCAACCCGTCTGGCGTGTAGAAATTACCCATCCTTACCGCAGCATTTGACTCACTTCTTGCTGTTTGACGCCCATGGTGATAGAGCGGCGTCTGGCATTGAACATCAAGGGGTCACCTGGGGCGCCATCCGAGAACCGGGCCGCGAACATGATCTAGCGTTGAAACAGGGTGTCCGCGGAGGAAAACATTGTACACAGGAGGCACGACGGAGATGCTCCAGAAACTCGATGTATTAGGGTAAGAGGGGTGCCGTAGTTGATGCTTTAAGATCAAGGCACAGTAAGACTAGATCGGGTACTTGGCCGAACAAGGCTGAAGATGGCACAAGGCACGAACGCTTATTGGCTGCATGATAGCGTAATCGGGAGCCAAGACTCGCCTATCATGAGGAATTGTTCGCTGAACTCACCGTTAAACTATAAACTAACACGCGAACAATTACTCAACACCTCGTGGCCGAAGAGCAATCAGCTCATATTGTACGGGACTTGGAAAGGGCTTCACTGAGCCGCGCGGTTGTATTGCATCGCAAGAGCACTTTCTCTGGGCGCCACGAGGGACGAGGCTCTCGACTGGAAAGAGAATCTACTGTACGAGACCCAGCACAAGCCAGCCTTGGAGTCCGGGATTTGGTCAAGATCGACCTTGTGGCGTAAAAAGGGGAATCGAGCCCTCGTGACCGAGTATCTGCTTTGTCGTCAGGCGCTTCTGTCCGATTGGATCCGGTCCACCAGGTCAGCTCCATCTTCACAATGACACCCCCTACGCTCCCACTCGCCCCGTCTCACTCCGCCTCTCAGCACCGGACGCTCCTCTCACTCGAGCCGTTGACACCATCATCATTCTCCGAGTTCGGCACTGCCATATGCGCTCCATTTGATTCCTCGTTGACGACTCCTCCCCGCTCATCGGCGTCCATCCCCGTGCCGCTCCATGCCCCTCACCAACCCGCCCCGGTCTTTGCCAACCAGAATTCGGCGCTGAAGACGTCTCCGATCTCGCAATTCAGCAACAACTACCCCAAGGCTCCGGCCTCGAAGCCCCAAATGAGCATGTTCTCCTGCTTCCCCAGGAACCTGAGCGGGATCGGAGTCGAGCCGTCCGGTGGCGCCGGGGGGAGCATCTTCAGGGTCTCAATCCTGGAGCGACACCCATATACGACTCAGACGTTCAGTCCACTCGGCCTTTCTGCTGCCTCGGATTCTTCCACCTTCTTCCTCGTCGTGGTGGCTCCCTCCCTCCCTTCTTCGACCACGGCTGTCAAGTCCACGGGTAGCGAAACAGCCATCGCCAACCCCCCAGATCTTGCCCGTCTCCGGGCGTTCCTGGCTAGAGGTGACCAGGCAGTCACCTATGGCCCGGGGACATGGCATGCACCAATGGTTGTACTGGGCCAGCGACGCGTCGATTTCCTGGTCACGCAATTTGTGAACGGGGTTGCAGAGGACGATTGTCAGGAGGTGCTACTAGGCCAGAATGATATCGGAATAGATTTGAGTGGGTTGGGGCTGGATGGATTTGCGAGGCCGAAGCTATAAAGCGGTGTGAAATGGGCGAGGGCACCCATCGCGACAGCGGAATTCCTGACGACGATCGGTAATCGATTGCCATGTCATTCATTCTTTTCTTCCACATTGACATCCCGCCAAAAGAACATACATACTCAGGGGGTATCATATGCCAATCCAAAGCAATCACGATCCGGCCACCGATTGCCATCTCAAAATCGCCATTGTCGTCGGCACTTTTCAGGTCAGAAGGCATGGTATCCAAAGCTGACCTAGCCAACAAAGGGGTTGATCACGAGCCTTACTTTCCGCCCTCCAGCTTCGTCACTAACCTCTTCATGCCCACCCACTCATCCATGCTGGCCTCCCCATTTCCGCATTGCAATCCCTTTCCGACGTCGAACACTGTAACCACGCCATCGAGCCCACCGACAGCCATGTGGCTGCCTCGTTTCTCCTCCCAGGCCACTTTGTTCAATCCCTTGAAGGGGACCACTCCGTTCTTTCCCCTCGTCGGACTGGCCTTGGCAATCGGAACTTCCAGGTCATAGCTAAGATCGAACACCTCCAACTCTCCTGCACCGGTGACGCAGGCAAAAACTGATGGTTTATGGGGTGCCCATTTTGCATCGTAGACGAGATCTTCCCTAGCAAGATTGAGGATAGGGCTCAGAACTGTCGGCGCTGCTCCTCCAGCTGCTATAGTTGAGGCGCTGGTGCTGGAACTCGCAGCGGGCTTCACTCGCCACAGTTTCACGGACCAGTCAGAGCTGGAACTTAGTAGTAGATCCCCTAGATCCACGGGCCCTCGCGCAGGGTGGAATTGCGAGGACATGACTGGTGCAGTGTGGCCCTTGTAGGCAACGCGGCTGTCCACGCCTGCTTGAGCTCCGGCTCGATCGTACCGGTGGCATGGGTAAATGGTGCCTTCTTCAGTGCCGACAAGGAAAAACGTTGGGTCTGCAGCCGGAAAACTCATGCTTGTAGGAGCAAGGTCATCAGTTTTAGCTGGAGGTGGCGTGTTGAGGATGAGGTATTCTTGGGCTTGTGTAAGCATATCCACCGACCACGAGCAGACAACGCCGTCCATCGAGGCAGTGATAATATTATGAGCATTAGGGGTCCCGACGACGCTTATGCTGTAGACTGGATGGGTGTGGCCAAGGTGGGATCCAGATTGTGGTGTTTTCTGAACTGGTTGCCCTGTACGTCCGGAAGTTCTAGTATCCCAGAGGCATATTTGACCGGAGTAACAGCCGCCAATAACGAGATTAGGGTGAAATGGCGAGAATCGAGCCGAAAGAACGTCGGACGATGCCGTAAAAACGTACTCTGGCCGAGACGGAGCATGTGTGTTCCACAACAGAACCAGACCAGCCGGTTCATGAGGAGCAGATGGGTTTTTGGTGTATGAAGACAAGAGAAGTTCATTAAAGTGTGGAGAGAACTGGATGTCCGAGACAATGCGTCTGCGCGTGTATCGGTCGGAAAACAGTTGAAAAGACTCGCGTATAGAATGGGACTTTTTGCCAGTTCGTGAATATGGCGTAGCGTCATTGTTGTCGTCATCATCATCAAGGGTCGATGTACGAGTATAATCTGCCAGCAAGTCATACTCGTCGTCGATATCTAGAGCACGCTCAATGACCTTGGAAGAACGCTCAACGAAGGAAACGAACTCGGGGGAGGCAACCACAGCATTGAGTTCAGTATTGGTGAGCGTGCGTAAAGGAAAGCGCTGCTGCTGCTGCGGCTGCTGCTGAGAACCTGTTGATATTGAGATTATAGATTCTCGATTGCGCGTAGCCTGTAATTCTTCCTCAATTTCCTTCCGCAGTGCTTGCCGGATTTCTTCGTCTCTTTCTTGGTCACGCCGGCTGAGCCGTCTTCTCTGTCGCAATGATAGCTCGTCGTCGTCGGAAGGCTCTTGTGATTTGGCGGGTTCTTCGAGATACGGTTCTGTCTGCACGCCCTTGGTGTACGTGATATATTCCTTCTTCGAAGGCACAGGCTCATGGGCGGAAGCATCGACGGAAATGGGGAACGAAGTATCCGTGCTCTCGGTCTGTGTGGCTATTGATTGCATCAACCTCCTTGGCGATGATTCGACATCTTGCTGAGGGCTGATGTGTCCAGTGACTGTGCCCTGGATTGAACTAGGTCGACTTCCACGTCTGCTGGGCGATGCGGTCGAATCTTTGTCCCTCTGCCGATCGATTAGACTGGAGACAAGGTGGTCAATCTCGGATCTGCGCTCTTCGGCGGTTTTTCCAGGTGAAGGGGCCTGGTGGTCGTAAGTATAGACTTCAATTGATGCCGGCCGTTGCACATACCTCCCCGATACTCTGCCGACTCGACGTATATTGTTCCTGGCGCAATTCCCTCTGGCGCCGTAGTTCTGCAAGACGAGCCTTCTTGGCCAGCAGCTCGTCCTTACGCGATGACATGGTGGACTGAGATTCGGATGTCGATGGGCATTGGGTATGAAATTGGTGTGGAATCGATTCTTGGAGGTGCGCGCAAGTGAGGATCGCGCCATCACGTGATCTAGAAATCCAAAAAGACGCAGGGATAAGCTCGGAGTTCCCAAAGAAACAATTTGCAGCTTCAACTTCCGCAGCAGTTATTTCCAGATCCTTTCAACGCCACAGCCGTCTTCTGGCAGAAGTCAACGGCCCAAGGAAGACAGTCGCATACTTGAGCTCTGCATATTGAGCTCCGGCTTCTGCGACTCAAGTGCGGCTTTGTCACAATGTCAACATCGCAAGGAGTCAATGTACGCACTTCCCACAAGCCCAACATTTTCTAGATGGTTGATCTTTGGGCTTTGCATTGTCACAAACCGGCTGCTAACTACATACAGGTACTCCGGTGGTCAGCTCTTATCGGAGGTATCTTCTACGGATTTTCGCATCAAAGAACTATCAACGCACACACTGCAGCAGCACGCGAGAAGGCCGAATACGATCACAAAGCTGAATTAATACAAAAAGCCAAGCTGGAATGGGCAAAGAAGACACTACCTCCCCAATCCAAGACCGGCAGTGGTGACAGTACGTGATTGATATGAACTGACTGCAATCATGGAATCGCGGAAGCATGGGACTGACATGGAAGTAGTCATTACGGATCCCAATGACAAGAATTTCGATCTCGAAGCCTACCTGACAAAGCTTTCCGCAGAAAGCTGAGCGATGACTACGGGCCAAGGAGGGAAGCGACAAAACTTGAGGATAGGTGATATCTCGAAAAGCTTGGGGAAAACCACGATAGAGACGGGCGTTGATTCGAGTTGATACCCAAGTGGTCTGGTCTTGGAGATGGCGGACGTCGCCTTCGCACCGGAAGGAAAGCGTTGGCGGCTCGCATACAGCTTGTACATACTGGTTGAAGGCACGCGCTGTTCTAATCTGCGCTGCATGTAAAATCATGATCCCATTGACAAGGATGAGAATATCTGCGCTTGCCCTGTTGCATGGTGCACGATGTCATGTCGATACCTGTTACCAACGCCGGCATCAAGGTCTGCCAGCCGTGGTCGGATGTTTGAAGCAAGACCAGAGTGCAGCATCTAGAGAGATCGCCTTTCGTCAACCCAGAATCACCAAGGCGGTTCAGTCATTCATTGCACAGGTGCACCTGACCATCGGTTGGAGCTCCTAATCGTCTCTGACACCGCTGCCGTACTCTGCAGATACCACACCCTACCGCCTGGAGTTGCAGACAAGAGCATGAAATACCCCGGCCTCGCTGCAGGAAGCCTGTTTTCAAAGGAAGGCATGTGCCTCAAACTTCTGCAAGCATCAACGGCCGGAGTCGGCACCGTATGCCTTCGTGTCCAATAGAAGCACAGGTAACCCCCATCAAAGACTATTGAGCCATGTTATCTGTGATGCCGAAGAAAGGATTCAGTCAGCCCTTATGCAATACCCTGCCTCGCCTTCTCCGCATTTACATTTCATCGGAACGAAGCTGTGAAGCAGGTGTTTGCCGCCCATTGGGTCGTTCTGAAGTCACTGTAGCGGATGGGGGCCGCGTGATCCGATGTCACGTGAGGGCAGGGAAAGCTTCAGACAATACGAGGGAGGCAGCGATAGAACTTTTCACACGGGCCACTCTCATGCGGGAGCAGCACATACGTGGTTGGACGCCACCCCTGACTCTTCCGCTCGAGCATCGTATTTTCACTGGACCAACGGAAACTGGAACCGTCACTCGCAACCGCCATCAGCCCATCCGTCCGATCGATCTGGTCAGACGCTAAAATCCTCGACAGTGACCAAGAGTTTGTTCTCGAGGGCAACGAAGGGAAAGGCTCGCAACGGTAACGGCTCCTTTGCCTTTTGAATACGACGTCTTGGGCAGATCAGACAGCGTAGCTGCCTGTTCCTGAGGCTGTCGACTCAACCAGAAGGGGGGAGGGAAGAGTTGGGTACAGCGCAGCAATTCCGGTATGGCGCTAACACTGGATAGTATGATGGTGCAAAGACCTTTTTCGATGGCGACTGGAGACGGCGATCCGGAACCGCAGATCAATCACCGCCTTTCTCCTCCCTTGTCCTTGTTGACCCCCTTGGAAGCTTGCAACAATTCGAGCTCTCCCAGCCACCCCTTTGGGCTTCGATCACCACCTCCCCCCTCTCAAACCTTTCCTCTCGCCAAATGAGGTGTGACGCCCCTCGGACAAACCCCGAACTAGAGTGTCAAAAAAGAGCTAGACGCCCAAGTGGAGGGCGAGTCAGAGGAGGGTACCAGGCAGGATTTTGTGGTAGTGCAGCTTTCCCAGCTGCCAAAGCGCTATGCTCTTCATTTGTGTGCATACATGGTGCTATGACGGAAGACTAGACTGTCAATGGCCGATCGGCACCTGCCCAAGGTGCTGATGCAATGCTCGCCCGGGCAGAGATACATTCTCTTCAACAAGTCCCGAGATCGAATCTACGAATTGTATTGGCGCCAACCCCGCAAACATTCCTCTTCCGAGAAGGCCGCGTCGAGAGATGCCAACATCCCCAATAATAGTGTTGGTGTGTTGGTGCCCCCTTCAAGGTCCGGGAGGCATCCATTTTGGGCACTGCATGTCCCCAAGCCTCTCTGCCTAAGTCCAAAATTTCCGTCCCTTTCATGGCCCATGATTCCGGAGGAAGCCCTGGAATAGAAAGGGTCGATCGGAGGTGGATCATCTTCAAGCGCTTCTTCAGAGTCCAGCAAGGAAAGCCAACATACCCATCACATCACCAAGGACCTTTCCTACCCCAGTATTTCCCCGCAGCTAGGGTACCAGTTCTATGTGTTAGTCACCGTCCTAGTGTCGAGCTTGAGGTGCCTCCCCGTCTGATCATTGGCGGAGACTCAAACCACCCTGAGGTGTACACTGGAGCTTGGACTTGATCCAGGTCAAGGACACCCTTTCTGCCTCTGCGAGTGGTGGGTTCATGGCCTGGACCCATGCTTGTCCGCTCTGTCAAGCCTTTGGCTCAATTTCGCGGCTTGCCTCGAGAGGTGCTTTTGTGCATTCGTCTCCACCAAGCACTGAAAGGACGGCGTTCGGTTGAGCGGGTTAGGGGCTATCCCCTCCACCGAGAGGAGAATCATCGATCGACCATGGGGTCTGTGACGCGACCACCATGATGTCCTATATTATTTGAGTCCCTCCCTACTCTTTTCCAAGGAGAAGGTCCTTCGTGTGCTTGTGTTCCTTGCCACTGCCTCTGCAAGTTTTCAACATTGATTCTAGGCCGAGTCCAGTCACCCTTGACCTTGTCCCATCCCACAGCAACTATATCTTAGTTGTACCGTTACAGAACCTCTCCCTTCAGCATAGAACACTGTCAACATGGCCGCCAACGTGCCCGATGTCGAGAAGGATCATGCCGGTAGTGACTCTGTCAACGGCAAATATGACCTTCACCACGACCATCACAACGAGGAGACTGCTCTAAGGAGGATCCGGACGGCCGGAAGCATTTCCATCACTCCAGAGCTCTTTGAGAAGATCTACCTTTCTCCGAAGAATCGGGTTTCTAACAACATCCGATCGACTTTTGGTAACCCAACTCCTCTGTATGTCTCCTTGGAACCATTTTCGTTCTACACATTGACCGGATCTAGTGCTCTTGTCGGATTTCTACTGTCTCTGACTCCTCTTTCGAATATCCTCCTGGGATGGCGAGGAGCTGGTGGACTTGGCGCGGCTGAAGTGTAAGTCAACAAACACAACTTGGAACATGTCTTGATCTGACGGGTCCCATAGGGGGGTCTACTACTTCTTCGGTGGTCTGCTCATGGTGTTGGGCGCTTTCCTGGAGTTCATCCTGGGCAATACCTTCCCTTTCGTCGTCTTCGGCTCCTTCGGCGCTTTCTGGCTCTCATTCGGAGCGACTCTGACACCATATTTCAACGCGTCCATCGCCTACGACCCAGCACACCCGGCTCAGTCGTCTTCGGACCCAGTGTTCGCTTCTACATTTGCCTTCTTCCACGTCTACATGGGGGTTTTGTGCTTTGTCTACCTGATCATCGCACTCCGTACCAACCTTGTCTTTGTGCTCATCTTTGCTCTCCTCGTTGCCGCATTCGCATGCCTGGCAGAATTCTTTTTCCAGATCGGTGAGGGCACCGTCAACACCACTATGCAACACTCGGCTGGAGGCCTCACGTTCGCGGTGTGTCTGCTGGGATGGTACCTCTTCTTCGTGCAACTTCTGGCCGCTGTCGACTTCCCTCTCAACCTCCCTGTGGGCGATCTCAGCCGATACATCAAGGGAGCCAGCGAGAGGGCTGAGAAGAGCGAATAAGCGGGTTGGAGCGTCGGCTGGCTGGTGCTTAATCGGGACGTGTAAGACGAGGCATGAGAGGCGGGAGGCGTGGGTTGACAAGGTATGAATCGGAAAATTTTTCGTAACGGGGTGGGAGGACTGCATGGGATCCAGTCTCTCGCAGCTGCAGGCATGTTGGGTAGTAAAGCAATGAGAAAATGACGGAAAGGTCTAGGTCCGACTCATTACGATACGACAGCTGTTTTGAGTAAAAATTATACCATTTTAATCTGTGAACGTAACACAAAGGGATCTTGAACCTATGCAATCTTTCCATTGAAACCCTACATTGACATCGAATAGGTGGTGTATTGTGTACCTGGAATGGCCAACAACAGCCTGTTTGTGGCAATCCGTAGTCGAGCGGATGTTGCGACGAGGCTGTGCGAGGCTTACAGCGTAAAGACGGTGAGGAACATTTCGGAACACTCAAGGCCATTCTAGACGTTCCAGACAGCTGCAGGCGGATGCCGTACCACACAGCCGAACTGCTTGAGCTGCAGAAGAGGAGTCAGAAGAGCCTAACACGGTCCGGAGACAGAATTGTCCAGCCGCCCATGGACCATCATACCACCGCATCGGGAGAGAAAGGTGTAGCGGGTCGTTGTCCTATTTTGGATTTTGCCATCCCAATCTCCTCTCGTCCGAAGTGAGGCTGGTTGGACTCGACACCGAGCAAACTTGGACCCTGCCAAAACAAAAGCGACCAGGGCTCCAAACCTACACACCATGTCCTGTAAGTGACGCTAGGTTATACTTGAAGCTCGGGTCCTGAAACACACCGCTGGCGAGCCACATCATAGCAACTATCAGCTGGCGTTCTCCTAGTCTTCGGAGCCGACTCCAAGGCTGGCCTGCGGGTGGATTCGTGGCTGCATTTCCGCCCATCTAGCCGCTTTGCTAGGCTGGAAAATTCAGGCACCTGGGCATAACACCATGGGGCGGAATGGCTTCCACCAAGCTGGAGGGCTGTCACTGGAGGAATCAGAGATGGAGCTCGGGTGAAATGTACGGAGGACAGAGTATTTGGTATGGAGGATGGAGGACCGAGGATGGAAGGATGAGACTTGCACATGCGCAGCGCAGGCAGAATCTGCAGCGCATACGGATCAATATTGTTCCTATGGCCGGTGCCAAGCATCGCGAGACTCACCGCCAGCCTTCACTCGGGGTTACAGCTTTCGTCTGAGATCCATCTCATTCGCTCAATCACTGCTGGCATCCTGATACTGACAGCCTAACAGAGCCAAAGCAGCTGCTTGACCTCCACGCTCATTGGCAGGAGGCCTTGTTGTTATCCTTTCACCGCATGGTCAGGATTCAAATCCGGGCCACACCCACCCTGACACGCATCCCATCTGGAACTTTATCAAGATTGGGCTCTGGAAAGCCTGGCTTCAGTCCTCGAAGCAGATTCCGTGGGACCATCGTCCGCAACATGGCAACCACCATCCACACTCCTCGTGACCCGAACACCCTTGCCAACTACAACAATTGGCGGACCCTCCACACCTCCACTAGCTTGGACATATTGTTTGACGAACAGAAATTGAAAGGCAGCGTCGTCCACAGCTTTGAAGCCATCACAGATGGAGACAGTGATGAGATCTTGCTCGACTCCAGCCATGTCCAGATACACAGCGTCAAGGCCGACGGCAAACCAGCCGAGTGGGAATTGCTCAAACGGCTCGAGCCGTATGGCAGTCCCCTAAAGATTAAACTTGGGCGGAAGCCACAGTTGAAGGAGAAGATTGACATTGAAATCAACCTAGAAACGACGTCCTCGTGCACCGCATTGCAATGGCTAACTCCGGCCCAAACCTCCAATAAGAAGCATCCGTACATGTTTTCACAATGTCAAGCCATACACGCCCGATCCATCTTTCCGTGTCAGGACACCCCAGATGTCAAAGCAACGTTCGACTTCCGGATCAAGTCGCCCCTGCCGGTCATTGCATCCGGCATTGGGGCGAAAGACAATCCATCGTCCCCGTCCCAAGATGGATCCTCTCAGCTCTATACATTCCACCAGAAGGTGCCTATTCCCTCGTATCTATTTGCCCTTGCAAGCGGAGATATTGCCACCGCCCATGTTGGTCCTCGAAGCCTCGTTGCTACCGGCCCCGACGAGCTCAAAGACTGCAAATGGGAGCTGGAAGAGGATACAGAGAAGTTCTTGCAAGCAGGCGAGTCGCTTGTCTACCCATACGCATGGGGTGAGTACAATGTCCTGGTTCTCCCGCCGTCATTCCCATATGGGGGTATGGAAAACCCTGTCTACACATTTGCCACACCCACAATCATCTCTGGAGATCGTCAAAACGTCGACGTGATCGCCCACGAATTGTCGCACTCCTGGTCTGGGAACCTTGTCTCCAATGCCTCATGGGAACACTTCTGGCTGAACGAAGGCTGGACGACTTATCTCGAACGGCGAATCCAGGCCATCGTGCATGGCGGCGACCAGTGGCGCGATTTCTCGGCGGTGATAGGGTGGAAGGCGCTTGAGCAATCTATCAGTGAACAGTTTGGCGAGCAACACGAATTCACCAAGCTTGTTATCGACTTGAAGGGCAAGGATCCCGACGACGCTTTCTCCAGCATCCCGTATGAGAAAGGATTCATCTTCCTGTACTACATTGAGAAACTGATCTCCAAGGAGCAATTTGATAAATTTATCCCGCACTACTTTGAGACGTGGCGGGGGAAATCACTCGACAGCTATGACTTTAAGCAGACCCTTCTCGACTTCTTCAAATCCAACGACACCGTTTCGCAAAAGTTAGCCACCATCGACTGGGATTCCTGGTTCTACAAACCGGGCTACCCGCCCAAGCCTGACTTTGATACGTCGCTCGTGGACCAATGCTACCGGCTTGCGGACCAGTGGGAGAAATTCACAAAGAACCCCAACCCCGATTTTGGGCCCAGCAAATTCGACATCGATGGCTGGCCGGCGAACCAGGTTGTCGTGTTTCTCGAGAAATTGCTCACGTTTGCGGACAAATTGCCGCAGCCGCACGTCAATTACATGGGCTTTATCTACGACCTGAAAGAGACCAGAAACGTCGAGATCTCGGCTCGATACTACCAAGTCGCGATGAAGGCCGGGGATTGGACGATCAAGGGATTCGTCACGAAGCTCTTGGGGGAAGTGGGCCGGATGAAGTTCGTGCGGCCGCTGTATAAGGGGTTGATGAAGATGGATTATCAGCTGGCGGTGGAGACGTTTGAGAAGAACAAGGACTTTTATCATCCCATCTGCCGCGGTCTCGTGGCCAAGGATCTCTTTGGGAGTAAACATGAGCAGAAGTAGGATATGTGATGGCAGTTCTCGATGGCTTTAGGGTACTGGATCAGAAACGAGACTGTAAGTCCTCATCAGCCCTTGAAGGAGGTGTATGTGACGGTCTCTATCAACTATGTGTCCGGGTTTGTGGACCTTGTACATAGGTACCAACCGCAGCAGGTCAATTGTCGGTGTATATAGACAGTCCTCTTATCTCGTCTCTTCTACTCCCCTTCGCCTTCGGCCCGCTCTTGTTGCATACGGCAAAAGAGGAGGTAAATCGACTCGGAGCTTACTTTGGGCTGATCACCTCAGGGCTCACCCTCCTCTCTCACCTTCAACCCACCTCCTTCCTTACCCCTTTACCTTTACAACGTCTTTTGCCTAGATGGTACTAATCGTTCTGTGGCTATATCTGAACATTGGGCATAGTGGCCTTTCAAAGGTGGGCTCCTTGATATATGACTATCGCGCCGCGTGTCACGAACGCCGTCATGTGACACTGAGTCAGCTAGCACTGAGTCGGGTGGCTATAAGCCGGCTAAGAAGCAGGGCTATCGCATGTATATAGCAGGGGCGCTGCCCACCTGTCAACCTTGAAGCTCCTCTCAAGCGTTGACATCGATATCTATAGACTAGTTATCTATCATCTTTGATCCCAAGTATCGCATTCACCCTCCAGTTAGATCGCTGGTCTGATACCCTGCCATCGCAATATATTGCTAATTATGATCGGGCTTCCTGAAATGGGGTTTCCAGCTGAACGAATTCGCCAAAGAATACAGGGCACCGAAACAAGCAAGCCCACCAGATCGGCAAGGATTCGAGCCAGACGAACCTGGCCTGGACGCTGCCCTCCGATGGCAGTTGCATGACCTCCCGATAGTCGAAACCGACGAGCCGATGACCATCATTTGGATCAGGATGCTCTCTTGCCAATTCTCCTTGTAGCCGCGTCAGTTCGCGCATGTAGGCAAAGCTTGCGACACGGGCCTGGTCCGCGGTGCTCTCTGGTCCCGGGAGCCCGTCTCTCCGAATCACCCTTGCCAGCAGACTGGCAGTGACGGTTTGCAATATCAAGATTCCGTGGTGCCGGTTCGTGTCGTATAATAAATATGCATGGATAGTTTTCTTCTCCCAGCAATTCTCGGAGGAAGGACATCGATTAGGATACCGGCACATGTATCTCCCTTCTGGTGTTTGGCACTACTTGAGGACTTTCACTTCGACCGAGACCTTCGAGGTTGACCTGCACCGACAAGCAACGAGCCCCTCGGTTTTTGAGAAGCGCACAGATATTGTAGTGCTTCTGCGCCAAGGCGCAGTCCATCGCCGTGACGCCGGTCCGGGGTCAACCACATTGACATCGAATCCTGTCTGCCGGCTCATCTGGTCGAGTCAGCACACACACAAAATTCGTAGACAATCCAGATATTTTCCACAAACCTTGCTTCGTTACTTCATTCGCGGCTTCAAAGACTTCGATGTCATGGCCGCGTCTTCGTAGTTCGATCGCCGCTGCAAGTCCTTGGGCGAAGAACAAACCCCCCAACAAGCGAACTCTACATAGCCCTAACGACTGTATCAGCTTCAGAGGACACAGTTTTTTTTACTCCCACGTAGACTAAATGTTTGCCCAATCACCATAGAACCAGAATATTCTCCAGTTATACAGTCACTTCTGTGTATCTTCGGCGGCTTCTACCCACTCTATCGCCTTCTTCGCGAACAGTGTGTCCAGGTAGAGCCTAGCCGCTGAAATCTTGCTCTCCCTGATCTCAAATAGCCAATGATATACATTGCAGTATGAATTCCCATTAACTCCCATGTCCGAGCTCGCTTCCAGTGCAAGCCGATCTTCCGTGGCTGTGATGCCTTCCACTCTGTCACGCGCGACTCTTTGAAAACAGGTCGAAGTAAAAGATGTTCTCACAGCCGCATATCAGTCAAACACGGCCGAGAACCAATGCCGAGTCTCGATCCACGCCTCCTTTCCAATTACAGTGTTCGATGCTGTCAAAGTCGCTTGTTGTCGAACCATTTGACCCTCAATTTTAAGGACACTGACTTCCGCCTTGAAATCAGGACGGACAGCTTACCCAGTTGGCGAGCTTGTCCGCGAGTGGAATTGCTTCATCTTGACGACATACAGTCTGCCTCGGTCTCGGTGCTCAAGCATAACCCAGAGTACATACACCGACGTTTAATGCTCCCGGTCCGTTGTGCCAGTCTAACCGCATTCATACCATAACTTGCGAGTCCTATGCGCCCAAGTCTGTGTCTCGACTGGGTTCATCTCACAATCATTAATGACGCACCGGAAGTTGGAATTTATGCGAATGGTAAGACCGATAATCTGATATCTCCCAGTTGGAATTGAAATTATATAAGTTGTGTCGCGGCCATCGCACCAGAGGTATTCCTCAAGACATTCCACTGCAAACGTACAAAATCTGACAATTCTACTCCTCAATCCATGGCATCCACTTCAACTTTTATCAATCTCGGCGCGAGCCTCACTCCTCGCGAAGCAGCTGCCGACGCAATTTATCGCTTTACTCAGGCCCTCGACGACAACGACAGCAACCTCCTTCGCTCAAGCATAACGCTCGATGCCATGGTTGACCGATCTGGTCTCTCTTCTGTCACTGGCCGAGATCTGCCTCCAACTCCAGGGATAGATCTTATTGAACGATTTGTTCTTGGCACTATTGGGCTTATGGATACAAGTCATCATGTGAGCAATGTTCGCGTCAAGCTCGCTGAGAACCAGAATCAAGCGGAAGTCACATGCTACGTGGTTGCTGAGCATTACAAAGCCGGCGAAGGACATGACCCGACAAAATCTATGCATTTAAGCGTGGGGACCCGATATCGAGCTGAAGTGGTGGAAGATAATGACGGGCTGTGGAAGATCAGAAAGGTTGATTTGGTTACTTTGTGGAGCATTGGAGATTTGGGAGTATTTGGAATGTAAGGTCTGGCTAGTGAACACGCTCAAGTGGAAATATCTACTCTCCTCCCTGCGTTACGAAAAAATGGCGAGAACGACAGTCGATTGGTGGGCTCTGTTGGTTTTCATATTCAACATAAAGCTAGGAATGAGAATGCTCGTCTACGTCTACCTCCTTTCGATTTTATATCATAATTTGAATCTCAAGATGCGCATTAAAACCTCTCAACTACCGGCATCTATTCTTCTTGTTCAACTATAGAGCACCCTCAACTCCAATGGTAGCAAAATACGCCATCGCAGTTTTCACGTGGCTCACTTCCAGCTTCACTCCATCCTGGATCCATTGGCCCATCATCTTGAAATAGTTAATGTAGTGCGCCGGTGTGAATGCGTTGAAGAACTTCGCTTCTTCATCAAAGGGGTTGGAGAATGAATGCGGCGATCGTGGTGGAATCGTCACGTAGTCACCCGTTTTGGCGTCTATATGCTTTCCATCCTTGAGGTGGAACCGAATAGTCCCAGCAGTGACGAGGAAGGTTTCATCGTGCTGTGTAATCGTACATTTTCAGCCGAGTCAACTCTCTCCGGAGATACGCAAGAGTTGTAACAGTTGACACCATGAAAACTCACCATTTCATGCCAATGGGGTGGTGGACCTTGCGAATTTCCAGGGATAGTGAATTCGGCGGATCCGATGCGATTATCTGCGAGAGGACGAGATGATTAGTTCGGACTCATAGAAATATTGTGAGGGCGACTTAGAGGGCTAACCGGTTCTACTACCGTCTTCCATGATGCGACAGAGCACCCCTCTTCCAAGATTGATGACATCGCCTCCCTTTGCAGGCACAAAGTTTGCGGGTACTGAGGGTGTATCCATATGTGACTTATACAATGGCAAACTTTGCAAAGCCAGGGAAAATTGGATGCCACCCGAATAATTTGGATTCAATTAAGAAGAAGACATCAAGATCGATTTGATCGAGAGATATATGTTCTATATGTCCGCCCTTTCCCACACACTGCACAGCAAGCTAAATCAGCATCGCAGGCTAGTCACTGTTGCAGTGGCTTTTTGGTGGGGCCAGGACGCTTCGTGTGTTCTTTCGAAAACGAGTTATATGCCAGCAGAATGGATGTTCCCTAATGTAAGGTTTCTAATAGGGAGCATCCCCAACGTGGGACGGCTCAATTGGATACTTGAAGCCGCCAACCTTTCCGGTTCCGGTATCTAACTTGCGAGATTTAGTGACTCGGAACACGTGAAGCATTATTGTGCCGAATTCTAGGCATCCCATAGCTGCGACCCCGCTAAAACCGGCGACGTCGACTCTTCGAGACTGCATGACGGAATCTTGCCATGACTGTTCACCCAAGGTCCTGTCGGTGTAAAGGCAGGTCTCATGTGCAAGGTACTCACCAAGCTTTAAGTCGTTCACAGCACGAGAATTTGAGAGCCGATCTTTTGATATGACTGGAGTTGCAGGAAAATCCAAGGGATGCGTCACTTGCAGGAGACGAAAGATCAAGGTGAAGCTTTACATCTAGTCCAGTGGCGTTTCTTACTTCAGCTAAGTAACTGTCTGCCAGTGTGATCTTACATCTCCGGCATGCCAAAACTGCAGCCGCTTCAACAGAACATGTGAGGGCTATGGCCGGTATCCCGTTTTCATCAACAGAACCACAGCGGGTGTGCTGAGGCGAAAACCACTGGAGGAAGCAAAATCATTTCTCAGTGGAGCTCCTGGGGTCAACAAAGGAGTGCACCAGGCTCCATTAGTCACTGCCCGAGCTTACAGCATTGGTTCCGAGGTTAGTGTTAAGAACGTCGAGGCCGATCGCTATGTGGCTTGGTTTTGGGATTCTTTTGTTCCTGCACGACCTTTGACGGACTCTTTGCAGAGGCCGGCTCCCCATTGGCTCCATGGTGTGTTTGAGCTCAAATACCGACACTTGGGCCGACAGCCCGCGCTCGATGACGCCTTGTTGGCCGTCGCGCTTACACGATACGGGAAGATGTATAACGCACCAGCCGTACTTGAAGCGGGTCAGCAGATCTATACGCGAGTCCTTAGTCATCTGCAGCAGTCTTTGTACGATGAGGAACTGGTAATGCTTGACGAAACGCTAGCTACAGTCAGCGTCATGGTTCTCTACGAAGTAAGTCAACTCCACCGAACTGAGACCGCACACTAATTGCACTAATTGTCAGTTACTTCAACAAACAGCCATGACTCCAGAAGGCTGGTCAAAGCATGTGACTGGTTTTGCAACCCTGTTACAGCATCGAGGGCCACTCCGACACAGAGCCTTATTGCCTCGTAAATTGTTCGAACACAGCCGATATATGCTAGTAAGTGTGTATTCATGAAACTTATCTATTTGTCTAAGGGCTGTACAGATGATGCATGGTCTGGCGCAACGTAAGGCTTCAGTATTTGGAGAGCAAGAATGGCGAGAAGATCCATGGAATGGCGCAGACAAAGGAGTAGAGCAGAAGATCCTCGACTATGGTTTAAGACTTGGAGGTCTCCTCGAAAAGGCTGACAGCTTGGTAAAGGACGCAGAAGGCTTTGATACCATGGCAATGCTTTTAGCTGACCTTGCTGAGATATCTAACGGTATTGAAAATTGCCACAGCCACTACTTACCACAGCACAAAAGCCCTTCAGACGCTTCGTCAGCGGACAACCACGATTCCTATCGCGCGAGGCCATATCAAAGTCCTCTGAATATTCCAGTAAAAATGACCGCCTTCGGAATTCAGCTCGTAGCCTGCGCAACAGGTTACGCCCTCATTCTCAAAGCAGACGGCCTGAACGCCAGAGGTCAAGGCTTCTGTGTAATTAATTCAATGCCTTTCGGCGTTCATACAACCAAAGAATGGTTTAACAGCAAGAGAGTTCTCCTAGCTAAGGAGATATGCAAGTTTTCTGCCATATTTCTTAGCAAAGGGGTAGGCATAATGGGGGCAAGTCGCGTCATTGTCCCTCTTCGGCTGGCATCCGAACAGCTAGAGACATCGGATCCCGAATATGCCGAATGCCATGAGCTACTGCAAAAGCTAGAAGGCAAAGGAATGGAGTTTGTCCCAGCGCTGAATAGAAACGAGGCTATTGCGTCACGAATTATCCGCCGCAAATCGCTCCTTCCGGATTTGAAGGGCCGCTGTTGATTTCGGATTATTGTGAAGAAAACGTAGGATAAAGAGGGAGTGATGGTGGGTGCCAGAGCAGAGAATCTACCAGACAACACCAGAGCTATGAATAGAATAGAGGTTACTATGGTAAGGACCTGGGGGGTTTTGGCGCCGTGGGAACGACATCTCCAAAATCGACGGCACTGACCGCCAAACCTTGGGGGAAGTTCCTGCAACCCGTGTTATCGTGTAAGGCAACACTCTCGACGGCCTCCTAGCTGACGAGGCGTTCATGATTGTATAGAACAATTGAGTGCTGTACATCCTGCCTGTGAACTTTATACTCGATTTGAACCACAGGATTAAACATGCGGGTCCTCCAACGTTGCTCAGCCAGCTCGGATTTGCACTCAAATCCATATCCGTTCCTGGTAAGGACCATTGAGGATATTGCACCTGTATAGTTTGGGGGGCATCGCTAGGGTGAGGCCATTCAGTATGGGGGGCTTCTAACGTTCTGGATGCAGCAGCTTGGTTTTCCTCGCGTTCATCGCCGGTCGTGTTCCGACTTCTCTCACAATACCCAGGGGAACCCGTGTGGCTGCTGTGCTGCGGAGACACATTAACTCCATGGGGAGACATAGAATTGGAAGTAAGATCCGCTAGAATCTTGAAGGCCACAAGATCATAAGCATCTCGTTTGCCCCGGAAATCCGGGGAATGCTCAACCATTCCCCACTGGATATTGAGTTGCCCCTATCTTTCCTCACTCGTGGTTCCAACGAGCTGCTCGAAGGCTTCCACAAATCCTCGAGGAGGGTTCGTTCGGCTCTGGGCTATCTCCGGCGCCGTGTGTCCATTTCAATCTCGAACGCAGCACTGACTCTTCTCTACCTCTGAAGCTTGTAGGATCTCAATGGTTCGTGTGTCTGCCTCCAACGCAGCAGCGTGCAAGACCGTCGACCCCGCGTTGTTGATATCGAAGAGATTTGCTCCTCTGTCTATGAGCAACTGAAGGAATTCGTGACTATTGTGAAAGATTGTTTCAAAAAGTGGCGTGTCGCCATGCAGGCTGCGGACATGCATGTTTGCGCCTTTGTCGAGAAGAAACACACCTATTTCATGCCGGTTGGATATTGCAGCCCCGGAAAGCGGCGAGTGGCCCATATTGTTGATGCTCTGTAGAGATGCCCCAGCCCGAAGCAGCGTCTGCACTGGCGCAATATCTTTTTGATGTCGACTCGCATGATGGATTGCCTGACTGCCGATGGACGTCCTTGCATGTACGTCGGCTCCGTGTAAGATCAAAGACTCCAAGATAGGGATGGACCCGGTCGATGCTGCAAGGGTTAGAGGTGTGGCATTGAAATCGCCCCGAGCATTGACGTCGGATCCCCCTTCTAAAAGACATCTCACAGCTGCTTCATCTGCTCTAGTTGCGGCCCAATGAAGGGCAGTTCGTTTCGTGGAATCCGAGAGGGTGACTTGGTCGCGATATTGCTGATTCTGCAATTCCACCGCCAGGCTTATGGGATATATACCCACAACAACCTTGTGTAAGTACGAAAACTCATAGTTCTCCAGCTCTTCGGCCCCTGGAAATAGGCGCTCAAAACCTTGGATCTCAGCTGCAGTGCCTCTGCGACAGAGAATTTGTTCCCATGCTTTCTGAGAAGCAGTTCTATTGAAATACAAAGATCAGATATCTTTTTCCAAACGAGCCGCATGCTCAGTCAAGATATGAGCATAATTTTATGTCCATGGACAATTTCGATGTGACTTACATGCCGTGATCGTCCTGGAGATGAGGATCTGCTCCCTCTTCCAGAAGGAATTTGCAAACTTCAATCTTGTTACGGAGGGCCGCATACTGAGTGACAGTACTGGTTAGCTGGGAACCCACTCTGGCTACGAATTCGTACTCACATGCAAGGTTGTACGTCCATGGTTTGGATCAGTGTCGGTAAGCAGCGCCTTTCCGCTTGCTATCAACGATTTGGCACCATCGACATTGCCAGTCAATGCAAACCTCAACAAAGTATCTTGGCCCCCTCCCTAGGGAATCCTTCGTCTAACTCGAATCTGGATGGTTGTCCCCAGAGAGGATGATAACGCTGCTGAAACTTGTAGTGGCTGTTGACAGAACCACGAAGGAAAGCAATAGACAAGCTCGACTGATCCCTGAATGGGATTGTGACATGTCACGACACTGCATTTTGCCGCAAAAATTGGGGATCCGGCATAGCCTAGGAATAATGTGCCGATAAACTTTTTGAGGAGCGGCGGAGTTCGATATGTTTGAGTAGAGTGACACGCACACTCGCAAGACACTTTGCAACGGTGTCTCCGGCTGACTTTAAAGCATATGGTAGTCTCTGAGGACAGTACTTTGATGGCTTGTGTTACATCTCCTGCCACAGGATTTGGATTCGGATCGCATTGTGGGTCTAAAGAGGCGTCAACATCAGCAGATGTGGTTACTATTCGATACATTACCTGCCATCTGGGTAGTAGAACTTGGCGTGCTTGATGCGGCGCTGGTAAGAACATCTATTCCATACTTCGCTGTGGAATTATCTGGCCGTCTTTGACGTTTGACCTCTATACTTGAAATTTCACTCGGGCTGACAAGGTTGACTTCGACTTGATGCTGCAAAATATGAAGCGAAGAGGCCGTTGGCGACGTGGCGAAAGGTAATTGCGCCACGGAGGAGTTGGACTGCAAACTTTCCAGTCGAATTTCAATTTTTGAGAGACGAGAACTATTATCTTGTCTGTCAATGACCATTGCGTACAGACTCAGCAAACAAATGAACGAGACAGCTTTCGACTTACGTAGCAGCAGCCGTTGACAACGTCAGCACAGCCATCAAGTCTGATTTGATTTTTTGAAATTTCTCACGCAGCTTCTTTACAATTCCTCTCTACAGTGTCCATTTCAATCTTCTTTTCGCGCTAAGTGGTTGTGATTTACTTTCATTCAACAATCCCTCCAACTCCGCCAAAGCTTCTCTGGCAGCCTCGAGCGGCTTTGAAGCAGTCGCGAGAAATCTAGACCGCTGAGTATCGTCTGTATCAATATTCTCGCAAAGTTCTTGGACGTTATTGAAGAAGATTCCGAGATCTGTCAATTCGTTAGACAATGCCTGGATCTCAGCCGGCGCATTCTGGACGGATTTAATCAATTCAACAAGCAGTGACACAAGTTTGACCCGTGGTTATCAATGCAGCGATACTTGCTGTTACCGACAACGGGTCGGCCATGGCCGCACTGGTCTGATGTCGAAAGCGAAACACAAGACCTACAACTGATGAAAATGAAATCTGTGTCGTACAGCGCTGGCGATGAGGCTGACAATCTGATCAGGCATCAACGAGCGACTTGCATGCCTTGGTGCGTAACACAGCTTAGCGTTGATAAATCTAACTCGCGGCTCACCCTCAGCCCCAAAGACGGCCTGGGCCAATCAAACGCAGACTGTCAATAACCATCTGCATCAGTACCTCTCAGTGGACTATGTTCTTGTCTGAAAGTGAAGGCGGCGTTGATGCTGACCGACTGCTCTCGAACCACAGTCGTCCGAGGCGAACTTCACGAGGCAATGCTGCTTGTCCAAAATAGATTTAGATCGGCAGATTTAAGTTCCCCTACTCGGTTCCTTCAACACTTGTGTTTACCCGTCGTAGTTGAGTGAACTAGATAAGGTCTAACCGGGCAAAGACGCCGAACTTTGTTTTCGTACATATTAGCCACACTTAATGAAGATTTGATTCTTCGCCATCATGAGAATAAAGGAAAATGTGTAGTCCGACAGACACGTCCCTAAATCTTACTTTGATCCACGGCTACACGAAAGAGAAAGAAAGAAATTAGAGGCCCCGGATCTGATTAGAGGATGGGACAGGCTAAAGTCTTGGGGGCAGCGATGGAACGGAGCGACGCTTCCATCTTGGCACAACACATTGTACTTCAAGTCAATGGCTCAATACCTGGTCATCATCAATGAGCTCAGACGTGTTGACTCCACTTCACAGGTGCTATAGACGTGAACAATCATCCTCAGCTGAATTAGCAACATTTTCTAGGGCTTGTAAAGGTCCCACTCAATCATGAGCGGCCTCGGGCTCACACTTGACCCTGTCAATCTTCTTCTGCTTTGGGCTCACCTGGTAAACTCAGATCTGTGGCGGATTAGTCCTGCCACTCGATGTTTGCCATGTCTGGCGTGTCCTGCTCCATGAGATTTACTGTTCGAGCGAGACTCCAAAGCGAATACTTTGGAATCCATGCAGGTGTCAAATGACCAAATGGCGGATATGCCGGCACACTAGAAGATCGCTCACCCATCCGAGATGAATGTAACGCATCGAGATACGAGAGCCCTTCAATGATATGCCGGAGAAAGAGCACCCGACCAACGTTGCGGCGAACCTCATCGTCGTACATGAACATGGAGTTATATTCAAGTGGATGTGTTGGGTACCGGTTTTCAACGAGTAGCGGCAACTCCCAAGTGGCTTCTAGAGCCTCTTCCGGAGATTTGCCCTCTCGCAACAAGTTGATATACCTGGCTAATCCTGAGTGCCCATAAACAGTGTGATCGAAGACACTGGACGACAACTTATCCCCCGGCGGCAGGGTGGGCAGATAAGCGTCAATCGTGGATCCGTTCAATATCAAGAGGTGCACCATTCCTGTATTCTCCTGCATTGCTGCAATTTGAAAGGGTGTGAGATCTTCTGAGTCCGCAATTTGAATGTCACACCCAAGTCCGCATACCAACAGCAATACAAGGGCTCTGCAGTCTCTCCGCACCGCGTAGTGAATGATAGCGTTCCCGTTGCAGTCCTTGTTATTGACATTTTCTTTGGACAATATCCCGCGGGTCGCCATGAAACCAACAACATCTTCGAAGAACGGTCGGTTCCTATAAAGCCGGGAGATAAATCCAGAACACTCGAAAGGGGATCGCTTCGCCAATGGATCCCACAGCTCCGCACCTTTTTCCAAAAGCTTCACAACCGTGGTAGAGTCACTTATCATGAAGCATGCGCAGAGCGGAGACCCATACTCACTTACTTCATCCTCGAGCTCCAGAGATGGTGAATATCCTAGAATCAAATCAATGACTTCCGCATTTCCCCCGACAACAGCGGCAGTGAGCAGGTTGCTTCTAGGCAGAGCGAGGGCTAAAGCTGGAGATGGGCCATTACTTCAGCAATCCCCGGACACAATTCTCGGCAACACGCAAGTTCAGGTGGAATTCTTCATGCAGAAGATATGTAAGGTGCTGACGGCGTTTGATTCGGAATCCAACCCATTCAGAAGGGTAGCCATGTCGCGGATACACGAGTCACTGCTGTTCTTCTCCTTGTTCCGCTATATTACGGTAGCTTTCCTGACCTTAAGTGCTCTTGACACAAGCAATTCTCTTGTTGTGCAAGACGCGCAGACCGATATACTACACCGACTGCACAATGAGGTGGCACAGTTACATAAACCGACGAGCGCAAGATCTGTGGACGTCTTGACGGCGATCATAATGTATGGCCTCAGCACAAATTGGGATGGTTCCAATAGCCCCAGTATCTTTCACTATAATGCAGCGGTTTGGTTGTATCTGCAAACATATTCAGATGGGATACGACATCCGGGACCAGACTCCCATCAGGAGTTCTTGCTTCATTCGCTAACGTACTGGTGGATGGGTCTTGCGTTCGTGACGGACGTTACTCAGGAGTGTCTGTTGGAAACGCCGGCCATCAAGGCTGGCAGCAATGACGGCGGCGAGACCACAAATCCGCCCAAAAGAAACCCGCATCCCCTGGCTGGCGTCTCCCCAGAGGCTCAAAGACTTCTTGGGCAGGTAGGCTCGTTGATTTATTCAAACGGTTAAGGTGCCGCGAGATGCCCTTCACGAGCATGCAAAGGTTGCAGAACGACTTCGAGGCCGTTCAAAGAGCGTGGATCTTGGAAGAAGAAGCATTATCACTTGTGTTGCCCAAGGCCGACACCTTCGTCGAAACTAATGATTTGGACACTCCCATGCAAGATCTAGTCAATGCCGCAGAGGTTTATCAACTTTCAGCCCTCGTGTTATTGTATCGAGCATTCCCCGATCTACTCAACGCCCGATTACGTCTCAACGAAGATACGTCTGATGCCGCCCAGTTCGCAAACAAGCGTCGATTGACGTGGGTGACGGCGCTATCTATTCACGCCCTCGACATTCTGTGTCAAAACGCACATCGATCTGGCACCCGCAGTATCGAGCAAATTCTTTTGGTCATCATTGCCGGAGAGCTCCGAAAGGATACGTCTTTGCGCATCTCTTACGTGACGGAGGACGGAGAGAATTCAACACTTGAATCACCGATAGCGGAAGCTGATTCACCTCCCAGCGGGCCAGCAAGTTCCTTTGATCATTTTTCGGCCCAACACGTCTTATCATCCCTTGAATCCCTTCAGGCCGCCAGTCCCGGTTCAGCGATCACTAAAGCTCGCCCGACTGTCCTCGAGCGCCTTCAGGCAATCCATGAAATTTTGCCATACAGATCGGTTGAACTTGTGCAAGAGCTGGTGCTGAAGACATGGAGAACAAGTGATAATGATAATCCTGAAGTCTTCTGGATGGATATCATGATTGAGAATGGATGGAAATTTCTGATGGTGTGAGGAATTGTCCACAGATCACCCACATCATCGCACTGAAACGGCCACCCGCGGTACAAAATGGACAGTAATGTCCGAGAATCGAGGTACTTAGAGCACAAAGGTCGTGGAGACGTCTTTTTCCGAAAAGGCGCGAATGCTACACAGGTCCACCAGCAATGGTGCTCATGGAATCTTATGTCCAAAACCGGGGGTTCACGAAATGAAACGAACAACTGATCGCATAAAGCAGTCGAGTCAAATTATGCTACGAGCCCGCTACTAGGCGCGAATCTCGGCATTGTCTGTGCATGCAACCGGGAAAGCCAGGCCAACATCGCAGTCAAGGCTGCCGAGGGGTCTGGGTCATGAACACTCTAAAGCTCTCTCCCACGAAAGAAATGCAAGTGAGACGTTCGGAAACGTATAATCAAAATCGAAACAAGAAGTCGCCGCCAACAGCGCAACGAGTATACGAGACTTCAACGATAACACCAATTCGTCTAGGATCCCTCAGCTCCCTTCTCGTCGTCGCCAACAGAAACTGAACTTCTTCAACCGTCCAGCCTCAACGGATGAACGGACACAAACTCCAGCCCTCCAAGCCGGTTTCTATATGTGCTCTCACAAAGAGTCCATAATTCCTTTAGTTTTGCATCCCGTGGCTATGACCTGGTAGGCCACTTGATACCGTAGTTACACTGTTGCCTCCGATGGGCCGTGGTGGCGGAGAAGCATCTCTTCCTCCACCAAATATTCCAGCAACACGTTTTATGCCCCCCGGAGGGCCCTCCAATGGCCAAAAATCTTTCCAACTTGACTGATAGTATTACCTAAAGCGTGGCGAACACGTTTCCATGCCTCAATGAACAACCACTGGCAAGCCGGGAGCCAATTTCGAAGTCGTGTAAGCCACGCATTGCTGATTCCCAGGCGTCCTAGAATGAATACTTCGTTAAGTTGCCGCTGAAGATCAAAGTTCCTGATCTGGATTAACTGGAGCTCAGACTTCGTTTGCTCAAGTCCAAGCTGTGAGGTTCCAAGCTCGGCTACGGCGGTTGTGTGCTGATCTTTTAAAGTTTGGTTTTCGTTTTCCAGGCTCAGGACAGCAGAGTCTTGCTTGCTCAATTGTTGGCGGAGTTCGTGGAGCTGTCCGTCCAAGACTGAGTTCGACGCCTCCAGCTCATTCACTTCCATTTCTTGGTCATACAATTTTCGTCGAAGTTCGGCCAGCTGCTCTTCAAGACCTTTACACGACTTTTCAAGACTGGCCACTGTCAATTTTTCTTTTTCTAACAGCTGCTCGAGATGGAGCGCTGTCTTTAGCAAACCAGACTTATATTCTTGTAGCTCTGCTAGAGCTGTGGTTTGCCGATCCAACCGCTCGCTAGTATTCGCCAGCTGAGTCTTCAGGGTTTGCTCCGTCTCTTGAAGTTTGCTCATAGTAATTGTTTGCTCATCCACTTTTCGACAAAGACTGGTCTCTCGAGCCCGCAAGTTTGAGTTTTCCATCTTGACCGTGGTCGCGCTGATTTCTGCGAGCAGAGTTTTGGATATCCCATTGTGAACTTCAGTCTGTAGTTCTCTATTCTGGTCCCATAATGTTCTAAATCGTTTGTAATCATCACAAGAATATGAGAGTCGGCTTTGAAGTTCCATGAAGGCTTCCTCCTGCTGGTGTTGATGCGCTTGGTGGCATAGGCACAGTCCAGCTAGCTCTCTCAACTCCCATTCTAGCACTTCCGTCGGTGGCTTTTGAGCCATGGATTTGAGGAGGGAAGACGCTTGAAATCGTTCTGGCTCGTCGATAGTCCAAGTGCAGCGAGAGTTAAATCTTCTGGCCGCACGGCCAATACAGATTATTTCATTGCGACAAATATCAGTGATTTGGAGGACATGATCAGGGTCCCAGGTAAATGGAATAGCCATAATTGTTTAATCGTATCGTGCAAGGACAGGTAGACATCCGTTTCTGGGCGTTCCCTGGCGATAGGATCAGTTTCCTCTGTGCCTAAAGCGATAAGTTCATACCTGGCTATCGAATAGTGAGGATTGCCTTCTAAGCATATCACAATTTGTAGTTTTCCAAAGACCAGTTGAATTCAGAACTGGGCGACAGATTCTTACCTCACCATTTTCAGGCTGACGCACATAGCAAAGCAGAGATCATGGAGAATGTAGTGAAAAATTAGCCATGTTGTTTGAAGTTGTGAGGAAGCTCCTGCATGAGCGGGGATCTGGGACAGCTAGGCGTTTGAAAGCCGGGGCTTTTCAGGCAACCCACGCGTTACTAGACTGGTTCAGCTTCATTGATAGTCCTCGTGCCCAAGCAACTCTACTTTTTGCCCACATGCTCCAAAGGGATTCGAAAGTTGATGGCTTCTCCCTAAGTATACTCTGATGAAAATGGCCGGGACCTTTCAACTTCGCGTAGCCCGCTTCAAAAGCAGGAGGTGCTGACTGGGTCCTCAAGGTTGAGGCACTGTAGTATCTACAGGATGACGCAATTCGCGCAGTGGATTAGCATACGTTATTAAGCACCTCGACCACAATCTTCCCAACGGGTTGGGGGGACTTTTTTCCCTTTGGCCAGCTGCGGAAGGCCTAGGGATTTAGCCGATTCACTAAGGCTTTGGCTGAAACAGAGCCTGGGCGAGAGACAGGTGTAGCCGATTGCTAGGGGGCCGTGGGGGCATAATAACGCCCTCGGTGTGTTGCTCAGGGAGCCCTCGGCGAGTCCTCGGTGAGGCTCGGCTAATAGCTCAGTTAAAGCTCAGGTTAAAGTAGCCTCCGCTCACCCTCCAGGAGCAAACTGTATAACGCAATTAAGGTTTTCGTTCTCGAGTAATATAGGTACGGAGTAGGTAGATATATAATTGTACCGATTGAGACCCTTTTTGTAGCGTGCACACCCGGCAAACTTGCCCGCATTTTTACTTTTTCCGCCATAACTGTATAAGGTATTCATGTAGTGAAGCGATGCTTCATGAACTGTCTTGTGTCAGGCAAGTGCACAGCCTGTGCACCACTAAGCTTGGGCGCACTCGCCTGGGCGCACAGTAGTTAGCCATCTACGTGCCAACTAACCATTTCGATCGATTCCTGTATGGCTGTCCAACACAGCCACCATACATAACAGCTGGACAAGGAGTAGAGCACAGCCACTGCAGCGTTCGTACCTGCGTCACTTCCACGACACCCCTCCAACGCCTCAGGCAGAGAGTTGCCTACCTGTCGCCTGCCATCTGCACGCGAACTTGTTATTCAACTCGATAACTATCGCATTGCCTACACATGCGATTTATTCTTCATCCACTATTTTCTTTCCCTTGTCTCTCTCGCGCCTTGCCGAGTATGCAATCGTCCGACAGTCGGCCTGACAATGGCTGAAGCCTTGGATGCGGTTGGCCTCATCGCGAATATCGTCCAACTTGTCGACTTCTGCGGCAAATGCATATCCAAGACCGTCGAGCTGCGTCACTCAAATAGTGGCATTCTCGACGAAAACGCTGCCATTGAGTTTGCTCTCAACCACATTGCCTCACTCCGGGAGGAGGTCGAAGTCGGCGCCATTGGTACCTCCGACGCCTCGCTCCATGAACTCTGCGGGGCAGTCGCCGCAGCAAGTTCGGAGCTCTCGAGAGTGTTAGCAAAGGTGAAGGTCCAGGGCGACAAGACGAGATGGAAGACCATGCGGAAAGCAATTAGAAGTGCCTGGAGCAAAGAAGAGATCCAGAACCTTGAGCACAGACTCGCCGGATTCCGAGATAACCTAAACTTACATGTCACGGTCAGAACTAGGTATGTAACTGAGGTCCACTTAGTTGTGTGTCTAGCCATTCCTAACCCAGGCTTGCAACTAGGCGGCAGCTCGAAAGCTTAGGAGATGAGATCGAGTCTCATTTCGGAGAAATCGGCCAGAGAGAGAGGGCCATTCTTGACTCCATCACCCATCAACGTGACCTCTTTGCTACTGCTTTGTGAGGACCAGAAAGTCCTCATTTGGGCCATCTCTGAGAAGACCACACACAAAATTGAAGAAAGCCACGAGACAACGCGCAGGGAGGTCCAGCAAGCAATAGCAAAATCAGCTGCGTCTACCCAATATGAACACGATCAGACGAGACAAGAGATTCGATCCGAAGGGAAACAAGCAGAAATAAGGAGCCAAGAATCCTATAATGCCACAGCTAAAAGGATAGAGTCGACTGAGCTGGAAATAATCAGCTCCATCGAGGCGGCCGGCGATGCTAACCAAGTTGAACATGCCAACACCCAAAGAGAGATTGCGAAGCTTAAAGGAGCTTTGCAAGCATTATCGGAGCAGATAGAATCGCGTAACCAGGAGCTTAAAAGTTTACTGTCAGCATTCAACCTATCGAAGAGCAAGAAGAAAAGGGAACAATTCTCCGAATGGAGTAATGCAGTCACTGCGGCCCTACTTGCTCTTGAGACAATGTACAGGAGTCTGAAGGTTAGTAAATTCGCTTGAAATTGGAGACATCATTGACATGGAGGGTAGGAAGTGTTATCTAGCTTGCAGGCCCGCGCCAAAGAGCTGCTGGACAAGACACAAACAAGCGGCTTCTCGACGATCATTCGCTACGCTCACAGAGTCTCAGATTCGCCAACGAGCCATGATAGCAGACTTTCAATAGACTTGATACAAAGACGGACAGACGTTGGAGATGCAGATGCCGACCCTACCGCCTTACATAAATCTGCAGCCATTTGGACTGGCCATGATATGTATTTTGGGTGTTTTTATAGATGTGCAATTCAACAACAGCGCCTTGTCAATTCTGATGACATGAACAGGAGGTGGAAGTTCCAAAACCAGCTCCGCATCGACCAAGCTTCTTCGTCGAACTTTGAGGGATTCGTGGTTGATGAGAGGCCTTGCAGTAGCTCGTGGCTATGGCTCTTTGCATCTGTCACCCTTGCGCTAGAAGCACACTTGTCGCCGGAAGGAAAGGCATTCGAGCTTTTGTCAACAACATTGGATCAGTTTCAACGCTTCAGACCGAAGAATACTTATTCCACGGGATCTTTCAGCGGACGACTAAAGGCGGATATGAGATACTGGAGTGCGTTTGCAACCATGCGAGGCATGAAACAAAGCATAAGCGGAGGTCAAATCCACCTTGAGTCTCTCAATGTTCGCCAAAAAGACGATTTATACAACCTCATCCGCTTGTTGGTTGGCGAGTGGCCGGAGGTAAGGGCAAGAGACAGGCCGGTGCCGGTGTCAGTTGAGCAGGACGGTCCAGCCACAACCATCGCTAGGAGCCTGTCCAACATGGGGCTTCCTGTTTCTCTGATTGACCAACAAGAGAAGGCCCAATCTTTACCTTTGGTGACAATTCAATCCGGGGGACCAACTATCTACTGATCTAAGCTTGCCGGGATGTACCTATACCTTAGTCAGGTTCATATCAAATGGGGTGGCTTCCATAACGAACCTCCTCCAAAGAACGAGGTGAAATGTGGGAATTTCATACCCACGTCGGCGATCATGAGGTGCGGTTTTCTTGTCAAGTGGAAAGTTACCGCAATGCTTTGAGAGTGTAGGTCATGTGTCTATGATATCCGTACCTGGGTATTGACATTTGAAGCTAGAGAACGATTGAGCTGGTCTTCTACTCGATGTTCAAAAAAACGAGGCCCAAGGAATGTGAAAGCCAGAAATCTGATGCTCCTAGGGAAACAGATTTCAGCACAAGGTTAAATCTAGTAATTTCTAGTAGAGTATTAAAATGGTACCAAAACCGTGGCTAGTTTGCTCTCAGGGGCATTTGATATTGTTCAGTGTTTCTAGACAGCCTCAACAACTCTTTTAAGTCTTATCGAGAACATCATCCGTCAAAAGATATTCTCCCAGCCCCGCCCCGTTCTCAGATCTCTTAATCTCTTAATTCATACTCAATGACCCTATTTTACCAAGGTAAATCCCTTCCAGTCACCCAGAGTGGCCTTACATTGCTCTTCATACATTTCAATCCCACCAACATGAGTCAACATCTGAGGTTTCTTGCCCGGAATATTAGTCGCATTCCACCACGAATCAGTCAGCGGGAACAAGGTGGGTTTGTTCATCGCGTCAATCATCACATCCCACTCCTCCTCGGCCTCCTTGGACGGCTCTATTGTCTTTGCGCCTTCTTTCTCCATCTTTTCAATTGCCGAGATGACGAAATCCGCCTGTGCCTCGATGATTGTGGGCCCGTTGGATAGAGCAGTGGGAGCTGGAGGGTGTCAGTGGGAAATAAAGAGGAACTGTCGCAAGGGGCGAAGAGAGGTTAACATACCGTGAGATGTGTATACCATGAAGGTATTGGGGAAGCCGTTAAAGGTCATGCCTAGGTACGTCCGGATCCCGTCCTTCCAGATGTCCTTGATGTCGACGCCGTCTTTGTTCTTGAGGCCCATCTTTGTCACCCTGTTCGTTTGTTGTGAGTAAGAGGTCTTTCTTTACCAGGAGTTACATGGAAAATGGTGAATACTCACGATCCAGAGAATGAATCAAACCCGGTAGCGAGAATAACCACATCGAAATCGAGCTGGGTGCCGTCCTCCATCAATATGCCCGTTTCGTTAAACGTTTTCATCGGATTGTCGATGATGTTGATGATCTCGACATTGTCCTGATCAAGACGTTCATAGTAATCCTGTTCAAGCGGATTTCTTTTCGTGGCGAAATAATACGGCGCTTTCATCGGGGCCATCAACTCTCGTTTCTTTGGATTCTTCATCCTCGGCCGTATCTTTTTGGCCCAGAACTCATACACTTTTTGATTCGCTTCCTTGTCCAGTACGACGTTGTTGTAGTTGAATATCATGAAATTGAAACCCCCCCGTGCCCAGAGTTCCTCAAAGTATTCTTCCCGTTCTTCGTCGGACACGTCAAAGACGCCATTATCAGGACCTTTGCCAGGAAACCCGGCCCTGGATTTTCTGCCTTCTCGGAAAAGGGCATCAAAATACCCTTTCCAGCCTTTTTGTTCGTCTGCGCTGAGTTTTCGTTGGCCCATGGGCAGACATAGACTCGGTCGCCGGATGAACACGGTAAGTTGATCGGCCTCTTTAGCGACTTCTTGAACAACTTGAACCGCGGTGGCTCCGGCGCCGATCAAAGCCACTTTTTTCCCCTTGCAACTCATGTCTTCGGGCCAGAAGCCAGTGTGGTGAATCACCCCTTTGAAGTTGGCTAAGCCTGGGAAATCGGGGACGTGTCTGCGATGTAGCAATCCAGTGCATAGGATCAAGTATTTACTGACCGAAGTGTGTCCCTGATCAGTCTTAACCGTCCATTTCTGATCGCTCTCGCTCCACTGGGCATCGACGACATGCGCATTGAAATACACATCTTTCCGTAGACCCAGAACCTTGTCGGCGTGTGCGCAGTAAGCCCGAATTTCCTTGTGCCCTGGAAATTTCTCCGTGAATTCCCAGTTGCGATATACTTCGGGGATATTAAGCTGATAGTATGGCCACTCAGAGTCTACACGCGCCCCGGGATAGCGATTCCAATACCAAACACCACCGAAATCGTTTCCGGATTCGAAGATTTTTGCTTTGAGTCCTAATTTACGCAGCCGATATAGCATCGACATCCCGCTAAAGCCTGCTCCAATAATCAAGGCGTCACAGTGGACAATATCGTCCGCGGTGCCATTTGTCTGTGCCATGGTGAAGGTGGGGGAGGGTAGTATTAGCACAAGGGGTCTTAGATTTGATTTTGAAGGAGCAAAAAGCCCAAGGAGTAGGACTCTTGCTGGTGTTTAAATGATTGAGCACTGGTCCACTGGATTCGCTAGAGAGATCGGGATGGCCTGATATTTTTACCAGGATACACAAGATGCAAGCTTCAGGACGACTTACCCATCCAACTACCGAGGATGTAGCCTATATATCTGCCACAAACGCGGTCCATGACTCGATGGTCCCCTCAAGGCTTTCCGAAATAGAAGGTTTAGAGAGCGGAAACTCGGAATTTGTCAACTGATAAGATGGAGCTGGACTTTGATATTGCAGAGAAGCATCACCCGAGGCAAACGATCAAGTGGAGTGACTGGGACTGGCTGATCACCTAATTGCTTGTAGAGGCGCATCAGCCAAGCTGAGAGGAGTCAAATGTCCCACTGTGTCTGGAGGGCAAAGGGGGCTTCTGGAGAAGTCGACCGCGGCTATTAGGAAGAAATCTGTGATTCCCCACCGTCTGGTCAAGCAATAAGTCTCAGGAGTTTCTGACTCGGCTCAAACACCGCGCGAAACACCGCGTCTAATTGATGTCTTGATCCATGTTTTGTCATACGACCACCGACTCAGTAACATAGATTCGACAAGTTACAGCGTTTAATCTCTGGTCAGGCGTGCCTGTGATCCTGAGGGATCATCATCTCCGGGTATGCTGATCGTTCCATTCCAATCCTTGAATTTTCGAGCGGGCAATCGATGCTCAAACATCACATCGATTTCGGCCGTACTGCGTTCCTTCATCTCTGGAACCTGGAGCCAAGTGACAACACATGAGAGCGCGCAAAAGCCGGCGATAACGAATCCAGTCTTCGCTCGGAGGTTGCATTCATCCACATTGTACGCATACGGTAGGCTGATTCTAAATGCGCCCATGGCAAGGCCTCCAGAGAACCATCCGATGCCCTGAGTCTGCACGAAGACGCAGGGACGAGGTTTCGGCGCCTACAGCATACGATGCTGGCTAGGCGCCGACGCCGATAATCACAATCACTGCCATCATGGTGACAGCGGTATACCTGTCCGAGTTAACATGGGCTCTAGACATCCTGGTAGGTGAAAAGGTAGGGTCTTACTAGATTACGACGACGCCTTCAAAACACCCAGCGACCCCCATTCCCAACCAGAGGACCGTTGTGATGACCAAGGTAATCATCATGAGAATCCTTCGTCCTACCTTAGTAAGTACCCACATGCTGATGATGTTTGCAAGCAGCCCTAGCCCAACACCGAGTTGAAGGAATAGGAGAGCATTGTCGGCGCTCATCCCAACCATCTGAATAAAGTAACTAGCATCGGAAAGCAGAGACAAACCGAACAGCTGCGGGAGAATGTTTGCAAATATCACAAGCAGAGTTCTTCGTCTGTTGGTGTCTTGGAAGCATTCGGTGTACGTCGCTCTGTCATACTTTGCACTCTCTTCTTCCTTCTGGAGCGAGAAGATCAGATTGTCAATGTTAGTCTGGGTGTTTGTCCGCGAACTATCCAGACGCTTCTGAGACTTGAAGGCCCGGTCAAACTGCTTCTTCCTCAACAGGTAGGTGGGACTTTCTGGTATCAGGGCAGCCAGGACCAAAGGCACGGCTGAAAAGGGCCACTGAGCAATGATCGGAGTGGTGTATGATCGATTTCCGGGATAGTCCAGGGAGGAATAAACGACGACTGCGCCAATCAATTGTCCAAGAAGAGTGAATACGGGGAAGAAAGCCATGATGGATCCTCGAAGCTTTGGCGGGAGAATCTCCGACATGTACGTCTGCGTCGTGCACAACACTCCTCCAATTGCAGAGCTTTGGATGAATTTGCTCGCGAAGAATGTGGCTCGTTTTGCGCCTACTCCGTCGCAGAACTGTGAGCAGTATAGTGCTGCAACTCCAGCTGCCGACAATCCACTCCCCAGCGCCAGGGCCGGTCGTCTCCCAAGCCGATCTTGGAACCAGCCTGCGAAGACGCTACCTCATCAATGATCGGTCTTTCCCTTTCGCCCTCATAACCATATGAAGCTCAAGACAAGTCTGAAGCATGGCACGACCAAAGTAAGAAGGAGGGCGGTACCAAATAAACTCCAAGGATCTGACTGGTCGCAGATGTTTTGTGAGCGACCAGGTGAGCGGTAACCCCGGAGAATCACTCCTCTTGACATATCAAGATTTCCAGAAGACATTAGGACCCAGAAAGCAGCGAAAGAGAATGCCAGGGATCCTACCAATTTGGCAGCAAAGCTGTGGCTCTCATGCGCCCGGCTAATAGCAAGGACTCCCAGTCGTTGGGTTAGCAATACTTGTAGGCCGTAGATGAGAAATCCTTGGACGTATTTGGTGTGTAGAGAGGGCCTTTTTGACTTTTGCTTGGGTGTCGTCGATTCGTTCCTCTTGGATGCAACTCGAGGATCTGGAGCTTCGGTGGACGAGCTAGGTTTATCCGCACGTCCTGTTGTCATTGTTGCATCATCCGCCACCATGTCGTAGTCTGCGGATGAGGCATCTCCGGCCTCCAATGTTTCGTTTTCGATTTCTTTTGTGTCTGCGGAATCATCGGGGGGGAGCGGGAAGCTTTCAATCAAGGCCTGCATTCGGAAGTAGCTGGCATAGGCGAGAACGAAAATGAGAAGAGGATAGATGGTCGTGATCCACAGAGTGGGATTCCGAGAGTCATCAAGCCAGTCAGGCAGAGCCATTGTTTGTACAAGGCCTATCGAGTGGGGATGGGAATTCGAAAGAATCATGAAAGGAGAAAGGGAGGAGGCGAGGAGAGTCGACACCAACAACTTCATCCCACTTCCGCCAAGGAATTCGCATGCCTCATTTAACGCTGGCACTGCCTGGGCCGGTCTCAACGGCTGCCTGGGCTGACTTTCCGCGCCGCGAAAGGCCCGAGTCAGCCTCAGCGACCCATTGGGTCGGCAGCAGCAAGCGCCTAAGCAGGGCCACTAACGCCTTGCAAGAGCCGCCCCAGCCAAAATTTCCCCTTCTGTCCGTCGATATAGAACACTGGCGATCCCCGCCTAGTGCGTCTCGCATATCTCGCATCAGGTTCATGCCACATCCCGTTGACCGTGGCTCTATTGCCGTTGCCATTGCTGTTGCAGCCTGAATAGCTCAGGAGGTGAACCAAAATACGCTACGAGGGTCGGCCAGACAAGGGCCTCCTGGTCCTCCAAAACGCCCCTCAACGAACATATGCTGCCAACAGGGCTCCTTCAGTATACGACCTCCGTGGTAGAGGACATGGACCTCTCTGGCCGGAACTTCCACATCACGCACTCTGTCTCGCTGGAGAGAAACACTATTCTAGCCTTGTATATCATCCAGTTCCACGTCCGTCATGGATGGATGGTGTGGTTTAAACATGTTCTTTGACAATACCAGGCTACCAGCTGAGGTTGAGCACAGACGCCACAGATAGCCTTGGCCTCAGGGATAACCAGGCGGCCCTCCAAAGCCGACGTACTTCGACACAACCACCTCTTGAGACGTCTTTTTGTCGCGGTGGGGGGCTAGAACCGCATTGAGCTATCTTTAATGGAGACTACGAGCGCAAATTTTGAGGTATATAAAGCTGTCAACCGTTCAGTGATCAAATAAATCACTCGCATCAAGAGACACAGCACACCCAGAAGAAGAATACCAAGAATCTACCAGCTCAGCCCAGATTGCAACTGTCCTTCCGGTTCCAACTGGCCATCTAGTTGGAATAAGACATGACGTTTTCCACACTTGTCCTAGTTTTATTTTCTTGTCTGGCGTTGGGCACCGATGCATTCAAAGTTTCGTTCTACAAGAACACAAATTGCGCCGGCGAATTTCTCGGGACATGGGTTGGGGGAGAGGGACAAGGCTGCCGGCACGAATATGCGTATGCGCTCATGCAATCAAAGTAATGTATTGACTAACACATGATACTAGCGGCCTAGCTGAAGGCGTGGTTGTTGAGTCTACTGGTTCGGTCGACGACTCGACCATGGCGCAATTTTACAGCTCAGATGACTGCGCCCCAGGAACGGAGATCAGTCGGGCTAATGCTGGATGTATCACGGTGGACCAAAGCGTCGTCGGGTCATACAAGTCATTCCAGGTCGTACCCATCACTGCACCGGCATCATCTTCTTCTTTATCTGCACGCCGCTCCCCTAACCAGCGACGTTGTCCTTTCCCACTTTCGCCTGAGCCCAGAGCAACTCTACCAACCTCAAAAATATATCACGGAATGCAGGTATCATTCGACAATGCAGAATATAAACTGTATCAGATCTATGCCAACACGTACGTTGGCATTCTACCTGATGAGTGGGATGACTCCATCCATATTAGGAACGATACCAACTTGGCCCGTTACGAGCTTGTTGCAGACCTTATGAGCAAGAGAGTCGACGAACGTGATTTGGCCGACGCTCTTTGCAACACATTCGCCTCATGTGTCTCTACAGCAGCAGACGTAGGCGTTCAGATCAAAGATGCCCTCCCTCCGTTGATCGCTTCGCTGAAAACAGCAGCACAAGCACGTGGACAAAAGGTGTTTGATTTCTTGCAACAACCTTTCTTCACCCAAGTCGCAATCGGTGAGTTTTATATACCAGCGCTCTTCTGTTCATCTAGCGATCGAACGAGGCCGTCTGCTAACAGAGGGGAAATGCAGATACCGTTGCCGGGCTGATTCCTGGGGCCGTCGGAGGTGTCGTTCAAGCTGTCGTAGGAGCGCAGGTGGCAGGTAACACGAACAATGCCGCAGCTTGCTCTCAACAGAATGACCAAATCGACGCCCTTATATCGATCGTCAGTTCTCAGATATCTGCCCTGTCGGCGGCATCGGCGAAGATCACTGCTCAAGAGAACGACGCCGGAGACGAGGTCTTCACTGTCACAGTGACCGTTACGGCGTGCGGCACGACTCTTGGATCGGCAGCCTGCGGCGCCACTGGCGGGTTCTGTCCTTCATAGGGGCTGGATGTTGGTATTTGTCTCTATTTTGATAGCTTGACCGGTCCATGCGTCATTCCCATAACAGCACTGCTTTCACCGTCTTGCCGCTATGTATGTCACGCGTCGTCTTCTCAATATCCCTTGCCGGGTATGTTCTGATCAATTAATCATAAGGAAACTTCCCCTCCTCATTGGCCTTGAGGAGCATAGGCAAAAATTCCTGTGGGTAGCAGTCTCCCTGGGTGCAGCCAACGTAAGCGCAGCCACAGCACGCTAGTCAGCCGCAGGCTGTAGTACCAGCAAAAACACGCTGAAAATGGGAATAGATATATGTAGGTGCTCTGTCGGTGCTCCGTCTTTGTTTTTTGCGTCCGCATTCGACACTTGCTTTATGACGACAATCTGTTACCTTTAATCAGAACAAAAAGAAGCTATGGAGACTTTGCCTAATTTTAGCACAGGAAGAGCTGGCATCACCAAAGGTCTAATCACGCCTCTTGAGGGCGGATCGGAGATACCATACGCAATTCTCGAAGGTGGTCAGCAAGGAGGACCGGTATTGCTTGTGACTGCAGGAGTTCATGGCTCCGAAGTGTCGTCAATAGAAGCAGCTCTGCGTCTAATGCGTTTGGACGTGGAGAGTTTACATGGAACTCTGATTATTCTCCCGGTGGTCAACATCACAGGGTACCGGTCTCGAAGCATCTACATCATGCCTGAAGATGGCAAGAACCTTAATCGACAATTTCCAGGCTGTGCGGACGGCTCTACAAGCCAACGCCTGGCATTCTGGATCTCGGCAGCCTTTCCCAAGTGTGATGCATATCTCGACCTTCACGGCGGCGATCTCGATGAGGATCTCAACCCTTTCGTCATCTGCAACGAAGACAGCAAAGATTCAAGAGAATTGGCCTAGCACTAGGCTTTGACACGATTGTTGCCACACACGCGGCGAGGGGAACTGCCTCGGCAGCCGCAGGACAGTTGGGCATACCAGCTTTGACTCTCGAAGTTGGCCACAACGGCATTTGGTCTGAAGACACTGTCGCAATGCATTTTGATGGCGTCCTGAGGGTCATGGCCCACCTTGGTATGCTGAAATACAAGCCCACGCCCGCAGCAGCACCTTGCCCTCAACCAAATTTCGTCAAGTTATCTGTTCCTATAGCGCCAGTCGATGGGTTTTGGTATCCTCAGGCCGCAGTAGGTTCACAGATTACAGCAGGAGACACTCTAGGAGAAATTCGCGATGCGTTCAATAACGTACAAACTACTTCCACCAGTGATGTTACGGGCGAAGTACTTTATCTGCTGACAAGTCTATGCGTTAACGCAGGCGAGCAACTGCTGGGGATAGCCTATCCAGAGCCCGCATGATTGCAAACTTGGTTCTACAGAACTGGAGCAGAAAAATCGCTACATTATGTTAATCTAAGAGCTGACTCGTATACGAGGCCCAGATTTTGGAGTGAATGTGTATTTTAATGAAATCAGTCGGTGAAATTCCTGATCCGCTCGTTGTATGCTTGAAACGTGTAGTTTTGGATACTTCCCCGATTCTCACCACCTATATGCTTGCTGTTTTGATTAGGGCTACCTTTGTGCACTATCGGGCCTATTCGGGATTTTCTTCCCTCGAGGTTGCCATGTGCGAGGGTTTATTGCTTGCTCCCACCACCATTATGTGTAGGAGCCTATCGACTAAATTAGAGTGTTATAAAATCTTATCTCGCTTGCAACTTCATTTTTATTCTGCGCTATTGCTCCGTTGCAGGCCCCCAAACTCAGAACAGTACACCAAAGCTGCGCGCACAAAGGAAGTGTTATCTATGTGAAGTTCTGCTTTCTCCGCTATCGAGAAACATGTAGCCCAAAAAGCTATAAAAGGTGACTCAGGCCTCCTCCCATGATTGTCTGGACTCACTCACAAAACGGTCTCCGTTGTAGCAAACACTTTCGAGCACTATGGCGGCTATGGCTTTGCACAGATTTGCACCACACTTGAACGAGCAAAGTCTTCCCCCGAAACTCTCGACGAAGAAAGTGACTGACTAGAAATCCACTCTCACACAGCCCGTATGTCCAGATCTGCATCGTGTCGGTCACGCTTTTCGTCGGTCCAGGTCTTTATCTGGCTGTTGCCGTAGGTGCTGTCGGCGTCCATGATTAGGACTTTTATAGCTAACACATTCTTCAGTTGATTGGTGCTGGCGGTGGTAGAGCAACATCCCTCGACGTCGCCAACATCTCCAACGGCGTGCTGTACGGATGCTATGCCGTCGCAGCACCATTTGTGGGCCCCCTAATCAACTTGTTTGGTCCTCGCTGGACGCTTCTCTTATCAAGGATCGTTATGGTACTTTACCTCTGCAGGCCATTCGTGGTTCCCTTATGCTGCAGGGGCGTATCTCGGCATTTGCGCCGCCTATCTTTGGGTCACGGCTACGTACACCATTATGGCTTACCCTGAGGAGCGTGTCAAGGGCCGCTGGCGAGCTTTTCAGTGGTGCTTTATCATGGCTGGCTCCTCGGTAGGCGGAATCATCGCGCTGAGCATCACGTGGAACACCGGCAGAGAAGGCGTGTCCAACGCACTCTGCATCATCTTTATCACTTTGCAGTGCTGTGCAGTCGTGTTGTGCTTTTTGGTCCGCCATCCAATGCATCTGCGGAGAAGCGATGGCACGGAATTGGCAGAATTCAGACATCTTTCCGTCAAAGAATCTCTGGCTTACAGCGGTCGTCTGCTCACCGATTGGCGTATCATTTGCCTGGTACCGGCCATGTTTGCGCCTGAGATGTTTTTCCCACTTCAATCACATATCAACGGCTATGCTTTCAGCCTGCGTACTGCGAGAGCTGAACAGTTTTCTGAACAGTTTCATCCAGCTACCGGTCGGCCTTGGTCTGGGCTAATTCCTGGACAACCAACGGCTCGGCGATCGCAGACGAAGAGCCCTCTTTGCTATTGCGCTTGATGTGGTATGGATCACTGGAGCATACATCGCACAAACGGTCTGGCTAGCCTCGTGGAAATTCCGTCTATCAGTTCCTGGGCCAGATATTGACGTTACCGACTCTGCTTACGCCGGTGCCATTGTCATCTACATCTTCTTTGCCGCCCAATATTCTCTGTTCCAGAATGTGGTCATCTATGTTCTAGGTGCCATTACCAACGATCCTCGGAAAGCAGCCGCATTGTCGGGGTTGCTGGTCGGCCGTAAGTTTGTCAATGCCCTCCCAGGTCATATTTTGAGCTGACAAACAAATCAAGTCCAAAGCTCTGGTACAGCCGTATCGTTCGGTGTCACTGCAACTGCAAAACCACTCATGAATCAAAATATAGCCTACTTTGCACTTACCACGATTTGCTGGCCGCTCCTTGCTTTTGTCGTATGGAAGGGCGTAACGGTTACCACCTACACAATCGAGGCTGCAGAAGGAGTCATACCACCAGTGAAAATCGCGCAGGAGCTACACATCGACAAAAGCGTAGAAGTCGATATAGCTCCGTCCACTGTTGGCGATTTGAAGTCTTGAGACTAGGCCACAAACGTCCGCAATGCTTCATGTGGTCTGGACAGAGCTCAGAAGAGAAACAAGTGAAGCAAAGTGGTTGGTGGGGAGGTGGCTTCGACCAAAACTTACTTAAATTCATCTAGATTCTAACTAGCCCTTGATCAAACCTCCTCCCAGAGGACAGTGTCGAGCAAGTTGAATAAGAATTAGCTCATTCATCCTAGCAGTACTCTTTACCATGTTCGATGCGGTGGACAGCATACAACCGCATGCGGCCCGAATATGTAAAATACCCAGTATCTTGTATTCTCCCATCGTTGGCCGTATCTAGAGCCACTACGTATACTGGCCCATTCTATACTTCATTTGACAGGTCCGAAGAAGATCGCGAAGTGAAAGTATCTGTAATGCTTTTGCCATGCAAGCATGTATTTGAGCTATTCGAAGACATGGTTTCTCACTCAATGCCAAACGATGACACAGACACATAATTAATACGGGCATCAATGCTCGAAAGACCATAATGACTTCTCCGGCTCCTTATCTACCTTAGGGATTTTGGGCTAGTGCAGCAATTCTCCCTCCTTGAGGGCGGGAGGAAATTTCTCCGACCGACGTTGTGACCACGCTATTGTAGTTCGATGATGCTAAATCTTTGCATAACTTTGCGCTACATTCGAAGCGCTCTGACCATGTCACGGTCAGATTCTATATATTTCCTTTGTTTAATTCTCGGTCGATGATGGTGGCTACTGCCAGCAGTTTTTCATCTTCATATGGCCTTCCCACAAGTTGGAGAGCAATAGGCATTTGATGGTACACATTTGGATCATCTTGCACATTTTGATTAGCCAATCAAGAAACTTGGTACCGAGTTTCTAGTATCCGACTTACAGAGATGGTGATTCTCTTCATCGATCTCATTCATGGGGACATAGGCGCTGTCTTTGGGATGAAGATCTTTATCGACAACTCCCACTGGAAGAGTAATCCCAGGATAATCGAGTATGTTAAATTGGCTGGTATAGCCCCACCATCTTTTTCCAACTATTAGCAAAATCGTCAAAAGCATGGGTGGACATAGCTTACGGCAGAAAGTCATGAGGAAAGCTTGTACTGGCAGACACTGGGCAGAGCAATGCATCCATGAGTTGTCCAGAGTCGGAAGTCTGGGCCGTTGAATTCCAATGATGAAGATACTCCATCTTGTACTCGTCTCTAGCTGCATGAAGCTTTTCATATAGTCAGTAAACAAAGATAACCGTCTACGATATCGTAGTCGAATGGCCCCCCACCTCGAAAAGTTCCGTTACTGTTGGCTCTCGTAGAGAGGGTGCGTTGCTCATCTTCTTGGCTGCTACGGGCCAGGGCTCTCCAGTCACCGCAAGCGCAGCTGCCATCTCTTTGCCTCCGGTAGGATAGTAGAGGGGGTACTAGGTTCTGAATCAGCAAAAGATAAAGTAGATGCACAAGGGACAAACGCACTAGAATGTCCCAGCAACGTTGAGATTGGTACGGCTCAAAGCGGATCACTGTGGTTCGTCAGAAAAGTTCAAATCAGTGGCAATTTTTTTTTTTGGATAAGATACCGTCATGGCCAGCAGCCTTCAGAGTCGCTTCAGCCTTATCCAGTGCGTCCAGGATCGGCGGATGTGGTCGGACGACGCCATCCGACTTCATCACGCCAATTACCAACTTTCTGCCGATCGTCGGCATCGTTTTCCAATCCATGGCAACGACATTAACATCGAGATACCAGGGCTTTGCTTGGGTCGCAACTCGACAAAACAGGTCCAGGCCTCGCACCGAGTGAGCCATCGGACCAACCACCGCGGGGATTGCGATTTGTCCTTTGTGCACGCTTACACCTCCCTGAAAGCTCAGGCGCTTTGCAGTGGGACGAAGACCATAGATTCCGTTGAAAGCACAAGGGATGCGAATGGATCCGCCAATGTCCGATCCTATCCCAATCATAGAGCCTCGTAGAGCAATGAGGGCACCTTTACCACCAGAGCTGCCTCCGCAGGTGAGGCTGCGGTTGTATGGCGAAACTGTTCTGCCCCAAAGATTGCTGATCGTTTCGAAGATCTTGATAAGAATTTATTATTCCCCGTCTTCCCTGAAACAAGCTGAGTAGTTCTCACCATTCCCGTCACGGGCATTGTCGTCTTGACAAAAACGATGGCTCCAGCATCCTGCAAGGCCTTGACCAGGACAGAATCGGACGTGGCAATATTGTCGGCAAACATACAATAACCACCAGTCGAACGCTCACCAGTCACGTTCAAGTGGTCCTTAACACTCAATGGCAGGCCGTGCAGAGGACCCATTGGAGATCCCGTACTCTTCAAGTGATTATCTAGCTTCCTGGCGGCATCTATAGCCTCATTAAAGCGAATGGCCGTGAGACAGTTCACCTATGTGGAAAGTCATCGATCAGGATATTGGCCAAGCCACCGTGACAACGAACAGAACAGTCTGACCTACCAGTTGATGAGCAAGCGCAGCACGTTTGCAAAAAACTCTCATCGTTGCCTCGGCAGACCATTCTCCTGTGCGCAGGTGGACCAACAATTCTGTCGCGTCACCAACGCTAGTCATCATGAGCTCCGATTCTGAGAGAATCTTGCTTTTTGATATCACGTCGGAAACATTGGAAATGCTTGATGTTATCAGGTCGTCCTCCAGTCGCCATTCTGAAGGGATTTTGGCTCGTAAGTCTTCTTGTGCCGACTGTGATGCTCATTTCAACTCAAGTTCGAGATGGCGAACATGCGTGTAGGAAAATGCTTACCTGAGCGATTGTTTTCCAGTTACCAGTATGTTGGGAGATCATGATATGAGATTGTGCCTGGACAGATTTTATCACTTGTGTTGTGGCAGCCGATCACGCAGGCCAGGGTGGTTTCTTTATAGGTATCTTTTTACATCTGTGTAATTGTGGTATCTGCCCTGCAATGAACCTAAAAGGTTAACACTAACGCCTGTTGTCAAGTTCATTGCCTATTTGAGCCTTATCTCGCTTAGGATTACCCGGAAATTGGAACCTTTCTTCTAGCAAGAAAGTGTTTACGTTCAACCAATACACCAAGAACGCTAACCATCTTATTGAGCACTGGTAATCGAGTGTGATGCACGAAATGCATGTCAATGGCGTACCAAAGGCGGAATTTAGGTGGACAAAGGGTGAAATTGAGCCTGAAATACCCGTCACGAAGTTGCTTGGGCACTATCTCTGATTCAGAGTCATCGTCATCACTTTCACACTTGTCAGATAAACTGAATTCTCCATCAATGGAGATTCTCTCGGCTCGTACTTCCATATTAGAGCTCTATCCTAATATGCTTGGGTATGGCTATATGTACTGTATAACTTCTGTCTCTCCCGAATGTGCCCTCCCACCCGGGGGACAGTCTGGATGTGTCCATCCCTTTTAGTTTTCTCTCTCTGTTCGTCCCGCTTAATATGCTCACGCTCAAGTTCAAGCCCAGATCATACCATGCCATGCCATGCAATGCTATACTAACAAAAATACAGGCGCCTGGCTATGAATGCAAAGTTGCAAAACACCGGGGGGGTATCAAAAGACTGCTCTCCTTGTGGGCAGCCCAGCCCTCGTACAAGTACAATCCACACGATAACGACCATCAGACCCACTCATGGTTTTTCACCAGAATCATGTTTGTCAGTTCTTCTCGGCTTGAGCAATTCAATTCAATCCCGGTGTCAGGAAGAAGACGAGTGCTCCTTCATCCGCACCATCAGGATACGGAGGACTTCGTCCTCCCAGTCGCTCAGGTCGAGCCACTCGGGCACGATCATGCGGGTGGGCGAGATCAGGATGCTTGCGCCTTCGACAACCTCCTCGCCGAGCTCCTGCTCGCGGCGGGACTTCTTGCTCGATGACTTGGTTCGTTTTTTCTCCACCTCGATCGGGTGCGGGACACGGTCGGCCGAGGAGAAGGTCACCGCGCGGCTGATGCTCCTGGTTATTTCGGGGGATGTGGCGTCGGTGCCAGCAATGTCGCTGTCGGCGCCGCCCGTCTCGGTGGTGGTGTCCGAAAGGTCCTCCGCCGACGGCACGAACTCGGCGCCCTTCTCGACATCCCCTTCGACCTCCCCGGTCTCCAGCAACTTCCGGGCCAACCGCGCCTTCCGCCTCTCCTCCCGGAGGTGCTTCAGGTCCACCGGCGTCCACCAGTACACCGGGTAGCGCCGGCCAGAGAAGTTGTTCACCACCAGCGCGCTGGCCAGCATCAGCATGGCCGCCAGCAGGACAAGGGGCAGTAGCCACCATCCCAGGTCTTGGATCTCCACGTTCGTCGCGGCCAGCAGCGCCGTGGCGCCGGCGGGCGGGTGGATGGTCTTTGTGAAGCTCATGGCGATGGACGCGCACCCGACCGAGAGCGCGCCCGCGAGCCACCTCAGATCCTCAAACCGGTCGGGCGGCAGCAACAGAAACAGCTTGGTGATGCCCACGCCAACGATGGCGGACAGAAAGTGGCCGAACACCAGGTTCCGAGGCTGAGCCAGCGGCGATTCGATGGTGTTGTACTCCAGGATCGCCGCCGCGCCGAACGACGCTATGACAATGGGGACGGTGTGGCCCGACAGCTGGGGGAGCGCGAGGAAGACATTTTCGATGATGGCGACGCCGCAGAACGCGCCGACCAAGATCGAGAGGTAGAGGAAGAAGGTGTGGAGGTGGTAGGTGTAGAACCACTCCGACGGATGGAAGTACTCGAGGTATGAAGCGGGGAGGAAGCAGAGGCAGGGGTGATGTGCAACTGTGGATGATGGAGAGCGGTAGCCGAACCAGTATGAGACCCAGGAAGGCAAGAATCGCAGGGGGTTACGCGGGATGAAAGGATTGAGGTAGTTGTCGATATCGAATGGTGGTATGGGCTTCGAGCCGACTTTGTTTGTGGGCTTAGCAGGGTGAGGCTTGCCTGGGCCGTTGGCGGTCTGTTGTTGAGGCATGGCTGGCTTGCCTCTGTCGGCGTCTCGAGACAATTAAGTCCTCCTGGTTTCTTGGAAGAGGCGTCTTGATCTTTGCCAATGTGGGAAGACCAAAGGGGGCAACAAAGGCTTTAGATATACCTATACACCAGGAGGTGAAAACCACCTCCGCGACCGAAGTTCCAGCGAGGCGGGTAAACGATTGGACTGGGTTTGAGAAAGCAGCGAGAGAGTGTCGAGCAGGTCAGATCAGATCAGATCCCAGGCACCCCTTGGACCTACCGGATGGGAATGAGCCGCGAAGTTCCCAGAGAAAAAAAATCATGTCAGCCGCCAGGAAAAACGGCAAGGCCACGACTTTGAAGCTGGGAGGAGGAGACGTCGAGACAACCTTGGGCGAGGGCATTTTTTCGCTCTCCACCCTCGTCTCAGCCAGTCTCGCCGTATGAGCGACCCCATTTTCTGCATGCAATGAATGTCACGAACTCCGCGGTTTTCTGGCTGACGGAAAAGGCTGTTTGTCAAGTGTTACATGAGAGAAATATGACGACTGGCAGAGCTGAGTTAATTGTAGTCATGGAAATTCCGGAATGGGTTTACCAGGGGGCCAATGGTGGGTAGAGTGCCTAGACCCAAGAGGGTGAAGAGATCTCTGGGGTAGATGGAAAAGAGCAAGAGGGGGGCGACAGTAAAGCAGCAGGGAGCGGAGAGGGATGGAAGGTATAATTTAGCCATATATAGAGTCGGTCATATTCGTGGTGGGTGTAAGAATGGAGCAATGGATGAGGTTCTCGATGTTTGCGGGGGAGAAAAGAACTCAAAGAAAGTCAGACGTGCCGCTTTTTCGCTTCGGGTGTGTATAGTGCCGGGCTTAAAGCGGCAGAGTAAAGCAGCAATCTGGCAGCCATAAAGCAGCCGGCACCATCTGCACCAACGGTATTCGTTGAGCCGGAATGCACGGCCGGAGTTGCATCGATGACGCACGACAACTAACTGCCTCCGGCGCCCAGTGACGTCGAAAACCGCGCATTGACTAGACGCCCAAAAAGGAAGCAAGAAAAGCAGCAACCGGCAAACCACATCCTATGACATAATTAATACTCTGCTAAAGTCCCTGCTTGTGGTGGTGCCGGCACGTGATCTCGCGCCGCCTGCGCCCGCGTCCTGCCAGTCTCTGTCAAACCTCCCGCACAGCAACTACACTTTCACCCTCGCCAGCTCACTGCGCACTGGAATGTTTTGCTCGGGATGTGGCTCCGGAAACCCCTCAAGGTCGACCCCCTTCCTGAACATCAAGCAATGCGTCGATCCTCCGAAATGGAACATGCCAATCTCATCGCCCTTCTTGACGTGCTGCCCTTCCTTGACCGTCATCTCGCAGGTCGACACTTCGCACATGCCCACCCCTATAAACGCCATGAGCCCAATGGCTGGATTGTCCGCTTCAATGAACATGATTGCCCTCGTGGCCGTGGCCGTCAGATATCCCTGGCTGGTCACCTCTCCCACGGGGTCCGCTCCCTGGTCGACTGTGAAGTCGTCAAACAGCGGTTCGGAGTAGTACGTCCCGTCCACCACGTATGCCTTGACCAATGTGCCAGAGACGGGCGCGTGCCAGCGATGATAGCTCAAGGCGCTGAGAAAAGCCTGGTACACGATGCCCCCCACAAACTGTTCTGCCCAGGGATCCTGCGCCAGCATGTCGATGACCGAATATGGCTGTCCCTTCAGCCAGAAATGGTCTCGGGCCTTGACGTGCCGCGCCACCTTGAATGTCTTGGACTCGCACGCGTTCGCAATCACGTTGTCGTCCTCCGGACTGGCCACGGGTCGAGCCCCTTCCTTGAATAGCCGGGTGAAGAAGTCATCCCATGACTTGTAGCCCATGTGAGGCGCTGATGGATCGCACTGGAACAACTCCTCGAACTTGTAATCTGTTTTGCCTAAATTGGCCGTCGTGGTGAGCTCCTGCTGGCCATGTCGACCGAACCAGCTTCCTTCGGCGTCTTTCTCCAACACCTTGGCTGATTCCGGGGAGCGAAGATAATCCCCCCAGGCGTTGAGCACCTTCTTCAACATCTTGTTCACATCCGGATCGAGAAACGCCGCATATCCCGAAGCTGTGCCCATGGGCCAGTCGAAGAGGGCGTTGAATGGAAGACCGACCAGGCCCACGCGAGCGGAGCTCTCGGACCACGACGGCGGTGTGGTCAATATATGGTTGATGACGCGAAGCATGTGGTTGTAGTCGCGGACTTCAGGGTGGCCCTGGCCGCGCGGGTCATTGTTGTAAGGCTCCTTGTTGGGGACTTGCTCGAACATGGACTCAAACAGCATGTACACTCGTGTGTTGTTTTCGATCAGCTCCTTGAACTCGACCAGGACCGGGTGGAGGTCCTTGGGGTTCTGGTCGACATGTTTGATGACGCCGCCGAGCCATTCGCGGTGGATTTCATGATCGGGCAGCCAGTCGCCCACTCGCTTCTGTCTAGGTACTCAGCGTGTCAGCGCTTTCAGCTATCGCCTTTTTCCAGGTGTGGTGCCGGTCGTGGTGGTGTAGAGCTTCCTCCTTACCTGTGATGTCGATTGTTCTTCATGGCGCACGTTCGGAGCAGTGACAATGCCTCGCGGATGAGAAACTACTTCTACCTCTCCCAATAGCAGAATTTCGAGGAGAGGGTTTAAGGACAAACTGCTTGTAAGTGATACCGCGGAGTTTTGAGGTCCGGGCTTCCAGTGACACGTCGATTGCGTGGAAACGTCGAGTGGCATGACAGGCCACGACTTGCGTAATCGTCGCAAACTCTCAATACGTCACTGGCCGGGGAGTCAGTCCATCAACATGTCCATCTCCATCTCCATCTCTCCACCGACACCATGTCAGGAACGTGTCAGGGCGCACGATCCAACAAGAAAACAAGAATGAACAAGCGAGAGTCAAATGCAACGGCAACCCTGAATCCCTGTATCATACCTGTGACATCCATTCTGTATTTCGGGCGGTAATTAGATAGATTTATATCGTCTTTTGAGTTGGCCAGGGGGATCCTACATGATAATCACTCCCATGGGCCATATCAGGCCTGCCTTTTTTGTCCGTACAGTTCCTGCTGCACATTTCACCTTAAGCCACCATTCCCCAAACTCCATAACCCTCTCACTAATGCAATGCTTGCTTTTCTGCCCCAAGTTTCAGCTTTTTCCACAGGAAGGTGACACAAACAACCAGGTTTTGCCAAATTTCTCGCCCTGAATCAATCATTCAATCAGTTCCAGTTCTGCCAAACACACTCACACCCCCCTGTCCCCCCGTCGATCCCGCCCGCTTCCTGGTCGAATCCAGGGTCGTCGCTGATCGTGCCATTCACAAGGCCGGGCGCTGCATTGATCAACGTCCCCCCAACACTTCTGAACTCTGGCACAATCGTCTTGATGTCGGACTGGATGACCTGTAGTTGGTCAACCCCGTAACAATACACGGCTTTCTTGTTGACATTCCCCCCGTGTCGATCGATGCTGATTGTCGTCGGGTAAGGGAATGAGCCTGGTCGACTGAAATCGGTGGCGGAGTTGCCGCTCCCTGCATCGGTCGAGTTGGTTCCATTGGAGGCGGGAGGCAGCAGTGTTGCGCCAAACGCCGGGTTCGTCCACATGCGGACCAGGAATCTCGTCTGGCTGAAGGTGCATCGCAACCGAGACTGATCGCGGGTGGAACCCCCGTTCTCGTCCTCAGGGTCAACTCCATTGTCGTCTGCAAATTCCGACGTATTCAGAGCCGCCGTCGAATGCAAGAAGATCGCCTTATCGTAGTAAATGTAGAACCCGTAATGCTCGTCCGCTTGACCTCTGTTGTACAGTTTGATGGGCTGGGACGATGGGTATGGGTCACTAGGGAGGAGGTTGGCAGGCGCAGCACTGCCGTCGCTCAGGACGTCAGGAGCCGGGATGATATCCGAAGAGTTCGTCGACTGACGCCTCCGAAGCTTGGAACCGGTCGAACTAGATGCTGTGGCCGTGGCATTTGAAGGATCAATGGGAAACACTGGAATGAACGTGATGTAGAATGGTGTCTGTTCGCCCTCGAACGGCTGGGTGATATTGTCGGTCGTGTTGCCGATAAAGATTTGGTCCGCACGGCTTGGTGGCGTCGGATTAGGATCGAAGAGATCGTTCGTAAATGGATCGTCCGCCCGTCTGCGCAGGCGCGCTTCTGACCTCTTGCTCAGCCCTTGTACGGGCACCGTCATGTTCGCTGGCACAGTGCCATTTCGAAAGGTAATCTCGAATCGAAAGTTCGGCTGATCGGGAGAATTGGGGGCTACTTCGAACTGCTCCTCCTTGGGCAGCGCGCAGCTCCACATTGTATTGGGCGCCACGCATTGGGACTGCTGTTTGACAGCGTCAGGTCTGGCTATGGTCGATATGCCCGTGGGAATCGGAGGATAGCCAGTAAGGTTCAGCCACTGGCTCTGCACAGGAGTGCCGTCGCCTGTCCTTGTGAGGAGGGTGGCGAGGAGAACACATGCCAGGACCACAAGGAACAAGATACTGCCGATGATGAGTGTCCAGCGGTGTTTCTTCTTCTTGTCCGCCTCGTCCTTATCACCCGCCTTCTTTCGACGAAGGAGCCCTTTCAATTTGGTTATCAGATTTTGCTTTTTGGGGGCTTCCGGTTCTGGAGTGACTGGTACTTCCTGTCGTGCAACTTCGCGCTTTTGACTGACTCCTTGGCCCAAGGTGGTAGATTCGAGTCGCTCCATGGCCTCTCTTCTTGCCTCCCGAACAGTGGAGTCATCTCCATTTGCGTATCTTTCACTATAGAACGTGTGGTTATGTATTGTGACTGATGGTGGCTGCGTTGGCGCCTTCTCTTGTTGTTGATCTGATGGCATTGTTTGCTCCAGCAAACGTGGTTGACCAGGTTGATGGTCAATCTGTGTCATGGGAACTGCACCCTGAGACGTCATTGTATGATGCATTGCTGGGGAGACAGGCCCCGGTGACAAGATTGGCGGCTGGGCCGCAACAGCTGCGATACTGGGATAATGGGCTTCACGACGAGGTTGTTCCATGTCTGGTACCGACCGCTCTTGTGCCTGTGAGCTTTCAACTGCATGCGGCATTGGTGGGGTGTCCTCTTGCTGATGTGGTTCCCCTTGGGTGAGATCTGGAGTTTCCACCGACTTTGCCTTGACAACTGCGGCGGTTTCGGCTTGTCTAACATTGGGTGACAATTCGTCAGGCTCGGAATGGATGGAAAGCACACGCCCCAGCTCTCGCTCTTCACTACTGGGAGCGTGAGCACTGCCCTCAACGTTATCATCCACTTGCCTCGAAGCAGGAATGTCTTGGGAGGCTTCAGAGAAGACTCCTTTGTCGAAAATGGAATGTAGCTTTGGCAATTTGCTGGCGCAGGAATGATTTTGGCACTCGAAGTACGGAACGCCCGTCAATTGTTCGATAGCACACGCATGATAGTATTCTGCTGCAAGTCCTTTGGTGAAGTCGACTACAGGCCATGCTGGGATCGGGTTGGCATCTTGTGCTAAACCAGCGGATTGGTCAAGGTCGGGGTGAGGTAGGGCGGGTGGAGGGGAACGGATGTTCCCATCTCTTTCCCTTTCCCATGTTGTCCACCTAGACCAAACGCTTGCCCTGGCGCTTGCCAGCCCGATCCGCCGAGGTGTCTCTGGAGATTCGGAGGTGAGGGGAGAGACGATATCACTTTTGGATAGCCGTACATCGGCCGGCAGCGAAGGAACTGGAGGGGTCTCTGGGCTCTTGCTGTTTCCTTTCTCTACCATCGTTCCCTTCCTCGAAAGCATGGGCGAGAGCATAAGATTCCACCAACCCTGCGACTTGTGTCGTCTGCTTTCTATGTCTGTTTGGAGAATTCGTTCTTGGCTATCGTATGACATCCTTGATACCTCTTCCAAAGACTGGCGATCTTGTTCGTCGTCACGGTCGTTGTTCCCGGCAAACGTTCGATTAGGTTCTTGGACGGACCGAAAAATGCTTGCGCCTGCGGTTGCCTGAACTTGGTTATCGTGTTGTACGTGCCCCAAAGGGATCTTTGGCACCGGAGGCAAGTTACCGTGCTGGATCTGCATTTCACTGCGCGTGTGCAGAGAATGCGTGCTCGATATAGGGCGGTCTTTGGCGAAGAAGGATGGTTTCCAGGAGTCCGTTTCTTCGGCTGGAGTGACCACAATTGCAGGTGTATCGGGCGTGTTCGCCGAGTAGGCTTTGCTTGCTCCACCGGCAGAACGGTGTGCATCAAGTTCATGCTCAGGGACACTCATTCCTATAACGATTGATCGGGCGCTGGGAGAGTAATCGTTTATGGCGTTGGCGGGTTCTCGGAGCTCCTGCTCTTCAGCCATCGCACGAACTTGTCTGGCAGTATCCATCATTCCCGCCGCCCTCGACTCCTCCCTCGCATTTCGTGCTGCTTGCGATTCTTGCAACTTCGAAACAGCTTGTCGGGCAATGATCCTCTTCAACTCCTCTGCTCTCTGATTTGGCGATCCGTCCGAATCGTTATTAGCATTAGGTTCGGGCACCGAGTGGCTTACATGCTCAGCCTTCGCCGACATGATGGACGTGGCGTATCGTGGGCCAAGTCGAGGTTTTTGAGATTGTACTTGATCTATAACCAGCCCATCGGTTTGTGCCCTTTTAGCCTGCCCCGAGAAGTTGGTGACAATGTTCAGTCCTGGTCGAGTCTTCTTGTCGGGTCGAGCTCCAGTCGACTGCTTCTGATGTCTTCGTCGACTAGACTGTTTGCGACTTGGTCGTGAAGGTTGTCCATTTCTGGCCGTTTCTTGACTATATCTCTCGAGATGAAATTCATCTTGCCCACTCGAAGATCCGGTGTCGTCATCGGAGGAGCTGGAAGCGAAGGGGTTTGGGGAAAAGAAGGTATCATTTGATGCTAACGTGACGCCGCCATTGACGGGCTTGAACGTTGTAAGAGGCTCTTGGTGAGGAGACGACAGGGGGAATGCTGGAATAGCGCTGAGTTGGCGATGTTCCAACTCCGTGCTCTTCAATGTTGCGCCGTGACTGCGGGAGTTATCGAAACCGACAACCATTATTGATGATGCAAGGTATCTGGAAAAGTTGACAGCGTGTGGAGGTAGACTTAAGGACAAATTTTGGCATGGCTTCTTCTCATTCTGATGAGGATCGAAGTGGTTTTCTAGGCTTGTCGTTGTAGCCTTTTATTCATTGTTAATGATTTTGAGTCAATATCAGTTATCCTGGGTGAATCAACGAGTGAGACCGTTTCAAGTGGGCAGATTGCGCGTCTTGTGAGTCTGAATGGATCCTGTCGACAGGATCACCGTAGATTATTGTACAAGAAACAGAATAGGAAGGAAAGAACAATAAGGAAAAGGATGAGAGTGAGGTGAAAGAGAAAGGAAACTTCCTCGTGGTATCACTATTTGACCTGATCCGAGGCGGAGATCGGTCTGGCAGAAAAGGATTGGGAGACGCCTCATCGACGATGTTTACGATCGCAAAGGTCTCTCCACGTCTGGCGGGGATTATTCTCAGACGAGGCTCCGCTGAGGCCTGCCAGGCCCCATTGTTTGTCTGAGGCTCTGGTCTGCGACACGTTTCCTTGGATCTGAGCATGCGGCTGGCAGAGTGTCCCAAACATAGATCTCGCCGGAGAATGGGGACCGTGGCATGGCATCTGGTCTGGCGGCTAGGCCTGTCTTCAGAGATGATTGCTTCAGGTGGGAAGGCCGACGATGACTGGAGGAGGAGAAGGGACGTCGAAATTACGCGCGCGGTCAATAATGTTGGACCAGATGGAAGAGCTTCGAGAGCCAATCAGAGTCACGCGTCATCGGATTACGTAATGCACATTGTTTCACAAGGCTGTGACACCAAAGGTTTCGACAGCTCATACGGTTGTGGCAAGGGAAAATAGAGTCAGGTACTATGTGTAGCTTGTGGCTTTGTATCTCCAAGATTCATATACAGAGACCGTATCGGCCGTAGTCTGAAGAAAATCCAACCTATCTACCAGTCGAGAAGCAAGTCTCTAGCTTCGACCTCGAATAGGTGTCGCAACCCTATAAATGCGACCTGAATGGGCTCGACAACTGTCCAGCCCCAATGGTTTTGCTCCGTTTCCCAAAAACATATCCCGTTGACCATGGTATCATGAATCAATTGATTGATCCTACCCCTCCAGAGCCCAGATGTCGTGCCTCTTCTCTGAATGTCCGAGGCTTTTGGCTGAAAGCTCCACAATTCCAGTGTAATGCACAGATGAATCAAAATATCAAAATAAATAACCCAAAGAAAATATAGCCGGCCGTGGGGGGGATCCCATGGCCACGTGAGATAGCCCTACCGCCGGTCATCATATTGTATACCTTGCATCGAGGTGCTGTTCATTATCGGTGGAAGTGTCCGTGCTGGCTCGCTGGAGCCATCGATATGGTTGTTAAAGTGAGGCCCGTACCCGAGGGGGCTCTGTGGCATCACGGTCGGTGGGGGTGGAAAAGACCCCTGAGGTTGCTGTATACCCTGCATTTGTCGACTCATTTCGTGCATCTTGGCTTCAAGTTCAGCCATCTTCATCCGCTGGCTTTCAAACTCGGCTCGTGCTTGCTTGTTCTGACTTTCAAGCTGCGCAATATAGTCAATGGCTTGGAAAGATTAGCGTCTGTCTCGATCCATACTATGGCCCACAGTTACTCACCTCGTGACAACGTTTCCCACTTGCTTGACTTGTTATTTTGACTCTGCGGTAATCGACTTCTCAGCTGTTCAAAACAATCCTTCATCTCACTTCGTCTCTTTCGTTCGGCTAGCTTGTGAGTGACTCGAAGTTCCGGTGTGCGACTGTAGGGTGTGGTTCCGTTTGGAGAGTCGGGATCGCCTCGAAGACTTTCTAGTTGTTTGTGCTGTAAACTGTGATGGTGAGTGTCGGGTAATTCTGACCTCTGTTAGATTGAAAACGAGTTCCGTGCTTCTGCCATGCTTACCGTGCTGCCCTAATGGTAATCTGTTAGATTCCATTGTCAAGATACTGCTGGAGAACGAATCTGCGAAGCTGTTCCTGCGCGAGTACGTGGAAGGAGGTCCTCCTGGCGGCCGAGGCGCGTCTGGATCAGGAAATGCATATGCTTGCCCTCGAGTCGGGGCTTCTGCGCTGTAGACCTCCTGTTTGGGGTTCTCAAGAATCGGGGGTGCCACTCGTCCTGCGGCGAAACCACTTCTTCCACCGCGATTCGACCCAAAGGACGAGATTGGGCCGTTCATTGTCGAATACCGTCCGCCGCCGCCGGCATACCCGTTTGTCTGAATACCTCGCTCCCTTTGAAGGCCCGAGACGAGAGATGTTTGAGAGGCATTGGTGCTGGTATAGGGAGACGTGGGACCGAGCCCGAGGTTGTTCATGCCTGTGTGTATGTTTGAAGCAACACTGCTCCTCCGCGAGTCGTCAAAATCGCCGCTACCTCGGTTCGGATTGGAGTTTGGGTCTGACGTTGGCGCCGGGAGTCCGTTGGGTTGCGGGTGCAAGCCACCGTTAAAGGGAGCTGGAGGCGCGGAGGGGTTGTCTGGGGTGTAAGGGGATGTACCTGCGCCGGTTGGGGAGTGGGCAGAGTTCAGGTACGGCATCGAATTCGTCGAAGACCCTGAAACTATGTAGTAGATGGTTAGCAAAAGACAACTGATAATTGGCAGAAATCGAGCACTGACGGGTACCGGGAGTCATCCAACTTCCCGAATCTCTTTGGGGCGGATGAATTGAGAGATCTGATGGCGCTCTGTCTAGCGGTTGGACTGGGAGCTTTGAAGTCAAAGAAGCTATTGAAGGCAATGTCTGAGGAAGGCTGGGAGGGGGATTCGATTCCCAGGGACGGTGGCTCGTGGTCTCCATCATGGTAAAGCTGTCGAGAGGTGTGTCGAATATGATCAGCTCAGATGGCGAGCAGAGACTGCCTAATCGCGCATATGGCGCTCAGCGACGGTTGGAAAGGCGCCTGACTCGTCGCTCGAATTGCTTTCGGTTTAGAAATTTATTGGTTCGTAGAATCCGACAAATAAAACGTCAGGTGCAATTTGGTGAAAAAAGTGATCCAAGGACGCTGACACTGCAGCGGTAAGTGGCACAACGCTCTCTAGGCAAGATGCGACGACCCAGCGCAAAACGAGCTCTAGTAGCGAGTGATCGGGGCGGGATCAATGCGCTTCGCAGGGTGGAAACCAAACTCGATCACTGGATACCCGTGTTAAAGAAGTCGGATTCTTGATCGTCCGAGTGTCGAGATTATCTTGTCCCCCAACCGCCAGACACTTTGCGAGAGAGTCTGTGCCAGAACGGAGAGCGCCCGAGCTGGTGTCCTTCCAATCTTCCGCTGGGCTCAAGATCTTATTCAGAAAACGTGGACCGGGAGATGCTGTGGAGCCAGATCGAGGGCATGCAGCTTGCCAGAGGAAGGGCAGGGAGAGGACGATGTTCAGTCTGGCGAGTTCACGGGATCGGGTGTCGCACAGAGGAGCGGTCGGCGGAAGATGGCAGAGGAGGGATTTGATCTGGTTGCGGTCGATTGCAGAGAAGGTCGAAGATGGTAGATTGATTCGGTGAAATGTGTCTGAGATAGCGACCTTGAGGGGCAGGCCAGTGGTGGCGCCAGGAGAAGAACGGATCAGGACAGGATGAGGTTGGATCGACCCCAGAGGTTCGGAGGAGGGATGTTCACTTTTGTGCAGAGGGTCCGGAGAGTAAGAAGAGCGCAGGTGGGCGGCGCGCAGAGACAGGGGGTGTGAATGATAGGATGGGATATTTCTGTCGATGGACTGGTCAAAGCATGTGCTCCGTATACTTTCGCTATGGCAAAAGGGAAAAAAGGTTGAGCCAAAGGCCAAAGCCGAAAACAAGTTTCAGAGGCAAAAAGAGTACGTTGCAGAAGAGTGTTAGAGAGAGTCGAACGTGGACGTGGAGACGGAGATGGAGATGGAGATGGAGATGGCAGGCCCAATCCAATGCCATGGCCGTGGGCAAATCCACTCTTCCATTTTGGCATGCGATACTGGATCAAGCCATCAAATCAGGTACGTGGTGGTCGAATCCGAGTCGACATGGTAGAGACGTTCTTTGACTAGATCGGGGCTATCAATTGGAATTGGGGGAGCTCTGGTGGTTGCTTTGGGCTGCTGGCTGCGTGGATGCGTGGGTGCAGGGTGCTGGGTGGCGCCCCGGCTTTCTCCCTCGACACCTCTTCCCTTTTGCAGAGCCGACTAGATTGCTTTGGGTATTTGCTGTGGGCATTGACATTTGAAGACAGACCCTCAACTTCCCCAGGCAGGTATCTACTGGTGGCCTACGACACGATGCCGTGGCCGGTCTAGCACCACTGCTACCGGGGCGTTGGGTAGGTGACGGGACAATTTTCGAAAGGATAAGAAGACGGTTGTTGCGTGGTGCCGCGTGAGAGCCAGGTGAGCCTGTTACTGGAGATCTGTGTCTGACATGAGAAACGTGGGAGGACAAGGAGCAAGGAACGAGGCAAACGACAATCCCTCACTCCCCTGAAGCCTGAAAGGGAGGGGGGGCAACCTCGACTAAGGGCCTTAATTGTTGTTAGGTACGAGTAGGTACGAGTAGGTAGGTATGATTACCCGGGCTGGTGAGGCCAAGGGCCGTGGCCCACCCCACCACCACCCGCCGCGTCAACTCTACTTGCCCTAGGGACGAGTAACTACGAGTACACGTCCTACCTACGATGCTTAGCACATAGATACCTCGTAGGCATAGGTGCTCAAAATCATCCCTATTTTCCTCCGATGCTTAGGCGTTTCCCTAGGGGACCTTACTACGTCCAAGTGACTCGTAGCGAGGCACCTCGTACCACCCGCAGCGATCGCAGGACCCTGTTTCTTCGGTCTGCCGCTTCAGGCATCCGGAGTGGATGAGCGACCTGCCTCGCCTGGTAGCTAGCCCACGTGCCGTCTTGTTTCTTGTTGCATCTTTCACCTTCTCGGGCCCCCTCACGCATGCGGCCATGTAACACCCACGACTCTGCCCGCAAATCTTTGCCTGAAAACGTTTTCCTCTGCTGTTCAACTCGTGGCACCCTCGTGTGAGATGCTCTCAACCACCATCATCAGCTCACCCAAGTCGATCACACTCTTCTTTTCGCCCCTTTGTCACACGGAGAATCATGCGAACCAACGTCAGTCAATGTCTTTTACTCAGCTTCATGCCCTCCCCGCCCAGCCACAAGCACCCATCTACTCCGTATTCCAAGTTGTGACAGGGAGCCGAGCATGTCGCATGTCGGCAGTTCAATATTAAAGTGTCACTATGCTGCATTGGGGCCTGGTCGCCGACCACCTCGCAGTCAATGGCCCCTAGGTGGCCCCCTATCCCGAGAGATAAAAGGGTCCATCTCGAGTCTCGATGCCTGGTCCCGGCTCTTCCCCAAGGAACTAACGCACTAATGTTGCTGGAACTAGGCAGTGGCCGCACCCGACGGTGCCCTATCGAATCCTGCAATCTTTGCCTATCATGAATCACCACAGCCCTAGAGTCGATCTTTGCCTCTTATACTCGCTTCCAAGCCTCACTTTCTGCCACTATTGATGGCCAGAACGCACGGGCATGCTAAACGGGATGCAGGAACGGTCAGATAGAAAAGTACGAAAAAAATAAAGCCACGACTTGGATTGCCCAGTCAATCAGGGCCCCAAAAATCATGATTACGCTACAACGACCAGCACAAGTCACGGTGGTAGGCTGCGTCTCCGTGCCTTGAAACCGAAGGATGCTCTTCGCGATCCCAACCCTGCTCGCCCGATGACGTCGCAAAACACGAGCTCCAAGACACTCTCTTGCTCCCTTTCCCAGACTGCAGCATTAGCCTGGCTTGTGTCCTTCCCGATCCCGCTTCCCGGCAGGAAAGGGGCGAATCAACGAGGAGCTAGGTGTTTCGCGCAAGGGGAAAAAAACCACGTGGCATCGGCAGCTAGTCGAATTCCCTTTGCGTCGAGCAATGGCGAATTCATGTTTGCCATCGCGGAAGGTCTCGAACACGTCGCGGACAGACACGCCTGCCGTTGTGGAAATAAGAAGTTATCCTCCGCGATGAAGACCCTGCATTATTACCCGCGCTTCGCCATTGAGGTCTAGTAATTCAACATGAAGAGAAGAACCTGAGGCGGCTCGAAGCTTGGACCATTTTTGTGGCTTGAGACAAGGCTAATGGCGACGGTACGATAGTCCGGAGCCGGATTGACAGCTTGCGAATGCATTCGAGTTGGTCGGTTTCGCTTTCTCATCGTTGATCGACTATCCACGAGTACGGAGCACTAGATCCTCAGAGCCTCCTGAATGGATCCGCTCTTTCTCTGTCCCAGCGAGAGACGTCCTTGACCCACCGCATCTCCCTTCAAGTCGATCTGCGGCTACGTACGGAGTACGGAGTACGGAGTAAGTTGCGGCTTCTCGATGGCGTCTTAGGTTGTTAGCACCTTTTCCGCGTCGAGCAGGTCGTTCACCGTGTCTTTCAGGGTCACGCTGAGGGGTGTGTACTTGATGCCCAAGACTTTCTCCGCTTTACTCCCGTCCACCTGGTACACTGGTTCTCGTTTACCCGGGGTTCCTCGTGGTATGCGGTCCTGAATCTGCGGGAAATCGTCGCGAAGAGTATCCACCGCTGTTTGATAGTCGAAGTGGGATCCGACAATAAATCGCTGGCCAGCCGCTTCCTCTAACTCATATGCGCGCAGATGAGCGAGGCCAATATCGCGCACATCTGCACAGCCTGCAAAATCAATGGGTGGAACTTCTTTGGCGGAGCCATTGACGAGCTTCCAAATTGCCTCTGTCGACTCGTTCAAATGGTCCAGGGACTTTATTCCAGTCAATGAAGGACCAAAAATCCACGGTGGGTTGATAGCAGTGAAAGAGAACGATGGCCTGTTCTTCTCGATCCATTCCCAAGCGGCCTTCTCCGCCAGTCCTTTTGCTGCACAATATGTGAAAGCGCCACTGGACGAGTTCTTAGCCTCTTCATACGTGGCGGGGTTCCAATCCGACTCGGTATACGTATACCCTGGGCGAAGACCTTGGCTGAGGTCTAGGTTACAGGCAAAGGAAGCCGTCAGAACGATACGACGTAAGGTTGGACCCTGCGTGGCCCCAGCTTTGAGGACGTTCAAGACCCCATTAATCGAGGGTTTGAGCAGCTCTTCTTCGTTGTCTTTGGGGTCCAAAATGAAGGGATTCGCTGTGTGGATGACTCCTGTCACTCCGTCCATTGCCTCGTTAAGGGCATCGGTGGCCGCCATGTCAGGGACGACGACGAAGGACAACTGATCCTCATACTGCGAGTGAGCCTGTTTTATGCCAGCAATGGACTTATCAGAGCGGACGGTCCCGCGGACATGGTATCCGGCCTCCAGGAAGGTATGAGCAATGTGCCTACAGTACAAGTCAACCCAGGAGCTATGGCCGAAACCGCGTCTGGGCAACATCCACCTCCAGTGTCGCAACAGACCTGAATGTGCGGAAGGGGATCGACTCACGAAGCCACGAATCCTGATATGCCCGTTATGAGAATGGTCTCTTCTTTTGGGGTGATTGAGCCCATTTTGATAGTCCGCAGTACTGTTCGGGCAAGAGGAGTCTTGGTTGATCAACAAGGTAAGTGTTGCGATCTTGATCCCTTCAACTGGCGTACTTCTTTCCAGAACTCCTCGTGGTGGTTGGAGTCTTTTATAGGCTGGAAGTGCCAATGTCGGGATATAACGGTTGCTTACCTCTCTGCTCTTTTTTTCGTTTCTGGCTATCGTCATTGCCCGAAGCCACCTCCATGCTGGCCAAAGTCAACCGACCTTGTTGGCTCTAAGGGACATTCTGAGATCGATGTCGCTTCTCTCTTGACTCATCCTGCGTTTTCTTTTCTCTCTTGACTAATCCCGCGTTTTCTTGGCCACCAACTGACCAACGAGGACGCAAACAACCCCTGTCGAAATGGGTTAAGTCAGCCCACTGAAGGTTGGTTTGGGCCAACTCTGTCGGATACAAAGGGAGATACTCTACAGAGCCAAGGTCGGCAGCCAACACAGCGTTTGGGCCCTCTTCGTTTAGACCATACTCGCTGAATAACGGGCTTCTGCGGCCGCGGAAGCCGCAGTTCTATACGGATTCAGAACATTTGTGTTATTGAGTCAACCCAGCTGAAAGTGTCGCCAGCTCAAAGAAGTGCCCAGACTTGAACACGAGTAACCAAGAACACGATGAATCAGCACGACAGGCTGCACCCCCGTCCTAATGACATGGGTTCAACTGAACCTCGAGGCGGTAGGAAAAGGTGGAACTATTTGCATGGCACCCAATGCACCCACCAAGCAATGAACACCGTTTCGGTGCGGTCTAATCAGCCCAACGCCAAAGCTGTCATTCAACACCAGCGATGCCCCGCCAGCAGGAATTTTGGTATCGCGCATGTATGCGGTACTGTTCCCAGCAACGACGGGACGGCCTTTTCAAACCTTTTGGGACTTTGTGAGTTGCTCCAGTGGCAAGCCAAAGTTCTCTTCTTCGTCCAACCTGCTGGGCCCTTTATCCTCCGCGCAAATTTTTTTCTCTGGGGCTGGTATAGCTCGTTGAGCCGCGGCACCGCTGGATCGGTTGCACCGCCGCCTTGAGGGGGCGCCACACTGGTGCGCACCTATCACAGAGCCTTGCCCCACCGCACTACCCCACAATATGTATCAGTCCGCTGTTCCTCAGCCTCATCAGGCTCACCAGCAAGGCAAAATCTGTTGCCCTGATCCGATACGATCGCACATCTGCTGGAAGGGGAACAGGATGAAACGAGCGAGGTCCTAGTTCTTGTCTACACTCGATTAGCCCGTGACTAAGTTCGCGCCATTATATCCCCTGGGAAGCTGGATGACTACCTCGCACTGAATCCTTCCAGTCGATGTTTGTCTGCCGACCAAATCGACTGTGTTGCAGTGCCGCCTATGTCTGCTTGATGAGGGTTATACTTTTACAAAACTCCCGTGCAGTTCATTAGCCGTCACAGCCTCTCGGTGCTACCAAGGTTCACCAAGCAAGATGAGTCTTCTGTCTGCCTCTAACTTGACGCTAATGGACCTCGACTCCACGGGGAACAACTTTGGCTACGTGAAGAATATCCGTGACTGTCCACCAAGGAGGAGCCTGGGAGGCAACCTGAGCAACGGAAGAGCTTCACTGCCTCGTCGACGAGACTATTTGAAGGCAGTAGCCCTCCACGATCACAAGCATGTTCTCGCATACAATCTTTCCAAGTTGTTTTGTTTAAAGGGAGGGTTTTCTGCTACAGTCGCATCCTGAGAAAGTGCGGGAGGTTTCATTAGTTGGAGCCTCATCGCAGCTTACACTTGATCCCAACAAAGAGAGCACGGACATGACAAGGTACGCGGTGTCAAGAGCAATCATGACCGGCCAAAGACTGACACCACGCAAACATTAGATCAAACAACATTGCGACAAGCAATCCGTGTTTCGCACGAGCTCTTAACCTGTCTTCCACAACCTTACGATTTCCCACTCCTAATTCATCCATCAACACCATGAGCAGCTCCAAAGCCAACAGCACCACATCAGAAGACTTTGCAATGGTGGATCATCCTCAGGCTCTCCCTCTGCGGCCGCGCTCAACACATGCCGGAGATGAAGCGGTCGCCGAAATCCACCCCCTCAAAGACAGTGACGGCTTCATTGTGTCTGTTCAACCACCACGAGTCCCAGAACAAGGTCTCAACCGCGCCTCTTGCGACATTGTGCTTGTCATTGATGTTTCTGGGAGCATGACATCTGCGGCCCCCATTCCAGATGTAGAGGACGAGAATGAGAGGGAAGCGGCTGGGCTGAGCGTTCTCGATCTCGTGAAACACGCTGCAAGAACGATCCTGGAGACTTTGGGTGAGGATGACAGACTGGGCATTGTGACTTTTTCGGATGATGCGAAGGTGAGATGGTCGTATGATTTTCGCTCCACGCGCATGGCTTACGAGAGGACCAATAGGTCGTCCAACCGCTCACGTTCATGAAGTCCGCCGAAAAGAAGGCGGCATGGAGAAGGATCGAGAAGCTCCGCGACGAAGCATGCACCAACCTCTGGGCGGGCATCCGTACTGGACTGAACTTGTTCTCGAAGGCGCCGCTTGTGGACAACGTACAGGGCCTTTACGTTCTTACCGATGGGATGCCAAACCATCTGTGCCCGAAACAGGGGTATGAAACCCGACCGTGACCACTAACCTTGATCGATCGCTGACTGAATGAAGTTATGTTGCAAAGCTGAGCCCCATGCTCGAGTCCGCCGCCCGCGAGAGACCTGTCATACCCACCATTCATACCTTCGGATTTGGCTACCAGATTCGCTCGGGACTGATGCAGTCGATTGCAGAAGTAGGCGGGGGAAACTACGCGTTCATTCCTGACGCAGGCATGATTGGCACAGTGTTTGTGCATTCGGTTGCCAATCTTTACACCACACTCGGCATGTCCGCCACGTTGGAGGTCAAGCTCTCAAAGAACATTGCGGTGGAGACGACATCAGGAATGAACCTGACTGCCGGAAAACGAGGATACCTCTTAGATTTGGGCAACATTCAATACGGTCAATCCCGAGACCTTGTGTTCCTCTGTCCGGATGGCATATCTGAAGATACTGTCATCACCGCAACGCTCAACTACAAAGCCGCCAATGGAGCTTCCCATGGGTCTCAGAGTCGTGCCATCTTTTCGGACAAGACAATCAAGTCTCCAATCTGGGTTGAATACCATATGCGCCGAGCTCAAATCTGCGGACTCATATCGTCTCTCTTCCCCTTGAAGGAGGATGGTGAGCATGAACCCACCACCAACAAAGTTTCTGTCGTCCAAGCACAGAAAGCCCTGAACGACATCGCTACCTCGATACAACAATCTCCCAACAAAGATGCAGCCGAGCTCAAAGCGGTCCTCAAGGAGCTCATCGGCTACGAACCAGCAGGTCAGATCTCCAAAGCCCTCACCTGGACGATGGGCAAGAACTACTGGCATAAATGGGGTCGTCACTATCTGCCCAGTTTGCTCCACGCGCATGAGCGTCAGATGTGCAATACCTTCAAAGACCCTGGCCCGTTGCTCTACGGCAGAGACAGCCCGCTCTTCATCAAATATCGCACCGAGCTCGATGTCGCCTTTGACAATCTCCCGGCTCCAAAGCCATCTCGTCCGCCGAAAGTGGTGTACACCTATAGCCCCACTGGCGAGGTGACGGGGACAAGCACCATTCGGCACCGAGAGGTCAGTATGACCAGTTACAATTCGGCCACGGCACCCTGCTTTGAGGGCAACTGTTCGGTTTTGATGGGCGACGGAACGAGGAAGGCGCCGATCAAGAGTCTCAAGGTGGGGATGATGGTGTGGACGCCCGCGGGGCCACGAGCAGTCGCTGCCATTCTGAAGACCAGAGTTCCCGGCCAGACGCAGAAATTGTGCCGCGTGGGCGAATTGCTGGTCACCCCGTGGCATCCAATCAAGTACCAAGGACGATGGCGATTCCCCAACGATGTTGCCGGAAGCAGCATACCATTCCAAGGCAGCGTCTACTCTGTGCTGCTGGCTCCGTCTCAACACTCGGACGGCCACGCAATCCAGATCGGCGGTCAAATCTGTGTCACCTTGGGTCATGGCCTGGTCAAGAGCAACAAAGACGACATTCGCGGGCACGCATTCTTTGGCAATTACCACCGGGTGGTAATGAGTCTGCGGCGACTTCCTTTGGACAAGAAGGGGCACTTCCGATGTGGCGGGATGCTCAGAAATGCTCGGACAGGATTGGCTTGTCGGTTTCTGAAGCCATCTATGGTTGCGATGGGCGTGACAAAGACGGTGCGGATGGGGACGAAGATGAGATGCCTTGCCTGAACAGCGGACTAGGATAAGAAGCTAGGGGTCTAGAAGCACAGGTTGTTGGTCTTGTTAATTGCAGAGAGCGCCAAAGTCGGCAGCTATGTACTGTGGATTTAGGCCGTGAGGCTGCAGGAGGCGGCAGGGTTGTAAGGGGGGCATGTCTCTTCAGCCTCGTCGCCACGCCTTGTGCGAGTCGGACATAGTGCTGCTTCTGCGACGAAGGCTGCCAACTATTTGACATGACGGGAATGAGATGTTCACCTGTTTGTTCAGCCCACCCGTCTGTCAGTCACACATTCATTTGTTCAATCTTTCTTGGGTACTTTACGGATTCAGCGGGAGGGGAGGAGGCAAAGGGGGCGAGAGGAACTCCGCCGTGGCAGCATTGGCAGCACTGCGTAGCGTATGGCAGCCTCAAGATGTTGCGCCCAAAAATGGCACCCCGCTCCGATAAGTGGAAGACTATTGCGAGTTAGGCACTAGTCTCTAGGCGTCGGACCCCGCGCCCTAACGCCTTACCAACCCCTAAAACACTCCTCTGGGCATCCCCTAGCACCCCTAGCCACCCCCTAGAACTCCTCCAGCTGCACCCAAACACCATGTCGCCCCCAATGCCCCCGCCTACCTGTCCGCCTTAGCGCCCGCGTCCTGCATGTGTTGCTCAGGAACAGCTGGTCCTGGCTGGCCCGAGATAGGCCAACTGTCGCACAGGCTGGTGACGCTAGGTTCAGACCAGGCGTGGGTGGTGTGGGCTTGCTGCACGTGTGCATGGTGGAAATAAATAAACCAAAGAGAATCAGACATCAGGAACGGCACCAAAGGGGCGGTGTGCAATTATTTAGATGCGGACAACAAGGAAACCCGCTCTCTCTCCCTCCTCCTCCCCCCTCCTCCTATATCTGGCCCTCCCTCCTTCTCATTCCTCTTGCATTCCCCTCGCACGCGACACTCTTCCCTGACCCTACTGTTCAAGTTCAGATTTGCTGCGTTTTCATCATGGCGTCAAAGGACAAGTTGATTTCCTGGGAAGGTGAGAGAGATTCGTTCCCACGATCACTCCAATGGAGAGCGAGGCTCAATCCTCGCTGTACCGGAGCCTCCTTTTTGTGTGATCAACGCTGACAGTCGTCTCCTTCTGAGCGCAATAGACTACCAAGGCTGCCTGAACGCCTACTGGGAGTGGGCGGAGAGCTATGATTCCAAGGTGAGTTGTCTCTGACTGCGAACTCATTCCCCTTCCGTCTCCCCCCAAGCAACAGCCCATCTCACTCACGGCCCATCTGATTTTCCCAGGACTGGGCTCGCTTGCGCAAGATCGTCGCCCCCACCGTCCGCATCGACTACCGCTCCTTCTTAAACAAACTCTGGGAGGCCATGCCCGCCGACGACTTCATCGCCATGATCTCCGACCCCAAGGTGCTCGGCGACCCGCGCCTGATGACCCAGCACTTCTGCGGCGCCAGCAAATGGGAGAAGGTCTCCGACACCGAGATCATCGGCTACCACCAGCTGCGTGTCCCCCACCAAAAGTACACGGACGCCACCCGCACCAAGGTCCTCGTCAAGGGCCACGCGCACAGCAGCAACATGCACTGGTACAAGAAGGTCGACGGGGAGTGGAAGTTTGCAGGCTTGAACCCCAACATCAGATGGGGCGAGTACGACTTCGACAAAGTCTTCGAGGAGGGCCGAGAGGAGCTGGGAGACAGCGAGAAGGAGAAGATTGCGGACGAGGTGGCCAAGGCCGCCGAGGGTATCCCTTCCAAGTAAAAGAAGGGGGGCTCCGTCTGAGAGATTGATTATCTGCGAGGGAACTATGGGCCTCGAGAGAGAACACCAAAATGCCCACACAGATTGGTGGGAAAAGTACCTTACCCTAGGATTAACGACCGGACCATAGGATTTGCTGTCAAATCGAATACAAAGATTTTGTTTTCTGGACCACTCCACACTCGAACCTTTTGACCAGCGAGCGCGTTAGGTCGATCGACCCCGGGACGAACTGCAGGAGGATATTTTTATCACGGCCACATTCCTCGCAGATCGAGTCCGGCGGATGGTGTTTGCCAGGTTGGTCAAACGGAGGAATCACGTGAAGCCCCCTTTTTCGCCTTGCTGTCGGTTGTTAACATCGCAGATGGAAGCACTACTCGAGACGGTTATAAACATCTCTCTTAATTTTCCCCCCTCTATTACTCGAAATAGACCGGATTCGTCAGCCCGAGCAACGTATCAGACCCGTCCCGAATCTCGACCCTGACAAAATCCATCCCGGCCACATTCTGCTGAATACGTTGGGCATCCACGAGCGACACGTTCTGGAAATACCCCTTCTCGGAGACGAAGCACGCACGCGCGGCTTCGAACCCCGTAGCAGAGAAGCTCGCGTATGCATCAACACCTAGGTCCGCCTTGTGGACGACATCCCCGATCTCTGCCCTGCGTGTTGCTCGGTCTCCATTCCCGTAGACCACTCCAAAGTCGATGTCCATCCCGGGCCCTTCGACCAGGTACACCCGTCCCCTCTTGACGGCCTCGACGATGCTCGCTTGACTCTTCTCTCCCGTGACCCTCACAACAGTCGTGGGCAAGCCGTTGATATCCGGCGGACTGTGCGCGTCGCTCCCGCCTAATGCGGTGAGCTTCTTCCCCGTGGCCAGCTCGCCCTGCCAAAATTGGACGGCCACTTCATCCAGCGGGTCGAACCTACCGTTCCAGACCTCGATCGCGTCGTTGTGCTCCCAGTCCAATGTCCAATCGCACCTCGAGCAATTTTGGAATGGGTGGTTGATCGAGACCAGGCCGCCGGAACCGCGCACTTGGGTGGCCGCGTCGACGAAGCCCGTGTCGCCGGACGAATTGGTGTACCTCCACTCGACCTGCTGTGACCGCTCGAGCCCGATCGCTTGCCAGTGGCCATGTCGCGTGGTGACTTCGATGGCCCGGCCAATGAGGAGATTCGATGCGTTGGCTGGGATCCAGCGCCCGATGTTGTTGTTCCCGGAGTCGGTGTTGTGTTCGGAGAAGAAGATGAAGTCGAGGTCGTACGAGATGGCGTGCGCGATGTGCTCGCTGGGTAGATACCGGCCGTCAGAGTAGATGGTGTGCATGTGGAAGTCGCCACGGAGCCATTTCCTAGGGGTTGTCGGGGGGGTTGGCTCTTTGTAGATGGGCGCCAGCGACGGAGTCCAGGGAGGTGAGTCGAGGGGGGAGTAGGAGAGCGAGACGTCTAGTGTCCAGTCAATGCCGGAGCGGTTCGTTGCGTACGGACCCAGCACGACATTCCATGTTCCCGGGAGTAAAGGCCCAGCATTCTAGTTCAAGGTATCATTAGAGGAGGAGTCAATGGCTCTCGGGGGGTTGGAGAACAACTTCTTCTGCCTCTTCTCGACCTCCTGTGGTCTGCAGAACTTACATATCCTGGCGTGGCATCGCTTGCAGAGATGGTGAACTTGTTTCGAAACCCTCCAGACCAGCCTCGCGAACCAGAGAAGCCGGTCTCGCTGTTGATTGGGGCAACGCCGTGAGGATCGAAGACCCCTAGGTCGAGGGAGTTGCCTGCGCCCTTGAACGAGTAGTTCTGTAGCACGTACATCGAGGTCACCTCGGCAGAGACGTTGAAGGGCACGTAGACGAAGCTGAAGATCTGGTCCGGCGTGATGTGGCCGGTCAAGGTGAAGTTTGTGGGCTCTCGAGGAGTCGGTTGAGTATTCACACTGTGTATCCATGCGAAGATAATGGACGAGAAGACAGTGGGCAGTTTCATTTTCCCAAAGAGGCTGGACGAAGCGCCCACGTTCAAATGCGCTGGCAGCTGGACATGACTGAGAAAATGCTGCACACCACGGCCCTCTTGTAGCTTGCTCACTTCTCACCTCGATGCAGCACTCGTCCCTGACCGCTTCCTCGCTTCACCCCTCATCTCGAACTCTCAGAGCCTCCATGCAAAGTTGTGAAGTCGACCTGGATGATCTGCACTCCACGTGCCTCACTCTACAATCACCGATTGGAGATACAAGGGTATTGGCACGAGGTTGAGTTGCACTGGGAAGGCCATGATACCCCAAGAGCCACAGGAATGGCACATGGGGAAGACATTCGACCTCTCGAAACAGTAGCGCCTCGGCGATACTCGTACTCGTATAGAAAGATGCTGATGGACGCCTCGCAGATGGAAGATCTGACTCACAGACTGTCGCCGAGGAGCTTCGGTTCTATCAGGCTACCCACTTCCTGCGATTCTTCTCCTTGTACCGATACCATCGTCCAACCTCAGCTCTTCATTTATCTGCGATTCGGAGGCAGCGCCGAAGCCACCTAGGATGGTGAGACGACTGCCAGACGGCAAGAATTTGCCGACGGCACCGGCAAGTGACCGTCTGTAGAAAAGCGGAAGGGCAACCCTTCAAAAGAGGGGGAATTGATAAACTTCACTCACAAGAACGAGGCGTCTTCATACTTTTCGTTACATGCCCCTCGCGATGGAAGGAAATCAGAAGCTCAGCGACCTCTGCGAGGTGTTCTACGTCGGCGGCAAATATATCAAGGATGATCGAGGAACCCACATGTCGGGACAAATCTGCGTGCGGCGCTTTGGAAAGAAAGTCGATAACCGACCGGCAATCATCTACATCCATGGAGCCGCGCAGACGGGCACTCATTGGGAGTCTACGCCGGACGGTCGACCTGGGATCGCCTTGCTCCAGGCAGACGAAGGCTGGGAATGCTACGTCGTCGATCAGCCCGGCGTTGGAAGGTCGCGATATCACGCCCATGACCTAGGAGAGCTCACCCACTATACGGTAGAGGAATTAGAAGAATCTTTCACTGCGCCTCCGCATGATTCATATCCTCAGGCAAAACTGCTTACTCAATGGCCAGGCACCGGCAAGAGGGGAGATGCCTTCTTCGACGCCTTCTATGCCAGCCAAGTCGGACATCGTGCAAAATACCGAGACGTGGAGCGGACCTTTCGTCCTCTTGCCAAAGACCTCCTCTCTCGTACAGGGCCGGCCTTTTTGGTGACACATTCGCAAGCAGGTCTAGTAGGCTGGCACATCGCGGACGAGTGCCCTGACATGGTCAAAGGGATTGTGGCTTTAGAGCCGAATGGCCCGCCGTTCATCTACCCAGGCATGCCCAAGTTCTACACCAGGACGCAAGTTGTCCAGCCGGGGACCTTTGTGCGTCCGTTCGGTATCACATCAACTCCATTGACCTACGATCCTCCTCTACCCGACGGCGCGAAATTTCTAGAGTTCACGCGGGACTCGAACGGAACCCAGGACAAGAATCGTGTACCCGGGGCGCGGCTGAAGGATCCCGCACCGAAGCTGCCAAACCTGGCTTCTATTCCTATTGTTGTGGTAACGGCTGAAGCATCTTACCACGCCACGTACGATCATCATACAGTCCAGTTCTTCCACGATACCGGAGTGCCCGTTGAACATGTATATCTGGCGGATCGAGGCATACGCGGCAACGGCCATCTCTTCGCCATTGAGAAGAATAACAAGGAGATCCAGCAGTTCATCAGCCAGTGGCTGACCGAGACGATGGCAAAGAATGCTTCGAAATAGACAGTTGAGTTGCTAGAGAAGGAATAGACCCTCTGATGCGCAAGTGTTAACAAGAAACTGCACTGCGGAGAGGAGCTTGCATCCTCGGGCGATCTTCTCTTTTAGTGCTCCGATACTTACTCTGGATATAGATGCTCCGGTAGCTGTAATTACAGGCCTCTCTCTCCCTTATTTAGGCGGGCTTCTACGCTCATTTGCCTCTTTGAAGGCCTAAATTAAACTCTTGGGGCCTGATCGGCGGTATTCTACATAGGATAGATATACGCGGTATTCTCACTCCTGTTATGCTTCCACCCTCCGCACACTGAAGGTTCTTCCTGTTTTGATTAGAGGCTGTAGCTACATCGGCGTCGACGATATCCCAGGTACTTTGAGATGACACAAGAGTCTTCGCTGAACGATGTTGATGAATTCATGAAGCATGAATACGACTTTCTGATCATTGGGGGCGGAACTGCCGGACTCGTTCTTGCGCATAGACTCAGCAATGACCCGCGCTTCACTGTCGGCGCCCTGGAAGCAGGGGCAAATCATCTCGACGACCCGCTGGTCGATACCCCTGCCATGGCAGTAGCTATGACCGGAGACGAAAATTACGACTGGCACTTTGTCACTTGCCCTCAGGGACCCAAGAGGCTCCGATGCCATCTGCCACGAGGGAAAATGCTCGGCGGATCAAGTGGGATTAATTGGATGGTCTATACACGGCCCTCTCGTCAGGACTTGAACCATTGGGCGTCCCTGGTGGGGGACCCGTCTTGGGCAGCAGCCAATATGCAGAAATATCTATTGAGGCATCAGACTCTCGAGCCGCTGGACGACGCTCTTACCGAACGCACCGGCATCGCCTATCTCCAAGGGAACCACGGCCTTGATGGACCTATTCATACTAGCTTCAATACCTTGCCTGTGATGCCGCTCGAGGAAGCTGTATACCATGCTGGCGTTGACGCCAGCGGCCTTCGGGTCCCGTTGGTCGACCCTTGGGCCGGAGACCATCTCGGGTTTTATCGCAGTCTGGGCACCATCTATCGCTCGGGACCGAACAAAGGCAAGAGAAGCTATGCCGCCAGGGCGTACCTGGAACCGGTGCTTGACCGGCCAAATCTGCATGTTCTTTGCAACGCCCATGTGAATAAGATACAGCTGCACGGAAATAGGGCTGTGGGCGCGGACTTCGATCATCAGGCAAAACACTACAACGTCAGGGCCAAGCGAGAAGTGCTTCTATGTGCGGGTGCTCTATCGTCTCCGCATATTCTCCAGCTCTCAGGGATAGGGAATCGCGAGGTGCTCGACAGAGCTGGCATCGAGTGTACGGTGGAGTCGCCGCAGGTAGGCGAGAATTTGCAGGATCATCCAGCCATCATTGTTTGCTATGAGCTGAAGCAAGGGGTACTCTCTGCGGACGTGATGAAGGATGAAGAGATCCAGCGTACAGCTCTGGAGGAGTATCGCAACCATGGGGCTGGGCCTTTGGCGAGCATTAGCAGCATCCAAGGCTTCATTCCTGTCCTGCCATGGCTGAACGATAATGACTTGGACGAGATCAGTCAAAGCGTCGAGTCACAATCGGGAGTATCTTCATTCCAGAAAGCACAACAGCAATATGTCCTCGAGCAGATAAAGAGCGCCCAGGCAGAATTCATTCAAGTGGCACCAGTACCTGTGACCGTGGATTGCAATGCCGAAGGCGGATTTGAAGATCAATCGAAGGTGTTCGTCAAGACGCTCCCAGAAGGAGCGCCGCACGGGTTTGGGTTCGCGGTTGGGTTGCAGTACACTTTTGCACGAGGTTGGGTGCATGCCGTATCTGACGATCCGTATGCCCAGCCAGAAATCAACCAGAATATGCTGGGTCACGCAGCCGACGTCGTCACGGCGTCTGCTGCTCTGGCGTTTATCCAGAGGCTTGTTGACACAGAACCATTGAGAGCTTTGATCGCCCGACGCACATACCCACGCGAAGAGTGCTGTGATCTCCACAAGCATGAAGATCGGCGCGAGCACGCAAAGGACGTCTGGGCGGCGCAGTATCATCTCTGTGGGAGCTGTGCCATGGGCGAAGTGGTGGACAGGAGGCTGAGACTCGAAGGCGTCGAAGGACTAAGGGTAGTGGACGCGAGCATTTTCCCGAATCATGTCTCGGGCAACATCCAGAGCAGCGTGTACATGGTCGCGGAGAAGGCAGCAGATATGATCCTGGAGGATAATCTGGGTTGATTGAGAGGCAAGACTTATATAATGTTGAGATTGGTGCCCCGTGTGTGCACAAAATACATTCCTGCTACGTAGCATTACGGATCAACTCGGGGAGCTCGGGATTGGCCCCGCCGACTGCCCCCTTGTCAGCGGAGAACAGCCACCAGCCTTTCAGATAATGTCCAAAAGGACGAGATCCGAAGTACCAGAGCAACGCGACCTTCTTAACACCTCGCAGCAGTTGTCCCTTGTGACTGCGTTTATGGACCATCCAACGCTCGCAGCCCAGAAGCGCACGAGTGATGCATCCCGAGTCTCATGGACTCGCCGCTCGAGGTTCGTCACCATCCCTGCTCTCCCGCTCCCCGAGGTTCCTACACTCAAAATCCCAAGATCTGACTGACGGCTGCTGGCAGATGACCATGGGCTATCGTTGAGCAGGCTACCCCTCGATCTCCTCCACGCAGAACTACACAGACGGCAAGATGTGCCCGCGAAGCCAGCATGCGGCACAGTGGGAAGACGGGGGGTCTACAACACTGGAATCCACGTCTTTGCCCTCTTCCTCATTCTGGCTTTGAGCACGCTCGGTATGTCGAGGAGGTAGAACGGCCCGTTTGGAAATGGGCATCTATGTTGACACTTGCACAGCATGCTCCTTTCCCATCATCGCCCGCCGCTTTCCCAAACTCCCTATCCCGCACCGCTTCCTCTTCCTCTCGCGGCATTTCGGCACAGGTGTTCTCATTGCGACGGCCTTCATCCACCTTCTCCCTACTGCATTCATCTCCATGACCGATCCTTGTCTGCCGGACTTCTGGACACAGACATACCCGCAAATGCCTGGCTTGATTGCTATGCTGTCCGTGTTCATGGTTGTGGGGATTGAAATGTTCTTCGCAAGCAAAGGCGCGGGACACAGTCATGCGAATGATTGGGAAAAGGTGCCCCAGGAACAGTCCTCGGGAGAAGGAAGATCGTCGCATTATGGCAACGGACATGTCCCGCTGGAACACCTGCAAGTGCCAACGACGCCATATACAGATGCATCACCGAAACCTGGCGACTCGGCTTCGAGCGACTCGGATCTGGAGTTGGACGATCTCGATCCCGCCGCGGACGAGTCTGCAACATTAAGCAACCCTCACCGGCGCAAAATCTCCCAGCACGAAAGCAACTTCCATCACCACCCTTCCAAAGATGACGAGAACCCACAGCGTCTCTTTCTCCAATGCTTGCTCCTCGAAGCGGGCATCCTCTTCCACAGCATCTTCATCGGCATGGCCGTCTCCGTCGCGCAAGGCACCCAGTTCGCCGTCCTGCTCATTGCAATTTGTTTTCACCAGACCTTTGAGGGATTTGCACTTGGCTCGCGCATTGCGGCGCTCATACCCACCTTGTTCGACGCTTCTTCACCCAAACCCTGGCTCATGGCACTCGCGTATGGCGCGACAACGCCCATCGGCCAGGCAATGGGGATCGTCTTGCATTCCTTATATGACCCCGCGAGTAAAGTGGGACTACTGATGGTTGGGATCACGAATGCAATTTCCAGTGGGCTTTTACTCTTTGCCGGGCTGGTGCAACTGATTGCAGAGGACTTTTTGAGTGAAAACAGTTACGAGGTTTTGAAAGGCAGACGAAGAATCGAAGCATGCCTCGCGGTAGGCTTGGGGGGCTTGTTAATGGCGGTGGTGGGTGCTTTTGCTTAATCATGCATGATGATATATAGCTGAGTGATAGCGAATGAATTTATCTAGATGAATTTAACCTAGCAACGCAGCTTGTATGTCCTTAAACATGACCATCGCAAGCTTTGCTCGCCACAAGAGACATGCTGCAGAGGGGAACAACACCGGCTCGGCCTTGGAAGTTGCGGAAGGGTGCGTCATCTTGCAGCTGTACCCCAGACACCTACCAGACAACACTCGGCTCACCTGATGAGGAACCCAAAACATTCAACTCACCTGATAGCTATTTCGACCATATCTTTCGATCGTCGCCTGCAGTCTTCTTGAATAAACCCCTCTCTTTGAAAGACAGGACTGATACTCAGCACCTGTGAACGTCCATCGACCTTTCGTCTTTCTAAACTTCTAGAAACACATCTTCCACAAGCTAACCATAGCGATGGCCTACGTTCCAGGCCTTACGCTCCCTGCGTCCGTCTTCTCCAATGCCCCCGTCTCGATCCTCCTTCCCCTCGGACTGGGCTTGGGATCTGGGCTTGTCTCGCAGCCTGGAAAATTAAGTCCCAAGAGATTCTCAGACCCGGCTGCGACAGAGCGAGGAAAGTTCAGAAGTGCGCAAGAACAATACAAGGCTCTAAAGCATCCTCCTTTCAGACCACCTCCGTGGATTTTCGCTCCAGCTTGGTCCGCGCTTTATTTACTCATGGGGTATGGGGCTCATCGTGTCTGGACGATCGGGTTGGCAAGCCCGAATCCGCAGACAGTCGAACATGCAAGAAGAGGAGCAACCTTGTACACGATACAACTAGGCTTGAATCTCATCTGGATGCCTCTGTTCTTCGGCCTGGGCAGACCTATTGAAGCCATGCTCGACGTGGTCACCCTGACCGGCACCGTGGGCTACATGACCTATGTCTGGCACAAGGTGGACAAGACAGCTGCATACTTGATGGCGCCATATCTTGCGTGGCTGGGGTTTGCAACATATCTGACAGGCGGGACTGGTCATCTCAACGGATGGACGATCAAGCAAGACGCTGAAACTCAGGAAGAGGCCGAGAAGAAGGAGTCGTGATAGGAATTGTGCTCTTGACATCGCCAGGAGTTCTTCGTCCGTACCCGTGAACTCCCCCATCACATAACTTTCAGAGCGTTGGGCAAGGCTTTGATCCTATACATGACGTTGCGACGAAAGAGGCGGAAGAGCAACTTGTTTTCGAGGTCTAAACGAATGCTGGTCTCGTTTCGGGAAAAGACAAGAGGCCTGATATCGCACTCTTCGGTGGCAGGGCACGTGGGCAAGGTACATGCAAGTTAGTAATTGAACGACCATTTATGAAATGAAAAGCTTGTATGAATCAACTTTTGCCCTCTATGTGTACAGACTAGCGGTCTCGGCTTCTGCTCTGATTCCGCACGGAACACAAGCAGGACACATTCGCATACCACAATATAGCCGAGGAGATCTAAATAACGTGGCCCAAGTCAATATAATAGCCACATCTTATATATATATATATATATATATCCCTTCGCGGCGCAGAGCGCTACGTGGAGGTTGGATTACGCCCCAGTTAGACTGGGATGAGTTACAGCCGCCCATGTGGTCACTGGGACATGCATGCATGGTACTGCAGATGTCACGCCCCTGTGATTGGTGAAGCGATGGTCCCTGTGGCGACCATCCCCCGTCAATGCCAGGCAGGGGTTCTGAAGCTGACCGTCTATTAAATCTTGACAATAGCCCCTCTATGTGTCTGATCCTCGAGACATATCCTCAGCGACCAATCCAGCACGATATAATAACCGTGGAGTGTCAAGTAAAAGAATGTCGGTCACACAAGGGACATGTATGTAGGTTGTTGACGTCAACAAACATCTCTGACCAGGGGACAGGGGATACCGGCGATCAGATTCGATCGCACAAGCTTGCGTGTTCAATCATCAATTTTCACTGTACGGCGGACGCTGTCCTAGACCCATCCGAGCTTGATCTACTTAAACGCTTCACGGATGATCCCTCGTCAGAAAATCGAGACAGGATCCTGGGAGACAAAGGGTGGGCGGACCAGCCTGGCCAACGCAGCGGAAGTAAGGCGGCAGAGAGTGGAAGCCTGGCTGGCCATTTGATCTCCAGATATGGGAGCGAGGAACCTGCATTGGATGACCGAGACTGGGAGCTTCTTGCCCAATGGTTTGGGAAAGGGATGCCCACAGGAGAGCATGTCCAGCGTTAAGCCCCGAATTTTGCGAGACTGTTGGCTGAAGATTGGATAATTGGTATGTATCTCGGTAGTCAAATGAATCTCATGCATCAACAATGGACGATGCCCTCGACACCAATGTCCCCCCCCCCCCCAAAAACAAACAAAAAGCGGAGATGCCGAGCCATATCACGTGCAGAACCATCCCTCTCCTCCTCTGCTCCAGCAACCAATCACACTCTTTCCCGGCCAACTGCGCCTCCGGCTCAGGTCGCCTGAGGAGGGTTTCACGCCGCGGTTTGTCGTTCATCCAACTCCTCATTGTCCATCAACAGCACTTGGTGCTGCATTGCGATACCAGCGTGCAACCAACTCCTTGCTTCGAATCTTGTAAGCTCAATACCTCTGCTCTTCCTGCCATCGCGCCATCATCACTCCGCCGCCACGCTTTGCGGCCATTTACTTTGACCTTTCCAGCCCCCGATCGTCTCGGACGCTGGGTCAGAGTTCATCTTCTACAATTCCACTTATATACTGTTACTATTGCTGGCCTGCATTCTTTTCTTCTCCTCATATAGGCGCATTCGAGGCCTGCGAGCTTTCTTCCTTCTTTGACCTTGGCCTACACTCGTTTCTCAATGTCGTCCTCCAATTCATTGTCCTCTTACTCAAGTCTAACCTCTGTCATGTTTATTCTTAGCTACCCTACCTCGATACCTCGACCACCCGAAGACGCCATTACCTGAGTCGGCATTGTCACCTTCGTCCCTGCGCCCTAGGACTGCAAATGACATAGCGCATCGGTGGGCTTCACCCAAGTCGGTTTGTCACCTGGACGCAAAAGGACTGTTTACCCGGAAGCTCGAAGCTTCAAAACAATATGAATCCATACGAGCCTTATGGCTCTCCTACAAACGATAGATCACCCCCCAGATACCGTGGAAGGGACGAGTCATACGACCGAAGCGACTCGTACAGACGAAGATCTCCTGGTGAGTGAAGCACCGATCCATTCAGCCCATTACTAACAAGTTGCACAGTGGTCAATGATCGACGTCGACCTGCTCCTCGCAACCGCTCACGTTCCCCTGTAGCTATCGATCGTTATCAACCCGACCGCGATCGTGACCGAGATCGGGAGCGAAATACGCGCGATGACTATTACGAGGGCGCCAGACCTGCTACCAGAGACACAAGAGATACGAGAGATGTAAGAGAGCGGGATGATCGCAGAAGAGCACCCTCGCCAACTGCTGCAAACATCGATCGATACGTTCCAGGTCAGGAATCCAGCAAACCTGCAGTCAAGGTCAATCCTCTGGCCAACCCTCTCGCTCTAGATACGCAAGCAGGTTTCAGCTTCTTCGCAGACTGGTGGCGGTTTGAGCAACAAGTCAAAGAAGAAAAAGAACGAGCCAAGCATGGCGGCAGACGACCTTCAGACCGTGTCAAAGGTGAACGCGAGGCGAAAGAAGACCGCGAGAAAGAGCGAGCACAAATCCAGCAGGCTTATGACCAGTATAAACAGGAGTTCCAGGTGAAGATGGCAAGGCAGTTTGTTCAGCAGCACAAAGGTGAAGAATGGTTCAAGGAGCGATACGTTCCAGAAGTTCGAGATCCAATTCGAAAGCGTCTGATGGAATCTCGAGAACCCAGCTTCGATCAATGGGTCAAAGACTTGGAAACGGGAGTCTTCGATGAATTCACTCTCGAGGGGATCTATAAGAATGACAGCGATGGAGCCGGCGGAATGGTGGAGAAAGAAGAGGGCGAAGCCGTTGGCGGTGGTGAAGTCCTTGGCGTGCTTGACCTCGTCCCTGCCAAAGGTGGTGATCTGAAAGATGAATCTGTTCAGCAACCCGCTTTGCTCATCAAGACACTGGCACCTAACGTCGGCCGCGAGCGCATTGAGGAGTTCTGCAAAGAACATCTGGGAGAGGATGCTGGTGGTTTCAAAGGTTTGTCGTTGAGCGACCCCAATCCGGCGAAGAAATTCCACCGCATCGGCTGGATTATGTTGAATCCTGCCCCGGAAGAGGATGCCGATGTGATGCAAGACATTGAGCGGGGTGATGGCCGCGATGATGACGATGGTGAAGAGGGCGAAGAGAAGCCACAGCCGGAGAAAATCAGCGCCGCCCAAAAGGCTCTCGACCTCATCAATGGCAAGACCATTACTGATCCGGTGAGAGGCGACTTCACCTGTCATGTTGGCATTCACAACGCACCGAGTGCGCCACGGAAGAAAGCTCTTTGGGATTTGTTCTCCGCCCCGGAACGAATTGAGCGGGATCACGAACTGGCAAGACGACTTGTGGCCAAACTTGACGCCGATCTTGGCAAGGATGAGCATTCTGGCGCGTTGTCCAAGATCGATGCCCGAGTGGACCAGATGAGGAATCAAGGACTTCTGCAGCCTCCACCGAAAGCCAAAAAGCCAAACTTCGAAGACAATGATGATGAGATCAAGTTTGAGGAGGAGGCTGAGGAAGGCGAAGAGGAAGAAGACGAACAGGACGACGAAGAGTTGTTGGCTGTCAAAAAGAAGCTCGATCTGATGGTTGAATATCTTCGACGAGTCTTCAACTTCTGCCTATTTTGTGTCTTTGAATCTGATTCGGTCCACGAATTGGTCCGAAAGTGTCCCGGTGGTCATCTTCGAAGACCGAGAGCTGGATTGACCTCGGCGGCCAAGGCGGCGGCCAGAGCGAGCGCGCTCGGTGAGCCATTCCCGGGCAAGAAGAAAGATGGTCGAAATGAGAATGGGATGGATGATGAGCCTCTTAGCCCTGTTCAAGAGAGGCGCCCTCAGAAGTTCAACAAAAACGACCAGCAGCTTCTTCGAGCGTTCAATTGGGTCAAGACATTTGAGGAGAAGGTCCTGCAAATTCTAGAACCCGAGTATGTGGATCTCAAGAAGATCGGAGGCAAGCCCGTTGAGGAAGCGCTGGACGAAGAGCTGGCGAAGTTCGTCAAGCAAGAGGATGAGGCCAAATTCCGCTGTCGAGTGCCAGAATGCACGAAACTGTTCAAGGCTGAGCATTTCTGGCGGAAGCATGTTGAGAAGAGACACGAAGAGTGGTTTCTGGCTCTCAAGAACGACGTAAGTTTTCCACTGTCCCTTCCACAATACCGCCCACTGACAGTCGCAGCTTCAACTTGTCAACACATACGTTCTGGACCCCTCGCATATCGCACCATCGCGGTCAGATGCCAACTCTAACGGACATTTCCCTCTCCCTCAGAACCATCATCTAAATAACGGCACTCCTCGGGGATTCAGCCTTCAGAACATCGGAATGAACATGATGAATTTTGGCCAGAATGCCATGATGAACATGCAGAATGTCCAGGGGCCACTCGTGCCCGGGGTCAACTTCAACACTGATGGCATGAACGGAAGTGGAGGACACAGCGGTGGCCCCATTCGACGTGGCGGAGGCAGATACGGCAATCGACCTGGACCCTATGATCGAAACCAACGCGGCAGCCAACGCGGCTACAATAACATGGGTGGCATGCTGCGGGGCAATCTTGTTCCCGGTCTCACACCCGGGTTCATCGCTCAAGGTGGAGGCGGAGGAGGAGGCAAATGGGGAGACGGTGCAGGTGGCGGTATGAACGCCATGGGACCAAAAGAGGCAACTCAAGGCAGAAGCCTTAAAAGCTACGAAGATCTAGACGCTCAACCGAACAGTGGCAACGCCGGAGCGGCAGCGGCGGCACAGGCCGGTGGAGGTGCAGAGCTGGACTATTGATGTTGATGTGATATGGCTGGAAGCGAAGGAGGCACATCTACATCGGGTGCTCTTGTACAAGTTTGGGCGAGATGGACGAGATGGAGGAGGTGCGTATCAGCTTTTACAAACACAAATTTCTCGACGGACAAGGCAATGTTGGGATGGAGCTTCGGAGCCTGGGGATCGTGCTGTGGAACAAAAATCGCCTTCCTTCATTATCATTGTCTGAACAGCCAGCCTTTGCCAATAGCAGAATACAGAAAAACAACCCCCTAAACAACCAGCCAAATATGAGATCAATCGGAACAAAACAATAGGGCTTTCAGGAGCGTGCTTCTCAACATTGAAATTCTTCGTGAATTCGTCCAATGGGTCTGCGGAAGGAGCTACAGATATATATACACAGTAGTGGACACAATTGGTCCCGACTCTGCGCAATTATCCTCATCCTTCCCAGACAATTGGTCGCCCAAAGTGTTGACCGGCCCTGCTGTTGTCCGGCAGGGACGACCGGAGAAGGATCGAACGCCTCGCCCTCCCCATCTCCCTCCACCTCAGAATTGGTCTATAAAGTGAGGCACCAACTCATATGACGGAGGATGGAGCCCGCAGGGCATTGAAGAGAGGTAGCTCTGGCAAAGGGTTATATGCCACCTTCATACCTATGCACACCGGAACAAGCCAATGATGTCCACCGCTCAACCTTGGGCGGTCCGTCGTCATGTCTCTCTTTGAACCCATTCATTCTCCCAAGTTTCATCCTCGTACAACACAGAAGACCGGGTAATGTCATCATCCATATTCTATGCCCTCTTCCGCAGCACCCGCCTTCCTGCTGCCGGCTCCGCCACGACAACTCTCTTGCTCGTCGTCGTCGTCGCTCCCGTGCCGGTAGTGGTTGCGTTCCTCTTGAGCGCCGTCTTCGCCGCGCTGGCGGCCCTGGCCATCCCTCCTTTCTTTTTATCCGTGGCGGCGGCTTTTGCCGTGGCCGTGGCCGCAGCAGCTCGGCCTCCGCGCTTTGGCTTGACGACCGTGGTGCCGCTCGAAGCCGCAGAGACATCCGTCGAGATGCTGTGCGTGCTCGCCTGGCTGAATGCACGTTGTGGAGAAGGGGGAGCGCTCGGTTTCGGCGGCGGGAGCATCTGAGCCCGGGCGATCGCAACGGCTTCTTTCTTCTCCTTCGACGCCGTCCGGGTCAGTTTCGCGGCGGTGGCGGTCCCGCCTCGCTTCGCTTGTTCGATCATGCCGTGCACACTGGCCGATATGGCGGATGTCGCTGCCGTGGCGGCCGATTTTAACGGTGACGCGGGCCGGATTGGAGACATGGCCGTCGTTGTCGGGCGGGCGAGCATGTTCTTCGCCGGGGAGGCTGGGAGGAAGGGCTCTTTGATGGGTGAGCGAGGGAGCGTGCGAGAGTTGTGGGAGCGTGGAGACAGAACCGAGGTTTGTGTTGTTTGTTTTGTTGCAGCAGCTCGCGAAATTGGGCGTGTTGGTGCTGTTGCTTTCCCACGCTTGGTGTTCTTGCTCACGGGGAGTGTATCTGGCGGCCCTTCCGACGGGTCGTGCTCGCTCACCTTGTCCAAAGCAATGTGGATCTGAGGGCTCATGCGCTTCTTGCCTCCTCGCGTAGCTGGAGCTTGTGGATGAGATCGCATTGGAGAAGGGAGCTTGGTTGAGCCACTTTCCCGTGGAAGAGGAGGCAGTGGCTTGGGTGCAGGCACCTCGACTGATATTGTTTGTTTGGGGGGTGATGCTCGAGGCTGGTTCGGCTTGGTCTTTGAAGATTCGTGCTGCTGCATCAGTTCACGCATGGTCGTCTTACGGATCGAGAGAGGAATGCGGTTGACGCGTCGTTCAATCCGGGCTCGCAGATCGGCACATTGAAGAGCATACCCTGCTCGAAGCTGTCGCGCTCGCTCGGTAACTGGGTCATCTGTCAGATATAATATCATGCAGTGGAGCTGGCCATCTCACTCTCTAACTGGAGGTTGTCCATCAATGCCTGCTTCTGTTGCTGTGTGATTCTCAACTTCTTGCGCGCTGGGCTGCCTGAGGGGGTGACAGCACCGACGGCGGATTCGTCTATCTCGTCCGATTTCCTCTTGCGAGAAATTGCTGGGGCCATGGTGAGGTTAGGAGGTTGGTGTTTTCGCGGATTGGGATTTCTGAGGGTCTTGTCTCCAGCCAAATGGTAAGGATTGTTCGAATGCAACGTGACGAGGATGGTCGATGGTGGAGAGGAAGATACAAGTCGACGAGTCGAGATGCGGGATCCATTTCGGGCGGCGAGATAAACAAATGATGCCGCTAGCGGGCTTGGCAGAGTTCAGCCAATCACAGTACGGCGCCAGTCCTGCTCTACGCTGATTGGCCCGTCGTGGGCTTAATGGTCGGTATACCGAGTACGGCCGGGCTGCTATCTGACATTTCATCGAAGGGGTTCAGCCTTTCGAAGAACTCTGGTCGATCTATCCAGCAAGCCAATGATGGCGTCTGCTTTACGTGATATCCACCAAATCGATACGCCTTTGACCGTGGCCGCGGCCGCGGCCGCATCGTCCAAAAGGGCGCCGGCCACATCTTCAGTCGCAGGGCGCGTTTGGAGGACATTTGACTTCTCCTAGACTGACGTATGGGTTGCATTGCATTGCATTGCACGTGAATGCAGCAAAGCCCAAGGTAAAGTTTAAAAAGGTGCCATGTCCCAGTGAGAACTGTCCCATCTCCCCCCTTGATCTCCTCCATTATCTCTTGCTCGGATAGAACCATATCAACACCCATTTTCCTGCGCAACAATGTCCCGCCCTCTCCCGGGGGTGGCCAGTCTTTCCCGCCGTGCTCAAGAGTGCACCAAACCCCCGCAAACTCCGCTGTGGCATATCTACACCGATCAGTGGCATCCCTCCGCCGACCCGGGGGGGTATGTCAACGTCGGCGTGGCGGAGAACACCCTCATGCACGCTGAACTGGAAGCCTACATCCAAACTAGCACTCACGTCCCGCAAGCGGCGTTCACCTACGGCGACGGGCCGCGGGGATCCAAACGGCTTCGCAAGGCGGTGGCGCGATTCCTCAACCGCCGCCTGCGTCCAGTGCTCCCGCTGGAGATGGAGCACGTCGTTGTCACGAACGGCGTCTCGCATTCGATCGAGCATACCTCGTGGGCCTTCTGCAATCCGGGAGACGGCTTCCTGCTCGGCCGCCCACACTACCGCGCGTTCATCCCGGACATCTCGCTCCGGCCCGGCGTCGAGGTTCTCACGGTCTCGTTCGGCTCGATAGATCCTATGAGCGCGGACGCCGTCGCCCGGTACGAAGACGCCATTCTGGCGGCGCGAGACCGGGGCGTCCACGCAAGGGCGCTCATGCTGTGCTCGCCGCATAACCCACTCGGGAGATGTTACTCCCGCGACGCCCTCGTCACCTACATGCGCCTGTGCCAAAAGTACCAGATCCACCTGGTCAGCGACGAGATATATACCTTTTCGACCTGGACCAACCGCCACGATTCATCCCCTCCGCCCGTCGAGTTCATCTCGGTCCTGTCGATCCCCGCGGAAGGCCTCATCGACCCTCTCCTCGTCCACGTCCTGTGGGGGATGAGCAAAGACTTCGGCGCCAACGGCCTGCGCGTCGGATACATCATCTCGCAGCACAACGAAGCCTTCCGCGAGGCCCTGCTCGAGGTCGCCATCTATTCCTACGCGTCGTCCGTCGCGGAGCACATCGCGGCCAACATGCTCGAGGACGATGCGTGGGTGGACAACTATATCCAGACGAACCAGGACCGGCTGGCCGAGTCGTACGGCTTTGCCGTCGAGTTCCTCAACAGCCATCACATCCCCTACACCCCCGGCGCCAACGCGGCGTTTTTCCTCTGGGTGGATCTCGGCAAGGCGTACCTGGAACGACACCCCGAACGACGGCCGAGTGCCAGTGCGGCGCAGCTTGACGACGGGGCGAGCGCCGAGATCATGCAGCTGCTCATGCAGAACAAAGTGTTTTTGGGCAGCGGAGCGGTGTTTGGCGCAGAAACCCCGGGACTATTTCGCCTGGTCTTCAGCCATCCACGACCGTACATAGAAGAAGCGCTGAAGAGGATTGCAAAAGCGATGGGAGGTCTCGATGCCGAGTAAAGGCGAAAGATTAGAGAAATTCTTGAAAGAGAATGTAGAGGTCATAGCATAGAGTCGTACACACATCCGCTCAAATCAATGCCGTTTCTAGACCCAATTACTTGCTTCTCGCTGCCCAAAGCAAACCTGTCTGACCTGATCTGCTTTCACACAAATCTCACCTTGTCAAAGTTGAGCGTGCCCCGACTCAACTTCCACGCCCAGAGCATCACAAACAACAGCACGTCGAAGGAGCTGAAAACCAGGCTCCCTCCAAACACAAAGGCATGGTAGCTCCAGGCGTCGGAAGAGCTGAGGTGTGCCGTCTGACATACAATCGCCCAAGGCAGGACATAGAACAAATTCGCCACCAGCGATTGATACAGGTACCATCTCGGCACCGTGGACAAAAGGATTGTTGCCAGCTCGGTGCAAAGCGCGTAGAAAATGTAGCACCAGTCGATGGTGCGCCACATGTGGGCTGTGATTGACGCCACGCTGTCCGAGTCGGAGAGATAGTATGCAAACGGCTTGCATCCGAACAAGGAGAGGAAGATGCAGAGAGGCACCTCGACGGCGAGCGCGATTGCGGCTGCGGTAAGAGCGGGAGTGGCCATGTCTGCAGACACGCATAACACACAACTGGGTCAGCCACAGTTTTCAGCAGACACGACGGAGTAGAATGCTTACCTCGGAGCTGCTTCCAGCTTGCCTTGGCTTTCTGAAGTTCCGTACCAACCTCTTTCCTCCATTGACCCCATTTGTGTCCAGTGAATACGTTCGAGGTGGCCTCCAGTGTTTGGACCGGAACCATAACAAGGCCCCAGCGAATGGTGTTGAAGATGCCCCATGCGGTCGCATAGTCCGCGCCCATGGACACGATGTTGCTCACGAGCCAGAGATAGAATGTGTTCCTCACTGCAGATTCGGCAAATGTCAAGATCCCGGGTCTCAAAAGCACTTTTAATGCTCTCAAACTTGGGCGTGGCACCGGAGCATTCTGGAGGTCGCTATGGCTTCTGTGGAGTCTGAAGACGATGATAGCGAAATATGCTAGACCGGCAAATGCAGCGGCAAAGTCACATCCGAGCCGAATGGCAGCTTGCGCGTTGACGGTGGGCTTGGACGAACCCACGTGAAAGCGGGAGATGATCAGTAAGTCCAAGACGATGTTGATGGCAAAGCGCGTCGCGCTGATGAGGAAAGGTACGTCAGGATGATCAAGTGCCCTGGCTGCATTGGTGACGGCCACTTCCACCGCGGCGCTGAAGACGGAGAATGAGCTAATGCGGACGTAGGTCAAGCTGGCGCTGCGAACCTTCGCTGGGACAAACCCAGCAGCAAATTGTTTGGCAGCCCCGAGAATGACAATGCTCACAAGCAGACCCATGATGCTCTGGAACAGTACCAGGGTCTGTGTGAGTCCGATGCGGGATGAGAGGGAGCGCGAGGATTTGTCGCCGATGATGACCCATGCAGCCCTGGGAAGACCCTCATTGATGACCTCGGCCACAACGCCAATATAGGTATACGAGTCGACCGTGACGACCATGGAAGAGTCGATGTTGGCCACCCATAGTTTTGAAAGGGTGTTGTAGAGAGCCGGGAGGACGAAGCCTACGAAATTGTAGGCGAGAGCACCGCAGAACCTTGAAAGGTTGCAGAGTCAGCGTCAAAGATCTTGTTCGAGTTCACCAGGACGGGCCTCGAGAAATCACTGACCGATCCCGACTCCAAACACCATTGTCCCGCGGAGTATCTTGCTCGCGGTCATCGTCAGCCTGACGAGAAATGGGCTCGGTCACCTCCACAACGTCCTTGGAGGATAGCATTGTGTATCTGTATGTGGTTCGCAAGAGCCCGCGAGCGACCCTTGGGAGGAACATGCTGGCTTTTTATGACTTTCCAGCGAAAAGACCGTTTCCATCACATGCTTAATGTCCTTTGCTCCGAACAGCTCACAGAAGAGGAAACGATCACAAATGCCAAGGTTACACAACAGCAACGAACACGCGCGGGGTCTGATGGCGACCAAATCAGAAGCGAGGGCGATGCGAGTTGCAGCGAGGCCAAGGGACAAGCGACTCAAGTCATCTCCATGTCATGGAGGGGGACTGGACAGTTGTTGTGCATCGTTGACATCGAGGCATGAGGCACAGAGTGAAGAAGAGGGGCCGATCAAGGTTGTTTCTCTGCTCTTCTGGCGTATAATGAGGCTCATCTAGTGGAGAAGGTATAATAGACCGGGCAGACTATGATACTAGCACATTGAATGTCCATAAGGCAGATATTTGTATTCGTAGGTATGTCAAGACGAGGAGCAAGCAGAGGGGATTGGGCTTCTCGAGGCACTGACAAGCCTTGGCAACCCCCGTCTTGGCGCCGAAAGCCAAACAAAAAACTGCTCAGACTGTTCAGCTTCAGCTCATTCCAAAAAAAAGGCGAAAGAATGAAAAAAAGGCCAAAAGAATGGGCGCAATGGAGTACACGGACATGTAGAAGCCACCAAACACGCATCCATTGCATCTTCCTGTTGCAGAGCCGCTTGGTGGCTCTCTTGGAAATCGCACTTAACTCTGCTCGTATCCATGATTGAAGCTTCTCCCTCATTTCTGAACTTCCGTCCCTTCTACAATCTCTGTAAGGAACAAGTGGAAATGTCAGCCTTCTGTTCACGCCATAAACGGAGTGGGGGGCCCTGCCTTTCAACGTCACAGGTGTAGGATGCAACTCAAGACCCAGTTGCTTATCCAAGTGCTTGCGGTGGTCAGGATCGTTGGTGTCCACCACAATCACCTTCTGGTACTTCCCCTTCCCTTGTCTCATGTCGTCCGCTTCGATCAATGCCAGTATGAGCAGCGCAGACAGTGTTGCTGCCTGGGCCAGGACTCGAGCCTGGACCAGTTTCCTCACGCCCGTCTCCAGAGGATCGCGCGAAAACAGGCGCAGGCTGCCTATCATCGCCGCCGCCCACGTCGTTCCCAGCACGGGGAGCTTGTGCTCATATAACCACTCCCGGGAGAGGTCCTCCCTGGTCTCCCCGGCATGGGTCCGTTCAAACAGCTCCTTTCTTTCCTCGGAATACTGTTTCGTTTCCGGGTGTACTCGAGACTCGAATGTGTGGCTCCCGTGGGTTGTCCCGTAGCTGAGGGCAAGAACTGTCGGGTATATGACGACAGTGGTCCGCACAGCCGGAGAGAGGTGTCTGAATGGTGCGTAGTAGCGACGTAAGGCTGCTGTGGCCGCGATGCCGAACAAGAACCCACCTACGCCGGCAGCCACGCCGGCATTGCGGATGTAGGTGTAGTAATCCTGCTCTTCCTCTTTTGCGAGGATCTTCATTTTTCGACCCGAGAGATATGGTGAGCTGCCATAGAGGAGACCATCGTCGTCTCTCCGGGCTCTTTATAGCGGGCCATCATCTCTCGTGGAATCATCAACGGTGACTCTGACGCAGCAATCAGCCAACGCCGATCTTCGTTTCCAAAAGTGGCGTGAGGTATAGCTGCCCATTGGAAACCAGGAACACGATGTCCCTCAACATGAGTCCCCGCGTCGGCGAATTCCTGGTGTTCTCATTTGTGCCTGGTTTCCTCTCTGTCAACCAGAGTCGTACGATCGTTACTCGGACACCCGACTGCCGAACAATCTGTTAGGTAGCCACTCACCAGGCGCCGGAAATGGCGGAGCAAGCGAGATGGTTGAGATTCAAGAAGTTCTTGCATGTTAGTAAGTCGAAGCCGGCAAAACTTTGAGCTATGTTGGTCACTTCAGCCCGAGTCACCTTACATGGACTGTCAGGATGTCCAAGCAATGAGGATCAGACGAAAGAACAGGCAAAGGAGCTTAAGCATACTCCTCCTCACCTTGATGGACTGCGAAATGCCTACTCTAGATCAGTGTTCATGTCATTGGTCACGCGAGCATCGCAGTTTTGCTACCTTCCAAGACGACGCGTGGAAACAAAGAGGCTTCAACATACGAAGTGGAGGATCGTATGGTACTTAGTATATACTCGGTACTGTTTGCCGATACTTCTAGGCGGCAGAGGATTAACGTTGTTCCAGCATCCATTGTACTCCCTCCCAACTACACACCTCCCAGGCACAATACAACAGGACGCATTCCTTCCTAGGTATCCCAGAAACGTTACTCAATCTCCTGCTCCAATTGCAGTTCGCCAACCCCGCACGTCTGGTAAGGCGTAGCGACCACGGCTGGGTGACGATCACGGCTCTGGTGCACAAGTCCTCAATATGGATAGCCGAATCTGGCCAGAAACTGCCCACAAGATGCCGAGACAGACAGATCCTGTCCGAGGCTATGGCTGGCCATGGATATATCTTTATACAGGTTCGGCGTGGTTACATTCAGCGGCGCATATTTTCGTGGTGCATTCACATTGACCCAACAACTCGGCAAAGATGAAAGCTGCTCGATACTACGGCAAGCGCGACATCAGGATTGAGACAATCCCTGATCCACCACCGCCGGGACCCAACGAGGTAAGTCAACCCAGCAGAGCCCCTTTGTAAACTCAGTTTTCCCCGACCAAATGCCACCGCTGATCAGTCCAGGTGACCATCGACGTCTATTGGGGCGGCATCTGTGGTACTGATCTCCATGAATACACATCCGGCCCTTTCACAATAAACACGCCCGAGAAGCCCCACGGTATAACCAAAGAGCATCTCCCCGTCACATTCGGTCATGAATTCACTGGTCGGGTCTCGGCGCTGCCTTCAGGGTATCCTGCCGACGGACCTCTCAAGCTGGGCACCCCCATAATGGTCGATCCGCGCATTCTCTGCCGGAAATGTACCGCGTGCACGACTGGATGTGACAACATGTGCTCCAATTGGGGCTACATTGGCCTCAACGGCGGCGGAGGAGGTGGCGCGGGCTTCAGTGAGAAAGTCAACGTTGAAACGAGGATGTGCCATATTCTCCCTGACGACGGCAGTGTGGATCTGAACAGCGTTGTCCTGTGTCAACCACTAACGGTAGGGCGACATGCGCTTTCGGCAAGTGGGATCAAGGACTTCGCGGGGTTGAACGTCCTTGTGCTAGGAGGCGGCCCCGTGGGGTTGGCGGTATTGCTGAATCTGCGGGCGAAAGGGGTGGGCGCAGGTCTCAGTGGGAGGGTGCTTGTCTCCGAGCCGACGGCCAAGAGAAGTGAGATGATTCGAAGGCTGGGATTGGCTGGACCCGAGGATCTTTTGGATCCGTTGACCTCAAGCGTGGCAGAGACATGTAAAGCGAGGACTCAAGGGAGAGGGGTCGATATTGTATTTGACTGTGCTGGTGCTGAAGCGGGCATGCTTGCGGGCATGGAAAGCTTGAGGCTGAAGGGAACATACCTCAATATCGCCGGATGGAAGCAGCCGTTCAAGATCCCGATGCAATATGCCTTCTACCGGGAGCTAACCATCAAGTTCTCCATGGGGAACAACGATAACGATTACCGGGAAGTTGTGGAGGACTTTGTGGCGGGGAAATTCGCTGGTGCTGAGGCTCTGATTACGAGGAGACTCCCGGTCGAGGAGTTGGCGGAGAAGGGCCTGGAAGAGCTGGTGAGAAACAAGGATGACCATGTCAAGATTGTTGCAACGTGGAGGAAAGACCTGTTGAATGTGTAATCAACTTCTTCCATCCTTTCACCAAAAATGCCTGGCCTTCTCTGGACGTTGGCAAGCGAACATCCCCGGCACCAGCGGCGTTATTTGCATAATGCGCACGAGAATCGCTCGGCGTTCTCCCAGTAGTACGACCCCTGGGTGTTCGCGTAGCAGGAATGGAATGAAATTCGAAAAGGGACAGATGGAAGGATAGCAGCGGAGGACTTCGTATCGTACAATCCAAGACTCCAAAATGCATGCTCGTGAAAACACCTCGCCAGCGCGGAAGGAAAAGATTCCGGATGCCCAAAGCTTACGAGCTTCGTACAGGCCTGGTTGTTCGGAGTCGTTCTCCCTACCACATCCGCCACCGCCGCCGACACTGACGCCTTTCTGACGGAACCGTCGGAAATGGGACCGGAAACGTTCCCCCAGACTGAAGCAAATGCGGAGTCTGGCCAGGGATAAATGCGCCCTGGAAATGACGAATGATGATGTCGTAGAACTGTTGTACGGCTGCAACACCTGCATCTTCTATCCCAGTAAAGGCCGAAGTGGCCATCGCAGCCTTGCGGAAGCTTTTCGGCCCCTCGAGCCCCGGGTCTCTGCCCTGGGGTTCCGTCTTCATATATAGACCTGGAGTGCGCATCGAAAGCTTTCCCAGTATATATAAGCGCAGTAAACCATGCCTCCTGCTGAACGCCTTTCGAGGATCACCAAACACTTGAAAACACCACAAACTAAATCCAGCAAAATGCCCGCATCCAAGAACTTCGAGATCGCAATTATTGGAGGTGGCATCGCAGGAGTCACTCTTGCCATAGCACTCTACCACCGCCAAATCCCCGTCACGATATATGAACAGGCGCCGCAGTTCGGCGAGATTGGTGCTGGTGTTTCGTTTTCCCCGAATGCAGTACAGGCGATGAAATTATGCCACGACGGCGTCTATGAGGCGTTTGAGAAAGTCTGCACGCGCAATGTGTGGCCTGAGAAAAAGTACGTCTGGTTCGACTACCTCGACGGTTATACGGGCCCAAATCCGGGCCAAGAGAGGCAGGACATCGCATTCTCGATCAAGAACTCTTTGGGTCAGAATGGCGTCCATCGTGCGCATTACCTGGATGAGATTGTCAAACTGGTCCCCAAGGAAATTGCCCGGTTCGGCAAGAAGCTCGCCAATATCACCGAAAACGAAACCAGCGGGAAGCTGGTCATGAAGTTCGAGGATGGATCAACTGCCGAAGCCGATGCCGTGATAGGGTGTGATGGTATCAAGTCGCGCGTTAGGCAGATCATTGTCGGGAAAGACCACCCCAGTGCGCAACCGAGCTATACTCACAAGTATGCCTATCGAGGGCTTGCACGGATGGAGGACGCGATCGAAGCAGTGGGCGAGGAGCTCGCCATGAATGCTTGCATGCATGTGAGTCTACCGTTTCCGACCTCAGACATTGTTTGATATGGCTGGATCCATTCCCTGCTGACATCCTGGACACAATAGATGGGTCCCGATGGCCACGTGTTGACTTTCCCGGTCAACCATGGCAAGACACTGAATATTGTCGCCTTCAGAACGAGTCCAGAAGACTGGCCCGACTCCCAGCGACTGACGAGACCAGCGAAGAGGGAGGAAGCTTTGAGAGATTTCAGCGAATATGGCTCGAATGTCATCAAACTCTTAAACTTAACCAAGCCTGACTTGGACGTGGTAAGTAGAGCGCCGAAAGGACAGGGTCACCCTAACCCTAACCCTAAGGGAAGCACACTGACGAGTCTGAAAGTGGGCAATTTTTGACCTGGGGGACAACCCTGTACCTACTTTCCACAAAGGTCGCACATGCATCGTTGGAGACGCGGCTCACGCCACAAGTCCTCATCACGGTGCAGGAGCCGGCTTCTGCATCGAGGATTCTGCCGTTCTTGCCGCTCTACTCTCAGATGAACTGGTCCAGTCACCATCAGACCTCGACGCCGTATTCGCAACCTTCACTGCTCGGCGCAAAGAGCGAGGGCAGTGGCTCGTTCAGAGCAGCAGGTGGATCGGCGACTGCTATGAGTGGCGCGCCGAGGGTATAGGGAGAGATTTCGCGAAAATTGAAAGAGAGATAAATGAGAGGAATGGAATTATTGCGAATGTGGATGTGGATGAAATGTGCAGGGAAGCCAAGGAGGAGCTGGAGAGGAGACTCGGAGCGTGACGAAATGAATGAAAAGGAAGCGTCAAAGAGACCTTAGTCCCCGGGATGAGTCTTCATGCAAAGTCCATGTCGCGTTACCAGGACTAGGGAGGGTAGATATGTTTCGGAATCGTATCAGCTTTGCGCGGTGACTCGAGAAGATTAGACAAAAGCCCAGTTCTGGGCTTGGTCCGGGCACGAGAAGCCTCTCAAAACGTCTCTCATATCGTCTGCAGGCCGCTGAAAGACCTTGACACAGTGGTGGGCCCCGCAGCAGGCTGGAGTCGGGCATGTTGTGGTTGTTGGAAGGATACGAGGCAGAAACAACGCGTCGGTCATGGAAATTCAACGCTAACCCTTAATTGACCAAAACAAGGCTGCACAAGGCTGATGCACTTCGCTTCGTCAAGGCAGACAGACTCACGCCGTGACAAAGCCTCTCCCTTCTCTCTTCAATAGTCCTGCTCAGGAGCTCCAATAAGTGTGCCAGTAACATACAACGCCTCACCTGCTGTCTGATTAACCATGACGCTTCCTGCCCCTTCGTCTCCGCTGTCCTCACCTCCGAACCAATCCATCCTCAGAGAGGCCTCAGCAATACAGGAAGATGTACAATACCGGCCACCAAAGGAACTCCCCTTTGAGCTAGCACAACATGTGCAGACCTACTTTGAAGAAGGGCTTTTCACCCAAGCCTTTAGCTTTCTCCTATCAATCATTGGCAACAGCGCGTCTCCCCTTGCTCGTCTCGGGCCAGTGACAATTCCCCCTCCCTCTCAAATTGCTCTTGCCGCCACACTCGCAGTTCATCCCACCACTACATCCAGGACCAGCTCGCGGGAAAAATGGAATCAGGCCAATGCCGCCATCCGGCTACTCAGACTAGTCTTCACGCTCGTGGGACCCGTCAATGCCGACTTCAACACAGCATTTGCCTTCCATAAATTCGACTTTCGGTTCACCCGTCGCAGCGATCATCGTCTCGATGATGAGGAGGATGATGCAAGCGGCGACGGCGACGACGTAGCGAGAAAAAGCGATCTAAATACTCCCTATGCCCGCTCGCAGAGCCTTTGGACTCGCGCTGAAGATTTCTGGCAACTAGTGGGTTGGGCGTTCAACTGTGCATGCCACCCGGGCATTCATGCTACCCGGTGGAATCATTACCAACTTCTGCTTGAGTTCCTGGTTGACGCGCTAGAAAAAGACTGGCAGATGCGAACCACCTCAGAAAATACATCGGCCGATGAGTCCTTGCTCTGGCAGTACATCGAACTTTCCGCTGGGGGACATGCACGCGCAAGACGGATCTTGCGAGCCATTTTTGCGGATGGGAGTCGGCGCTCGCTCAGCGAGTTTCGGGAAATATTCCCTCATGAATTGAAAGATCCCGAGCAGGAAGATGGGAAGATCAAGAAGCGGGAAGTCGACGTCAACATTGACCAGGATATTTACGGTGACTATTTGGCTCAGGACGACTTGGACGTTTTCGATGCCGACGATGGCGATGATGCAGCAAGCACTGGCACCGGAGCAAGCGGGCGACCTCCAAAGCGCTTACGAAAACGAAATCGGACCCCTTCATCGACGGGAATAACGCCGAAGACCAGTGCAGGAAGTCTCCGCAGCGCGTATACCACAGACGGGGAGGACGCGCCTGCCTCGCTGGCCACAAGGCTCGGCGACCCTTCATGCCTCTCTCTTCGCCTCCGGCTGTTAAGGCTGCTCACCCATGCCTCCTCTCACCAGACTCTGATGTCCACGTCCCCGACAACGTTTCCCGACCTGGAGGAGCTCTATACACTTTTCGTGGAGTTCATCCGCCCTCTTTCCCTCCCCGTCTTCGCGCAGATTGTCCTTCCCACCCCGTCAAACCCTCTCGAACCGACCTCTCTGGCAAATCTGTGCGAGGCTCTTCTCCAACGCCTCCTCGAAACCTCCGCCCCCAGTATCCGCAGCCACGTCTTGCTCTCCGAGGAAAAGCTTGAGCAAGAATACCTCCGCTTTGCTGCGTCAAAGAACAGTGTCGACGCCAACGCCAGAGTCAGTGTCCTGTTGGAGAGTTTAACCAGATGCCTCGCGCGCATCGGAGATCTGAAGAAGACCGAAAGTTTGGCTTGGGCAGCTAGGGCCGGCATAGAGAGGAGGATCGGCCGTGTCGCGGATTTCGCAGAGAAAAAGGGAGGCAGCAAGAAGAGGCAAGGAGACGACGCCGTCGCATGGGAGTGGTTGGTTGAAAGTGGGGAGAGGATTACGAGACTCATAGAAGGGTTGCCCTTGGGAGAACGAGAAGGAGCATGAGATATGGTTCGCGGCGGCAGGTAAAAGACCCACGTAGGAAAGCCGCTAGACGTACTGCCTACCAGACACTCCAAACCATGAAGCTTCCGAGCAGGACTCTACTTTGTCTTCCGTCAAGAAGCCCAACCCGCTGGTATTGCTCATCGTACGTATCTCATAACACTCACTATGCCACCGTTGAAGCGCATGTTCTTTCGAGACCTGTAAGTCGGTTTGCCTCGATTTACCGACATCCACCGTCACTTTCCCACGCCAACATCTATTCACGTTTAAAGTGACACTGTATTTTTCTTAAGGCGGCGGTCGTGGGCCGATGATCTGCCTCCTGGCGCCCCCAACTCCCAGCCCCGGACCTCCACGATTCTGGCTATCTCCGCCCAAGTAACCATATTGGTGGACATCCCGGGTCTGACCAGGTCCGCTCCCCTCCTTGATATCTCTGGCTCTTGACGCGGTATCCTTCTGTGCTTCTTCCCACTCCCTCTGCCGTTCTCGCTCGCGTTCCATTTCCCGCTCGAGGAGGGATTTCGAGGCCCAGCCACCGGCTTTCGTGCGCTGTTGGGATTGGATGCGGCGTTGGTTTTCGAGGTCCACTTCAGTTGTGGTGGAAAAGTCCTGAGGACGGTGAGACGTAATATTCGGTTGAGCGGGCGCGGCGTTCGAGGCAAGGTATCGGTCCGTGCGATTGGTGCCTGGCTGATAGGTTGCTGGGTCGGGTAGCGGGCGAGAAGATGTCGACGGTATGGGTTCAGGACGCGGTGGCTTGGGAGGAGGTACGTCGTCCTGCGCTTTCTGCCATTCTTGCTGTAGGTATTGACGCTCTGATGCAGCCCAGTCGTCCTCATGGCTTGTTTGGCTAATTGGAGGTCTGTTTGGCAGAACAGGCGCGGGAGGTTCAGGCTCGGGGCCTGCTCTCGTTGATTGATTCTGTCTCTGCTGCGCCCTCATCTCCTCCAATTGACGCTCTAATTCTGCGATGCGTCGACTTTCAGCCGAATCCTGCTCGACAGCAGGCTTAGGCGGAGGTGGGGAGCTGACATCATTACTTCTCGCCTGGTCTGCTTGGTATTGACTGAGAAATTGTCCGTTCAGACGAGCGTCGCTGACGGTGCGTTGGCGGCTTCGTTCCTGCGCCATACGAGCCTCTCGATCTGCCTGATCCTGAGCTTCACGCTCCCGGTCGCGTTCATAGGCTAACTCTTTGCGACGCTGTTCCTCACGACGGACACGCTCTTCTTCTTGTAGACGTTGTCGCTCGAGATCCCGCTGCGCAGCGGCTTCTTGCTCTTTCAACCGCCGAGTTTCCTCGGCCCATCTACGTTCTTCCTCGAGACGTGCTCGTTCTTCGTCGGCAGCTTGTTGAGCGCGGTGCTGTCGTTCAAGTTCTTCTGCCTCTTGCCGCTGCTTCTCTGCCTCTTCTTTGAGGCGCTTCTCTTTCTCTGCAATACTGGGGACACTGGGCGCCGGGGAGGTAATCTGTCTCCGAGCGCCGAAAGCGACGCCCTGATTGCCTTGACTTGCGCCTCCCATGTACCCATACTGATGGATGTTCCACGCGGGCGCGGTCTTGGTCTCGTCAGTCTTGTTGCTCCAACTGCTGACTGCGCCCCCAGAAGCTAGCCCTCCTCGACTGAGAATGTTCTTGGTGGGGCTAACACGCCCTGAATATGCGGCCTTATTGAGGGGGTTGAAGGTGAGAGAGGGACTGTCAGCAGTTGAATTGCTTGAGCCTCGCGGCCGCGAACTTGTCGTAGCAGTGTAAGCTGGTGATCTTGGTCCGCTTGAGCCTGTCCCTTGTGGGCTCATGGAAGATTTGCTCTTTGCTCCCAGTGTTGTAGGAAAAGCAGCAGGATTCAATTGGTTTGCCCTGCGGCTAAAGGCAGCGATGCATTGTAAGACTTGTGCGGGGTCTTTAGCATCGTAGAGGTCAACGGTAAGGAATCGGTCATGAGAAGGGAGGCTCAACGGCGCAATCTCGCAAGCACGGAGGAAGTGGGAGATGTTCTCCATCTGCACGAAGGGCATGCTCGACTGCTTATACTTGATGCCTGGGGACACGGCCATATTGACAAGTCTGAGACTCAGGTCAGCACCGCAGCCATTCCGTCAACAGATATCGCATACTTGCAAAGAGCCACTCCATCCCGCAGGGAGTCCATCAAGTCGCCTGGTGCTAATCTCTCGCCCAAAGTGCTTTCAATCCAGTTTCTCACCTCGTTGGCAGCACCGGGGGTATATCGCTCGAGGCGCAGTTTGCGCATGTCTTGGTCGAGACTTGTGACTGACGCCATAGTTGCAGCCGTTGTCTAATGTTCGCAGGTTGCGCCTGATCTTGAAACTTGAAACTATCAAATAGGCAGTAGAGTATCCAAGTGAAGATGTTAGGACCGAGAGACCCGACGGTGGCCGCGCATGCAGAGGGCAATGAAAGATGGCTATGCCGGTTCCTGTGGAGCATGAAACGAAGTCAGAGCCCGGGCCCACCAGGGCCTTGCTGCGGGTTGACGTCGATCCAAGAAATATGCAGCACATATGCAGCCTCCCGCTCAATGCGTCAAGCTATTCATTAATTCAATTCAGAGCACATTCTACACCTGCAACTGACGCACAGCCATCAAGATGGGAGGGCTTCGAGACCTTTGGCTGCGGTGGAAGATGCTCCGCTTGCCATGGAGAAAGAGGTTCCTCGTTGGTATGTGCAAATGCATGAGCCCGAGGCTAAAGGAAGATGATGAAAACTAACATTACAACAGGACAAGACCTCTACGGCAACACCTTTTGGGAGTTTAAAGACGCCCTCAACCACAATAGATGGCGGCGCATAGTTAAGGGTCGACGACGAGCCACTCTCTCCTCCCTTTCGGATGTGCAGATCTCTCCTCAATGGCATCAATGGCTTCGCCAAACCCGCAACGATCCTCCGACCCTGCAAGAACAAGCCGCCGATATGCAGAGACAGGCTCAACTGAAGATTAATGCCAGACTGGCCGATGAGAGATGGGCTGCAAAGGCAAGGTACATTGAGAAGCCAAAGCAGACGGTCACCACTCCCTTGTTGTCGGGTAACCCCCAACAAGATCGCACTCGAGCCGAACATATTCACAGCGAGGAGCCCCGATCAGAGAAGATGAGCAATAGTATTGAGAGCAATACAAATCAGCGGAAGAAATCAGAAGCCACAGGCTCAAACCCCGGAGCAAATTGGGCTCCGGACTCGTGGGCTCCTGGGGCTGCAAAACGATGACACCAAATGCCCGCGCAAAGGCAGTCAGTCCTGTTACTGGGGATTTTCGCCTGTCCGGAACCTGCAACTAACTACATTGCGTGCCATTCAATCCATACACAAAACCGACCGGGAAAGCACTAAGGACGAATTTGAGGAGCTGAGCTTGAATGTCCTTTTTTGACTGGTACTTATGCGGTGCTGGCCAGCTTCCGCGGCTTCAGTTCTCAAAGACCGGCTACTGATGGACCACCTCTCCAGAGTCCCCCGCCTGCTTCACAAGAATCCGTTCTGCACTCGTATTCATGCGCAAGAGTGCACTTAGAGCCAATTCTGTCGTCCATGCGCAGCTCAACCGGTCAACACATAATCACCAAGTGCACCAATCTCCAAGCCACTTTGTTGTTCGAAGCGCATAGTCGATATTGGTGATCGTTGTTGGCAACTTAGGTACAGCCGATGTACCATTTCTTGTCTCCGCCGTTAATTCCTCGATGACTGGCTGCTTGTCCTGGGCCCGTCGCCTCAGATGACAACAATCAAGATGGTGAATCATTTCCTGGAGCGCGATTCTGATCTTGAGCCACCTGATGGTGGTGAAACCCCGGACTATTCTAGCTGCCACGCCCGAAGTTGATGGTAATGCCGAAGTTGATTTCTGCCATTGTGAATAGAATGCTCACTTTCTTGTTGCTGGAAATTGATGTCACGTTTCTAGGTGAAGGTCCAAGCTCTCGCTTTTCTTGTCGATAATGTGGTTATATTTTTGTTAGGATGAGCTACGAAGGAACGGTGAAGCTTAGGGGAGCGGCTTTTATGCACCTTGGAAGAGAGGTCCACATCGGCAATGTTCGAAAATTGACACGCCCCGATGAGGGTGACAAGAACCTCCAACTGCACTATTCGGTAATGCTCGGTACTGGAGTCTTCAGTGATAGACTGCCTACCTCGCCGACATCCTGGAAGGGCTGACTTCACGCAAAGTGACACAGGGTGGCTTGTTTTGGCCGATTCTTCACCTGATACATATTGCAGAATGAAAAGTGACGAGTCAACGCCTGAAGAACCACTGTGCCACCGGGCGGATTGCAAATCATGGACGTTCAATATCCCAACGCAAATTTGAGAGCTATTCAATAATATGGACGAGGGTTCCACACATTGTCGCAACAGGCTCACTGACAATAAGCTCTTTCCACCATGTTTAGGCCCTTTGTCTTTACATTCGAAACAGGCCGGCTATGCAATCACCAGACTCCACATTCCTGATTGGTAGCATCCTGTTCCCTGTCCATGATTAGGATGCACCGGCACCGAGCAAAGGCTTGCCTGGCAGCGCAGCAACAAACGTGCAAACAAGCACGAAGCAATTCTTGTCAAAGCTCATGCGGAGGATCATTGCAGATCGATACGCACAAACTTGCGACGGCAATGCGGTGGGAAAAGAAGCCTATCGCCCTCTTTCCTCCAAAGATGCTAAAGAACAGTTTCCAACGACCCAGAACTCAAACGATTAGGCGGCAAAAGTGGAGTATCCGATCCAGGTGCTGGCTTTTCCATACAGAAGGTCTTTGTGCTGTTTCTTTTGCCGTTGAAGCGTTTGCTCTTGGAATCATGTCGCCACATCTGCTGATTGTCAAATGCCCTTTATATGGATTGGTCTTTAGTGGTAATAGTTTCCTTGGACGTTTTGATCAGACAGGACAGATGCTTCACCAACCGTATCCAGTCACTATCGCCGCGACAACGTTGGTCGGTCAGTTCGTGAGCCTTGGGAGAAAATTCCGGAACCATTCTTTTCACAAAACCCAAACAGGTCCTCGAAACCTTGAACACTCTCTCTTCTCACACGCTTTGCCCATCTTTTCACTGTCTTCAGCATTACTTTGCATCACATTTCGCCGACCTCGCAAGGGTATTTTACAATTCATCGTTATTAGCTCCACTACAGCTGGTATCACAGCCAGTCTGTTGGTGCGAGATCATCCTTCTTCACGGACTCACCTTCCTCAGAAAGTTCAAATTGACACAATTCACGACCAGAGGGACGACTAAAGCCTGCGAAATCAGCCCATCTCATTCACACAGCATTCTTTCTCCTTCAGTTCGAGACAACAAAAAAGTGCTTGGTGATCAAATTATGGGCAGTTTTCTCAAGATTGGGCAGTTTTCACTGCACGTCACCATGCTCGCAGTACCACCATTGACGCTTAATGGCAAACCAACTGATGGCATCGAATACCACTATTGCTGCAATGATGATTGTGGCTTTCTCTGGGCTGTGCAGTGGTGTGCGCGACCGCGGAAGAAAATCCCAAACACCATAGATCTGAGTTCATACAAGCAAAGAGCCATCCCCAAATTGTGCTCATTGTGCAAGAATGCGTTGAAGGCAAGGGAGTTCGTGAAGGAAGAGGCACAGCATACGGCAAAGCAGGAAGCAAAGCAACAAGAGGGACTGTTCGAGAGACTACAGAATGAGATCGGAGGAGAGAAGAGTAGGATAATGTCCACTGCGGGATTCGAGGATATTGCTTTGGGTGAACCCGCTGAAGGAACAGACAAGACTTTGGCAAAGGATCTTTCGTGGGATTTCATCGAGGAAAGCGATGCGAACGAGGAATGGAGTGTCATCAACCACTTTGGCTCTGCTGCGATCGAACACAGAGACGCGCATGTGGACACTGAGCTGGTGCGACCATAAGAGGATGCTGGGCTATCCAAAGCTCGGCTGTCGCCCTCCTTGGACAAGGCTGGGTAGCAAGGCTTCTTGGCTATGGAAACCGATGCCACATCAAAGTCCAGCTTTTGCACAGGGTGCCAGCGTCCGCCGGACAAGTACCAGACAGTGTGATGAGCCAAGGATATGCCGCCGCTTTTTCGCCATGTCTTCACTGTTCACGACAGATGTTTGCGCACAAAATCCTTCGTCTCTTTTATTCTTCTCATCCATCCAAATTCTTTACTTCCTCAGTATCTTGTCCGATCAAACTAAGCAAGCGTATCGCTCCACTATTTCGCACACACAGAATCAAGCCGGTACAGCCACGACAAGCACATCAACTGCCCGCGACAAAGATTCCCACGTCCTCAACTCGATCTAAACTTTTTCCAACGTCCAATCCCCAAAGTCAAACGAGACAATACAATGGCCACCAAAGTCCCCACCAACTCACCCACCCTCTCCGGCAATGGTCGCACTCTCCTCCCCATTCGCAGCAACGTCCAATTCGTTAACGAACCTCCTACCGACGCGTCTGCCATTCTCTCATCGATCAACGAGAAGCAGACTGACGATGACCACAAATTGGAGGGCATTATCCTGTACATTTGCAAGAACTATCAGACATGCAAAGGGCTATGGGCCGTCAGCTGGGTGGAAAAGCCAAAATGCCCAAAACACTTGATCAAGGTCGCGAAGTACAAGGAGCTGGCTGTGATGAAGACATGCGAGGCCTGTGAGCTGGCGGAATGGGAGCTTGTCGACAAGGCTGAGGGCGCCGACGAGGCTGAGGAATGGGTTGGCCTATGAAGAATGCGCCATAGGCAAATGAAGGAGAGCGAGGGTTGGCTTTTGTGGTGGTATTCGTCTTTATGTGGATAGCAAGCCTGCTTCGCGTCTAGAGAAGGCGCCGTCTCCATAAGGAGATATAATATGACTCACGTTCATGAAATACTTCATACTCACACTTGCTGCATGCCATTGTTGACCTGGCAAACCTTGCGATTTTTCAATTGTTGTTGTGTCGATATACACCGGCGAATATCACGTCATGACACCATGTAGAGCGCCTCGTCCAATATCCTTCATCTCTGTGTTTACAAGGCAGTCTCCTGGAGCATAACGGTGTGAACATGGATCTGAAGTCAATATAGACCCTTTTTGGGCGGAAAGGCCCCACATCCTCAACGGTTCAAGAATTAGGCAGGTTTCCCGGGCCGCTGCTTAAAGTCTCCTCGCCCATCTCAATATCGAGAGCACGATCACGGTCCTACATCAAGTTAGCCTGCGTACCTATTCGCACTCTCTGCGGGACTACGGTCGACAACAAGATGGCTGTCGAAGGGACGGAGCAAATGATCCATCGTGATCCCGCTCTGTTGTGAGTTGCTTTCTCCAGACACAATATCTGCTCTTTACTGACTGACATGCTTCAAAAGCTATTGGATCTTACTGCCCATTACCATTGTGATGATATTGACCGGAGTCCTCCGACACTACGCCACGGTTCTACTACATACTCCGCCCAAACCTCCGAACAGCCTTCCCGAGTCTCGTGAACGGCAAGCGCTTCTCCGTGGCATCAACCTGCGCAATAACGCAGCTGCCGCGGTGACCACACCTTCGTTCAACCGCCGGAAAGAATACCTTGTCGATGGCTACCACAAGGGCACGTTTTTGAAAGGAGGGCCGGACTCCAAGGATCAAGGCGCAGCAAATCCAATGTCTGACCCTGCGGCCATGGAGGGTATGATGGGAATGATGAAAGGAAACATGGCGATGATGATCCCTCAGACACTGATCATGTCCTGGATCAACGCCTTCTTCGCGGGCTTCGTCATTCTCAAGCTGCCCTTCCCACTCACTATTCGATTCAAGTCTATGTTGCAGTCAGGCGTCATGACTCGAGACCTGGATGTCAGATGGGTGTCCAGCTTGTCGTGGTACTTTTTATGTCTCTTCGGGCTTCAAAGCGTTTTCATCTTCATTCTCGGCAATGAGAACGCGGCCAGCCAGATGGCGCAGCAGATGGCGCAAATGAATCCGGGCGCAAATGCCAATCCCTTCGGTCCAGGCCAGGAGCCTCACAAGATGTTCCAGGCGGAGGCTGAAAATCTGGAGGTTCTGGATCATTGGAGCATTCTTGATGGCGTAGAGGATCGGCTCTTACGCATCTATGGCAGCTAGCTCCATTGTTTCATAAGACGTGGACGTTGCAACCTCCCATCTCCCAGGGGCTTACAAGGCTTCCTAGCACTATAAAAGATCCCCCCCCCCCCCCCCCAGGTCGAGCAACTGTTGGAGAGTTGCTGTCAAACCGCCGAATTGAATGCGGAAATAGCGGTACTACTCCTGTCAGCCTGAGTTTGAAGGACGCTCAGCTAAATCTACAAGATTACCAAGTGGGAGCCTACACTCATCCCACCCCGACGGCCGATATGGCTTCGCGAAATGTGGCTAGCCAAATGATATGCAAGGGGGTTACTTTCACTACAGGGGAAGGCAGAGGCTTGCTCCCCATAAGAGCACCCTCCATACAGGACCAAGTCTTTAGCACGTCGACTCAGAACAGGCGACATAGCGCGTTACAGACTTGCGCCCTTCTAATCACGAGAACCTTGCATTCGATGGACCGAGCTGAGATGCGGACAGCACAGTAACATAGAGTGGATTTGAGCGGACGAAAAATGTACGGCTTGTTCAAGATTGTGACTTGTTGTCTATCGGGGTATCGTGTTGTGCTATGCTCTGTTCGCTCTGTCCGCCAAAATAAAAGAATTCCTGATGTCTCGAACCACACCCAAATATGCGCTGCGACTCTAATCCGGCGTCGATTGTCGTTCATACATGCGTCTTTTCCAGGGCTTTGGCCAATTCATCGACTTCTTTATCCTTCTCCTCTGCAACCTTCTCCTCCTCGGCCTCCTCAGCCTCCTGGAGGATTCTCTCTGCTAGCTCTTCCTCCTCCTCTTCCTCCTCTTCGGCTTCTTCCTCCTCCTCCTCCTCTTCTCCTTCCAGTTCATCCAAGTCGTCCAGTCCCCAATGGCCCTCTGGGTCCTCGTCCTTGCCCAGCTCATCTTTTCTGTCGCTCAACAGTGCAGCCAACTCTTCGATTGAGGGGTCCTCCTCCTCAAACTTGTTCCCGTTCAATTCCACCCGTCGTAACCTGGGCAGATCGTGTTTTGCAGCTCTTAGCAGTGACTTCACGCCCGCTGGGGTGATATCATTGTACTGTAATCTGAGGATCTCCACACTCTCGTTACCGCCCCCGGAGAACGACTCGAAAACTTTGATCGCACCACGAGCGCCCAGCAGGTCGTCACCAACACCTAGTTCTTTGAGATTGGACCAGCCATTCAGCGCTCTCGCGAGCGCCTGCGCACCCTTCAGTGTGAACGTGTTGTCTTGCATGTCTAGCACCTCGAGATTTTCGCATTTCGATAGGCCAGAAGATATCAGGTGGGAGATGCCCTCTGGTCGGATACCATTTTGGGTCATCTTCACGCTTTTAATTCCGGCCTTGTGTGCCTCGTAAGCCCTCGCCCAGGCGGGCATGCTTCCGTTCTCCAACCTATTGCGACCACATACAATGCTTTCCAGGTGTGGCACGTTCTTCCCTTCTTTCCTAGCCGCCTCTTTTCTCTCTGCAAGCTTGATGAGTGCTTCGGCAATCGCCGTGCCCGCCTCGGGACCCATGCCATTGTTATTTAAGACCAGGTGTTTTAGCGGGGTGTGTTTGGACAGGAAATCGACGAGAGGATCCTTCGTGTTGAGCCCGAACGCATTGTCGCTCAGGTCTATCGTGTGGAGGTTGGGGCACTCGAGCAAGGCAGTGAGAAGGGACGATAATGCTGGGGGGATCTCATCAAGGAGACGCGAGGTGAAAATGTCGTGGAGGTCGGCGCTTTGGAGAGTCGACTTTGAGGCCAAGATCGGTGCGAGCGCGGCGCATGCGGACACGCCTAACGTATTTCCAGAGAGATCGATATGGGTGACCGAGGAGGACGATGTGAGTAGGTCGATGTGTTTCTCAAGATCTTCTTTGCTGTCGATTTTGAGGCCTTTGCCGGCAAGGGAGAAGGTCGACGAGGGTTCCTCAGCCATATTCGGGAGACCGAGATACTAGACGTGGTTCATGTGGCAAACTGTAATAGGTATGAGTGGTTGGGTGGAAGATTGTGCACTTTGATATCGGATGAAAACAAATATGCAGTTTGGAGCCCGCGCTCGGCGTTATTGGGTCTAGATTCTAGAATGCGGTGGAGGCAGCACCTCCCGCATATCACTTGGCGGCGACCTAAGTAGAGATGCAATTAGAACTCGCTTTACGACTTACTCCGACTTCGACTTACTCCGACTTCGACTTACTCCGACTTCGACTCACTCCCTTACCTCTCGCTCCCACTGTCACAATGGTCCTGGCATTATGGCGAGAAACTAACACGGTCGCAAAGCATGTGCCGCAGCGCCTTCTGTGGAAAAGAGACACCCAAATTACACACAGCTGATCGCGAGTATGAAGAAAGATGCTCTTCCACGCCAGCTGCAAGCAGCACACCGGTCTCACACCAGCCCCGGCCAGTCTCAAAAGGTATGGCGATCTTGAGTGGCTTGTTCTCGGATGCCTGTCATGTAAGATGAATATACGGGCACTGGACTAAGGCAGCTGACGACTTCGGTCTCAAACTCAGCAACGTCCGGAGCAGTCAAGTCAGGAACACAGCCACGCTTTGACGGTGTTGCAGAACGCTTTCCCGAGGCAACAGCATACTAAGGGCACAGAACACTCTTAGGAGCATTTGGCCGGTTCCAATTGACCTTGCACGAGTTTTACAAGCGGTGCTCGCGTTTCAGCGATCTTGGAGCCATGACGAGCTCTCTTGTATCAGATATCTAATCGTGCTCAGCTCTAAACTACCCAGAATCGTCAATGGCCTTATGTATCACAAGTCTCCGAAGAGCTCACTGAATGGAAATCGGTCTCGAAAGTGATATACACTCGCTTCCTCTTTATGTAGATGCCCGGGCTCATACAGTGTTATCACTGCTTCCAAATTTTGTTGATACCAACTCTAAGTCTACACCAGCGGCCCCCGTTTCTCCAGAAGATACATTGGCAATGAGGGATCATGATCTGTTAGAGGATCCCTGCTGGGTCTCTCACTGGAAGTAGTCAGGTGAGTCCACGATAGACGGTCCGTCATGGCTCATCAGAGCAGGCTCTGGACAAAATCGATGATGATTTGCCAACCCCTCATAGCAATCTCCACGGCAGCAGCATCAAACAACGTAAAACCATGGGGCGCACCAGGCACGAAACGCAGTGTGGCCGGATTTCCGTATCGTAGCCACCGGAAATGCATCAAGGCCGAATCATCAACTAACGCATCCTCGGTTCCGACCAGGAATAGCGCTGGGCATAGTCCAGACAAGTCGCCGTAAGCTGGGGACACCTTCCTGGTCTTCCGAGCTTCCAAGGGCATGTCTTGAAGATAGGCACTGAAAAACCGTTCAGCGTCTTCGAGCCCAAGGATAGGAGAAGTACTGGGCGCGAGCTTCAACGAAGGGAGGATGGACAAATCAAAGCACCCATAACTCAAGACCACGCCCTTGATTCCCGCAGCTTTATCATTCTCCTTGAGATGAAGCAAGGCCAGCGCAGACAACGTTGCTCCTGCAGACTAAGTCAATGTCAGCAATGATCCCGCACCTAGGAAGAGTGTAGGATTTACCTCTCCACCCAGGAAGCAAAACTTTCCGCCTAGCTGAAGCAGGCCATTAGCAGAAGAATCGTCTTGCTGTGGTGCCACCTACCGTTGCTTCTGCGTTCGAAACAAGCCAGCCGGCAACATCCTCGCAATCGTGGAGGGCGGCTGGGTATCTATGCTCAGGTGCAAGTCTATATTCGACGGAGAGCACGATTAAGCCCGTATTTTCTGCGATGTGACTCAAAAGGTGGTCCTGGCTTGAAACAGTTAAGACAGGGGGTTTCCGACGTGGTGCTGGACTGTTACCCTTTGGCTGTCCCCAGAACCCAGCCTCCGCCGTGGATGTGCAGGAAGATCCCTCGTTGTATCGTTGAAGACGCGGAAGGCCTCACGACTCGGCACATGACCGTTCTCCCGTCTTCCCTGGACGGAATGTCAACGTTCGTCGCCCCTTCAACAAAGGTATACGCTGGGAAGACGGTCTGTCCTTTCTCCCGCATATCACGGTAGACTTGTGCTCCGACCTGGCAACGGTTAGGTTCGCGTTATGGTGAACTGGGAGCCAATTCCCAGGGGCAAAGGATGAACAAGTGCCCATACCTCCCACCATTTCTCATCTTGCTGACGTGCCAAATGGCAGGAACGGTTCAGCTGTACCGTTTGAGAGCTCGTGTTTGAAGGGTCAAAGGCGCGCAAATCGTATACACAGTCCGAGTGGACCTTTTTCGGCGTTCTAGCCATATCAGCTTCGAGTGACAGCGACCATGGGTGCAGGGCCAAAAGCGAGACAGACTATGAATGGTGATGTTACTATAGCGGGAGCATCTGTTTGGAACTAGCCGAAAGGGTTCGACCGAGGCTCACCACCCAGAGGTTTTGGCAATCGTCCCAGATGCCCATTTCCACCGATTGGTGCATGCCTGGTCCAATCGGCAGTGGCCCGGTCGAGCAATGAGACCATCAAGCCAGTGGACCAGCCCGAGCTTTGTACCCATGCACTTCTGGGGAACGAGATAATGCCAAAGCAGTCCTTCAGCCGACACGAGCGGAGCCATTCTTCAACCGCTCCCTGGGGCCGAACATTCGGCTTCAAACAAAGCGCGATACGGGAATATGTTTCGTCGATCAGGTGAATGACGGTAAACCTGGACCGAGTGGCAAGTCTGTCTCTGCACGATGGCCCGTCTCGACCTGCCGCCATTGCAGACTGATATGGAGCTTGACGAGCCGACCTAGCCTCCCTTGGAAGCTGCAAGCTACGCCCACCAGATATAACATCTCGACAGACAACGGCTGTTGACTGAGTGCCTGTGATACATAGTGAGGGCCCCATTATGGCTCCTGGAATTTTAAAAGAGGAATCCATGCCCGAAACGTCCAGTGATGTGCTGGAAACAGTTGTCAATTACGCAAAGAAAGTCCCCAAGGCAGATGAGACTGGCTACGTGATACCCGATACTTATCTTGGGGCTCGACGTCCGATCAAGATTCTAGTGATTGGCTTTGGTGCCGCTGCCATCAACATTGTCCATGCAATTGGCCAACGGAAAGACAACAACGTTGTGGTGCAATGTTACGAGAAGAACGACGAAGTTGGGGGTACTTGGTTTGAGAATAAGTACGCTTCTAAAGAAGGATGTGAAGCGAATTCCGCTGATGTGCTTCTAGGTATCCCGGTTGCGCCTGTGATATTGTAGGTGTTTCGACCTCTGGTGTGCCAGATTGACCCTAACTCCTCCACAGCCGGCTGTCAATTATATGTTTTCGTGGCACTCAAAGCCCGACTGGACTAGCTAGTAAGGCAGTTATCCTCGTCATCATCGGCGCTTTATCACTGACAGGCGGTAGTTATGCAACCTCACAGGAGATCCTGGGGTACTTCAAGGACATTGTGGACAAGCATGAAATGCATGGATTTGTCAAGCTGAGACACGCCGTCTCGGGGGCATGGTGGAACGAGGAGGCTGGGAAGTGGAAGATGAAGGTCACCCCTAACGGAAACGAGGAAGCAGCCTTCTACGACGAGGGCGAGGTTCTCATTAATGCCACAGGAGTCTTGAAGTAAGTGATATCTGTGCTGTAGGGACGTTGCCAGACTTTGTGTGGTGTGGAGTTCAGGATGCTAATCCAACGTACAGTCACTGGAAATGGCCGGCTGTTTCTGGAGTCGAGAAATTCAAAAACAAAGTGCACAGTGCGGCCTGGGATGATACTGTCAGCTTGGACGACAAGGTCGTCGGCATCATTGGAAACGGCTCGAGCGCCGTCCAGATTATTCCTGCTATATTTCCTCGTGAGTCTAGGAGACACTGGAAGAGGTGACAAGAATACTCAAGACCCAGTATAGGTGTGAAGAAAATGATTTCCTACCAACGGTCATCTACCTGGATCACGGCGGGATTTGCCCAAAAGTATGCCGGCGAAAATGGCGCCAACTTCAACTGTGAGAGCTTAAGCAGACTCGAGGAAGCACACACAGTGCAGCTGACTTAGACAAACAGACAGCGCAGAGCAAAAGGCCGATTTCGCTGCGAATCCAGCCAAGTACCTTCATTATCGCAAGATGGTGGAAGAAGAGCTCAACCAACGATTTAAATTTGTTCGTCTGCCATTTGAGTTGGCTCCTCGGAAGCTGGGCTAATCGAATCTTGATCAGATAATCAATGGGTCTCCTGAGCAGGCAGAAGCACTTGCGGTACGTTGCTGTTGACCGGTCGAGTATCCTCCAGAATCCTGACGCCACTCTAGTTCGCAAGGCTGGAAATGGCCAAAAAACTCCAAGGAAGAGAAGACTTGATCTCGAAGATGGTTCCCACCAATTACGCAGTAGGCTGCAGGGTATATCATTAAACACAATTCGTTCCACTGGCCGCTCTTGACTTGCTGACTGCCTACAACAGCGACCAACCCCAGGCAACGGATACCTAGAGTGCTTGACCGACGAAGGAAAGTGTGAGGTGACATTCTCCCCAATCCAGGAGATCACCGAAGAAGGCATCATCACAACCGATGGAAAACAACGCAAGATCGACGTGCTCATCTGTGCTACGGGGTTTGATGTATCCTTCCGACCCCGGTATCCCATTGTAGGTCAACGTGGGATCGACTTGCGAGATGCTTGGAAAGACCAACCATATACATATCTCAGCGCAACCGTCCCGGACTTCCCAAATTACTTCAGTAAGTCCTGACATTCCCTGTCGCATTAATAACGCGCGGTTCTTTCGTCTGGGTCCAAGTACTCACGATCTACACTGCCAGTGATCAATGGACCATTCGGGCCGTACGGGCACGGGTCCATTCTCCCTGTGATTGAAATAATTACACGCTACCTCGAAAAGTTTGTGGAGAAGCTCCAGACAGAAGACGTGAAATCCTTTGCCCCCAAAATGGAGGCGGTGGAAGATTTCAGACGTCATCGAGAGCTGTTCCTGAAGCGCACCGCGTGGAGCTCGCCTTGTCGGTCGTGGTTTAAAGGCGGCACGGCGGATGGTCCTATCATGATGTGGCCGGGAAGTCGATTGCACTTCTTCGAAGCAATGGCAAAACCACGCTACGAGGTATTTATCCCTCTTTCCTATATGTCACCAAACGCTTCCAGCCGGGGTACTAACTCTCCGCGTGTCAAAGGACTATGATTGGGTATACAACAGTGTCAACAGATTCTCCTACTTCGGCAATGGCTTCTCGCAGAGAGAAGTGGATGGGAACGACATTTCTTGGTATATCGACGGGGTCTAGTGGCGCAAACCCGGAGCAGATCTGGTAGAGATAGAGCAGATTCAGATCATGAAATGTTGACCTTGGTTTCAAATTTCAACTCTCTCGATCGATGTCCAGTCATGCTGAACAGCTCCAACTGGACTACGGAGCCCCTATACGACAGCTTCGAATGACTGTTTGCAGGGTCTGTGAGCCGTCTGATGAGTCTTATAAGAATGACGGCTAATCGCTGACTTGACCTAACCAATTCCTGCCCGTGAACCATGAGGCTGTGTATGCTGTGGTGAGTCCCTATACGAGCCGCCAATAGTTCTAGGCGGTGGGGAAATTGATGGCAATGCTGCAGCAATTTCCGGTTGGATCGGTTGTGTAATTTGAGCCGACAAACTGTGGGCCAACACACTTGGCAGCCGAAGTTCGCATCTTGGTCATGGACCATTGACGCTTTGGCCCGAGGTTAGTGCGAGGAGGGGCTCAACACTGTACGCGGCATGCTGGTAATGGATGTACTTGATTAAAAAGACGTGAGTAAACACCTGGGACAGACTGGCCCATCACCAGTATTCAACCATATCACCACACCTGCCACAACATCTGATCATCTTTTGAAAACGGCCAAGGCTTGTTAGAAAGCAACGGCGAACTCCTACAGCATCAAGATGTCTGTGAGCCACAGCGGCCGAGATGCCACCGACTGCAGTGTCGAGCCTGATCGGAGCAAAGTCAAAGGCAAGACTGCCATCATTACAGGGGGTATGTAAGATATCAAACTCCTGTCGCAACCAGGCGATGAGCATCTGATCGTCTGAGTGGAAAATGGAGGACTTTGGCAATCAGCCTTCCAACCGTCGAGAGCTTACTGACGATAACTCTCTGTTGACATAGGGGCCAATGGAATCGGGGCAGCTTATGCCCAGGCTTTAGCCAGCGCAGGGTACACTCGATCATGTCATAAAGGACCCCGATATCACATATAAGGTCAGATGCGATGGCTAATGGGAGTTTCCGTTGCAGAGCTCATGTCATGATTGGTGACCTCGACGACCGTCGCTCCGCCGAGATAGCATCTTCATACCCAGGGTACGCTTGAATCTCCCCAGGTGGCGTTGTATATCTTTTTTCTCGAAGTCTTTTACATGGCAAGGGGAGTGGTCGCATGACCGCTGCCCCTGGCTTTGCCGCCCTCGCAAAGAAATCTCTTTCTAACACTTAGTCCTCTCTCCAAACAGACAAATCTGGACATGGCATTGTGATGTGACCAGTTGGGACGATCAGGCAAGGATGTTCGAAGAGGCGCTTGCAAGGTCGCCAAGTGGTTGTATTGATATCGTTGTGGCCAATGCAGGAATCAGTGGACAAGATCCAGTTTTTGTTGATGATTGTGAGTATCACATCCACCTACTCCCGCCTCCGATGACAATGACATGGCCACATTCGAGACTGACTGTCGTGCATAACCGCTCAAGCCTCCGCACAGGCACCACAGAAACCAGACCTCAAGATATTGGACATCAATCTCATTGGCGTCTTTTACACGGTCAAGTTGGCTCTCTTCTACTTCCGCAAGCAATTCAACGCGGCGGTGGCAGCAGGGAATGAAAGGTCGGACTCTAGTCTTATTCTACAGGGCAGCCTTGCCGGATACGTTGATCAGCCCGGTTCACCACAGTACAATGCCTCCAAGTTTGGGCTTCGAGGTACGATGAGGTGCTTGAGGAGAACGTCGCTGCAGCACGGCACCAGAGTCAACTACATCGCTCCATGGTAAGAATTGTTGGTTGTGCCTGTTTATGTATCGAGTGCGACATCCCTCACGCATGAGAACCTCCGTGAAACTATTTAACGGCAGATCAACGCAGATTTTGCAAGACTTATGCACGGATGATGCGCTGACCACTTGCCGGATTCTGAAGGTACATCAAGACTGATATCATCAGTGATGCCGTCGCGGAACGCATCACTTCGAAAGGAGCCGTCTTCGCCTCTATACAGGACGCGGCTGAAGCTCTTATAAGGATCGCTTCCGACACAAGTATCTGTGGTAAGTGACTGGGTATCCTATGGAGAGAGTAACATGGTGGTCATGGCCAGTTCCTGACCATACATACAAATTCATCACGTTACTCAGCATACTGATGCTCAATCCTAGGTCGATCACTCGCGATTGTTCCTCGCATGTGGGCGCCTCGAGGATACTTGGACGTGAACCACGACGACTACGAGGACGGCGACTTCCTCAAACAATGGCAAGAAATAGTCCTGAAAACTAGCCACAGACTGACGGGACCGTCCGTAGTCAACTGAAGACGTGAGGACGCGGGAGATTGATTTACTAGCTGCCACAGATGCAGGACGTCATGTAGCCGCAAGTAGTGTGGAGCTAAAGTCGCTTTTGACAGATGCGATTCCAAATCCCGTCCAAGCAATACCTCAACAACAATACCACATATGCCGTAGTAACATTCTCAATGATCGGACCACCGTGTCTATAGATTACAACCCTCAAACTACACACTTGGTGGAGATCGAGACTGTGAAAGCTCACAATCTCCTAACCTCACTTCTGTCCGCGAGATTTGTTGACCCTCGACCCGTCAGTCCGCAAGCGACCGAGAGCCGAGCAGAAGCCAAGAGCCGATTTGAAATTTGAAGAATTTTCTCAGTCCATTCAGACTGTACAATGCCTCCGGATGGTGCGTGTGTGTCTCCATCCCCCCAGCCCTCGACTACCGGCTTTCGCTTTGGAGTACGGAGGATGCTCGGAGGTAGAGAAGTGGATCCAGATCCTTCCTTTGTCGGTTAGCGCGTCCCGGTTTACCTCGGACCGACTTCGCCTCAGAGCAGTAGGGGCTTTATATCCCAAATCTGCCGCATCTGTTGCTCCGAGCGCCCTCTCCATTTCAATCGGCCTCTACTTACCTCTCTCTGTCAATCGGATGAAAGGTGTCGGCAACAAACGGCCAAGATGCTGACTTCGGATGCTGGAGCTAAAGCTCGACCAGCGTCAATGGCTCCCCGCGGCGGGAGGGCAGCTAGAGCTTGCTTGCGTTGTCATGCACGCAAAGTCCGCTGCAATGCAGCTTCGCCCGGAAATGACGGCCAGTGTTCCTCCTGCGTGTCGATTGGGGTTCCGTGTGAGCTGGGACCAGAGCGAAGACGGTTCGTAGAATGCTCCCCAAGCAGAGATTGCGCGGCTAACTTGTCAAATTTGCAAGGCAATATCGCCAGCGTCAGAAAGGTTCCTACAACACCACTGTCACTCCGATCGATGGCCTGCTGGGAGACGCGCAGAGTGCATCTGTAGACGGCCTGCAAGGGCAGCTGAGGCCCAAGCCCACATCCGCCGACCAAGCTCACTCTGTTTTTGAGACAGCAACAAGACAGCCGGACGCATTGGTTGGCGGCGACTATGGCGTACGAAACCACGGGCTCCAGAACACGGTGTGTGACCAGAACGAGGCTCATCGCGATCTTAACGATCTTCCAACGGTCGCCTCGGTCTCGTCAGGAGCAAGGTCTTCAAGTGGCGGTGCTCCCACCACTGCCAATGCTTTCGAGAACAATGTTTGGAGCGGTCCTCTCGAGGCCGTCAGACACACCTCTGAGAGTCACTCTGCAGTCTCTTTGGGAGCGGCAACGCTTGGAGATTCTGCTCAACCGAGGACAGCCTCGACAACAAAAAGCAAACCCCGGAGATACTTTGTGTATTCTGGCGACACCCTTTCCCACTCTTTCCTGCCTCATATGGCCGGACATCGACGTTTCAAAAGGATCAGCCGTCTTGTACCAGAAACGCGACAGTCGACCAGCATGAGTCTCTCCAACGAGCCATTTCCTGTCGCTACATGTCCATCACACTGGTGGGAACCGAAAATGCTCCAGTCCACTAGCAGCGGAGATACCGTCTTTGGCCACTTGAATTCGGTGGACACGTTTTACCTTACTAGGCTCAAGAATGTTCTCTATTTCCCGGAGATCTCTGTTGCACGCATGTTTTTTCTCGCATTTAGAGACCACGTACTGCCTACCTGTCCCGTTATCGACAGATACGAATTGACCGAGATCTACGAAAATTTCACCAACGGGCATGTCACATATCCCATGCTTTTGCACTCGATTTTCTTTTCATCATCACAATATGTCTCCCAGGATTCACTGACACGCGCGGGGTTTGACTCACTCCACGAGGCCAAGGCATATTTTTACGAACGCGCGACCTTGCTCTACGCATTGAACTGCGAATACGACCAGCTCAAGATCATCCAAACTCTTTTATTTGTTAGTATGTGGTGGTCCGACTTCAGCGAGGAAAAGGGGACCAAATACTGGATCTCGTGTGCCTCGAACCTGGCGCTAGCCATCGGACTGCATAAGGCTGTGCCCGCCGCAGCACGTCTAAGTCAACAGGATCGATCAATGTGGCGCAGAATCCTCTGGACTGTCTACGTGAGTTGAACCCCGCGGACTCACTCACAGGTTCCTCCTCCATCTTCGCATTCTGATTGGGACTAGAGCAGGGACTGCAACGCCTCAGTTGCCATGGGCCGTCCCATCACGATCAACAGCAAGGAAATCGATGTTGAAGAGCTGAGTGATGCAGACTTCTACGAAAGGCCGGATGAATGTCCCCTCGGCCAGTCCCCTGACCCAGGGGCGCAAGCTCTGGTGGAATTCACCGAATACTCACCGGCCCAAATCTTTTACGCCATCAAGACCGCTCGCCAGGCCGCTCTACGTAAGTTTGCTCCTTGGGTCGTTTTATTTAGCTCTTGTTTCCGTGACCCATTCTTTTATGCTTTCGACGGTGGTTCGAGTTCGATAATTGACTTTCATTCCCTCATCAGTCGACCGAACGATCATGATCGATTTGGATTACGCTCTCGGCAGCGACGAGGCGATTAGAGATCTGTATCAATGCCAACAAGAAATCACAGTCCTGCGAACGGAGCTATGTAGCTACATCACCAGCCAGTCTGATGCGGGGGCGAAAAATGGAAAGTCCGTCCCTACCCAGATGCGTTGGATCACGTTTCTGCAGCTGAGCACTGAACGGACCTTGTCGATTGCCTGTCGCTACCTGCGAAGACACATTGAAAACCGTCAAGCTTGGGATGCTGCTTTCTCGCACAGTCTGTCTGAGGTCCGGGCGGAAATGGTCCGAGCAGCTGCCAGGACGCTGAATTTATATGAAGAGCTCCTGCATTCTGATTGCCTGAGATATTCTCCCAACTTTTTGTAAGTTGGCATCTTCCTCTCTAAGGCGCCGCCTTGGGGGCTACACACCACTGACCCAGATTCAGGAACACACCCATCTTTGGGGCCATGGTAACGTACGCCGAAATCATCAAAGAAGCCCGAGATAAAGGCCGGGTCGACAGGATTGCAACCAATAAGTACGAGCTTGGGACCATGATTTTGGAGGAGATGGAATCATTTTGGCCTGCCTCAGCTTGGGCGTGCTCTTTGTTCAAGATCTTGGCCGAAAAGGATTTCTTACCTCTCCGAATACTGCCACATGCTTCGCGGTGGCAAAGCCCTGACCCCGGGGGTGAAGAAGTCGGGACTGGCTTCAACCAGGATGGTCCCCCCACTGAGAAATCGGCCTTCGACTGTGATCCGCTGCAGGACATGAACTTCTTCCTGAACTTCAACGCCGGCGGTAACCTCGAGACTGTGTTTTCTGACGACCTCTTTGACCCACAGACGTGGTATGCGGCGACACAGGCCACTCAGTAACAAAACTTACGATCCCAGCTGGAAGGTTATGTTCCGCCTTGCTGCTTTCGCTATTCAATAGCTTTTCTGTCAGCCAGTCTATAGTGTAAGAATTGTGGCCTTGCACGCGTATAATATCCCCAGAGGAGCAAACTCTGTCTCAGGTCGGCACTGCTCTACTATTGCTACCTAAAAAGAGGTCATTGGCATTGCCATAGAAAACAATGTGAAGAGTTGGGTAATGACGCCATGGTGTCTTATTGTTTTGGGGCCATCTCACAGACAAAGAAAGAATTCTTCCCTGTTGTAGCCAGCCTGGCCCATGCTATTTGAGGAGCAGCTAAAGCCTAGACGGAGCTTGCTAGGAGCCCCTTCTCCTGAAAGCTATGCTTTCGAGCCTTTCCTGCTTCTGGTCCATTCGGCTCGACGAGTTGAAGATTGCTCTCCTGGCTCTTTCACTCAAACCTTGTTCTGAATGCCAGTGCGGCAGGATCTTCCTCCCACGAGACTCGGTCCAAGTGGTTCTTCGCTCCAAGCCACACCGGGCGGGTGAGTTGAAACCCCCAATCCACGTCGAAATACTTGCCACACGCAGCATACAAGACCATTCCCTGGCATTGGTGGTTGAGGGACAGATACGCGACCGCTTTCGCAGGAACATCTGCCGGCTGCATGCACTCCCTGGCCGAGACAATCTTCTCACGCTGTTCTGGAGGAATAATGCCTGTGTCGGTCCAAAACGGGCACACGAGATTGAGTCGGATGTTATATTTTTCCGGGATATCAGTCCGCAACGTCCGGATCAAGCCTAAGAGCTATACAGTGACAAACCATTCCGATCAGCAGATGACTTTTCAGTGAGAGGGAAGCCTACTTGCGTGCAGGCTCTTGCTACTACTTACGCCGTGCTTAGCGACAGCATACATCGGTGTGCCTCCCACGCCATTGAAACCTGTCCCGCGTTAGTTGAAAGCTGCTCGCGCGGAGAGGAAGCCGACCCCATCCAAGGCTTGCATACTTTTACCGCTGCCGGTGATCACTATACTTCCAGCCTCCGGCTGTTTCTTCATAAAGTGCACGGCGAGTTTAAAGCCATTAATGGGGGCAATGAGATTGACTGCCAGCACAGAGTATTGGGGCTCTTTCAACCTCCCTTGATCGTCGCACTGGTCCAAAAAGACATCCTCAATCTCGCCGACTCCCGCGTTTAGAAAAGCAATGTCGATGCGACCATATGTCTTTGCCGTCCATTCAAACAAGTCGTACTGCTCGTCCCACTTGGTGAGGTCCACCTTGCGAAAGACGACATTGGCGGTGTCTTCAGGAGGGGGGTTCAGGTCCGCCGAGACGATTTGCGCGCCGTGCGCCGAGAAGAATTTGACTGTCGCAAGTCCAATGCCACTGCTCCCGCCTGAGGGACTCCTGGTCAACGCGTCGAGGGATAACGAGACAAGATTCGAGAGACGACGCACCTGTGATAATCACGACCTTGCCCTTCAGGCCGGTGAAAATCTTCTCGTCGAACGTGATCTCCGCCATCTTGGAACCAGGTTGTGCCGAAACCCGCGGAGGCTGCTGAGGGGAAGAGGTTTCTGGCTCTGTTTCCCCAAGGTTGATGGGCAAGGGTCAGCGCTGGGATTTCCCCTAAGTTGCTGGAATTTTGTGGTTTCTCGATGCTGGCACAATAGCCGCCAATGCAGAATGTCGCACAGTGAAGATATTAATGTCTCGTGCACGACCTAGAATCTTTGTTTTTGCATTTCCACCCCACTGGCACTTCATGTGGTTGAATTGAGCCCGCTCCTTTCAGTTCTACCGATAGCCGACGGCCGGCCAAGGGTAGCGAGGGCCCAGCTAACCCTCCCACTAGGAACTTTATTGAACGACCCTATTGGTTTCTAGAGCCGATCGAGGGAGATTCGTCCGAGAGAGGCAACACGGCAACTATTTTGCCTGGTTTCGATCATATTGCTATGTATTTAGGCTTAGGAGCAAAGAGCTCATATTGATCGCTCGGTGATAGTGCGGAGCAGCCGGACTATTGGTATAATTAGACAGAATTTTGACGGAGTGCGGAATCCAGCAATCCTTTCTGTCCGTCCGTCCATGTTCTCTCCTGCTCCTTGAAAGAGGTCACAAAGTTAGCCATTGAGGATTGACAGTATTGATGCAAAATGGTTGACTTTGACGCTTTGCCTGATTTTGATTCTCTGCCACCCGTGGAGGGAATGCCTCCAGGGTGTGCATGGGGTCTCTTTGACCAGGACGGAAAGAAGGATTATCTTGGATGCTTCAACCTGCTAACCCCGAAAGTGAAGAAAGAGGCGTTAAAGGAAGCCTACAATGGCATTTCGATTTCCTTGAATTGGCCACTCAATGCGATTGCAGCTCCTGGGTTCGGGCGCCGACCCACGGAGCACACGATAGTGGATGCCATGGAAGGGCCGTTCAAAACGCATGGATTCGACGATGAGATGGCGTTCAACACTCAGTGCTCAAGCCAGTGGGATAGCTTAGTTCACTGGGGCCATCAGACGACCGGACTGTTCTATAACGGGTCGACCCCAACCAAGACGAACTTGAACCAAACCACAGGAGAAGCCGACAAGAGTCTGCCCACGTTGAATCATTGGCATGAACATGGTTGCATGGTGGGCAGAGGAGTGTTGCTGGACTACAAGGCATACGCACAATCGAAAGGCGTCGCCTACAACTGCTTTGATTCGCACGCAATCACGGTAGCGGATTTGGAGGCCGTGGCAGCTCATCAAAAGACCTCCTTCAAGTATGGAGATATCCTGATTGTACGGACCGGCTTCACCGACGAACTGCGTGCTGCTGGCAGTGCGGAAAAGCAAGCTGCACTACTGGGAACTCACAAGGCTGTGGGTGTCGCAGGCAATGTAGACACGGCGCGATGGCTGTGGAATCATCACTTCGCTGCCGTGGCTGGCGATGCCATTGCCTTTGAGGTCTACCCACCAATGATCGAGGAACAAGGTCGCGTACGTGAGGGAGTTATGCAAGAAATGGGTTTGTGTCCTCACCCTCCCTTCTTCCCGCCTTTTTGCTAGATATATGTGGCCTATGTCTCTCGACGAATTGCGGACGCTAACGCTTCTCTCTGTCCACAGTTTTGCACAAGTATCTTCTCACTTTCTTCGGAATGTACATCGGCGAACTTTGGGATCTCAAAGCATTAGGGGAGTATTGCGCAAAGGCTGACCGTTACGAATTCCTTCTGTGCTCCGTGCCACTCAATATACCTGGGCTGGTTGGATCCCCTCCAAACGCCGTTGCAATTTTCTGAACTGGGACAAGATTGAACGTCAACGGGTTGTATTGTTGGAAGTTTACTGGGATGATACTGATCGTACAAGAGAGAACTGGTTGGTCTGTCTACCAGGGGGGTTTGGGGCCAAGATGGAGCGTCGAGACATGTTTAGCAAAAACCCTCTCCTGACATTAATTACGTCGAGGGTGAGAGCGCTTGAAGTGTGCCAGTTTGGCATCACACCCTCAGCTGTAATGTTGGTCAATCCATCAAAAGTCGGCGCTCTCCCGATGTTATGGATTATTGTGACCTCACTACACTAAAAACTCGCCATGGGCACTTGTGCCCGGAACTATGCGAAGCTTTGTTGGGTCTCGCTTCGAGACTCCATACATTTCAGAAAGCGCCAGTTGGATTCCATTTTTGCCGGAGAGCACGAATAAGCCACTGTGAAGCGCAAACACAGGCTGGACGGAACTGTCATTCTCTCCATATTCCCTGAGTTGGCGACTCGGCTGATTGTCTGGGAGGCCGCTTTCTGCTCGGATGAATTGGAATCTTGCTCTGCCGAGAACTCGCCCTGCCGACGCTACTAAGCTTGGTTAGGGATGGAAGATTGGAGCTACCGGATCTTTCTGTGTTTTTACCATCTCTCGGCTAGATTTTAGAAGGCCAATCTCGGCCATCGCACCACTGGCTACGTTCTGCCAAGGAGCTCTTGTACCTAATATCCAACATACTTCCTTGCTGTTTCGTAGGTCCTGGGAGGGGACTCTAGTCGATGCCCCACACCGATTCCCCATCCCCGGACTCCCCAAGGCTCAAGGGGAAGACGGGTATATAGATCGATGGAAACACAGGCCATGAGACGTACCTGCCCCATCCCAGTGTCCCTCCTCTCTGCACCACAGCCGTCACCGAAGGGTGTCATTCCTGAGACCAGTCTGGAAGACATCGCTTGTGCCCAACCTCAAGATGGAAGCATACACAAGCTACAATACTCGAGCAAGTGCCACCATTCTGATCCCATTATTGTTCCAGACTGCTAATGGCTTGCTCTCCGATAGACTATCCTGTTTGCTGCCACCGGATCGTTGTTCGGAGGCTTCTCCCTGGCTGTCATCACAACCACTTTAGGTCAACCGACCTTCTATGAGTCCTTGTCCTTAGTGGCCGACACTACTGCTCCGGGATATTCCTACACCAACACCATCATTGGGGCAGTCAATGGGGTTTTCTTTGCCGGGGGGGTCTTTGGCACCCTGCTCTCCGGATGGACAGCAGACAAATTTGGTCGTCGTAACGGTTTTCGCATTGCGAGTGTGTTGGGCGTAATCGGGGCGGCCATTCAGGCCGGATCTGTCAATGTTCCGATGGTATGCCATTTGCTTCTTGTTCTTCTTGGGTTTTGTTGTCATGAGCGTGGCTGTTCCGAGATTTATAAATCATGTCTCTGACGTTGTGGGCCCGTTCAAGTATCTTGTTGCACGAGTCATCACAGGCCTGGCCGCCGGAAACACACTGGCTGCGATGCCCACATACTACGCCGAGGTGTCGCCGCCACACTCTCGTGGCTTGATGACTGGGGCCCATGGAAGCTTTGTGAATTTTGGCTACTTTCTGGCAGGCTGGATAGGGTGAGGCTCTCTAGCAAAGACAAACTTTGGATGGCAGGCCAGAAAACTGACGTGCTGTTTTCCAGGTTCGGTTGCTACCATGCCCCAAGGACAACCTTTTCGTGGAGATTTCCAAATGCGATCCTTGGTCTGCTTGGTCTTATTCTCATGGCCGGTACTTTCTTTAGTAGGTCCGACGTGCCATGTTGTGGGTGCCCATTCTCTGACTTCATGGTAACACAGTTCCCGAGAGCCCTCGATGGCTTTTGCAACGTGGCCGACACGACGAGGCGTACATGACCCTCTGCAAACTACATCACGACCCCAATAACGCGGAAGATCACTTTGCTCGGCGGGAAATGGCTCTCATCGAACGCCAGCAAGCTGCAGATGCAGCGGCCCTGGCAGAAGACGGCAAATGGCAGTTGTTTACGGCCAAAACCTACCGCAAAAGACTCATACTGGGCTTTCTAATAATGGCCGGTGGACAAAACAACGGAACCTTGGTAATAAACAACTACACCGTCTTGCTCTACAAGTCCTTGGGTCTCAGCGACGAGATATCGCTAATGCTCAGCGCTCTGTATAACACACTCGCTGCGATTGCAAATTTTGTTGGCGCCTTCTATAGCGACAAAATGGGACGAAGAAAGGCATTATGTGAGTAATACTACTGGAACCCATTCCGCTCAGCGACTGAGTAATTGACTGGATCTAGTGCTGGGCTTTACGATCAACATGTCCATGTTCATCATCGCCACCGGTCTCATTGGCAAGTACAGTGCCGATCCATCCGAGAGCATAGCTGCCGCTGCAGTAGTGTTTCTGTATCTATATGTGATCGCGTGAGTTGAATTTTCCCGGCGGCTCAGAGCTGTCTTGCTCTCAAATTGTTCTTGAACTGACAACTTCATCCCTTGCCAGGTACGGAGGATTGATCGACGTCAATCAATTTACTGCTGTCACTGAGATCTTTCCGTCCCACCTCCGCAGCCAGGCGACATCTTATGCAGTCTCTGCCATCTTTCTCATGGACGTGCTCTGGCTGGAGTTGTCGCCAACCGCCCAGGCAACGATTGGATGGAAATACTACCTGGTATTTGTGTGTCTCGGCATTGGTCACACCGTGCACATATATTTCTTCCTGCCAAATGTAATGTCATTGACCTCAACTGTGTGGCGCGGAAATTGGCTAACTCATTGGTTGCAGGCAAACGGGTTGCCGTTGGAAGAAATTGACGCTCTCTTCGGAAAGAAGGTTGCTGCCCATCTGACGGACAGTAATCTTGAAGAGCAGGGTTCCAGTACGCCTGTCGACCTGCTGTCCAAGGAGGGTCACTCTACAACGCATGTTGCAACGGTCTGAACCCATATCTAAAGTGACCTATTATCAGGACCTACGCCACACGGTAGTGACTAACTAATTAGAGGTCTATATACTACTGCATCTATCTATAGTTCCTATTGCAAGTATCTATAATTCCTATAGATAACGACTCAACGCTTGAGAAGTAGAAGGAAACGATTCCTAACTAAAAGAGGAGGAGTGGTTTCTTATAGCTTCTTAGTCTATACTATTACATAGTATAACTAAGTACAAGGCGATCTAGTCCTACTAGGCTTAGACCTATATAGGCTAGACCGTCTAACGGTATGCGATTCAATCAATTAATCGCATAATATAAATATAGCTAACTCGCTAAGATGAAGCATAACTGCTCTGAGCTCACCCCTAATTCGGATGTGATACCCCCATGTCCATGCCCCCGCCTCGCAATCATGAAGACGTTGACGACGGGCCGTTCTGTGTCAGGATCAGTCCGTAACGATATAGTTTACTCGTACTTACGCAGACCTTGATGAGTAGTGATCAGTCTTGATCGGTGCTGCTGATTATATTGAGTCGAGTATTCACCACGAGGGGAGTGGAATTTATGTGTGCCTTCTTTGCCTCGAAGACATGCTATGGCAATGCTAATCGTTTGGAGCGATTGAGAAGAATGACTACAAATGGGTAGATCTTCGTTCACCTCTACACCCAGCCTGAGCAATGGGTGGATCTTGTCCAGCTTCGTCGAGGTCGGGCAGTGAAGGCGTCCAGGGCACCTCTAGCAGGGCCCAAGCCAACATCCTTCGGAATACTCGCGGCTCCGCGAGGCTGACCTAGCGGAGACGGCGCCAGTGACGTCGCGACAACGAGACTGGCGCACTCTGGTTTCATCTGAACAATTCCGCAACCTCTCCCCATAAAATTACCTCATGAACTCCACTTCAGACAAGATAACTAGTCCCTAAAAGTGCAAGATGTTCAGGCCACCACGGTAACCCAGATGCTTCTCAAGATGCGGTGATGCCTCCAGTGTTCTTCTCGTAGGGACGGCCGTCCCTTGTTGCTCCGGAGAATATATCCTTTAAGATTCCTTCCTTCGTCACCGTGTTATCCGATCCGAGAAATGAGGCTTTCGCGATGGACGATCGAGAGACAGAGTGGTCTCCGGCAGAAGCCGCCTGCACAAGGTGACAAGACTGGCATCGAGAATGAGGTTTCTTTTCCGGGCAGCAATATGGGTTTAAACAACCGGGAAATTGGACGTAATTCGATTGACCACAAACGCACTTCATATGTCAATACGGAAGAGTGTAAGCGGGGATTTTCGACTTACGCATACCCATTCGTCCATTAGAATCATTAGCGACTGGCGACTGATCACGGAGATTCGAAAGTATGGACCGGTGTTTTGGCTAGTCGGGACGCAATCTTCAGGATGATAACGAGGTCGAGAAGATTTCAGATGTGGTAGGGAGTCGGGGCAAGCTGTTTTCGAAGCGCTAACCAGACTGTGATAAGGTGAAGCCGTACGGGACCAGTCTCGAAAAGCCTGCCGCCTGTTGGCGCCCAGACTTCGTGTTCCTCTTTCTCGTGCTGCCAGCGAAGATTTCACACTTCGGTGGCAGTGACGTGGCAGGGCCAAAAGATCTTTAGCACGTCGAGTTGAGAGCCGAGACGGCCAAGGCCGCTCACTCTGCAGCGCCTCGCTTCGCTACTTAGGCAGCAACCTTGAGTTTCTCCATCGCACGTGGGGATATCAGCCAGGTTGACCCCAGTCAGTAAAAATCCGCAGGCAGCGAGGCTGAGGCTCGCACGGCATCAGAGGACAATGCCACTCGATGAAGCTCTAGAGTGCGTGCCACAGAAAAATTCAAGATACGAGCAGAGTTCATGATGGCACCATCGATCGATTGTTTCAACAACTAAGAGCTGAAGGAGGACACCCTATCCCGGCTTGCATTAACCTCGCGTTGGCGTGGACATGGAGGCCGTGGCCGTTGTGGGCGGGGTTGCTGCAATTGCACAGCTCGTTAAGATTGCAGTGAAGACGATCACAGCCCTTGTTGAATGTATAAGTGAGGTAGAGGATGCACTTGAGGAAGTCCGAAGGCTGCAAGGGACCTTCCGCTCAATGCGAGCAAAGCTTCATGCACTGGTAGCCCTTCTCTCAATGCTGCCGAACGAGACCAATCTGCCCGCCGAACGGAGGCAAGACTTTCGAGATTGTTTGTCGTAAGTCCAACAAGACTTCTTGAAGGTCGTCGACTGGACGAAGGTCCACGAAACGGGCCTTCCATCGCAAAACTTTGATCAAATGCATGGAGAACCTGCTGGCTTCGGAGAAAACCTCCTGCGCATTGAGAACATAATTTACTTGTAGGTGGGTTGATACTTTCCTCAATGTTGCGGAGCTGACACTATCCACTGAAGGCACCTTGCCTCTATGACACATCGCAACACCTCCATTGCGTCTGGCAAGAATCATAGCCCGCCGGCCGCCCAGCCGTGCCTACCTACAAATGGTTTTAGAGGCCAGAATCGAAAATGGAGAACTTCACTGTTCGAAGCCAACTCATTTTTGAGGACGCTTGGACTCTACGGTCGGTTCGTCAACGATGAACGCCGGGAAGATGCTAGGATTGAAACCGTCATTTGTTTCGGCCTGTGCTTCCCTGTCTGGCTTATGCTGGCATCGATAGCCTTCGAGCTGTCCTTTTGCAACGCTCCGTCATGGACTGGCTGGCCTTTCAGGTGGAAAATCGATTTCCAGAACAGAGTACCCGTTGACTCGCCTTTCATGACGGCCTGCCACTATGGAGACGTTCCCTTGATGCGACAGTTACTGACAGAGGGCGACGGAGGTATATGTGATGGACCAGTTGCTCTGGCAAGACACCCCTGTTGGTGAGCGACCACTCAATCTATCAGGCGATAGCCTGGGTATTGACGAAGACAGATAGCAATTAGAGGACAACATCTGGACGCGGTCGAATATCCTCTGCAAAATGGCGCGGACCCGAATTTAGCGGACGATGATCAAGTGTACGTTATAACTTATAAGCGCTGTTCCTAACCCAACACCGTGCTAAGCATGAGCCAGGACTCCTCTATTCGCCGCAGCGGGCATGGATCTCCAAAGAAACAAATACTTTGAACAACCACCTCCTACATGGGGACTTTGGCTCGAAACGGTCCGGATGCTCATCAAAGATGGAGCATCAGTATCTGATGTGGTAAGAGGACGGACTCTTGCGAGCTTGAACGTTACCGAGGCCAATGAATCTTGCACCACATTGGAGTATCTCCAGCTGCCTGCTGCGGAAGACAGCATACAACTTGATACCATGGTTGGACATGAGTGTTGGTCGGCTCTCCAAAATGCCCTGCAATCAAACGCGCATACGGTTGGCTACCTCCAAATGCTCAAGTCGACAAGAGTTGATCTTACCAAGGTGATGGACGATGGACGGACTGCCCTTCATCTCGCATCCGACTGGTGCGTTGACTCGGAGCCGCATCAATACCTCTGTACAACAGACTGTCGCCGGTTCATCAACTCCCAGGATCACTGGGGTTGGACTCCCTTGCACCATGCCCTTATCGCGAGGAACTCCGCAGAGAGCCATGCACCGTATTCGAAAGCCATCATGCTCATCCAGAACGGAGCGATGATGAATATCGAGGGCGGTAACAATCCCCGAAACCATTATCCCCAACCCCAGGGAAAGTTCACCGCTCTGCAATTGCTCAGGTTTGCAAGGCCTTTCAGGTGTGACATGTTTCTTGATTCTTGTGCATCCGCCAACATCAGGATTGATCCAGAAATGGCTGAAGACAGATTTCATGATTGTGACGAGTATCTATTCCCCACGATCTTAGTGCGAGTTTGCCTTGATTGAACAAATCTTTTCTCAGACGCTCATTCAACAAGATGGGATGAAGTATTTTGGGCGAGTAGCGACCAGGGGAATGAGTTACGTAATTCCACTGAAGGCTCCGAATAGAAAGAAAGACATGAAGCCCATGACACATCATTTCTGAGTTTTCGGGCCACATCGGTGCTGCCACAGCTACCACTTTCGTGCAGGCAATCATATACACGGATATAAATGCACCTATTCGGGAGGAGATTCTCTCCTATAGCTGCGCTGTGCTAAAAACTCGGAAAAGGATTCCGGGGGCGGCGTTCTGGCAGTTTCGAGCAGAGCTGACACTGGTGGAAGAGTGCCCGGGGCCGTCGATGGAGGAACGGACCGGAGCAGTACAGCTGCAGACTCCATTTTCCATTCCCAGTCCTCAAATTGTCTTATATCCTGGTGAAAGTGATCGCAGTGATCACATCCGCTGGACGATTCACCCACAAGGGCAGCCATGGCTTGAAAAGCCGTGAGGCGATACCGAGGATCTGGATCGAGCATCCTCGCGATGACTTTGAGTAGCATTGCCTCGGTGGGATGTTGGATTTCGGCTTCTCGAAGAATACGACAGAGCTCTTCGTACGAAACTTGATCCAATCTCTGGCTGCTGAAGGAAGGCCGTAGACGCTGCATCCTTGGATCATTGGTGAGAACAGCAGCAATATCAAAAAAAAAAAAAAACACCGCCAAGTGCAAAGGCATCCGCTGGTATGTCTCTGTCGACATCCTGGTTGTACTCTGGAGCTCGGTACAGGAAGTGCTGAGTGGGAGAGATGCTGTCTGTTCTGCCACCGGGGAGCCGGTGGGAGGCGTTTGCGAGCCAATCATACGACGCTCCAAAGTCAATGAATACCGGCGACAATGCATTGATAAGAATATTTCCAGGATGTATATTGTGATGTCGGGTGTTATGCTCGTGCAAGATCGCAAGCGCAGTCGCCAAGCACTTTATCATCCGATGAAGGGCATGTCTGCGATTGTTTATGTCTGTTCGTCTCAAGAACGTGGAGAGATTGCCACTATCCGCAACCGGAGATGTGACAAGGAAACGTTCTGTTTGGCCGTTCAGAGTCGTCGTTGTATAGGCCTCCTTGAGATCGGCGAAATGGTTTCGTACAGAATCGGGGATTTCTTCCACCATCCTCTCCATAACCGCACATTCGTTCTCGAGTGTCAAATGCGGATTCAGCTAGTTCAACAATCGTTTGCGAGCGTAGTGAACAGAGTCTAAAGTAACTTCTTCAACCAGTCCACTCACACCATTGCCCAGAACAACAGGGTACCAGCATCAGTCCTGACTCTATACTCGGGCGCTGCATTGAGAGCATAGTTGTTGACAGGCATTTCTAGTTTATCAGAATGTAAGCAATAACAACATCTAGACATGCAGTATGACATACCTTGGTCCAAGTGCAGTTCTGGGGATTCAAGCTTCTCGTCTCCCACTGCAGTGGCTTCTCCCAAGGCCTGCGTTGACTCGATTCGAGAATATCCTTTTGTTCAAGCGCTCGTATACAGTTTTCTCACAACCGTGTACCTCTTGGGACGGAAATATCGATGTGCTGTTGTTGCTCCTACCCATGAGCTGTCTCAGCCTTACGCCCTCAGATAGCATGAAGAATCTCGGAGGTCACTTGTTCCATGTGCAAGATTGTACGCAAACGTCAGATATCGTAGTATGTCCGCACTAGAGCACGCCGTGAGGGCGCTCTGGAAGTTGAGATCTGCTCGAAAGAAGCTGAATGTCTCTTTATCAGTTGCGAGGCTGCCATGCCAAGCTCGACTGGTGAGGCGACCACTCGTGAGAGCAGTGAGCACAGGGCGGCATCAGCCTCTAAAGAGGGGAGAGCTAGGTGTCGAATTCCCTCGTCTTGGCCGTGTTCATGCCTCTTACACCCCTGCGACATGACAAATTCCCGGTGGATTGTGGGAAGAGATTGAGAGTGCCACGAACACATTTCTGTTCCCAGGCTTCGAGGAAATCGAAGCGCCGCGCCTCAAGCTTCAACCACGTGTCAAGCATGTCTTTGTCAATTTGACAACCTGACAGACTATCTGACTCTATGTGCCCTCGTACAGAACGTATCAGGAACAGTCTCGTTCTCAAGCTATCAAAAGAACGACAGTTGTGACCAAAAGATGTCAGTGTTTAATGCGTTAGGGAGAGGGTCGATAGAATGGAAGGAGGGGGAGGGCGACGGCGCTCGGGACGCAGTGGAGGACCTTGGCGGGCGAAAGCAGCGAGGCTGGCTCCTTCGCAATATATCTATATTACCCTTTCGCTTAAGAGGGTAGAATTGTCCCTTTCGGGGCGCTATTTCCAAGACGCTTGCTTTATTATCGGAAATACAGAGCGCTCGATACCCCTCGTGACAGGTGGCCCGGAAAGGCCAATTATAGCTAACATCTTTTAGCCCCTACGACAGGTGAGACACGTGTAATCTCTCACACCTGCTCGCGCGAGCTGGCGGTAAGCATAGGGCGGCATCACCCTCGACCCGATCCGGGGTGATCTGCCCGCTGTTTTTACTCACCTTGGCGCATGTCACCATCGCTTCCGTGCCGTGCACTTGCAGCGACGTGTTGTTTTCCTGGCGAATTGAGCCGGAACCACTGCCTAACCACCAGTCATGTAACTGGGCGACTTGAATCGTGATGAGGAGTTATCTTGGTCTTCGGGCTTGTTTGGTGCTTTGCTTGGTGCTGTGCGTCTGTCGGGCAAGCGAAACGACCTTTAGCGTCAACGACGATCTGTTTGCGTTCCCCCAAGTATTCTATAGCTCTTCCGCTGGGTAATGGTCCAACGCTGACAATGGCATAGTATAGCATTGAATTCGCAAAATCATACATTCTCGACACAGATGCCGCGGATCTTTTAGACCGGCGGCGGAGGGAAGCCGCTTCTGATGCTCCACGGTCATCGCAGACACAATTGAAGGATCTCTCCGCGAGCCTTAACCCGGAGACGGACAGCGAGTCGGTCCCAGAAGATCCGACGCAATCGGGCTCTTATGAGCGCCTCCTCTTGCATGGGTACCCGCACCTGTGCTTCATCCCCGAAGCGAAAGAGATCATCGACAATCGGACGACCCCCGAGCCGACTGCGGCCGATCGCGAAAAAGAGTTGGACCAAGCCGTCGCAAGAGCTTCACAGCTTCTACAAGGGATGGCGTCGAACCAATGCCTATATTACTCTACGGGCTGGTGGACCTATTCCTTCTGCTATAACGCTCAGGTAACCCAATTTCATGCCCTCCCCCCGGGCACGAATGGCAGGATATGGCCACCGCAAGAAGACCCTACCACTCCAACCTACGTCTTGGGCAAGTTTGAAACTCCGAAACAGGGAGATTCGAAGCCACAACCTGGCTCCGATAAGGCACTCTCTACCGAAGTAAGGTCAAAAGCCGAGACCAACTACCTGGTGCAGCGGCTGGAGGGAGGGACGCCATGCGATCTCACGGGCAATGACCGCAAGATCGAGGTACAATTCCACTGCAACCCGCAGTTGACCGACCGAATTGGCTGGATCAAGGAGACGGCTACCTGCGCCTATCTCATGATCATCTACACGCCACGGCTTTGCAACGATGTCGCATTCCAGCCGCCAAAGGAAAGTCGCGCTCATCTCGTCACTTGCCGGGAGATCATCTCCGAAGATGACGTGGAGGCGTGGGAAGCGCGTCACGAAGAGGAAGGCTCTCGCCAAGCGCTGGGCCAAGGGCAGCCTCAACAGATCATGCTGGGCAATATCGAAGTGGGTGCCATGAGACTCGTAGGTCGCGAGGGCAAGAGGCTCGAGAGAGGGCGGATTGTCCTGACCAAAGACGAGAAGGCCGAGACGGTCATCATGCAGAAGAAGGGACAGATCTCTGGCATGTCCAAGGCGGAGCTCGAGAAGCTTGATCTGAGCCCAGAGGATATTGATGCCTTTCGCAAAGAGCTGCAGAAGTTAGCCGGCACCAAGGACTGGAAGATTGAGCGTTTAGACGATGTGAATGGGCACATTCAACTCAGAGGCGTGGTGGCCACAGATGATGACGAAGAGAGTGACGAGCAGGAAGAGAGCAAGCCTCCATCAACAGAGAACGAAGAAGGTATTGGCAGCCAGGAAGAATATGCTGGAGAGGCCTAAGCCATATGACTTGTAGTACGGATAGGTCAATGATGCTCGCCTGAATGCCTTGATATGGCCAACGTGCATGCGCAAGTCCGACGTGGCTTGAGAGGTGCACGGCACCCGGGTCAGAATACAACTTCTAAGCACGGTAGTCGTGATACGTGGAGATCCTGTATCTTCATGCATGTTGATGTAAGCATTTTTGGGTGCCGGTGCCGGTGGATGATGGCGGAGACGGTGGTGATGGTGGTGGTGACGGGAGACGCAACTCGCAGGCCCCTTCTTGGCATCCAGTTGCGCCGGGGAGGTTCCTGGAACTGGCTCAAACTGCGAGCACACCTCGAGCACCCCGAGCAACTCAACTTGTGACTTCTGATCCTGCCATCCCATCCGCTTGTTCCACTATTTGTCTTTGTGAGCGTGATAGTTCTTGTACATTGACGACCTCCAGAGCCGCATTCAGCCACTCGTCAAAAAGCCCTCGGCTTCAAACCGCGTAGCGCCACTGTCGCCCTCGTCCTCACCCTCACTCGTCCTCGCCCGCTAGCAGGCCATCTTACTGTTCGCTTAGCCGTCGAGGTGAAACCTCCAAATTGCGCTACCTCGTTTTCCTTCCATTCTCTCCGACTCGTCCGACTTCACATTGATGGCATATACCTTCACCCAGTCCATCTGACAACTGCTGCTGCTCTCTGCCCATCGATTCCGCCTCAGTCCCCAGTATGGGCTTCGTTGCGATATGCACCGCCATCTACGACTACCACCCGCAGAGCAGTGGCGAGTTAGAGATCAAGGAAGGGGAACTGTTATATATTCTAGAGAAGAGCACCGACGATGACTGGTGGAAGGCAAAGAAAAAAGCTGCCGGTGATGATGACGACGAACCCGAAGGCTTGATTCCAAACAACTATGTCGAAGAGGCAAAGCCCGCCCATACTGCCAAAGCTCTCTATGACTATACTCGCCAGACCGACGAGGAAGTTTCCTTCGCGGAGGATGCTGTGCTGAACGTCTATGATACCTCCGACCCGGACTGGACCTTGGTTGGTGTCGGTGATGATTTCGGCTTTGCGCCAGCCAACTACATTGAGATATTAAGCTCGGCCTCTGCTACACCCGCTCCCCCTCCGCGGTCGCCATCTGTGCGGTCAAGAGGATACTCGAATCCGCTGGCAGCTGAGCCAGAGACGCCCGCAAGTCCGGTCTCCCCGGCTCGATCTGTGCACAGTCCTGCCGCAAATTTGGCCCGCGTCTTGGGAGGCGGAGCTCCCACTTCCCCAACCGCTGCTCGAACAATACCGTCTCCGCCACCTGCTATCCAACGTCAACAGTTTACTCCAGACGCCTCGGACGAAGAAGAGCCTGCACCAGCCCTCCCACGACGACCTACATCACACGAAGTATCTCAAGGTCCACTGCCTTCTCCTCCCTATAATCGAGCCATCCCACAGCCGGAGGATGAAGACGCTGCGATCCGATCCGCTGGCGGGTTTCACCTGTACAACATCAGTGAAATGGTCTCAGCCATGGGAAGGAGGAGGAAAATGCCGACAACGTTAGGCATCAATATCGCGACGGGCACGATCATGCTCGCTCCCGAAAAGTCGAGAGACGGACCTTCACAGGAATGGACTGCAGATAAGATGACACATTATTCAATCGAAGGCAAACACGTTTTCATTGAGTTCGTCAAGCCGAGTAAAAGCCTGGACCTGCACGCAGGTGCAAAGGATACTGCAGAAGAGATTGTGTCTGCGCTGGGGGAAATTAAAGGTGCTCAGAGGGCCGAAGGTCTCCGGGAAGTCATGACTGCTGCCAGCGGGGGGGCCACACACAAGAAGGGAAAGGTCCTCTACGATTTTCCGGCCCAGGGTGACGACGAAGTCACAGTCGGCATAGGCGACGAGGTTATCATTCTGGACGACTCCAAATCTGAAGAATGGTGGAATGTCAGACGCCTGAAGAATGGCAAAGAAGGTGTTGTACCAAGCAGCTACATTGAGGTCACAGGGTTTACAACGATCGAGCCGCCTTCGCGATCTGGCACCAATGCTGGTTTGTCCGTGGTTGATCAAAATCGACTTGAAGAAGAACGGCTGGCAAGGGAGGCGGCCCGAGTTGACAGGGCCCGACAAGAAGCGGAGCTCGCAAGATCTCGCAGTGAAATCCCCCAGCGCGGCAGCAGCCTCGCCGATGAGCAACCACGCCGACGAGATCGGAGAGAGAAGGATGAGCGGAAAAAGAGTCGGTCGAAGCCAGACCCTGAGAAGGTCAGAACATGGACGGACCACTCGGGAACATTCAAAGTTGAAGCGGAATTCTTGCGAGTGACGGATGGCAAGATCCATTTGCACAAGGTCAATGGTGTCAAGATCGCCGTTCCTGTAACGAAGATGTCACCTGAGGACCTTGAGTACGTTGAGCAGGTAATACACGAACCGATCGAGGAGCACATTCCAGTGGCTGATTTGATTAAGATGAGACATCGAAATCAAGAGCAACCAAACGCTCGAAGCGGAGCCAGCGTCGGAGCCAGGGCAACAGAGCAGGGAAAAGTCCCCGACTACGATTGGTTTGATTTCTTCGTCACGGCGGGTGTCCATCCTCACCATTGCGACCGATATGCTCAGGCCATGATTCGGGATTCGATGGATGAAAGTGTCCTCCCTGACATCACACCCGAAACTCTGCGGACTTTGGGTTTGAAGGAGGGCGATATATTGAAAGTGATGAAGTTTTTGGATCAGAAATTCGCACGAACCCGAGCTCCGACGACGAACGGTATCAATGGAGAAACGGCACAGGGTGGCCTCTTCTCGGGCCCAGGTGGCACTTTACATAACAACACACGCAGAGGTAGACCGGAGGCAACCCGGTCGACAAGCGATGTTGTCGACGCAGATGCCTTTGCGCCGAAGGAGGAGGAGAAGAGGCAACCTTCGGACGCAAGAGCAACGCCTCTTACTCAGGCGCCTCCGAGGGAGCCCATTACGGGCGGTTTCGACGACGATGCTTGGACTGTCAAGGCCCCTAGCCACCCACCCGCCGCCTCACAAACAGCCCCGGCTCCTGCTCCTGCTGCTGCTGCCACCCCATCACCGGGGCCCAAACCTCCAACGGGGGCAACGAAGGACTTGTCTTCTCTGCTCGACGGACCGCTGCCGGCTCCTCTTCAGCCTACTCCTGCGCCCGCTCCTGCGCCGGTTCAACAGCCACCACCACAACCTCAGCCGCAGCCTGCTCCACCTGTACAGCAACCCCAACAAACCGGTGCCAATCCTGCTTTCTTCTCGCAACTGAACCAACCACCTCCACAACTGCAGGCTCAAGTTACTGCGTTCCAACCTCAGCAGCAATTAAACATTCCCAGACAGCGACCTCTGGCACCACAGCAGAGCTTTACCGGTGCTGGGCTGCTCCCGCCTCCTCCTCGCCCGACTTCGGCTCCTCAAAATCCTCAACAAAACCAGTTTGGTCTGCAACCATTGCAACCGCAACTGACAGGTATTCCACGAGCATCAGCTCTGCAAGCTCCCCCAGGGCAGAGCTTGAACGATCTATCCCAGCAACGCTTGCAGCAGCAATTCCAACAGCTGCAGTTGCAGCCTCAGGCTACTGGCTTTATTCAACCAAACCAAGGTGTTGGACAATTTGGACTGGCTCCGCAAGCTACAGGCTTCCAGCAGCCACAGCAATTTGGCCAGTTCCAACAGCAGCCATACATAAATGGGAATGCAGCTGGAAGTCCCTTTGCGGATCCACGACCGCCCTTCCAGCCCCAACCTACAGGTATACCATTCCAGCAAAGCCCACCGCCAGGCGGCATCAACACGGTTCTTCCACCAGCCCTTCAACCGCAAAGGACTGGGTTTGTGTCTCCTCCCCCTCAACCTCAGATCAATGGATTTGGTCCAGGGGTTCAAACCCAGGGAGGATTCCCCCAGCCAGCACCTCTTCAACCTCAACAAACTGCCTTCCAGCAACCTCTGCAATCACAAGCCACTGGCTTCGGACAAGTGCCGCAGCAGAATGGATTCGGGGGCTTCCAAACACCGCCAGTGCCACCGCTGCCACCTCTTCCTCAACTCCCAACGATTGCACCTCTACAGCCACAAAAGACTGGCCCCGCTCCTCCTGTGAAATTTGGAGTTCCTGAGGCTAAGAAGTTGACTCCTCAACCGACAGGGAGAAGAGCAAACCTTGCCAATGCGAGTATGTTTCCATTTGACGGGCTACGATCACATAAAAGGATACTGACAAGAATCTAGCTGCACAAAATCCGTTCGGCTTCTGATTCAAATCCGCAACCAAGTGTGCTTATGGCTTTCCTGACCACCACAAGGAGCTTTAAGACTGCCACGTGAATATCGGACTGTTATTGGAGCTACCCCCGTTAGCCCTGCCCAATCACGCCGTTGGAGGATTCTCGATCAAGGAAACCCCGAACAGTTACCCACTGTACAGCCAACCTGCTGCTTGGGCCTGCTCCAAGGATACAGTGGCTTATCGAGGGCAACGAAGGTTCGATCGAGGCGTGAATGATACCTCCGCGGCTTGGCCGAGACCTTGTGTAATCTTCACAGCAAGGGGGGATTCGTGGTCGCAGGAACGGTAATGGTGGAGATCATCCGAGACGATGTTTTGTTGCGATTGAGAGATTCCATAGCGAGCCATACAGGAGTTTATCCATAAGGAAGAAGAGTCATGTTTCCCGAGCGCGCAGAGTCTGGAAGCTGCAGATATTAGGTATATATATTTTGGCGCCGGATCTAATGACACGAGATCAACTCTGGCGCCTTTTTGTTCTGTGAGCCTCTAGTTGATGTCTCCCTGTAGTGTTTGGTGATATAGGGAGGACAATACACGGTCGAGAATGCTATCTACTTAGGAACTTGGTCTGTAGTTAGTTGTAACGCCTTCTCAATTCCGCAGTCTTCTTGACCCATCTATATAATACCCATGTAGGAAGGTATGTACCTAAGTAGCCATGTCACGGCACATGGACAACGTGATATCAGGCTGTATTACTGTCGTAGTTTGTGCGGGGTCATGGAGTTGCATCTCTCCTCCTGATGGGGTATTGGCAGCGGGATATTAATATAAAAAGACCTCTCGCACGACTAGAATTCCTCTGATCTGGACCTTGTGCAACCTCTTCCCAACATGGATTCCGCATATCAAGGACGCCTAGCGATCATAGCTGGCGGCATCGGTGAGTTTGCTTCCTTCCCAGCCCAGGATCATCCCTGCCTCTCCCTCCCAATCATTGCGATATCCTGCTCATTCGGCCACAGGCGGACTCGGTTCATCAGTCGCTCATCGTCTCCATGCGCGGGGGGCCGGCGTCGCCCTTCTGTACGCTCCATTTGAACGAGACCGCGTGGTCGACACCTTGAACCGGGTATTTGGTTCTGAGCACCCGGAAAGGGTGTGGACATTTGAATGCGACATCACCTCAGAAGCCTCGGTCAAAGAGATCTTAGGCAAGGACGGGAAACTCGCAGATCCTTCGGCGTTCCAGCCTTTCCCGAGTATACTGGTCAACGCGGCGGGCTATGTCTCCGTCCAGCCCCTCGAGGAGACGTCGGCGGAGGAAGCGATGAGCAACTTCCTACCGAACCTCTTGGGGCCGTTCAATTGCAGCAATGCTTTCTTCCACCTCTATCAATCCCGAGCCGCGCGATTCGACGGAACTCCACCCGCCGGGCGCATCGTCAGCATCGCATCACAAGCCGCGCATGTCGCGCTCGATGGGCACGGCGCCTACTGCGCCTCCAAGGCCGGATTGCTGGGACTGACCCGCTGCATGGCCTCTGAGTGGGGATCCAAGGGCATTACCGCCAACACGGTCTCGCCGACGGTGACGTGGACTCCGTTGGCTGCAAAGGCGTGGGCAGACGAAGACAAGAAGGCGAAGCACTTGGCTGAGATCCCCACGGGCCGGTTCGCGGTCCCGGACGAGGTGGCCAGCGCGATTGAGTACCTTTGTCGCGATGAGAGTGGCATGATCAACGGGGCGGACGTCAGGATTGATGGGGGATTTACGATTCGATGATAGCCCTTAGGGGGGAGATGAGCAGCCGAGTGCCAGCACCAGCGGCATGGGACGGAATAGATAATGTCATGAAAAACAAAAGGTCGTGTGTCATTATGATTAATATGTCTTCATTTGCCTGCCAAACAAGTTTCCCTGGGGAGTTTTCATTAGTAGTACGTCCTCCCCTTTTCCAAGTCCTTCGCGTCCTCCAGTCCATCGACCTGCGTCAGGCCGACTCTTCCCACACTCGAGTTCTCTCCCACGTCCGCGATCTTGACCTTGACCATCTTCATCCTCCTGCTGCGCTCAATGCCCGAAAGCGTGCTCCCTCCCTCGGGCAGATGCAGGTGCGGGTTGTCTCGCGTTAAGCTGCTCACGAACCCGAAGATGTCGGGTGCCAGGGTGTGCTTCCTAAGCCACAGCGCGCCCAGCCCCGCAGCGAGGAGGACGACGTTGGAGACCATGTCCATGACCAGCCACGGCCACGACAGGGAGTATTGCGGGTTGTAGACGGCGCCGTCCATGCTCAGGAAACTAAAGTCCGAGTTGTTGTTCAGCGCCAGGGAGCCATTGACGGCCAGATCGTCCTGGAAATTGCTCTCGTAGCGCAACATCTGCGACGACGTAAAGTACGTGTTCATGTATCGCGTGATGGCCATTGACAGTGGGAATTGGGCGGCCGCGCTAGCCTTTTCGAGCAGGGCGGGAGTGTTGAGGTCGTCTTGGCTGAGGTCGTTCTTGAGGTCGACGAGGCCGTTGTCGCTGTCGAATGTCGAGTAGTCGCCCTCGCGCTGCGGCATGCCGCACGCCAGGAGCAGCGAATTGATAAAGGGCATGGCAAAGACGTCGGAATCGAGCAGTGTTCGGGGCGAGGAGCTGATGTGCTTCATGCGCGTGGGCTTGCAGGTCGCTGCTGTGCAGATGGCCTCGATCTGGACGGTCACATTGGTCATCTCACAGGTAGACGTCAGGCTGTGAGTGTCGTTGACCCAGTTCCAGAAATACAATTCGCGGGGTTTGGTCGCGTCCGACGGCATGGCGGTCATGTTCATCGTGGTGGACACCGCGGGCAGCGACCCCTTTGGCTTGGCCTTGATGGACAGGAATGGCGCCGTGCAGTTCGCTTGGAAGTTGGACACTTGGTAGGTGAAAGAGCCCACCATCTTCTGCGGTGTCCAGGCATTCGCCCCAGCCGTCTGGTTCATCCAGTACAATGACGTCCCGATCGACGACATGACGGGCTGGTCGGACATGTGTGGAATCTCCAGCCATCCATGACGGTCGAATTCGAGCGAAGAACTGTCGCGGGCAGGGCCGTACCACGGAGTCAGAGTGGCTCCGTAGATGTCTGCTCCTTGTACTTCCCTGGCTCCTTGAACGTTGGTCTTCTGGGTCCCCGCCGTAAACGAACTGTACAAGTGATATCGCGCGGTCATGTCGGTCAATTTAACAGGTGAGACCTTGTCGATGTCGATCTGGTCGCCTTGGAATGGAGATACCGCATGTGAACTGAGAAATGCAACCGATTGAGTCCCAAAGCTGGCCGAATCGCGGTACGAGTACTCCCTCGTCGCGGCCTGCGATCCCACGTAGTACCAAGACCAGAGAAAGACTAATGACACGCCGGTCAAGGTGAATCTCCGCAGCGACCATATGGCCTTGAGGGTCGCTGTTAAGCTGATGGATGCGTGCAGTTGCTCGATCTCCCCCAGCGTGGCCCCCTTTTCTGCCTTCCACAGGGCGTACCGCCGCACTGTCGTGGAGACAATAACGATGAAGATGATTGTAAATATGGTGGTGAGCTGGCTGTTGAATTCGATCAGGCGGAGCGTCAGCTGGCTGGTCTTGTCGATCGAGGGCCCTACATGCGTCTTGTCAACCTCGGAAGCTAGGACACAGAGTCCGGCTTTCATGATGAGGACACAAGGCAGTAGACATAATATCACATCGACTGCATCCAAACACCGCTCGACAATGGGTTCGTTTGTGATGGGAACTGGTTCGTGGGGCCATTCTCGTATCGGGGGTTCCGAGAAGGTCTTGTTGGGTGTTCTGGGTGTAGAAGGCTGCAATTCGGTGATGTCGACCTTGGTGCCTTTGTATGTTCTTTTCGGCTCGTCTGGTAGAGGTTCAACTCCTGCCTTTCGAGGCGCTGCCTTGTGCTGCCAATGCTGAAGGACTGCGGCGAGAGTCGCTCCTGTGCCACTTGTGAGGTTTGCCGCTTGATCCATGGTTTGGTGATCGTTGTTACAAGTGCGCGGTTGGAAGCGAAGCCACAAGAAGGCAGAATTCACCCTTTGGTGGCGGATCTTTGGATTTTATACTGAGCTGCTGAAAATACGTCTCCATCGCTCGCGTGTCGGCACTCCCGACGCCAGCCCAGTGCCGCGTGGTCATATCAATCACAGTAGAAACTCTGTCGGTTGACTATTAGACATCAAGGCAGCCATAGCAAGACATGTCGCTGCGGGAGGCTTGTTTTTGGGCAGCGGAGAGGCTTTCCGACTGGACTTTGCATCTTCTGCTGGACCAAAAGGCTCGATCTAGATGGCGCACCACGGCCCTTGGTAATTGTCAGCTACGCCACGGTTCTGGATTTTGCTGGTACCCACCTTCTAGGCCCAGTGTCTTGAGCTACGCCGACACCCGTACGCAGGGAATATGACTTGGTTCTGGCCGGCCGTAACGGGAAGACATCTGGATCTCACCGTTATCGTGGCACTGAATCAGCAAGCAGAAAGCTCAAAACTATCGCGTTGCCAATCGGCATCCTGGCGAAACATGCATAATCGAAACGTGACCAGTAGGTAGGCACTCGTACGACTGCTGTACTTGCCGTGTAGGGGTGATAGATAGAAGATTGAAAGTTTGTTCTAGCCAAAGGGTGGAAATTAGACTCGTCCAAATCCGGCCCCTTTGGAGCTCCACTGGCCATGTGGGTGCCATGTTTGGCAAACGGGGACGAATTAAGCGAGGCCTCGTAACTGACGGCCAATACTCGTAAACCATATTATTATCGAAACTTTTAATTTATCCCGGAAGACGTCCCATGAGGAGGCTCATAACGTCTGCGAGTACGAAGCACCCCTGACTCGTGGAGCCGGCCTTGCCAGCCTCGTCAGCCTCGTTGTCGGCAATCATCTTGCTTCGCTGCCTAAGCAGTAAGAGCTGCTTGGAGATAACTTGAGCATTGCCCCTAGGAGACTGTCTTGATTGACAAAAGCTGGATTGCTGCGAAGCATGGGTTATCTTGCTGACAGATGAATACTTTGCAGGTGCGAGTAATTCATCGTGGTGCCTTGCTTGTGGGCGCGCCTACCTCAAGGTATGTTAGCGCCTTGGCACCTCCGTGCCCTCAGATAGCCGGGTGCTGGTCGCTCTCCAGATAGGTTCATGCAAGCATTTCAGGCGTTTTCGTTCGTGTCTCCCACGATGTTCCTGGAGTTTTGTCCCGGTGGGTTGCCTCGGCGTGTAGGCTTGTGCTGAAATAAGCCAGAGCATACCCTAATCCTATTAACCTCAAGCAGGATTTACCGGTGAGCTCTTCCCTCAGCCTTGCCAAGCGGGCCTCCACTGTGGACATTCGGGGGTGTCCATCGAGTAGTTTCTCTAAAGGGATTGTGCTTCGCAAGCATTCCCGAGTCAGGCAGTCATCAACAAGTCCGACTTTGCGATGTCGAAAGAGGAGGTCTTTCTACGGCGTGAAATCAAAGTTCTTTCCAGTGTCTCTCACGTATGTCCCTTTATATGCTGGCTTCGATACTACATTCTCACAATGCGTACAGAGAAACATTGTCAAATACTTAGACGCGTCTAATTACAATACTGGTAAGTCTTGAGACCGAACCGCCTGGCATGCGAGGTTATGCGACGTTGTAGTTCATCGTTGATCCAGGCAGCACGCGGACCTGCGCCCACAACGACGACGTCGAACGCCATGTTGTTACACTTCTACAAAAGAGTGGCAATTTCCATTGAACCGAAAGAAGAGACGAACATCAGATACTTTGACGGGTGGTCGCGCACTATGAATAAATAGCTGAAGGCTGATCAGCGTGCATGCGATTTCTGCAAATTCGGCTGAGAGTGGGTGTACGTTGCTCACACGGTCCGTGCAAAGATACCGCAATGAGCAATATCTGAGAGGTCATTGGCCGGGGGTGGCACGAAGTATACGGTCGAGTCAGCAAACCCAGCCAAACTGTGGCTTTCGTGCTATCTGTCCACATGATGGGTAGATTATCATGCCTCTAGGAGACCCAAGCGTATATCGAAGAGAAGACCATGCCGCAGGATGCGGCCCCGGTGGAGGGGTCCCACTCTAAGACTTCGGAGTTGACTTACCATTCCTGGGGGTTATTCTATGTAATGGATTTCGACTTCTATCGGTTTATCGATCATCCTCTGATAACAGGACGAACATCTAGTCCTTCACACCAATAATGTATAAAGAATATCACCCTCGAATTTCTTGAAAGGGAGAGAGGCACAGATGTGGACCAATTTACTTCAGCACTCTTCCTTTGCAACTATTCAATATCTTTTTCACCTGATTGACTTGGCCACTGTCCGGGTTGTTTGTGATTCCTTTTCGTCCCCCACAATGGCAGTGACTCCAGCTACACTACGTCCTCCACAGGTCACAGGTCCGCTGCAGAAGAAGAGGACCAAGGCGAGCCATCCTTTGCCTCAATGGCTAGTAGAGGAGGCGCAGAAAGTCGAACATGTCCGCTTAACCCGAAGAAGCACCTGAACTTTATCAACCCAGAGCAAGTTTTTACCATGAAAGACATTGGACTTGAGGGAGCGGGTGTCTCGCCTCTAGCTCTCACATCTCCATTCAGCCTGTTCACGGAGGAGGCAATCAGGCAGATGCGAGCAGAAATATTCAGTCCGGTCGTGTTACAAGATCATCATGTCTCATCAGATTTTGCATCGGACATGGTGAAGGGATTTCCACCAAGGTAATAGTTGTGCTCCCACCTACTTTCACCACGTTTGAATTGGCACTTCAGTTCACTGAGGCTTTTATCAGTGCAGCACCATTCATCCACGACGCCTGGTACAGTCCGGAAGTGCTGGCTATAATGTCAAAGCTGGCCGGAATCGAGGTGGTTCCCGTCTTTGAATACGAGGTTGGTCACACCAATGTCTCGGTCGATCGACGCTATACCCCGGGAGCAACTTGCACGGTGAACGGCGTACTAAATGGAAACGGGGCACACGCAGAGGACATTGTCGATGAATCTGCCTTTGCATGGCACTTCGACAGTGTCCCGTACGTCTGTGTCACCATGCTCTCGGACTGCCAGTGCATGGTAGGGGGAGAGACTGTCGTCAGAACCGGGACCGGCCAAGTGCTCAAAGTGCGCGGCCCGACTCAGGCAAGTGATCACGACTACCGAGTTCACTTTTTCCAAATTGGTCGTGAGGCTGACTGGTGCACAGGGATCTGCTGTCATGATGCAAGGGCGATATATTGAGCACCAAGCTCTCAAGGCTCGAGGAGGCGCTGAGCGAATCACGATGGTGACTTCGTTTCGATCCAAGTCTCCTCTTCTCAAAGACGAATTAGTCCTGGTGGGATTCCGCCCAATCTGCCATCTTCCAGAGCTCTATAAGCAATATACCGAGTATCGCTTGGAAAACATCGAAGAGCGTGTGCGAGATCAGTTGAGGAGAATCCGCCAGCGTCATCAGGCTCATCTGGATTTTGACACTGCGGGCGTCAAGGAATTTCTGAAGGAGCAGAGGGCTTATATTGACTCGATGATCAAGGAGCTGGTTGAGGATGATTAGACGCTCCCTGCTGCCTTGATAAACAGATAGTTCCATGGAAACTGAGGTATCTTGACTTGGCTGTTCATAGTATCCAGACTTTGGCTGGGCAAAGTTTACCGCTCGAGAGTAATACTCTACAACGAGTTCCACTGAGAAGTCATGTCATGGGAAATGCTGGACAAAGGAACTAAATTCGGCCCTGACTTTGGTAAGGGAATGCGATAGCGAAAGTTGTCCCTAACCACGAGAGGAAGTCAATTGCGCGCGACTTTCGGCGTTGACCTTCCTTCTCGAGTCCACACGTCTAGGCCGATTTGCATTGTAGATAAACATTCCAGACATCGCACGAGTGCCCTGTAGCCTTAACAGCTAATGTGTGAAATTAAAAATCTAGTTATCCTTCATGGAGCTTGCCACGCTAGACGCCCATTGGGTTGAAAGCATGACAGCATAAGACATGTAAACGTCCCAGGGTCAGGCCTATCAACAACACAGTTCTCAATCACGTCCGCGGTAGCAGAGATTGTTTGGGATGGTGAGCTTTTGGGTCAGTTTCAGCATCATGATGTTGGCCCTCATACCTCACAGTATACGAACATCTTTTCTGACTTCCGGCAATGAAAGACGCTGCCATCAGTCGTTGACTTACAGTCGTAACCGTGCTGGGTTGTGCTTTCTTTGTAATGTTGAACGTAGTTTGTTCAATTTACATGATTTATCAAATAAAAAGCTACGTCAAGGCTAGCTAAGTGTCAGCCCAACTAGCATATTCTTCTCCTTCAACACTGTCGACCAGTGGAGACTGCGATCATTCCGCTCGTCTCGAGAAGCCCAAACCTCCCTCATCGCCCGAGCTGCAACTTCGTACATCCGCATGCCAGTCCTTAGTGTTTCTTCGTCAAGGTGGTCGGCCACAACCTTTCGGGTCCCAGGATCAATAGCCTCACAACCGGCAATAAAGAGTGGCCAACAGACGTTTGATGATGGATCATGGAATCTTCGTCTTGCTTCCTTGCAATATAGTAAGGACTCGACCGTCTGGTCCACCAGATGCTGTACCATCAGAGAATCCAACCTTCGTACGCTCCGGTAGAAATGGATCAACAAGGCTGAGTGCATTGCATCCATGAAATGATGCAAGGGGGACAAGGGCGATGATTCTCTGGTGGTCAGGGCGGCTGTCGCATCGACCGTGTTCACGAGCACACCAAACACTTGATCATTGTCAGTATAGTTTTGCTCGCTGGACGGGGGCTTCTTCCAGTCCCAAATTTCCTTCTCGAGCTGACTGATTTTGCGGACGATTTGCTCATGAGCACACGCATGAGCACGGGGTACAAGATCGACTTCGAGTTCCTGAAGCTCGTGGACGAGGGCGCTGGTCCTCGATATCAGCTGAAACAGCGACGCTGGGATTGAGAAGATTTGTTCAAAGATCAGCTCTCGATTGTCTTGAGCGGGGGATCCTGGCACAGAAGGGGGGCTTTCGAGGGAATCTGAATGCCTCATTGCTTCAGGTTGGTTTTGCAATCCGTTATTCTCATGGCTGGCGTTCGGGTCGACTTGTGCAGGCATGACAGTTCTTCGTGTATGTTCGGGGAGTTGCTGCTCAAGAACCCTCCGCCGACCAAAGATACCAACGGTGTCTTGCAAGGTTTCTATGTATAGAAAGATGTTCTCTACCATGACCAGGCTCGCAGGAACAGTACTCAGCTTCGTCCAGTAAACGGCCTTTAGCAAGCTAATTTGCCGCAGGTATATGGAGATATCTGTCATTTCGCCGCTGACCACCTGTGATGTGGATTACCAGGTTAGCAAGCCAGCCTCTGTCCTCGGGGACCGCAGAGAGGCTTACACGGACAGTGAACATGCTCGTCAACGCAAGCATAACGTCCGTAATGTCTTCTTTCGATCTTCCTGACCACAGGTCCTTCAAAGACAACCTCAGTCGGGTCTTGGCCCGTCGTCGGAAGAGTTCCCCAAGCGAAGGCCATTGGGAATTCGTGGCGCCGGAGATACGGGCCTGGACGTCGAGATGAAAGGCACCCGCGCAGAGGACAGCGAAGAACAAACTCACTCTTGAATTGCCCGCGTCGCCCTGTACCATGATCTCCCCCAATATCTGGTGAACCTTGGGTATATGCAAAATCTCCCACGGAGAGGGTTCAGATTTTTTCAGTGGAAGGAAACATGGTATCAGGGTATGCTGATAGCGGTCCAGCAGAATTCGAATGGTGTAAAAGTCGAGGTCGGATGTGTCGAGAACGCTTGAGATTGGCATTGATATGATCGATCTCGCGAGCGAATTTGCTCCAGTGGTGGCAGAAGCTAGAATTTCATCATAGGCGGCGTGTAACGATGGCTCGTGGTCTTCATCCCGGTGTAACTGAGCGTCGTCCTCACGGATAATGGGTGAATTCCCTCTCCAAGGGTCGGCATCACAAGGTGCTTCAATCCATGGCTCCTGCAAGGGCCAAAGCGTCTGATCCATCTCTATGCTTGTTGATCCATCGACAGTGGGAATGTTTAAAGCCTTGCCCTGCCTCACGAATTGACCCCGTGCGGCATTATTATCAGAACTCTCAGTCTAAACACCCCCAAAGGGCCCATGGCTCAGGGTGGAAGTGGTGACACAATCCTTTTCTCCATCAATGCGATTCAGGATTGTTTCGATTGAATCATTGTTGGTAGATGCAACGATCCGTGCGATGTGCCGGGAGCACTCGTCCTCTGGTGTAGCATTGTATTAGTAGTAGCTTGAGACTGGGATAGAGGACTCGATTCCAGCCTTCACTCACCCGACAGCAAAGCATGCCGCCCAGTGCTCGCTCTAAGTCCACGATCCGACCATTTGTCGACTCGTGGACGCAGCCATACAAGATCAGATTTCCTTCCCGGGGCCAAACATAGGCGGTCCAACTTGGAGCAGGTGGAGCAACGGGGAAGAAGACGGTCGCATTTAGCCTGGCAGGAAGGCCACTTCAGCTAGATTCGCACTTGTCAATGGGTATTGCGGCCATGACGGACCTTGCGTGAACGACAAGTCACACATGATACTCGACGGGGCATGCTTTGACAGTGTCTAGTCACCGAGGTATCATCTCGAGTCTGGTTGCTCCAGCTAGGAAGGAAAACGCCATGGAGCGTCGTCAAACGCAGTGTTACATGCGAGAGGGAGGGTGCGTTTCCCAGGAGTGAGAGATGAAGAGGAGAGATACGAAGACGTCGGACTTGGCCTGCCGGATTCGGCAACGCAGAGTTCAACCCAAAGTGGCAAACATTCGCAGCCGAGACATCGCCCGCCCCCCTAAGCTAGTGAAGAAGGCTTATGACATGTGCAAGGACGTGGTCGCTAAGTGCTCCATCCTCTGGCTGCTAATGCGCCAACTGAACAGAACGGATCGAATGTGCCTGGGGACAGCCCCAAGGACACTTCGGACCCAATATATTCGACCTCCTCTGAAGAACTCGCGGGATCCACTAGCCGGGCGGAAATCATGAATGATCTGACTGTCCAGGATATCGTGACAGGATCAGTCTCCATGCCAGTCCATGAACCAAACTGGGGAGCTCTGATCGCATTCAGTACCAGTACAACCATTCCACTGGTCCCTGGAGCTGCCAACGGCTTTTGATCCTGGGGGCCTCAATAGACCTGATTGTTTCTGATGCAGGTATTGACTTGTTTGATTAATCCCAACTCAACCTAAGCATGCTTATAGCCTTCCCCTTTGCAAACGACTACTTGGGTGTGATCGGTGCTCTGTTCCGGCAATGATCAACAAGGAAGCATAATCATCAACGACACGCGACCTCCTCAAAGTTATCGGAGGGTTCCAAACGTCTAGCTGCACTACATGCGTTGCACCTTTTGACTGGTGAACAAAATGTGCGAAAATAATCTGAAGAGTGAAATGAACCGCCCTCGTAGGGTCTGTCCTGCTTCTGAGAAGTTGAGCTGACGCGCATTTTGTCCTTGGCGTGGAAGCGGGACAAAAGCGGCCCGCATCTTGAGATCTGGCAATGCAATGGAAATGGAATACAACAGGAGGCTTCGGGCCGCTTCTATGCGCAAAGAATAGAGAATAAGGATCATAAATGATGGCCTTTGTCTGTTTGGAGGAGAGGTATTCCCAAACTTCTATTATCCTCTGCTTCACAGTCTCCCGCTTGTCCAGACACTGCAATTCACACAATGCCTCCCCAACCTGTACCACCGCCACGCACCAAGCTCGGTCACCACCGTCTCCTTTGTCCCAATGCGTCCATCCTCGTCTCTCCTCTCTGCCTCGGTGCTATGGGCTTCGGTGAAATATGGTCAGTAACTGAAGGCGTCCATCCACAATTGAAACTCGTCTGCCAGCCCACCTTGCTCTGGATAGCTGACTGAGGAATAGGGGCCCGGAGATGGGGGAGTGCAACAAGGAGAGCAGCTACACAATCCTTGATAAATTTCATGCCGCGGGTGGTAACTTTATTGACACTGCCAACTTCTACATGGCGGGGCAGTCAGAAGAGTGGGTTGGGGACTGGATGGCTGACCGCGGAGTCAGAGAGCAGATGATCATCGCCACCAAGTTCACGCTGCCCTACAAACTCCCCGAGCAGATGCCGGAAGGAAGTATCACATCCAACTTCGGTGGCGCGAATAGAAAGAGTCTCCGCCTGTCGCTGGCAGAGAGTCTCAAGCGACTGAAGACGGACTATGTCGACATCCTTTATGTGCACGCCTGGGACGGAGTGACCAGCATCCCGGAGCTAATGAGATCTCTTGATGACGTTGTCAAACAGGGTAAAGTCCTGTATCTGGGAATCTCCAATTGGCCAGCGTGGTTGGTCGTCAAGGCAAATGATTATGCCCGGCAACACTGCTTGACTCCGTTCGTGGTCTACGAGGGTTTGTGGAACGTTGTGGCCCGAGACATCGAGCGAGACATAGTCCCTATGTGTCAGGCCGAGGGAATGGCGATCACAGTGTGGGAGTCAATGGGCGCTGGAAAGTTCAAAAGCAAGGCTGAGAAGGCACAAAAGGGAGGAAGGCCAGAATATGACCTCTCTGGAAAGGGACTGGACGCATATGAGCGTGCCACCGAAGCCTTGGAACGAGTCGCCAAGAGGAAGGGAACAAACGCAGTTGGCATCGCTTTGAGATATGTCACCCTAAAGGTAGGCAGCTCGTGTCGTGGTCGGGACATAGCGAGTGCCTGTTGACTCTGACTAGGCGCCGTACGTATTCCCGATCGTGGGGGGCCGGAAGATCGAACACCTTCAAGCCAACATCGACAATTTGAGCATCCAGCTCTCGGAAGACGACATCCGAGAAATCGAAGAAGCAGTTCCGGCGAATCTGGGTTATCCTCACGCGTTTCTGTCAGGCAAGGGTGACAAGCATGTTGGGCCGACACGACCGACAAAGCTGGAGCTGTGGTGGGGGGCGTTTGAGGGCGTAGAGGAACTAAAGGTATGTCCCCGTCGTCGATCGGAAATGCAGCAGAAAGCAGCGATACAAAACAGACTGGGACTAACATATTCCCATTCAAATCTAGGCCATTTCTTGAAGCACAGGACCCGTTTTGGAAGAGAGAGTGAGGCTCCCTACTCGAAACCGAAGAAGGAGGACTGGCTCGTTGGTTGCAGGAAGCCTCGCGAGGCTGGGACGGGGTTGGAAGGCTGTGGCGGATGACGTCGTTAGACGGATTTAAACTCGATTCCTTGAAGTCCGACTACTTGGCGTACCTTGGCTCTTCACCTAGTCTCTCCTGCTACCCTTCTCATTGCCCGTCCTCTTATGCATCCTCTCAGCATGGCAGAGTGTTACACATAGCCTCTTCCACGGCATGCCTCAAACATCCGACGTGTCAAGAGTGTCAAAGAGACTGCGCGAGGGGTCGGGGACTTGCTCTGAGTGTAAGGTGCTCCCGTTTCACCGCCGCTCGGAACAAGTTGATCACTTTTCTCCTACGGCGTGACATCTGGTGAGATTTCTGTCTGATTCTCTACAGGTAGGCGGAGAAAAGTCCGTTGCGTATACAGTTCGGACTCGATCAGTGAATGCACCCGTTGTCGTGCTCGCGGCATTCCGTGCGTTGTCCCGAAGCCACGTGGTACTGATGACTCAAATGAGGAGAGAAAGACTCTAAGAGAAAGAGTGGCCACCTTGGAACGTCTAGTGCAATCCCTTTCTGGAGAGAAGAGACCTGTTTCTCGAGCCACTGCGTCTATCGTTACTGGTCCTGATGAAGGGACAGCTCGAAGCTCAGAGGATGACCCCTCCGAGCTCACCCGTCGAGCTCCATTGGTTGCAGCACTGGAGGCGTCACAAGTACGAGATAACAAGACTCTTTTCTGATGTAACCCATGTGGAGAAGGATTCTGGCTGATTCCGAATAGCTTCTTTCAACTCAACCGATCACAAGCACGAGTGGATCGGACCAGCATGTCGAGAATCTCAATCCCCATGCTGACGGAAAAGACCTTCAGTTTCCAACTCCAAGTTTGGCTCGCGGAGAAGTTTCTCACGTTTGTGAGCAACTCAGAGCTGCCTTGCCACCCTATAATGAATTGAAATCATGTTTTTCTGGAGACACAAAATGGTGGGACTTCTGGCATATCAAGACTTTCGGAACAGATTCCTCTCACGAGACCCTGCTGGAGTTTCTGGAACGAGTCTACACGATGGGTACTCCCGTAGAACTCGGGTTTCTTGTCTCATCCTATGGCCGTCACAATGCCGCCGAGGCTTCACAATTTCTTCCGCTTGTGGATCGTCTCGTACTTGCTGGCGAACGATTCGCGAGCAACGTGGAAGGTCTCCTTCTGACCGTCTTCCATGCAAAAGTGTATCTCGACGTTGGTCAACCCCGCCGCGCTTTTCTATGCAACCGTCACGGCATTTCACTGGCTCAGATTATGGTTGTCTACTCTCCACGCCCTCGAATGACGTTACTGGGCGTTACTGACTTGTCGCAGAACCTCCACCGCAATTATTCGAGCTCCCCTAGACGAAGTGCAGCATGGTGGACACTCTATCTAGGTGATCGATTCTTGTCCGTCCTGCTTGGCTTACCATATGCTATCTCGGACGATTCTTTCATCATCACATATGCAGACAAGACAAGCGAAGTTGGCCACGCAACCTTACCCTTTGCGATCCGCTTAGGCATGCTCACAGGCCGTGTGATTGACCAAGTTCAGAGTCGCAAAGGACCCAAATTCTCCGAGATCCTCGATATCGATGACGAGCTCACTTCCCTTGCTAGCACAAAACCAATACATTGGTGGGATCACCAGATTCCGGCAAATTCTCAATCGGATGACATGAATGAGTTACGAGAGAGGCTCATATGTCAGACGCAATACTTCCTTACCAGGATATACTTGCATTTACCATATCTCTTGAAGTCGCCGACATCCCATCTCTACGTGAACAGCAGGCTGACAGCGGTCGAATCAGCAAGAGATTTGTTGAGACGTTATCTGTCTTTACGATCTCAATTTAACAGCCAACCCATCTTCGATTGCCAGTCAGTCGACTTTGTGGGTTTCATGGGTGCAGTCATCCTGGTTATTGGGTCGTTCTGTGACTCCGGAGCCCCTCCGAGGACCGTTGATGTCGAGTTGGCCAACGAGACTATGGGGGTGTTGCAGAGAGTGGCTGCAAACAAGATCAATCATCTTTCACGCGAATGTCATAAAACATTGGCAACTCTGCTTTCGCTGGTCCATGTGGACGACTCATTGCGCTCTACAGTCCCTTCAAAAATCTCAATACCTTATTTTGGAACTCTTTACGTGGCTTCGGAACGCCACTTGAAGTCTAGCAGCCTACAGACTTCGAGTCAGCAGAGCACCCTCCCAGACTATCCGGCCAGTCTTTCAAACTCTTTCATCAATGTTCCCGACGCTGTTCTGAATTGCCAATCCTCAACTATCGCTTATGAAGGTATGTATAGCTTTGACTCAGACTTGTTTCAGACACAGGATGAATTTCCCCAAGTGTCTTGTTCGCTTGATATTATGCCGGACCTGGATCAAGACTGGGAGTCATTCTTCAATTCAGACATTTAATGAGATGGGGTCTGCGAAATCTCTTCTGCATTGATCATCCTGCAAAAATCCAATCAAGGAATTCGCAAACAACGCGAGCACGATCCTCGATATCGCCTCCCCTTCAAGACCTCCAGCAAGTAGTTTCACGCGCAGTGTAGCCTGCCTTGGTCTGCACGATCTACTTGGGTACTGTATGTCCACTCCGATGCCAGACTGCCAGCCGCTTCCCGCAGCTTCTGCACCGATGCTCGACATTCTTGAGGCTGCTGCACATGTAAGGGGCAAATGTGAACACGACGGTGGTAAGGAATAAGCATCCGGCCCATGCGCTGTCCCCAGAAAATGTCAGCACCAGTCCACAGGTTTGGGTTGAAGTACCGACTGGTTCATATTCCCACTACTCAGACTTGTCTTGGTCTTCCCTCTTATACCACAATACGGACAGTCAACCAACGCTTCAACGTGGCCGAGGTCGTGGATTGCAGTGGGAGCCGGATAGAAAGGTGGAGCAGAGCAGTGCTCGCTTGCACATACCACCCTGACTGGTGGAGCTGGAGCATGATAATGCCTTGCCACTGAGATGAGAAGAGAACCCGAATTCATCAAGATACCGGTACTTACATCACGGGTGAGGTGTAGCTGCCTGCAGATGATGGAGTTTCGTACGGTGGGCAAACTTCAGCAGGCGATGTCAGCTGGTTACGTCCATTCGAACAGCTCCTCTGCACTCGAATACCTTTGGCCTCTTCTCCGTACATGATGCAATATTTTCAGAGCAACGGTCCGTGTAGGGAATGGAAATGAAGGCGACGGAAAAATCCCTCAGGCAGAAAGGAGTTTAACTTGAGGAGTATATACGAAGGTCTCGGTACCAGGTCGTTAGGCAGAAGCATTTTCATGCATGGAACTATGGACCTAGCCACTTCGATGACGAGTATCATCTGGCCCCAAGCAGATGGCTGGAATGGCCCACAACTTGAAACACCATTCTCGACAATTGGTCGTTATGTCGCACGTATTCGGACTCAATTCAAGAATAGGCCGGGGTACTCAAGCCGTGCGGCAAATCTAGATACTGCAGGTCAAAAATACTCACCATCAGCACTCGCATTGGACGTGCCCAGTTCACTTCGCCCCAAAAGGCTCCCATACCGGCTTTACTTCCCTCTCTCCATTGTTCTGGGTGAAGCCGCTGTTCTAGACTCTCTCCAGCTTGGTATTGGCACTCAATCAAAAGCTTAGCAACAAAACGCATGCACATCCAAAAGGTGAGAGCTCAATCTATCTCGTGCACCTTGGGTCCTGCACCCATAGGTCGGTGTGCGTCGTGACCCTTGAATTGCCAGCAGCAGCAGGTTCCTAAATTAATCAACCAAGACGTTCCTGCCAGGGCCAACGAATCTCGCAGGACGGCCATGAGGAAGTCCAGCCCGCACTCACTCTTTTCCCCACACGGCAATTGTCAGCCTTGTGACCCACCGAGCTAGACTGTCATGTAACGGTCCTCAGCAAGTCAAGAAGCCGTCCACAGTACCATTGTATGTGAGATGATACTCGTACCGACAAGTGGTCACATTCCTGCTCTTCTAAATTGCAAACTCGAAACCCCCAGCGTTGAGCCGAGCGGCCATCATGTGCCATTGGCTCATTGGCTAATTGCCGGGTTCTCGTCCAACCGTCTCGTATCAAGCTGCGTCATCAAGCTCGGTCTTTGTGTTTCGATTTTTGTCGTCTGCCTAGTTGCTGCTCCCTTTTTAGTCTCCAATCCATCTCGGAGAGATGAATTCACTTCGATACGGTCTCTGGAGCATTGTCTGTTTTCCAAAGCCGGTCCTAGTTAACGAGTAAGCAATGGCCCAGATGCTCACTTATCTTCTCAGCTTCTTGTTGTTGTCGGAAACTGCCCGAGCCGGACATGGGCGGGGAAAACTGTTTCCTCAGGGTGAGAAATGCCTCGTCTATTGGAGACACTTGATGCTAACAATTCTACAGAGACAACAAAAGTCGTGCACGCTGCGTCGTCCTTTTCCGAGTATAATTCAGAGAGAGTTACGATTAAATATGCACCCGTCTCGGTACCACCAATGAGCGAGAATGATGGCATGGCTCAGTTTTTCCAGCCCTCGACCACCCTGCCATGCCGGGACTGTGTCATCACGTGGCTGCAAATGGGTCTTGAGCATGCTGATGGAATCGTCGCCGATGCCAACACAGGCATGTGGCTACACCATGGAGTAATGGTGAACAGAAATCGGACGGATGCGGTATGTGGGGACGGGTCGTATGGCCAGAGGTTTGCGGCCTCAGGGAACGAAAGGACGGCGCTTGATTTTTCTGCTGGCGGGCAAGTGTCCTTTTAAGTCTGGGGAGCCGGGGATCGACTGACAATTTCCAAGGACTGTCAAGGCCGGTTACTACGTTGGGCCTGCGGATGAAGTCGCTCTCGCCGTCGACCTGATGAACATGCTTCATTCCGAGCCGCAGCCGGACATTGTCTTCACGATAACTTACGAGTATATCAAAGGCTGCCACGCTCAAGAATTTATCTCCCTCACGCCTTACTGGATGGATGTCGGAGGATGCAGGTCCTCCGATGTGCCAGCTTATCGAGATTCGGTATTCAACTATTCCAGTCCGACCCTGAAAGTGTCGGCACAAGGAGTAATTGCCTTCGTCGGAGGCCATTTGCATGACGGCGGTACGCACATCGATTTCATCAATAATGGCAGGGTCGCTTGCAGTGTGAATGCTCTGTATGATCAGTATCAGTACCTAGACGATGGGAAGGTGACAGAACATGTCTCCGGCATTGAAAGCTGCAAGTTGTGGGAAGACATTGCCCCGGAGGATGAATGGTCAATCGTTGCGTACTACGATACCAACTTGCACGAGCCAATGCGGATGATGGATGGCTCGCTTGAGCCAGTCATGGGTATCATGCTCGTATATGTTGCTCCTGGGTTGGGTCGATCTGAGATGACAAGGACCAAGTTTCTGAATATTGTGCTCGGGCTCGTGAGCTTGACTGCGATGGTGTTCCTGGTTGTTGCTTGGTACCGCCTTCAGGGCCGCTGTGGATCTGGGAAGAAAATATTTGTCTCCACGGATACGCTATCGACCAAGGACCGAGACCTGGAACAAGAAGCAGTGGTGCCTTTGATCAAGACATGAACCATGCGTTCAAGGTTCCGGGCAAAATCGGTCGATTTCTCAGGGGGAAAGCAAGTGCAGTGAACACTGATTCTAATCGAAAGTACGTGGGAAGTTCAGAATGTCAATCAGAAGCTGGAAATACCTCCTTGTAGTCACCCTGGATTTGACGAGACCGTGAGTCGAACAGAGACGATAATGTGGAGGTTTCCGCACCGGGTTCAATGCGCATTGGCAATAACACTTGGATGGCTGACAAAAGCAGAGCATTTCCATTTGACTTGACTAGGAAACCTGACTTAAATACAGCAACCGAAACGAACAACTTTGCTCAAACTCCAACTTCAAGCCAACAGAGCCCCCTCAGGCACGAGTAGACAGTTCAAACCCCTTGTAGTTATCCTTGGCCGACTCCCAGATTTTGTTTCTGTAGGTCGGAAGCCCTGCCATGTAGTTCAAGGCTTCACGGGGCTTCCCTGGAATGTTGTCGCCATAGTACCAGCTCTTTGCTTTCGTGAAGAGACCCTTCTCGCCCATCTCGAGGGTATGGTCCCGCCACTGCTGCTCAGCCTCTTGAGTGGCTTCGATCTTGGTGATGTTGTTGTCCCGCTGGTACAGCAGGCATGCCGTGATCCAGTCCCCTTGACACTCAGCAGAGGATGGCCCCGTAGCGAATGCTGTGGGTGCCTGCGGGCCGTACATCATATACATGTTCGGGAAGCCCGAAACCGTCATGCCGAAGAGTGTATAAGTTCCCATGTTCCACTTATCCTTGATCGACTGCTTGGGATCAACACCTCGAATGTCAATAGCCGTGATCCCGCCTGTGACGCTATCGAACCCGGTCGCCGCACAGATCATGTCGACCTCGACAACCGTACCATCCGCGGTCTTGATGGTGTTCTCGGTGATTTCGGTGATCGGGTTGTCCACAAGGCTAACCAGGTCGACATTGTCTTGGTTAAAAACCTCAAAGTAGCCCTTTTCGAGACTGATTCGCTTGGTACCAAAGGGGTGCGGAGGAACTTTTGGCGCCAGAATCTCCTGGTTTCGGGGGTCCTTGATACGGGGCAAAACGCTCTGTCTCCAGACCTCGTACGCCTCATTGTTGGCTTCCTCGTTGAAGAGGACATCGGAGTAAGTCCCCAGCCAGAAATGTAAGCCACCGCTCGAGAGGAGGCTCTTGTAGAACTCGCTCTTGACTTCGGGCGACACCTTGAGGGCAGACTCTGGGCTGAACTCGTAATCAAATCCGGCGTACGTCTTAAGAATCATATCCTTAGTGTTTTGGAACGTCTTTTTCCAGGCGTCGTTCATAGTCTTGTCGTACAGATCATTCCTCATAGGCAGGGCCGTGTTGGGCGTCCGCTGAAATACGGTGAGATGCTTCGCGTCTTTGGCCGCCTCTTGGATCAACTGTACTCCACTTGCACCTGTGCCGATGATAGCAACACGCTTGCCCTCCATATTGACGCCTGACTGAGGCCACAAGCCTGTGTGGTGCAATTCGCCCTTGAATTTCTCAAGACCTTTGAAATCGGGGATGTACGGTTTCGACCCAAAGCCGGTACATACGACGACACTGCGAGCGATCGCCTCACCTTCTTGGCCGGTGATTGTGTTTTTCGTGGAAAGTCGCCATTCGTGCGCCTGGTCGTCCCAGTGCATACTCTGTACACGGGTGTTGTAAGTGATGAGGTCGCCGAGATCCCATACTTTGAGTAGGTGCTGGAAATAGGTCCGCAATTCGGAGTAGTCTGGGAACCTTTGAGACCAGCTCCATCCAGTCCAGCTGTCGTCCGATGTCAATTGGTACGTCGGCACCGGAGTATCGACGCGCGCGCCAGGGTAGCAGTTCCAGTGCCAGATACCACCGGCTCCGGATCCGGCTTCGTATAGCTGAACATTGAACCCGGCCTCCTTGAGCTTGTGGAGCTGGTAAATGCCAGAGAAGCCTGCTCCAATGACAATCGCATCTCGGCGACTCGAGTCTGGGGCGATAGATCCCATGGTTGCGGTAGGTATAAAAGGCTCGCGAGGAGCAAATGAGTACGGTATCTACTGGGAACAGGTAGAGTCACGCGCGAGTAAAAGTGGAATGGTCCTCGTCCTCGTTGTGTAGGGAAAGACTCTGGCTTGGATGGGATGCAGGAGTTTCTGGTCCTTAAGCTGTTATATATACACTCGCGAGTTAGATGGGCTTGCTATATTCCGTCTCTATTTACTGCCAACTATAAAATTGGGGATTGTATTCTCCGAATGTGGTGTGCTTGGGTCTGTCTCGCTCGGAGTCCATTCACCGTCCGTATCCAGCAGCGTGTCTCCGCATGCTTGAGTGGGCATAGCCGAGGTCGATATGGGGGATGAAAGCCAAATCAAAGTGCGCTGGCCGAGATTGAATGTCCGTTGGCTTGGCTCAGGTGAGGCTTCGAGGGTGTTAGGTGCCTCTCCAACCCTATTGAACGTAGAGTTCATTTTCACACGAGGTGATTATTCGCCATGGAGGCAGGCAGCAAAAGTTGCCGCCCTCTAGCTGGTCTTTCTATCTCGTATTTGGATGCCGAAGATTGTCCAGAAGAATAAAACGGCTGTATCATTCAATTAGATAAAGACGTCGACACTGTTACCAAAAGAGACGTAAGCTACCGCGAACTAAAAATGTAGGGTAACACGGCTTTATGGCTATGGTGTCTTCATTTATCTATCTAAAGTGCTCTTCAAGGCGCCAGAAATGCACTCACTGAGGACGGATCTAGTAAGGCTTCGTCAAAAGGTAGCTGGAATACACTGTCGAACGCCACCGGATCGAAATTGAGGCAGGTAAAATCATTGTCGCTGTCGTTCATGCTGTCGTCTAATCGCTTGGCGATAAGCGTCGTAACTGTTGCATCAGTGCCACTGAGCGCTGTACCTGTTTTTGGCCGTTGCCATTCGGTGGGAGGATCCATTGGCTCGCCAAAATCAGGAACATCGCAGACTCGACACACTCGCATGATGGTCTGTAGAATCCTGCGGAGATTTCGAGCGACAATCTCGGCGCTCTCCATCTCTTTCATGGCTTTCAGACACGTTGCTAAGGCAGCCGTCTCGTCGGACACCTCTTGTCGATTCCTTTCATTGATTTCGGCGACGAAGATGGTGGCGGCCATGGTAATATTGTACAAGGCCGAGCCGAGCATTGTGTTGGCCTCACCGTGATGAGTCGCATAGTTTAGGACCAGGTTCGAGATTGTGAAAGCGTGTTCAAGGCAGATCCTTCGTGACCTATTCGAGTTCTGACAGTTCCGCTTCTCCGGATTGCCATATCCCGCGTTGTGCCTGTTGACCAGAATCGTCAAAGCCGAATATTGGATTCTAAAGAGCCATTGTAAGTGTGCCAAAGCTTGATACAAAGTGTGACGACGGCTCACCGAAGCAAATATATGCCAGGGGGTGCATTTGGAAAGAATGTCAGGGTGTGATCAAGGCTTGCATCCCATCTTTGCAGTGCCTCCGTGAAGAAGTCGATCTGTTCTTGGAAGCAAGTATTGGTATTTCTGATGGGGTTTGTCAGCTCTGTGATCTCAAAAGATTGCGTGTCCGGGAAACAAACAGTTTCTCGCTGATATGGCCTGAAAGTTCGAGCAGTTCGGCCCAAGCAGCAAACATCTTCATGTCCCACGTCGGTGCATTCCTGTGCGGACGGTCAATGGAGACGTCACTCAACTTGATGACAGGTGGACGCCCGAGATAGAGCGACCATAGTCTGAACATTGCACTGTCAGTTTCTGCTGTGAAGACTGAATTCAGACTCCGCACCTATCAAAGCCCACACAGCCCCAAAGTATGACCTGTCTAACCTCGAGGTCGAGTGCAGAGAGCTTCGTATTGGGTATCCGAGACCAGTTTTGGTGAAGGCCAAGGTCAAAAGCCAACCGACATGCGTTTCCTAGGCACAGGTCAATTCGAGCGCTCAAGGGCAAAGAAGGGCGTAGAGCACCTGATCGCATCCATCCCCGCGAGTCATTCGATTGGCAGCAGTCGATGATACTAAGCAGCATCAACGATTGAATGGTCGTCAACCCCGGATTCAAGAGCTCTTCTTCCAAAGCTTCCTCAGCCTGCCTGGTCAATATGGGCTTCTCGCCGGTTTCGTCGTCATCTGCCGGCACAGACAAAGCTCTGATCTCCGGGCTCACGGAGATCCGAGCAGCGGAAGCCAGGAGACACAACAAGAGACAACGGCTGAAGTATGGGCCTTGCTGCGTCTGCATCCCGGCGATAAAGGCTTCCTTGTGAATAATATGCAGGATGTTGTGCTGATATTTCCAATATAGATCCAGGAGATACTGTTGCAGCGCCCAGGGGACGTCCTTCTCAAAGTCCGCTCCAAATTTTGAGACGTCACTGCAGTATTTGAAGATCGAGGTGACGCTCTCCGTCAGATGGAGGCTAGAAGTGGGTCCGAAATATCGTAGATGGCCGTCGTCCTTGCTATTGAGTCGTCCTTGGGCCTCGCACAAGCGGCTGATGAGGCTCTCACCTGGTTCCGATTCTGGTGTCCCTTTGCTGGGTCTTTCCCCAATGGCGCTGGAGTCGTCCGTCATCAACGTGGGCGAGCCTAAAGAATCGGAAGCTTGCAACTGCACTGGTAGTTGCGGTTGAACTTGGGATGGCGAAACCGATACTGCGGCCGGCCAATGCAGGGGTTGCGACGGCGATTTTGGTTGGGCGTATGCTGCTTGCATATTTGCCACAGTGCTTCGCAACTCGGCGATTTGGTCCTGGAGTTGTATAATATAATCCTTTGAATAGCGCCTGCGGAGTTGGGTCAATCTTTGGGGCCTTATTGCGACTGTTGGAAAACAACTCACACCCGCCTTTCGTCGCGATCAGGCAATCTGCAAGGAATGTCCAACGTCCGGCATCTCTCACAGGTACCCCCGACGCGTTCACACTGTTACATTGTTAGTACCACAGCATATGCAGGCTTCCGGGAATCATGCACAGACCTTTATTTTCCTGGGTCGGCAGTTGAGACATGCTAAGGTCTTAGAGCTCCTGGGCTGGGACTTTGGCGCCAACGACAGTCGCCGTTTGGTCCCTCCAGGCTTCCGCAAGCGAGGATCCTCAACATACGTGTTTTCTGCATCGTCGGAGACTGGTGGTGGAGTTGTGTGCGGATTCTTAGTTGTGTCCTCTGGAACTCCGGCCGCGATGGGCGAATAGCTAGAGGCAAAAGGACTCTCGAGCATCATGAATGAGGTCGCAAGATACTGTGTATCGGCTGAATGCTCTGCTTCAGAGTTTGTCAACCTCAAGGAGGACAGAAGAAAGTGTGCGGGGAGGGATAGAAGAGGAATGTCCTGCTGGCCCCTCAGAGCGTCGCAAGTTTCACCCTCGGCGACTCGCCAGCACCCAAAATCGCGGAGAAACCGGGGTCATGGCTGTGGAGGGCGAGGGCCCGGTTGGCTGATTGAATCTTCAATTGCTATTCGCTCGTCTATGAGAAGTGGATACCATCGAGCGGGGCACAAGGCCGACGACTTCAGGGGCCTGGACCAAGACCTCCGCCTCCCAGTGTGAGCTCCTGTCTTCCTTCTTTTGCCATGCCTGGCTATCACCAGGAGTGAGAACTCTTTCTATGATCTCCGGCGGCAATATCGCTCTATCTCGTCACTCTGAGGAAGAAACAGAAATCATCCAGCAGGGGCAAGGCGAACATAGCTTGGCGGATGGCACGGAGCAGCGGCAATCTCGTGTTGGAGCGGAGATCATTCACCGAGCACCCCAACTCTGTGTCTCCCCAGTCCAGCCCGGCTGACCCTTGTCTACCTCGTGCGCCCAATTAGCCCATTTCAAACCGTGGCCAGATAATGAGCGGGACCACGCTTCACTGTTTGTGGCCGCCAGCTCCTAATGGAATCGTTCTCAGTCGTCGTAAAAGCAGCTGGACGGACGAAGCCTCGAATGCATCGTCCTGTGCGGTCGGTCATTATATCGATCGATCTCAACTTTGCCGTCCATTCACCATATCCGATCCACCTGGAGCCATATTTGTGATTGGCGGGGTACCATCGTGACCGCCCCAGGTTTTCATCCATGAATCCAACATGACCTTGACCAAGCCACTTTTGATCACGTCAGGAGTTGATGCCATGCTTCGACTCGCTGCTTCTGCCTGACGGGTGTCAAATTGCAGGCCCCCATCGTGACGCTTTTCTTTGCCGCCGTATGACTTTTGCCAGAAATCGATCAGTTTGATGGCTGGACAGTGTTTGCTCGCCGCTTCCAATCCCTGTGTTGCGCTGTAGCTTTCCAGGCTCGCGATCCACTCCGAGAATGGTACAGCCTCGAATTTGAGTCCTGCGTCTGCGAGTGCTGGCAACAGGTCTGTCACCCAGGAGAAAGAGAGCCTGCTACACATATTGTACACGAGCCTAGGTGGCTGCTGGCGATCTGGAAATGTCGCAATTTCAACAATGGCTTTGGCAAGAGTGTCGACAGGGATCCATGAGCATTCCTAGATTCGTTCAAGTGTCAGAAGAAGTGCGCAGATGGTTGACGCCGGTTTGATTCCTCTTACCATGTCCAGAGCTGGCAAAGTCCCTACACTCAGTGCAGAGCGAATCATGAGCGGTATGGCTTCGTGCTCGTTCCAACTCCCATGCATGGTGTCTCCCACAATTTGGCCAATTCGCAAATTGCACGCCAGTGCACCGCAGTCTTCGACTGCCCTCTGCACAACATATTCTGCGACAAGCTTCGACTGGGTGTACCCGTTACTCATGCCTTGTCGGAAGTCCATAATGGGCTCCTCGGCGATTCGCTTTTGACCTCGAGTGCTTAATGCAACACCCATTGAGGAACAGAACATAAAGCAAGCGGGCTGCGATAGTCGCACATCCAATGATAGTTGGATCAACCTCTGCAGGTCACGCAGATGAGAGCGGAACGATGCCAAGGGCAGGTGGAAGTTCACTGGCCATGCGGCGTGAACGATAAGAGTTAGACTGTCGAGCAGGGCCTCTTTCGTAGCCTCGTCCGACTCAAACCAGGCCTTCCCTGCCTCGATCCTGACTACCTTGACCTTTTCAGCGTATTTTGGTGCCTCGAGAGACCGCCTGCGGAGAGATTCTGCTAGTCGCTTTGTGGGTTCCCGTCCTCTCACCGGGCAATATATCGTAGAAACATCATCCCTGGCAATCAGGATGGCAAGGATATGAGCTCCTAGAGAGCCGGTAGCACCGGTGAGGATCTGAGGCGATAGTTAGTATGTACAGCTGCACATAGCAGGGAGTTAAGTCGTCTTACAACTGATCCCTTTTGAGCGACAGCATCCCTCGAGGGTTGGTGTATGCGAAACCGTCCGTATTTTTCAACCATGGACTCCATTTCATCAACGATGGCGTCGAGGTAGGACGAAGCAATAATTTGGCCCTTGGTCCCATGTAGATGAGCCATCAAGTGAGCTGCAAGGCGCCGTACGGTGCCATATTGAAATATGTCTTCCGCAGGGAGCTTTGAGTGTAGGTTCAGCTCAGGATCTCGATCAATAGCATTCCCCAGCCTGAGTGCAAGCAGGCTATCCATGCCAGCATCGTGGAAATTGTCATCGATGTTCGAGACCAGGATTCCTTGAATTTGAACGCGTTTGAGCAGAAGGTTCTGCAGCTGGACTTCGTCAATCTGCATTTTGTCTCGCGGATATTCCCCATTCTGGGGTCGGTTAGTCTGCACCGAGCTGGTTGATGCAAGCAAGTTCTCAACCATCAGTCGTAAGTCTCGCTTGAGGACCTTCCCAGAGCTGGTTTTCGGCCAGTCTTCCAAACCGAGATCGTATAGATTGATCACCCGCTCTATCGCATATGCAGGACCCATTTTTTCCAGAACGCATCTCTGGATTTTGATGGCAACGTTGGTGTCTCCGCCTGCATACTTGATTACCGCAATAGGGACCTCTCCAGCGACTTCGTCCGGGATCCCAATCACCTGGGACTGACAAAGTTGTTATCACGAACAGTCCGATCCACATGGTGCAAAAGAGGGGCCTCATTACTCACGTCGATACCCGTGCTTTCGGATATTATGGCTTCCACAGCTGCAGAAGCTATGTTCATGCCACCCCTGATGATCATGTCTGTGCCGGATATGTCGGATTAGCGCCAGATTCTGTCAAGTGACCAATATAGAGATGTGGCACACACCTTTATACCTTCCAACGATTGCAATTCTTCCATTCGGCAACATGATAGCTTGGTCACCGCACCGATACCAAGTTTCTCCGCCGTCGGTGAAAAAACTGTCTTTCCCTTGGCCTCCGAGATAGTTTTCTATTTTCTGTAAACCACCTTGCACTATCTCCCCAGGCACGCCTCTGGGGAGTGGTTCGACCCCTTCCGGTGCGCAGATCCTGATCTTGCTTCCCGGATTGGCATAACCCGCATAAATTGGATCTTCTAGACTTTCTGGTACACGGTGTAGAGTTTCCGAGCAAACAGATGTACCCTCGGTCATACCAAAGAAGGGACTGAAACGCCTGCACTTCAAGATACCAAAAGCCTTTTCGACATGAGACCGCAGTATTTTACTCCCACCCACAATAATACGTTCAACACCTCTGACTAAAGACTCGTTCAAAACTGGAGAGGAGGATAAGAGGTCAATCATGGACGGCACAGCAAGTACATCCGTATATTCTCCGTTTTGAATTGCTGTAGCAATGGCTTGGACGTCGAAGTTGTAGTTAACATGTGTGACACTGCCTCCTGGGATGAGATAAGCGAGTGTCCACGAGCTGCCGACGATTGAGTTCATGGGGAGAATTTGGAGCCATCGTCGCTTGCGATCCAGTCCGAATGCTTGTTCCCAGGATCTGATGTTGCAGGTAAGTGATTTGTTGGTGTGCGGCGCTGCTTTGGGAAGCGCTGTTGTGCCTGAAGTGAACCAGATAAACACAGTATCCTCCAGCTGACGATCAAGTTGGTCAAGGGCTTGCTGTGTGCTCTGGAAATCATCGTCTGTTGCAGCACTTGACACAAGTTCGTTAAGTGACAAGTACGAACCAGTCGTGGATTTTGGTCCCGCCATAGCTTTCACTTGCATCTCCCGCATCAAGTCCGGTACATTCTGTTCGAGTTTGTTGGCGACTGATTCATCCTCCACAATAACAGCTTTGGCCCCGGACAGTGTCAACATATGCCTGATCTCTTTGGGATTTTGAGGTGCTCTCAGATTGAGAGGCGTGAATGGACATTTCAATTTCACCGCTGCACGCAAAAGCATGTGAAATTCCACTCTGCCGCTGAGTATAACAGCAATCGGCGACCCAGGATTCAGGCCCCGCTTGACCAATGCATGAGCGAGAAGGTCCGCGCCGTACTGGAGCTGACCATGCGTCCATTGAAGATGAGACTTCTCCGTAGGCTCGACGCCGGGGTTGCCGTACTTGCTTACCTCCGGGAAGAGGTCTGCAGGTTGGTGTTTACACACCATCGCCACCCTATCTCCATGTTGAGCGACCGAGGAGACTATCAAATCGTGAAGAATGGGGATGGGGATGTGTAGGTCCGGTCCCTCCACCTGAGAAACCTTGTCGGCCAACATTCTGTTGTCCATTGCATGTCAAATTCATTAATCGTACCGGAGCGAGTGGCTGGAAGGTTATGAACCCTTTCGTTCGCGCATAGAAGTGCTGAAATGCTAGTCAGACTGCGGGGCTTACGGGCCGGCGAATGTTCACCGTTCGAGCTTCTGGAATGGGGGGAAAGGCCTGATTTCGAAGCCGTGACAGTAGAATCTCTACCCTGCTACGTTGAGAAACAGTAGAGGGTTCTCGAGCACAGCGAGAGGCATTGTCACCTTTTGAAAGTCTAAATATCCCTTCAAGTATGAACACGTCTATAACAAACGCGCCACAACGATAGACTCCATAGATCTGCGAGATGTGAACGAGAAGGAACACATGTCATTCTCAAAATACTACCGCCATTCTCGACTTTGACTTCCCGCTTTTCATCAAATCCATCATCTCGTTAATCTGATCGAGCTTGTACAGCTCGACTTTCGGCTTGATGTTGTGCTTTGAAATGAATTCCATCGCCCGCGGCATCTGTTGTGGGGGACCAGTACTCTCACTTCTGATCTGGTATAGCTTCCTCATCAAATCTAAAGCAGAGAATTGGATTGGTTTCGATGGTAGTCCGATAACCATCAGGACACCACCAAGCCGTAGAACTTTGGTCGCGCTGTCATAAGCTGCCTGAGCAGCGCTGAAAACCACAGCGGCGTCCGCTCCGCCACCTGTGGCTTCCTTTATTTTCTTGTCGAACTCGGCGTCTCTGCTATTGATCGTGACATCTGCCCCATTCTCCCGTGCAGCTGTAAGGACTTCATCGTTAATATCGAGACCCACAACGTTCAGTCCCATAGCTTTGGCGAATCGGATACCCATCTGTCCAAGACCTCCGCAGCCAACGATCACCATCCATTGGCCAGGCTTAAGCCCGCAGGAGTCGACTCCGTGGAAGGCTATCATTATCAGTATAATTGATCGTTCCAAAGATGATAGAGAGCAGAGGCGAGTTACCTGTAATGCCAGCACAGAAATATGGTGCGGAGGTTTCCATGGCAAGATTTTCAGGGAGTATGATGGCGTTGCGATAATCCACTGCAGCGTATTCGGCAAAAAAGCCGTCGGACTGGAAGCCTTGAAGTCGGGCAGTTCCTAGTTTGCAGTTCAGATTGTGCACCATGCAGCCTTCGCACTCGACTATGATAGTGTTAGCAGACTGTTCAGACAGTCAAGCGTTCAGATGGGTTGGATTTGTCAGACTGACAGCAGACTCCCTTGATGTAGAGAAACCCAATGCGGTCACCGTGCTTGAAACCTTTGACATTTGCCCCCAGTGTCTCTACATAGCCAACGCCCTCATGGCCCATCACAACTGGCTCTGTGGCAGGAATTGAGCCATCAAACAACATCAGATCTGAGTGACACAAGCTTGCTGAGGCGATTTTGACCAGGATCTCGTGGTCGCTTATGCTTGGAACCGGGATCTCGTCTATTGTACACTTGTTTGTCTCCTGGTGGGTATTAGAACTTGTCCAGGATGGTGGAGGCCTACAAACAGGATGATAACGAGCCGCCTTCATTGTCGAGGGAGCCATCTTTGGCACAGATATTCAGCTTCGCAAGCAAGAGTGGATCGACGATATGGCTACGTTCTGTTAACAAATCAAGACGATGGACAAATTTTGCGCAAATATCAGCAGTCTTCTTGTCGAAGATACAGCCTTGTGTATTTGGATTTCAATAACCGTGCAGTAACGTCAGCTGGTTGTGATTTCGACTCGCGTGGTTAATATTCACACCCGTCTCAGACAGTCGGAATAACCTTATTCAGCTACAATTGATTTCCCGGACTGATATTGGGCGCCGACGCTGGATGGAACTAGACCACCCCCAACGGCAGACGAAGAGCAGGTCACACGTGGAGGTGCCGGCGATTGATGTCCGCGATTTGCGGGGAAACCTCCACCGACAAGGCTTGGAGCATGAGGGGGCCAGAGAAGGCGGAGACAGAAAGATCAGGCATGTTCACCTCGGTTCATCTGATACTTCATGAGGAGTATTCAGACAATGAATGCCTTGGCAGACTGGGCTGAAAATGTTGGATAATTTAATGTACAACATAGGAAGTGAAAACGGCCTTTCCATCCCAGTACTTAATAATAGTATTCCATCAGCAAGAATGATCCACCAACTCCAGCCTCATAAGACACTCGATTTCGAATGCTTCACATGTACAGTTAGCATAAGAGGCTTCATCACAACATGACAGGACGGAACAAGGTATCCTACCTCAATAAAGCTTGATGCAAACAATAGAGAAAATCCACATCGACCTGTTACTGCCTGCGAAATCCCACGTTCAACGGCTTCAAAAATAGTTCGAGACTTCTTATACGGCATTCATTTGCCGCTCGATCTTAGTTTCAAGAGCAAATCCTTCTTCCGGCGCCTACACGTAGCTCTTGGAAGCTGGAGTAAGTCCTAGCTGGTGCGAAAATGCGTGGAGCCCTGGGGTGAGAAATGCAACACGCGCCTCCTTTCGACTGCCGCCACCATGTGGGATGTGAAGACAACGATGTGCCCCTGCTCTGCCTAACTTCGTCTCTGTCGGCGTTCTGCTACTGCAGGTTGTTAGAGTAGATCCCTGGTCGTTCAATCGGAGATCAGAGTGCGAAATTTCACCTCTTGAACAATGGGGCAGAGGAACACCTGAACGGTGAGTGTCTCAATAGCCCATGCATATATTATGATTGCCTTTCTTTCAACCAGCATTGTACATCTGACTTCGTGATCAACATTCTCTTGCCTTGCCTTCGTCTCACCCCCTGAGACAATGGCAGCCACTAATCATCGGGCTAAGGCCACGCGATACAACTTTGCAGTTGCATTCTACGTGGCCTTGGGTTCTTTCACATATGGATTCAATTCTGCCATCATCGGGTCCGTCATTGGAATGCCATCATTTTACAGCTACTTTGACTTTGTGGCAACCAGCTCATATGGTGGCTCCATCATTGGGGCCTGCAATGGCCTCTACGCTGGCGCGGGTGTTTTGGGCTGTTGGGCAGTCTTCTGGTTTGCCGATAAATTCGGCCGCAAGATTGCAATCCAGATCATTGCTGCAATTTGCATAGTATCAGCTGCCATTCAAGCTGGCTCCGTGCATATTGCAATGTTTCTTGTGGGAAGAATGCTGAATGGTTTTGGCGTGGGGATGATCAATTGTGCCATTCCTACATACATATCTGAGATCTCACCTGCTGCTCAGAGAGGCCTAGTTGTGGGCTCTCACGGCTTCATCATCTGCTGCTCCTACGTACGCTCGGCTCCCAAGACGTGAGACTCTGTGAGTGACTGATTTCTTCACAGGCAATGGCCGGTTGGGCTGGGTTTGGCATCTATTATGAGAACAACCCTACCATCCAATGGCGGCTTTTGGTTGCACTTCAAATCGTCGCTCCGCTGCTGCTGCTTATCGGCAGTCCGCTAATCCCTGAGTCACCGCGATGGTTAATTGAGAACGGCAGGGCATCAGAAGGTATTACTATCTCTATACACCTTGACTGTTTGCGCTAACGAAGATGAATAGGTCTTGAGATCCTAATCAGGCTGCACAAGAACAAGTACGATACCGATGATATAGGAGCTCGTGAGGAATTTGTCCAGATCCAACGACAGCTCTCGCTTGAACGCTCGAACAGGGTGCCAGGCCTCTTCAAGATGTTCACCATTCCATCGTACAGGAAACGTCTGTTTTACGGGTTTTTCCTCCAAGCCATGTGTCAAAGTACAGGGGTTCTCGTCATATCTAACTACATGGTGAGATCCTATTCAGAAGCTCTTTTGAGCACACTATCTAACCACTATGACTAAGGTAACAACACTGCAAAATCTCGGATTGAGCGGTTCCACTCCACTCCTGGTTCTCGCGTTCTACAATTCATGGGCTGCGGTGCTGAACTACGTCAATGCCCGCATCCTCGACCGTTTTGGTCGTGTCAGAATCGTGACAACTGCAGTAGTGGGTCACGTCTGGGCAAATCGTGCACAGCATTGTCTAACTCTTGTAGGCTGGAGCGATTCTGTGTGTCTGCATCGTTACCGCCCTTATTGCCCACTACGGCGGGCCTACAAACACGAACAAAGCCGGTTCAGGTGCTGCAGTGGCCTTCATATTCCTATTCGTCACCTGTTACGGACTGGGTGTGGACGTCACTAGCTACGTCTACTGTGCAGAGATATTTCCCACTCATATGCGTACACGAGGAGTCGGCTTCTCCGTCAGTGGCCTGTTCTTGATGACCACCGGTGGGTAAAATGGAGTCTCTTACGACATGAAACTAATATACTGCTACAGTATACACGACTGCTGCTGGTCCCGCCTTCAACCATATCGGATGGAAATTTTATTTGGTCTTTATCATCGTCACGTCTCTGATGTTGCCTTTCGTCATACTCTACTTCCCCGAAACCAAGGGCCTCAGTCTTGAGGAGATAAGTGTTCTTTTTGGAGACGAGGTAGCGCTTGACTTGAGTCACTTGTCAGAGGAAGAAAGGGCTGCTTTCGACAAGAATATTGCAGAGAATCTCCCAGTCACCTACAGCAACGTCGAAAAGGGCGCTTCGGTCAAGAACGAGAGCATTCAGGAAGTAGATTATCTCGAGGACAAGGACAATACTAAACGGGAGTAAATAGTTCTTCTATTCGCAAATCGTGGAGACCGTTAGCAGGGTTAGATTTACGTTGATTACCTTACATTGGAGTAGCTGAAGATGTCTCTGTACATGGGTACACATCCTCTGAATACAATGACAATCCAATGACTCGTCAACATTGATCCATGTTGAAAGCCCAATGCAAGACGACGTTTAAGCCTTCTCCCAGCCAGATCACCGGCTATGGAATCATTTTCGCTTGTCTCATCCTATTCCAGGTCTCCCCCCACGTTTCCATAATTGAACTCTTCTCATTGAACCCTGCATTCTGGATCTTTGTTAAGTCGTACTGGCGATCGAAATCGGCAAGTGTCAGATGAAGGATCTCGAATCCTGGCATCGTTATTCCTGACTGCGCGATATCCGTTCGAAGATGATGTTTCTCTTCCAAAGCTTTCCATTGGGGAAGATTGTCGTTGATATATGCTCGAACCTCCCTCGATCGATCATCGGGAGGCGCGGATCGGAGACCGAAATACTCGCAAAGCTGTGGCCACTTTTCTTCCCAGGTTTCATACTGAGGGGATGACGCCACGTTGAAGGCCTCTCCATTGCCGCTCACCTCGGGGTGTAAAGAAAGAAATATCGTCTGCTTGGCTATCATGTCGCTACCGGCCTCGTTGTGCTTTGCTCTCCAACTTTCCATGGTTCCAGGAAAGGGGACCTCGCTGCCGGGGCCATTGATTTCCTTCCAGAGGGAGAAGTAAATGCCCAGAGAAGCCGCCAACGAGTACGCCGAATGGTTTGGAGCAAATCCAATAATGATATCGGGACGTGTCTCGCACCACGTCCATGATTTACCTTTGGAGTAATCAGTCAACCAATCTAGCTGACCGTGATAAAAGAGCTGGTCGCTGTAAGGTGGTTTGAGCCGGGGAAAAGACTCTTTCAATGGGACAGGAAAGTAGTGGTCCTCCTGAAGAAGAAACCCGTACATCTGGAAAGGAGTTAACTTTTGTCTGCGTGACAAATTAACCACCTACCTTGGCCCCAGTCTGGAAGGCGACAAATTCTAGACCTGGGGAGAGCAGATCAACGGCAGTTATGGATCGAGAGACCATGTCCACAGCATCCTTCTTCTCCTGCTCAAAGTTCGGGTTGGCTTTGTAGGCTAGGCAGGTGTGAGATTTGTCCATTTGGCCATCTCAAGCAGATTCCCAATGCTTCCGAGGACTTACCATAATAGAACACGTGTGTGACTGTTTCGATGCCTGGAATCTGGCTTCTCATAGACTCCTCCAGTGTTTTCTGGTCTCCTTTCAGTAAATTGACGCCGGAAATAATCTGGAGCTTATTCGTCTTTGGCCATAGTGAAGTCTCGATATCCAGAGGCCTGTTCGTCAAGGCAGTGACTCTACTCCAAGTTCCGGCTTTTGGGTAGTCGTGTAGCAGTTGGTTTACAACAGCCCAGCCAGAGACACCCGAAGCACCGAGTACAAGAGCGTGCCTGTTGACTGAAGCCATTTTGGGGTTCGACGTATTCTGGCTTGCTAAGATGTCACTTTCCTGTCACTGAGCCATGTCCTTTACTGACATATTTGCTCTCTGCCTTTTGGCACTATTCCTCAAGCCTGGAAAATGGTGGCCGAACGCAGAGAATGCGGAGATCAGGTCCAAGGCTGAGGGGATATGCGAACGGGATGGCGCCGGCCTTTCTCCATTCAGCTGGCACACCGGCATTCAAACTCCTGGCTATATTGGCAGTCGCTCTGCTAATTCACTTGAGAGATCCGCAAGGGAACCGGGCTGTGACCTCCGATAGAGGCGAGCTCACCGGAATGCTACACTCTCACTCCAGACCGGAATATTACAACATGCTGTGCGCAGGTATGTTCAGGTTAAGGTGCGTGGGTGTCGACGTGGAAGATGAGAGCTCAGAACCATAGCTAAGACGTCTAACAAGGTGTTGTACGCTGCCCTGAAGCTCTTCTACTCTTTCATATCCCCAAAGACTTTCACAAGTCTGAATCCCCGAACACTCACTCCTTTTGAATTGCCAATGACCCGATGAGTATTTGGGCTAGCATCCGCTTCTCTCAATTCGGGGCCATCGAGGGCCTCCAACGACTCAAATTCATGGACTGCCATGAATCTGGGAACTGCTGACAGGCTGATATCGTCCGAAGACACCAACTGATAGCGTTGTGATCGACGGTACCCCGGAACCTTTGAGAGCATATACAGGTGTTCATCCCGGTAAAACGTGTTGTAGTCGTCATCATCTGCTGGTTCCATTTGAACGTTAAGAATGAAAGGCGCAGGCGCTGTAAATCCACAGAAATCACGATGGATGAATGTCAGCGAGGGTGTGAATTCTCGAAGCCTCACGAGGAGAATTCAGAAATACAACTTACTGTGCCCCAGGCATTTCGGGTCAAAATCCTGGATGAGCTTATAGATTCGCGAATCCCACTGGGCGCAAGACTGGGGAGATTTGCCTGAAAGGAGTTGTCCGGACTGATCGATGTTCTGTGTATGTTTCTCCCTCGCTATTGTGGGATCCTCGACCTGGCACATCGCAAGGAATGTCTTCTCGGTCGGCGGTTCAATGTCGGTATGCGTGACCGTGACATCATGGAGAGTCGTCTGGCCCACTGCATTCGGTGTCTTTGTAGTAAGGGGATAGTCATCGAATGCTTCATACAATCCTGCCCTTGTAACCGCCTTTGCGTTGACCAAGCTGGGTATGTTTTCTGAGGCATACCACTTCCCCCAGCTTTGACGGTCCAGTTCGGTGGGTTCAGATAGAACGCGAAAGAGATACGGGGCTGCTGCCATCCTGAGATAGTCACTGGTGCTCAGTGCACTGTGTCAAATTGACCGGATGCTTCTTTTTGACGCACTTGGAACGCATGGGCTTCGAGGGACTGAGAGAGCTAGGATGCTCGGCGGGTACCTAGGCCCTTTAGAGGACTATCCAGGTTCGAGTTCCGATACCATCGTTGAATGGACTTCAAAGGCCGCAGCCTGGACGAGAGCCACACAGTGCAAAGAGGAGCCAGGAGTTTGGACTCCGAGGTTCCATCAAGCCTTCTCGCACACTGTCGAGCTCTGCCATCGGGTCATTGTCGGGTTGACAATCGAGAGAGGCATTCTCGCACTTCTAACCGCCCAAACGTGTTGAGCAAGCTCTCAAGAGGACAGCATGCCCGTGACGGCAACAGGCTCTTTAGCTGATGACAGAGATTGAGAAATAAACGTTGGCTGACATATAAACATGGCCAGGTAGGGCAGGTTGCCTTCCTCTAGAACTATCACGGCATCATTGGTAGGGGGGCTTGAAACAATCTGGATAGACGTGCATATTTGTTGGGGACGTTGTAGATCAGGCCGTTGAGGATGATCCTGGGGGTAACTGATCAATGGCAATGAATGTCACGGGGTGCAGTGCAGGAACGAAACTGGATTGCCCGCTTTCCCGCGGCCACAACGTCACAGCCCGTTTGTCGCATGCCTCGATTTCCACTTCCTGTGGCACGAAAATAACCAAGAACCAGCCCACATTACAGTCATCGTCGAGATGCATCGCAGAATTCTTCTGTGCTCTCTCTTCTCCTCAATCTCCCTCGCTGCCGCTCTCTCGCCGTTGGACCTGTTCCGCGGCAACCCCTCATCACCCTCGAACTCCCAGGTTGCCCACATCAACCAAGACCAGATCGCAATGAACCCGGGGCCCGTCCAAGGCGGGGACGAGCCCGGACAACCTGGCGGCAACGTCGGTGATAACACTCTCTCCATCTCTGATATCCTCCCGCAGACCCGCAAGATCAACATCTTCGCATCCCTGACACGAGACATTTCTACCGTCACCTCCCGCCTAGAATCCACCAAGCCGGAAGATAATACAACCCTCCTCGCTCCTCTGAACAGCGCGATGCAGGCGCTTCCTCGCAAACCATGGGAAGACAGGCCTGGCGATGATTCAGGTGTGGATGCCGAGAGAGACGAAGACAAAGCAGCCCGAAATCTACAGAGATTCGTTGAGGAGCATGTTGTTCCCGTGAGTCCGTGGAAGCGTGGCAAGTCGAACATAATCAAGACACTGGGTGGGCAAGAACTATGGTGGGAGGAGAACGATGATGGAGACAGAGTAATCAACCCGGGCAATCTGGTTGTCGATGGTGTTGTAGGAAGAGTTGGCAATGGGGAGATTTGGGCGGTAAAGGGAGTTGTCAATTACGCATGAGGGAACATGGTATTACTGATGAGAGCATGAGAAAAAGGCGGCTTTACGAGACTACGCAGGGTTACGGGGAAGGTAATTGTACAACTAGGCATTCGATGATGCTAGACTGTCAAGTCAGCCCCGTTCTTTGAGGCGGAGCATCGAGAGTATACTGAACAGGGCGGCCTATAGAGACAAACTATTTGTTCTTCTTTTCCCGAACAGCCGATAATTCTCTGGGAGGCTGTTGTAGTTCTTCGATCTCGGACCGGTCTTCAAAAAACCTATCGAGCAAACGGCTCTCTAAAACCAGTTTCCAGAAACACCACAGGTAGCAGATCCCAAAACAAGCAGCACCGATGCATGCGTTCACCACCACCCATAAGTCAGGCTTGTCTTCAGGAGGAGATGCAAATGCTGCCAGCAGATGCCATAATGCCATGACAATGTATGTTTGAAAATGCAGAATCTTGGTCGGCGTCGCCAAATCATCGGCAGCCTGTGGTCGGCCGGTAACGTTCTCGTGCTCGGGGTCGTAGTACGCGCTCACACTAGCCGGCGGAAGCCCTAGCAGGTAGCACCACAGCAGGGATACCACGACGTATGGGATTGTGAGCCCGTCTCTCTTCAACAGCGGGTACATCGTCCAGACGCCGAGTGCATTTGCCCACCCGATCCAGGCTCGATATTCTTTGCTGAGGCCTTGTTTACTCCCCAGTAGCAGCGTCATCGGGAGAAGTGGAAGCAAAACCGACTTTTCATGGACCTGAAACGAGAAGAGGAAAAATCCCCAAGCCGATGTGGCTAGCGCGTAAGGGAGCAGCGTCTTCTGAGGTACGGCGCCGATAATCAGCATCGGTCCTAGAATAGATCCAAGAGTGGCGATGGCCGAAATACGAGGCAGATCGACAACTCCCTGCAGCTTGCGAAGTTTGTAGAAGGTGTTGGTGAAGCACCAGAAATTGGCCACTTTGTCTTCGAACAAGCCGCGAGCGAATGGAAAGATTCGGTGGATGGCCTGGCTGAGTTGAAGAACGTTCATTTCCAGGGGAACATTGGGGTCAAGCGTTATACTCCTCTCAGCAAGAACCGGTGGTGTTGGCATCTCAGAAAAAGGCATTTTTCGGTAGATGTCGTAAATTGATCCTAGAAGTAGTGGCGCCAGTAGCCCAGCGAACGCAAGGGCCGTCACGAGTGAGATCGAAATGAGTCGCCCAAGGCGAATTTCTGGAGTCAGGCAAGAGGCTAACAGGTACGCGAAGATGACGGGCGAATAGTACAGTGCCATCTGCTTGAACCCAAGCGCAGCAACAAAGAAAATGCAGGACCATAAGAGCCGACTGGCATATATGCTTGATAGAGCTGCAACAACCAATCCGAGCATGACTGTATTGTATTGGAAGTGACCGTGATCGATGAGCATGTTGGCTGGTTGCATGAGAATCGCCACAAGCGCGATCGACGTTGAGGTTGTCCCAGTGGCATGAGCCCTGCTGAAGTGACGAAGGAATATGATCAACGCCGGGACATAGATGAGGTATTCCGAGATAATGACAGTAGCGCGCATGAACACCTTGAGATCGGGTTCCTCCATACCCCGAGACTTGTCGAGCTCGAACCAGAGTGGATTGAACCACGAACCCCTTACTCATGTCAGCTGTCGGATTCCCTTCCACGTTGGAAGTACTTACACTGTGCCGCACAGCCAGCTATGGTAAGCTGTCAAAGGAGGATAATCCAGGCCCCAATACTGAAGATCGTAGAAGTACCACTTGGACATTGGCAAATGGATTGTAATCTCCATCCAATGTCTCTGGGCCTCGAAGTCGCCATGCATCGGAGGCGTCCGATACCCCGAGTGGTCCCAAAGCCCAACGCTCCATCTGAAGAGACCAACAATCATCAGAATCAGCGGCAGCAGGATCCATTGGGATGTGGTTCCCCGAGCTGGCCACAGGAAAGCCACAAGGGGAAACTCAGGAGTGATGGCGCTGGTGTCATCGGGGTCGATTTTGACAATGTCGGTGATGGTGTTGCTTCGGATCAGAGCAGGGGCCTGTTTTCGCTTTTTCCGGGGTCTGTGGGAGTTCGCCGAGCTCGACATGATGATCTGAGAGGCAGACAAGCAGCTTACCAGCGGACAGAAGGTGAATGTATTGCGAGAACTGGTGTGGTCAGGCTCTGAAGCTGCAGATTTCCAGAGTGGCCAGTTGTAGACAGATTTGATTGGTTCCCAGAGTGGATTAAGTGCCCAGGCCCAGCCATTCAATTGATAAGATAAGCTTTTTCTTGCGCTTGGAGAAAAATTTCGGCTTTAGAGAAAAAGTGAATTCCTTCCTTCTCCATCTTTCTCTACTACTAGCTTTTCTGCTGCACCCGTTATCCAACATTCACGATCGTGGGCATATTTTCGAGGGCATCATTACTCTGTACTTGAGGTCTATCGAGGGCTCTGTGGGTCTGTTGCTACTGAGGGTATCCAGAAAACTCATCGCAGGTTCTTGCTTGTCTTATCCTGCCGACGAGTTCTGTTCCAGGTCCGTCTGTGGTGTTGCGCTTCCAGCAGAAATTCGCGTTTCTGCCAGTCCTTTGCGAAAGCAAGTGACTACGTGAGGTCGAGGGCTTTTAATTCCACACTGTGGATTGAGGGTTTTGCCGCACCAGCTGAAAATTTCGTTCAGTGCTTCTAGTGGGAGAGGAAAATATCAACTCGAGGGTTGCAAGTTCGTATCATCCCCTTTATGGTCTCCTTCACATCAAACTAACCATGCCGCTCTTTCAGTTCGTGTTCAATATGTCCAAAGTCAAGTCCAAGTCCGTCCCTACCGCCAGCTCTAAGCCCGATGTCCTGTCGAAGGTCAAGGGCGCCGCTGTGGCGAAGCCTTCGCAAAGTGTGAAGGCCAAGAGCAAAGTGATCGCGAAAGAGGTCGCTGCAAAAGGGCAGAAGAAAGACAAGAAGAACAAAAAGGTCCCTGTCAAGGAGCCGACTCCCGAACCAGAGTCGAGCTCTGAGGTCGAGAGCGAGGACTCGGCCAGCTCCGAGGAGGAATCTGAGAGTGAAGATGAGGTCAAGACAAACGGTGCCAACGGAGTGAAGATTCATGAGGAAGATGATTCTAAGGAAGATTCTAGCGATGAATCCGACTCTGAGGCGTCGTCGTCTGGGGCCGAAGCTCCTAAAGCGAACGGTTCTGTTGCTAAAGCAGAGGCCGACACCGACGCTTCCGAAAGCGAGGAGGAAGATGATGAGGATAGCAGCGAAGAGGAATCTGACGAAGAGGAGAAGCCTGCCGTTAAGGGTGCTAAGAAGGCCAGCGTCGCTGTAGAGGAAGAGGACGAGTCTGAGGAGAGCTCAGACGAGTCGGACAGTGATGAAGAGACTGCTGCACCCAAGACGACAAAGAAGGCCAAGGCAAATGGTGTCAAACCTAGCGCTGCTACTGAGAGCAGCGATGAAGACGCCGAGGACTCGGACGAAAGCAGCGAGGAAGATCAGAGCAGCGATGAATCTGACGAGTCCGAGGGAAGTGACGAAGAAGAAGAGGCTGCTAAACCTACCAAACGAAAGGCCGAAGATGTCGAGGCGCCCGCCGCAAAGAAGACAAGGGTTGAGGAGGACGGTTCGAGAGGCTCCATCCTCTTCGTCGGCAACCTCTCCTGGAATGTTGATGAGGAATGGTTGAAGTCGGAGTTCGAAGAATTTGGCGAGCTTGGTGGTGTTCGTCTGATCACTCAACGTGAGGATGGCAGATCCAAAGGGTAAGTCGACATGTCCCGCGCATTAGACTCGGTTGTGACTGATGAAATCTAGCTATGGGTACGTGGAATTTGTCAATGCGTCCGATGCGGCCAAGGCCCACGCAGCGAAGCAAGGCTACGAACTTGACGGCCGTGTCATGAACGTCGATTTCGCCAACAAGAAGCCCGATGCCGGTGAAAAACAGGAGAAACGACGCCAGTCTTACGGCGACCAGCTGAGCGAGCCTTCCGATACATTGTTCCTGGGCAATCTGTCTTTCGAGATCACCGAGGATGATGTCTACAACATCTTTGCGCCCTACGGATCACCCACTGGTGTCCGTATCCCCACCGATAAAGACACTGGCAACGTCAAAGGGTATGGATACGTCACCTTTGCGACATTGGAGGAGGCCAAGAGTGCGCTCGAGGGCGCGCAAGGTTCCTACGTCAAGAACCGCCCCATGCGCGTGGACTACGCCCAACCTCGCCAACAGAACGGTGATGCACCAGCTCGTGGTGGCGGGTTTGGTGGATTCGGTGGTCGCGGCGGCCGTGGAGGACCCCGTGGAGGCCGTGGAGGCGGCAGAGACTTTGGCGGACGAGGAGGACGAGGAGGCCGTGGTGGTCCTCGTGGAGGCGCTCGCGGTGGACGAGGCGGCACTACCAATCGCGGCGGCTTCGGTGACTTCTCTGGCAAGAAGACCACCTTCTAAGTTGATGGCATCCTGAGAAGTGGTGTCTCGTCAACTTGGATCGCATATGGATCTCTGTACGGCGTTGCGAGTTGGAACACCATCGTCTGGTTGATCCATGGATTGTACCTGGAGCATTTTCCCTTGTGCGTGTGTTGTGCATGGAAACACTACGACCGTGAGGATGCGAAGGTAATGGCCCTAAAAGTTCGAATTGCTTTTCTTTGCTTGATCTCTTTCCTGGGTCTAATAGAGGGAATCGTCTTTCTTGTACAAGGTTGTAAGGTTCAATGGAAATCTCAAGAATGAAACACACCCGACTTTCTATTCTGCGTTTGACTTCGTTAGCTCCACTCTAAGTACTGTAGTTCTCGTGCGGTGTTCGTGGGCATACAACTCCCCGATGTCGGCGCGGGGAAGACACAGACACCACGATACGGTGATACGGCCCTTGGAAGTTGGTGACTTCAGATGGAGGTCATTGATTGGGCTCATCTGACACCACCAGCACCACCATGACACCGCCAGACACGGCCAACAAAATGCCTGCGCGCGTGATTCCATCTCTTGATCAGCGCTTGTGGCTCTGCCCCTGCACCTGATACGTGTCTGCCAAATCAGGGCCAGCGCTCCGTTTGGGCGCCGCCTTTTCAGGAAACCTGCTCAGTGGCCTGTCTCTTGGTTAAGCTGATTGAGGGCCTGCATTGTGCATTTCCGTCCCAGAATGCCACCATTCCAGGACTTGCATACCTCCCTAGCAAGAAGCTGGCTGAAATGACCTGGTCCTTGGCAGCATAGACTCTGCCCTCATCCGCGGTACTTGGACATTCCGCAGTCTCTCCCTTTTGTTCCTCCCATCACTCTCATACTCATAACCACAATCGCTCTGATCTCGACATAATCGCAGTCGAGTTCAATATCATCAAACCCAGTACCCCGCGCTTCCAAAAGGCCGCCGTGGTTGATCGTCGCGATCGCATATTGCACCAGATAGACCCCCACTATCATCGTCCGTCAGCGGTGAGACCCAGCCTAGGATCCTGTTAGTTATCCCAACGCATTTTCTGGCCTCACAAAGACCTTTTCGGGCTTCTTTCTATGAAAATTTGATTCAGAGGACTTGACTGTCTCCAAGAGAATTTCCAACAGTCGGATCAGCAAGGGTTGGGATCCGACCGGGCGCAGCCAAGTGAATAAACCTCACCCAGGCTCGGCCACGACTCTGAATTCATAAGCCTTCAGCCGATAAGTCTATCTTTTTCAACTATGCGACCGTCTCAAGCAGAGCCGTTCGCGTCTCTTAGAAGCGAGCGAGGAGAAAATCGCGCTCCCTGGGCGACAGAATCCCATCCAGAATCTCAAGTGAATGCGAGTATTCGAGGCATACGCTCTGAAGGTAGGATCTGCTTCCCGCAATGACATACCAGCTATATCCAAAGTCGCTAACCTTTCCATAGACTCGTGGGTGGAAATCTCATCACGAGCTTCATCGGCCTCCTTATCGTCCACTAACAACGATATCATCACCACTGGACTCCAACTCCGAACTCCAGACGAGCGCCTATCACGTCAACTCCAAACCTCCCCCCACGTCGCTCATCCTCAGCCGCGTTCTACGAGCACCGCTGGAAGTAGCCAGGATGAGTATGAAGAGAGCGAGAGTGAAAGTGATCGGGTTCTCAGCAGCTCCAATGAAGATATCTATCAAGGCGACACGGCGGAGGATGACGATACCTCCACGGCGGTTGGTGTTGGCAGCCTAGACAAAGTGTTCACACCTCAGCCGAACGCATTCTCGCACCCGCCGTCGTCCCATGCTCGAACCGTACCAGATTCATATTTCCCTCAGGCTGCAGCAGCCGCATCTGAGCGACGTGCTGAACGCACCCTGACTCAACGCAGCTACCAGCGTCAGATGCAGTCGAGGCCGCGTCCTGGTTCATCGTCATCATTCCAGCCGGACCATGATGCGGCATTGCGGGCGTCCTTGACCACCCTTCTCTCATGTGCCGCTGCAGTCCGACCAAAAGGTCCTGATGCCAGACCACCCCAGCAACGGGCATCGACACAACCCACAACCCTGCGACTTGTCCCAGAATCAGAGCTCGAGACACCGCCTCGACAGAGACGCACTTCGTCTCCCAACAAACAGACCAAACGCAAATCGCGCGAATCGAGCAAAGATCGACATGCCGCGAAGAAGGTCCGCGCTGCCAGCGCCAAAGCGACCGCTATCGCGACGGGCGAAGAGCTGATCAGCCCAACCCTCGCGTCGTGGATGATCTCGGCTGGTGTGGTGCTCGTGTTCTCGGCCATCAGCTTCAGTGCGGGATACGCTTGGGGGCGAGAGGTTGGAAGGATCGAGGGCGAGATGAGTCTCCCCGGTGGAAGCTGTGGGCAAGAATCAATGAGGTCGAGTGGAAACGGGTTGAGAAGATTGAGATGGAGTTCGGCCGCCAGCAGTATACGTGCTTAATAACGGCCATTTTCCGGTTGGCGTTTGGTAATGCATCATGAGGAGCAAGAAATGACAACGACAGACACGATGGGAATGGGACAATCTGCTAATGGGGGAAGGGATGAGCCGAATGAAATGATACCCCGGCGGAAAACCACTCTTCGACACCAGCTGTTTGCATGACTTGGACACACTTGATGTCGCAGGAAGTATATGAATGCATGGGAAACAATCGAGGCGTTTTCAGATGACTGGCATTGGAGAGGCGCTGGCAACGGTGCAATCAGAGTATCGATCGCATACATAGACATCGAATACCAGGGTAGTTCCGATGACGGGTCGTTGGGTTCCTTCCCGACTGGCGGGAGGATACCCTTGATAAAGTACTATTCGATCGTCTCTAGAATCTCAGGGAGCGCCGCTCTCTCCGGTCGCTTGTTTATGTATGGTACAGAGTAATAGGCTGTTCTGAGCCCAACCTTGGTTTACATCGACTTGAGGAAGTTGCTCTCCCGAATGCTCCTCCGTCTCGCGGACCTTGCGCTCTTGGTGATCTCTTGCCGGCGCTGTAAACTCGTCACCGCGTCGTCACCAGGACCCGTCAGGTCTTTGCTTTGTTCATGAACGGGGATCTCTTTGGGTAGGTCTTTCAGGAGTCGTTCCTGCTTCTTTTCGTAGCGGATGCGTTGCTTTTTGGTCATTGCTTAGATAGTGTCAGCCGAACAATGCTTTTATATGAACATTGGATGTCCGGAAGCAGTGGCAATACCTGATAAATCGACCTTCTCCGCGTCAGTTCCCAGCCTTTTCTGGTCCAGCAGCTTCCACAGCCACTCGGGATATTCATCGTCCTCCATCGCTAGAACTTTCGGCTTCGCTTTTGTGTAGCCCAGGCCACGGAGCTCCTTGCCCCCGGGTATCGAACTCTTCGGCTTTACGGGGCTCTTTGAGTCTTTAGTCGAGGGTGGACCGGAGGTTTTCGCGGTCGAGGTCGAGGTGTGCTGCTCGGACAGAGGCTGGGAGATCCCTGGTGTGTTTGACGATTGTGTGGCATTCGGTGCTTCTATTGAGATGGCCGCCGGAGCTGGAACTGGAGCAGCATGGGGAGTCGCGGGTACTGTTGATGCGTAGCGCAAGCCAGTGGTGGAAGAGATGGAAATATTGGTGTTGAAGGAGAGGGAGCGAATACGGGAGAGAAACGCCTGCCGGCAGCTGGAGCAGATCATGTCGCGTAAGAATCTCAGTGAAGGTTGAAGGTCGAAGGAATTTTATGCGAGTGTCAGTTGGGGTGGTGTTGCGAGTCTGCAGGATCGAATTGAAGTTGTTCTGCGCTTGAGCATTGAGTCTCCAAACTGGAAGGAAGGTCTCCGCCTGCGAAATTGTCTGCGGGCGAGGCTTGGCGGCTCAAGCAACTGGAAGTAACGTCTGCACGGCGCTCACTTAGCTAGAGTGTCCCAAAAAAGATCGTCATTGACCAAGGCGTGCCTGATCGCCACAGTGTGCCAAGCTGGCTCCGCTCTCTTTGCCAAAAGTTATAACACAATTCTTACTTCAAGAGTCCTCGCCACCTTCTCGGTCACACAGTGACTCAATTTTCCATGGCAGAGTGACAATATGTGTAGAAGTAGAACGCGCGCCAATGATGCGAGTACGCCTCGAGCTAGGCAGGTAGCTTGGCAGGGCCGTTCTACCTCAGCCTCAGCTTCAACTTGACCCCTTGGTTAGTACACAGAAAGATATTCGTTTCACTTGTCCACTTCCCAATCCTCTCATTGCTACATAGACGCGTAGGAACCAATGAGCGCCTTGAAACGTCTTTTTAGGCGAAAGGGTAAGAGTACGAAGAGCTATTCTGGAGCCGTTGGAGGGGGCAAACCTCAAGACGGACCAGAAATTAACACTGCAGCTGAACCAGTTTCGACTGACGAGAAGTCATCTTTCCGATATGAAGCCCTCAATGAGCAACGGAAAGAAATTCGCCTTATGAGGGCCCTCACCCAGCCTCCCAAGAAGCCGTCCGAACGTTACACTGTGAGCGATTATGCCAGCCTTCCCGCCGCGACCACAGATCGCAAACAAGCTCCCGAAATCATCATTCAAACCTTCCCTTTGGCCTCGGCACCGCCATATACGGCCCTTTCCTATCTATATGGGCCGGACGTCCGTGACCAATTTGTGGCCTGTGGCGGTACCAAGCTGCCTGTCACAAGCAATCTCGAATACCTCCTCCGCCGTCTAACCATGTTTCCCGGCTGGTACTGGGCAGACGCCATTTGCATTCGCCAGGACGATATTGCAGAGAAGAACTCCCAGGTGCAGCTAATGCACGAAATATATACAGCGGCACAGAAAGTCGTTGCATTTCTGGGGGACCCGCCCGGGAACATGGGCGTCGAGACATTGTTGGCTCTCGAGATGCTCAACAACATGTTCATTAGCAAAAGGCTACCGGCCCCCGAATCTCGACCGCTGTACGCGCAGCACCGTGCGCGATGTCACCGTCTCCTTTCCCTGCCTTACTTCTCACGAGGCTGGATCATTCAAGAGGCTTCAGTCAATGCAAATGCTGCCATCTGGTACGGTAATGCTGACATCCCGATTGCCCTCCTCTCAAGCGTAGTCCAAGGCATCCAGAGCGAAAGTGGACTGTACGCACAGCTGGGCATGGCAGATTTAGGCGACCTCGAAATCGAAATAACCGGTGACGAGCTAATGCGTAACTTCAGACAGGCAGATACGATCGGTCGACTGCGTGCACTTTTGCGCGGTGGTGACCGAGTGCCTCTCTGCCGAGCCCTGGCGCTAGGTCGTACTTCTAGAGTCACGGACCCTAGGGATCAAATTTATGCCTTCTTGGGATTCATTGCTCACGATCTCCGAGCGCGACTGAAGCCTAACTATTCTCCCGAGAACACTGTCGAAGATGTCCTTATCCAGTGTGCCCGTGTCGGCCTCACAAGCAACCAAGCACTCGACGTCCTGATGTCAGCAGGCTTTACCAAATCCCAGCTCCCATCATGGGTTCCAGATTGGACCAACTACCCCCGCAACGCCTTTAAGATGGATAACTACATGTGCGCTAGTTCATCCTCGCCTTCGATCCGCGTGGACTCAGACAACCACAACACCGTCCTTCTTCGCGGCGCCATCATTGACAAGATCACCAAAGTTCTCAAACCCCGCAAAATGGCTTTCGCCACCACACCCTGCTCATCAGCATCATACATTGATGAGACCCCACTGCCAGAGGGCATTCCGATCTCCCAGCGCCCGTTCTTCCTGTCCCTTGTGCAAGACTCGGCATATTGCACACTCGCTCAAGAATACGTCTCCAACCCGTATCCAACTGGTGAAGCCCCCGCTGACGTTGTCTGGCGCACGATCACAGGCGACACGGGCTTGGCTACTGGTGGCTCATTACGACCCGTGCAGGAAATTGACTATGTTCGCGCTGCAGCGTTCAGCCATTTATACCGTCCTCATTCGCGAGTTGCCAAAGAGTTCAGAATATCTGTCGCCGGTGCAGAGCGGACAGCGCTGTTTTCTCTAGCCGATAGTTATCATCAGCAAGTCGCGTATATCCAAGAGGGTAGGAGAGGTGCTATGACGGAAAAAAGGTATCTCGCAGTCCTGCCGGACACAGCGGACACAGGGGATTTGGTTGCGCTTGCGTTGGGGGTCAGCATGCCTTTGATTATGAGAAAGGTTGAATCGGAGGGAGACATTAGATATCGCTTGATGGGAGCAGCACTTGTGCATGGAATCATGGACGGGGAGCTCATGGAGCAAGGTGGCGATACCGCTGATGGTGGTTGGAAGGTGAAAGGGGCTCAGGTTGAGGACATTAGAATCGTCTAGCTGGGATCGAAAGCTCAAGAACTCGAGTCTAAAGAGGCTTCTCCGCGAGAGGATACGCTCGACCGGACCATTATCAACAGAAGCCCACGATCCTGAACTGCGATACCACCGCTCTGTCAGAAGCCGAGTGCTCCCTAATGGATATACGTCCCGTATGGCGCCGAGCAAGGCATTCAGGATGGCGTTGTGTGCCAGAGACGATGGATAGAAGGCAATCATAGTTGGGGGATTGCCGCAATTCTCCTCGCTGTCTATCCCTTGGCCGTTCTCAAGATCGCCGATTTCTGAACTTGAAAACAAGTACAACGGGAGACCGTTGGTGCCAATTCTCGGGCCCACTGATAAGGGATTTTAGCCTTACCAGCCTTTGGGGAGTTGAACAGTGTGTCTGGAGAAGTTAGCTACAGTAGCAAATTGCTTTTCAGACAGAAAGGTCGGGTTGTATAGATTGTGTATCTGGCGGCAACAATAATCTAATTCTAGGAGAAGCCTCTTGGGACAGAAGACTGCATCTATCTAGGCCGAGTCTATTCTCTTGGTCCCAAGTGCCCTTCAATGCGATTTATCACCCGGGGCAAAGCAACTCAAAGATTCCCTCTATATAGCGTCTCTTCAGAACTTCCAGCCGAAAATGGCGACGAAAAGCACAAGCGCTGAGACGATGGGAAATACTGGATCAGCCTTGAACTTGTCAATCCAGGTCAGCGGGCGCTCTGTATCTTGTATCCGGGGAGCCCTCAAACCTGGGATATAGTGTCTCGCAAAGAGATCGTTCTGGATCCACCAAAACTTGTTGAGGGCCTTCAGGATGTCCACTTTTGTCTGCAGCTCCAAACCCTCGACGCCCATGACAATGTCGGTGACGGCGTTTTCGACCCAGCCGAGTAAGAGATTCACCTCGCGGTACTCGACAAACAGTGCAGGTCTGTTCTTGCGATGCTTCAAGCCCGAGTCCGTTGAGCCCGTATGGACTTTGCCCACCATATCAATGTACTCCCAAAACTTGCTCTCTGGAGTCCAGTCGTGATTCGAGACCAGCCTGACCAGGTAGCCTTTCAGGAAGTCCTTCCGGTATTTGATGTTTTCGTGGCCGCCGTTAAGGTCGCGCACGTCGGCGTCCACGGTGACTCCTTCCTGCGACTGCTTGGGCGCAAACGAGGCGGCGGTGATGTCGTATTTGAGCAGCTGGTCGTAGACGGCGTCGACGACGTTGGTGACAATGGGAGCAAGCACTGGTTTACAGGCTTCGATCAGTTTGCCATCTTTTGCCCCGTCCCAACCAAGGAAGGACTGCACGTATTTCATGCGGGCAGCGAGGTCGCTGTTGATAACATTGCCGTCGATGTGCTCCATGATGTTTTCCTTCTTCGCTGCTGGAGTTTCAAAATGAGTGATGAGGTCTGCCACTTGTCGGCAGATCCAGAGCCTCGGTGATCTTATATCGCTCTCGGTGGGTAGATGATTGGAATGGAGATTGCCATTTCCGCGGCCGTGATATCGAAAACCACCTGCTGCCCGGAAAACCGGGGACGCATCCCGCACATCGCTTGCCTCGCTTACCACATTGCTCTGAATGCTGGCCGCCAGCTGCTGGTACCTGGCATGCGGAAGTGGGATCGTGGGATTATGGGCAATCTGCGAAGGAGTGGATTCATAATCACGGCCACGCACTGGCTTGAGACGCGGTCAATGGCCCTTGCTGCCACTGGTCCTCGCTGGCTCTGGTGCGATGCTCCGTATCTCATCCCCCAGTGGTCCTCTCCCTGCTTCTCCGCGGCTACTCAACCTCCAACCAGCCTCCTCCGATTTACAACCATGGCACCAAACGTTCAACATTGCGTCGCTAGCACAATACCCAGCCCTCTTGGGCGATTTCGGCATAGAGACGAGCTCCAAAAGAGAGACAAACCGTGGAATGAGCAATAGCAGAGAAAACCCCTGCTGGTGAGTGAACTCGCGTCCAACTCCGCGCACGACGGCAGAAGGCCGAGAAATATGCAAGCCAGCCCACATCAGAGTCCGAAAAGTGAAACGAGGCCAGCAGTGTGTTTCTGTGTGTCACTGGTCTCTCTTCACAGTCCCAGTATTTGATATTTCGATGTACCAAGTTTTCCGCGCCTCCGAGGAGCCTCGAGAAGTCATCCCCGTGGCTCAGCGGAAAGCACCTTCCGGGATCCTATGTCCGGCGGTCGAACGAGACTGTAATTCAGGTTGAGCCAAAATATAAAACCTTTGTGAATGCTCAGTGTCATCCGAGATACCGGCGTCCATTCTTATGCCAGAAAGATTGCCCTTGATGCGCCGTCTCACCAATGGAATATTCCCACACCACAACGCCAAACCAAACTATGCAGCCTTGCCGGAGACATTCAAACGAAACCGCAGCTTAGCCTCCGTTAAGAAACGCGTTATACCGATACCAGGATAGACCTTCCAGGTATGGTTTCAGGCAAGGGAACCAAAGAATCGTGTTCGACAGGCCGGAACCTTGGCTAGATCGATCAACTCGTAGCTACACTACCGCATCTCGAAATCATGGTTTTGCCATCGCTATTAACCCAGAATACACCACTCGAATTGCCTGCATCCCTCCGTTACGCCTCACTCCTACGCTAACTTTGAGCAGCTTTTGGTACATATGTCTGACCGGGTTATCCGTCACCTCTATGGTTGTATAGCGCGTGGATTATGGGCTGGTGCGCGCCGTCTGCCGGAGATACCATGCCTTGGCCTTGCGGGCGTTGCACCGGAGGCACAGGGCGCCGTCCATCCGAGAGAGGTTTGAGTCGGAGGTCAGAGCAGGATCGGACCTCGAGTATTCAGGCTTTCTGTCCCCGTTGGAGAGCTGCATGTATGGTGGAGGGGCGTCTTCCGAGTCGAAATATGGGTCGAGCGCGTCCTCGAGGAGGCTGCGTAAAGGGTCCGAGGTGACGTGTTGTCTGGGCGAGGATGTCGGGTAGTGGTATGCCGGACATGCATCGAAGTACTCTCCAGTTGTGGTCTGCGGGCACGACCTGCTCTGTGAAATTTGCGTGTTCGAAGATGGAGCTGGGTTGTTGGTGGAAGTACCTCGCCGGAGTTCTTTGATCGTGTTGCGGAGAGACATGCTGAGAGTGAAATTGTGGTAGGCTGTGAACATTCTACCTGGAATTTTTGTCTGCGGTACCAGAGAAAGAGCAGAGGTTTGCCTGGCCTTGAAGCTTTTCGTCTGATGAGCAGAGACGGAAAATCCTCACCTTATGTGCTCTTGATACTTGTTGACATTGCACTCCCTCCCTTCAGCTTCGTACCCAACCCGATGTCCGTAAACGACAAGAGTCCTGGAACTGGTAGTTGGCCTGACTCGGAAAGTGTTAACCCTCAAGTTACCTTTAGCCTGTCATACCGTATTGCCCCGTCATCACGGTTCGGGTATCCTCCTTCTGCCTGTTTAGTTCATGCAGCTAGTAGCGTCGATACCGGATCACTGGCTCGAACATTACTTCAAAGAGGCCTATTCTTGGTGGAAGAGAGAGGCCAGGAGATAATAGCTAAGCTGCCAAGATTTGTTGTCAGCGCAGTTCGTGAGAGCCAACAAGGCAGGCCATCGTGTCGAGCGAGTAACCTTGTCTGCAGGGACGGCTGATGATCCTAAACGAGATGCCAACGCCACAGCTCCTCGTGCTTCGTAAACAAGCCTGGAAATGATTGGAAAGGGAGTGCTTCTCAGCGTCCGGCTACCCGTCGCAGGCCGAGAATGGCGTTGCTGAAAGTCGGATTCAGCTGGAGCGGCGGAGCTGGCGATCGCAGCCACATTTTGCTCGAAACGTTGAACACAAGCGGGTGTCGGACACGCCGGTCGATGTCGATGTGGCTCAGACCTGATTCTAGCGGACAACAGCAGCGACGACGAGGATGAGGATAACCAAATTGCACAACTCCCCCGATGAAGGCTCGATTGGCCAAGTCGATCTTCAAAGTGGAAAGCGTTCGCCCAATGCCCCCGGCTCGATGATCATCCCCTGGTGCAGGAGCCACAAACGAGGCCCATGATGTCTGCTGATTCAGGCTTCGCGAAAAGGCAGCCCGCGAGGCCCGCACGCCCGTTAGCCCTGTGCCCCTCCCACGCGTTGACATCCCGTGCGCGATTCTTCCATGTGTACCAGTGCGGCCGCAAGGACATGTCTTTCGTGTCTGCGGTCAGTTACAGCGATACACAGAGATCGACATCAGCTCACATGCCAGTAGAGATACATCGCTATCGCCAGTCACGGCCACCATCCTCTTCACCAACAATATACACCACACCCCACGACCATTTTTGCCCAGAACGGTAGTAAGTTCTTGGATCTACTCTTACTGCGGGACGACTGCTGACACTCAGCCGATCCTTTACATAGGTAGGACGTTGTCGTCGCCTTGAATCGTGTAGCGACGTCCGCCTTGATATCCTGTTCACACCTACCCACCGCTTCGGCCTCCAAAGACACCCCCGACCTTGAAAGAGATGATCAGGAACGATACACCTACTTTTTAAAGAGACGGCTGCAGCTTTACATTGGCAGTTGTGTCACGCGTCTTCACCCAGAACCAGAGAAAACCCTCTGATGCCACTATCCTTCCGCGTCTTGCTCACCACGACTCCTGGGGATCTTCATTGAATCACTTGTCCAAGCTAGCGATACGGTCACTGCCCTCGGAAGACCCCATCTCTCACATCCTGGTTAAGGTCCTCGTATTGGTGTTCTGGGGGTTAGTGGTGTCGTCGACCAACATGGCGGTACCGATTGCAGCTTGCCCAGACTTCCAGGGAGCCGCGTCCAAAGTATGGTCTAACGGGTGCAAATATTCGCCCGGGTTTCCTGACAATCCCGACCGATGCCGACCGATCAAGACGGAGAACATGATGAGCCTCGTAAGAGGGAAGGTGAGTAAGCACTTTGCTCAGGCTTATGAAGTGTATGACTCGACGTGAGTGTCAGCAATATCCAAGTCGTGCAACGAAGCCACTGTGTTGGGATATTCTGGTATCCTTGCAGTCATCCATGAGGTGTTGCTTGGACTGGGACAGCACACTGCCGAAGCAGTACTGTACTAAGCCTCCTAGGCTGTGGAGCTCCCTCCACGTTGGTCTGCTACTTGGTTGTGGCCGTATGTATTCCTCCGCTTCTTCTTCTGCATGTGCTTGAGTCTTGCTCCTTATCCTCGCTTCCGAGTCACCGATCTTACCCTAACTAACTCTTGTGTGTTTCTTGTCGTGTTGCTAACGCAGTAAGCTCAACCACTAACTCAGTATCGTGAGTTAGCTTAAGACCGAGGATGTCTTGGGCAGCTGGGAGGTGGATGCGACTGTTGCTTTGGTTGGGCCATGTCTTCTGAGCACATTCTCTCCACAGTAATTAACACATTAACCATATTGCGAGAAGACGCAGGTGAAGAACAACATGTCAATTAGATTACCCTGTCTAGGTTGAAACCCAAACAGAACAGAAGCTCTACCGAACGAGGTTCCTCAGAATAGCCAACGCCAAATGGTAGTAAAACCCCAGATAGAAGCCTTTTTTCTGATGTTGCTTTTCTTCATGCTCTTTCTCCTCGTCCACATGAGGCTTTGACTTTGGCTTCCGTAGGCCTTTAACCGAGAAACCCTTAACCCTGAAGATGTAGTACAGCGAGATGGCGGCAAAGACGTTGAAAGCAATGTACGCAAACAAAATACCCAGATTCCGATATTGGTCGGAGGGGTGAATCCACGACTGCGCAAGGAATTGGTTAGCGTTCCTGATCGGACAGTACTCGCAGCTGGCAGTGGCGGACGGATTGAGTAGAGATCCCGGAGCGCCATCGTCCAGGTAGGCCGAGAGATACTGGCCACACGTCTGCCCGGTTGGGGGATCGAAAACTGCCAGTTCATTCTTTGCGCAGACGACCGCTCTGTTCGCCAAACCCGTTCCAGCCCATCCGCCGATCAGATAGGTGAAGGGACTGACGCGATACATGAAGATCCAGAATCCAGGGAGCGCAGAGGGCGGCTGCAGCACACCGTTGAATTGCAGGGTCAGCGTGAATAGGATGGTCGACAGAGCGCCCGCCGTCTCGGTGCTGGGCATGGTGAAGATGAGCATCTGCGCAAAGGTCGACCCAAAGAGCAGGAATTGAAGACAGAATGCCCACATGAGAGCCCGAGCTGCCGAGTCATGGTCAAGTCCGAAGACTGGGAAGTACCAGCAGGCCCATACAACGACAGAGAGGCAGATTTGATAAGGGATTTCCACAAGGATGTTCGCCAGCAGGAAGACGGGCCAGCTGTACATCTTGGAGGGAGATTCGCGGACTTCGAACAAAGCCCTTTGTGGGAGGAATCTGGACATGATCTAAGAGTTTCAAGTTAGCACGCTGGAGGATTAGATCAGGACAAGCACATACCTGGTTGGCCACGGTTGAGAATGTTGCGTTCAGCATGTAGATCGCAAAGACGACGTTTTGCATCCCGGTCGCAGAAGCATTCTGTAGATAAAAGGTGAATCCGATGAAGAGTGAGGATAGAAGGGCAAACTGCAGTTTGGCGTAGATGTAACCTGGATTGCGCCAGTAGTTCTGAAAGAGTCGTTGGATGACACATTGGAACTGGGTCGCAAAAGATACTGCGAATTGTCGGCGGTCGTCGGCATCACGTTCCTCCCGAGAGGATTCTGGCGGCATCCTGCAGACGCTGGCCTTGACGTTGGTGAACTCAGAGCTCTCCTTCCAAAGCCCGGACCAGTTGTGGGAAGTATCGCCAATGACATCCAGGATATACTCAGCAGGGTTTTCTTCTGCACCACAGGCTCTCGCGCCATGTCCCTCAAAGTAACGAGTCAGTGTCTGGCAATCTGCACCAATCGGTCCGAAATAGGTGGTGCGGCCACCTCTCGCGAGCAGGAGGATGGCATCAAATTGCTGGAAAAGCATAGCCGAAGGTTGGTGGATGGTAGCGAGGATGGCTTGGCCGTGGTCCGCCAGTCTTCTCAATAGTGACACGATCGTCCACGCACTCTGCGAGTCGAGGCCTGAGGTGGGTTCATCCAGGAAGAGGATGGACGGTTTGGCGGCAAGCTCTACTCCAATTGTCAAGAGCTTCCTCTGCTCGATATTCAGGCCCTCACCCGGCTGACCAACCACTGCGTCGCTGAAATGTTGCATTTTGAGCACTTCGATGACTCTCTCCACATATTCAAATTTCTCTTCTTTCGGCACTGAGGCAGGTTGGCGCAGAAGAGCCGAGAAACGTAAGGCTTCACGGACTGTGCTGGTTGGTAAATGTAGATCTTGCTGTTGAACGTATCCGGTCTTCCGCTGGAACGATGGCTTCAATGGCATGCCGTCTACCATGATCTTGCCGGAAACTTCTCCAACGGTGTTGTGACGCTGTGCGAGTGCGTCGAGCAGAGTTGTCTTTCCAGCGCCCGAGACTCCCATCAAGCAAGTGAGTGTCCCAGGTTTAACCCAGCCGTTAACGTTGTCCAAAAGGCGCTTACTCTTGCCTTGGACTGCAATGTCCAACGTTAAGTCTTCCCAAGCAAGGGTGCCCATTTTTCCGCGTCCTTTCTCGTTCAATTGCTCGCCGATGCTCTGAGACTTTCCTGCCGAGCTGCTCACAACATCCCCTATGCCAGAAGCTTGTGGGGATGGGGCTTCTTGGTCGCTGGCCGCTTTCGCCTCAATGTCTCCTTCACTTGGATTCAGATTCTGTGCGGCTTTGTAGTCGCGAAACACGAGTCGTTGTGGTTGTGCATTTGCGGTTGACCTGACCTCAGTGGCAACGAGATAGAAAGCCAGAAAGAAGGCCATGTAGGCGAATGCAATTCCAAGATTTCGCCAGAGATGGGAATAACTGTAGTGGTAGCCGGACTGTACCCACGAATCCCCGGAAACAATACTCTGGCCCGGTTTGGCTCCAATAACGGCGCAAGCAAAAGTGGTGTTTCCTTGTGCATAGGGGGGTACAAGGCTTTGTGGAGCGCAAGGGAAGTCTCGATTATGGACTTCATTGACAAGAAGAGCCTCAAAGATGTAGGCGATAGGGTTAATGTAGTTGATCCAGCGAAACCAAGGATGCATGTAAGCAGTTTGAAGCGTAAAGCCGGTGTATATGACCATCATGAGGACACCAATGCCGGCAATAGCATACGCTTGGGGAAGCTGTTTCGAGGCGGCGCCAATGCTTCGAAATATAGTTGACATGACCAGAGTGCTGACGAAATTGAATAGCAGGAAGGTGAAGAAGCTCGAAGCATCGGCTCTCAGTCCAGACATAAAATAGTAAACCACGTTGAACAAGGTTGAAATGACAAATTTGACAGGAATGTCGACAATGAATGATCCAAGAGCGTCTGCGAATGGGTGGTAGAATGCGAAGGTGTTCTGCTTCTGAACAACGCCTCTTTTGCCAAACAGTGAGCTAATCTCAGTAACGGCCATCAGGGCATTCATCAAGGTGGCGAGAAAGATCACCGATCCTCTGGATTGAAGGCTTGCCGTGGTGTCAGGCGGATCAAAATAGATACTGCCAATAATCAGAGCAAGTATTATTCGTCCCATCGCAAGCGTTATCGTGGACGTTCTGTCGTTCGACAAAAGCTGACAAGATCTCTTCATACATAGCCGGATCTGCATCCATACGGAAATCAGAAAAGGAGACCTGTCTCGAGTGTGATGTGCCTGTGCAGCGTGATGTGCGGCCTGCAGCGCCTGGAGGCGACCATTGTCTTTTGCATCCTCTTCGTACCGAGCGACCTCTGCCATGCAGGCTTGATACTCTTCTGATTTCAGCCAGTATTGTTCGAATTCGATGGCAGTCTGAGGAATTCTGTCTGTGCTCTCATGACGGAGTTGCCGCTCTGAGGGATTGGTGATCGAGGTCAGGAAATCAGGAGTGGTCTGTCGTGGAGAACAGTACCATCCCATTCTCTCGAAGTACGATCGGGCCAAATCGATCTGGCCAAAGAATATTTGTCGCCCTTCGTACAATACCAGCACTTTGTCGAAGATATCATAGATGCTCTGGCTAGCCTGATATAGAGCGACGGCTTGAGTGACTCCAGCAACATCAGCTAAAGTACGTAGAGCGCGTACAAACTCCAATGCCGTTGCTGAGTCGAGGCCACGGGTTGCGTTGTCCCAAACAGCCAGTAGCGACCGCGCCAGAGCCATTTCTGCAATGCTAACGCGCTTTCTTTCACCACCACTAACACCACGAACGGTGTCGCTCCCGACCTTCGTATCCCGGACAGCGGAGAGTCCGAAGATCCGTAGCATGACTTCCACCATGTGACGGGCTTGCATTTCTCGGTCAATGCCTCGAATCCGAGCTTCCGGAGTCTGCGCGCAAGCGGCGAAGCGCAGTGTCTGTCCGACCGTCAAGTGCGGGAAATGTTCGTCGTTCTCTTGATTGTAAACAGCCTTCCCCCTGAAATTCTTGATAAAAAGATCTTGTGGTATTCCATCGTAGTTGACGACCGACTCTGATGTTCTTGTCAAGCCACCTAACTGGCCAGAGATGGATGTCAGAAAGGTTGTACAACCACTGCCAGGTCTGCCCAACACGAGCAGCATTTCGCCACTTTTCACGCAGCCGTTGAAGGTGTTCAGGATCACCTTGGGTTCTCGCTTGCGTCTGGACATGAACATGGGCAGCCGAGCAAGGGCAAGCCATGGGCTCGCGACAGTAGGTTGTAGAGCGAGACTCGAGCCTGTGCCACAGACTGTCAGGGACTTGAAGCAAACGCCCACATTGGCTCGCTTGATGCCATCTTCTCTGACCAATTGGATGATGGTCGAAGCCCAGAACCGAAAGTCGAATTCCTCATTTTCGGGATCCAGCCGAGGGTCAACGTCAGCAAGAGTTTTAGGTGTGATCCCAATATCCTTGGATATTGTCGTTGCGATTCTCGTTAGTTCGGGATCCTGATCCTCGATATGTAAGTGTTTTTGGTGGTGGCGGCTTGGCTTCTTCCTCTCAGCAAGCGCACGAAGTCCATCTCGGAGCTGGTCATGAACTGCTGCTTCGTAGATCTCCTGATAGTCTTCTTCCGTGCTCGACGCGTGACTGACTTGACGCTCCATTTTATGCTGTAAGAATGAGGCGTTCGTTAAGTCCACTGACTGGTCAGAGCAGTCAGGATCTATTGTGAAGAGCGATGGGTGGTGGTTTCAATGTGTCATGACTGCAGCGAAGGCGAAACGCTTCCATCTGTGCGAGAATGGGATCCCGTCTTTGAAGTATACTCTCTATGCTGGTGAAAATTCTCAGCAGGTCAACTAAAGGTTCGTTTTAGACACATGGCATGACATCAGTGCAATACGAGCGCGGCACAGCGGCGCCGAGGTCGACGTCGAGACCGATAGATGCAGGCAGTGCCGCGACATTGTGTCGCTTATTATTATTGGCATGATGTTGTGTACTCGAAACACCATTCCGTAGACTCAAACACGAAGATACTTTCCTCGGGATTGAGTTTTGTGTCCAGCATCTTTCGCATCGGTTACCGCATTGGTGCAGCACATGCGGATACGGAGAACTAGCATGATTAGCGCACACTAGCGTCTGCAAGATTCGCTTAAAACCTCGGTACGCATTCCAAATGCAGCCAAAAAAAGAACTGCGCCTCGCGTCTGTTGTTTTCTTTCTTCTCAGCCGCTCGCTGTCTCGACTCCAAACCCCTGCGACTGTTAGTAACCAGCCGCTCTATGCAACTCTGCAAAGCGAGCCGCGGAGCGTTGAAGAAGGGGATTCTCGCTTCTGTTGCGACAAAGCTTGTTCAGACCACGTTGTGCCCTATTACGGCCGGATTGCTGAAGGGGCTTATGGCTGGGCACGGCACAGCCAAGTCTCGGCTTCTTAGAACTGATACGAGAAAAATTGCCAGGTATGCGACGCCAACACATCAGTGACACGCGGGAGCACCCAGAAGATGTATTCTTGCAACGTTCGTGACGAAATTGAAGACGTTGGGTTGGGCTATCAGCCTATATTCTCCGCATACTGGCTTCTATGATGCCATTCCTCGTGTGCCATGGGTAAATTGTCGACCAGCGTTGCTCTGGCCCTGGGGTACAATCCCTATCCCAAGCGTGAGAATATATGACACTCAGATCAGACAAACATACCACTTCTTTGAAGCTTCAGAAAATCATATCATCCAGGACCTCACCACATCATCCACCTGTACGGCCATATCATGATTGTCTTTTCAAGCTCGACAGGCTGCCCAGCCAAACCTGCCAATGCCCGTGGCAGAGGTGATCCAATCACAGGGTCTCTCACGTTCCAAAATCTCATCACTATCATCTGCTGGGCGTGTTTGGGTGTTTCTCTGCTCCTATGGCTAGGACTGGTCGTTCCGCACTTGCGTCAATACAAAGCACCTAATGAGCAACGCCAGATCCTTCGGATCGTCTCTACGCCTCTGGTATTTGCCGTCATCGCCGTCATCTCCGCCCATATCTATGATGTCGGCGGCTATCTTTCGCCCTGGGCGAACCTTTACGAAGCTTATGCGCTGGCGTCTCTCTTCCTCCTTTACGTGCAATATGTGACTCCAGACGTGGAGACGAGAGATTCCTTCTTCCAGAATCTTGCACAAGCTTCCGGGAAAGGGAATGTCGTGGCTGGAGGTAGTCTTCGGTGGTTTTGGGTACCGTGGACGATCTTTCCCTGGCGTCAGTGGCTAATGATTCTGCACAGCAGTCATGGAGGACCGTCTTTTTCTATGTTGTCATCTACACGGCTCTCATAATCACTCAGGAAATCACCAATGCAGCTGGTGTCTACTGCAGCACTTCTTCTCACCCGAGGTTTGCTCACGTCTGGGTATGCGCACCCTAATGCCTCTAGGATATGATATCTGACATGCCTCCTAGATTCAAATCTTAGAGCTCATCACAACCATCTGGGCCGTTCTTGCGGTAGTCAGATTTCAGCTTAGGCTCAAAGGCTATATGCTTGGACATAACGCCCTTTCCAAGCTGCTCATCTTCAAGGCCTTTGTCCTCATCAGTGCCTTACAGCATGTAAGTATAAGCAAAAAGGCAAATATACCCTCCCATCATGCTGACTTGTGCATAGTTCATCTTTAGCATTCTCAATTCCAGAGTGACGGGCAACTTGCACATCACATATGACGATATCACCGTCGGCCTGCCAGCCTTGCTCGTCTGCGTCGAGAGCATCATATTCATGATTGGATTCTACTTCACCTTCAGTGCAAGAGAGTATCAAACCTGCGTAGAAGGAAAAACTCAAACATACAGCCCACCGCAGGCAGTGCTCAGCGCATTGAACCCAATGGATTTGATCCACGGAGTTGTCCAGGCGTTCAAATCCCTCAGGAGGCGGAGATAAAGAGGCATTGTGACCCTCGGACAGGTACACGTGTGATAGAACGATTGTGTTCTTTAGATTCTGGGCTCTCTCGTGTTGAGAAGAGTCAAAGGCTTTGCTATGGAGATCGCAGAATGTCGCAGTCTCACTCGAGTCATTGACAACAATGCGATTTAATTTTAGGTCGAAGGATGAGAATTCTCCTGACTCTGGAGCTCTGTGGGAGTCGGGAGAGCTGGGATACTTATGCGAGAGCAAGAGGTATATAGTTGCAATGCACGTATTATCATGTTTCGCATGATGCCTGTGAAGACGCATACCTTGCGCCTTTACAATCATCATCATGGTACCTACAGGAAAAAACTCTCAGAGGTCGGGACTCGCATGCCACCATAGCCTTGAAAAGAGTAAGGGGCGCAATATCAAATCCTTGCGACCCAACGCCAAGTATACTTGACACAAAAATAAAGCCACGAGCCACGAGCCCCGATCCTGCGCCATCTCCGAGCATAAATGTCTAAAATGCTCTCAGTCGAAAACATCACTCGCAACCCTGCTTTGTATGGCTTCGCGAAACTGCTTCTCCGACTCTTTCAATTCAGCATCCCTTTCACCGTTCTCACCGTCTCTGACCATTATAGCTATCCTTTTGGCGCCGTCGCGGACTCCTTCGGAGAACTTCCGGGTGCCGCAAATATAGGCTCGAGCGCCGCCTCTCCAGAGAGTGACGATCTCCTCGGCATCGCGAAGCATCCTTTCCGGCACGTAGGCACAGCCTAGAGAAGCTTCCTTCTCTCTGCTGAATGCGTATTTGATGTCCACGACGCCTTTGTCTGCCCAATTGTCAAGTTCGTGCGCGTAAATCCTGTCTTTTGTTTGACTTCGGCATCCCAGAAACAAGACGGCTGGCGCCAATCTCCGATGAGGATTTGATTCCATCTGGATGGCTCGCTCTTGGAGAAACCCTCGGAAGGGAGCAACACCTGTCCCGGCTGCAAACATGAGCAACGGGGTCTTTTCTGGGTCCGCAGGCAGGCGGAATGTCTTCTTCGCTGTTGGCCGAATGCTCATTTGAATTGAATCCCCTGCCTTCAAACCATGCAGGTACGTTCCAGTAACACCCTCGAAGCGTTGATTGATATCCGACAGAGATTCGGCGTCGATCACGCCGTAGGTGATGGTGCAGACGTCCGGGTTTGCGAGGGGGGATGAGGAAATCGAGTACTGACGGACATGTAATGGAGACAGGAGGTTGAGGAATTCACCAAATGGTAGCTTAACTGATGGATGCTCGATGAGGAGGTTGAACAGACTCGTTCTCTTCTGGGTGATTTCGTCTTCGAAACGCGTGTTTTCCGCTGTCAGATCCTCAAAGTAGGCTTTGTCGTTGGCATGGTCAGAATATTTGGCCAGAGTTTTGAGGCCTTTCTTGGTCGCAGGCTGAGACAGTTCGACGTAGCTTCGCAAAACATCGAAGGCTGAAAGTGGCGTGTTTGCTGGAATGGTAGATGGTCCGCTTGACTTGATTGTAACCACAGCATCTCCTGGCAAGCCAAAATGTGCCATGATTCTTTTCACATTTTTCTCAGAGTTGAGCGGCAAGACGGCCACATAGTCACCACATTCGTAGGCAGCGTGTGGAGGAAGTTCGATCTCCATGTGACACTTGGTCGGTTCGCCCTCCACAGTGAGTACTCGGTTTTCTTTGACTGTGGCCAGGAAGACATCGTATCGAAGACTTGAGGCCCGCGCACTTGTTGATATTTCAACGTGCGGCGCCTCAGCGGGTGCTGTGCCGCTCTGTCCACTTGAGAGCTCCGTCCAGAGAGTGTTCTCCAGCCACTCTTCGAACTCGCCGTACATGTTACCTTTCGAGGCGTCGGTAAAGCCCGAGGGAGCAATTCGTTTAGCGCCATGTTCCTCCAGCAGTTGGTCAGCAAGCTTTGGAATGCGGTGGAAAGTCTGGCTCCAATCACCTGGAAAGGGTCAGTCTGAAGTACATAGCAGCAGCGTGGTACTTACGGTGGCCGCAGCCGAAGACTGTGTACTGCACACCATGCAAAGAGCCCGGATCGCAGTTCGAGAGCCACTCCATAAATCTGGCCGCGTTGTCGGGTGGCTGGCCCTCGTAGGATGAAGTGATGACAATCACCGGATGTCCGTTCGGCAACGCGTTTGTAGCACCATCCAAATCTTGAACAGCGGCATCAAACCCATGCGACCCTGCATCTGCTGCAAGCCGCTGAGCAAAAGCTTGGCAAGTGCCTGCGTTAGAGCCATAGAGAATGGTCATCGGTTTCGTAGATTGAGATATCTTGGTGATTTTCCCGGAGGAGATCGAGGTGACCTGTGGTTCAATTGTGCTTTTACTGTGTATCAAAAGGTCCATTGCGGTGGCATCCATGTTCTTGCGAGGAGTGACTCTGATGTAGAGATCGTCCGGCTTGATGGTCAATGCTTGTTTGATGACTGGCTTGTAGTTGGGGTCATCAAGCTTGACCTCGAAGTTCTGCAGAATCATGGCGAGTACAAGCATCGCCTCTTGCCAGGCAAAAGGTCGTCCGATACAAGCTCGCTTTCCGTTACCAAATGGCTGTTGTGTTGTCAACTTCTGTTCTATGCTGCGGACTAATCACTTACCTTCCAACAACCGGGGTATTCTGCCGTGATTCTGTCAAAGTTTTCGTCCAACATCCTATCAGGGTTGAAATCATCCGCGGTGTCTCCCCACACCTTTGGATCC